ATAATATCTGTATTATTGATATATAGATATCGTTTAATATTTATATTTAAGATTGAAAGTATTATATAATTGATAACTAAATTGTACAAGATAATTATACATTTTCTTTATAAATTCAAGATAATATCTAGACAAATCTTCGATAATGTTGTTGTAATTAAATATAATTCAGATTTCTATTTAAAAGTCTAGGTTCTCAGATTTATCTTTATTTATTAGAATTGATATAATATTCCAATCTGATAATTGATTATTTATAATCATTGTTCGTTTGTATATTCTATATATTAATTTTTTTTTGATGATCTTCTAAAACCAAAACTTTTATTTAAAGGATTATTTCTTTTGGATATATATTCAGAATAGTTTGGTACTTTCTTTGAGGTGTACTTTATATTTATACAAATCTGTTAACAGGATATATTCTAATTCGATAGTATTCAAATCTCAATAAATGTATAACAAATATAACATTTTATCTTTCGAATTTGTATTAGGGATATCAGGATCTAATTTGATATTAATGGAAACGAATCATTCTTTAATGATTTGAATCGAGTTTATAGAAAGAAAGTATCTTTCTATATATCTATTTATAAGGAATGATCTTTCTAAGGGTTTATTTTTGATGAAACTATTCTTATTAGTTAGGAATAAGGGTTGAGTTGCTACACCCAGAGAGTCAATAAAAGCCTGTACTACAGGCCTGCAGTCCTGAGAATATGTTCTTGGTGTTTGCAAAGAGTCGATTGAGAATATAAAAGCATCAATATACATCTCTATTGAACAAGGATGTAGCATTTATAAACGAACATTGTAGGATAGAAGAGATATCTTTGATATCGGATTCGATGGTTAATGTTAATTGAAACCTTTTAACAATTTGTTCAGATCGAAAATTCTCGTTTAATGCTTTAATGTTACATTATCGACAAGTTAATTTTCCGAATCCTTAGAGTTATATTCGAATTCTGTTTCGGAATCTTTATTAAAAGATTCTTCGGATTCAGATTGAAGGTTAATATCTATTCTTTTTCTATTCTTGGAATGTATAATTAGATGATCTTTTGGTATTAAAATGATATTGTAAAAAGTTGAAGGACAAAATTGTAAGGATTGGAACAAGATTGTAAAGTTATCTTTCTTTATTATACTTATTTGTATAACAAAATCCTTTATAAGAATTCTTGTATCTATATTATATAATTAAAACAAATTGAATAATAAATGTAATTTATCTTTTTTTTTATTATCAAATAAGCAAATGAAAGTATAAATATATCGCCAAATCCTACTAATATTTATTTCGAATATAACAAAATATATAAAGGTATTGCTTTCATTATATACAATGTTCATTTTTAGATTGAATGGATACTTTAGAATATCAAAAAGATATTTGTGAAATCCTAAATCGCGAACTAGTCTGTTGGATATGATGTTAAATTCAGAATCTTGATCTACTTGAAAGACTCCGATTAGCAATGTGATTCTTTTGTATTTATTGTTTATTTGAATTCGAATGATTGTAGTGAATCGGAATGATCGATAATTAGTCTTTATATATAGAAATAGTCTTTTAGAGTCGATTACAAAAGGTTTGGAATCTTTAGCTAAATTGAAGTAAATAACAGGTTATTTCTTCTTTTTCGATTTGAGATTTGTATATATCGAAAGTTTTCGGAATTCTTTCGAGAAATCTGAAGAGATTTGTTATAATTCTAAAAGATTTATAATAATTTAAATCTTCTTTACTAAAATGTAATAATCTATAGCATTTTTTCCTTAACGATCAATTATTTTATATAATTGTCAGATTATTCGAGAAGACTTCTTAATCTACTTTTCAAAAGATCGATTGGATTTATTTCTTGTAGATTCTGGATTAATAATATCATTTATCGATATTCGTGCTCTTTTCCGAAAAGGTTCTATTATGAAAATAATCAATTCGATTTCTTCGTTATTAGAATCCTCAAAATCAGATTTGGTAACGAGAAGCAACAATATTAACTTCGAGAATCTCTTTTTTTTAAGAAAAACCTGAGGATTGATGAATAAAGCCTTATCAAATACAATAATCTTTTTTTTAAGAACAATTTTGTTGTTTAAAATAGTTTTCTTAATGGAACAAAAGAATAAAAAAGAAATAGAAGAAATTGAAATACGAATAAGAAGTTTAATATATTTGATTTCAAGAAAGCTCGAACTAACCGAAAAAGATAAAAAGGATAACGAAAAAAGTGTTTCAAGGAAGCTTAATCTTTCAGATCTATAAGAAATCTGATTATCGATTCCAAATAGTATTATAAATGATTTTGATTTGAAGTAATAATTATCTTTTGTAAAGTTAGCAAAGTATAATCGAATATTTCCTTCGAAAACCATTTGATATAAATAAACTTGTTTCCAAATCTCTTTAAATTTGTTTTTACAATCCTTAATGAAATATTCGAACTCTTTATATTTGATATAGTATTTCCTTATATTTTGATTATATTTTATAAAATTATTAATAAAAGAATATATAGAATCGATAAGAAAAAGGAGGTTATCTGAATTAGGGGAGCTATTATAATTGGATCTATTGTCGATCTTAGGGTATAATGATCCCTTACTATTTCTCGATTGATTCTTTCAATTGTAATTGTTATTGTAACCTTTATCTTCAAAGTAATTGTGAGAAAGGAAAGGATTCAGTTGTATAGTTAATGTAGATAACAGTATAATTGAATATTGTATAACTGGATTGTTACATTTCTCGAAAGGTAAAGGATATATATTGGATAAATTATATTTATTGATGGATTCTGTAAGGATTATTTTAGCTGTCTTTCCGAAATATTGTTCGACGAATTTCTTAAGATTATATAAACGATACTTCTTGTTGAATCAAGTTTCAGTTTGTATGATAAGGTTGATAATGTAATATGACTTTTGTATTATATTATAAACTTTTTATAGAGTATTACAAATACTTATATTTTTAGTCATGATAATACAATGTAGAAGTTTATCATATAGATTTCTGACAAATGCGGAAACGATAGTATTCAAGATGAATTCTTCAAGGAAATTGAGAGTTTTGATCTTAGATATAATATTTGTATCGATTTTAGGCTTATTTTGATTTGATATACAACAAAGAAGGTACAGAATGTATTAATAATATACTGACAACAATTCGTTATTATATTGTTCAAGGGTTTCTATTTCGAATTGTATATTGGTATCGAATAGATCTGAGATTTCGGTAGAGAATTTTTCGGATAATTGTAATTTGATATCTTCGATTTGGCTAGCAATGATAATATTACAGTTCTCCAGGATATTACAGATGTAAGAGATAGAATCGATCCATTTTGCTATATTATTATTACAAAGTATATATATAATCTTAAAATAAACATTATTAAAAGAAAGGATGAATTCAATTAGATCGAAGTTATAATCTAATCAGGAAAGCTATCTAAAAGTGGAAGTATTATTATCGAATCGATCGACAAAGGCAAACTTCGATTTCTTGTAAACAAATTCGGAAGATATATCAGAGTTGAAGATAGAAATGATAAAGGTATTGATAAATTGTATAAATAAAAAGTGACAACGATCTTTAATAAAATCATAAATGAGATCGTTTTTGAATCTTTCAAATATCTTCGAAAGTATATTTAAAGTTGCAATTTTCTTGTAAAGGTTTTCAAAATCAGGATCAGATTCAAAGGAAAACAACGATAATATTAAAGAATATATCAGTTTGAAGAATTAACAAAAGAAATCAAAGATATCGATATTTAAAGGATAATATAAATAAAGATTGATATTATTGATAGAAAGAAATAAGATAGAATCGAAAGGGTTTATTATAGATTCGAATTAGGAAACTATATTGTATAGAATTTCTTGAAAATATAGGGTCGAAAATTGATCATTTGATTATGTTTAAATAGATTCGATAAGAATTGTTACTTTTAATTAATCAATAAATCGAAGTAATATATAATTGTTTGAAATCGGGAAGAAATAGAGAAATCGATAATTACTTTTGAAATCGAGAAAGTGAAATCGTAGGAAACGAAAAAATGAGGTTATTTATAATTTTTCGATTAATCAATTGAAAAAGCATATATAACAACAATAAATAACAATCTGGGAATTTGAAAAGGATTTGAAAACGAATTGACAATTTTCGATAATAATATACAAATAATTATTTTAGAGATAAATAAATATTATATATATATAAATAATCAAACAAATGCAAATCCCAAAACAAAATCGAGAAATCCTATAGGTGTTGCCAGAAAAGTGAATAGTTTTAAAGGGCAAGGGTATAGATTGAAGAATAGAATTAACAGAGTATTTATACCCGGATCAACACTAGATCTAAATTAAACTAGTATATATATGACCTGATAAAATTACCCTCGTTACAGATTGCGGTTATTTCTGCGCAGTCCACCTAACCCTAGTTTCAAGGATCAGATAGTCGGCACAATGGTTAACCTTATGGAAGGATTTACTAGATAAGACGTAATGAATGACCAGAATGAAAAGGGCCACGGCGCATGCTTCATCAATGGGCGACCGAATGCCGATGACGAGTTTTTCTTACCAACCGACTCCGCCACATCCTCTTCTCGTCAATGCTAACGACTATATAGGATTTAGATTTGAGAAAATTGAAAATTGATATTTTTATAATCTCTTAAATAATCAGGAAATTATCTCGAAGAAAAAAATTTCTTAGATTTATTACTATATTTTATTATTATTAATTTGAAAAGAAATATGTTTTTATTTATTTATTTTAAATTATATTCAACTATAGATCCTATAAAATATCTCATTTGAAATTATCCTAAATAAATATTTGCTACTAAAATAAAAACCTGTTGAATAGAGTCAGGTCACATGATTGGCACTAGGCCCCTTTGGGAGCTCTCGGATAGTCTACACAGGCTATCTACAAACCCATTCAACTTCTACCTCTTCAGTCAAATCATCAATACTACGTTTCCAACCCTAGCTTCCCACAACAGTGACAGAAATACCATGTGATCATGCACTAAGGGTAGTATTCTTAATAAAAACATTTTAATAATGTGAGACGAAAGTAGAGCTTCTTTTGGTAAATATAATAACATCATTTCATTTCGGGACTAGCGGCTATCAAACTACGCCTTTCGACTTGGACGCCGCGTACAACGGTCAGTTATGATGTGAGAGGCTCTTGCCTTAGCAACAAACTGTGAGGTCCAAAATATAACGTTCAGATTCCATCAAGACTCTTAAGCCCAAATCATATCCTCTCATCAAGCGATCACAAATTTGCACCCAGAAGCCATGTCCTCAATTTTTATCACACTTGCAAAAGGTCTCGAGGGAAAAGTCTTTGAGCCTGACAGTGATGTTTATGACGCTTCCTTGAAGTCTTATTTTACTCTTCAGGAGGCACAGCTGAAACCATCCTTCATCATCGCCCCTACATCTGCTCAAGATGTCGCCCAGGTTCTAAAATCTTTGAGAGCCATAAACTCCGAGACCGAAATTGCTACCAAAGTGGCGGTTAGAGGAGGCGGCCACAGCCCATTTGCAGGCAGCGCGAATATTGACAATGGCATCACAATTGACCTGCGAAATATTGATGCCGTTGAAGTGAACGAAAGTAAGGATATTGTCTCAGTTGGAGGGGGAGCTATCTGGGGTCAAGTATATGATAAACTCGATGCAATGGGGCTTTCTGTGGTTGGGGGCCATGTTTATGATGTAGGAGTTGGAGGATTCACTCTGGGAGGTAAGAATTGTCGTGCCTTTTATTCTACTGTACGATGCTCGTGTACTGATGCGAATCACAGGAGGGTTCTCTTCTTCTTCGCCAAGGTATGGCATGTGCTGCGATATGGTTGATAATTTCGAGGTGGTTCTTGCAGATGGTCAAATCATCAATGCCAATGCCAATGCAAATTCGGACCTCTGGACTGCACTGAAAGGAGGAAGCAACAACTTTGGAATTGTGACCCGGTTTGATATGAGAACCTTTCTGCAAGGCAAACAATGGGCTGGGCTCGTCGTATATCCAATCTCCACCTTGGATGAGAACTTCAAGGCACTCGAAAGTATGCAAAATGATTGGGATCCATATGCTTCGATGAAGTTGAGTATAACATTTTCATCTCAAACGAAGTTCACTATTGCATCAAACTTCGAATACACCAAAGAAGACAGCGCACCCGCTGTATTCAAACCTTTCATGGATATCAAGCCTCAATACAGAAACACCATGAAGATCTCGACCCTTGGCGAAACTGCCAGAGATATCCAGAAAATGCAAGTCAATGGGGTTCGACAGATGTTTGCTACTACATCCTTTCAATTTTCTGTTACTCATTTGCAGAACGTGTATGCTATCTTCAAAAGTGCAGCTATGTCTGTGGAGGATGTCAAAGGTATGCGTTGGACCTTGACATACTGGCGTCTCCATAGCTCAATTACCGACAAATCAACAGCATCTGGAGGCAATTCAACAGGTCTTGATACTTCGCAGGGTTCTCTTGTTCTATGCATATTGACCTACTCGTGGGAAGAAATATCTGACGATGCACGCATGGATGGAACGGCTAAAAGATTTATTGAGGAAGTTGACGAGTCCAGTAAGAGTGCGGGACTGTTCAATCGCTATAAGTATCTTAATTATTCGGCGGGCTATCAAGATCCAATCAGTGGATATAGCGATGAGATGAAGAGCAGCTTGCAAGCAGTAAGCAAGAAGTATGATCCCGAGGGGTTTTTCCAGACCGGTGTTCCAGGTGGCTTCAAGATATCACATCAGTGAAGGTTGGTAGAAATAGGACAGGCAGATCCTAGCGGCGACTTAAGAAAAAATATTATCTCGACTTTGACTAGCATAATGAATTTTGTTCCGAATTTCAATCGGTGTACCGTAGCTGTTTCTGCGATTTGAAGGTAATTTTTGCCGTTGCCAAGTTCCTGCATCTGCCGCCTCCGGCACGGAACAATGTCTTACCTGAAAAATGTCAACCTCTTTTGAAGCTGTTCTCTTACACCAAAGTTAAAATGAAAATCATAGTTCTGAGAAGGCATGCACAAAGTATCTTCATTGCATTGAAAACTTGTAATTCTTATTTAACTCTCCTGCATAGAAATATTTGACGAGAGGCTTTCAATTCAAACCACCCTTCAATCAATCTGGACATAGCCATAAAATGTGCCGCGAACCTTGCTATGCCTCGCAGCTCAAAAATATAAGCTTAGCTGATCAAAGATTATACTAGTCTCTCCTCAACATGACCTGGACGAGATGTGATGCGAACAAAGAAGTCTTTTTGCTGGAATACGCCATGACACCTGCTATCCCAAGGGCGGGTAGGATTCACGATTACAATGTCCCACCGTCGGAAGACCTCAGCAAAGAACTTGTGCATCATCATCATTGCCAAATTTATACCCAAACAGCGTGTGGTGCCCATATTAAAAAGTAGCTCATGCACTCGCTCCATCTGCCGAAGCTGCGGTTGTGGTGTCTCTAACCACCGCTCTGGTCTGAACATATCTGCGTCAGTCCCAAAGGTTGCTTCGTGTCTTAGTATCCCCGTTATGTTGACTCCGATGTCGACTCCGCCTGGAACATGTATTCCTCCAAGGATGTCACCCTCCGGTGGAGTTACCCGCTGCCGCAGTGCGGTGACTGGTGGGAAAAGTCTTAGACCTTCTTTGATGCAAGCGTGAAGATATGGGATGTTTCTCGCTGTTGCATATGATGTAACTTCTGATCGGGATTGATGTGTGTAAGTGGCGGAGATTTCCGAGATTAGACGCGTGTACACGGGTGGTGATGTAATGATGTGAAGAAGGATGCCTCGGATAGCTGTGGAAGTTGTGTCGGATCCCGCGAAACTGAGAACTGTTAACAACGCTCAACATAATTGAATGGGCATATGGCTTACAGTGCTATGACCATTTCGGTCTCGGCTTGAGAACGGTCCATTCCTCGATCTAGCCAGGCTGCTAGTAAGTCTTTGCGGGGCACGAAATTGGGTGTGTAACGAGCATCGATAGCAGCGCGAGCGAGCTTTATGACTTTAGTTGGAATCTTGAACACAAAGAAAAGCATTCAATGCAGTGTGGCTTACCCCAAGAATCTTTCCAACGCCAGATTTGTCTTTTGCTGATGGCAATACTCGATTGAGGAAGGGGACTTTGGAGATGAATCTGAGAATGCTACCAAACTCTGCCAAAACCCCGATCTGTTCCACTATTGGAAGTCTCTCTTCGAGGGTTTTCTGGAAGTCATAGCGGTCGCTGTGGTTCGCGATGAAGCCAAGCCCATGCCCGAAGCATAGCTGGCAGATGAGGTCAAAGTCGAGCCATTGGATGCTTCGCGCAATATCAAATGGTTTCATGGCTTGGGAAGTCGATATTGCCTTATGTTCTATGTATGCGATCCACTCTTTCATACTGTTGTCTATAGTAGCTTCCAGCCCCTCAATATCTTTGCCATCATACTATTCGAGATCGAATCAGTCATTTTACAAGAACGTTTTGGCAGGACATTCCTTACACCACTTGCCATCTGGTATCGCAGCACATTATGCTTGCTTCTATCACGCTCCGTGATCAAATTTGCACGATGGGGATCAATCCTCAGACAATCGAACCATGAACCTCGTTCATAATTCGAGCGAATCCCAAGGACTTTTCTCCAGGTATCTGGGTCGCTTGTTATAAGAAGATTGGGTCCAATTCTGGCGATTGAGCCTGTCACAATACTGATTGTCAGAAATCAACTCTGATACATGTCACTTATGAATGATGTCTTTTTTTCAAACTACTTCGAAAGTGGCAGTGCTTACCGTATTTCTTGTTTACTCCCTGAAACCATTCTGCGCTTTGCTCCGACCTCATAGCCTTCAGCAGCCATAGTCTACTATAAACTCCTAAGGGAGGGCCAGGAAACTGCCTCAAATGATAAAAACGGGAATAAAAGACCCAGATTGTAAAGAATAGTGAAGAACCAGCCAGGACTAGAAGTCCTAAAAGCCCCAAACTGGGTGCATTTGGCAACTCTATATTAAGGAGAGCCATAATTAGATCTTGCGTACGGTTGTATAGATTCTTTTGGGGAGCATTGCTTGGGTATATAACTCTATAGAAGCTCATTACAACACTATAATAACTATTGCAGTAGTAGATATAGCAATGGTATAATTCTTCCATTACTAGTAACTCTTAGGAAGCCGCGGCTCTTTGATGTTTACTTTCTTACCCGATTTCCCTCTCTCTTTCTAGCTACCTCTCCGAGTCTTTCTTTCAGTAATAGGAAGTATATTATTCTTCTGCTAAACATTAATCAGGAAACTACTCCGTGAAATTTTTAAAGATGTTTGTGCAAAATCAAAAGCATTAATAACTTTTTGAATCTTTAATTAAATCCTATAAAATTTTACACTATTATTTATTTATATATAATTTACAAGATGTACAAATTTCATATAATCTAATTGAATAATAAAGAAATAATAACATTAAATTTGATAAATTAAATTAAAATACTATAATTTTTTAATTTATTTTTAAATTTAATAACTTTATAATTTTTGATTTCAATCTTTAAAAACTCTTTGAAAAATAAAAATATTAATCCAAAACTAATATTTTAATTTTTATATAATATACATTTCAATAAATAAAATTCAGAGATTATAAAATTATTAAAGTTCAAAAATAAATTAAAAAATCTAATAAATTATTTTATTTAATTGATTATAATTTCTTTAATATTCTATAATCTTAATAAGATTCTTGAAAAAGATAATTTATAAACTTATTAATAAATATATAAAATTTATAAAATTTTATATAAGTTTGAAAAGATAATAATAATTGAATTTTATTTATATATTTTTAAAAATTTTATTAAGTATTTTTTAATGTGATTAATATTTTTTTATTAAAAATAAAAATTCATTTATGATTCATGAAGCTTTTATAAGTTTTTTTCAAGATAGGTAAAAAGTAATAAACTAATATATAAATTTTATTGTATTTATGATAGTGAATTATAAGCTAAGTAAAATCGGGCTTAGTGTAGTCTCTTTAATACTATGTGCACGCTCTTCAACTTCTCTTCCTTCTCCACTTTCAGCTGCACGGTAACTTTTACCCACCCGTCTTCTCTTTATATGATAGTTAGTTAGTTTGTTAGCAGTACGATTTACCGGAAGCTCTACTCATGGGTAGTGTGTCCTTCGGAAGCTAGAGCTTTTAATTCCTTCGGATTTTCAACTAAGCTAAGGTCTCTAATTCTTGATATATGCCACCCAAATACAATTATATTAATAAATCATGTGTTCTTGAAAGTGATGAGTGAGGAATAAATACCTATATTAGAACTAAAGTTTATATGTATAATAAGTCATAATATAAAAAAGAATCTATATACTAAAGTTTATAATTTATAATTCTGAGTCTTTGAATTATTTAAATTTGAAGTACCTATAAGGACTTTCTAACTTAAAATTAGTAACTATTTAGTTACAAACTAAAATGATTCTTTCTACAACTATTAAAAAAACTAATAGTAACATAGAGATATTGAAAAGATTCGCCTCTTGATGCTCGTGAAGCCCGTAAAGGTAGGTGTTATCCAGCCCAGCTACGTTGAATGGTATGCTTATCATGCGGTCAGCACTACATACATCACCTCGGATCTACCATCTTCAGAAATAAAGATACAGATGGATTCTTCATGAATTTCGAACTTGAGAAACCTGCTGAGAATACCACCATCTAGCATTTGGAAAACCTGCTTTCCAAGAAGTTGGTAACATTGAAGTGTTACATCGTCGGAAGCTTTGTCGTCCACGCCGTACACTGTACATGATCGAGTCATAATTTTCGTCAGGGGTCGTGTGGTTCGGGATCGAGCAACCACCTTATCGGTGGAATCTACAATATCAAAAAACACCGTCGTACTTACGCGCGAATGAGAAGCACAGAAGCAAAACCCCTCAATCAATCCGTTCATATTTCAATTTTTGTGAATCATTCAATACCTAGGTATATCGCTACAAGGCTGTGCATGTTGCCGGCATGAATGTGGATTGGGTCTCACAGGCCTCAAGGTGGTTGATACTTTCATGCAAGCGAGATTACCCTGTCTAGTAAGTCTTACCTCTCTAATTTCATATTTGCTTCATTAAAAACGGTAACCACTTGCCGTGGCTTGCTAAGCATCTGCCAAAAAGGTGTCCATGCTCGGACGACGATTCCTCCGTGCTTATTAAAGTCTTTCCGAGTTTCGTCAACGGGTTTAATATGTCTGTTTGCGGGGGTGGACACTAAACCCTTGTCTAGTAGTGGTACCCTACCAGGCTTGGCACATGAAAGTTCCTCTAAGAGCCTCGTTTACTAAATTGGTCGAGGCGTAGTTTTTCCCTCGAAGTTTAAGGTGTAGCCCGTGGAAAGATTTAGGACTACTGTCTCTTTTCTTGACTGACAGTTGTTCACATGTTCTTTGGCCACTTGGATCGATCATCTTTCGAATTCAAGTTATGTACATAGCAACGTTACTGAGTAGCTACTGGCAGCAGTACTGCCAGTCCCAGGTGCTAAGACTAATCTGCAAATTTGGCCTTGCATTGGTTTTGCTGCTGTTGATATGGCGACTTTGGACATTCAGCATTGTTCCAGTATTATTCCCAGAGAAGCCCAGACGTCTACCTTATTGGGTTCCCTATCTAGGTCATTCCCGTTTACCAAGTAGTCTCAATAGATGTTAATGCTAACCACAATTACTTATAGGTCATGCCGGTGCTTTCATGGACAATGCTGATGCTCTTTTCAACCGCGGCTAGTGAGTATTTCCTTCACCTGTATACTACACATCCAGCTGACTGGATGAAATAGCAACCATTTTCAGTCGAACGAACCGTTTGCGCTCACGGTCGGCGGGCGGACAATTGTTGTGACTCGAGGTCCGCAAGAGCTTTCTGAAGTATGGAAGAACTCAACCGCTCTCTCTTTCGACCCTTTTATAGTGGGAGTATTCAAATCTTTCGGTCAATCATCCAAGTTTATCGAAAGAGTTTTCAGCACTGATTTAGAAACCCTTGTTGGCTCTGATGCAAGGTCGAACTCTAAGCTTATCAACGAAAACCCTTCCGGCAAATGCTACGTTCATTTACAAAGCACTTGGCTGAAATCACAACTTCTTGGTAATGACGAGCTGACTCAACTTCATACCATATACCATTCCCATCTTAATGATATTCTGGAATGGAAAAGTCTTCCCAAGCAATTGGCGCTTTCACAAAACGAGAAACATACCACAATTTCATTGGCAAAATTTAGTAGATATATTGTCTCTCGTTGTGCCATGAAGACATTTTTGGGTGACAGGATATTCGAAATGGCGCCTTCCTTTGCACAGGATTATCAAAAGTATGAAGATGACAGCTGGAAGATCTTCTTTCAGTATCCACACTTTATGGCAAAGGATCTGCATATAGCCAAAGAACATGTAATAAAAGATCTCATCAAGTACTTTGCGCTGCCTCAGGAACAACGACCAGGAGTCGCGTGGATTTTTGAGACTATGTACAAAGAACTGAGAACTCTTGACTTAGATCCGCACGACATATCTGGCGTTATAATGCTTATCATCTGGGCGTAAGTCACTTAACTTGCCAATTTGAGGTCGGGTGAGCTAATTGCAATATAGAATTAATAACAACGCACACCACATGGCGTTCTGGATGTTGGCCCACATGCTATGTAATCCGAGCTTATTAGCTGAAGTTCGTAACGAAACCGATCGAACAGTATCTCCTGATGGCAGTATAGATATTGAGCTTCTTGTCAACGAATGCCCTACTCTCAACGCTGTGTGGCTCGAAGTACTCCGCATATACAACGCCGGCTCGGTTGCTCGTCAAGCTGAGCAAGACATTACTATTGGGCACAAATCGATTAGTCGTGGGGATACAATAATGAGTCCGTTTCGTCAACTGCACATGAATACTGATATATTTGGCGATGATGCACACGGGTTTAATCCATCTAGGTTTCTCAGGAACAAGAACTTGCATCGCAACAAAGGATATGTTCCGTTTGGAGGAGGGCATACTTACTGTCCCGGCCGCTTCTTTGCTCAGCGCGAGGTATTCATGTTCATTGCACTGAGCTTGTATAGGTTTGAATTTACTCTGGACCCTGAACAACTCGCGAAAGATGGCGGAGTGAAAGTTCCGGAGGTGAATCTCAAAATTCCATCCGCTGCTGCAATGGGCCCAGCGAGTGATCTTATTGTACGTATAGCACTCAGGCAGCCGGGCTCATGAACACCATGTAAATAATCAAAGGTTGCTTTTTCGAATCTAAGCCTAAAGCGTCACAGAAACGTATGAGCTCTAAATAAAATCGTTAGAATGTACATCCATTGCGGAGTAGAGGTCTAAAATCACAATCCGGTTCAGCCAGATATGCAGTTTTCTAGAAATTCGTGATATTGTAGATGCCCACAGTTATGGCCCGAAATAAAACTGCATACCAGCGAATCTTGAACATTTCAGGATGTTTCGATCGTCGATTTAAGTGCCGAAAAAGATAAGGAGCTGTCTTTACGAGCGAGCCCCCTGTACACTGCAGTAAACGCAACGTCAATACTACAAAAATGGCCAACTGCGCATGAAACAGAAATCAGCACACCAACATGCATTTTCGAGGCACAGGCATTAGAAATACTTAATGATAAATAGTACAGTAATTCCCCAGTACCTTTTTGATAGTACTCCACGAGTCGGATTCAAATTTCTTCTGAAATATTTATGTCCATTTGCAACTCCCAACTTTTAATACCAACATCCAATAATGGTCGCGCCAAAAGAACCCCAGTTAAATGACACACTTTTCATTCCAAAAAACGGCTCTACCAATGATACCACTGCTTTCCGAGCCGACAATGGTGCTCAAGAAAAGATAGAAGCAACCAAACATCGCAGCTGGCGCTTTTGGCTAGTTTATCTATGCCTCTGCTGGATATCTTTCCTATCCGCACTTGACGGTTCAATTATCACGACTGCATTGCCTACAATTACAGACAATATTGGAGGCAAAGATAAGTTCGTATGGATCGCAAACTGCTTTGTTCTTGCATCTACAGTCATTCAACCCTGTTGTGCTCAGCTTTCCAACATTTTTGGTCGCAGAATCCCAATGATTATCTCAGTAGCACTATTTGCTCTTGGAAGCGGTATTGCTGGCGGCTCGAATGGTGTTGCTATGATGATTGCGGGCCGTACTGTGCAAGGACTTGGATCAGGAGGCATATACCTTCTGGTCGACCTCATCACGTGTGATCTTGTCTCACCACGTGAAAGAGGAAAGTATTTGGGTATCATGCTTTCAGCTGCTGCTGTTGGTTCAATTCTTGGGCCTGTTTTCGGTGGCCTCCTCGCTGAGGCAAACTGGCGTTGGGTCTTCTACATAAATCTGCCCATTTCTGGTGTTGTTTTGGTGGTAATGACTTTGTTTTTACGACTGAAAAAGAAGGAAGAACCGTCGTGGAAGGCGGTGGTTGAAAATGTCGACTGGATTGGGAACATCATATTCATAGGGTCTATGTGCTCCCTTCTTATCGCATTGATTTCTGGTGGTGTAGTCTATTCTTGGTCTTCCTGGCGAGTTATAGTACCACTAGTTATTGGTGTCCTTGGCTGGGGCGGTTTTCATATCTACGAGATGAGCCGTTTCTGCAAGACCCCAGCAATGCCGCCGTCTCTTTTTGCCAAGAGAAACACTGCAATCGGATATTTCCTTGCATTTGATGCGGCTATGTTGCTGAGGTGGCTTGTCTTTTATCTTCCTATCTACTTCCAAGGTGTCCGCGGTACAACTCCCGGTACTTCGGGAGTTGATATTTTACCGTACAATGCTTTCATTATACCAGCATCGATGGTTGCTGGAGCTCTGATGTCAAAGTTGGGCATATACCGGGCCCTTCATGGAATAGGTTTTGCGCTTGTCGCACTTGGAAGTGGTCTCTTGACACTCCTTGACCAACATTCTTCCACGGCATTATGGGTCATCTTTGAGATGTTTATTGCAATCGGCGAGGGATTGCTGATCCCCACCATTCTCCCCGCAATACAGACATCTCTTCCAAGTTCAGAAATTGCATCAGCCACTGGTGCATACGCTTTTATCCGTAGTTTTGCTTTCGTTTGGGGGGTCACCATTCCCGCGATTATATTCAATGGTGAATTTGATCACTACAGTTCCTATATCAGCGATGAATCAGTGCGGAATGCTCTCAGTGGAGGAGCAGCTTATGGTAATGCAGCGGGAACATACAGAGAGTCTTTGCCAAGCGATGTACAGGCAGAAATTGTACATGTATACACTGCCGCATTGAATAAAGTCTGGCAAGTGGCGATTGCGTTCGCGTTGCTAGGCTTCATTTTGAGCTTTTGCCAAAGCCATATTGAGTTGAAAAGGGAAGTTAATTCCGATTTTGGATTAAAAGAGAAGGATGAAGGGGCAGGTACACTGGGCAACACAGAAGCCAATGCTGGCAAAGATGACAAGTAAAGTGTGGAATGGTTGTGGAAGTCAAAATTCCGGCCTAGCCATACAAAGTTGAGAGGCTATCTGTCCCACCTAGGCCGAACTCCCGAGTTGACAAGGACGGACTGTTTACCTTCCAACAATCAGTCACCTCTAGTGAGGTGGTAATCAAAGTTTCGGTAGAGGCTCTGCAATAGTGTTTTCTTTCTTGGTGCTGCATAGGCTGGACAATTCAACTATGACTGGACTTACTTCGAGGGCCAGTTGTCTATATATATTCTACTATTTTAGTTGTATGATTCTATAAATAATATCTTCTGATCATCATACACTTCGGTAGTTTGTGAATGCAATTATACACACTCTCTCGTGCGCACAAATGTTAACCAATAACCATGTTTATCTACTCAGAATTTGAGTTCAATTCACAGACGTGGTAATTCAAAAATCTAGACTTTTCGGAGGGCATATACATAGCCGTGAGGCGGCCGCTAGTGCGAGCACGTGAGTGCTCACGTAAGAATTAGATACCGACAGTTTCCTCTGTCACAGCGAACAATTTCTCGGAGAACATGCTTTTTATTAGATTATATTAATCAATTTTTTATTTCAACCCTTTTTCAAAAATCCTCAAAATAAATAATAGAAAAGAAAAGAAACAAAATTATGTTCATCATTTTCTTTCTTTTTATTTTTATTTTTATTTTTTTCTATCAATTTATTATTTTTTATTTTTTATACTTTATATTTATTCGAAATTTTATATATCACTTTATACTCAATTTATATTATATTAAATTTCCTTTTATCAATTAAAATAATATTAATTAAATCTTATAAATCTTATAAATACTTTGAAGTATATAATTATAATTTCCTTCAATTCAGTAAAATAATACTTATTTATTTTATTTAAGTTGGTGTATAGATGAATAGATAAATATATTTGAAGGGTAGAATAGAAAAAAGTTTGAGAGATAAATAGTTAGACAACTAAAGAGATTATTGAATGGGTATTAAGTAGAAAAAGAACGGATATATAATGATAAAGTGGAAATATATCCAGTGAGTGAATATACAGTTTTACTACAATTTCTATATTGTGTAATGAGAAAGTAAGTAAGTAAATAATCTTTTATTTTCGCATAACTTCTCCACTTTCCCCCTTATAGTTATACACTCAACTCCATGTCTTACATCTCCCTCATTCTATCCACGCTCTTCTTCTCTCCTCTCACCCTCCCATCCAACAAATCCAACCAAAAACCTAGTTAAAAACTACCGTCTTATGACCATTTAATAAAACCCTCCGTTCAGTAACCCATTTAACCGCCGTTGCCAAAACATTACTCTCCACATTACTTCCCTCAGCCGTCAATTCCTTAGGGCTAAGACCATGACCCACCCTCACAACATTCTGCTCAATAATTGGACCCTCATCCAAATCACTCGTGACAAAATGTGCTGTGGCCCCAACAATCTTAACACCCCTATCATAAGCCTGATGATATGGTTTTGCGCCCTTAAACGACGGAAGGAAAGAATGATGAATATTGATAATCTTCCCACTCATCGCCGTGCACAACGTTGGAGAAAGAACCTGCATGTAGCGAGCCAGAACGATCAAATCGATATTATTCTCCTTGACCAATTCCAAAATTTTAGATTCCTGCTCGGCTTTTGTGGCGGCAGTGACGGGGAGATGATGGAATGGAATCTTGTATGTGTTGGCCAGCGGTTCGAAATCCGGATGATTGGATACGATAAGAGGGACTTCAATACCCAATTGCGAGATACTTTGACGAAAGAGTAAATCATTAAGACAATGACCGATTTTGGACACCATGATTAAAACACGAGGTTTCTTGGCCAAAGAATCGAGTTGGAAATCCATACTCATGTCTTGAGCGATCGTCTCAAAAGCTCCCTTCAATTCCTCCACGTTCAATTTCTTAATCTCGGTTTCTGAAGAAGGAGAGACGGATGGTGCGAAATGCACTCGCATGAAGAAACGTAGACTGGTCGGATCACCAAATTGTTGCGAATCAACAATATTGAGATTATGCTTGGTGAGGAATCCCGTGACGGCGTGGACGATACCCGGACGATCAGGGCATGAAAGAGTTAGGATATATTCATCCTCCTTAACCATCTTGGCAGCTTTTGTTGATTCCTTTGCAAAAGAAAGATGTGATGAGCTAGCGAAGTTTCGAGTATTGAATAGGAATTGACGTCTAGAGGTAGAGGCCAGATGGTGTTGAAGGATGAAATTTTTCAAGGGCTCGGTTGTTCTAGAAAAAAGGGAGAAGGTCCTTGTTTGGGATGCGTGGAGGAATGTGAACTCGCGAGCGGAACGGGATATGTGAGCCGAGTAAATTGAACGAGCTATATGACCTGTGGTTGTAGATTTCAACAATAACGCCGTCTCAGGCAATTTGCTCGCCATTACAATTCTTAAACACTTCCGATGACTCTTTTTGGCCACCTTTGTGACTATGCCATTAGTGGGCCTTTGGAGGGCAGCGGGGAGTCATAGCGACACGTGATTCCTTTATCCGGCGATGATTCGGAGACTATTGGTTGTGTGTGGATAAAGCACGGTGTTTTTGTTTATTGTTCCAGACTTTGGGATTTTGATATTTCTGAGTAGTCAGTTGGCATTGGTATGAAACTTCTTGACTTATAGATTGCTTCTTGTAAGAGCTGGTCAATTGATGACAAGATGATCACTATGCAGATGATGTTCCCCTCAATGTTCCTTTCCCATAATAAGCTACCATAAGGTATATTCTTCGAAGAACCAATTGGGATTCCATACAGTCTAATGCATTGTCCTTTCTGTCTAATATATATATTCTATTCTGTTTATCTTAAGGATCATAATCATTACTCATTCCCGGTCATGTTACACCAAATTCAGAATCAATGCAACGTCTAATTGCCGCCTGGTATTCTCAACTTCCCTTCTGAAATCATATAATGTGCGCTTAACATCATCAGCGCCATCATTTTGCCGAATCGTATTAGACGAAGATGGTTACAGATATCTTTTACTCCGTCAAGGCTTTGGCAAGAGCGAATTCAATGATATGTATCCAATCTCCCAGAGTGAAGGCCTTACTACCACCTCTTGCTACCAAGATCCTAAGATTTAATGTCATCAAGCGCCCAATCCGTAACTTTTCACCCTACTCCAAAAGAAAGCCTTATCATTCCTCAATGTAAACTCTCCCCAATCATCCGTCAGTCGATTATAATTCCAGAAACCATTCCAAGTTAACTTGTTATTTTTGACCGTCTTTCCCGCGCTAGTCATCTTCAACTCCATCCTGTAAAAATATTTCTCATGTACCCCTTCGGTCTCCACGTATAGCGTACCTTCTGATCCGCCAGCTTTCGAAGAAGGTTCAATATCTGACTCTAATGAAGGAAATTCGTTGAGAGAGGACAGATGCCAGCGGCCGCGGCGAGCATCGGCCATCACTGAAGAAGGTAGATGGGAAGATTGGTTCCTCCTGTGGTATTCGAGAAGCTCTTTAGTCAAGTGGTGAACGACTTCGCTGGGTTCGGTGGTGGTTAAAAGAGAAATCAATGTTCCATCTCGATAGAAGCGAAGGTAGCGGTAGTAGGTCACAATGTGAACTGGGGAATTCCAAGCTATTGCTGAAGGAGACGCTTGGCCGGGTCGAATATAGTTCACGGTACTTATGTAGCAGCCATTGAAACGGATGCGCGGACGGAGACGAAACATCTGCCTCCAAGAAAAAGAATATGTTGATTGGAGCAGGGAGTGAGTTATGCTATCATTGCTAAGGGGTACGAATGGGGTGGATTCTTCATCTGTTGCTTGCGAAGGCAGGAGCAGTTGAGGCTCGATGTCAAGGGCCTCTCCTGTAACCTCTGTTTGCCATCGATAGTGCATTGCTCCAAACCCGAACTCGGAGCCAAAACATATTCGTTTCCATATTTGTTCTCCCGTGGCTACCAGGTAGGCCATGCGTTTGCACACTTGCGAGACTCGTGCAAGCTCTGCCACATCTCGAATTGCTACTTCCTTGAATATTTGTATAAGTATTTCATCTGGTAAATCTGCAATTGGACATGGAGGAGCGGGTGCTCCCTCAACCTCAGGTGGTGTAGGTTCAATTGATAGATTTGAGAAGCTTTCTAACAATTGCTTAATAGATAGTGGGGGCCCATCTAGTGAGTGGTGTGCGGTATTAGGTACTGTAGCAGAGGCATTGGATGGATTTGTATTTGTAGGTTTCGGAGGGAAGGCAGATGGTGGAAAATGTTTGTTCTTATACTTTCGATCAACTTGATCGTCAAGCTTATGATTGTCAGTAGGAATCTTGTGGATTTGTTCAGTTGTGACTAAACTCACTCGAAATGCTTTGCGATAGAGATCAAGGCTGTCTCCCAAACTACCTTGACCTTCCCTCTCTACCGCTTTTTCATAATGCTCCAAAGCTGACTGTGGCTCATCAGTGCCAGTCTTCTTACCATATAGGTCAATTCCATCATCCTCCACTGCTTCAGCGGCGCCACTTGGTCCATCAAAGTGCAAGGCTTGAGGTTCAACTACATTATTCTCTTCTGTGGGTTTGGCATTCCCATGGACATGCCCTGCTCGTGGAAGCTTTCGTGGAAAATTAGAAGGGCCCGCCACCTGAATAGCTGGAATTGGGAGCCTCTGGGCTGTGTTTGCCTTTTTGGTTACTTCTTCCTGCCATTGCTTGCGGAATGTTTCTAACTCGGGATTTGAATCATCCATAACGTATTTTGTATTGAAGTGATAGATGTTACGGTGTACTAGGTGAGAGCGATTAAGAGAAATATAATCTAGGGAATATATAACTTAGGGAATATTCATCGTATTATCCATATCAGAAGTAAATATTGATTTATGATTAGTCCTCGGCCTGACGCGACAACTTCATCGATCGCCGCTGACATAATTCTAATTCCTCTTATCGCCGCAAGGTCCGTTATCGCTCGGTTCCCTCTTCCCAAATTTTCTTTGATCGGGTGGTAGTGGAAGTTAAAGCTACTAGTTTTAACTTTTCGGATTCCATGGACGTAAGAAAATAGACTTAGTATTTTAATTTACATCATCATGATCAAAAGCACATTTCCCCTCTTTTTGGAAGATATACGAGCACGAATACAAACATAAACCTAAATGATCCAACGGCGTTAATGGTTTCTTTTTTTTCTATACATCCCACACATACCTTGTGTACCTAGCAAACACTCACAATTACTCGTCAATTCGACGTCATTCTACCTAGACAAAAACTTTTATGTCCGGCCTTTGGGACAAACGCCCTGCACCGGTGGGTGACCAAATCCCAACAACTTTTGAATCGGAGCATTTGGGGCATGATAGAATACACGGAGATGACCTGATACCTGGAGAATCAGCAACTGTAGCTATGACGGGAGACAATGAGGATATTGATATTGATATCACAGCATCTCAAAAGATGATCTCAGCAATGTCGGGAAGTCTATTAACATCACTATTAGGTACGTACGCCACCGAAATTTGAACCCCATGAACCATTTCAAGAGGACCTTCAGACATTCAACTCATACTAACACTTTTATTTGCAGTAACTCCTCTAGATGTTGTAAGAGTTCGTCTACAGTCACAACCATCTCAATCTCCCCTATCAGCGATTCAAAAAGCCGCTATGGCGTCCCCTCAGACTTTCAGCACACTGCCACCAAATCTAGGAATAACAGCATGTTGCCGGGAAGTTTTCTTCACAGGCAGCGCAACGAGCGACGGTTGTATGGCTGCGCCCAGAATTAGCGCAATGGAAGGCGTTGGATGTGCCGTGGAAGAAACAAAAAGAAAAACCTTCAATTCGACTTTCGACGGAATGCGAAAGATTGCGCGGAATGAAGGGATCACAACTTTGTGGCGAGGATTATCGCCTACTTTGGTTATGACGGTTCCTTCGAATATTATCTACTTTACCGGATACGATTGGCTACGATTTAACAACCAAAGTCCCATCAATCGAATGTTCCAAGACAATTACGCCCCTCTTGCCGCCGGAGCCTCTGCTAGGACCGTAGCTGCTGCAGTCGTCAGTCCAATCGAAATGTTTAGAACAAGAATGCAAGCTAGTCAAGCAGTTGGCGGAGCACATTTTTCGGAAACCGTGAAGAGCGTTGGTGAAATGGTTTCACTTCACGGATATACCTCTTTGTGGCGAGGATTAGCATTGACACTTTGGAGGGATGTTCCATTTTCTGGAATTTACTGGTGGGGTTATGAATCTGTTAGAGGGGCATTGACAGATGCACGAGAGCGGGGTCGAGGAAGAACATATGACAGGAACACTTCCAGAAGTCAAATGCGTACGAGATCCCAAAGTCGAGAAAATCACACAGCGACATTTCTCGATAGTTTTGTCGCTGGAGCGACATCTGGAGCTGTCGCTTCCATCTTGACTATGCCTTTCGATGTTGGAAAAACCCGAAGACAAATTTTTCAGGACCCAGGAAAAACACCTGTTGGAGTGGAGAGGGTCTTGGCTCCTGAAGAGCAATCTATGCCAAGATTTCTTATGCACATCTTCAAAGAAGAGGGTATTCGCGGCCTATGGAAAGGCTGGGTAGCGAGGACTCTGAAGGTTGCTCCAGCATGTGCAATTATGATCAGCTGTTACGAAGTAGGGAAGAGGGTATTCAGGAGTGTGAATGAGAAAGCGGAACGGAAGCGAAGATTCGAGTGATAGAACAAATCTCCCCTCTTCTTTCGTCGGTTTGGGCGCATAAAAGGAAACACGGAAATGTAATACTACCAGTACCAGGTGTTTAGAAGCACAGCGATTTTGAGCGGGTTTCTGGAATTTTGTATAATATTAGAGATCATAGAAAATAAGATCACTACGATAGCCTTAATATATTCAAAAGCTTGCAAAACAAAGCGAAGCAAGCAATTACATAACCTATCATGATTCTAGTGATTTGGTGAAGACTGCATGTGTCAACGTCCTGACCTGACTGCTACTCTATCTAGCTATGGAGTAGTAAACAAACAGGCTTTTCGTTTGGCTGAGAGAGCGCTGGTCTCGCGTACCCCGGTAAAGTAACTTCACGCGTCGAAGGCTCTGGACGCGAAGCATCATCATAGAAATGGGATTGGATACCCAATAGACCACAACATTCAGATTAACATAGAGTTCACTCTCTGCTCATGATATTTCATAGAACAATACCTTCGGTGAAAGTATCTTTATTAGTCCTCTTTCCCAATCGTTCATTTACTCCAGTACCTATCATGTCTCTCAAACGCAAAGCCACCACAAATCCTACAAATGATGCGAAAAAGCCTAAAGCAAACGGATCAATTACCTCATTCTTTGGTCCACCCAAGACCGTTTCTTCGACTACTAAAGTCACTGGTACCTCGACGGATACTATTGCGTCAGCTCCAGCAACATTCAAATTTAATAAGGAGAAATGGGTAGCTACATTGACAGAAGAACAGAAAGATCTGTTGAAATTGGAGATTGAGACACTTCATGAGAGCTGGCTGGCAGTGTTAAAAGATGAGATTATAGGAAAAGAATTTCTGGAATTGAAGAAGTTTTTGAAGAAGGAATTAGAAGGCAAAGATAAGATATTTCCTCCCATGGAGGATGTTTATTCTTGGTATTTACATCTGTTCCTTTATGCAATCTTTATCTCTGCATCATTTACATATTTCTATTGAACCTGGATGACAGGTAACTAATCATAGCGAATAAATAGGTCAAGGCATACACCTTTCAACACCGTCAAAGCCGTAATCATCGGCCAAGATCCATATCATAACTTCAACCAAGCTCATGGTCTCTGTTTCTCCGTCCGCGCTCCTACACCGGCTCCGCCGTCCCTCAAAAATATCTTCAAGGCTCTCGCAAAAGACTATCCAGACTTCAAACCCCCTCCGAATAACGGTGGTCTCCTCACCCCATGGGCAGACCGTGGTATTCTTCTCTTAAATACCTGTCTTACTGTTCGAGCCCACCAAGCCAATTCCCACGCAAACCATGGCTGGGAGAAATTTACCCAGAAAGTCATAGATACAGTTGCTCTGAAAAGAACAAAAGGAGTGGTGTTTTTAGCATGGGGAAGTCCTGCAGGGAAAAGAGTCGCAAAGGTGGATAAAAATAAACATTGTGTTTTATTGAGTGTACATCCTAGTCCGTTGAGCGCGAGCAGAGGATTCTTTGAATGCCAACATTTCAAGAAGACGAATCAATGGCTAAAAGAGAGGCATGGAGAGGATGCAGAGATTGATTGGAGTTTAGATATACCTGCTGTGGAAGCCGGTGTTTAGAATGCTGTAAGCTTTTGTGCGAGACGATGATTCGGTGGGTAATCTGGTTCTCGGTTGGTGTAGAAAAAGCTCTTGTTTCCAAAGGATCATTGTTCAAAAGAGAGTTGGGAATCATGAATTGGGTACTGAAAAATTAGGGGCCTATAATAACGGAGTCTCCTTGGTTATGTGGGTTCAATTCGTCTTTTAATGATAAAGGCCTTTGTTCAAACAGGTTCAAATATTGAGAAAATCGGAATAACTGGTCCATCTCAATGTCAAGCAACTAAAGGTCGTACATATTATGCTGTATTATAGAGAATGTTACGATCATCTGCCTTTAACCCCATGAGGGACTTGCAACGGCTTCCCGTTTGTGGCACATCGTCGTGCAAAATCCGTTGGTACCCATTTTGCTTCGGTATTTTGAGTCCTATCAAAGTATTCTCCTATCTACTCGTGTTGGCTTGTTGCCAGCTATGAGATGCGCTTATTCTTGAGCTGGGTTCGTACAGCATGAAACATTTCGTCTCCCAATCCATCCTACTCATGGAAGTATTTACTGGTGTCTCCTTATTTCCCAGACTTTACTACCTCCCCTGTTTTCCACCTTTAAACGACAACGGACGTTTCAACATCCAAAAGCATGGTACAATTCGACGATATAGCCTTTAATATTGCAGCTTTCATCAGTGGACTCTTTGTCCTTGAATTCGGCGCTGACAAGTTCATTGATAATGCCGCCAAAGTGGCAGCTCGATTGAATATATCACCAACATTGATTGCCTTGCTTACATCAGGGGCGGAATGGGAAGAAGTATGCCAAAATATCTATTCGATGATAGTATGAGAATACTGACATGGATAGCTCATCGTGGTTATAGCCGCCATCTCACAGCATCAGTCTTCACTCGGGTTTGGCAACATCGTCGGATCATCCATCTCAAATATCCTAGGTGCTTTTTCCCTCGGTCTCATCTTCTCTCCTAGCCCTAATACTTTCGATAAGAGTTCAAGGATTTATACCACTATTCTTCTTGTCATTACTACACTCTTTTCGGTATTTGTCCTTTCCTTCGAATCTATGGGGAAAGTAGTAGGAGCGATGCTTATCGCTGCTTTTGGTATATATGTTGCCTCCATAGCACATACAATATATAAAGGCATTATGGCAGAGCCGGAGATTGACTCGGATAGTGATAGTGACACTTCTTCCGATGAGGGAGATTTTAATGAGACTCCTTCTGAAAAGTCACGTTCTTCCATACGCTCAGGTAGCACTAGATTGCAAACCATGTCACAGAATCACGATGATTATGAAAATCTTCCACGGCGAGAACTTTCTGGCGAGGAAAACAACGAGGAAATCAGCCTGGAAAATAATCATAAAAGTCAACGGAGAATACCCCGTTCGACTCTGTACCATAGCGTTCACCTCATATTAGGTCTTCTTGCTCTTTCCCTCTCCGGATACATTCTATCTCATAGTCTTACGTCTCTCGCAACGTCACTTTCCCTATCTACTAATGTTCTTGGCACCACCCTTCTTTCCATCGCGACGACTCTTCCAGAAAAGCTTGTCGCCATACTCTCCGGGAAGAGAGGGCAAGGGGGAATCATCGTAGCGAACACAACCGGTTCAAACATCTTTCTATTAACACTTTGTGCAGGCGTTTTGTTTCTTGCTGGTGATTTAGAGGCTTTGAAAGAGAGCGTGGGGATTTTTGAAGTGGCTTGTATGTGGGGTTCTAGTTTAATACTTTGCGGAGTTGTATTCGTGGGGGGTCGAAGATGGATGGGTTGGGGATTGGCGGGCTTATATTTGGCGTTTTTGGTGGGCGAGTTCTTGATGGTTCGGATATGATATTCATTTATACGAAATCAACGCTATAACATCTGCTGTTGGGCGAAGACAACTGTAGGCAGGCCTAAATGCTATTTTGATAACAAATGATAGAATTTTCGGCACGAGATGGATAGACGGGTGGGAGTGGAAGTCTACTTCTGCCTGAAGAAACGGCACAATGTTTACATATTTCTTCGCCTTAGTCACATTACAAGGAAGCCATATGCCCAAAGTTTCACTGCATAAAATTCATCCAGTGATGGATGTCAATCACATGTCCACGCATTCAAAGGGGAGCAAAAGAAAAGGGGGAGGGCGGCTCGCAACGGCAGAATGTGTAATTGAGCTGAAGGAATTGGCAACATTGTCCTACCACACATCACAGTGGTGAATTTATCCAGTGATCAGATAATTCAAATCGCAAATGTCTTGGCCAAGTGAAGCCTTTGGAATGACAGACGTGGGTACCATTAAAATTTTCTGGTAATTTGATATCAAAATGGACAGATATGCAATATGATTCCTCTGCTCTTCGAGGATATAAGTAATTCCCCTCCTCTCAAGTAGTTCTCAAAGAATCAAGCATGGATCAACCCACGATTTGTATTTCCTTAGCCAAACCTACAAACTGCAGTCTCAACTCAACACATTCCCTTGAGAAGAAATCTAGTATCATCGTTGTGGTCGGTAATGAACCTCAAGGTTCTTCCTCAAGTTCAAGTTCCTCCCAAACGTATCTCCCTCTACGATATGCAAGACAAGTAGCAGGACTACTATGGAAGTTTGCCAAGTTCACTGGCCCCGGCGCTATCATCAGCGTGGCATATATCGATCCCGATAACTACCAGTCGGATCTAACAGCAGGTGCAAAATTCGAGTATAAATTGCTTTGTGCAGTGGTATTTTCTAATCTTGCAGCTATTTTCTTACAGGTGAGTTCTGTTCCATAGATATAAAGTCCGACAGGAGATTCTCTAATGGAAACCCAGGCACTCTCTACGAAGCTAGGATGCGTAACTGGTATGGACTTGGCTCAGATGAACCGAGCTCATCTGCATCCTTGGTTGAATATTGCTTTGTGGATTCTCGCAGAGTGTGCAATTATATGTACTGATATTGGACAAGTAATTACTCTCTCATTCTATTCTCATCGAGTCAGACACACAGAAAATCTTACTTCTAGTTTAGGTGATCGGTACAGCTATTGCCCTCAATTTACTCAATCCTAAGATCACGCTAATAGCCGGATGTGTGATATCGGTTTCAGATACTCTTTTCATATTGTTATTTTATAAACCAGATGGCTCGATAAGACGTCTAAGAATTTTTGAAATGTTCATCTCGGTATTTGTCGTGGCTATTTTTGTTATGTTCTGTATAGAGCTTTCTTTTATTACGGCTCCCGCGAATCAAGTCTTCAAGGGTCTTCTTCCCTCTAAAACAATATTCGTGGGTCAAGGGTAAGCACTTCTACTCCATTCTTCATCCAATACTAATCTGATACCATGAGACTCTTCCAATCTTGCGCCATTTTAGGTGGGAATATCATGCCTCATACAATCTATCTTGGCTCGGGTCTCGTCCAAGCCCGAATGCGTGAATTCGACCACAAAAATGAAAAATACCACGAAGCCCGTACATCCAACTCCAAATCCGCAACCATGCTCTACCGACCCACCCTCTCTGCCATCAAATCCTGCATGTCCTCCACCATAGCCGAACTATGCATAACCCTCTTCATCGTAGCCAATTTCGTCAATTCCGCCATCCTCATCGTCGCTGCTGCAAGCCTCTCTGAAGAAAATCAAAATGCCGACTTACCAGGTATGTATCAACTTTTCGTAGACACGATTGGACAGGCTGCAGGAACGATTTTTGCAGTGGGATTACTGTTCTCGGGTATAAGTGCGGGGATTGTAGCGACGATGGCGGGTCAACTTATTTGTGAGGGTGCGATGGATTGGCGGTTATCGCCGTTTGTGAGGAGATTGGTCACGAGGTGTATTTCGATTGTTCCGGCTGTGGTTATTGCGGCCGCGGCGGGACAGAGGGGTTTGGCGAAAGCGTTGGTGGTCGGGAATGTGGTGTTGTCTGTTTCGTTGATTTTTGTGACGGCGCCGTTGGTTTGGTACACGAGTGCCGAGAGGTTTATGAGGGTCGGGGTGGAAGATGGGGATGGAGTTGCGGGGATGGGATCAGGCATTGTGGGGGCTAGACTCAGGGATGCGGATGCTAGGGAGGATGGAAGAGGTGACGGTGGTGCAACAGTTAGTTTGGCTAATGGGTGGGCGGTCACCAGCATGGGTTGGTTGCTCTGGTTTGTGGTTGCTGGGATGAATGTTGCGCTTTTGACGTTTTTGGGGTTGGGGATTGGAGGAGATGATTAGATGGTAGAGGAAGTACAGAGTGCTGCGGTTAAGACGGTTAGACAGAGGGAAGGTCTTGGAGTTGAAAGGCGCAAGGGTCAAGATGAGAAGGAAGAAAATTATATGCAAGGAGGTGAGGAATATATTGCAGTGGCCGGTCAATGCATACAAGTGTTGACCAAATTTTTTTTGATTAATCTGACACGTGAAGGATAATCTGCCCAACAGACATCACAATTTCTCAAACTCCGTCGACCCTTCATAAGGCTGCAAATAATTATCCTCCAACCACTCCAGCTCACCCTCCACAACCCCAAAATTGAACGCAACACGACTCTTAGTACTTTTATTCGCCTCACTCGTATGCATCAAATTCCCATGCATCAAAATCAAAGTCCCAGCCTCCACCTCCAACTTCTCATAAACAAATTCCCCGTTCTCATTCCTCCTCGGCAAACTCGCATCCCGCACCCCCTCAATCTCCGCATAGACGGGACGATCCAAATCCACAAATTCCGGCTTTCCATCCACATTCCTACAACGTCGTGTAATGGGCTGTACACGATGACTCCCGGGGGCTACAGCCAAACAACCATTTTCTACAGAGCAATCTTCTAGCGCGTACCAGAATGTCGTGCATGAAGAGGGGTTTGTGAATCCTGAACAGCCATCTTGATGAGGTACGACGCGTGCTCCTATTTCCCCGGCTTTGACGATAATAAGACTTTGAATAATGCGGGGATCTTTGTACCCGAGGGATTTGGCGAGCGTGGAGTGAAAGGGACTGAGTATTGCTTTGCGGAAGGGAGGCATGACGCGGTGGATACCGCAGCCGATGCGCTGGATGCGTTTTAGGGGTTCGACGGCTGGGTTGAATGCATCTTGTTTGGGGTGTTAGTGTGGTGATGAATTAGGGAATTAGAGAGGGTGCAAAGAAACCAATACTTACAGTCGCTTAGAGTGGCTATAGCTCGACCGCATGGATGCACGTATGATTTTTGTCCTGGGAGATACGAATGTTTCTCTACTCGTTCGCCACCGCCCGCAAGGGCTTCAGCTGATTCATGCACAGTTTTGAGTAAGAGGTCTTTTTGCTCGCTCGGTAATGCGTTTGGAATGACGAGATACCCGTTTTCTTTCCAGAATTGTAATTGCTCGTCGCTTAAATTACCATTTTTTGACTCATCGACGGTCAAGTTTGCCCCAGACTGCATTATGGAGCCAATGATTGGAGCTCCATTTGATGATTTTGGAGTGCTTTTTTCAAAGGTATTTTTTGTAGATATGGCTACGGGGATTGATTGCCCTTGAAGTAAGGCTTTTATTTGGGCTGCTTGCGCTTGGGAATTTAATTTCAAAATTACGGGGATCCCGTTGGTGATGGCGTTTCCAGGAGAATTTAATTCTAGTATTTGTGTTTTCATCTCCAAGACATCTGGGATTGCTTCGGTGATTGCATCGGTGGAGTGTAATTCTAGTAGTTGTGTTTTCATCTCTAGCATATCGGGAATGGCTTCGGTGATTGCGTCGGGAGAATGTAATTCCAGTAATTGAGTTTTCATCTCCAAGACATCGGGAATAGCCTCTGTAATAGCATGTTCCGAGTGCTGACTTTCGTAAAGAGATACTAAGTGGTCATCTCCTTTGTCAAAGGATCCCGAGACGCCGTTCATATTATCAGCGTACTTCAGCTCGAGAGCGATACTTGTAGGATTCAAGGTGTCAGAAACAGGATCCCCTTTTTCTCCTGAGTTTTTCGCGTGCTTGTGGTTGTTGTTATGGTTGGTAAGCATCAATGCGAAAAGGAGTGGTCCATCCTCGCCATCGACCGACTGATTATCAATTTTCTCAATATCATCCTCCCTAGGGGGCTTTAGCTCAAGAGAAATATTCCTAGGATCCAAGGTGTCAGAAACAGGATCTCCTATAATATTCTTGTTGTTATTGTTGTTCTGATTGTTGAGTAGCAATGCGAAGAGAAGTGGTCCATCCTCGCCGCGGAGAGACGATGAATCAATACCTATTGCTTCATCAGCATCACTTTCAGCCGATGCCGGCCCAAGGGAGAAATTCCCAGTATCCAAGGTATCAGGGATGGCTTTATCAGTAGCCGCGGATTTGTTGTTTTGGCCAAGCATCAACGCGGGAAGGAGGGGTCCATCTGCGGATGACCGTTCGGGTGAGGTATTTGCCATGAAGACTGACATGATTGTTGGAAGAAGCAAAGGTAGAACCCAACAAATAAGTTTCAGCTTTTCATCGACTTCTAAATGTTGCGAAATGGTGTGCGTTTACATACTGGGCTTCAACCCACTTCTCTTCTCTTCCCCACAGCAGCAACATCCACTATCGCATGGATGAATACCCTGAACCCCACTTCAACCTGCAGCTCACTTAGGCTACGGGAAAAGTAACGAATAGAGAAAAGATGATGCATATCACATTTTGGCCACAATCTTGGGAAAAGACACTTGGTAAGCCGATCGAATACATCTGCCAGTCGATATTTACTCTCATCCAATCGACATACAATGTTTGACATAAAAAGAGCTTCGACCCACTCAAGCCCACTGCTCAGCGGCTTTTTTCGTTCATGATTATGAGAACAGATAAGGATAAATTGAGAAGGTGGTGCATAAATTTAGAGAATACTGTTTCATCAACCTGGAAAGGCTTCGCTTGTCCGCCCCATCGGATTCTCGCCTAACCGCCATCAGCCATTGACCAATAAGCAGTGATTAGGTCGAGTGAAGAATGAAAAAAAAAACAAGGAATGGTGGGATACGAATAACGATCTTTAGATTCAAAAGGAAGATTCATAGGCCGGAAATTTGTTGCATTCGCAGCATTTAATACCACTCCTTTGCCACACTCACTTAATGAGGCTCGAAATTGTATTTCTGCTTTCAGCGACCTCTAGCTACCTATTTGATTCGACTCAAATACGTTTGTAATTTCTACCTAGCTCTTCTATTTTCAAAAAGGTATTCAAAACTTTTCGACAGCCTTCTCAACATTGTTTATTTGAAAGTGATCAAAATGGCGCCTCATCATGGCCACCCCCTGCACGTACAGCACAAAAAGCATGGCGACCATGACCACATCATGAAACGACTAGATGGCTACATCAAAGCCTACAGAAAAGGAGACACAGAAGCCATAATGAAATACTACCACCCAGACAACTTTGTCTACTCTGACTTCAGTCCGTCTTTATCCCAATCACCCATTTCCTTTCCGGGCAATCGCAATCCCGATCCCCAAGATCCACTAACACCCTCTAGGCACATCGGATCGCCACCTAATGGGACTTTCAGAAGTCGCCTCCCATTACTCAAACACCTTCAGCAATTTTCACGATCTTACTATCACTACCCTTTCCGTACACGGACACAAGGATTTCACGGCGTGGGAATGGGAAATCACGTGCAAACCGGCTGTTTCTCCTGAGACAGGAGAGCGATTAGAGAAGGAACAGGCGGATTTGAAGAAATTGGTGGGTTGCACGTTGATGTGGTGGGAGGATGATAAGATTGTGAGGAATCATGATTATGTGCAGGTGAAAGATGTTTAGGATGTTTTTTTGGCTAGAGGAGAAGGGTACCGGGGGGGAGCCGATTGAACTAAGACTAGAAGTGTTTTTGTCGTCGGAGGTGGTCAACGAACATTTCTCTTTGACAGGTTTTGAAGGTCAGTTGATCGTGCGTCTAACAAAAATGACATGTAATTTGGTCATGTTTATTAGTTGTCGAGATTTCGACGGAGAAAGCTTGGGGTGCGCGGAAGTCTTCCTAGGATTGGCGAAACTTGGCACTACTTTATCCTGTATTTATTTCCGTATTCTTAAATCCTGATAGCATAAGTCAGAGGTCGGATAAAATAACAACTCCATCGTTTGTACTAAATGCAACGCAAAAACGACAAAAACTGGAAAGACTCAAAGATGCTCGCAAAAATCAGTCATGTGAATGTCTGTGTGTAAAATTTATACATGAATCTCAGCAACGCTATCAAGAGCTATGTAGATATATATAGAACGAAGCAGTTCCTTCCCCTATCTCATTTTTTTTTTCAGAATGCTGTAAATTTTTACAGTATTCTATTCATCAAGTTCATAGCCAAATGGGCAGGTATCATCATCATCATCACCACCACTACCACCGCCAGCAACAGCACTAGCAGCCGCCAAGGAAGCAGTTGTTGTAGCCCCCGAGAGTGTCGAACCCGGAGAAGTACTGTTGCGACCAGATGGATACGAAGCAGTAGTGATGTTACTAGAAGAAATAGTCTTTCCACTTAACGCCAGGATCTTCTGCGCAGCGTGCTCAGCAGCAACCATAACAATAGCTTGAGTATTACCAGTGGGCAAATCAGGATGGATAGAGGCATCCACAACGAAAAGGTTATCTGTTCCCCAAACTTTAGTATCGGTATCAACGACGGAAGATCCATCATTGGTTTCGCCCATAATAGTAGTACCGGTAAAGTGAGCACCAGTAACGTAAGTCCCAGCAGAGACCAAAGAAGTACCAGTAATACTGCTATCAGTGGGTTCAAGAATAGTACTGTTCTTAGCGGCGTTGAGGAAGTAGTCGATCATGGTTACCATGGCGGATCGATCGTCAGCGGTGTTCATCCATGGGTTAGTTGTGAATTCTGTAGCGCCGGCGCTGGTGACTCCGAGAACGCCGGTAGATGTCAAGCCATGGGTAAGGTAGAGCTTGATGCGGACTTGACCTTCAGCGGGGGAGTTACAGGTTCCTTGGAAGTATTTGATGCCGTTAGTGGTATTGAGGGATGTCCAGAAGATTAATCTTTGACCCGATTGAACAAGTGGGCCACTTTGTTGGGTGAAGAGATCAACGTCGGTGGTGCTTGGAGAAGTGAAAGCAGTCGCCATCATGGAGGTGGAGTTACTAGCCATGGAACCGGTGGTGTTAAAGGTAAGGGTAAAGATTGGATGGTCCTTGAGGTTCTTTCCAACCGGAAGTTTGATCCATTCAGATTCAGCTGGCAGGGTAATACAGGTGCTTCCATTTTTAACGGTGTTGACCTGATCAGTTGGACCAATACCACTGTTAATCAAGATACGGGGGCTAGACATGGCTCCACTAGCGAGGATGAGTTTACCACCTGCATTGAGGTTAATGATGTGACGGACACCAGTGTTGGAGTTCTCAACTTCAACACCAGAGAAGGTGGTGCTGGTGCTGTTGGTAGTGCTTCGGATACCTCTAACAACCATGGTATTGAACTGGGCCTTGAAGTTGGTCATAGCAGTAGCAAGAGGGTAGTAAGACTTGACTGGGCCAGCACGGAGACCATCTTGGATATCCCATGGTGGATGAGAGTAAACTTGAGTCTTCTCGTTTGGTGATTTGATAGCATCAACTTCGGACCATCCAAGACCACCCAAGAATGAAGACAGAACGTTCCATGCGCTTTGATCGTATCGTTGAGAGTTCGCAGTAGGGTTGGTAGTACCAGGATTACGCTCGTAAAGTCTATTGGCGGATGCACCGACATCGGTCCATTTCCATCCGGTTGGCCATTTGTCATCGAAATCAGCTTTTTGTGGGCGGACAAACATCAGTGCATTTACCATAGTTCCACCTCCAAGAAGACATCCAGCCATTGAAGCAGTGTCCGGGCAGTATTCATCACTGACAGAAGCGGTTGTGAGATAGTACGCCATGGAAGGAACATCATATTGGGTAACAGTGTCGTTCCATGGGACAGTGGCTCTACCACCAGTAGCATAAGTGGAAACATTTCCTCTTTCCAACATCAAGACAGATGCACCGCTCTCTGCGAGACGCTCTGCAACGATGATACCCGCTGGGCCGGCACCTGCAATGATATAGTCGTAGGTTGAGTTAGAAGTGGGCACGGCATTCTTTGAGCAACTTCTGGTGGTGTTAGATGCGGTCGTGTTGCTGGCTGTGACAGTGCTAGCCATAGCAGCCCATGTGGCGTAGTTACTGTTTACAGCACTGGCGGTTTCGATACCGAAATCACCAAATCCAGTACCGTGGTAGGTGAAAGTCGCATCAGTAGCAGATGCAGCATTTGTAACGGTGCCATTACCAAGAGCCCATCCAACGATGACTTGGCTAGCACCAGCAGCCATGGTATAAGTGTTTCCAATGCAAGCCTGGCAAAGGAAAGTGTATGACATATGAGTTGAGTTGACAAAGGTACCATTCGCAATTGGCAATAACTGTGCCGTGTTGTTTGCGTAGGCACCTGGGGAAGTATATCCACTAGTCTCGCGCAACGATGCGATAACATCAGTTCCACTAGGCCAGGCGACAATCAACATACTGCCAACCATACTACCAGTTAATGAAACACCTCCATAGCCTGAGCCAGCTGTGCTTGGAAAGACCTAATTGCTTTTAGTTCCCTGTGCAGTGATCATGGAATGAATTTATCCTTACAATTTGACCGATGAAGTCAGATGTGGCATTGGCCTCCATGGCCATACCAAACTTGAATCCAGTGGTGTCCGTAGCACCTTGGAATGTGATACCAGTGTTGGAATCCACATACGAAGTAGCTGTCTGAGCAAGAGCTCTGGCGGTAAAACCGAGGGTTAGTAAAGAAGTGCGCATTTTGAGATTTTGGATGTGTTCCTTGTGGTGGTTATATTTGAATGAATGTGATATGATATTGTACTTTCGAAAAATGGTCACCAGACCTGAAAATGAGAGTTTGAGAAAAGAATTATTTCGAAAAAGAATGTATACCGTCAAGGTAACAGATCAAAAGAGTGCACAAGAGAAGGAACGGAGAAGAAAGAAAGAAAAATTTCCTGCTTTTACAGAATGCAGATTCGACTGTTGCGCAGATTGAAGCCTTTTGTACTTCAAAAAGCTCGAATAACTCTCATTCTTGTTGAATCCATCAGCATCATAATGAACCCGCCATCAATGGCTTAAAAAGGCTTCATTCGTCAACTTCATCTATTTGAATCTGAACTGATGCGCACCGTCCTAGCGAATTATGGTAACACATTACATGCTGGATTGAGATCCCTAATCGCTCTCTTCCGTTTGTTTCGTTTTCGTCGTCTATCTACTTGTTAACATTTAGGACTGGTTCAAAATAGGAAAAGTACACCATGCCTTTGTCATCAGACGAATTTATATTGAGGGGTAAATTGGATAAACGTCATCTAGACAACTTTGATAGGAAAACCCTTGTTCCTACGTTTCAAAACCTTTCTTTCGCTTATTCTGTTGTTTCAGAGGTCTTCTTTTCCTGGTTAAGGGGAACCGGAGCTTTGTGACCCACACGGATTCCATATTTGGCCTATATTTCAAACATCCATCTGAAAAGACAGCAAACCTATCCCGGGATGAAGTTCCTGCAAGTAAAAACTTGGCTTGTATGGTGGTTTCACAACAACAAAAAAAGAACATATTTATAGAAATTCCACCTCAATTGAGCAAACCAAGCAACGAAATCATACAAGCACATTTTTCGTCATCGTAATTCATGCACAATGGATTGGATTTCCCTTGTGACACTTTAGACAAATCAAGCATCTAACCAGATTGATGATATGATCGGTCCTATTTAGTAATTGAAGGGAAAGAACGAAAAGACATTTCTTATCATAAGGATTTGATTGTTGGTGGATGTGGTAAAACGTTCTTCCATCCATGGGCCATATGTGGATATTGTAGAGCGCGTTTCCATCTCAACTTTCAAAAGGATCTGGACCACTGCGGGAACCCGTAACTTTTGACAGGGACTTCAATTGACAGGATGGAATTTGCAAGGTTCAGGATAATCGGAAAGTTGCTCATCTATCCGTGGATAAATATTTCTTTGGTCTGCCTTGCCAAAATGGGAGATATTGTAAAACCCCGCTCCCTTCGGACAGGATGCAAGCTATCTATCTAGAAAAAGCGTGGCGTCAAATGTGCAGAGAAGATTTCAATTTCATGTCTTGAGATGGCCAAGATACCATGATCTTTTAATCTAGAGGTAGAGAATGTTCAATGACGAGAGAAGAGCTATGAATCAGAAATCATTCCACAAAATACAGATCCAGTCTATTATTGTAGGATTACTCGAGTATCGATGGATCTTCTTCCTTTGACTCTACTTGCAGGTATTGCTCGGACGATGCCACTTCGATGTCTAATTTGAGCGTTGAAGCATTGAAATCGCCGTCCGTTAGTTACTGTTGTTAGTATGTTTGCCTCGGTGTCGCGCCTATCTCATGTTTCTCCGATCAAATGAGTATTGTTTAGTACAGACGGGGAGGTTTATCACACATTTTCCTTCAGAGGAGCGAATTTGCTGGTGTTGGCTAGGATGGGGATAAAATCAATGTTTGGAACTGATCTATCTCGGAATAATGTGGCTGCTAACTATGCTTAGCGCCACATCGTGGCTTTGATTCACTATCACATGACCCCAAACTCCATGACAACTTTCAAATCAACTTGCAATGGGTAGTCTCGAAAGGATTTATAGGTTCAATTAAAATATTTGAATATACAGCGTGCTCACTCCTGTTGATGCGGCACTTTCTAAGGGAATTTTTAGCACAGTTTTATATCTTTCTTCTCTGTCTACCCGGATGTCGGTCTACATAGTATCAATCTTTCATGGAGATGAAAGCAACATCACTATTAATCACCTACCATAATGTATGGCTTACATTTGCATCGCCAAATCCGCGTAGCCCGAAAACATATGGTGAAGAGCTCGTGATGCTTAGCTGTCCCAGGTTATTTAGCTTTCGACAGAACTACAAATATCCTGTCTAGTCTACGCCGTTTAACATGGTACTCTCAAATGTCAATTGGCATATTGAAAGCACATTGCTCGGAAGCCTTACATAGCACGACTAGCGTGATTCACGTAAGACAGATTGAATATCCGCGCGTATGTTTGCGTAGGCCCGTATTTGACATAATCGCATCAAGCACCATCAGCCCGTCAATCATCAATACATATGGATAAAGTCAGCGTAGAGGGGATGTTATTATGCTGAAGCTCAACCACTATGCTATGACACCATTCTATCTCTGCAGGCTTTAACTGGGACACCGAGTGGTCTTCCCCCCTTAAAGAAGCGAACATGAAGTCATGACGAGTAGAAGAGTTGACCCTTGATAGCACCAAAATTTAGTCCAATCTATCACATGAATCTTCTATTCAGGAATGTTTAAGGACATCTTATGAGAACTATGGACCAATTGAAGGAGTAACGCATCATATTCAGTGGTTGCCTAAAGTTAGCAGGCTCTAATGCCCCTTGGTCTACTTTTGTTCGATCTGTCGACAGAATCCCTTACGGAAGGGAAGTCATCCAAACAATGCGAGATTATCAATCGGCGGCTAAAAAGACTAGGAACGAATAAGCTTGCATCCAAAGATGAGAGGCTGTGATTGTTTTAGAGTGGTGCAAAATCGTTGAGAATATATAATACCATTGACGTTGATCGCTGTGCAATTCAAGCCATAAGCTACATCATTTCTTGCAATGCAACATAATATTTTCCCAGTTTCATTGACATTCTCTATGAGGGAAATTTTCGTAGCTGATTAGCTTTCATGTACTGAGCTTGTATTGAAGATTTCCTGCGCTTAGAATTTCTATTTTACCTAAGCCTACTCAATAAAGCTATCTGCGAATATGTGGTACCGCTGTATGTATTTTTAAACATCACTTTCAAATAAAACCAACGATTCTTTCGAGGAATATCCGATCTTAAAGAAACTCATTCAATCACATACTGATTTAAACTGACGTCTGGGAAGCTCCAGATCAACAATCTTTTTTCGCCTACTATCAGTATCGCTATCGTTGTCGCCGTGTAGCTTCATCGACACCACAAATAATAAACCTATTGTTATTTCTGTACATATCAACAACAATTTTCATTTTTTACAATACATCATTATCTACACTGAAATTCTACATTTTAAAGACAGCTTTGCATAGTATGCTTTGACGTAAAAGCTTCCGACAAGTTTGATTGATGAAGAAAAGTTTTCGTAGCATTTTTATAGAGTTCCATCACTTTGTCAAGAAGTCAAAAGTGGTGAATTCACATCATAGAACAAACCCCTCCCCTTTAAGTTTGTCCAAACTCCACACTTCTTTATATCTAGGTTTATGAGCTTCCGCCGTGGATATCTCGCGATTGGATCAATCAAGCAAATTCTACTCTGCATGGTCACAAATCGTGGTTAGTTTCACTGAGCCTTACAAAGGAGGTTCTAGAGGCTAAATAGAAGGTACTATCCCGATCAAGCCATGGAATCTAATTTTCTGGAATAATTTCATGAATCCAGTTGCTCAGATACGAGTTGTGAGTGACCAACTATCTGTGTCATTCACTGATCTAGACAGAAATAATTGAGTCTAGAATTTGGTGGGGACTCCAGAGTCTATATAAGTTGAATGCAACCAAGCTCTTTGTGATGTCAAGAATGCAAGGTATCAGGGCAACTCTGTTGAAATGTTGAATATCCAGGAGAAGAGATGCTGCATACTTTCAAAGCAACAGTATAATTGGTATGGTAAGCACACTTGAAAAGGTACAAGAATGCGCAATCAATGTATTCGTCCAGGAGATCTCATCCATACTACCACTCTAGGAGGATTTTCGTCGATATATCTCTATCATTGCCCTTCTTAAACGTTCCTGAATTTTAATGTTGGATTTACGAGAGCATCAGTACCTTGAGCCTATACCCGCACCGTTTAGTTAAAGGCGAACTGAGTTAATGGAAACCAAACCATGGAAGACCCTAAGCAAGAAATATGAAAAAGCAGTTTTGCTGCTAATTTTTCCTTTACAGCCAGAATCAGATTGAATATTCGACCATTTTTAAAGCTAAGATTACTTCAAAGATGTCTAGTTTCAAACTTCAAAGTCAAAAGTCGAGAATATGATCTTATTGGGCTACCTACTAAAAAGAGGGGTATCCAACGAAAAGTATCAACTGGTGAACTCATCTTGGTAAGAATGGTTTGCGGGTGAATGAGATATGAGATTTGTCTTATTTTTTTCCTTCTTGCGGCTTATATAATTCCCGATTCTATACTTCTCGATCAGGGAAAAGGAAACAGACAATCAAACGACTGAAAAGGTCCTCGCGTTTCCTCCTTCCGCATTTTTCCTGCTACTTTGTTACGTATCCTGGTGAGTTTATTCCTACTTTTCTTCCACAGCCGGCTTGTCGATTGTAACTCACTGTCATATAGTATGTTCATGGACTGGTTGCTATAAAAGGACTATTAGAAATTATATTCTTGTCCATTATCTCCCCGGTGATATTTATGCACTGTCGTACAACCCGGCACTCTTGAATATTCCCCAAGAAAGAGAAGGGAGAAAGAAGTAAAAACAGCCATCTCCGAAACGAGGGGTCCAACACTTAAGTCTATCTAATAGAGCAGAGTTAGAGTCAGCTGCTGATATATATTTATTTGCTAACCTATAGTTTAATTGTAAATCTACTATCCCAGGGATTCAAGTAACTATAAAATAGCTCCCACGGCATTAGGTCATGATTGTAGATAGGAAATGACAACTTTGATCATTCATTACACTTCCACGAAATTTGCCTCAATCTAGACTCTGCGAGAAATGTAATCTCAGCTTGTTTACTTATATCTTTGGCTTCTAATATAACAACACAAACATCAAGATTTGTTTTCGCAAAATTACCTATACGTATGTATGTATACGACAACTTCCTTAGCCAGCACGACTAGTACTTTAACCACCATTTCCAACTGCAAAAAAAATCTAGTGAGTGAGACTAAAATCGATCAAGTTATAAAGTTGATCACTATCCATACTATCAATTCTCTGCTGTTAATTAATAACTTCAGAAGTATAAAGGTCATTATCATCGTTGTTGTTGCTGCTGCTGCTGAGATTTATCGTTGACTTTAATACTCATGTCATACTCATGAAAATAGCTTATTTGTCCACAGTAATATGGCTACATCGGTGATGGCCAAGAACCTTGATACAGAAAACCGTTGCCACGAAGTAATGCACCATATCGAGATTTTTCGAACGGTCTTCCCACATATTTTTGATGCCAGTGAACACCATGTTAGTTATATGATTAAGAAGATGACCTTTAAAGAGTATTTTATATACATGGGTAAAAATCATAGACACAAAAGTAGGCGACAAAGTGAATGACGAATGCATCTAGTGTGTTTAGCACAAATTTTTTGAACTATCTATCTTCCAACTATTAACATGTCTTCATTATACCCCCAAAAAAGACAAAAAACAAGAAAAGCGGGGGAAAAATGGAGTAGGGACAAATCATTGAAGACAGCTCAACAAAAATCTCCATCCAAATGATCAAGAAGACATAATGAAATCAAAAGAGTATAGCATAAAATCCAAACAGGAAGGCAAAAAATTGACTTCTCATTACCAAATATCTAAGATCTTATATCAATAACACTACTCATCAGCAACATACGTCTCCCAAACCGACAACAACACTTACCCCCTTTTCGCCTAATCATGATCTTAGCAAATAATTTTTACTCTTCCTATCCTCTAATGGTACAAGTACGCAAGATCTTACATATACACCAAATGCAGCAATATTAATATTTCCAACCTTTCAAGTAATCCTGCATCCCACCTCTTACTACCTATCTACCTACCCACTCCATATCCACAAACCATCCAAATCACTAACTAACATGCACGAACGCATTCTAAATGTTCCAGTTACTATACATACATACATACATACACCAATCACAATCGCAATCACAAGGACCCAAAAAATTTCATCACACACCTACATAAGGTTAAAATCACCAACTTACCAATTTAACCTTTAAATCTTCGAATCTTTAATTTCATCACACAACTACTTAATTATTTAACTCCTAGTATTAAATAAAAAAATAAATTACCGCGACTTTCTATATCTTTAAAGAAACTCTAGCTCTACTCTCACTTTAACTCCAACTTTAACTCCAGCTCTAACTCTACTCCTCAACAAATTTATATATATACCAATGCTCAAATCAAACAACAAATCACTAAAAAGATATAATTAATCTTAATCCGTTTAATATACATTTATTAAATAAATAAATAAATAACATTCTCAAAATCCCAAAAAAAAAATTACAAAAATTACAAAAACTATAAAAATATCAAAAATTATTATATAAAATCAAAATCAAAATCAATATTTAATATATAATACAAAAAAAATTTAAAAATTGAGGATTGTGTGGCTTGGGGTGTGTTTGGTGTTTTGGGGGTTTTTGTGTGTGTGATTTTTAAATATTAAATATTAAATATTAAACAAAATAAAATATATAAACTTTTATAAAAAACAATAATTTTATTTTCAAGATTTTTAAAATACAATTTTTATTAAAATTTATTCTTGAGAATATTTTCTAGTTTTTATTTTTATTGTTTTTGGAAGATTTTAAATTTTATTTATTTATTTATATATTGACTTTAATAAATAGGAAAAACAAATCAAAAATAATTTTTTTTTATATAATACAATTAATTACTCTAATCAGGAATTAATTCCTATACAAGATCTCACCACCAGAGCTGATGAATAAAAAGTTATTATTAATATTTACTTTAAGATTTCAGGGCTACGCTTTTATATTTTAAAAAGTAAGTATCGAGACTATCTTGTCTGTCCTCTTATTCTCAGGTACCAAACTCCCTTTTTACTCCTTTGTCCCCTTGCCTCCTCGTCCCACTTCGAGGCATTTCTTAGAATAAATAAATCCAGAAAATCAATCAATAAGCCTCCCATCCATATTTCACCTCTCTTATAAGCTCAATATATGTGGTCCTGACCAAAAACACCATTGCGACGCTAACTCCAGCCAGTAAATCCTCGCTCCCTATGCATTCTCCCATCTCAATATCAGATATGCAAAAAAAACCAAATCGATAAAACAAAAAAGAAATTCAAAAAAAAAAGTACATATGCAGAATGGGTATCGTTTTACAACATTGCGAAGAAAAATGCACGCTCGCTATGCTCATCAAGCTCGCTCTCTGTAATCCGGTTGAGGCTGTGGTAATCTCTTTCCATCCAAAAATTGTCTCGGTGGTCTTCTTTCATAATATGGATCAGGATCTTGTCTCCTTTTCCTTTCTTCATATTCTGCTCTCTCTTCTTCGCTTAGGCTGAATGCCTTCTTCAGCCATCCAAATGCGCTTCTCTTCTTTTTCACTTTCTTTCCATCTTCCATTGTTACGGTGGTCATATCACTCATAACACTCATTCCCATACGACTTGGTGCCACGGATCTTGATAGCGAGCTCGGTACAGGTCCGTGATGATGCACCGGTGCTGCAGTCCAAGGTCTTTGCAGTGGTGAATGTGGGGATGCGTTAACCGGACGAAAGAATTGTTTTTCCGAATGAGGTGACGGGATAAAATCTCTTGTTAACATGGGTGGGATCTCAAGTTCGTTACTAAAAGTTGGTGCTGAAACAGCCGAAATAGTAGATTGAAATGATGGTGACGGAAGGGTTTCTTGTATTGAACGAATGGCAATGGGAGGATCCGATTCGGAACAATATGCAGAATCGATTCCACGGGAAGAGGGTGTATCCGTCGCTAGTTCCGGCCGGCGTGGAATACTCAAAGGTCCTGATCCTTTACGCTCTTCCCTTTTGCGTTCTTCATTATTACGGTCTCTGCTCCTTCCATCTTTATTTCTCCGCTCTTCTCTATTTGGCTCTTTACTACGTTCTTCTTTATGATGTTCTTCCCTAAGACGTTCTCGGCTGCGCTCTTCTCTAATTTTCTTTTCTCTTTGACGCTCCGCCCTATCAGCCGATAAATCCAAGGGTTCAACACGTCGCTGGTCCGATCGATCCCGAGGACGAGCTACTGAACTGGGCTTCAAGTGCGAGGATGAATCTGCCACCGATTCCACAACTGAAGTAATCTTCGGGGCGGACAGTAAGTTTGGAGGAGATCTCGAATTTTCCGTGTCAGAATCCTTACGCTTTAGAGAAAAGCGATTCCGAATTGATGGTTTTCTCTTGCTTTCCGGGACAGGTTTAAGAAAAGTATCTTGCTGAACTTCTTTTGTTGTAGAAGCTTTTGGAGAGGTTTGTGGGGAAGCTTTGGGTGAAGACTCGGGTGAGAACTTCGGCGAAGGTCTCGGGGAGGGAATTGGAGAGTAGGTAGTCGGGAGGAGCATTGGGGAATAAGTCGTTGGGGCGAGGGTCGGGGCGAGGCTTGGGGCGAGGCTTGGGGAGTAAGTCGTTGGTGCAAGAATTGGAGAATATGTAGTAGGAAGAAGGAGAGGTGAATATGTGATGGGTTTGAGAGTATATAACGGCTCCTGTTCTGGTTCAGCTTCACTCTCAGATTCTGATTCTGATTCTGGCTCTGGCTCGGGTTCCTGCTCAGATTCCGGTTCTGATTCCGGTTCTGATTCTGGCTCAGATTCTGGTTCGGGTGTTCGTTCTCGGTCTTGTACTAAGGAAAATGCTGGTAATGTAGCCGAAATTGCTGGGGTTATAGGGCTTGGATTGCTGGGAAGTTCTTTTATCATGGATGCTCGAAGGTTGCGAGATACAGTAGGACTTTGGGCTTGTACTGAAGACGAAACACTCAACTACATATTGTTAACCAACAATAAAATAAACAGATTTCATGAGCTTACCCTCGACTCTCGACTTACACGACCAGCCCTCCGATCCATCTCTGCCACAATGGTCCCCAATTGAACAAGGGCGACCCCAAGATGATGACCTTTGGTCTGCAATGAGACGTAAGCCTTGTGCCAACCTTCCACATTTCCACACATCGCCTCAAAGACTCTTTCCATATTCGGTCGTTGTTGTCGCCATGTCATATTGTCCTTCTGCCCTGCCAAGTAAATGGTGAATTCCTTACAAGCATCCATTCCCTGTTGCGCATCGAGAAGAGTGTCCTTCATGGAAGCCGCCGTACGTGTGATAACATGCTCGATGCGTTCATTGCCACTGACGATTTGCGACCTAAAAGCTCGGTCTTCCAACATAGCATCGAAAATGCTCATGTTCTGTAATGGAAGTTTCAAATGCTTTAATCTCTCCTCGATATCGCTTTGTGCCAAATCGAAATCCTCCAACGTCATCTCTAAGAATCCATCTACTTCATTTACATGTCCCTGCAAGATCGACATAACTTGCTCTTCATCTCTGGCGATTCCATTGAGGAGTAGATAAATTCCAAAGGATATTTGTGCCATCAACTTCCACAATTCATGATATTTTTGATCTGGCTGCCTCTGCCATCGTAAAGAATGTGTATCTTCGGACACATCTTGTTCGATTAAAATCTTTCGTCGGGTGGCTGCGTCGCCGATTTTGGGTGCTGTTCGGGTTGCGTCGCTAGCCTCTTCCATCGACTCTGCAAAGGCACCTTGCATGGAATTTATTGGATGCTTGGGTACCATGGCATTTTTGGGAACTTCGTTGACTTTCTTGATTTCTTTAACTTGGTGCACCTCTTTCATTGTATCGTTGTTTAGCCTCGTATCGTCTCCTCGCATTTCGAAAGGTGAATCATCATCAGGTTCGAGAATAATCGGAAAGCCATCGGCGACATCTTGATCAGAAGAGGAATCGTAAAAAGCCATAATTGCTAGTGCCTGCCTTGCCTACTGAAGAGTTATGCAAGAATTGATTGTGCTACATGGATTGAGTGAATCGAGCGTATCCTAGCTGCATGTGAATATTGACCGGACTCTTGGTATTGTAGATGAGGTAATATACTTTCGATGCAGTGCGCACAACTGAGGTACACGACAGGCTTCTAGAAGTCCACAAGTCGAATGATCAAGGTGATCAAAGCCTCCGGTTCGCCCAATACAGCAAGACAGAGACGGTAAGCTTTCCCACTTGTGTCAATCCAAATCATACAATAAGCTAGTCCACCCTCCCCCTTCAGAGGGTAGACGGTAGAGGAGGTGTCTGTGTCTACTTATTGCAGTAGCGTCAAGAAACGGGTTGGAAGTTGGAAAGGTTGTCGCACAAGGAGGCTCTGAGGGAAGCGAAGAAGATTTTAGTTTAAATTCAGGTTCATCCTTTCATTATTTATTTTTGAGTCAAGGGGACCATGCGCGAGACGAGATCGACTTTTTTCTGGATTTTCGAATGTGGAGGTTTTGTTTCAAGTTTTGGATGTCGCGAGCTAAAAAATAATAATAATAATAATTTTGGAGCAATAGAATAAACGGGAGACGAGCAAGGAATGTAAGATTTGAGGACCGGCGGGATAGTGAATCGTGTGGGAGATGGTAGATGCTGGATGCTGGATGCTGGATGCTGGATGCTGTTGACTTTTCTGTTCCCGACGTCGGTATACTTGTGGTAGGTAGATGAGTGTACCTTTCACAGCGGAGCAAGAGGCGGGTGACTATGATGGCCGTGATGACAGGGTGGGTTTGACTGGGAAAAGCAAAGGACCTTGTGGTAGAAAAAGAAAAGCCTCGATGAACTTGGTTGTGCACGATGAAGCATTCATTTGATAGTACCCTATGACAGTCAAGTAGATCTTGGAGGGGAAGAGGTAAGAGGGAAGACGAGGGATGAGGATTGGGTAGTAGTATATTGTACTCAAGTAGGTAGATAGAGTAGATAGATAGTATTGTATTTATTATTACATATTACCTAGGTACACAGCCATTTATTCCTGTTTACTATTTCCTATTTTCTTCCAACTGAATAAATCAATAAATAAATAAAAAAATAAACCATAACGGAGAGGGAGAGAAACCGTTTGAATGCAAGATTCTCGAACGATTAACTTTCTTGATGGGGGAATAATAATATAAAAATCAATAAAATCAATAAATGATTTTCATATGGTGAGAAAATCATCTAAAATCATCTAAAATCATTCATTTCAACGGTTCCCCTGGATTATACGACTTGGCATTGGCTCGAATCACTCACTTACTCAGATACCAGGTCAGGTACCCGTAGGTGTTTACTCTAATAGATCGGACCCAAACTATCTATTTATCTATACAGGACCATTCACTTGTCTAGATCAAACTGGTTAACTGGTCAATCCATGATATTTACAATTTATTTAACATTTCCTCCTTAGCCGATGTATCCCTTATATTATTGAACTGGGTCGACGTCTTACTTCGAGGGAGTGCGTGCTCATGAAGGAGACAGAAAAATGAGAGAAATGAAATACTTTGTATCGTTGCTCATAGCGTCGTTCATTGCTCGTAGCGTTCATTGCTCGTAGCGTTCATTGCTCGTAGCTCATAGCCCCCGTCTATCTTGTCTCCCACTTTGCACTCAATTTGTCCAATGTCCACTCACGCGAAATCTGCATGGCCAGTTCATAAGAGGCCTGGCTTATTTTCTTGGGTGGAGCAACTGATGGACTGATTCAAGGATTACTGTGCTCAATTCAGCATTGACGTGAAAGGTTATTGGACGACATGAGGAGGGAGGACTTGCTTTTACGGGAAACGCTCACGTTAAGCCACATCGTTCCTCTCTTACCCTTCCCCCGTTATCCACGGGGCGACCAATTCGTAAGCCTGTATCGCAAATGTGCACACTCCGCGGATCGCCGAAAACTGCGGAGAGGGGAGGAGAGGAGAGAAGAGGATACTCCGTACTGAATGCATCGATTTCTTTCGATCACAGCAAGGCGTCCTACTCTCAAACATCCACAATACACAATTTATTTCGAATCTTATGCACTTATAAAACCTTTATCTACCTGTGGCATCTTTCACTCCAAAATTCAATGCTTGCCGAGGCATGTTTGCATATGTTTTGCATGTATGACAAGAAAAAGGAGGCACGAAATCCTACTCTACCATAAGCTTTTTGTGACTGAGTACCCACCGACTTGGAAAATGTGTACACAGACATTCACAGACGTCTTAATTTGGGTAGTCCCCGGAAGACATCCTTGATATATTGCTGCATTCGGATGAAGATCCATGCTAATTTCTATCTATATCATCACTGGAATGGCCTTTTCGAGAATTTCGCAACCGTTACCGAGTCTTTCTGGTTGAGTTTATGGTCTAATCGTGAATAGCTGGTGACACAAAGCGTAAGTCGTAAGAGGATGAAAAGGAAGGTCGTATCTCAAAGGACCAGGTCGTTTCCAAATGTTTGTCATTGAGCCTGCCTTGGACACATCAATGTGAGTTACAAAAGGCACAGCAAGTTTGATTGGATCATATACGATTAATCTTATATGGACCACCCAAGTGATATCGTGGTTGAAGGTGCTCATTAACATTCTATGAATCTGAGATCACATAGTCAGTCAATAAGCTCCTTTTGATTATAACCTTTCGGAGATGGGCGTGAAAAAAGTCAACTACAGTAATCTGCCCCTGATTCGCCTTCACTTACTTACTTACATGGTTGATCAGTACAGTACTCATACAAAATTATCAAAATCTCATCTACCATTTGATTCTGAGGGTTCAATTACATCTCGGACATTGAATACATATTCGTTTGCAACTACCTTCATCTCGGCAATGAATAATTGAACTTTCGATATTGCGCAGCAGAAACCAAGCCATTCGAACATTTATTCTCCGATAATATTGGGTTGACGGTGGGCCACATTTGACAGGCAATTCAATCATGGGCATCATGGGCATCACGGGCCAAACATTGACCACATCTCGCCCTCCAAAGCCGACCGAATATTATTGTGTCAATGTCCACAACTCCTTATACCGATCAAGCTTAATCGAAGCAGGTTGCTATGAAGATCTGGAGCTCCATTGCCTCATTAGAAACGAAAATCCACATTATGAGATACTTAAGAAAGCTTCGATTCAATAAATATCACACCGGGATATGTGGTTGGATTACCGACATTGGCAGAAGCCGAAGAGGTGAAAATTACGAATTCTTTTTACGAGGAGGATAGGATCATGGTCAATGACTTTGAGAACTTTTGAGCTCTGAAGAGGCATCTTCCCTCTGGAAGCACTATCTTTCAGTTCGACCATCCTCCGCCCTTTTTGTTTAGCGCTAAAACTTTGGCTTCGTTTTGGCCAGTGCAAAAGCAAAGCTTTTTCAAAACGAAGATCCCCTAAGACAACTGGGCACGTACTCTGTACGTACATAAACATCAGGGTGAGATAAGACGCACGTATGTATCCAAGATACTCGTCCGATCTGAGTCGGTGAAGCACTGTAAACCGTCCAAGCAGCCCTCTCCAACATTAGGATATACCCATCTTGACGATGACCGCGTCATGGTTCATCTGGTAAGTGGCATTTTAACCTTTTCTAGAGCCATTTTTATTGCATGATTCAGATTAGGGAAGACATCGGAGTAGGCTCAAGAATAGAGTCTATTCCCAATATCTCCTCTGAACTATTGGCAAATCTTTAATCGATAGAAAGAATCGGTTATCATTCCAATATAATAAGATGTTACAATATCGAACCCCACAAGTTCGCTGATATCATCCTACTCCGTACAGCCGTAGGGACAGAGAATGCCAAGTATATATTAGCTATCGATGCATTTGATGTCAGGCACTCTGTAAAGTAGTTGTAGTATGGGGCAAAGGAACTTCCTAAGGGAAATAGTATAATCGAAATACTGGTGCAGTTGGACTATTCTCATTTAAATCTGCTTTGTGATTTAGTCTTGAAATCTTTTTAGTATTCTAACCGTTCCGTTCTCGCACATAAAACTTTCTTTTCGACCTCATTACCTCCATCTGTAGAAATTTATAACTACCTACCTACCTAGCATCTAAATATTCACCACCAATCAATATCTATCTAGCCACTAGTCCCTGCCTCAGCATTAAAAACATATCAAAAACATCTCAATGCAATCCCATTCCCACATTCGATCGGCACTATCGTCGGCATTGAGTACCTATCTCGTCCCAATACAGGGATAAGGGATAAGCCAGACGCTAGATCATATCGCACCCCAAAATTCATGTATACGACCGGGATGCACGAAGCAAGCAAAAGCAAAATGCGAAAGGCTTGAAGATTTATTTACTATTTACTCTTGCTCCCTATTCTACGTATAGCGGACATTGCGTCTTTCTTTTATCTTACGAGAAACTTCGAGGAAAAAAAGGGTGTAATTGCGATCGATATATTGTGGGAAGAGACTGATTTACATTATTATTCGCTGCATGAGCGCATTCGATAGCATCGTTTAGTACATCGCTCTTGTAGTTTTTTGAAGTTGCGGCCGAGGTGTCACTGTACAGGTATTCGGCACTACCTACGTACGATTATACAATCATACATCCATCCATTCACCAATCAACCATCAATCATGTCAATGTTTAAATTCGGCACCGATGTATGGGACCCGACTCATCGCTTCGAAACTTCATGGTTGTTATCTCCATGGGCTCTTTTTGCCGTTAGGGCTAGTATTGTAAGTATTCCTTCCTGACGAAGGAGAAAAGAGAAATGAGAAATGACGAAAGAGAAAAGAATAAAAGATCGATGAATATATATGCACATGGGAAATAAATCGCTAATGGCATAATGATACAATATAGTCACTCTATACATTTTTCGTTCTTCTCTTTGTGATTTTCTGGGAAATCGCCAGAGTACCCAATGGCACCGCAGCCGCCCGATTCGAATTCTCCTATTTTACCAGTAAGTCGCAATTCTCAGTTCACCCTGTCCGTCCCATGAATCTATACATACAAACTAACAACCATAGTCCTCTGCTACTGGGGCCTAGCATTCTACTTTGCCATTTCCGCCCTCCACACCTATACATACGCGCGGAGCGGAACACCCCTGCTCTCGCGATTTCCGCGTCCGCTGCAAGCCCTACACGCCCTATACAACAGCACCATAATGTGTTATCCACCCTTAGTATCCATCGTCTACTGGGGCGTAATATTCCGAGGCGTCGTCCCTAGCGGCTGGTTCCCAGAACGCTTCGACGCCTGGTCCAACGTCTCCGAACACGGACTCAACTCACTCTTCGCACTGATTGAAATCTTACTCACGCGTACGGCCCCCCCGCCTTGGATTCATCTCTTCTGGCTACTTGTGATTCTGGCGTGTTATTTGGGATTGGCGTATGTAACTGTCGCGACGAAACATCAGTATGTTTATTCGTTTTTGGATCCGCAGGTTTCGAGGAATGGGATGGTGGCTGCGTATGTGTTTGGGATTGCGGTGGTGATTTGTGTGGTTTTTTGTGTGGTGAGGGGGGTAGTAGCGTTGAGGAGGTGGGCGACTGAGGCCAAGATGGGGTTGAGGGGAGTTTTATAAGGGGTGTGCGGGTGAGGGATGTGGAGATGAGGGATGTGCAGTGGGAGGAGAGGTTTGAGTCGAAAGTCTGAGTAGATGTTTGAGGGGGACATCTGGTGAAGATGGTGTGAGATCATGAAGTAAGTGGAAAATGAATGAAAAGAAAACGTGGGCTGGAAATATGAAATATGATTATGAAGCGCAGCGACGGGAAAAGTACGATGGATATTATTATGTTTTGTTATATGCATGGATGGAAACAAACGACAACAAAACAAAAAGATAAACAAACGAAAAAGAAAGGAAAAAAGAGAAGGAAAAGAACACGAACCAAATCCACATCCATATCATGGCGTTTGGAGAAACAAATAGCGATACCCATACCCATACGCATGAATTCACCAATTCCAGGGATACGAGTATGAAAACAGCATTAGGTACTTGGTATGTACCAGTAGTCATGAAGAAGAGATATCTCCCACGAGCGAGCGAAGTTTAGATTACATTACATTACATTACCTACCTACCTATTTAATTCAACAAAATTTTCATATTCGAAAAATCAGGGAGTGAGTAGTAAATTATATTCGTATTTCATTTTTATATTTATATTTGTGTGAAGATTTGATTTTATTTAATTAAATTTTATTTAATAAAGAAAGGAAGGAAGAAAGGAAGGAAGAAAGAAAGAAAGAAAGAAAAGGAATATTAAATACGTAGGTAGATACTAGATAATTAGGTGTCTAACAACGTAATTATGATTATGAAGAAACCTATTCATTGAATTATTAATAAACGTAATATTCTATAGATTTTATCTCTTCGAGGCATATGGCATCTTCATCTTAAACGCATCCATCTTTCTTTAACTATCCCATCTCATGCTATGCCATGCCATGCCATTGCATGCCAACCCATCCCAATTCATCCTATTATTTTCCCATAAATCTCCCAAACGCCAGATTACACCATCCGATTCATCACTAGGTAGGTACTGGTATCAAGATCAAAATCAAGATCAAGCGAGCCGCGAATCTTGATCACGAAGAAGGAATCTCAAAACATAATTTCAAGCATACCATAACTTCAAGCGCAACTTTCACCTCGTCTAGAAGCCAATCACTCACTCACTCGGCTTCGTATTCATCCTCATATTCCTCTAATCCCTGATCTTCATCTTCATCATATGCTTCTTCTTGTCCCAATTGAGAATCATGATCTGATGAATCTCCGTCTTCGGTTTTCTTCGTATCGTGATCTGTGATTGTGTCTTCTGGACCAGAAGTCGGATTCATTCTCATCCTGTCGTCTTGAAATTCCACACTCTTTCTTGCCCTGGGTTTTTCTTCCTTATCTTCTATGGCTCGAGTTTCAACCACTACATCTCCACTCCAGGCTCTACATCTCCTCACTTCTTCGCCGCATCTTAAACAAGTCCAGCCTTCCCCTTCTTCTGCTTCCAATTTACTAGCTATGCATACAAAGCAGTATATACAGCCACATTCTACTGTCTCATACGGATTTGTGATATCGGTTTGCGCACTTCCAATCACACCAGTACTAGCTGCTGCGGCCATAACTCCTTCTTCTGTTGCTTGTAACGCATTTTGATCATGGTAACAGATAGCACATGTACGTTCGGGGAGGAAAGCAAGTTCGCCTTTCTTTGTACTGCTGGAAAGCTCGTCGGAGGATGATGTATTGAAAAGTGATTTTGTACGTCTCCAAAAGCGTGATAGAAAGCGTCGCCAGCGAGAGATTCCCACAAGCGGGAGGACAAAAAGGAGAAATTCCGTAAAGGCATGCCAGACAAGTTGGCGATTGAGGTATTCGAATGATACTTCCCGACTAACCTGGCTGGTAGGTGGTGCTAGTCGCAATCTCAAAATTCGATCCAGTAGCGTACGATATCTGCCATTTACGAGAAATACGAGAAAGGATGCGAAGGCGGCGGTGGAGTGAACATTTGTGAAGAGGTCTGTAATGCGGGATAGTCGACTAATAAGGGGCGAGGGGGTACTATATCCATTGTCTGAATCGACGAGGTAATTTTCCCAACGTGTCCAGGCATACTTCCCGCCTACAGTGAAAAGACCATATAAACCTTTCTGCCATTTCGACGGAGATACCAAAACGGATCCAGAGTGTCGCGCATCGGTGAATTTTAAATTCTGCAATGTAGCCCCATACGTAGCATCATGATCCCAAATACTGAGTTTGAAAAGAATAGCTCTGAGTGCTAGCATTATCTCCGCAGACCAATCATCTTGTATATGAGTCCCAAAATACTTTAGACCTTCTCCCACTTGCCCTTTTAACAAATCCAACAACTCCTCATCCAATAATTCAGCATCGACCTGACCGACTCGAAAAGAAGGACGAGTTCCTTCGCGTCCAGATATCATATCCCATGTTGTGAGACCTGCAGTACCTATTCGTGATAAGGGGAAAGGAAGGGAGGAAACGCGCTGGGAGATGGCGGTGTTGCGTCGACGATTCAGGTGAGTTTGGGCAGCTACTTCACGAGCTTGACGACGAGCGGCAACGCGCTGTTGCGCGACAATAAAATCGTTGGATGTCATCGGAAGAGCATCGAATATATATCGTCACTATGCTTTCTAGAAGTTTATTCGTATGAATCGAAGGTGATATGGTTTGGTGTGAAATAGTGAGAATGCAGGGGTCCTGAACTTGGAAGCTTGTGTTGATGTGAATGCCGAGGTACTTTCCGACCTTCCGTTTCCAGGGGATTTTAGCTAGGATTAATGTAGATTAGCGGCAGAAGCTCCTGTTGGATTTCTAGAACTCTACTCAATTAGTCATTCCGTGTCACGTTTTTCAAAGTTCAAAAGGTTTTTCTTGATAATTAATCCTTATTTTGGTTTCATTCCCTCTGAATGTATTCTTCCGATCCACAATCAGCAAAATGCTGTGTGACTACTAGGTAGTTTATGTCAATCCTTTCTCTGCATATGGACACGCGTACGCCAGTATATACATACTCGCTGTCCGCCCTTCATGTCTACAGTTCGGGTCATCCATGCTCTTTAGTTTTGGACATGCCATCATATCCCATTGCCCTGCAGATCTTTTTTAAAACTGCCAATCGCCAGGTCCAAAGAAGAATCCAACTTGTCTTAAGCTCACCGGCGTCAAGGAACCCCTGGGCTGCCGTCATGGATTTCCTCCACAATTTCAGGAGCTTAGTTTGTATATACCACCGGATTGGTTCATCAAACTCCGCTAAATACTCAAGGGTATCATCGTAATGGATCATCAGTCTTTTGGTCTGCATGACAAACAACCAAAGTGATTACTAAAATGCTAAAATGTAAGCTGACCGTAGTACAAGCAGCCACATACTATCAATATCCCGATTTACACACTCTATCGCTATGAACTCAACCCGCTCACAAGAAGAAATCCACAATTCGTGAGATAAGATCTTACACATTTCGTTACATTTCCATTTGTAGAGTTTTCTTCCCTGGCAATGCTCTACCTTCTTTCACAAGTTGCTCGTTTTCCGCTCTTTTGAGGTACCTCTCGTTCTTCGACGAATCCTCATTCTACACACTCAATCAATGTCACTGCATTAGCTGCAATATGCTGACTGATATTCACCGCCAACAGATTTGCAGCCTGATGATTATTTTGACTTTTCTTTTTGTGGTCCGAATACTGTACCTCTCCACAGTTGAAAGCTCCTCCATAAATATAGCGGGGTGGCTAGTGAAACTCTTTTAAGCTTACTCTTTATATGTCATGCATAGTATCCTCGGACATTCCCGCCAGCGACCCCGCCGTCGAGTTTGCCACAGGGCTGAAGGTTAAGCAATCCTTCCGCATACTATTTTTCTTTAAGTTAATGGTCTACCAAGTGGTGTGTCTACAAGTGTTTCAAAAGTGGCTCCGATTTCAAAGAAGCCTCTGAGATTGGATTTTATTCTATTCATGTCTAGGCTCACGAGATGCTATTCTTTGCAATCTTAAACATCTTGAAATAGGTCTGACTCTAGCCTATAAATCTGCATCTAATCATACTAGATTTGTATACAGTTGGTTGAAGATGGCTGTATATTTACCGCATTGACTTCGTGCTAATCCGCGACTACGTCACCTAAATTAAATCCCATGTCGTTCATCTCAATGCTAATAGCTCATCTCGATGAAGGAGAAAATAAATGGTTATTGGCAGTGTTTCTGCTATCACCCTTCGCGGAAAAAGTAGTTTACGTCGTCGAGTTCGCATTCGGCTGTGCCCCAGATCCCCAATTCTCGTAGAACATGTCATCATTAGTACATACGTATCATTTTCGCATGATAAATATGACCCCATGACTAGAAGGAGCGGCGACCACGGCCGTGGGGATACCAAGTTATCGCCGGGACTTTTCCACTACTTCTCTCAAACCCCTTTAGGCCTAGTACACTCCATGCCTGATGCAATGTAACAGGACAAGAAACGAAATGATTCGCTTATAGGGCGATAGCGGATGCAGATTTATAGCAATCTCTCACTGTGGCTTGTTTCTTAATGCATTGTATGAATGGCCAAAACCACTTATTTCTTGCGACTTCCTGATCTATTTCGATCTAGCCGATTGATCCCTTTCTGGTCTCGAAACTTTTTGCTGACATGATCTCACACTGCTTACATCAAAAAGGACATGGAAGTGGAACCGGGGTCAACTCAAGCTGGGGGATCACATTATACGCAATCAATCTTCTTCAGCCATGAAATTGTTTTTAAGAATATGTCAAAGCCTACTTATCAATGTTATCAGCTTGCCACACCAACTCTCAACTTGTAAACAGTGTGCTATAGTACAACCTATTTAACTTGTGAGGTTCCATCCAGTCTATATTTTTCAAACGGGGTAGCTCCGTCGAAGTACTGCAAGCCGAGAACCCGAGCATTCGCCTCATAGCCAAGATTATGGATTCTGTGAGATTTGAATCACCATTTCCATCCCCGAGAGTACCGGAAGACCCTCTCGCAATGTTCTTTGATTTTGGAACCCCGGTTCAGGAAGCCCAGAATACTTATAAAAACACGACTCAAAGTCACGAGTCTAGAGGTGGCATCAGGGTCTCGTTAGCATGCGTGCCGGTATGTCAAGATTATGTTTGACCCGTCAATGTACTAATCATTGAATAGTGCCGGAGTCGTCATGTAAAATGTGGAGCAGAAATGCCTTCGTGCAGTCGTTGTCAGCAAGATGATAAGCCATGCTTCTATGCGAAGTCACGAAGAGGCATGCGAGACAAGAATGCCCCTCGAAAAAGAAGCTCGGCAAAAGAACAGTCTCGAGGACGTTCCGTTGGAACAGAGCAAGGAGGATATTCTACTCCAAAGGGAAGTCATGTTGGGAATCTATCTAATGAATCATGGACAGGCCCACTTTCTGATGCTTCCATGAGCCCAAATAGCTCTTCTTCACGACTAAACAGTGTTAAGCCTGTGGACTCAAGAAGGTTAATCGATCTTTACTACAAGTTTGTTAATCTGGACTCCTCGACGTATCCTATCACTGATGTTTCGATAGTTTCTTCCACAAAGCCCATCCTTATGTCATTCCAAAACCTCATTTTCTTGGCAGACTGAAATCTGATCCAGACTCACTTAATAGCCTCTTACCAGTCATGCAATATATTGGATCACTCTATGCACCTGATCTCCCGTCAGCAGAATTCAGAGCTATAGCTTTAGGCCTACTAGATCTTCCGAGTTTACCACAGAATGGCTTTAGTGTTCAAGCTTTGCTTCTACTGGCCATTTCCATCCACGCAGAAGATGAAAGAGTTAAGGCACGTGTCATTTTGGATAGGAATATATGTATGGCGTTGGAGATCGGTATGAATCATCGTACTTTTGCTGGTCTGGAAAGAGATCTTGTGTTAGCTGAGAGCTGGAGAAGAACTTATTGGGGACTGTATGTTCTCGATGGTGTATTTTCTGGTATTGCTTGTGCTTCTAGTTTTATGTAAGTGGCCTTGCATCTATGATTTTAACATCTCGGATATATGTTAACAATTTCTAGCTTATCCGCGGTTGAAGCACACGTAGATCTACCTTGCGAAGATCACGAGTATGAAAGTGGAGTATGTAATTTTTCTTACCACTTACCTTACACTTCTCCTCCACATGGCCGAAAGTTCTAATCCTCTATAGCATATTCCACGACCTAGAACCCTTTCTGAATATGACTCCCGTGATTTCGAAGACGAAATCCCAATCTTCTCTTCTTTCACATACCTCATTGACCTTGTCCGCATCATTGGCACCATTCTTAGCATCAACGACATCACAGGCAAGAATCTCGAACCCGCTGTTACCAATGCCGATGCTATGCTTGTTAACTGGAAACTTCATTTACCAGTGGAAAAACAAGGGGTGGTGGATAAGAACGAGGAGGTAGATGAGTTGTTATTCCAGGCACAAAATTTGTTACAGACGTATGTTTTTCTCGCTTCGCATTAATCTCTTTCTATGAGCTAGTTTTATGTGAACCAAAGATGCTAACCGAGTAACCACAGGCTTTTAGTGGTCATCCACCGCCGCCTTTCACGCCTCTATCATTCACCTCTCGAAAAGATCTCCCGCTGCGCACGACCACCGCCTACATCTCCCCCAACTGGCAACGAAGATCTAACCCGCTGGCTGCACACCAAGAAAACCATCGAAGCCGCTCAAACTGCTTTAAATCTATATGCACTCCCAAGTCCAATATTACTGCACACGCCACTAGGTATCTGTGGAATAACGAAGGCAACGCTAGCAAATTTAAGCGCGTGCGCATATGTCTATGATAATAAGGGGGATGGAAATAGAAGTGAACGCGAAGGAAAAGAATCCGCTGAATGGAGGATGGCGAGAGATAGGATAAGATTGGGATTAGGCGCTATTAAGGTCTTAGCAGGTGTTTGGGAGGGCGCGAGGGGAACGGAAAGAGAATTGAAGATTATCGCGAGAGGAGTTTTCGCGAATGCAAGTTTGGGTGTGGAAAGGAGTAGGGGGAGTACACCGGGAATGGGCGGAGGAGCGGGGAGTACGTCGATTCATGGGGCGTTTACGGAACACGGGTTGGGGTTTGAGAGGTCGGGTGGAGATGTAATGGAAGGAAACTTTGAGGAGGATTTTAGCGCGGGAGATTTAGAGTATCTGAGTATTTTGAATGGATTGGCTGTGGGGACAAATTCTGGGATTTTGGGGGGTGGTGGGACAGCCAATAACTGTTGAAGTGAAGAAAGAAGAAGGCCAATGGAGTCCAACACTACAGGAAATGGTCATGATTCGTTTTATGAGGATATAAAAGTACTCGGGTAAAGAACAAAGTGAAGTGTCACGAGCTCTAGATGCGAGTTGGAGTTTTTTTGTATGAAAAGTGCATTTTGGGTTTGTGGTTTTGGGGCTTTGTGTTTAGGAAAAGTGGATTGGTTGGGGATATCTGTATTACTGTGGGAGGTGTAAATTGGTTTGTTGTAGTAAAAGATGAATGGAAGTCAAAAAATAGAAAAGGGGGAAGTTTTACAGATACATCGTTAACACGTGCTCTGTGATTAGAGTGGGAAGAGCAGTTGATTTTGGAAAGGAGACGAGTTTAAGTTCGCTTTATGAATTTCATCACAGTTTTGTATTGAAGCGTGTTTTTGTTCCGTTTGTTGAATGAGGTTTATCAAGCTGGGTTTAAAGAGTAATTATGAGAGTCTTTGAAAATGAAATTTGGTGGTGTGTATGCGCGGATGTAGTACTGGCTTGTTGTGCTGGGAAAGAAATTGAGACAGGGCAGCCGTCAAAAATACGGCTATGAATTTTTCTGCGTGGGTAAAAGTAGCGCAAACAATTTGCAGCTACTAGAATTTTGAAGAGTTCTGAGAAACTGGAGAAACAAAGTGACAAATGATAAAATACCCAACTCAAATGTTCTATTGGTACGTACACTACTGTTTAATGCCTGAGGGAAGGATTGAGATTCCAAGAACCCTCGATATCAGCAGTAGAGCTACAACTCGAACCTCGCTAGCCTCAAGTTTGTGAACTGAATGCTCGCAATATAGTTGTTAATGCGGGTTCATCTCTAACATGTGTAGCGCTGGTATGAGTACCTGTACGAATTGTATGTGTCTCAGTCGGACACAACTCACCCTACAGAGCCGGAACTAACGACACAGACAGTAAGATTAGTTTGACATCCGCATGGTAGGTTTGTGGTAGCAGCACTATACGGAGACAGCTTACACCTGCGGCCACTTTATTCATGAAATATCAACACCAAAAATCGCAGACATCCTGTGAGCACCGTTAGTAGAATACCAAAAGCATAATTTCAAGCTCGCTACATAAGGGTTAAAGGGAAAAAAACGGTTCTTTTTCTCGCATATTCAATAACCTATTAGATTCACCTCTTTCCTAAGACAAAATTCTTCCCACGCTTAGAACTACGTTTATGGAGCTCTCTCGGGCGTTCCATTCCAAAGAAAGTGAAAGAATAAATCTTTTGATTCATACATAACTCGAATGAAACGAAGACAGTTGCTTCTGATGCCTTGGTCATGCGGGTCTTTTCCTTGTCATTCTTCAAAAATGTTGCTTGGAAAGTAATTATTTTCCAATCTCTCTGTTCCTTGGATGTGGTGCTGAATAAGATAAAACCCATTAGCATTTGGCACATCAAGCTCTATAATCCTCTATTTCTGTTTAAGAAGTACGATAGACGAGGCTTGTGAATGATGAATTAAGAAGGTAACTGATGCACGTGACCACGCGATAGCTCTCAGATCCACTTGTAAGTAATGAGTTGATCAAATTACAACTCAATAACCGCTCATTGATATATCGAAAAAATACATTACCGGTAAAAATTCAGAGAATAGCTCCATACCCAATTTGAGAATAACCTCAAATTCTATAGTGAATCTTAATATTAAACTGAAAAAATAAAAAAGAAATAAATTGTATTTATATTTTATATATATTTTCTATATAAAAACTAAATAGAATAAAAAGACTTTTAGATTTCAATATTCTTTTTTTTTTTTAAAAGGATCTTTTTGTTCTAATAACGAAAGATCAATAATCAAACCGTATATACGCTCGAATTATTTAAATCATGGTTTATCAACTTTAAAACCTATAATCAGCTTATGGTTATTTTGAACCTACACCGCCTATAACTATGGTTAGCCATAACCCACCCACCAAACCGCGCATCGACTAACTTTCCATATTCGTCTTGTCAACATTATTGAATAAATCTCGACCAATATCAATCGCAAGTCGCGTCAATTCAAAAATCAAAGTTCCACAGCCATGGCGATCCTCGAGGCTGTTCCTGGAATCAAGGTTACTGTGTGCGTGGATGGGGAAGCTCTTCAAGAATACGACGATGATGGGTTTGAGGCTGTTTCTGAAGGAGAAGTCGAAAATTATCAAGCTTCTAGGACGGTTGCTAAATATATCGAATCGGAAACCGGCAAGAAGTTCGGGATAAAGCTCGAAATAAGCAAAGAATACAAGTTTGACTCCCCGACCGTTGGCTTCGTAGTTTTTGTAGATGGAGTGCGAGTTAGTGACTCAATCATCAGCAAGAGAAGCGCTCCTACGTAAGTTTCCAAGTTGATGAGCAAATTTGAGCCGCGCTCCATGATCAAACGATTAAGAGCACTTTTCAAGTTCCCCAAATTTCCAAATTTGTAGTTCTGTAGGCCCAAAGACTCATTTTCTTGGCAGGTACACAGAGAAGAAAGGTGTCATAACTGAATCGGAGAATGGGCAATCTTTCATGGAGCCATTTATTTTCAGCAGCATAATCACAAGTACGTCTGGAATCGTTGCCAGGTGAACCATACATATATCTTTCTGCTAGTTTCCCGCGAGGCGTCGATGATTCAAAGTTATCATCTATTAAAGAGGATGCAGACCGACTGAGCGTTGTTGGAGAGATCATGGTGAAAGTCTATCGTAAAAGTGAGGACTTTCTATCAACCGCCAATCGGCGCCCTCAAATAAAGCTTAAAGTTGATACGTCAACACCGGTGCACGAAAAGGCCCTCAAGGGACAAGCTATGTCACATGGCACTACGTGAGTCAGCTCCTGATACCACAAAGTCTACAGGCTATCTAAGAATAGTCTAACGGGTAATCTTTCATTAGACTAGGAGTTCCTCAAGCAGTGAAGAAGAGGAGAAGGTATACAACGCGTTCTCTGGACGGAAAAGACTTTCCGATTGCCATCTACCAATTCAAATACAGGTCTAAGAGTTAGCATCACGCTTTCCTCCTCGTATTTTGCTAAAAATTGCAGAGTCCCTTCAATCTCTCTTGATACTCGAGAGAACCCCAGAGCCATCACCTTTTCCCTCCCATTATCCCATTCCGAGTGGAGCTTCAGGATCTTTTGATCTTGATAATCTCGATGCAACGCAGAAGGCTAAGCTTCAAGAATTTTTGGAAAATTTGATGGTATGATCCCTCCATGATTATTTGTATCCCGCTAATTTATCTTTATCAGGGAACTAGCACTCAGCCCAACGAAGAAAGGAAGATCAAGCGCGAAAGAGAGGAAAGTGGAAGTAGACTTAAGGCGAGCAAGCGATCAAGGAGAGGCGGCCGTGTGGAAATTGATCTCACAGGAGATGATTCCAACTGATCGAGCGTATCTTCACAATCTTGTTCAAGCCACTCTGGGTCGCATGGGACGTTGGTATAACGGTTTTTGCTGTGCAAATCTTCATCAGTGATGGGACGAGGAACATGCAGAATTAATGGTGCCAATCAGTATTTACAAAATTGGTACTCGAGATGGCGACAATTTACTTATCAGGATATAAACATACAGGTATCTAAGGCATAGCAAAATATCTAGTCATCTACTAGTGATGAAAGCCAAAACACAATACACAGTATACGCTTCTTTCCATATCACAAGCCTGGGTAAAAGCAATTATGAAGAAGGCATAAAGGTAGAAGAAGAAATCTACGATATACTAATATTGACCTCAGAATCATCACCATTAAACGATACCAACTAGATAGGTAGACGGTATTAAGAGCAGTCCAGTCTAGTCTACGATATACTACTCATAACGAAAAGACATCACCCAGCACATCACATCATCACATCATCACATCAGAAAAAACAAAACACGCTTGGTATCAAAACCCTCATTCAACACAGCAATCCGGAAGTTTCTTCGTTCACTATAAACTTAAAAAAACAGCGATGAATAGAAAATATACACCAACCAGTCTATAATCCCTGGGTTGATGATATGGGTGAGCGGTATGTCACGTTTGTTTTCATGGCGGTGTATATCACGTGATATCGCGTATCACAACTTTTAGGCGCGCGAAATGGGTTCAACCGTAAGACCAAGATTCTTCGAAACAACTACTACCTTAAATTGAATCGTTCGTGGAACAATTTTGGGAAAGTATTTGATGACCAGTATTCGCGAGTAATCAAGGTATTCGAATCCACCCTCAACTGCATAGGCCTCCTCAAATCGACCTGTGAGTTTGAAATAGCCACAATATTGACCTTGGAACTGTTTCCACTTGTTGCAGAGAGCTAACGATTTTTTTGAGTAGTTTACAAGTTACCATTTCCTTCTGATTCCTAGATTGCGATTTTGTCAAAGTTTCACGCAACTTCGAAAAGATGGTTGTACTCGACAAATTTCCGAATCTGGCCGTTACTATCCAGATGAATGGAGCGGAAGTTCAGGAATACAATGACGATGAGGAAGTAGAGGTTGGATCGGCACCGGCTGGCGACCATCAAGCCCTCAGAACAGTGTCCAAATATATTGAAGCTATTGATGGTGCTGAGTTTAGCATTAAATGCTGTGCGTCACGCCAATTCAAGATCGACGCGCCAAATCTCCAAATAGACGTTTCAGTTGACGGCAATTTTTCCGAATCGTTATTGTTTAGACAGGATCACATAGGGCAGCCTCTGATAATTAAAGGCCCAACTACTTTCCACCCTGCATCGAACAATGGCCCAGAACGATGGGCACTACGAAAGTTTAGGTTCTCTAAGCTTGATATCTGTACATTGCCTTAATTTCACAAATCTTAATCCTCTTAATACGTGTGCTAACGTTGCGAAGCAAGTGAAGAGTCTCGACTCTCAAGCTTGAACAAAGACAAGGCTGAAGCCGAAAAGGTTGGTACAATTGAGGTCAGAATCTGGCGAGTGTCCGCAGCAACACCAGTACCACCCCGTGCGACTCAGCAAAAAACCATCGCCTGCAATAAGTTTCATGAAAAGGCGCTTAAAGGTGAAGCTAAATCCCACAATGTCTCGTAAGTTGGATGATAATTATGATGCCCATCATCCGGCTTATAGTTTTAGGTACTCGGGAGAAACCCCTATCCTTGCTGCAAGTAGGGTTGAAGTAGAAAAGATCGATGGCAACGGCTATCCTGTAGCCATATACAAGTTCAAATACCGGTCGAAAGGTACAATGCAAATCAGTTGAGTAGGGAATCGTTACTAACGTCGATACAGAATCTCTCAAGCAGTTATTGATCATTGAGCGAACTCCCGAGTTAGAGGACAGCCCAGCCCCTGACCCAGAATTAGTCGTTGATCTCGAGAACTTGACAACTGATCAACGGGAACGACTCCAGGAGTTTCTACTCATTCGACGCATTACTGTTGGTAGCTAACGATATCACCTCCATACATAAGCTGACTTCACATTAGAACCGTTCATCCCACACCCCCGAAAGAAAAGTCAAACGCGAGCGGGATAACGGAGAAGGTAGTTCAAACCAAGCACGACGGAAGAAGTCTAAAACGACACAGTTCGTTGATCTCACCGGGGATTCTGACGAAGATGAGTAGAAATGGATCCTCATTGCGGACATCCAAAATCGCAGAGATTCCACTTTCATTTTCCTTGTGGCGTTCCGGAGTTAGCCATTGCTCGATCTTTAGTTAATCAGATATACCCTATTTATGTCTTATGCGCGGGGAGATATTTATTGGGTACAATGGTGCACTGGAGGTAATGTGGGAAAAAAATTTATTGTTCCATCTAGTCCGGCGGACTTTCATGCAATCATGGTTATTTTTTTAGTATCTTAGTATCACGAATCTCAAGCATTAATTTTGCAATCTGACACATCACAAATGAATGACTAAGTAGTGCATGTGTTCTCAATACCATACAAAAGCCACACACTTGGCAAATCATCTACTGCATACATGTCAAGTTGAGGTACTTCAAAGATAGATTGATTTAACGACTCTTCATAGGCAAATCATTACCATCTTAAAACGGGTTCCAAGCCTCCACCAAACCTATCTTTCCTCTCACTGATTTCTTGTTTTAAACATACTCTAATTACCACAAAAATGAATAGAAGAACTTCACCAGCAATCGTTGAGTTCAATGATCAATAATGGATCATTATTCATAAGTATTCACCCTTTTGTATCTTTTTGCTCTACAAAGGTACATAGATATCCATAGTAAGTCTCTCATATTAATTATGAATCATATTTTAAAGTGTTAAAATGAGTGCACGTGTTGGGTATTTCATTTATCCCAATGAACAGAATTGATATAAAAATTCATTTTGGGCACCATACTTTTTTTTCTTTCCCCGTCTTCGCACTAGGTAGTTATTATCTGTTTTTCTGGTAAACATCTTCTTGCTAACTACATCTTCAGAACTCTTCCATCACATCACTTTCCGTGTGCAATCATAAATATTTCAAAAAATGGCACCTACAACCAGCCCTGAAGTTGGGTCACGAAATTCGTCGGCTTCAACCTGCACCATTTGCAATCTACCAGCAAAAGACTGTGCACTCTGTAAAGCCGCAGCCTATTGCTCATCTACATGTCAAACCCTAGATTGGCCCCTTCACAAAACCCTTTGCAAAAAGATCACCACAATGCCTCCACGTCCAAGTCCCATTCATAAACTTGGCATTCTCTTTCCTCCCAACAGCATGTCCCCAAGACTAGTTTGGGTAAACTTTGAGAGAACCAAAATTCCTGACGTCGAAGGGCTTTTCGATGCGCCGTACGTCGATGACTTGCTCTCTTATGGCCCGGGAGATCGATGGCATTACGAACAACTTTTGATCGAGCCGCAAAATATTGAGCGAGCACGAAACATTAGCCACACGCTAGCTTTCTACATGCGGGATGACTTTGGATCTGATGGGTCAAAGATGACGCAGTCTGTTAATTCCATCACGGCTGTAAAGATGAAGCATGATTGGAAAGGACCTCTGTTTGTTGTTGCTTTTGAAGGGGAATGTGTTCCTCAAAAAATGGCGTTAAAGGTGGGAAACATGTCTATTAGCGCACTAGGGGGTGTTGCTTTTCGGAGAGGCATGTCACTTTGAGAGACTTGAGAATAGTTCATGACTATTTCTTGGCTTATCCATATTGGGCGGCGCCTGGCCTCACATTCAAGGATCAGCATGGAAAGAGCATAATATGATTATTACAGATGAGAGAAGCGGTTGTCTTATGCTAGATATCCTTAGGTCATGCCTAGATAATGCAGTACATTTCACTCGCAATACAGCGAGCCCTAAATTTCTCACAAGCGCGCCTCAGTCAAATTGGTAATTGGTCAAAAAGTTCGTCGAATCGATCCTATTTTTCTTTTCTTAGGTGGTAGTGAAAAGCTCATTGTGACTGTTTAGTCTCGATGTTGTCTCTCCAAAGATGCCCATACATCAGCCTCGAAAATCTCACGAGGTACATAATTGACTGCTTTGAATTCCTCTACAGGCCCTGGATCATTGAAGGCTTCCACTTTCCTCACCCCTTTTCCAACTTCTAACACTGTTCCCCCAAGATACTTTTCACTTTCGATAAGTTCTAGCATCCTCTCGGCAACAAATTCAGGAGTTACCCAATACGAGTCATCCGGATCCTCTTTGGAGAGAAATAGCATTTTTTCGGGGTGTTCTGTCCATAGTGGAGTCTTGATTAGACCTGGTGCAACCGCACTGACACGTACTTTTGGGATATCTGGTGTGGGAAATTCCAATTGTGCCAATGAACGAACGAAACCCGATATGGCATGTTTTGAGGCTACATACATCGGGTTCGGGAAGAATGGAAGCTGGCCGGCGACACTGGATATATGAATAACAACTCCAGGCTTCTTTCGTTTCATAAACTGCTCTATCGCCATTTGGGTCGTGCGGATCGGATGTGTGATGTTGATGTCAAATATTTTGTACCTCGACTCGGAAGTTTTATCAACTGACGGAGGAGTATTGGGAGGGAACCAGAAATTCGAAAATGGCTGCACTATAAATTAACATTTATTTCCAAGCCAGAAAAGTGGTAACAAACCGGTTCAAATATGCCAGCTCCCGGGCAAACGATATCTGCACCACCAAAATGCTCATTTGCTACTTCGAACATTTTCTCCAACTGTGACCATTCTGTCACATCCGTTTGCTGGAACACGGCTTTCGCTCCATTCGAAGATGTGGAATATTTCGAAACCAATTCCTGTGCTTCTGGACGCAGAACTAAATCTGCAATCACAACATTACAGCCCCTGCTGAGTAGCAATTTTGCAAAACAAAAATTGATGCCAGAACCACCTCCAGTGACAATCGCAGTTTTGGACTGAACATTCATCGCCATTTTGCACGAGCTCAAGTATTATGAATCGTCTCGAATGTAAAGGGTACCCCAGCAGGATATTTAAGCATCAGAAGCGCGATCTTAGCATACATATAATACTACACTGCGATCGGATTGGGGCATTCATGTGGGTTAGAGGAGGAAGATGCTACCACGGCAGGAACGATGCGACGCATGAAAGCTGCACATGAAGAAGTCTCAGCTTTTGCTCAGCTCTCTGCATCACATTCCAGTTCTGGCCTAGATCTTCCAAGTAGAGCTATTCGATATATCAAAGGGGTATAGGTCCTGTAGATCTATACTAGAAACAATGGAGTTTTTAAAGTAGACTGAAGATAAGCGAGATACTTTATTCGGTTTTCTGCGAAAATCTTTAATCGATAAAGTGGATTTATGAGGAGTATTCGAATCAATTGGCTATAAGGACGACCTTTAAGCTTATACAGGAAGGTGTTCTATCTACGTCTTTTGATTTCACCCCGCCAAGCTCCCCCACTTTGCTCCGCCAACCACTAACCAGCCCGAGATAACATCAACATCAAGAAACCAAAAATGACATATTACTCCATGAAGGGAAGGTTTTCCAACACCAATTAACCTGCTTGGATGCGTACCTTTGAGCCTTCAAAAACCCCGCTTGCTCGCCGCTGCGATCTGGGGCCCCGCCTTTTTGCTAGCGGCGGATCAAGAAAAGACTCGTCCCGCTTTCTCGGATTCATTATATCTGTCAAACATGGTGTGGAGATTGCCAAAAATCTCTCCTGGTAATTATTAACAGTCTGCGTCTGGTTCGTGTCGGGGCATAAAGCTGCATGAGGGGTGGCGCATGGAAGTGCGTTGGGTATAAAGTTGATCAAAGTTCTTCATCTTTTCAACCATCGGGACTGAAAGTTTTGACTTTCTATGGTTACGACCAAGTAATTATCCTGCCAAAATTGTTACTGGTGGGATATCCATCAACAAATGTTTACGGAACCTTCACTTCCGTCTACAGTCCGAGCTGTTTCTCTGGCGCTCTTTCTACTATCTGGATGGGTGATTTTCTCGGCCGACCTATAGTAATACTCTTGAGCAGCACTATCATTACCTCAAGTGCACTAATTCAGACAACCAATCTCGAAAGTCCGTCCACATTCATCGCAGGCGCCCCGTACTCTCTATCAGGATCATGAGTAGGAGCGAGGCGAAGACCTAGTGACCTTAGACCTTGTGGATCATTAGTGTAGGATTCTACGGCATCAACAATCAGTCCTACATCACTGATATAAATCGCGGAAGAGCTACATAATAAGCTGATAATTTTGCTACTTATCTGGCTTCAGCAGGTATTCAAGTGAGACTGTAGCCGTGATGCAAGATGTCGTGGGTGGAAGTCTGGCGAGTTCATAGGTGAGCATATGTGTTACTACCCATTTGGACAGACAAATTTCACACGTTTGTCTGAGAATCCACCTGAAATGCTGATGATGAGAATAGATGTTCTATATTACCCACAGAATGCGACAGTCCTGCCGAAGAGAACATAGCATAAGAGTAACAAATATTTGTCGTCTAATTAAAAGAGGATCATCCTCATCCATGTTCCATGAATCTAGAAATTGACAGAGATTTCCTATCATTCTCATATCCGGTGTCTAGAAAAGAACCATGAAAGCAGAAAATTAGACAATGGTTTTTTATGACCAAGAATTTGTACTTCTTGTGACGCTTTCCGCCGATAAGACTGACTCAAATTTGGAGTCATAATGAATTGATATCATTCAATATGATTCGATTATTCCAGTGATTTACATAGAGTCATCTATCCACAGGAATAAAAGACCTCGAAGTTCCCCATCATTTTCATTTCCTCTCCTTTCTTTCCTTTTCACTTTCTTATCAACAGAGGAGCCCGACGTCCATTTTCGCCATCGCTTTTTATCACACAGATACACCAATACAAAGTACTTCTCAGACCAGGAGGCTAAGAAGCCCATATTGTAAGTGTTTCAAAGTCTAGTGGATCTGAAAGTCGCTGAAGCAATATAGTTATCCAACTACATTTCTTCGAGTACGGAGTTGCTACGTTATTCCTCACTTTTTGATTATCGTTATCCTACATAAATCAATACTGCATGTATTAATTGATCCCTTCTTATGATCCGTCAAAGACTGACCTGCATTCAAAGATAAACCATAAGGCATATCTCTTCGAGCACTTGCAGAAAGATAACAGCCGAAACTCCTTCATCATGTCGGATCCAGACTCACCCTCTATCCGGATATTCTTCGATTGTGCATGCTTGAAAGGAGAAGAACGCATATTTGAAAACAGCGATCCTGTGATAATCTATGTATCGCATCGATTGAGAGTATGTAGGCGTTGCAATCAAAATGAAGTAAATGGCATGAACACTTCAATCGAGGACGCCGTTACTAAAGAGGCAGAAAAGATTGTTGAGGCCTACTTGAAAGCTTTCAACCATTTGGGCCGCTGGGGATTTAGACCAAAAGGAGAAGGCCATGAGGATATTCGCATTAATGGGATACTTATCTGGATTAAAAAGTTACAAGAAGGCTTGACGGATCTCGAACGCGATCAGCCTGGTTTCGTGAATTTGGGTAACGATGAAATGATTGAGAGACCGCAGTATTGTTTTGCAGGTCAAGCTCCTTACTTTTTGTCTGACTTAAATGATTCCGAGTTGCTACATAAACACGTGAGCAATATTCGACATGCCCAAACGGAGATAATCCAGAAAGCTGCAAGAGCTCAGGCGGGTCTAGAAGAAAAAGGATTTATGGTGCAAGGCGAGTTTATCAAGGTAGCTGAGAAGAGAAAGAACAACTGCATCACGAGCGGTGACTACATCGAAATGGTTCCGGATTGGGATTTTTTGGAGGTGATAGATCGGTGTGTCGTGGATCTCATAAATGTAGTGTGGGAACTGAAGGACGGGAAACCTGTACAAGTTAATGAGACGGGGTTGCGGGTTCCCTCAACAATAGTCATGGGATGATTTTAGGCCATCGGAGCGCCAGGGGAGAGCTAATACATCCTAAGGAGTAAAGCAAGGTTTAGCGTAGAACTAGTGGAGGAGTTAAGATAGTATGTAAAAGCAATGCGAGGTTTTCCAAAAAAAAAAGAAATGGTTCATTACTAAAAGTAGGTATTGATTGTCTTCCGTTCATAAACCCACGGTACGCAAGACAGAGTATACGAAAATAAATCAACGATAACACTAACAAAAGAAGAATTACCAAAGTTATCCTCATAGGAAGAACCCAGACTACAGAAAGCAGAAAGTAGGCCCGCGGAAGTTGAAGAAAATGACTGTGAGTGAGTACTGAGATGTAATTATTATGACTGACTTGAGCTTAACATTCATTTTCTGATTTAAGTTACCAATAAATGCCAGAATTCACCAAATCAAACTAAACCAAACCGAAAAAACGAAACGATTGTTATAAGGAAGTGTGTATCTGCATACAAACAGGCAGATATTTATCCTCACCTCAATCTTATGACTCTGCATAGGTAGGAACCAACTCTATTTACTCTTGCGTATAGAACCATATATAATACTTCGGTATCTAGTAGAACAAAACATCCTCACCACGAATATAAATATAAATATAAATATAAATATCAAAGATATACTCCAACTCATCCATTGAACAATAAGAATCCTCACCTAAATAGCATCCCTCCTTCGCGAGTCACAGACGAGAACCAATTTCTTAAACTCAAAACCGCAGTGGAAATTTCCAGTCATATAACGACTTTAATGGTATCTATTTAATAAATACACCAAGTCATGATGAGCGCGACCGAAGAATGATTCAATAATGATTTCTACCTGAATGTATAAAAGCTTTCAGCTCCCGCTGTCCCTACTCCTTCTCCTTCTTCTTTTCCGAAACTTCAACAGCACCAGAGCACCCTCTACTTCCATAGCTAAAACAGAGCATCGATAATATCTCGCGCAAATACTCATACATACACATAAGCATTTCCCTCCTCGAACCATCAAAGTATGCAAGCTAATAATCAACATCCTCCTTATATCCCACAAGACAAAAAACATCTAACATTTCATACAGACAACTCTTTCAAACACAAAAACAATGTCGTGCAGTTCAATGAGCATCGCAGAGCCCAACACCATCCGCAGCGTAATCAAATTGCAATGCGCAAAATGCCAGCTCCGTGAAAAAATCCCCTCGGATTTCCAACTTAAACTTCAACCACAATGGCGGGTATTCCAAAAAGAGGTGGAAAAAGAATTCCTCCGCTTCGAATATGTGAAATACGATCAAAAGCTGCACAGCCCGTACAAGGACTATGAATTCATGGAATTCAAGTGTCATAACTGCGCCAGCACCGATAATGAGAAGAAATTCTGCGATTTTGCGAGAATTGAGTTGCCTCAGGTTTTCATTGAAGTGTGTAGGGGGTATCTGGAGACTGAGCAGAAGGGCGTGGAATATGAGAGGGAAAGCGCTGTTCGCTATTTGAAATCTATTTCTCATTCTGTGAGATCGGATATACATAAGGCGTTTCAGAAGGAGTGGAAGCAAAGTTTTGAAAAGGGAAAGGGCCGGGCGTGAATGGATTTGATGCTAGAGAGAGATAAAGGGCACCACTTCAGGCTATCGTGTTAGGGAGGACATTTTCTTTTAAGTAGGGAATGCTTTCCACATCAAAAAGGATAAGATATTTACAGAAATTGGAAATTTTCAAACACCATTCAAAGGATCCAAAAAGATCCATGTGATGACTGAGAAGCGTGACAACATCTACAAGCCCATTCTTCCATTTATACCCAGGATCCGCTACTTCATTGACATGAGTATTACTTTGAAATGAAATAGCTCAACACCTTCTGAGGTACCCTAAAGAAACAGCGAGACTTTTCAAACTAGCAATATCCATCCGCAAGGTAAAATGGGTTTTGTAAAGTCAATCCTTAGGCTTCCACACATATCAAGAGAAGCAGATACTGTAGACTCGAAGACCAATCAATGATCAATGAACAAGCTTGCGTTCAAGACATAACTTGCAAAATATGCCAATGCTTGTCACGAATTGCAATGATATCAACATACTTGATTGAGATGTAGATAAATAAGCATTAGTAAGTGGCACCACCCCATTCGAGAAGCTTTTGTCTACAACGCACAGCTAGCTTCTTGCATAAGGATAGAATCAGGAATGATTCCCCGACCAACAACCTTTGAAAATATATATCTGTTATAAAGTCCATACACTGGCGCATTAACTGTAGATCTCCCAAACAACAAACACCAAAAGCTTCCGACTTGCGAGTAACGATCCAGAGACAACAGAACGACAGTGACGTAACTGACAGGTTTGTGGCAACGTTGCAGTAATAATTCAAAAGTAAGACCCCTTTTCCACCAAAGCTGCGATGATGAGTGAGATAATCGTGGCGTGATTATTACCTTGAGTTACGGAGATAGCTCCGGAGATGAAAAAGTAGCACCTGATTGGGTAAATGTGAGTAATGTTGAAACCCGGAAGGCCGATCATATTCCGCAGTAAATCCACTAGACTATAATCATTACAGATGCTTGTCACGAAACCTGCAATCTGGCTCAGCCTTATATGCATGTTTCGTAATAATAATTGATGCTTTCTTGATGTAGATAATTATTATCTTCATCGCATGAGTGACTGAGAAAGGAAGCAGTAATCATGTATGTTGCGTACTCGACATACTGCCGAGATGACAAATCCATAGAACAGGACATGAATGGTAAATCGTTTACTTTTCTGATGTTGATGTCAACAACGTATCGCCGAGACGGGCGAACTTGGCCATTGTCTTGCCACGAAAATCGAGAAGCATACCAAGTTCGAATGCCCAAAAAACGAGAAAATATAAATGTAATCGATTGTGGGGTGCATATGAAAAGGCGCTTTTGATCGAGAGTACATTTTCTTGGTTGGTCGCCTTCATTTATACTGGCCGGCCCGTAATAAGACGGACCGAAGGAGACTTCCCTAAGGAAGGATTTGATTCTAAACAAACGGAGAAATGCTTGAGTATGAATAGTGCCGGCGGAAATCTTAGGTAACGAGAGGCTACGCCAACAATATCATATAGATGTAAAAGAGCTCATGTGAACAGTAATGATCCGTCTTGTCGAAGGCTATATCCATTTCACGATCCAGAGTTTGGTTGTTTGTGGAAAATATGATGCTGACCCGATCTCGCGATGTGGAGGATATCAATACGTTTCCAATAGTGCAATGTATGAGGCTGGCTACCACCGGATATCAATTTTTGACTGCGGCTATATATTTTATTGGCGGTTAAGATTGAAACTTCCCCAGAAAGATAATCTATCGCAAGGCGGGGGTAAGCGGTGAGGTATTATTGCCCGGATGGAGGGGTAGCAAGGAAGTTGATTTGACAGATGAAGGCTTTTGATATATCTGGTACCGAAATAGATGAAATGGCGGAGTGCAGAATTGCTACATCGGTTCCGACGGCTAGGCTATTTTGGCGATTGGGGAAGGGAGCCTACAGGTCATAATGTATCGTCACGATGTCAGCTGTTTCTGCTGAGCCCCTTGAGAAATCTCGGAACTTATCATCACATGTTGAAAGATAAAGAGACAGAGTTTCGGTAAAAGTAGTTTGCTGTCCAGTCAAATTATACCTTGGTGTCTCTCCTTTGTTTGTTCTTGCGAAAGAGATCGACGCGTGCTGGTGCTGTTGGTGGTTGACTAAGTAAGCTGAGTCATCCTCTTTGACCGTGGCTTTCCTCCATCGCTTTTCCTGTTCGGTAATATCGGTAATACATTTCCATCGTACAATAAGAGCATTACGCCACTATCAAAACTGGACCTACAGGACGTCGTGACGAGTTAGGAATGTGATATTCCACAAAGTTTTATTTTTTCAAAGTAAATGCCTATCCATGTTTACTTCCCAGTCAGGTCACACCCGCATTGACACATTCAAGTTGGGCCGAAGCATTACCTAGATAATTCCGTCAGACACAAAACCTTGAAGATTATCATCTGGCCTTCTCAATCCGGAGAGTGTAATCCTAGTGAACTGCCCAATATGAGATGGTATTTAAAATACATAACCTCATAACTATTTCCCTTTTACGTATATGTGTTGGGTATCATCGCGTTCCAGCTTGCTGTTGAAGTCTAAGGTTGCACATTCGAAATCAACAACTCAACATCAACATTTGCCAACTCATCCCTAAGCAAACAAAATAAATATCAGCCTCGTCTCTAATCGCATACTTAGTATTGCGCTGAGCCATCGCAGATTAGTTATTAACATCAAATTCAAATTCTCAAATTCTTATCTTTCATACTCATCATGTCGAGAACTCATACAAATAATACCTCTGCCGACGGCAGACAGTACTTTTTGATCACAAATGTCACAACGACCAGTAACGCAAACACTGAATTTGATCTTCAGGCTGAACCATGGAGGTTGCCGTATAGTATCAACGACTCTGATTTGACTTTCGATGGAAAACCATTGAACATGCTATATGAAGAAAACCGATGTATGGCAGAAGAACATGTGACTCAAAACTCACATGACTGTAAATCACATGACGTATGTTTCCTCCTCACTTGATGTTTCTGGTGTGCCTTGCACACGTAGACTGACCAAAGACTATATAGAACTCTAAAGGACGTGGAAGAAGTCGCCAGAGAAAGTAAGAGGTTGTTGTGTTGGCACCCACAAGCCTAACTTTCAATGAAAGGTTGTGGTGTGGATGTCTCTCTTTACAAATACCTACAACAATTCTTTTCTCGAAATGGAAAACGACCTACGCGATAAGACTTCCAACGATACTTTTTCAAGTATTGAGTTCTTTATTGAGTGTAAATCTCTTGGAGTGCATATAGTATGCAGCTCTTCGAGTACTGCTCCGTTCCCTGGGGATTCCGATCCTAGCATCGCAGTTTAGGACGGAAGTGCATGAGAGCTTTCGATATTCGTGTAACAGTCATGAATATTCTTGTCAGCAGGGTTGGACTGTTGGACTTGTACCAAGAACGATTGATACGCGTGTAGAATTTACGGCTCACCATTGGTGTGGGACTTGGGATGGAAAAGTTCGGCCAGACATCCATCAGCGACTCGGATTCCAATTCAACGATTAAGCATCAACAGAAGATATAAGAGTAGAAAAAATTCGTTACCTTATCGATGAGATTGCAGAATAAATCTCAGAATAGCATACCATTGCAAACGATGTGGAAGCCAGGGTGACTATACCACAGGCGCGTTGCCTGAGAAAAATTTGTATATCTCGCTTAATCGCCTCGATATTCACCCACCTCCTTACCTACCAATAACAAATCGGTCATAACCTCATATTATACGCAAGAAGAAATTGGGATGACTCTCCCTAGCGTTTTGCTGTGTCTCATTTGATTACCTTTCGGTTTTGATAGTGGCTTAATCCACCTTGAGGATTGGAGGAAATTTTTAGAAGGGAAGACGGAGGGAGAGCAAGTTGCGGATGCGGAGGAAAGATTCTAGGTGGTGACTCGATCTTGGCATGTATTATTCTCTTGGTATCTTGCGTTTGGAGATTATCTCTTGAGAACTATTCACGGAGTAGAAGATTCTGATTGTTTACCATCTTGAAACTCGTAGGTGGAGGTTGGTAGAGGGCGGGAGTAGGTTCCTTGTGGTATGATTAGGGTAGAGGATTACTATCTCAACCAAACATTATTATCACTTTGCCTAGCAAATTTAAATATTCTTATGTAAAAACGGTGTGTGTTTGTGGATTATAGCTCCCTCAGTATCTGAAGGTTACAAAAAACGCTGCAATATCGCTTCAACTGATCATAAATCCATTCTCCGTTCAATGACTGCTTAGGTATCTCCTTTTTGGTCTCCTTCATCCCTAATTCACTACAATCTCTTCTCGACAGTCTTCCAGTTAATCACATCCCAGATAGCATTGAAATAGTCCGCCTTTCTGTTCTCATATTGCAGGTAGTATGCATGCTCCCAAGCATCAACCCCCAATAAGGGAGTGAACTTGCCCACTACTGGATCTTGGTTTGCGTATGTTTTGATTTGAACTTGACCAGTCTCGTTATCCTTGACTAACCACGCCCATCCACTACCTTGGATGCCTGCCAATGCCGAGTTGAATTTGGTCTTGAAGGATGAGAAGTCTCCATACGTGGTCTCAATTGCAGCCTATAAATAGTATGATTAGCCATTGCCCTCCAGGAGTCAAAGCTTTATAGACTTCTTAGAGGAAGGATCGTAGCCATACCTTCAAAGTACCTGCGGGTTCTCCACCACCACCATTCTTTCTTGGTGCCAAATTTTCCCAGAACAAACTATGGTTCAAATGTCCACCACCGTGGAAGTTGATGAGTGGCTGCAATGCAATGGCAGTAGCAATATCTCCCTTAGATTCAGCGGCCTCAAGTTGCTCATTCGCGATATTGAAGTTGTTGACATAGGTTTGATGGTGCTTCGTGTGATGAAGCTCCATGATCCTGCCAGAGATAGAAGGTTCAAGTGCGCCATAATCGTCTGTGATCTCAAATTAGCACATGTAATAAGATACCTGGACGGCTGGATATGGGTATGAAAGGAGCTAACATGGAAGATCTGGAAGAGTAGCCTTTCCACGGACGAAGCTTGTGCTTGCCATTGAAGCAGCCCGTTTGGAAGAGCTGGCTCTAAGAGCAGCACGAGCTGCAGCAGATGTGCGAAGAAGTGTAGCGGACATTTTGAGTAATATTTGTGCGTTTGAAGTTTGGTATCGCTTCAATTCTTGATATCAATCGAACGTTTGCGAAAGAGGGGAAGCTACCGGAATTAATATTTGGAGCTCCCTGTCGCATTATGTCATTGTTGATTACATAAGCCATGAGAACACAAATAAAACCGCGGTGCCGATTCAAACAAGATCATCGTCGTCCGCATCCTCTCTCGCAACAAACCATTGGATTTTGAGAAGTCGTTTTATTATGTGGATTAAGTGAAGTTTAATCTACAACCGCGGACCTGTGGTTTTTGATAATGTCCTACTACGATATTGACGCGATTCTTACTGACGCTCAAGTATTTACCCCTCCTTTTACTCAAAGTTATTGTATTAATATATGCTAGAAAATTCCATGCACATTTGAGCTTGACGTTCCCTCCCTGGGCTATCTCGATAATAATGCTGCTACGCCCCTGAAAAAACATACTCGCGTCGACCTCCCTTTATGGCTCGCTGAACTTCTCGCTGTTTCCTCCTCTCCCTCTTCTCAAAAGTCTCTCGTAACCCTCGATCTCCCCGCTTGTCTCGCCCCACGCGTTCTCAATGCATTAAAGGCCGACCCTAAGAGTGTTGATTTGCGCAACCTAGCGCAGAATTTTTATGGATTGGGTGTAAGAGTTCTGGAGCTGTTCGAAGAGGAAGAGGTATGCGATGTTTTGATGGAGAGTTGGAGGACAAGAGCTGGTGAGATTAGCGATCATGCGGGGAGTGGAAGTGTAGGACAGAGTAATAGCAGAGGGGGAGGAGAGGGAGTGGAGTTTTTGAGGAGTTTGGATGAAGCGGAACGGGAGCTGTTTAAGGCGGCACACGAGGGGTCTAAAGCAATGGGGAAATGGATGGGCGAGGTGAAGAAAGGGTAGGCGACAAGCGGAAGATGGTATCGAGCAGGAGAAGAAGGTTGCCTGGATAGGAGGCGTCTGCTATACTCACGATGGATACCACAAGGTGAAACACTATGGCGTTACTTGGGTCAGAAAGCTTTCATTATTTATGATACCCGTTACTCGATAAATGGTCGATTTAAGAAAAATGATAGAAGATTATGAGTTTGATCAATTCCTCCAAAGTTCGATGATGATTTGGTGTCGAGTTTTTGCTTAGTGGCTCGACAAGGTGGCCTTAAGAATAAGCCATAAATTGGCTGCCAGATCGAAGACTCCTATCCTACAACCCCACATAAAAATACGATGTGACTCAGCCTATCGATCGTCTGGATAGTTCTAGAGACTATAACATGTTCAAATATGCACCTGATGTCCATCTCGGGTATATGCGTTGTCCAAGTAAGCTATCTGCTGTGGACATTTGACGGACAACATTCATCATGAATGTTTAAATGTGCAGCTAAGGACGCTAGTTACACAATTGTCGGGCTAGATTCCTACTTCTCGCATTTGGCATAGCAGTTCCTTACGTATTTTTTCTCTCGTGGTATATTCCTGTTTCTTTACACAACTTCCACATGAAAACTGGCCCCATATTTTCCGCGCATCATAGTCTGCAACAGCACTCAGTTTTGATGAAGTTGGACTTATCACTTCCCGAGGGAATCTCATCGTGTCACCCTGCGCTGTCAAGCTCCAGGGAGAGAGAACGTCAACATATTTTAGACGGGATATATCGAAAAGCCACAAGTGTTCCGCATCAATAGATGGATATGTATTCGGGATACTGCATTTTTCGCGGTGGTGGCGCAGGCCAAGTTGTTACTTACAGCATTCTGTTCAAAATCATTGGAGACATTAATGACTCGGGTTTCTTAAAAGTGGCTAAATCTTTGGAGTGAATTCATCATGGAAATGAACTCCAGAGCATTGAACTTGATGTAGTATCTCTCACTGAAGTTTTTTTGATGGTCCTAAATAGACCACCGTAGTGACGGTGCCATAATCATGCAAAGTAGACCGGTGCAGGAGAGGACGGTTGCAGTTATTATTTTGTCCATCATAGTTCTAAACTTCCGAATTCTAATGTTCACCGTGACATGAAGTGTCACGGAATTTTTGCATTGGAAAATTTGTCGAGTAGATTGGTTTTATCTTTATTTGATTCTAATAATCCGTGTCCATTATAGACTCACACCTTTGAAAAAGGAAATAGACGTTTAGACGTTACCATGTGTAGCCTATGTTAAAGAGGAAAGAACTTTTGAAGCAGCCGAGTTTTTGCCTTGCTTCAGCAAGCCTGATTTATTACTCAATACCCTAGAGCTCTCAATTCCGTCCACAAGCAACAATCCTAAAAGCCATCAAAGAGATAGCGAATTTGGCTCCTCGAAATAAGTTCTAGGAGATTCTCCCGACTCAATCTCAATTTCAGGTACTGAATAATAAGGATTTTCCTTGCTCGCCTTTTCGAAATAGGTCCGGATATCTCTGATACAAACACTTTGTTGCTCGGGAGAGAGGCAGTATGGTATTCCCACGTGATATCCTTGCATATCGAATGTCATAGGGCTGAGAATTAACTTCTTCAGATTCGACATGTAATTGAATAGCTCGCAGCGATAGCCTGCAGGCGAGTACCTCCAGGGGCCGTCATGGGATCGCAGAAACCACGTCCCCATTCCTTTATCATAGCCGAAATTGGACGTCTTGACGATTCTCATTTCCCGGAATAGTGCGCGGAGACGACTTCCCGCGGTAAAGAAGGTTAATCTGTAATGAGCCAAAAAATCACCTTCAAAGTGATAATTCTGACTGGTATCACCCGACCCATTATCCAAGCATAAAATGTCTCTATCGGTGTTGATATAGAAAGTTCGAAACATCTTTCTGTTGCCCTCGGCTTGATCTAATTGTAGCCGCACTTTTGTGTAGATATTTTCCGCCTCATGACGGCTTTCATGGTTGACAAGCAGAATTGATGGTGTTGCTGAGTTGAGGTCGAAATTTGGATACACAGGATGCAATCTAATTCCGAGAAGGCGCTCCTGCTGGGGACAAGCCAAACGCCAAATATTGAGTCGCAGTTCAATGGCGAGACGAGGAAATGGTTCAAATGTTTTGGTTGCTTGTACGTCGATACCATAGCTCATGTTATCGGCACAAATCATGGCAGAAGGTTTCAGTACGTCTCCCTGTATTGCCTGCTTAGAAGGCGGCATCGTCGATTACCTGATCTTTGGAAATAGTCTGAGTTGGAGGTTGGAGTTGAAGTTTGGAGGAGGTAAAAAAGTGGGAGGAGGAAACTGTTCATAATAAATTGGTAGTGCGCAAAGTACAAGTACTAATATTTGATAGAAAATAGTATTTATAATTTTAAAACTTTAACTAAGGGCTTCGAAAGACTTTCCACTGCGTCACCTCATACAGCCTACTCAGCAATATTGTAACGACACAAACGAAATATTGGCCACGTACGGCTCAGTGAGCCATTCATAAAAATCAGATGCATTGAATAAACCAATTCATTCAATTGTAGTATCTGTATCTTTTCTGGGACCGATTCCTGCAGGGCTTGACGATTTTGAGATCAAAGAGCTTCATGGAGTACCAATAAATTATTCTATAGACAAACCCTTGACTATTTCATGGTTCATCAGCCCATTGGACCCTAGATACATTATGTATATAAAAGACTACGCCTCTATCTATTCCAAGACAGATTTCATAGGCGAGATCTCAATGATAAAACACAGGTCCCAGACAGATGAATGTCTAGAAATCCTCCTTGGCCGGTCCAACATTCAATTCAATCCACGTAACAGCCCCCAGAAAAGCTACTAGCCATTCACACTCTCTTTCATCGTGGGGTCTAATGTTCCAGTTCATCCGTATATGCCTGGTTTGTGCGTGTTCCTCTTGTCCTTTGTGAACAAAAAATTTCGGCCACTTCTCTGAGGAGCTGGCATTTTCTGTAGGACCCAATTGGATGCGAGGTACAGTCAACGATGGTTCTGTATAGATATACATGAGACCTTTCAGTACTGTCCTCAGATTTTTGGCAATATTCTCTGGGTACTGGAAAACAACGGAGTTATTTTTAGAGGCAATAGAAATTTCGGTGTCTCCTGAATGAGTTCCTTGCTCCTGATTTAGTAGGGAGACTCTGGCCAAGCTCTCCTCGAGGCTGGTAACTTCGAAATCAAGCGGGTGCTTGGCTAATGTTTCAAGGAGTAACCAAAGGTATCGATCGTATGGTACTAGTTGCATAAGCTCCGTTTCAGACCTATACTGATAGTAATTCCAATAATGAGATAAATTTCTGTCGCATAGGGCCTTGACAGCGAGCCTCTCAAACGTGACCATAAGATGAGTAGTGTTGGGCCGAGCAGCACCCTGGGATGGATCGTGTGGTTTCTTCAAAATTCGTGGATATTGTTCAACCAGACGTGCAGCGAGCCTTAGCTCTTGAGATTTCAGCTTGTTAAGTCGCAACTTGGACTCCTTGATCCAGTTCCAATAGATCCAGCATTCCTTCAGGTTAAGGGGCTGTCCTTGCGACTGCATCCCAGTGTCTTCGATGAGCGGACGAATGCTTCCCCCGTGCTTAAGTAGAAGATCGAGGTCATGAGGATTAATATACAAGCCGGCTCTAATCTTGCGACTCATACTTGTGAATATCAGACCTAAGGGCAGCATGTTCTTGATAAGCATGTAGTAAGACAATGCCAATACAGAGCTCGCTTCTGCCGAAGGCCAGCGATGAAACCAACATATCTCGCGATAAAGAGTGTAATACTTCACTACGCGCGAAATTTCATTGTGTGACGTGAAGACTTGTTTGTAGCGTATATGCGTGATAACACATTGGTCAAGGTACGGTGATTCCCAGGAGAGAATTGATAGAATTTTGATGACTGGCAGATCGTTCATAATCTCGTGAACAAGTTCTATCGGAAGCTTTTGCAAGTTTCGAACCACAACGGGAGGTTCGCGAGGCCATGGCATCGACCAAGGGTTAGAGTCCATTGCGTGCAACGTTTTGAGAAATGTTTAGAAAAAGAGATAAAGCTCTCAATCGACGACGATGCTGTGATTTTATTGTTGTTTAGTTATAATTCACGCAGTTGGAGGTTTGCTGGTTACTGTTTATCGTCTGACTACTAGATACGTTACATCCTGTAATCACAAGATGTAATAGATGCAGTAAGATGTGCCTTCGGGGCCTTGGCTAATTGAACCCCTGAAGCGAGCTACCCGTGCCGCAAATAAGCATAAAAAACCCCACCATTAGGGCTCTCTATCACCTGTATGAGGAAACCTCAACAACAAAAGAAAATACAGTCACAAAAGACCTCGTAGGAATTATCAGGTAGCTAGCTATGTTGAACACGGAGGAATCGTGCCAGAATTTTATCATGAATCAAAGCCCCTTCAGAATAGCTCAACAAATTCGGCAAGACCAAGAGTTATGTCAAACACAAGGACTTCCTAGTCCATTGGCCCTCTACCTTCCCAAAGTTAAATCTCCTTTAGGGGAGAAGATCGCAAAGGAGCTGTATCCTAAAAATGCACCAGCTCGATACTCATATACGATAGGCGCGGCTTTGTACACTGGGATAGTACAAGGAATTCAAGCCTATTTACACCAAATGTCGCCGCAGCCCAGGCATGGAAGTCTTCCGAATGTTATAGAGGATATCCCTGAGGTTGTACCTTCAGTAGAGGATATCGAAACGACACTCAAAGTGCTTGGATATTTCGTCAAAACCTCGGAAGACATTGGTATCAATGGGCAAACGCCACTAAAAGACGTTGTGCAGGTCTTGAACCAACGTTTGCGGGAACCATTTTCCACCGAGGAAAAAAATGTGGCAAAAAGAATAAGAGACAGGCGAAGATGTTATATTTGCCATTTCCTCATCACTATTGCTCATCCTCATTATCCAGCCCTCTGCAAATCGTGTGGAGGTTTCAATCTTGCATCAAGCGATCTTTCACTACCGGATGCCCTGAACCTGGAAGGGAAAACGGCTTTGGTAACAGGAGGCCGAATCAATTTAGGATTTCATACCGCATTACGACTGCTAAGATGTGGCGCAAAAGTAATAGTATCGTCCAGATACCCACGAGATGCATGCGTGAAATATCTAGCGGAAAAAGACTCGGAAAAATGGAGGAAGCGATTAAGGATCATCGGGGCCGACTTTAGAGCAGCCAATGATGTCTTTCATTTAGTGGTTGGTATTAGGCAGATATTGAGAGACTGGAGTACAGAAAACACAGTAAAGCTTGATATTCTCATAAACAATGCTGCGCAGACCTGGACAGACTCAATTAAACAAGAAAGGCGGGCAATTGAACTAGAAAGCCAGCTGAGACTTGAAGACAACCATTTCAATAATCTACTTCTTGACACTAATTACAGTCCTCGAGTGAGAGGTGGCGTTCAAAGTTTGAATCTCTTAGCTTTCGACACGGAACAAAAACGTCTTAATGACATGTTCCCCGAAGAGGCCGGAACAATAGGACGAACAGAAAGTGCAAAATCAATTTCAGCAATGGCGGAAGAACCTAAAACCTCCTGGGTCCAAAATCTATACGAAATACCCTACGAAGACGTCATCTCTGCTCACTCAGTCAACACATTCGTCCCTTTAATTTTAGTTCGCGAACTCCTCCCGCTCATGGGCAGTCCTCTTCCCCATCCAAACACCAATAACCACCCTTCCAAGCCTCTAGCACATATAATCAACGTCTCAGCTCGCGAAGGAGTTTTCGAAGTCACGCCCACTAACCGCCACAAGAATGGTTACCATGTACACACCAACCTCACGAAAGCCGCACTCAACATGCTTACCGAGACTGAAGCAGCAGTAGCCTGGCGCGACAGGAAAGTGGCAATGAATAGTGTAGATCCGGGTTATCTTAGCGCGGCGAAAGAAGTGATTGAGAACAGGGAGAAAAATGGTGGTTGGGATGGATGTCCGATTGGGTGGGAGGATGGTGCTGCGAGAGTGCTTTGGAGTGTGGCTGTAGGGGAGAGTGGAAAGGGAGCTGTTTGGGGGAGATTTTTGAAGGATTTTGGGAGGGGAGAGGGTGAGGATACAATTGCGAGGTAGATTGGGGAATTTTTGTAGGATTCATCTGCTAGAGCTTTTGGATATTTTGCGCAAGTATCTCTAGAGAAAACTGGGACGGGACAGCATAATTCATCTGGATCTTGTAACCTAGTTCTTGGAATCCTACGAACAAGCTGTGAGCTAATTACTGCACAGCAAGGACGTAGGATTTGAATATATTCGACCTTCTTTACTATCTCATGAAGCAGCGAGAGTATAAAGAACTGCATCTAAAGTTCTACTAAAACCCCAGGCAAGCGATCCAAACAAATCATCAAACTAAATGCTATATCATCGAGCTGTTAGTCCAGTAGATTTCATATTTGGGTACCGCATCCTCATTTCCTTTACTCAAATATGATAAAAGTATCTTGCGAGATAATTGAAAGATGGAAGAATATACCATCACTATAATGGATAAAGAAAAATACTAATTATTGAGAAACCTAAAACTAAACGGCGATTATCCAGATCAAAATGGAGCTCCAAAGAAATAACTCCATCACAACTACCAACTATTTACCTCCAACGAACCCCTGACATACCACACCTTGTCAATGCAAATCCTTATTCTGAGCAATTAATTCCTTCAACGCATAGAATCTCTTCTTTCTCCTCGCTAATTCCTCCGTCTTCGCCCTCAAGACCACAATCTTAAAATCAACCACCAAATCTTCCGGGAGAACAAACCGAAGAACATGCGGAGCCGACCGCGGAAAGCTTATTTTTTTCAAAACATTAAAATCAAATTTTTGAATGGCTGGAGTTGCAGATGCATGTTTCAAGATATCTTCACACGGGACATCTCTAGGATCGCACTCGAATAGATTAAGAGCATAGTCAATAGAGATTGGATCCACTAATACAATATCCCTCTTCGCGCACGGCAGATTTCGTGTTTCGTCTGCGAGGATGAAGGTCAAGTGGCGGATATTTCGGTGGAACCATATAATTCCCTTGACATATTTCAAAAAGCTTCGATCGTTGAGGCCGATGGAGATTCTTGCAGGGAGCGGGATGATGAGGTGTGATATTGCGGCGGCGCAGCCTCCAGACCAAACTTGGTTGATGATATGATTGGGAACTGGCGTACGGTGAAAGAGATAGCTACGTGGCTGGTCCGTGAAATCAATATAGATGGAGTCGATTTTGAAGTCTAATACAATCTTGCTTTGGAAGCATCGATTTGGGGTCTCTTGACAGATGAAGCTACTTCTTAGCAATACAGATTCCTTCGAAAACACTGATTGGGATTGATGTTAGCATTTATAAGCAGGCTTTCAAAAGAACGGACGTAAGATAATTGAAAGAACTAATGCCAACATCACACCAGAGTCTTTTGAGGTCAGGATTTTTGCGGCGCAAGGTTTGAGTCAAAGTGCAAAAGAGGAATCCTACCTTCGAAGGCTTCCTTGTTCACTACAATCGAACTCGGCATACTATAATTTGTGTGGTAACTATTGTGTACCAATTGATCGGGTATGAGAGGCTTTATAAGGAGAATTTTCGGGCCCGGCAAGGACTTTTTCCATATAAGTCGCTGGATCTCTAAGGGTAGATGCGGAAACATCGTGAAGGTGTTGAATTCTTCCTTAGATTTTGTGCCAGCTGCTAGCAAATGACGTTGGGGTATGCTATTAGAGCAGCTCGGGGTTGAAGGAGACTTTCCAAGGTTTTGGAGGGAGATTTGGGACAGGATGTAAGGGTCTGGTATACGGTCAGTCGTAGCAGTAAGTCCACCGACTGCATTAGATACTTCATTGAGGGCTCCAGCTTCGGCTTCGGATCGACCGACACTTTGATCGATCTCTACACTGATTTGGGATTTGTTGTCTGGGCCTTGGCCAGCAGATAAATCAGTAACCTGGACATCACTAGTATTTGTACTTTGAGTATGAACATTGTGAGTCGACGCGTCAGATAACTCTTCCATTGAATTTAACTTGAATAACAGTGATAGTGTGAATAAAACACTTGGTAAAATGCGTGCAAAGCAGTTGACAGGTCGAGTATGATGATTGACTGCCAGTTAAGAAGGAGGGAATCGATTTGCTGTATATTGGCGTACGTAGGGGGTATTTCCCGAGGAATTCTCCGAACAGAAGAGCCGTGGCTGGGTGAAAGTGAGGCAGTACAGTATTGGAATATCTAGATTAGGCCACTAATTGCACTGAGGGGTGGAAGTCGCTTTTTCAATGTCTGTAAAACTGCTAACGAGGGCAAATATGGCAGCTTGGAGAATACCGTTGTCTTAAATGCGTATTGAAGAGGTAGCTAGCACTAAAGGGAGCCACCGATATTGATTGTCTCGTAAAGATTCCTATTTACAGGATGCAAGATAGCTAAGAAGAGTAGCTTATCCTGAATCGCTTGTCTGCTACGCAGAGAAGGGATCGTTAAGATCGAGTGTAGATCTCTGGAGGGTGTTTCTTGATTCGTATCCGAAAAAAAAGGGCAGCTCTCGAAGAGCAGCTAGGTAATCTTGCTCTGTGTATTGGATGTGAAGGATGCTGAAAACACTACACTTGCGTCTTCTGCGAATTTGGAGGATACTGCTGAAGCCGAGAAGAAGTAGTTGTATCAAAGAGGTCCCGGTAATTCGTCTTGTGGAGGTTTGTGTATAGTTGAAGTGGTAATTTTGAGGGTAGTCGGTTCAAAAGAGTTTCTCCGTTTTGATAATGCAGAGAAGATAATTAGAATGACTTGAAAAGATTCAAATAGTATCTCCTTGCTCGGAAGTGCACATCAGAAATGGTGAAGATCGAGTAACAGTCTGAGAATTGTTTGCTCCTTTGAATTATCAGATGTGTCAAACCATGCAAAAGTAGACAGACCTGTCTAGCAGTCTGGCCTTCATTCAAAAGCGGGGGGCAGGTTGTCGTCCAGTCCATCCATAAAAAATCTTCTCAACCACTAGGCTCTTTCGGCAAGCACCTGGTTAATGAACGCATTGTTTTGACTGTTACTATCATCTTGGTGAATCTCTTATTGAGCCTTTACAAAGCAGAAGTAGTCTTGCCAATCATAATAAACATAGGTCAATAACAGACGCTACAGCAGACATCTGCCCCCACAACAACCCTTTACTATTAACACTACAAACAACGTCTACAACTCTCTTTGACTGCTGTCCAAGCAGACAGCTCTTCTTTGCATTGCAGAGTTTGCATCTGTGGAAAACAAATTCCATGCTATTGCACAAAGCGTGTTTCAGTCGCCTGCATTAATCCTTCGCATCCTGCATTTTCCTGCCTTACTGGGTTTCTGCAGAATTCAAAACTACTTCTAGTCTTCAGACCTTCCGCTATTTCAGAATAAATCCATTCGTTGCGAAAACTAGCCACGAGAACACACATTTTGCCAGTCGTTGTCAACGTTCCTCCTTCTCAGCTCTGAAAGTTGGTTCTTCCGGTAAGTAATTCTCTCAATATTTTGCCACAGTCTATCACCTCATTTACTTATCATGACTTGCACTAATAACTGCACATAAATATAGCAAAAGAAAAATTTAACATGTTTCGCAAGAATTTTAAGGCCACTATTTTCGAGCCAGCATTCTCAAATTGCTACCTCTCGGATGACCGACCTCGGAATGTAAAGAAGCCAGTCCAATCCAGGTCAATTCCATACTTATCGTTTGATGACGATTTGTATCAAGAACATGGAGCTCCGAGAGGAACAAAGATCCCTTCCAAATTCAAAGCCGTAAGACCCATATGCGATTATCTCGAGGATGGTCCCACCTCGCTGGAGTAAGTGTAAACCAAATCTATTCTACCCTTGATAACGAAAGCCATGGACTAATTGGCAACTAGATTCTGGAAGTTCTTCAAGATGTTGCCTGCGGATCTTCGAAACAAAATCTACAAGCTCCTGATTTTCGCTTGGTCACCAGACGCACAATGGGCTCGGCTTTCTCGTAACGGAAGGCGGTTCGGAGTATCAAGAAGAAACAGAACACACCGCCCTCTCTCCACTTGCCACTATGTGTCAGATGATCCACTAGGTTTAGAAAAAGAAGACTTGGTGGACTGGACAAGAGATAAAGACTGGGAGCAATCAGAGGGGATGCTAGATTTCTTCAAACTTAACGAGTATCGGAATATCCAAAGGTTAGTATGGTTTGTAGAGAGGGTGGAGTACGCCTTACAACTCGACGAGCGAAAGAGCAAGAATGAGACTGGGGAGAACAAAGGAAAAAGCAAAGAAATTCAAAAGGCTGCCAATGATGAATACATTAATCTGTGGAAAGAGGTCGTTGACTTCTTCTGGGATAATGTCACAGTAGACTTTGGCGAACGCCTACATTACGGGACTATTGTCTTGAAGGAATCTAACAGACAAAAAAATGTATTATCATTGTTCCCATTCTCCTAGTCTAAACTGACAGCGTTGTAGGTACAGCATCAGCAATGTACAACGAAGGATAACCATGCGGAAGTTAGGCATATATGCCTACGCCTGGATACCGTTTGGCACTCCGAGGACCACACCACGCATGAGCCGTTATCAGATCACTGCGAACTGTGTAGGTTTTTGCTTCTGTGCGAATTTATTACAGAGCATTTTCAAAGTGTTAAAACATTGCTTCTGTATCTTTCTTTGTCTATGAATGCCGTGTACTGCTTCGGAGAAAACAAAAACGAATTCGCTAAAGACGTTGTGGATGCAATTAGAGCATTGAAAGTCAGTGAGGTATTTGATCTGAGGTTGCAGATAGTAACTCAGGAGAACAGGAGAATCGGAGACGTGATCACAGTTGCTGAACGTGATCTTGATGCCTGGGTCAAATCATGGCGACAATGGTTTCTTAACCATTTGGAACCGTACATGGTTCGAGAGAATCAAAAGACCGAGCCCAATTCGCCCATTGAAGACACAGATGAAGAAGCATCTGAGAGTGATTTGGTATTCAGGGCCAAGCGATAAGGCGTAGAAACTGAAAAGGGTGTGTGATTATGCTGCAACAGATAGCTGCATGTAAATAATATTTTGAAAATCAAAAGTTTTTTCCTTTCAGTTTTAAGCTATTACAACGAAGGGACCAGAAGCCTGTTTGCGCAGGTTAAACAGCAATTTACCGGTGTTTATACTCTCGCTTGAGAGTCTAAATAGGACCTTGCTGGGAGAAATGGATAAAACTAGTACTGAAAACAACACGAGCCAAAACATGGCAGAATATGAATATTTATTCTGAACTCAAGTTCTTTTTTCCTCTCGACTTGAGGGATATCTGTTTTACCTTGACTACAGGCATGAGCAAGCAGTTCATGTAGCTCACGAAATAGATAACATATGGCCCAGGTTGCTTATACACATCACTCTAAGGGTGCTACGATTCCCCTCGTAGCCAAAAAGACAGACAAGGCTTGTATGTGTTGGAAGTTGCCACCGGGCTTAGAAGGGCTCTATTGCTTTTATATCTCATTGCGAGTGCGGCGGTAAATACAGTGGAGTATTCCCTGAGATGGTTTTCACCCTTGCGTTTCTTAAATAGCTCTATCCTCACGACAACTATACCCCATGTTCCTTTCCACATGTGTGAATATTGGACTTATTTCCTATGGTTTGATGGCATCGTTCTAAAATGAATCAAATGAAGTGAAATGGGCATCTGTTTATGTAGAGCATGAGGTCGATTCAGTTCGAATTCCATGATCTATGGTGGCTCGGTGCACAGAATTCGCCATGAGTCGAGTCATCGAAAGTTCGCCCAGTAAACGTTAGGAGATTGAGATAACTTCCTTTTAGCCATAACGTCTTATCTTATCTCTCATTACAGGCCGTTCTGTTACTGGTGTGTCCGCAAATGACGATCTCTCGAAACTCGCAATTCTCTCCAATTGTGATTTTCTTCCCATCTTGTTGTCATCTTGTTGTCCTCTCTTCGTCCTGATCGCTTTACATGCTTCGGGGTCCCGAAAGGAGAAATGTTTATATGTCGTGATCCAAATGTAGTAGAGCCCTGAGCAACTAAAGTTAGTAGTATTAGCGACAACATTGCAAGCTGGTATCACAAATCTGCACTAATAGTCGATCATGCCTGCGGTCTGATCACTTCTCGCATTGCGAGGGTTCCGCGGTCATGGCAGATAGCGTCTGTTACGGACAGACTGCCGAAAATGCTTGAAAATTTGTCTCTATTTGCAGACCCTGTGGCAGAGTATTGAGCAGGTTGATAAAAAAGTTCAAAACAATACCTAACGGTATCGAGACCTTTTTTTCCTTACCGGCCTCCTCCGTAGACTTCCCCCTCTTTGCTACAAAGGGTAGAGTTCCAGCATTATGTTCGTTATATGGTTTTCCAGTCCTCCCTTGTTCCATCCAACAGCATTGCATTAATTTCACAAAACCTCCAGCTCGCGCTTCATACTGCCATCGCTCGTTATGGAAGAGATATCAATATTTATCAAGATGTCGCGATCAGAGTTGAGGTCAAAACCAACTCGGGTTTGCCGTAAATTTTTCGGCTTCGTGGAATCCAAAATGAGCAGAGGAGGGTGGTAGAAAAACAGGAGAGAAGAAAGGAAGCTTTTTCGTTGAATTTTGAGCTCTTTTAAAATTCGAGTAAGGTGGAAAAGATGTTTTGAGCAGGAGCGAATGTGATGATTACAAGAGCAGATAAAATAACTTTGCCGATGACATTGTATTTGTTGCACAATTCAAGCGGGGGAGGTGGGAGGAAGTAGAAGAGGAGCAGGGAGTTCCAGGGCTCAATTCAGTCTTTCAATTAGACTGCTCAGTGATGGCCTTAGTCATGGCTGTAGTCATGGCTGAAGCAGAGATTAAAAGGAATAATACAAAGCTGAAGTTGTGATAATGAGTGCTGTTGACCATGGTCTTTAGATTGAAGGATTATTGAAATGGGTATTCAGATGTCTTGGGACGCGGAGCGAAGATAACTAAAGAGAACAATTACCATGTTAGAAGTGACAAACATGATAACTCCAATAATAGTACTGTACGGATCAGATTCCTTAATGATATTAGATAACTCACAAAGGTAGCAGATGTATCCATTTGTTGTTACTGGTGAAGCATACAAGTATCAGAACTCAGCTGTTTCTCTTCATTCACTTGGAAATCCTTTATGGCCTCAACATTTACCAGGAGACAGTCTTGCTACCCAAAAGTTTGCATTGATAACATTTGTGATGAATATCAATGGATCCATACTTCCTTCGCAGAGAATTAATGTTTTTATTGTTGTTGTCAGGTTTGCATAGTAGTCAGTCTTGATAAGGTTTGGTGAAGGGGGAAATTGTGGGGAAACAAAACTTAGTGTTTGTGCTAAGCTGCAGCCTCAACCTCAGTGCCGAGAAGGGACTGGGAATTTAGCGTGAAGAATCATAACCTTTACACTGCGTAGCCGATTTTGCTGGCGTGCAAAATGATTCTTTACCTGCAATAAAGGAACCCTTCTTCAGACAGCTCCTTTTCTGCATACCTAGTAGATTGGCTTGTCTTCCCTCCGAGAACATAAATAAAGATGCTCCGTCACTCTCTTCCGGATTCTCTTCGAACCGCCAGCAGCCATCTGTTTGTGAAACCGTGCCTTTCCCGGTTACCATCTACTCAAGAGTTGAAGTCAACATTGCGCCAGTGGATATATTCCCCAGAACTAGCTCAGTCTCAATTTTACTCGAAATCAAGGCTATTTACAAGTCCAATCCAGAGTCCGGAAGGTCACTCTGCTCATAGTCCGTCGCGAAGATGGAGTAGTTGTGTCTAGCTAGCCACTCCAATAAGCTTACCATCATGCCGCACAGCAGAGGTCCCCGGCATGTCATCCACTTTGTACCGTCACAGTGCTCTGGGATCTTGTGAGGAGAGTGGGTTCTCTAAAATTATGTGTATGAGTTGAACGCATCTGCAAGACTTGTGCTTTCATGAATACGCTGAATGAACAAAATAAGATGACACACTCAGGCGGAACACCAAAAGTTACAATGACGCTAGCAGCACCGGAATAGCCAGACCTCGAGAAATCTGCGGAGAAAACCTGTCGCCTCATAGAAGAAGCAACTGCAATCAGATCGAAACCCCGAATGCTAGACATCTAGATGCGCAGCTTGCATCTGGTATGTATATTCATGATGCTCTTCAATGGACGAAAACTAACCTCGACAAACTTAGGCCTCAATCCGTCGAATTCAAATTATCTACAATAAGGTTACGAATCAAAAATCAAATCTAGAATCAACTCTCCTCAGATGGTAGCTGTGCTTGTGCAGCTGGAAATAGTATCATTTGAAAATCCGCAAACCATAGCAAGTCCCTGTACATTTCTCAGTCAATGATAGGGAATAATGGCGAAATTCTGATGTCAAGAGGCTGGCCCATATGGAGAGGACTGTATTTGGAGATGCCCCAGCAATTGCTTGAAGAATGTAGCAAAGGTTCCTCGTGTTGGCAGAAACGGCGCTTTGGCATGCTGGTGGCATGCTCAACCATTTTTGAGACATCACACGGTTTCCAGAGGGAAGAATTTTCACGTAGCTGCTTGGCCATCCATTTTTGAGCATTGTGAAGGGCCATGACTATAAGGAATTTTGTTATAGTTCACGGTTCCGCAATCTAGGCCACTCCATGCCCACAACAACGTAACAGCCACACAGAACTTGTCACAAACATACGCCATCGATTTTCGAACCTTTGTTCTTTACATAATAATTGTTCTGAATCAGAAGGCTATCGAGGGAATGAGTACAGACACCGGCGCTTTGGTCGACTTTCCTAAAGGAGGAGGATCAGCTGTTTTTGATCCTCAGACGTCCATGAACTCTCTGTCGATATTCCGGAGACTGAAGTGGAATCACATAGGGAGATTTACATCTAGATGATATTCAAGTGCAAAGCCTTCATATATGTTGGTATTGCCCAGATACGCCCCGTCTCGGCACTAATAACAGAGGGAAGAAACACTGTCTTATCCGAAAACAATGAACTTTGGCAGTGCCTTGGGCGGGCGCGCGAGTACTTCCCTCTGATTCTGGTCAACTATCACCCGAACGCAACATGTCCAACACGATTAATCACAATATCATTACTGTGCATTCTTGATAACGGGAAATGGTTTTGATGAAGGTTTCGTTAACAAGGGAATTTTAGGGTTGAATACTATCCTCAAAACATGAACAGTTATCCCACTCTAATGTTCATAAAGTCTGTTTCTGAAGAAAAAGAAAAGAGAAAACCTTCATGCTTTTAGCCCACAAGAGTTAAACGAGGTTGTAGCGTTATTTTCTTCAATGCCCATACATCGGTGTGTTCTCCGAAACCCATGGCCAATTTTCGAAATGATTGGTTAAAACCCCATCAAGATCCACGAGCTTAGGGCTCATGATCGTAATCGTCCAAAGACGATATTTGGTACCTGCTTTGGCATGCCGCACACAGCTCTTTAACAGAATTCTGATGCGGCATGCTAAGAATTATCGTAGGTTTTCTCACGATGAAATCTAAGGATCATGTACGTGCGATCATCCGATGCCATTTGTGCCCAACCACAATAATGTGTTGACAAAATGTACTTTGTCGGCGGCCTCTCTTTCATCACCTTTCGTTGCCTGTAGGCCTCACCTAAAGCACCCTCAATGAACATTGCTTATAGAGCAGTTTCCTGAAAAGTTTCAGTTGTACAAAAATGTACACCTGTGAACCACTTATCTATGAATCCAAGTGGACCTGTCTTCCAACTAGGCCCTGTTACGTGCCTATGCCAAATGCCTAGCTGTTCGCGTAGATATCCTAGCCTTTTAATCAAAAACGATCGTAGTAACCAACCGCCATCAGAAGGTAAGTCCACTTAGCGAATGATAATTTTACCACGTTTAAGATTGAAATGGACGGCATTTGCGCAGAGAGAACAGTTCCGAAATAGTTGACTATAAGCTTAAGGATACTTCTCGCTTTTCGAGGTTGCTTGTAAGATCGCTGAAGATATAGCCTGGAGTGGAACGACTTCATCGATTCGCCGAGTATACCCAGCCATCCTGGCCAGTAGAAGAGCTCTTAAAAAACTGACGCTCACCTAAATTTTGGTCTCTCTACCACTAAATTCGAGGTTTCTGGGTTCCCAGAGCACGCTCTCATTTTTTATGCTTATTTCAAGCGGAAATTAATCGAAAAGCGTGCAGTATAACTTGACCATCTAGGAGCGTGGAAAAGTACAACAGGTTATTTTGAGGAATGCGAATTTTGTAGTGGAAAGGAACAGGACTCTGCAATTTAATGTTAAGACATAATTCGCACGGGATTTTCCTATGAGAAATTAAGAAGCTGTTGTTAATTGTACTCTTGCAGCACGTCTAGACTTTGAATTGGATCTTTTTTTTTTCAGCATTGCTTTTATATTTCCATTGTGTATATATCACAGTCTTTTTTTATGTCTTCAGTTGAAATGCGTGTTTTCCGGGAGAAAGTTTCGCGGTCCATTTGCCGCGAGTACTGATTTCTTAATGTGAGGTGGATTTGTCGAATCTCTTTTCATACATCCAGCTCAGCGTGCAAGCAGAATTAAGTCTATAAAATCACAGCTTCGTACGAATCAAACTCAAAACGATGTGCAGCACTAAGGTCAAACTTCTTGAAGCAAATTATGGAGAATCAGGATACTAGTGCCGAATTGGTCTATTTGGAACCGTTTTTGGCATGTTTTTGATTTGCACATATAAAGCAGATGTGGAGAATATGGCTGTATAGACTTTTTACATTTTGCTCTGCACAATTTCATTCCTCCTTAGTGCCCTACTTTACCTCTCATAGCAAAGGGTGTCCCGCATTGCGACCTCCTAGAAAGATCCCCAATAATGTTTATCATAGTCTCCCTGTGGTTTCCATAATGGTGCCGGTGTATAAACTGGGATCGGATCCGTAGCTAGAGGAAATTATCAGTATCAAGTTCTCCTCACACAATAACACAAAACTTTGTCTCGCTGCCCGTCCCACACCTCTTCCTCTTCAGAAAAAAAAAGACTAATACTTACTTCCATACCCCGTAGTTGGTGCCGCCCAAGCAGGCCAAGTAGGCGTCGCCCATCCCGTCGGCGCACTAGTAATCGTATACGTACTCGTATATGTCTCTGATTTCGGATCCTCTCCCTGAGCCAACTTCACAATTCCATTATTCGGCCCATAAACATCATCACCCACGCCAAAAATATTAGAAATATGATTCACACTCGTCGATCCACTTTCAGTCCACACAGTTACATCCTTCACGGTAACATCTGTGGCAGGAATATAATCAGACGCCAGCAGGTAAAGAGCAGGACGCTTCGCAGCATCTTGAATCGAGCCGCTGAAATTACGGAATGTGATGTTAGATAAAGTGACGGCGCCGCTGTCCGGAACGTAGGTTTGTTGCCAGTATTGGTTGAGGTTAATACCGTAGAGAGAGGATTTGGAACGGAAATTTTCCCAGAGGATGTTGCTTACGTAGCCGGAACCCCCGGGGTAGGTTTTTATGAAGACGATTTCGTTGCCGCCGAGGACGGATATGTTCCGTGCGTGCTGATTGGGTTGTGTTAGTTTTTAGAGAAAGGAAATGGACAGAGAGAAAACGAACAATATTGGATATTTCAGCTGACACGTTTAAACTCCCAATTGAAATTCCTGAACCGACTTGATTGCAAACTAGGTTTTCAACCAGTGCATTATGCGAAGGACTTTTTACAGAGACGCATTCATCTCTATTGGTTACCTATATCAAAACCATTAATATGTTCTTCCTTTCCCTTAAATCCAGATTCTGCACGTGGTAAAAAGCGAAAGCGAAAATAGGAAAATACAAACCTCATTATCATGAACCCAATAATTGGTCCCAATAGCATCAATACCATCATAAGAGCCCAGATTAGCTCCACGGATCGTCAGATGATACACTTCAATATTCTCTCCAAAATCAAATATGAAGTGGAATTTCGGACTATCGATGAGGAGTAGATCGTGAATCGTGGTATTTATAGGGGAAATAAGTCTGAGCATTCGTGGTCGATTTGTGCTGGGTTTGTTTGAGTATATGATGATTTATTTGGAGGGAGGAGAGCGACGATGACTTACTTTCCGGATACACGGTATAGATATCCTTGTCCCTGAATAGCTCCGAGACCATTGGAGGAGTATAATTCGAAATCGACGGCTGGTATTGGTTTAGCATAGAATTCTTCAAATCGACGCAAGTAATGTATAAAAAATCTCACCATTAATAATAACAATCAAATTCTGCAAAAATTTCCCATCTCCCTCTCCATTAATCGTACTATTCGACATCTCAACACGCACATCCCTATACCTCTCCGCTCAATACCAGGAAATACATACCTATTCAACAACTGCACACCCGCGAAACCCTCCAGAATCCTCGCCCTCGGAACAACATACGGAATCGTATAAGACGCATCCGTATTATTGGGATAATAAACAGCCGTAATCAACCCATCGAGTTGAAAAGCCCAATTCGTCGCATTACTGAGAATGATACTTGATTTGAGCGTGTAGTTACCAGCTGGTACTATTAATCTACTGCCTGGATGGTTTTGTACGCAGCTTTTAAAGGTGCTGGTTATAGGGAGCGAGACGTCGTCGGTGAGGGGGTTGAAGGAGGGGTTTAGGGTGAGGATGTTGCATTCTGTTTTCTTTTGTGAGAGGGGGGTTGTGGCGCCTACGGGGCCGGTGAGTTGTGCGGTTGTGGTTGGGAGGAGGATGGGGAGGAGATTTAGATTTAGTTGGAGGAGGAAGAATAGTCGTTTGAGAGGTAACATTTTGGATGGATAGATATTTTATCTATCTATACTCTCATGTTCCGCAATATAAATATATAAATATGTAAATATAAATGTAATAAATACGAATACTCGAGTATAAATCCAAATATAAATATAAATCCCAATACCGAACAAACTTATCTATCTAATCTTTATATACCTAGGTACCTATGTATATCCATCTGCATACAATGATCTGATCTCCAATCTTGAGCTCGTCAGATAAAACGAACATAGCCCGAATATTGTCGCAATAGTTTTGCTTCTCCACTGCATTTCGTTCCTGCATGTCTAGCTATTCCCCCGTATGTATGGGGATAGTTTATGCACCATACATATATCTTTAAAGATTTTGCTGGAGATTGGATTGCGGGTTTGGGGTTCAGGGGTAAAGATGTGGTTTTGGAACGTCATGGTCAGGGGGTATGGCGTCTTGTGTGTGTAACGGTCGGTTAATTCGGGTGATTTGGACCCGATTATCTGCTTGCTCTTTCCTTTTTGAAAAGAACTGATATAGGTACTTGGCATCTAGTAGCTATGATATGTACCTAGTAGGTGTATATTTGGTGTTGTTTTATCATGTGTTGTGATATTTAGGCTTTTGGATAGTAAGCTCCTTTTTACTGGAAGTTCTTATTTTCGTCTCGAGCAATGTTGAATTTGTAACCTGTATTGTAATCTTATAACCCTTTTACTCTACTTATTAGGAACCAATTGTAGATACTCAAATCGAAATTCTATGATAACAAAAGTCTACCTAGTAGATTCAGCGTTGATGTTAATAAATGAATTGCCTCTAGGCTCATGTGCAACAGTGGTATCTTTGTATAATTGACTTTTTCCATTGTCGCGTATGATAGAAGACTAGAATTATAAAGTATTATGGAGTTAAAACAGTGATTATGAATTAGATAGGATGATAGTCTTGTTTCCTGTATAAAGGGTAGTATATGAATATGCTATATCTTACTATCATTTTAACACTTTTTTTTAGTCAACTTTGACATCCTAGTTTTAATTGGTCAATGGAAATTTCAAAAGTTATAGGTGTCTATATTGGTGAATGCATTTACCGAAGAAAGTCAATATGCAAATACGGAGGTGAATCATAAAAAAGAATAAACAATATTGGTGATGAAGAAATATCCATTGAAACTCCTATATCATCCTATCCAAACACCAAACATGCCCGTGCCAGCCCATGCCTCATCCAACAGATACCATGGTCATCCGCACCAAGATATAACATAACGTCGTGATTAATCCCTTTTCCTTCTTTTCCCGTTCCATTACACATTCCCACCCCTTCCACTAAGGATGCGGCGCCTCAGTATAAGTACACAACTTCCATTCCGCACTCGCCTCTTGTTTCCAACAACTCGTACAATACGCCCTATAAATGCCCTTCTGATTTCCCTTCTCATCGGTAATACTAGCCGTCACATCATAGACCACCACTGCAGCCATCATGCTCACCTCCACAATCTTCATATCTTTAATTTCATACGAATTCCAGGTGCGCATATCATCATCCTCGAGTGTTTCTTTCAGAGTCGGTTCGGAATCATTGGTCAAAATACCGTATTCGGGAGATGCAAATACGGCTTTAGGGTCAATGTATTCGAGAAGTGCGGAAGGTTTGTCGAGACGACAGCGCCATGTTTGATGCTCGAGATCGTGCATGGCTTTTTCGATACGTTGAGAGATGGTACCCGGTCCATAGTTTCCTCCCTTGTATTGAGGTTTCTTTGTATCAGGCTGTTTTGCTTGTTGGTGTGGTTGAAAATTGTGAGCTAATTGCCCTCCATTTTGTTGCTGTTGCATTGACATATTTTGTTGGTTGTTTTGAGGTTGAGCTTGTTTTTGAAGTTGTTGATCTTGTGGTTGAGGTTGCGAGCGTTCTTTCTTGGCTTTGCGTTCGCGATATGCTTCTGAGGATGGTTCGAGTACAAAGGACATAGTATTGAAATTTTTCCCTGGGGATAGGCTTTATAGTTAAACTGGTTTCTGACTGTGGGTTAATTGAAATTATGAAGGAAAATCCAGCGAAAGGAGTAGTGGGACTTCATAGATCGAAAAAGATTGGAAGAACAGGAAAACATCTGGATGTGATGTCATTGAGGTCGAGATTCAGGATCTTTGCTTGTGCTGTGCAGCTTTTGGCGAGCTTGATCCTGGTTACTCATGCTTGTAAGAAACAAGATTTTTTGGGATTATGGGAATGCATGGGACAGAGAACACGCAAGGCACAGCGGCCGGTGGATAATGAACTTGGATAACATGGCTGCAGGTGTTGTGTGGTTAAATATAAATTTGATAAGTTGATGTGCGTGCCTGTGAATCCAACGTATCAAAAATAAAGTGTGGGTCGGCAAGAATTATGATGTTTTGTTGTGGAAGAGCTGGAGGGGTGAGGTTGTCCTGGCCTGGGATGAAGAACACCACGGACCACGGACCACCCCGCCTGTGGGGTGACGATGACAACAATCTAGAGCACCTTTCCCTATTTTTGATGCCTTGATGCCTTGAGGCATTCAACCTGTCAACAATCGCCACAATCGCCAAAACTTGGTGGTTTTTCCAGATGCGCTCAATAAAATAAGCCCCAAAGTACCGCATTCTCACTCCAGCTTCCTGCCAATGCCAATGCCAACTCGAATCGTTTACTCGGCGGTCACATTACATATCCTCGAAGAAGAATATTGGGGTATTTCTCCGTTTGTTCTGCCACACTTGAGGGCTCAGGATGCATCGGAGTTCCAGAACAACATGTTTCTTCGCCCGAATCATCCTGAAATGAAAGGGCAATTGGATATGCTGTACGACATGAGAAGGATCATTCAACTATGAACAATATGAAGAATTGAAACGGGTAGTTGGATATTCAATGCTGGTGGAAACCATGCCTTCCTTCAACAGGCTTCGTGAAAAGTTTACCCGTCTGTCGGATTTACCACCACAAATATCTGGTTAACCATATTCCATTCAATTTCTCGAATCTTGCAATGAAATGTTGGTTACTTTACATCACAAAAAGAAGTCCCAAGTGCGACAATATATGAGGTATCAGGATTGAATGAAGGGGGTAAATTTGGAAGAAGATGGGCGAAAGATCTCAACCGACTGAGTACCTACTTTATTTTCACACTAGGCGTTCATGCTTCCCTCATCGTGTCTTAGTCACTTCCTTTCTCGTCCAAAAAAGGGAAATCGTTCGAGACATTTAAAATCATCTAGTCTTTACTCAATCAAGTGCTGGGTGATTTACTGTTTCTAGCTTGTCTTGGCTATGAAAGTTCGGATGTTTGTCTTCGGTCGCATTAATCTTAGTGAGGTTCGACTGAAGAGCACCAAAAAAGCACCAAAAAGGCAAATATCTACGACAACATTCACACGACAAAATATGCATGCCCAATTAGCGATGAGATGAGTCCGATGGAACCGGCGTTTTTTATTTCAAGACTTTATCTACTCAATAGTATTCCTCTATTCATTTTTAAAGGCGCCGACCCCGTTGGATTCTTGCTCAATGCAGTTCAAGGTGCATCCGCGGATTCTAAAGGAGAATATAATCCACCATCAGCACTATCTCATTTGGTAGGTTTTTCTGCTTGAGTCGCAACACGCAAGCCATGTCGCAAATGAGGATCTATTGTGTATCACTATTAGTATATTGTCTGCCAAAAGTTTGGACCAAAGAAATACTCACAGTAGTCAAAAATCCCCGTGTGGAAAGTAGCCCGATTATCCCAAATCGCGACTGCATTAGTCGACCATTTCCATCTCACTTGATATTCGTATGCTTCGGCGACAGTTCGATTGAGGAAATCAAGAAGTGACTCGCTGAATCTTTTCTCGACGCCAACAATTTCTTTGGTAAAGTTTTCGTTCACATATAAAGTCTTTCGGCCGGTTACTGGATGTGTCCTTACAACAGGATGCTGCAGAAACTCATGGTAAGCCAAATGACTCTGTATGGAAGGATGATTTAGGATGCTTACAATTGTCTCAATAGGATTCCTTCGGAGGCAGCCATTGCCTTTAAGTGCTTTTTCGGCCTGCTCTAGACCACTATGTTTCGCCTCAAGGGTTTCCAGGATACCTTTTAAAGTTGGAGATAGTGCTATGAGAATCAAACTTAGCATTGCAAACATTTTATGTGTTCAACCGGCTCACATTCATAGATACCATAACCACTCGCCCATATTGTATCTCCGCCAGCTTCATATCCATCAGGCCCAGCCTTCGGAAGTGTATCCATTCTCAAAAATGTCAAACCTGGTGGCTGGATCTCATAACTGACATCCGAATGCCATATTTGATGTGATCGACCATTTTTGGCAGTTTCGTCCTTATGAATTGGATGAACCCATGGCAAGTCGGGAATGATTCCTGCCATCTGATGGATATGAAGTTCTCCGAAGTATGAGCCAAATTCTATCTGTTCATGGACATCCATTTTTTGGTCTCGCAGAAAAACAACCCCACGTTCTGCGACCAAACGAGCAAGTTCATTCTTTTGAGTATCATCAAGGGATGTGAGCTGAATTCCCACGAGCTCGGTCCCAATCGACGGAGTTAGGTGCTTCACTTCTGATGCTGCACCTAGAAGTTTACTCTTCTTAGGGTCCGAATCAATTCCTCTATCGACAAAGGGATGTTCGACCAAGTCCGGGAGCTTGAAGGGCGTATAATTTGGATACTGTAACCCTGCTTTGGGTACAGATATTAAAGGGGATACATCTCTTGGGGTAGTGTATTCGGGGTGAGGTAAGTTCTTAGGCTTTGGTGGTAGCTTTGGTTCTCTGGAAGTACTGCCGGTAGTATTTTCTACCTGGCTTTCAGCCACAGCAATGGCATTCCTCGAGGAAGAATTATTAACTGTCGCCATTGCTTTTATTACCTGATTCTAAGTTCGAAAATTGGAAAATATTGAAAAACAATTCCTGAAGATCGAAGCAATTGAGGTCAAATGTTCATTGAACAAAAGTCTAGAATTTGCGACTCAGAAAGATTTCCATTAGTCTTACCACGAGCTATCGCTTTATCGATATACCGATACCGAAAAGCCATTGAGAGATTACGGATGTAGTAAGGCAGGATAAATTAACACAATGACACAATAAATAAATCCAGCAATCAACTGTGAAGAACGACGAGGTTCCGCATTTCGGCAAAGGCGCCATGTCAGGGGTCAGATTCGCAACATCTCGCTTGTACCTCTACGTCGCTACCACAACAGACCTTCGATATTTTCTGGTTTGATTGATTGGCTTAGATAAACTAAGTGACATAAAACATTTCTCCGAGCACGCCTTATGTTTGGCGCCGATTGTGGTCATTGCTAGATAACCTTGTGTTAATCAGGAAACATCCGATGCATGTATTGAGATAAGATAAGGCTTGAAAAGGCTTGAAAAGACTGCTGTCGGCTGGTGGTTTGGGGGGTCACCAGTGAGTACTCAGGTAGGCAGAGTACTTCTACAATTTTACAGCCAAAGTACCAGAGACAATGGCGCCGACGAACGATGTCATATCTCGGGTGGATAGTATCAATGATGAGGATCCTACAGAGAAGAGCAATTCAGAGCTCAATAAGCGACTCCTGGCCATTGAATGGGGTGAAGATGAGGAGAAGAAGATTCTGCGGCGTTTAGATTTCTATTTGATTCCGTTGGTCATGGTTATGTTCTTTACTTTGAACTTGGACAGGTATATCGAGAATCGCCAATCTCTAAATTCACAAAGGCTAACACAGCATATAGAGGCAACATTTCCAATGCCCTCACCGATAACATGATGGCGGACCTCTCCATCACTCAAGAAATCGTCAATACGGGGAATAGTCTCGTCTACGTTGGCATTTGCATTGGGGATATTCCAGCAAATATTATGATTCAAAAGGTCTTTTATCACCACATTCAAAGAAACTTTTCAGGGCTAATGAATTTCAACAGATTGGTGCTGATGTTTGGCTCCCATGCCAGCTTCTTGCCTGGGGTCTCGTAGCCACCTTTCAAACTTTCATCAAAAATAAGGCTGGATTCCTAGCCACCCGTTTCTTGCTTGGTCTATGTGAATCGGGTTTCATTCCTGGTACATTATGGTACCTTACCAAGTGGTACACAAAACGTGAGTTGGGAAAGAGAACAGTGTTATTCTTCACTGGTAGCTATATGGCAAATTTACTCAATGGTCTTATTGCATATGGTTTATTACGACTTCGTGGAAGAGCTGGTTTGACTGGATGGCAATGGCTTTTCCTTGTTGGTATGTGATACACCGAAATCTTCTAGCAATGCTCCTTGCTAATAATATACTAGACGGGCTCGCCACTTTGACTGTGGGAATCACAACACTTTTTCTCCTACCCCGTGATCCCAGCCGCGGGAACTCAATTATCAAACTCCCACTTTCATCGTTCACACCTCGCGAATCAGAAATCCTTCTCGGACGTATCGTCCGCGACAATCCATACAATACCGACCCTAGGGATTCCCATCTCTCTCAATTTCAAATCTTGGTTTCCGTTCTTACAGATTGGAAAGTTTGGGCACATTGTTCAATGGCTTTACTAGGATTAGAATATTCTCCTCCAATAGGAACATATTCACCATCCATTATCAAGAGTTTTGGGTTTGGAACGTTCAATTCGAATTTATTGGTGATGCCAAATAGTGCTCTTCTAATCATCACCACATTTACATTATCATGGTGGAGCGATAAGGTCAATTCGAGAAGTATACCAATTATATTCGCCGCAATATGGTTACTCGTCGGTCTAATCGTTCTCGATGTACGTCTTCCACATTCCCCGTCTCCTTAGACCTCTCCCCTAACACTCCTTCTCTCTAGACACTCCCCCACACAAAAAGCCACTGGACCTTCTACGCCTTCCTCGTCTTCACCGGTGGATCACCCTCCTGGCACCCTCTCAACGTCGCCTGGCTCAACGCAAATCAACCTACGCCTCGTCGTCGCGCCATAGCCGTCGCACTCTACATGGCTATGACGAATCTAAGCGCTGTTCCCGCAAGTCATATCTTTCAGGCAAGTGATAAACCGTATTATCATAAGGGGTTTAAGATACTGTTTATTATGGCGGCGATGGCGATTAGTGTTATGGTGGCGATGAGGTTTGCGTATCGGTGGTTGAATGGGAGGATTGAGGAGGGGAAGGGGACCCTCGAGGGTGGGGAGTTGGATAGGGGGTTTAGGTATCAGTTGTAGGTTTTTGTGGGGGGTTGGATGTTGAGGGAGTGAGGAAGAGAAAGGGAGATAGATTTGAAAAGAAGAGGGATTAATATGAGATATCTAGATGCCAGGTACTCAATTGTAATCTTAACATGAAAATGCTGAGATGCTAGATCAATATCATTTTATATATATTGAAATCTATAATATCGAATTTTATACTGCTAGTAGCATTGTACATAATGTAAATACTGTGTATCACTAGCAACATACAGAAATATCGGAATTTATCATGTTTTGTTAGAAATTATCTTCCAAATAGGCTATTAACTAGAAAATCAACCAATGATATTGGCAAGCTTATTCAGGAAGAGACTGCTTAGCTGTACAAAAGAAACTTTGACTATAAGATGTATGACGAAAGTCTCGCTCTTATGGAGGATAAAGTCTCTCAAAGTATTGGGAGATCAAATCAACGTGGTAAAGGAGATACAAAAGAAGTTTCAGCATCATCAGTCATTTAAGATAGCCGATAAGGGCTAAATGTTGGGGTTGGGGTATCTTTTCGTTTTTACACTTCTTTATCCTTCTATAGTAAGTTCAAGTAACCTCGGGTCCTACCGAGAATCCAATCTATGAAATCATGAACAGTTGCTCCGTGCTTACTTTTGAGAAGAAAACAGGATCCTAATCAGAACCTGCGTTATGCATAAGCCAAGCATGTGGTTCCTACATACGTACTACGTAATCTTGCCTAGAGTCCTTGCCTCGAATGTTATGCGGGGTATGAGATGAGCCCGGTCTTTGGTTCGATTCACCGGCGCTAGTTCATTTGGTTTTCCTACATACAGCATCCTCTTCAGCCCCATCTCCCGATATTTGATGTCCACCACCGTATATTAAGACATATGTTCTAATTGTTTAATATTGTGGTTTTGGAACCGCGCCACCGCGCCACTATCGGGAAGAATAGTATTCTAGTTCTTGGCCTTGGTTTGCTTTGCTTTACCAGTGAAACTTCTGCCGTGGCCCGATTTGGCATTTTTGAGGATAGGCCGTCCGTGATAATAGATTATTCCGGGCTATGTAACATGTGTCAGCCTCGTGAGGGGTAAATGGATGCAATTGGTGAATGTTTGTGTTTGCTATGTAGCTTACATGGGTGGCTGCCCAATCGCATTTCAGTATGGTAATAGGCTGAACTTGAGTGTATAGGACGGGTGAATTTCCATTTCAGCTTCCTGCTGCTGGAATCACGTTCTCAAGCTTGGGAAAGAACTTGGGGGAATTTGTGACACATACTTTAAGTCAAAAATAGCGGGAGATGGGACTAATCACAATTAGGCCTAGTTAGAGAAGCTAAATACCCTCTTCTCTCCCTTCAACTTTCTCCTAGCTTCTAATTCTACAAGCATATTCTCCTTGAATCCATAACCTGTGTCATCTGTCAACGATCAATTCAAGCTTCGACTGCACAGGTCTAACGTTCAACGAATATTTCTCAGAATTATCCCACGGTGACAACTTCACTTGACGTTAATTATGTTTTCCAAATTTGTTCTGCTATTCTCCCTATTAGTAGCCATTGAAGCCCTTGCGAAGACTAGGGCCCCATCTGGTGGAATCGTTCAGGGCATATCACCACGCGGTGAGCACCATTCTGCACAAGATGTCATCAACCAGCTAGGACTGGCGCCGAGCGCGGAGAAAGGGTACTATTTAGAGACCTTTCGCGACTCAGCGCTGTATGGCAACCGGTCTGTTAGCACCGCAATTTACTACCTATTGGAGGGCGCCGTTGGCAAATCATATTGGCACCGGGTTGACGCGGCTGAAGTCTGGCACTATTACGCTGGGGCACCGTTAACACTCTACTTGTCTCTGGACAACGGTCAGCCAGTTAGGGAGAATCTTTTGGGTCCAGATATCTTTCGCAATCAAACACCACAGGTGGTGATTGCTGCACATGAGTGGCAACAGGCATTAAGCCACGGAAAGTGGACCTTGGTAGGAACCACAGGTAGGTTTCCCCAGTTTTTCTCTTTTCTATCTGTTCTTCTTGGGTTCCTTCTACCTATTGACGGACCTCTTCATCTGACTTGCATTATAGTGGCTCCTGCATTCACAGATTCTGGTTTTGAGTTAGCACCTCCTGGATGGCAGCCGAACGGTGCCTAACTACTTCTGTCACACATGTACTTGTATCTAACACCTACCGTCGAGCTGGCAAGAATCCTATAGAACTTTCATGGAATCCGAATTGAAGAATTGGGCATTAGGGGTTATACACGTAGACCTATTTCTGCAGGTACCTACTAGGTGGTTAGATAGACTCTTTAGACACGAGCAATCCAATATTTTCGATAGTTCAGATCGTCCAGATCGTGCAAATTGCAGTCTTCAAACATGCAGTCCGTACACAGTCCAAAGGTTTATCGGACTATATCGTCCGTTCTAGAAAGTCGAGACTGCGGTCCTATATACAAATATGTCAATTTTAAAGAAAACTTGGAACCACAAGGAAGGAATATCATCAAAATAACCAGCGCCCCCAAGTCCCCTCTCCCCGTCAGATTCTCGATAAGTATGTATCATTTTATATGATTATTACGTACCCACAGCATCCATCAATCCCTGTATTAAAAATTATCATCATTATTCAAGACATTGTTCTTGAAATGATAACTCAAAAATATCATAATCTTTAACTAATCTATAATTAGATAACCTTCACATTTTCCAATGATATATTTCAATTCTTTCTTTTTTCTTTTTTTCTTTTCTGATATAGAATTTATATAATCAAATTTCTTTTTTTATTATCTTTATTAAAGAAAATTAAGTATCATTTTTTGTTTAATATTTAAATATTCAAAAACTTTAATTTTTTTTCTTGTTTGAATATATATATATATATTATAAATAAATTAAAATTACTAATTTTACATATAAAAGTTTTTGATAAACTTAATTATATAATCTTTTATAATTAAAAAAAAACTTTTAAATTTTTTTCTATAAACAATTAATCTTTTATATATTACTTTGATATTTTATACTATAATAATTTCAAATCTATTATGAATTTTTTTTTTATAAATAATTAATTATAATATAATTTATTTAATCTTCTTTTAAAATTTTTGTAATATATTGTTAAAATATATATATCTTAAATTTCTTTTATTATATATATATAAGAAAGAAATCTTTAAATAAATATAATTTTAAAAATAATAATAATTATAATATTATCATTTAATTATTTTGAAAATCTCGTTATTGATATTGATATTAAGAATTATAAATATATTAAATGAATATAAAAAAATCCAAAGGTTTAAGAAATTTATCAATTTGAATTTAATTTGTGATTAAGATTATAATATATAATAAAATAAAACTATCAGAGATTTGTAAAAATTAATAAATTATATTGATATATATAAATGATATTGATAAGATTTGAGATAAAGAGAATAAAAGAAGTAAATAAAATATCTTTATTATTATTAATATTAATATTAATATCTAGATATGAATAAAAAGATTATTTGTGAGTTCATTTAGTATTAATATAAGTGTACCTCTCAAGTATAATCCAACCTTGAATTAGGACGTCGCCTAGTCTAGATTCGATGAATATAAACTATATAGCCCATACTAGTGAATATATTCTCTCATACAATCCGTACAATCCATTAAAAATTCCGTACGAGCCATACAGACCGCAGTCTTGACATTATACAACAAGACTATCGACAATATTAGAGAGATCCAAAGCACGAAGTTGTCTAATATAGAGGCCCGATACCTTGTACCACCGGCTCGTTACCAATCGCCACTTACCATCAGCTAGCGTCATTTCTGAAACACATATGTATTCTTTATATCTTTAAATTATGCCCCCACTCCCAAAGCCCCAACTGGTATATATATCACCCCCCATGTCTAAATGATATTAATACTCCGAGCAGTATAATTCTGTTCTCGGCGGACTACATCGATATATATCACTTCTGCATCTTATATTAGTAAGAGGATAGAGCATAAGAATTGATATAAGTAGGTAATCAGAGCGCTCTGCTTATATCCTACCCTTTCCAAGACATTCAATCAAATGCGTAATTAATCCTTGGCGATATGTCTTGCTCTGTCTAATTATATACCTTGTGGTACAGGGTAGAGATCTCTTCATATTTTTATTGAAGTATCAATATTGATAAAGGGAGAAATATCCCGTTAGATTGCTCTCTTAAGTGCAGGAAAAATGCCACCGAGCGCCTAGCTTTGGATCTACCGGGTCCTTCGCCTCGTCGTGGAGTTGACGAATGGGACTTAACCCATTGTAGTTAGGAATAAGCTTAACCGAAGAAGCGAAAAGGAGTAGAACCAAGCGCACAAAGTGGAGTCGGCTATGAACGTAATATCTACGATTCATGGTGCGTTAGAATGATATCAAGGAATCTCGTGCACATGTTGCCATATTTCCGATTTTGTATCGGCTCCTTCTCTTCCTAATGAAGTCTCGTACTATTGTAAACGCTACCCCATTTGTCGTTAGGTTTTCCTGATATGCTGGTATCCGCTTCGGCGCTGCTAGCATTTGAAACTGAGCCCTGAGCAGGCCATCTCCTATCCATTGGTTCCAAGTCAATGTCATCGACTTGTCTTTGGCTCCCAAGTCGGTGTCCAGGTTGATCGAGCGAATTTCCACCTGGCGTTGACCCATGAGCTACCAATGTATGATCGTGACTCTCCGTATTTCGGTAATAGTTGTATGTGGCATCGGCGTTACGTGACCGAGTACTCTTGATCAGACTGTTTAGAACGAGGAACTCGACTTTAAGCTTGACGCCGTATACACAAGGTTTGAAGGCACCTTGTAGATAGAATAAACCGGCATACTGGATACCAAGAAGGACAATGTCGAGGATGATGACCATTAAGTTCATGTAGATAAGGTGCCAGAAGACGCTGTTGTTGGTATCGCGATGGGTAGAGGAAGACGCAGCTCCTCGTTGGTGAAGAAATGATTTAGCACTCAAGTACTTGCGCGTCTCGTAAATATACAGGATGCTTAGCATAGTTTCTTGGACGAAGTAGACGGTGAGCTGAATCCGATCCCATATTAAGTTGAAACTTTTGAGAGATGGATTTATAGTTGTCGCTTGCTGTATTCGGGTTTGTATTAGGGGCTGTCATAATCCGGTGATTTGGTAGATAACTTACCGCAATAGTCCCGATTATGATAGTTGGCACCGAGAAAACAACAGAGTTAAATATCAAGATTACCCAGATACCTCGCAGCAACTTGTGGCGTTGCACTATTAAGTGCAGACGTGAATATAAGACCCAGCTTTGGGGCACCACCATCAGGAACCAGGTTAAGTATATCATCGTAATAGATCCTGTAAGATTATCCCAGACGCCAAAATCAGCGAGGATAATGAATAGTGGTTGTAATATGACACCCCAGGAGCAGAGTGCACACGACCAGAAGTAAAGCCCTCGCCATCTGCTAAAAAGAACAAACAGGGTAAAATTTATTTCAATGCCGATATACCATGAAATACCAATAAAGGCTGCCATAGTCATGGAAATGGAGAGGTCATTCTTGAGGGTGTCCATATTATAGTTAGGGTCGAAGGTGTTCGTCGGAAAGAATTGTACATGTGGGGGAGTGGGGACGGCAGAATTTGGAAGATTAATGTAAGACTTTTTTTCGAAAGGGAATGGAAACCACTTAATAGCTCAGAAGCATGCATTATTTTGAGGTTGCATTCATTCTTCATTGATTTGCTGACAGGTGTACAAGACCACAGGTGTGTGTCAAGTAATATCTGCATCAGGCCTAATGACAAGGCAGCCAGTCATCAAGCAATTAATTATTCTTGGCTGCATCGCCTGTCCCATTCGGCTCCCACCCCTCCTTAGCCATCTCAAAGCTTTCCATGGTGAATGCCGGGGCGACCGTACATCCCACGAGTGTCCACGCGCCCAGGCTTTGAGCTCGTTGCCACTCCTTCTTCTGCACCACCACTTGAGGCTTCTCTTGATTCCACAAGTCTTTCCCCAGAATATTGTGCCTTACAGGGCTGCCATCATCCCAAGACAAAGACAATTTTAGAGGAGCCCCAGCATAGTGATGCCAGACCTCAGTTGCGTCAAGTACACGATGCCAATGTGAAAGTCCAGAGTCGCCCTCCAAAAGATAGTAGATACATGTGCTATGAGATTGATGCTCGGCAGTGCCTTCAGTGTCTCGGAAGGTCTCGACGAAGTAACCTTTTTCGGGATGAGGAGTGAGGTTCAAGGCCGCGATAACATCTTGAGCGGAACGTAGATCTGCCATGTCGTCGACAAGTCGAAGTCTTCACGATAATGGTTTGTTAGGAAGGTGTAAAGAGCATGTAGGTTAAAGAGCTACCTACAGTATAAGGAAGGATATAAACAGTGGGTGCCCTATGTGCTTATATACCTAATGGGGCTATGCTGAAGCTAATCTAAAGAGTGAATCTGGGTTATTACTAATCCTATTCAAAAAGATTTGTTGAGAGTTATTTGACGGGGAACTGGGGGACGAGCTTGGTGAATGGTAGGATTTGTTCGAGCGCGGAGAAGGAGTTCTTTTCATCCCTCGCATTCAAGGCCTGCAGGATGCTAGAAATGGAACAAAAGCATCAAAATATGTGCAGGAGGTGAGAAAAAAACGAAAGATTGGTCGAAAAACTGTCAATATTCACCTTCGTTTTGTTAACTGGCCGTCGGCTGTCAATTCCTCTATTGGCTGTATGCCTTCGGTGCCGTATCACAGCATTCTCACAGCAGCGTCATCACAAAATCGGTGAGGATACCAGCGGAGGACTTGGCCTCAGTTTTTAGAAGTTTCCATTATGGTATTGCGGGGGCTGTACCTCTGCGGCATGGAAGCTTATCCAGACGGGTTTTATTTGCTAGCTTTTACCGGCAGCTTCTTCCGGTAACACGACATTTAACCCGGTGATACTATATCACATAAATCCCCTTGGAATATTTCTATATGAGGAAACACAAATTCTCGCGGTTTAAAAATTTGCGTTGTTTACTTGTAGTTAAGTCTAGAGGGTCGGAAGGTGGATGGTTTATGAGACGAGAAAGTTGCTGGATGCTATCCATCCCCACACTCCATTCCAAACAAGTCGATATTAGAAATCGCTACACTGTTGGCTGCAACTGTAATGGGGTTGCATATGAAAGAATCAGATGAGGCTGAACAATAATGGATAATTTTCGATAATACGTAGCTCAAGCTTGCTCTGCTTACCGTATTGGCATGCTTCTGGCTGTACATTGTGGAAAAAACTTGTTTAACTTGCAGGAAGCTGTAACTGGAGATCCGGGATGGCCTAACCAATCTGTGAAAAGGTGACATGTATGCTACCAGTAACGCAGAAACTATTGTATCCACCACTTGGCTTCCGTAGAGCCAGTGTTTAAATCAAATCCGGTCCTAGAAGAAAATAAATAATAACGAAGGGGCGCGAGGAATATAAGTTGTAAATTCAATTCTTTGTCGCTGGATGGCAAGGCTTTGAAGGGTTCCTGGAGAGGGTGGGGGGGGAAGTGGGAAAGGAAATGGAATTGGAAATTGGAAATCCCGTAGTTGTGTGTAATGTGTAATGTGTAATGTGTAATGCGTAATGTGTAATGTAACATCATAGAAGGGACAATAGAATGGAGGGGTAGAAGCTGGACCTATCGGTAAACACGGCAGCATGGACTCCCTCTTATGCGACAATTAACTTCGCTGTCGTTATAATTTTCACCATATCTTCTTGACTGACTTCGATGAGATAAAACCGTGATCTGGCCGATTACCAGGACTTTTATCTCTGTCGGGTGTTGTGCCATAGCGGTGACCGAAAAGAGGAAGTACTCGTCGGAGATCCCGGGACATTTATAGCATTTGATCATACACAGAGTAACAAATGAGGGTCTTGTAGATATCTTACTCCCGAGATCCTTAAATACCTCTTCCACAGAAATCTGTACCTCAAATTTTAAACTTTAAATCACAGTTCCACATTCACGTTTCCATCACCATTCAACAGACAGCCTAACTCAAATTTCTAAACCCAAGCTTAAACTCTCAAGCTTCAATTCCAGCTTAAACAAACTAAACCTATTAAACCTATCTTCAATTAATCCTCATATCAACACAGTCTCTAATAAAAGTATGTATTAAAGAAAACAAAATAAAATTGTATACAAAATACACCCTCTCTCCTCTCTCCTCTCTCCTCTCTCCTCTCTCCTCTATCTTCCTCCCCCATCTCCACCCATCCCAACCCAAACCTAACCCACTAATCAAACCCCCTCCATCTCATCTCATCTCATCTCATCCCATCCCATCCCAATCCTATCCTATCCCTATCCTATCAAGCGAGACCCCCAATTCCTCTTCCCACGAATCCTTGTTCCTCACTCCCATATACTACTACCAGACAACCACCAAATGGAACCTCCATTACCAAACCTCATGGTGGACTTGAGGACTATATAAATGCTCGCAGAGATGATGAACGTTATTAAATATTGAAACCTTATACCAACAATGTCATTGCTGACTAATTCCATAGTGTCAAAAGATAAGCAATTACCTTTGTTGAACATGAGATACAAGAAACTCTATCATTCACACACAATTCGCATTCAAATTCATGATCAAAAAAAAATTTCATAAGACATCAAGAAACTTTATATTAGGTATTAAGTTGAAGTTGGTTTGCCCTAGTGGCAGATTGCGAAAAGACAGTCTGGGTATAGGGGTATCAATACGCAGCAGAAACCGCAAGCGCAGGCAGACCAAAACATAACAAACGCAAAAGGAAAAGAAAGATGAACAAAGTACTGCAAAATGAGAGTGGTATCAATCAATCTTGGGGGTATTTCAAGGAGATCCGTTTTCCCGACGAGAACAATAAGAAATCATTACGAAGATGCGATGCAACTTTAATGATGTGAGTTGCTTCATGCGGTAGCAGAAACTTGAGGAGTGGTGCTGCTTGGAGCAGCAACGACGGGCTCAGAAACGACGGGCTCGGTAGCAGCTGGGGCAGCCTCAGCTTCAGCCTCAGTGGCAACGGTCTCTTCATCAATCTTGTCCTCAGCCTTAGCTTCGACAGTTGGCTCAAGTGGCTTCTCAGCAGTCTTCTCAGTCTTTGGTGATGACTTGGACTTGACGGTAGCACGGAGCTTGGCAAAAGGTGACTTTGGTTTCTCAGTCTCTTCATCACTAGTGGCGGCGGACTTGTCCTTCTTGCTCAACCATGGGAGGGAGCTCTTGCGCTTATCGGCCTTAGTCATTGGTATTTCCGCAGCCTTGGGGGTCTCGCCATTGATGGCTGGGACCTCAGTAGTCTCAGCTGGGCCGGAGGCATCAGCGTTGGTGGTCAATGGCTCAGTAGTATCAACAGCAGGGATAACTGGGGCGTTTTCGGAAACTGGCTCCTCATCCTTTGCGGCAACAACTGGGGAAACAGCTTCGGGCTCAAACTTCTTGTTGGAGAATCTGGATTGAAGGGTACCGAAGATGCTGTTACGCTTGGTGGGAACAGGCTTCTCAACAGGCTTCTCAACTGGAGCAGCGGCGGCAACTGGCTCTTCGACAGCTGGAGCGATGGCAGCTTCTTCAGTGGTGGCTGGAGCCTCAGCAGCAACTGGTGCATCAACAACTGGAGCAGCTGAAGCATCAGAAGTAACAACTGGTTCCTCGGTTGATGGAGAAGCAACAACTTCATCCTTTGGTGCTTCGGTCTTCTCCTCCTTCTTTCCAAAACCTGGGAGGGCACCGAAGATGGAAGTACGCTTGTCACCCTTGCGAGAAGCAGAGCGACTCTTGCGATCCTTCTTCTCAGCCTTAAGTTCGGCCTTCTCCTCCTTCTTCTCTTCCTTTGCCTCAGCCTTAGCTTCAGCGTTCTCCTCTTTTTGCTCCTCCTTGGCCTCCTTTGCCTCGGCCTTTTCTTCCTTCTTCTCGGCCTTGGCTTCAGCCTTCTCCTCTTTCTTTTCTTCCTTTGCCTCCTTCTTTGGAGTGGCAGCACCAGAGAATGGCTTGGCCAATGCAGCGATACTGGTCTTGTATGTTTCGCTCTCCTTGACAGACTCGGAAATTTCCTTAGCCTCAGCGATCTTAGTCTTCAAGGTAGCAACCCAGTTATCACGTTCGGCGACGTTGGCAGCTTGGAAAGTGTGCTTGTGGCCGTGAATGGAGAAGAAGAAATCAACAGTACCATCTTCAGAGACATCAGAAGCTTCGGACTGTGGATTACGTGTTAGCAGGCTTTCATCTGGCATAATTTTATCATGGATGACTTACCAAGTTCAGGATACCAGCTGGGCTGGCCTTATCACTGGCCTTCTTGCTGAAGAACAAGAGACCATTACCAGTGTGGGAAGACCAAGCGGCATTGTGGTTGGCGACATCTGGCTTCTCACCACGAAGGTAGCTGGAAAGGTTCTTGTGCTCAACTGGCTCAGATCCGAACCAGAAGTGCTTCTTTTGGAAAATGAAGCTCCTGTAAAAAGGATCAGGTTAGTTATTGACTCACATAATGTCTTGATGAGGTTTCTGGCGATCTCAAGAATCAACGAGCAACCAGTCAAAAATCAAAGGCGCATATTCGCAGGTGAAGATATTATCATATTCTGATGAGTGATAACTTACTTGAGTAAACCTGGACCCTTGTAACCCAAAACTCCCTCCTCAACAGGTGTAACCTCCTTAGCGACTGGTGCAGCATCAGTGGTGGCCTCTGCAGTTGGTTCCTCAACAACAACAGCTGGTGTTTCGACAGCTGCCTCAGTTGCAGCAACTGGCTCTTCGACCTGTGGCTCTTCAACCTTTGGCTCTTCAACCGGTTCAACAACTGGTGCTTCAGTGCTGGTGGTGGTGGTGGTGGTCTCGGGAGCTGGGGTAGCTACTTGCTCCTCGACGGTAGGGTTTTGAACTTTAGACATGTTGAAATAAATAACAAATCAAATGAATTAAAATATTCTTTTGTTGTTGTTGATTGATTATATGATAAGTAGAAACTTGACGTTGGGCTGATGGCTGTAAGTTCCGTTTTGAGATGGAGAAGTAAATAAAGAAGATTTCTTTGAAGGGGGAAGAATAAAGTCGTGGCAAGAAAGTTTATTATTATAAGATAAAAGTAAGTTGACTAGTAAGTAGTAGGTGACAAGTAAATGACATGTAAGTGTGAAGAAGGAAGGAAGATGAAGAGAAATTTTCTTCTGATTTTCACTTATGGGCAGATTTGGTTTTATTACTTTAATACCACGACTTGCAAGGGCGTTAAAGCTAGAGGACTAGCGAAATGAGGTAGGCACGGTAACTACTTAAGGTTATAGGCTAGAAGGGAAGGAGACACTCAGACAAGACTGGTGGACCACCGGTGGACCACCTCACTTGATTAAAAGAGTGCAGGGACCATCCGAGAGCCCACTTAAAAGGCAAACTATAGGAAATGGACGACCGTATAGACAAAAGATGAGCTAGATTAGCTTTGATATTTGGTGGTTGGTGGTTGGTGGTTGGTGGTCGGTGGTCGGTGGTCGGTGGTTGTTGATGTAGTGATGTTCAAATAGAGATAGGAACCAAAATATACCTAGCATCTAATAGTACCTATAAGCACTGTAGAGGTATGAGTGCCTAGGGAGTAATTATCATTCATTGGCACCTTCGGAAAGGAAGGGCCTTTTCTTTTTTCCTACACTTCTTCATGACTCATCACTTGATCGAATTTAATTTACGTACAGTAGGCAATTCCTGAGGAGGTCATCTATAATTGTATGATTCTCTATAATTCAATATTTAATTCCAGTCAAAGTTTTAGCAGAGGGATGTTTTAATGAGTAAGTATATACTAAATAGCCAATCTCCAATACAGTCAGTGCAACAGTCAATGAGTGAAAGTATCATTTCTTTAGTTTCTCTCTTTCTTCCTTCCTGCTCGAAAGCTTCATCTCTTATTTCGATTCCTTCCAACTTCCTGTGGATGAAACCCGGGATCATATAAAATGGGCCCCAACTTTTGATGTGGATTTCATTTTTATCTCTTCTTCAAATGGTTTGATTGATGATTTGAATGGGAATCGATATTTTTCATGGATAGTTTCATGGATATGTTCATGTTAATGATTAACTTTCCGATCGCCACCCAGAGATATATTATATTTTTTTTATATTAATCCCCTTTCTCCTGGTTCTTGAATGTCTTCTATCAATGTTCCATATTTCTAAATCTTCATCTCGATGTTCGATTCTGATTCTGATTCTGTTTCTGTTTCTGTTTCTGTTTCTGTTTCTGTTCCTCAAATAGGGTGAGTCTTCAATCTGGACAAATATGTTATCCTTTAAACATAACGGCACGCTTACCCATCATCTCCTCAAATTACTACACCATCCCATCCATTCATACCTAGGTAGGTAGGTAGGTAGATAGATTATGTATGTATGTTTTTGGTATGGTGTGGTCTAGTTGTACTGTATAGATTATGCTGGCGCATAATGAGTTTCATCAACAATCTTAATGCGGGCAAAATAATATCCCAACATCCTCCCAGCAGACTTACTTACTAGGAAGGTCCATTTCCGATATGTCGCACCTTACCTTACCTTACCTTACCTTACCTGAACCCATTATTCAACCTACCAAGAATATAAACTTCCTTCTTTTGCTTCATCATCTACCCAATACCTTCCACACTACTCATCCAAACATCAAACAAGTACCTGTGTATCGTAAACACGCCATAACGAATCATTCATACACCATCCATCACTCGATCGATCGAAATCCCCCAATCTTCTACCCAATTAAGGCAACCCGTATCGACAGACACCGTATCGGAGCATATTTTCTCACGGGGTACCTAGGATTTATGCTCGCATGATCAATAGGTAAGGCGATCTTTAGTCTTACTTGAATGCCGACGTAGTGTTGGATGTGTGGCTCTCGTGGCATTCAAAATCAATCCATTCCATCCAATCCAATCTCTCAATCATAAGCATGCAGCACAGCATGCAGGACAAAAGTAAAACTAAAAATATGCAACATGAATAAAGAATATTTTTATCTTCGCAAGCCTGTGCTCTCTGTGCAATACTTCAATACTAGCCAGAACTTAGAAATGCCAGACATGCATAACACATTTGTATACATTTGTTCACATGGTCAGAACACCACAAGCTTAGAGCACAAAATTAACAAAGCGCATTCTCCCTATTCGTCCCAAATTACCCCCTGGTATAATTTGTACTGCGCAATGGCCTTCATATCCACTCTAGTGCTTTTCCCTTCCTTCTTTCTCCCCCCTTTTTCCGTATGTTTCTGTACGTAGTACTGCGTACACAGTATATCAGAACTTTAGAACTTTTACTTACATACTCTACCTAGATATGGTGGTAGCTGCATGCTGCCAAAGCTTGCTGTGCTTCGGTGAGCATGGTATTCGTCATATTCATACATACATATATGTATATATATATATAACTTGTACTAATGAAGTACTATTTCTTTATTTGTTCGTTCATACATACATACTATATACATACTACATATATACAAAACTCTATTCTACTCATGACATGAAGAAGAAGATACAAAAGTCATCCGAGCATTTTCTATCGAATAAACACACCTACCTACCTCTGTATCAATCAACATCATCCCTGATTGGAAAAACCAGATAAGAAAGCTTTGACATTTAAGCTTGGTCTGTCTGTGTTAATACCTACTAATACCAAGATACCTAATTAATGATTTCCAGAAATCTACTTCATGATCTGTAGATTATATTTGGAGTCTAATTTTAATTTTGAAATATTCAATGTATGTATGTATGTTCAACACTTTTTGCTTTTACTCATGGATAGATAGATAGATAGATAGATAGATAGGTAGGTAGGTGGCTTGGACTCTTTTTTTTAAGAGAATCTTAGATATAGGTAGGCGCCTAATGTTGAGTTATTATGATAGAAAGTTCGAGGATTGGCATTCGAGGTGGGTTTACGATTTACAGAGTACACCCATTCATTTGTCTTTGTCCTTCTATTGGTTTTGGTCCAGGGAATTAACCAACCAACCAATTGTAAAGGGGGAATGGGGATAGGTTGATTTTGCTAGGGTGCATGCATGGTAACATCATCACCATTATCACTATTCAATTACACCATACGATTGATTTCATGCAGATCAAAAGAGTATCTATACGCAGTAAGTATCCAGTGTACTATCTTCAATCATTCGCTCAATCATTCGCTCACTCATCCATCCATCTCCCTTCCAAAAGCCAACCATCTCATTCATTCCCACCTTCTAGAAAACCAACAGCTCAAACATCTAGAAATTCCCCCCTTCCCTTCCCTTCCCTTCCCTTCCCTTCCCTTCTCTCACACGATAATCTCAAACCCTTAAGCCTCCCTCATCCCAATTTCCCTCCATTCATTCATTCATTTCCATTTCATCCCACTAAAAGCTACTATTGGTCCTTCCAAGACTGTTCTAAATGTTTCACTGATCCCCAGTTATTTATATGGGGATATGGATATGTACGGAGGACTGGGTTTCTTTACCTACCGACATGTGTGGTACGAAGTATTGTCTGATGATCATTTGATTAGGGAGAGGAAGATTGGTGGAACGAAGGGAGGAGTACATTGGTGGTATGTATCTATCTATCCATGATGTTGTTTCTTGGGTGGTGATGGGTATTTGAGTTGGGGAATTTTTTATATATTATACCTATCTATCTAGGTATCTATCTACTGGATTTCCATCGTGTGGAATTACTACGCTGAGTCTGATGATAACTTTTGTTCTTCTTCTTTTGTTCGGATGCGATACGGATACTAGGTATGAGGATATATTCACTCATGATAATGATAATGATATTCTCAGAAGGAAGATATTTATTTAATTTATAGCCTTACCTACCTACCTACCTACACACCCGTTTATCCATATCCATATCCATATCCATATCCATATCCAGAAACCCCACCAGCAAACAATAACCTTACCTAGGTAGGTATACAAACATCTTTTAAAATTCTACAATTTTCTAAACTATCTATACATCACATCCTCGCAAGTCACACGATCCATCCATCCATCCATCCATCCATCCATCCATCCTATCTAATATCTAATAAATACAACCCATCCCGATTCCAGCCAGAACCTTATCTCTATCTACCCATCCCATCCCTCCACCACCTTCCACCTTGCTTCCACCTTGCTACCACCTCCTTCACTCTCCCCCCACCCCACCTCCAAAAAACACGGATTGCAAAGAAACCCCTCCTACGACTACCCAGATAAAGTTTTACCTATCCACCTACCTACATAGTACATCTAATAAGTATCAACAAGTAAGATCTTAATCTACCTAATCAATTTTCTCCTTAGGAAAGAGGGGTCATCAAAATTCGAGTATGAAAATTTAAAGTACGGAGTATGTACTCTGTACATGCGATATCCATGTGTGGGGTACGGTGAAGGTATATTTTAAAATCTCTGTATAGAGAGAAGAGGGGTAATTATAAGTTTTACTCTAGAGTCTAATTCTTGATATGTTGGATATGTATGATGTTATTAATCCTGTCGTTTTTATATGTAGGGTTACATACTTGTAGAAATCTTTATCTGAGTTCGGCTGTTTTATACATCTATATCTCTATATCTAGTAGGTAAACACTTATGATAAGGTAAAAAGAGAGATTTTAAATAGATAGTAGATAGTGGCGATCAGTAAAGGGTAAAGAATTACATCACTATACACTATGCACCGCGCGTACTTCGCTTCACATTCTTACTTACGAAGCATCGAGGGGGGGAAGAATTGAAGAGGGGTGATATGAAGTGGATAGATGGGTAGGTGGACAGGTGGGCAGGTGGGCAGATGATTCCTGACCGCTTGGGTTGGAAGTGAGGGGTTTGAAATTGTGATTGAAGGATGGGTTTTGGTGGTTTGGATCAAGCTTGGATTTTGAGTGTTGAGTTTTTTGGTTTTTGTTGTTGATGATGTTTGTTTTTTTGTTTTTTGATATGGATTTTATTCTTGTTGTTTTTGCCATTCGCTTCATTCGCTTCATTCGCTTCATTCGCTTCATTCTCTTCATTCTCTTCATTCTCTTCATTCTCTTCATTCTCTTCATTCTCTTCATTCTCTTCATTCTCTTCATTCTCTTCATTCTCTTCATTCTCCTCATTCTCCTCATTCTCCTTAAACATCTTTAAATCTATTATATTACTTTTTAAAATCTATACAAGTAGTATTAGTCTTTTATTAATAAGAAATTCTATTAACATTTTGATTATTAATTTATATTTTTTATAATAATTAATTTGTAGTTTTTTTTTTAATTCATATAAATATTTATAATTAATATTTAAATATTTATTTTAGTTTTTAATTTTGTTTATTTAATCAAATAGTATAATTTTAAAAACAAATCTAATTTATATAGATATTTTTATATATATAATATAATATAATATAATAGTTATTATAAATCTTTATTCTTTTATAAATAAATAAAATTATTTATTTAAATTTATATTCTTTTATAGAATTAATAAAGAAAAATAAATAATAATAATAAAAGATTATAAAATAATTCTTTTGAAATATTAAATAGCTGATATAGAAATATATATTCTTTTTAATTGTTGAATTATTATATCTATTATTAGATTATATATTTTGAAGGGCTGATATCAAAATCAGATAGATATTCAATCTCTCGTTTCATTTATCTCGTATGAGACTATGAGCTTTGTTGTTCCATGTTGAATGAATACTTTGAGGAGATTTCATCAGATCTACATCATCAGTGAATTATCCTGTATTGAATAGTTCTGAATGTAATCTACTTCTGTTTCTGCTTCATTCCTGAAAATGAGATGATTGAATCACTCTTTCCTGATATAGGTCTTATTCATCGATTATCCGAACAAGGAAATTTTCACACTTAATAATATTCATTGTTAAATCTCTCAATCTCAACCTAACCCCACCGCTTTATTTCCTACTGGTCCATGGCTTCCCCTCCTCAATCTTAAATCCTATTCAACTCTCTATATCTTCAACTCTTCAGCTCTCCATCTCTCCATCTCGTCCGCTCTCCATCTATCCCTCCTCTATAAACCCCCATCTTTCACCTCAACCTTTCAACATCTACCTTCAAACTTTCGTCCCCTTTAACCTTCACAACTTATTGAGACTTACAAGCTTGGTTGGCTAGTACTTATGCGCTCTATTACGTTTGCTAGCTATCTTCATTTACATTTCCTTGAAATACATCCTATCAATACGTGCTTCACTTTTAATTAAGAAAGCCCTATTAGATTTCCTAGACTTCTTCCTTTCTCATAGGCCTAGAACTTGACTCTACCTTCTTTGAGTCGCATATGTTCAATTCCGCCTTTCTACTAGGGACACTTTGCTTTTGAAGAAGAACTTTACTACAAACTACATACAAATTGCAAGTGTCCTCAAGATATACCTTCTCCTGAATCCCTCTTTTTGTTATCCTCCTCCTCAAGCACTAGCCTTTCTTCCAAGCCTCTGACCTAGAGCCCATTTAATATTCCTTTCTTAGACCCCTCTCAACATCATCATCAATACCTTCACACTACACCTTTAAGTCAACTTTCAAAAGGTCAAAGTTTAATACTAATAACCTTCATAGGCTGTGTTCAACAAAGCCCATAGCATTTATGTGCATGGCTTTAACTACTCTCACTACACTTGCTTAATATTTCAAGTATCTTTTATTGATCAACTCTTGAGCTTTTTGCATTGCATAGATTGAAATTAGAATACTTGTAAGTCATCACGAAAATTTGCTTGTTCTTCAGCTTGATCCCGCTTCTTCACGTACACTTACTCTTCCTCATTTACACTGTTCTTTTCAGGAGATTCATCATTTATCATAACTCCCACTCATTTTATTCCCTGCCTACTATTACCTAGTCAAGTACATGGTATTCTAACATTCTATAGCATTCAAGATATCATTAATCATGGGGAAGAAAGTCAAATACAAGGCCAAGAAGACCAATCAGGCTCAAGATAATGGCGGAAAATTACAGGTTGCATGTGGTGTATCTGGCTCAAAGAAAGGATCAATCTGGAAGCAACCGGCGAAGGTGTTTGTTGCTGCAACTCCAAATGAGACAAGTTCATGGGTTTGGCCTTCGCTACCTACTGTCAGCACAGATACTCAGCCACTTCAGGAATCACAAACTGGTGGTAGCTCCGCAAAGACTGCCTGTGATACTACAAATATTAATAGTAGTTCTGCCAAATCTGTTAATATTCGCACAACTCCGACTAAACTTGCTTCTAATCCAGATCTGGTTCCCAATCCTGAACCATTTGTTTTAAAGTATTACACCAACAAATCTGTATCTATCAATGGATCCCCTTGGGAAAATCCACCTCTTCCTTCCAAAGATAGTACTATCAAATATGATACCTCTGAACTGGATCTTGGATCTTGGTTTGTTATACCTGAGAACGCAAAATGGTCTTCTCTTCCCATATGGGCCACTGACTCTACACTCCAACCAAGTCTTCCATGGTGCACCAAAAAAAGTGCGATGGTTGTGCTCACTCCACCAGTTCGCTCAAGTCCATGGACTGAAGTGTTAGCCACTGCCACGTCTCCAACATCTTCTAAACAAGGAAACCCTAATGGTGTTGTTGGAAACCTTGGCTGGGTTGTCGAACCAGAGGTCGCGATAGAGAAAGACACTAATGAGCCAGATCCTTGGGCAAATACAACGGAAGAGACTTCCACAGAGCCAAAGGAGAAATTTCCCACCTTGCTCAACTGGCCTTTCACAGGTGAAAAAGATCGATTTAATAAGTTGGTTTCATTGGTATTATATTTCATCTAATCCACGAGGAACTCTGATCTAACTGCTTCATCTAGGGATCATTTGTTTTTAATTACAAGAATAATATCTTCAAACAACCAAAAAATTATCAAAATCAAAGCGCATTGATCAGATTACTTCAAATGGAGGGTCCCAATGATATACTTCTCAAATTAATATGGCAAAACCATAGCACTGCTTCTGCTTTATGTCGAACTAGTCAGAGATCTTGGGATGTGTTAATGGGTATCACTGTAAGTTCTCTCTTATCAATCAATATAACCACTGATTTTTCTAGGGTATTTGGGATATCTCTGGAGGTAATTTCGAAAATTGTGAAATACCAAGGGAGGAAAATAACTTTGAGGCTACTGCTGCTTCAGTTGTGATTGTCACCCCTACCAGAGATGGGGAGCCTATCAAGTACATTAAGCAAATCAAAAACCTGAACAAGATGTGTAAGTCTTATTCTTCTTGACCACTCTGTCCAATCGGATCACTAATCAAATTTACTTTCTATCAGGCATCGCCATGCATAACTTTAGTGAATTCCTACAGAATATTCAATTTCATCATGTTCCTTTCCTCAGCACTCATATCCTCGCATTAGTTATCCCTAAAATGCGCAAACTCAGTGTTCTCGGAGTCTACAGCTGTGAATTGATTCATCTTGGAGATGGTCAAGAGCTTCTCGACATCATTCGACGTGATCGCCTTCGAAGTTGCGAACATCAAGTCTCTTTAGACTTTTATCCCGCGTATCATGCTGGTCCCTACTCAACACATCAAGCTGGTGACAAAAAAGGTGAACAAAGATTAGGGGAACAATATTCATATGGTGTTACTTGGGATGATCCTGGTATGGTAGTTGCTGATATTCGAATCGCAATTTGGCAAGAAGTTCATGGTCTTCTTCTTCAGGCGAGAATACAGGGTATCGATTTTGAATCTAAGCATACGATGTTTAGACAATGGTTGGATAAATCACCTTGTTTGGCTGTGGAGAAAACTTTAAAGGTTCTCATGGATCCAAATGCTGGGATTGATCAAATTATTGTCCATGTTGCATACAGAGAATTCCGTGGAGATGTTCAGAAATTTCGAAAATCTGTACCTGGCAAAGTCGCCAACAAACCTGAGGGCTCTCAATGGTATATTACCACTTCTCTTTCCTCAATACCTTTCCTCCCCATATACGATCAAACTAACATCACATCTTTAGGATGGTAGAAGGCTTCAGATGCCGAAGTTGTGAACAACTGCTTCCTGGAATTTGGTTTTCGTACCAAATGATTCGTAACTTCAAATTAAACGACCAAGATGAACCCAAGTGTCAAGCCTGCAAACTATTCGACTATCTGAAAATGGAAGGTGATCACTACAAACAGGAAAAACGCACCGTCATCAAAGCATGGTGTTGGGATCGCGCACTTACCGTACCGAATTCTCAAATCATCGGAGACTGGAACACTGATAACCTTCTCAAATTTCTTCGTGTCTTCAAGTGTGAACGTCAAGGTTCTCATGTCAGAAAACTAGCAAGACTACTGGATAAGAAGAGACGCTATGATGAAAGTTTTCAAATCTTTCATGAAACTGATGAGGTACAGAGGCCGGTTAATCATCAGGCACTGGGTAGGAGGGGTGCATATGGTATCAGGGCTGCTACTGTGCAAGATAAAGAAGCATTTGAGAGTGGAAGAGTACACAATGAATGGGATTGCTTCAGAGAGGATCGCATTAATGCTCATGGTCAACCTGCTACCTTTAGAGGTTGGTAGATTTGCTGGTTTGGTGTGGCTGGTCGGTATTTACATTGCTTGATCTTTACTCTTTTTCCTGATCTTGCCGGATGATACATTCTGCGCATACGAAACTACATACACCACTGAAAATTACCAGACTGTTATCACCTTCCAGATTTTCAGCAGCTGTTCTCTCGGTAGACAAAACACTTCTCAGCTCCAACAACACACACACAGAATATTCACAGGGAAGGCATAAACAAATTTGACATTTCGCAACTCAACTAACACCTGCCTCCTCACAGACACATTACCTATTTATTTGGTTAAGCAATCACTTGATATATTTCAAATCAACCTCATCACAACTATCTTCTACTCACGAAAAACATATGCATCTACGACACGAATGAATGACCTTCCAACTCTCTGGATCACAACCAACCTATCTTTTATTCACAAAAACACGAAAACACAAAAACACGAATGAATTTCCTACTCTCCGATTATCTATTTATTCATTTAGTCACACATCTTTAAAAAAGAATGAAGAATGCACGAACTTCCTAGCATACAGGCGCATATAAGAATTCGAGCTTGCAGATCGATATCAAGTTAATATCATTAGCATTACTTTACTTTACTCATTCTACTACCTATTTAGATGAATATTGATAGATATTTATTTATCTCTCGAATCAGATTTTTAGGGGATAATTTTCTAAAATTAAAGCGTAAATATATAATGAATTTAAACTACTTGTGGATAATTATCAAGTTGGTAAAACTAGTGGAACTGGTGAATCAGATTAAAACCTCATCGACTTCATAATCACAATATCATCATCATCCATCCATCAAACTCCACCCACATATAAAACCACAACTTCTTCCCAGAACTCACACCAAAAGTCAAAAAGTTCAGATTAGAATTTAGATATTTTGATTAATCATAAAACAGATAAAAAAACTACCTACTCCCTAGTACCAGTACCTACTATCTAATACCTAGTAGCAAAGCTATAAACACAAACCCCCCTTTTCCCACCCCCGAACCCAAGATATCATTTATTTTCATATAGAGAACATTAAAATAAAACAAACATCTTACATTATCCATTATCCTTACAAGAAAACCTTTTTCATTTTCATTCATTCGTTCCCTTGGTATCTTAAATGATGAATGAGTGAATGAGTACTAGTTGTACTATTCCGCAGCCATTCCTGTGAATATTTTCCCTTTCCACTGATCCAATTCCCTAACCATCCTGATTCATAAAAATAGAAAGAAAAAAGAATTCATCCTGAAAATATAGTTTTGTCCGCGTCATTGATATTGATAATCATCCGAAATCCTTCTGTAGAAACAAATTTTCACGATAAATCATAATCATAAAATAACGATATCTTCAACTCCCTTCCAAACCCATAACAGAAAATTTATGCAAATCTCGGAGCCGAGGTAGCCCTTAATGGTAATTGTCTATCCAAAGATTTAAAGGCCATTGTTCTGGGTGTAAAAGGTTGTTTCAAAAGATCTGCACTTTGTGACATATCCTGCATTTCCCACGGAGTTTCTGGTTCTGGGGAATCTGTTGTCTTTACTCTCTTTCCAGCTTTGTTTGTCGATACAAGGTTATCTTCTAGATCGAGCGCATTGATTGAACGTTCCAAGCGTGAAGGGATGAGAGAATCAATACCGAGGATTGTATTGGCTAAGTAGATGATCCTAATTATTTGTTAAATTTTGAACGTGTGGGATGATGGATAGTGACATACATCATAAAAACTGTAACGGCAAAAGTTCCTTTAGCCATCTGACAATAATGCTCATTCCCAGACGGTCTGGCATATGAACAACTCTTTGCAACATACCAAGCTACATTACTTGGATGTTTTGGATCAGTATGATCTGGCCCGGCTTGTCCGTATATACTGACAATCCAACAGACAGTAAGAAGTCCATTGATAACAGTCGAGAGAAGAGGCCACCAAACATGCATAATAAACATGACGACTTTGCAAAGTTGGATGAACATAGAAAGAACGGAAATTCCGACATTGAAATTTTGCAATCTATAAAATAGAAATTATTCAGTTAGCTTGATTTTCATCTCATACTCCTCTCATCCATCGCATATCATCCCGTACGACCGAGGAATCAAACTTACGTCTGACTCCAAACAAAAGCAATCTTTGGTATTGGACGATAATTCGCATAAGCATATAGAATCTCAGCCGGACTACTATTAAATCCATTATCATAACCAATTTGCCACAAACTCGTTCGATACAAATCCGGATCCGCGATACCGAACATGATGAGTGCTGCGATTGTACCCGCAAGTTCGATTACATTGAGCCAAATGATAACTCTAGGATATTTCCATTTGCGTTTCATAATCGGTGAGGAAAGCCATCCGCATGCCATGATGAAGATATAGGATATTGCTGATGGAGAAGAGGATAGGGCGTAGGATTATCGTAAGACGGTGATTGATATTATAAATTGATGAATAGACTGGATAGATATATACTTTGATCCGAGTTTGCGTAATTATATGAATCAATCGCCAGCGATCAAGTAATGTAAGCCCTATGTAAATATACTGTATTTTCTTCGTTGATGAACTCACATTGATAACATCAGAAAGGAAGAGTCGTCTCTTCAAGAAAGCACCGTAAGATAGAAATCTTTCCTACAAGTCAAGCTTACGAACGGACCGGCCGCCCACAATTTATTAATATAACGGATTACGGGAAGGGCACATTATGCGTATGTATGGAGTACAAGGTGTGAAGGAGGGGAGGGAAGAAAACACAATCTACCAATGAGAAAGTGATAAGAAGAGCTGTTTTTAAGCGCTGAGGCTGCAAGTTGATGTGAAAAGTCAAGGGTGGAACCAATGAGATTGCGGGGATGAAGTTTTTGGGGCTGAAAAGTAAGAGCTAGATCACATTAGGAAATAGTCAAATGTGAGTTAGATGTCGATTGTAGGACGAGAAGATTTAAGTGGTTGATTTTACTAGCCTTGGTGGATAGTGGACTGGAATTCCCGGAGCTAGTCGGTACTTTTAGTTAGTGTGTCAAATGCACGGCCTGGAAATCTTACATTTACGATTTATTGAAATCTCTGGTTTGGGTTCTGAGCATTGCCGTATGCACGATGAGATGAGATGAGGCTAGCAATATAAATTGAAAATCCAGCATTTTTCATTAGCATTCATTTATATACTATTGCTTCATTGGATTCCTTGATCTCTCGTCTGAGGGGTAGAGGGGTCAATGGTGTGGTGTTTTTACTATCATGACTATTGACTGCTCAATTTTCGTTCCACAGATTAATATCTACTGGTGAAGAGATCTCTATCAGCGATAGCGATAAGCAGAAGCAATGCAGTCAAGCTTGATTGCTACGAGAAGTTATTTTAGTCTCAAATCCCCCGTGGTTAGTTAGCCATACTCAATTCATATGAGTAAAAAAGATTCTTCTGAGATTAGATACGAAATACGTCCTTGATGATTTCATTCCGTTGAAGATTATCTTATTCGTCATCTATAAATCCTTAGTGGGACTGATAATCTTATCATAGGGATTTTGGGATAATGTACTGGTCCAAAGTTCCAGCTTTTCAGATGAAGTAACCAAGATCATGTCGAGACTTGATCAACAAGAAGTTCAGCAATTTTGCGATATTGGTATAAAATATCATTTGTCACTCATGCCTCTACAAATATAATATAAAAAAAGCCATCATCCAAACACCATCCCTCATTCTACACCATACTTCCCCTCACCATCTCTCCCTGTCTCTATATCTCAATATCCCAATATCCCCTAGAAATCTACCCCAATATCCGTCCACTTCACCAAGAAAAAAACCCACATATCAAGATATCAAAAGTCAAGAATCTACAGGATCTGGATTATATATCTACAAAAACAGACACAAAAATCAATAATATAAAATTTATTTCTTTAAACATAAAATAAAAAAAGCAAGGAAATACATCAAGGAGGACTGTAATCTAAAGGAGGCTTGTATAGACTTTAGATCTTGTGCAGGGATGGATGGGGAAAGCGAGAGAGAGGGTGGTTTGGTATATAATCCTGTTTCTACTTCTCAATCCCTCCATCCCTCCATCCCTCCATCCACTCATCCATCTATCAATCCCCACTCAAAACAACACAATTTACCCTCTCGTTCACTCACACTTTCATTCACACCCTCATTCCCCATACCACACCACACCAAATCGTTGGAGATTCACACTCACACACTCACTCACACACATCCACACCCCTCAACATCATCAAAAGAAGAAATCATCAGTTCACACTACAACCACAAGAATCTATGATATCATATCACATTCATACCACTTCACATTTATACCACATCACATCATATAAAATTTCAAATATACGCACACAAGAAGCAAGCACCCATCCATCCGCATCCCCACCTGCATCGCCGACCCCCTCATTCCCCAAATCCATCTCATCCCATTTCAATTCATTCAGGTAACAAAGATCCCACGGTCAGGTCAGGTCAAGTCAACCAAATAACATCCATCAGAAACATCATAAATATATCGCCCCAACATTGCTATTGGACAATATATGCTCATACGCATCGCATTGCATTCATTGCATTGCATCGGTATAAAACCCCCATCGTATAAACCCCAATTCCCTCCCCATTCTTTGACATGGATTCCCCAAATTTCGCCTGCGGTAGATACGATAGACCCATCCGTCCAAAAAAATTCGCCAATCACAATTCCCAACCCCAACCCCAAAGGCCAACCATATTTCATTTCCCACCCTACACCATACGCAATTCATACGAGAACCATCCTACCATCCTTCCATTTCATCCATTCCCTAAAACTCCAAACAACAATAAACTCCGACGCTTGAAACATAATATAATACTATACTTAAAATACCCAAAGCCTTGAATAGCCCTTAAGAAGTCATTAATAACTTAAATCAACATCTCCTAATCCCGCAATGATTTTATCTTCCTCTGACATAGTACCCTCACTTCCTGTTGCACTTGCACTTGTACCCGTTCGTCTTCTCGGTTCTTCTTGAGTAGCGAGCTGTAATTGTAATTGAATTCCACTTGCAGATGCACCTTCATCCCTCATCTCTTGGAAGCTCCAACTTGGTTCAAAGTTATTACTATTCCAAGCATGTTCCACTCGTTCATATAACTCATCAATCTGCTCAAGACTGATCTTGCTCGTCTCATAAACCATTCCCCAAACGAAGAGAAAGGCAATTACACAAAAGCAAGCCCAAAGGAAGAATATCTTTGCTTGAAGATTTGCATAACCGGGTCCGGTGCTTGTCATATATGGAACGCTATAAGCGATGGCGAAATTGAGAAGCCAATTCGAAGCCGTGGAGATTGACATTGACTTTGCTCGAACCTTTAATGGGAAGATTTCTGATGTGACGACCCAAACGACTGGTCCCCAGGATGAAGCGAAAAAGAAGATGAAAAAGCAGACGAATATGATGATTACAATGTTCACAGCTCTCGCTTCCTCCTGTGCTGCAGTACCAACAGCTGCAATCAAGAAATGAGAAATTGCCATTCCTGCTGAACCTACCATGAGGAGACGACGTCGACCTAACGACTCAACTAAAATCATACCGGGAAGAGTTGAGACCGTATTTACTACGTTGGTGATAAGTTGAATGACGTATGGTGACGAAATTCCGACATTTTTGAAGAAAGTTGTACCACTATAAAGAGCTAGATCAGTCGCTGCATATTTTAACGGAAGTGAAAGATGTGACAAAGAGTAACATTAATGATACTCACTAGTAAAAGATAAAGTTCTATTCAACTTATTAGCAATTTATATTTACAATAGGAGGGATATACGTACACATCCAGTCAATTGTTGAAGCATTTGGAGAACACAACCTGTTAGAAGTCGACGACCAAGATGTGGCGAGCCTAAGACAATATCTTTATATGACGATGAACCTAAGCTCAACTCATATTCATGATTTGCTTCAATCTCAGCCAATTCTTCTACCAAAGCAGGATGTGTTATGTCAAGGCGACGAAGACGACTTAGTGACGAGGCAGCAGCCTGATGTTGACCACGTTTAATGAGATATCGAGGTGTTTCTGGTAACAAAGCAAGGCCAAGGAAAAGGATACCTGCCCAAACGAACTGTATTGAGAAAGGAACTCGAAAAGCATTCGGTCCATCAATACCTTCCGTAAATATGTTGACGACAGCCGCGAGAAGAATTCCACAAGTGATGGCGAGTTGATATGCGCATACCAAAGTTCCTCGAATCCATTTTGGCGACATCTCTGATTGATATAAAGGAACGAGAACCGATATAATTCCAACACCTAAGCCCGCAAAGAATCTAGATGATTTTCAGTCATCTTTCTATAGTATATCCGAAACAATGCAACATACCTTCCAGCTATGAGCATCGGAATATGCATTGCAGCAGTCTGCAGTGCCACGCCAATACAAAATATACCGACAGCGATGATGAGCGATATCCTTCGTCCAATATGATCACCCATAGGCGCGGCGAGTAATGCTCCGAAGAATGTCCCTGCACTCAGGATTGCTACGATTTGTGCAGATTGACTGGGCGATATAGACAATTCATTGTCGGTCGGATCAACGTAACCGGTCGAGAATTGTTGGCGAAAGGCACGCATTACTACTACTCCAGAGATTGTACTGAATCCCATGTCAGCTTTCACTCAAGTCGTGATTACCTCCTCCACCACCACCACCACCACCACCACTCACCCCGTATCATAACCGAATAAGAGTCCTCCTGTCGCGACGAATAATCCTATCATTATAGCCGGCGCAGAAGAGCCGGCAACATTATCGGGTTTGTGCCAGGCCATGGCTATGGCCATGGTAAATTAGAAGTGGTCGTCAGGTCGGCGTAGTAAATTAATGAACGTTGGAGTATATGAGGATGGATACGATGTAAGTCGTTGATGATCACCGGATTTTCGAATAAGGAAATTGGCATGCCCATTGGACGACGAATAATCTTAGGCCGATGCAAGCTCTGAGAAGCATTCCCTTGTTTCCAGGACAATTCAGCACGTGGTTAAAGGATCGATGGATGGTGATTGAAAGAGAGGCGCACGAGATAGAGGGGGTTGGAAATGAACCGGGTCGGACAGTATTGGGGAGAGGACTGCTGACAATGAATGAGGATGTTCGACCACCGACCTAGAAATTTAGGGTGTGGGGAAAGGGATTGTCTTTTTGGAGGTGGTGGGAAAGAATCGGATGATAGACAAGACTGGGATTTTGGGGAAGCCGACGGGGAGGGTAACGGGGAATGAGTGTAACCCCAGGCAGGCTTTAACGGAACGAATAGGGCGTTGAGCTCTTTTGAAGAGAACGGAAAGCTGAATGAAGTGGTGGTAAGTCAGCAGTGGTAAGTCACTGGTGGCGCAAAAGAGTTTATTATGGGTGTGTGCCACCCCAGACCAACAAGAAATCGGTTACTCTTCTGTCACAATGGAGGCTTCAATTAATTGAAAGGGAAAAAAAAGAGGAAAAAGAGTGGTGTTGTAGTATTCACCAAAGGGGGATTTGAGTTTGAGGAGAAGAGAAATACCTAGGTATGCATCTATGTGGCGTAGAAGTGGTACGTGGAAGTTGGGGTAAAAGTAGGGAAGTGAGAGAAGAGGGTAGACAGAAGCAAGAAACAATAAGGATGGTAGTATTGTCGTTGTTGATACTTTGGACCATTAGGTGGAATTTACGTATTGTAAGACTATAGGCTTGAGAGGGGTTGAAATGGTAATACTTCACTGGAGTACAAGAACCATCTTAGGTTACCTAGAAGGTGTTTACTCTGCAAGATAATGTTTGCTTACTCTGTATATACTCTTGTTCAGTAAATACATGGATGGGCATTGGGCACTCACTCCCGAGAAAGAGCGAGCCATTATTATCCACTCGCGAATGGGAAAGGCCGGTAGCAAGGTTCACAGCGATCATTAGGATAGTGAAGTGGGAGAAAAGTGCAAGGAAACGCAGAAATGCAAGGAAAATGCGGTAGATTTACTAAGTAAAAGCGAGTATACAATATGCGATGGCTGCAGTTACATTGACATTATTCGACATCTTCTATCTTCTAGTGGTATTCCAAATCCATTTTATTCTCCTGATTGGTCTGCATACATGTATGTGGCTTTTTCATGGCTTTAGTTGAGTTCAGACTGTTTCATTTACAACCAACTGACTAATAATCAATTCTAAAGGACTGGCCGTTCCTCTCACCTCCCTACCTGCAAAGCTTGTTCATTTCCCCTCAGCGAGTACGTACGTAGGGACTTACTCGTACATCATATCCCGTACATTACATTCCGTACATTCATAAACAGGACGAGAGATCCGTCCGAATTCCGGTAAATCATAACTCATACGCCGCACGTACCTACTTCCCCCATATCTTACTTCCCCTCGAAACTAAATATCAAATGCATGTTCTGTGTTCATGTTCTGGTCACGGCAGTTGCAATAAAATAAGCCAACGTAAGATATTTCGGGCTGACTTTCTAGACTTGTCTATGGGTGGCGCCTCGAGTTATTCTCGTTCTTCTTTCACCCACTTTTACCTTTGATTGGTAATTCCGGATCCGATGTGATTGATGTTCCGTTCCATGTTTGCTTTAAATGTAAGAAGTACTCCTGGTGTACGAGTAGTGGGAAGGAAAATAAAGTGCTTATAATAAATAAGGCTTGAATATGTTTGCTCATCTTCAACATTGAGTTTTGAACGAATGCAAGGCTGCAGACATCTCATCTCGTTGGATTTCACTGTTTTCCACCAGCTTCGTTCATGCGGCTCAAGTCATCGTGACTTCCCCTCGTTCACTTTCCTCACCATCCCATCATCGTATCATTTCCAGAGCCTCAATCTAAGGTCAATAGAACAGAAGCACAAAGAGACACCTACACCTACACCTACACCCTGTACACACATCCATCAGTGACATATATGATCTCCAGACGGAAATATCAGCTCAGCCCAAATTACCTTGACACAACCTGGACACAAGCTTGACACACCAGGATATCCATGAATCTTTATCAAATCGAAGCATCATGTAATGTAGTAAGACGGATTTCTACTCTTGTACGCGTTACACATAAAGCTCTAGGAAGGTAGGCAAAGCTGCCGATGCCTTCTGTTGCTTTCCTTTATCTTGGATCTTGGCGTTGATGTCTTGATGACGTTGAATGGATGGATTGCATGCTGCTGTGTAACTGGGATGATGGAAACATTTGTGGTTTTGCTTGGAGGTTCTTGCATATTCACTTTGATAAGGCCATGCTTTTATTTTAATTCCAGCGTTCTTCAGAAGGACCATCGTGATCTTGACATGAGGATATGGAGAAATGCATTTTGGTAAGCTTGACACTCTTCATGTCCATTTTACCATCTCCATCTCGTTACATTGCATACCGTCAGAGTTCTTCATAAGATAGGACAGTATGAACCTATTATCCAACCCCGTAAGTTTACCTCACCTCAACTCCTCCAAACCCCCTCACCACAACGTTAACTTACCACCCTAAAAACATCTCACAATATCCAATCCTTCCCCAACCTCACTACCCTCCACAATCCCTCCATAACACACCAACCAAATCATCTATCAACCGCTCAAACGAACCCCCAAATCCCAATCCATCACCCCGTCCAGTCTACATTCAAAACCCCATCAAGTATCTCAATCCCATCCAATCCCAATCCCAATCCCATCCAATCCCAATCCCATCCCATCCAATTCCACTCAATCTCACCCATCTGGGTCCCTAACCCCTCCCAACAACCAACACCAACACAACCTCCAAACCTGAATATATCCCACTCAATCAAACTTAATTTCTCCTGCAGATATAATTGACCCCATGACAATAGAATAGAAGGATATTGAGCTTTTTGTCCGAGCTGTCGCATGCACACATGATATGCAGATATCAGATGAGTTATGGGATATGGGATATGGGATATGGGATATGGGATATGGGATATGGGATCACTATTGTATAGGGGGACATGAACTTCAGTTTTAGTTTTAGTTAATGTGCATAGTATACTCTGCTCAGTGTTATATCATAGTATACTATCTTCTTATTTTGTACCTTGTCTAGAACGTTGTTAAGATATCTAGACGATGTAGAAATTCCCCTGTTACTTTTCTAAGGAGAATTACATTATAGTCTTGTTACAAATACGACAAGTTCAACAATAAGTTGCTTATATTACAATTGCAATTCTGTAGGTACCTACTATATCCGTAAGAGTATCTATATATCCATCCCCTCCCAAAAACATCACCCCTCACATCTTCACTTTCCACTTTCCACTTTCCACTTCTCACTTCTCACTTCTCACTTCTCAAGAAAACAAAAAATCCGCCAACATACATAAATATATATATATACCGCCAAACCACCTCAACTGGTGAACTATCCCCAATCTATCCTCAATCTCTCTGATCCCGAATTGAGTATAGCCCTTTATATCTTTATAACTTCACCTCCCAGTGAATATTTCTATTAATATATATATATATAACGCTATACTGTTAAGCCATACTAACTACCAGATCTGATAGCCTAATCCTCACCACCTAATACCCATCATCATCCCCTCATTCCTCACTCCCCACTCCTCACTCCCAATTACCCCTTCCTCATTTCCCATTTCCCATTTCCCATATCCCATATCCCATATCCCCAATTACCCCTTCTCCATTACCCATTACCCACTCATCATCTCTTACATCTCAATACATCAAGAAATAAATAATAAAATAAAATATAAATGATAATTCCCTGATAATAGAATAATCTTGTATCTTATATTTTATATCAAGCATCACATCAAACATCTATAATTATAATATTTATTCTAGTCAACTCACCAATACATCTACTATAATTCATTTCTAGATCTAGATAATTAATATTTCATTATTTATTAATTATATAAAATCAAAATAATTGATTAAATTAAAATCAAGATCAAGATCAGAAATAAAATCAAGAAGTCAGATCACGAATAAAGTATGATCGATATAAATAGAGATACAAACTTGTAAATTCCTATATCAAAATGAAAAAAGATCACCTTGTCTCGTCTCATCTCATCTCATCTTCTTATCAATACAATACAAATTTCTTATTCGAGCAAGTATTACAAATCCATCCTATCCCATCCTATTCCACGCCATCAAGATAAAACAAACCGGTTTCTCATTTAATATCTCCATTCACCATGATCCAATCTTTCCATTCTCATGCTCTAACTTATATTTCCAAAGTAGGCTTTACACCCTTAACCCTTCCAATAACCTGACTAGCAGCATATTTAGGAATAACCTCATCATCATGCAACATTTCAAATTCCTCAGTAGCATCTCTACCCATGAAATTCATGAGTGCTTGTGGACCACCTGGATGTTCATCCAACCAATCAGATACATCCATAACAACACCTTTAACCACAACCCATAAATCTTCTTTCTTGTTATGTTTTGCTACCTCATCCATTGTGAATTCCTTTTCAGGGATTTTGAACTCGGATGGTTTGGTAGGCTTGCTAACTTTCCCTGGGTCAGATGAATCGGCTCCATTCTTCAAGACGGGACCAGCTGATGTTTGAGATTGTTGGGCTACTTTATCACCACTGCTAGAAGATTGGCTATCCCATTCTACAGAGATCTTACCAGGTTGTGATGGATCAATGTGAAGTGAAATTTGACCAAGACGTGATGCAGAGCTAAGGTTACCCTTGAGAGCATTCTGGAAGAGATAGTTGCTAGCAGAATCACCTGCAACACGTCCGTAGACAACACATCCAAGTAAAGATGATCCACCAAGACGATTGGCACCGTGAACACCTCCTGCTAGCTCACCACAGGCATAGAGGCCTTCGAATGGTTTGCCTTCTTGGTTGAGAATTTGTGCATCAGCGTTGATCTCAATACCACCCATTGTAAAATGAAGAACTGGCTCCATAACAGCAACGTGGAAGTCATCGTCGACATCAAGAGGTCCGTTGTGAAAAAACTTCTTTCCATATGGATCCTTTTCTTTGCCTTCGGCAATTTTGTTGTATTTCTTGAAGGTTCCTTGAAGATGGTCTGGTGTACAACCAATCTCTTTTGCGAGTTCCTTGCCAGTCATCTTCTTCATCAGACCACGACCGGAGTAATGGCGTGTGTGAAAGTCGAGAACATTCGATGCTTTCGAGTTGAGGATGAGGCGAACTGGGAATTTTCCCTTGGCCTTTTCTTTCCACATCTCACCAGAGACGTAATCTCTGTGGCCAAGTTCATCACAGAAACGATCACCATCGCCGTTCAGAAGAAGACCTCCTTCTCCACGGAGAGCCTCAGCAGCCAAGAATTTCCACTTAGATCCAGGATCCTTAGGGTCAACAAGACCGGTTGGATGTACCTGAACTTTGTCCATATCAATTCCATTACCGCCAATAGCCATGACCATCTTTTGACCGTCACCAGTGGCGTGTACACCGTTAGTGGATGCCAAGTCGTAGGTATCTGGTCTGTGTTTCTTGAGTAAAGATGTTTCTGTGAAATCTGCCGCATATCCACCAGTGGCCAAAATAACTGGTCCCTCGACAAAAGAAGGTTCACCTCCAAATTCATAATTGACACCGGTGATCTTATTTCCTTCCTTCTTGAGCCCGGTAACTCGTGCCTTCTTGATGATTTGTACACGTTCGGGTTCGGCTTCGGCAAGTTCCTCCAACCTTTGCATCAAAGCGTATGTGATAGCCATACCGGGGAACTTAGCATCGTGTCCGCGGTGGGTTCTTGGTTGAGAGTGGCCACTGATTCTATTAGTAGATGCAAAAGCAGCGCATTGATGGTCTTTACTTACCCTAATCGTGATACGAGAGTCAAATCCAACCCGAATACATCTTGAAGCCACTCTACAGCAGCCGCAGACTTATATGTCAAGACCTTGATCAAATCTGGCCTTGCCTTATCTCTTGCCGATTTCAGTGTGTCATCGTAGAACTGCTTTACGCTGTCTTGGACCTTTTGGTCGACTTGAGTTCGGGTAAGTGCTCCATTGATACCAGAGGTAGCCTCTGTTGATACATTAGTCAATCGTCTATGTGTGAGTAAGTGACTTTTACTTACTTGTCGAGTTTCCACCGAAGAAGGCTATAGTAACAAGTTAGCACACGTTTCATGATTAACCAAGGCACGGATGGGTGGCGGAAGACGTCTGGGAACAATTCAGACCGATATTTGGTCAAAGGTAATGCCGGGTTCAAACAACATCGCGAGTTCAACATACCTTGCTTATCTAGAACAACAACGTTGCCACCAGCCAGATAAATGGTATGCGCAGCACTCAAGCCGGATACTGAAGTCAACATTAGCTTTAATGCACATTTAGAGGACAAAGGTAATCTCAAACGTACGACCACCTCCAACGACAATTACTCTAGGTGCCATATTGATTAAAATTGTAAAAGGAGAAGATGATGGGAGTGTATCAACAGTCTTAAAAAATGAAGTTAAAAGGATAAATAATGGAAAGGTATTCAAAGAATGAGTTGTTGGGGCTTTTGTGTTTAGAAGTAATAAGTGCGCTCGTTTCTCCGCTGGAATGGGTGCCGAGGCACTGCGGATCTAAATGTTTTAGTTTGAAGAGCTAAGCTGCTAAGCAAAAAAAGTCTGGCTCTGATTCGCTCAAATCTATCAAGTTGTTTATGTCAGCAGGAGAGAACTGGGGAAACATTACGGAGATATTAAGATAAAAATAATTAAAAATTCCCGCAAACAGTATTGGGGGATGGGGTTAAACTTGGCATTCGACTGAACTTTGAAGTCCAAATGTCGCAGCAATAGGGATTTTAGATATACCTAACAGGTAGGATATTCATTCTCAAGAGCATTGCAAAACGACACGACCATCCAAGATCACGAGTCAGCATGGCAATCGTTACAAAGAAAAAAGAGGCGGAAATCAAAGCATGTGAAAGACGGTAGGAGCTAAGCCCCACAAATTAAATGTTAAGGTTAGCTAGTAGCCTTAGTAAGTACTCCAGGTTTTCAAATGCTGTCCAGGTGTTATGGAGTATGCAGTAAATATGCGTCAGATGATTCGATCTCAGGTCATTTTTATTACTTTTCAGGGGCACGTACGATGATGCTAAGAGTTTGAAGATCGGTAATGCGGATAACATGTGAAAGGATCCAGGTTCTTTTTAGTGCAAGGTACGGTCCTCAAATCAAAGTCCGAAGTAGTTGACTATTACGGTAGTTCCAGGGTTCACAAGTGAAGTAAGTACGCATTCATCATGTTCTTTATTTTCTAGCAGGATTCGTGGAGCAAATTTAAAGAACCTCAACATGATCATTTGGATGGATCAATACTCTTTGGACATTTAATGCAACTCAAAGTAGTCCCATCTCACAAACACTCAAGTGAATTCCCTAGTACTTGAGACATTTCAATGTCCACTTCGAGATTTAATCCATTACCTTCAATTAACGCCATCAAAATTACAGCTCCAATCCAAACACAACACATATGGGAATAGCATCAACATTCCCTCTGCTCTGGAATAATCACAATCCTATTGCCCTAAAATTGAAGGGGTCGTATACCTAATCACGTGAAGGATTACACAATATGCTTACCGATGATATGCCTTCGGCTCCAAATATCCAAATATCTAATCCCGAGGTCGTGATACTAATAATAGGAAGACGTATCACAGAGAGATTATACGATTATCGTAGACCGAATTGAAGAGGTAATTTTTGTACCATGGTGTCGTTGACTTTACGTCTGAAAAAAAGCACACATTTTGGTAAAGATGTACATAGGCAACATTTGCTCAAGGTGTTGACAAGCACAACATGTACAAATTGATCCTAGATTCTTACTACATGTCGAAGAGTTTCCATCCAAAGCTCTTGAACCATATCTAAGGTTTGAGGAAATAAAACTATCATTGCGCGTATTTTATTAGGGTTGTTATTAATTCGATATCTAGACATTGCACCAAAGGTAATCATCCGAATACTTGATCGCAATGCCGATTTCAATTTCTCTGATGTCGAAAATTCGTTCATCCCAATAAACCTACATGTTCCTTGCGGGAAGTTCCTATAAGGAATTCTCGGATTTATAATACAAGGTGTTTGATGATGTAGAGAGAATCAGTTGAGGAATCATCGAAAGCTGTCTCGAATTTCAAAGAAGAGCTTTGCATAGATGAAACCTAGGAATCAAACAACCAAAATTCCTCGCATAGTCTTCACAGTGTTGAAAGCCAATGAGTTTTTTGTCTTCTTCAATTCACGTACAGTATGTAAATTGATATTTGTGTTTATTTTAATGGAGAAGAGCTTGATGATCGGAGGGGCGTATGGTGCAAAGCATCAAAGTCAAGAATGTCTCGAGTCTCTAAAGATATTGTGGAAGCGGGGTAATATAAAACTATGGATGCTAACAATAGACTAACCCGGACGTGAGGACTCGCATAGGCTGACGCCTTATAGGACCATACCCGAAGCTGAAACTATTCAGCTGGTCTCCTCTGGGCAGAGTCCCGCCCTTCTGTCGATCTAAAAACTCGAGAACATGTACGCCATGAGCTTCTTGGATAACCCGTTGTCGCTGGTAGCGGAATAGAATGGAGTTGGCGAACTGTCTTATGAGTAAACGAAGCCCCTTGATCGTTGGACCATAAGGTTGAGTCGCGGATTGTTTTCCCAGCTACTGCTATCTTGCAATGGCAGTGGAAGCCATCGCTCAAGCTAAAGGTCTCAAAAAACAGTATCAGGAAGTTTATTAGACTCAGCGCATCTTTCGAGTTCCGAAATCTGAGCATCAGCGCCGCTCTTGTGGTTCAAGATGAAAAATATATAGGGCTACAAGACGTTGAACTACACACAGTCTTCTCATGGCGAAAAATATCTACCATGAGCAAGTCGACTGACTGGTGCGACTTCTCAGTATGGCCGTGGAGATCAGGCCAAATCATACTTCATTGTTCGGGAAGCATTCGTACTGGAGGTCCATTGCCTGTGAAAGGCACAATCGAAGTTCAGAACACAGAAGGTTTCGAAAAATGGTCGATGTCCGGTCAGTACAAAAGTTGCTGAAGGTGGACTTTGCTTCGGGCCACAATTTTGGTCATTGATAGTCGCGTAAGATCTGATGCGTTGTCCACGACAAACCTAAAGACAAAAGTCGCAAAAGATGCCGATACAGAGTACTTATTACTGTTGATGCTTGCTTGTAAGTCCTCAAATTGTTGAAACATTTTCAATTCGCTCCCTTGGCAGTAAATCCTCGAGAATCTCAAAAGTTCCCGAGACTACTCATCGAATTTTTTTCCCTCCCTAATGTGGAGAGACTAACTCCAGATTTTCTTGCTTAGGCAATCCGGCGTTATGGGTACCACAGGCGACAACCTAAGCACCCTTGATGCCTTTCTCCCAGTCTTCATCTCCGAATGTCGAATTCAACCTCCTTGGGGGGAACGAAGAACGATCTACACAAAAATGGCCACAACCGGTTTTGCGACCAGTAGAATTGATGTTACACTTTTAGACCTTCAGGTAATGTAGTATTCGACATGAAAGATATTCGTCTATCTCTCTACACCAGTAAGATGTGAGATGTAGAAAACAATGATAGTATACAATCCGAAGTGGCATCCAACACTACGTGTCAATTGGAAACCTCAGGGGAAGAAGGCTGTTTCGGTTGATCTCGGCATGATTTCTGACGTCGATTATTTCCATGAAAACCCGGAGATAGAAGCTCTTCTATTGAGAAAAGGTATCCGGCCCTTGAATGGAGAGGAATCCTTGCAGGTCATCGATCTCTCCCTCGGCGGATCAGGCGCTGACTTCGAGGCTACTGGGGTGCAAGCATCAAATGTGAACGGTGCACACATGTGACTGGACTGGAACCACTTGGACTTCGTAAACTCATGGACCAAGGTTTGATATCACGACGATTGGGAACATGCAAGATCCCGCTCTGCAATTTTATCAGCCGCATTTCTGGGCAACGATAAACCCCGTGATGCGAGTGGTGTTTCCTAGACAGGTTTAGCAAATGCCCCATCGTGGCTAAAAGAGATATCTGCAACTGCAGTCATGACCGTATTTTCGGAAGCGGACGCTCAGAAGCCGCCTTGAGAGCTGAGCGCAGACGTTTCTCTAGTATAATTCTCATGCCAGTGGACCAGATATACCAATCCTCTAGCGCAGTTTGGTATGGACAGCATGATTGCGGCGGAATTTCGCACTTGAATTTGGGATACTTCCAAAGTCGATATTCCTTTCCTTGACCTTCTCAGTAACCAGAAATCTCTTAACAGTCTGACCGAGTTTGCTACCAAGAAGTTAATAGGAAATTGGATAGAATGGGTATTCTTTGGAAGGATGTGGCTTCGTTCATTTGTTCATTGGGGTTTGGGGGGTCACACGGAACGAAAAGATCAAGACTAGAATGTATTAGATGATATCGACACACTTTGTTAGACTTATAGAATGCCCACGGCTGTTGTAAGAAACCAGATCCTTTTGACCATATGCCAAAATCTTTGCTTTTTTAGCCCCTTCGATAGTTTTATGAGAGACTTTCCTACATTCTCATCTTGTAAGTTCTGTCCACACAGTTTATGATTTTAGAATGGCTCGCGTAAGGTTACCTGCTATCGGCTGTGTCGACCGCCTCCGCCAAGATGAGCCCCACATATGTAGCGTGCGGAGACAATCTCTGTTAGTTCGTCATCCCGCATTTCTCTATCAAGATATCAAGATTTTGATAAACGTTGAAAAATCATCAATCAATATTATGAAGATGAAATATACATACTCGATACCATTTCTTTTAACGGCAATCTTCACTACTACTATTCTGGGTAAAGATATTGAAAGACCTCTGCTAAATAACAATCTCGGCCCCATAATGCCTCCTAAATCCGAATCGTCTTCCGATCCTATTGGTGGTGGTGATACAATCATTCTATCAGATGTTATTGGTAAAGATCGCAGTATCAATATATTTGCAGGCTTCACAAGAGATATAGCACCCATAAGCCAGCGAATCGCCAATAATGATCAAAATACTACCATTCTTGCTCCCGTCAATTCTGCGATAATGGGTTTACCTCGAAAACCATGGGAAGATCCAGAAGACTATGATAAACTTGGGTCGAATGCGTATGAGGGCGAAGATGGAGAAGAGAGAGCCCATAGGAATCTGCGAAGATTTGTGGAGGCTCATATCGTTCCTGCGAGTCCATGGAAGGAAGGAGAGAAAGTTAAGACTCTACTTGGAGACGAAGTTTGGTGGGAGAATAAGGATGGTGTCAAGCAAGTAAGTTAAACGTAATATATGCAGTCCATACTTGCTGATCTCTTTTGTAGTTGCAGCCCGGGAATATTGAGGTCTCTAGCATGGCAGGTGATGTTTATAATGGGCAAGTCTGGATATTAAAGGGCGTGAGGAGTTATGCATAAGTTGGGCGTTACTCGGACTTGGTCTTTTGAATAACTAGTGGATTTGGCTGGGTATACATAACTCAGATGCTTTGCCCTTGCTGTTGCGTGTTGTGACGAGGAGGAGGATCTTAGCTCTGCTTGGTATATTTATATGGCTTACATAATGATAATGATTTCATTTACGTATTCGAATCCTTGATGAGAAAAAAGAAAATATGAAATTTATGAGCAAATATCTCACAACTATCACAACTAGATGCGGCGCTCAGACAATACTATCTCGTAGTACACATTGCCATTGGTAGCCTCGTCTCCTTAGCTTATGTTCAGCCTTGCAACTTTAAGCCATAAATAGTATGGCGGTATTCGCCGGCACGCTAATGGAAATCATCATTGCGATCATTTGGAAATTCTTCCGACTCAATACCGACATTTCTCTTCCTATTCGCCTTGATTTACGAATTTAGAAAGAGATTGAGTTACTGAAAATTCAGTGGTATCTCAGATTCACACTGCAAATCAAATTCACTTCTATGGAACCACATTAACAGTGTTTACTCCATTGCGCCGGAGCATCAAGCCTTGCGCGTAGGTTTGGAATCTCGTTAGTACCTCCTACTTCCTCTCTGAGACGAGATTTAATGCCACATCCACGATCAAAGGTGTAGCTGGCGATATTATATTTACAACCCCTCATATGCAAGAGAGCTAACATTCACTTCTCAAACACAGCTTACCGGTCGAATTAATCGAGAATCAGATCAGCCAACAAAAACGTCATGAATAATCAGCCACACAACGGTCCTCCAAATTTCGACCGAGATCGAGATATGGAAGAACAACTTCGACAACGTGCTTTACAGCATAAGCAGGAAGAGATGACGACGCAGCGCGAGCGCGACCTTGAAAGACAAGAAAGAGATCGGCAACATAGAGAACAGCAATACCAGCCAGCACCTCCACATCAAAGCAATGCCGGCAGTATCCCATTGCACCAACCCGTAGCAAACCGGACAACTACGGCTATGCATAGTCCAGGAGGAATTCTTGCTACTCATGGCACTCCACTAGGAGCTCCAAGTGGACCTGGCAATGCCTTCGGGGGCCCGCTTCACAATGACGCAGCACGCAACCTGCAACACCATGCTCAAAACGCCGCCCAGCAGCCTCAGCAGCAACACATCTTCAGCTCGGAACCCATCTTTAGCCGTGGCTCGGGTGCTCCTCAGTCAAATGCGCCACTTGTTGTTCCAGGCGTCGCAGACGTTGGATTCGGCAGGCAACAGATAGTGTCACGAGAGACGACACAGCAGGAGGTAGCAGCTGCAAGACTGATGCCCTTTGGAGGAGGACCTGTTACTCCCGGTCACCAAATGCCTGGCCCTGCTGGTCTAACACAAGGTGGTCAACAGCCAATTCTAAATGTATGTTTTCAACATTATTCTCTTCGTTTTTTATGAACGTGTTTTAGCTGTACCTTGAGAGTTTATACAGAACTAATGCTTTGTAGGATGCTCTTAGCTACCTCGACCAGGTCAAAGTCCAGTTCGCAGATCAGCCCGACGTCTATAACCGATTTCTTGATATCATGAAAGACTTTAAAAGTCAAGCGTAAGTTATTTCATTTTCAAACTTCGGTAGCAATTTGGATATACCGCGCTCGGCATACTAACGTTGGCAATTCACTTTCAGTATTGACACTCCCGGTGTTATTAATCGAGTATCCGAACTTTTTGCAGGGCATCCAAATTTAATTCAAGGTTTCAACACATTTCTACCACCTGGATACAGAATCGAGTGTGGTGCCGACAATAATCCAAACACAATTAGAGTCACAACTCCCATGGGAACAACCGTTCAATCAATTCCAGGAGCCGGTCGTGCACTTGGTGAAACTGTAGTTAGCCACGGCGGCGGCGCAAACGGATTTTACAATCCTCAACGACCATCAACGACTTGGCAGCAACCCCAGCACAGTATTGAAAGTCCAGAAGCAGTCTTCAGCCCACCTCATCAGAGTGCCGCGATCCCTTATGGTCATAATCAAACACAAATTGGATCATATGAAGCACAAGCAGCAGCAGCCGCCGCCGCAGCAGCTCATCAACAACAACAGCGAGGTGTCTCTCAATTAACGAACGCTGTCAGCGCGACCTTGGGTCAACCACCAAGAAACACCCAAACACCAACACCTGGCGGTAGTTCTGGTAATTTGAATGGTTCTGGTGCGCAGCCGGGCATGGAAAAGCGCGGCCCAGTTGAGTTCAATCATGCAATAAGTTACGTCAACAAAATCAAGGTATGATTAGGATTTTCTGCCGATAACTTTTGAAAACATACTCACCATTGCCTCAGAATCGTTTCCAAGATAAACCTGAAATATACAAGCAATTTCTCGAAATTCTCCAAACATATCAACGCGAGTCTAAACCCATTCAAGACGTTTATGGTCAGGTAACTACTTTGTTTGGTACCGCACCCGATCTCCTGGAAGATTTCAAACAATTTCTTCCTGAATCAGCTGCACACGCAAAAGCCGTTGCAAAGGCGGCGGAAGAAGCAACTGCTATGCCAGATGCTTCTCAAAGTGCCCAGCTTGGAAATAGAGGTCCTTCGGGAGATACCAAATTACCAATCATGGGAAATTTTCCGATCCCTACACCTACGACTGGGAAGACAGAAAAGAAGCGCAAACCTCTCAATCAAGGATCTGGCTCCCAGATGAACAATGGTGGAGAAGGCTCTGTTCGTGGCGCCGGCCCACAACCTAATAAGGTAAGATGAACCTTGAGATGCTCTTACGAATTCATCTTTTTGCAAGATACTTATTTAATACTTTGATTTCTATAGCGACCGAAAACCCACCATAACAACAAGCCACTTGCTGCCGATGCTACCGCAGTATCTCCTACTCTGACGCCCATTGTACCCGAACCACTTCCTCCTGCGTCGATGTCCGCCGCTAGTTCTGAGGAATTAGCCTTCTTTGACCGTGTAAAGAAATATATCGGCAACAAGTCCACCATGAACGAGTTTTTGAAGCTCTGCAATCTTTTCTCCCAGGACCTCATAGATCGAAATGTTCTAGTTTTCAAAGTTAGCAATTTTATCGGTGGAAGTGCAGATCTGATGAACTGGTTCAAATCTTTTGTTGGCTATGAAGGAGTCGACGAGGTTATAGACAATCGGCCAAAGGCTCCGACGGGAAGAGTCGCATTGAGTAATTGTCGAGGCTTAGGACCGAGTTATCGGTTGTTACCGAAAAGAGCAAGTCCTCCATTACCTCCGTACCTTTAGCATCAGCACATTCAATTATCGTTTCATAGAACATGAATTTTTTTTAGAAAATGAGGATTGTTTGCTAATATTCCATTAACAGGAACGATTGAAGCCTTGCAGTGGTCGAGATGAGATGTGCCATGCTGTGCTCAATGATGACTGGGCTTCACACCCTACCTGGGCGTCAGAAGATTCGGGTTTCGTAGCCCACCGAAAGAATATATTCGAGGAAGGTCTACACCGCATTGAAGAAGAACGTCACGACTATGACTTCAACATCGAATGCAACGCCAAAGTAATACAACTTCTAGAACCAATTGCCCAGCAAATCGTTGCTATGGATCCAGCCGAGAGACAGAATTTCCGCATGCCTAATACTGCTGGTCCAAACCAAGCCATTTACAAGCGTGTATTGAAAAAGATCTACGGTACCGAAAAAGGCCCACAAGTTGTTTCTGATCTCATACAAGATCCCTGTGCTGTGTTGCCTGTAATCTTAGCACGGCTCAAGCAGAAGGATGAAGAATGGACCTTTACTAGAGTAAGTATTGTCTATACCAATAATGCAAAATTGCTAATATCATTATCAGCGTGAATGGAATCCAGTTTGGGGTGCACAAGGTAGTGTCATGTACTTGAAAAGTCTCGATCATATGGGCATCCATGTCAAGCAAGCCGACAAGAAGCATTTTGCTGCAAAGCATTTAGTAGATTCTATCAAGACGAAGCACGAGGAACAAAGACGTCTTAGAAGTTCTAGAGGTCCCACACCAAAATACCAGTACTCGTATCAATTTGCTGACCAGGAGGTAATCGGCCAACTTCTACACGTCATGATCGTTTATGCCTGTAATGCAAACCAACACAGTAGCTCAGAGCGTCGACGAATTTCCGACTTTTTTGAGAAGTTCATATCTACATTCTTTGACCTACCTGACGAATTCGTTGCACGTCATACTGCTGACATTGACCGTGGAACTCCTGACGACGAATACGAAGATATTGCACCAGCTGAGCTTTCCAATGGTCGAGGCAGACGGCCAGTCAATGGGAAAAAAGCAGACTTACGACGAGGGGTACTTGATAGAGGTCGAAATGGAACAAGGGGCCGTGGACAGAAGGAGGATAGCGCTACCGGCAGCAAAGAATCTACACCGGATGTTGATTCTAACATTGACGAAGAAGTCGCGGATGTCACTGACGACAGAGCCATTACTGAAGTCACCAACGAGCGTTGGGCTGCCGTACCAGGTGCAGTTGCTGTTCAAGGAACAAAACCTCTCGAATCCGACGACTTGGAAATGAAAGCGGATCAACCATTCCAACGTGATTGGTACAATTTATACTGCAATCAGACCGTGTTTGTATTCTTCAGTATCTTCCAAACTCTCTATCAACGATTCAAGGATATCAAAGATGCAGAGAGCTCCGCAAGAGCAGAAATAGAACGTGCAAAGAGTGGCAAGCCTGCGAAACAAATCGGCCTGCTAAGTGATAGAAACGATGATTTTACAAGTATTGAAGATGGTGAAACCTGCTACTCCAAAGTTTTAAGCCATGTCGAAAAATTCATCAAAGGCGAAATTGAAGAAACCAAGTACCAGGACTATCTTCGGCATTACTATTTGCAGACTGGATGGAAAATCTACACCATTACCGATCTTCTCAAGAGTCTTTGTCGCCTTGGTTCCATTTGCTCCTCTCCCGATTCCAAGGAGAAGACACCGGATCTCATTGACCAATTCCTCCGGAACAGAGAATCGAAAGAAACATCGTATAACATTGAGATAAATTTACGGAAGCAAGCTGATAAATATATCAAGGATTCAGAATTGTTCTTGATCAGATGGGTACGCATTTCCGGTTCTTCTTTATACGTATTTACTAACAGGATACTAGTACCCCAAAAAGAATGAAGCCACATCACAATGGGTTCATCGAGATGAAACTACTTTTGACCTAGACATCATGCAGAGAAAGGAGCGTTGGCAGTACTATACATCTTCTTATGTCCGCATTGAACCGACCGAAGGCGTACCCCGCAGGCTTCTTCGCAAGAGCCTCCTGACCCGCAATTTGCCATCAGGAGACACCGATTCTGAAGACGGCTCTAACCAACGGAAACCTCTTATTTGGGGCGAAGATTTGACACTTAGAATTTGTGTGAATAGCTACAAGATCATCTACAAGGAACCCGGCGTAGAATATTTCATATATGCCGATAAAGCTTTAGGAGGTGGTGAAGATGGTGAGACTAGACAGAGATTAAAGAAAGTTGAGGAGTCAAGGAATCAAAGATTTCATGAGAAATTCGGGATGAACAATCAATGGATGAAGGAAAAGAGCCACGAGGAGGTGAGCAGAATTAATCAGGAATTCAGGAAATGGGTTAATGAGGGTGTCCTCCCGTCGGCGCAGGCTGCTGGCGCCAGTACTAGTGTCGCTTCCGGCGGAGCATTGGCGGCACCACCTTCAGCTACAGCTACAGCAGCTGTAGATAATGAAGTTGATATGGCTGGCTAAGTCCGGAAGGTCTTTTTTGTCGTAACGAGGCTGGATATGGGAGGAGTTCTGGAAGGGTTTCATAACGACATCTCTTTTGAAATCGACATTTTTTTAACGTTTGGCAAATTTCAAAGAGCTCGAATTCCTCTGACTATGTGGCTGTCATGGATTTGTTTGCGAAGGCTGGCATGGATATCTCGTTCTATGAAATGAGAGCATTTGGACTTTCTAGATTACCTAGTAGTCTTCCGCTTTCATTCTCAGTAAAAACTGGTACTTGGGTATGTTTTAAATGCTGTATGATAGACTAAATTAACTCACTTCAATGGATCTGTGCTTGAGTGAGTGCTGTGTAGTGTGAGATCTCAATGAAGCATGATGGGTGCATCTAATAAATTGCTTCTGATATGTTGAATCAATTCTACACGATCATTAGTGCCTAGCACATGGACGTCGCGAGTTATGGCTGTATGGGATCCATCAGCATCGACTCTAACTAGTTAATAAGCATTGAAATTCACATCACACATCATATGACTCCAATCCCTTTTCCAATCTCCAAATCTGTATGCATGCATACCTTGGATGCAAGTACCCTCCGTATTTTCTTCTCACTTCTACAATACACCAGTCCGATTAAATATACTCTGGTAGGAGCAGGGCGTTCCTTCAACCATTGTTCATTTCTTCCCGAGAGTATACAATTATAATGGACGCAGTTAAATTCACAACAGTCACTAACATTATACATAAGATATTTGGCTTCATAGAAGTACTGGTACTGTTGTGTATGCATTCACAAGCTATATATGTGTATTCGCAAAAAAAAAAGAAGAAAAAAAAAGAATATCCCGTAAAGTTCCTGGTATCAATCATCAAGCCTTCCTTCCTCATCATTCCACACCCAAAAAAAGAAAGAAGAAAAAAGGAGAAACCCTTTTTTTAACCAGCAAATCCCCTCCTACTGAGCAGTAAGCTCGCTCTTACCCGCAATATCTTTCTCACTACTACGCTCAATCGGTGGCGTTTCAACCCCATCCTCCTTTACGCCCTCCACATATGTAGCTTCGGGTCTATGATGTCTACTTGGATGTTGTTTTCCTGTAATATCGAGATAGATAGCCTTTGCCGTTCTCGCCAACGAATGTCGACCCTCGAAGACGGGATAGACGCCTACGGTTAACATACTGCCGATCAACCAGATGATACCTACTACCACCCATCCGGTGAAGAATTTCTCCGAGAAAATATAGCCGCTGCCGTACATGGGCATAGGCCACAAAATTAATAGTGCAAGTGTAAGAATGACGGTCATTCCCTTTGCAATTTTGGAAGCCCGCAGAAGTTTTACTTGTTCGAGGGTTTCTTCCACGGCTGATGTACGTGTTTCGCCTGGTACTAATTCGAGGTCTACATCTGCTTCTTCTGCTAAATCGTGATCGTCGCCTCTGCGGATTGCGGCCATTGATTTCCAGTCGTATTCATCCCAGCCGAAGATTAGGGTGAATAAGGGTGTGAAGATGAGAGGTGAGAGAAGAGCCGTGACGTTTCCTGCCAACATAGGGTTGTTAGAACCGGTGCAATCGACGTCCAGGCTGCCGCATTGTTCCTTGGCGGTGACGAGCCAGGCTATGACCGCGCAGATGAGGCCTAGAGGAGGAGTGAGTGTGGCGGCCCATCGGTTGTGACCAGCCCACATAATTGTCAGAGTTGCGGGAATCACGGCTGAGGAGATGATTACTCCCATCATTAGGTAGAGATAGCCCATGGAGATACCAGCGTAGTATAAACCTGTTGAGAAAGCAGCCATGAATAAACCAAACCCGATGACCATTGCATGACTCATGTAAATCAATCTCTTTCCGCTTGCGCCGGGGTTGAAATATGTTTGATAGATATCATATGTGAAGATTGAGGATACAGCGATAAGCTCGGCAGATGATGCCGATGTAACAGCCATGAAGACGATCAAAAGTGTGCAGACGGCACCGCCGCTTCCGAGGAGAGCAACGGCGGCGTATGGAAGTACGAGACCTGCTGAGACATCGGCGGGATCCATGCGGTTGGGATAGGTGGGGAAGACGGGATTGCCTTCGAGAGCAATGGCTGCTAGACCCATAGTTGTCGCACAGAGCCATGGAATGGCAAACCAAGAGACTCCACCCATGATGTATCCTGGAAGAGCATGAACTGGAGATGCTGCTATGGCCTTGTTATAGTATCCATTGTCCAAGAAGACCGTTCCGAAATTTCCAACAATATTGATTACGAAGAAGATAGCGCCTTCTGAGGATTTCATGGTAAGATAGCTACCACCGGAATTGCCCTCGACTGGATGTTCAGCAGCTGCCTTAATTAAAAGATCAAAGACTGCTTTTGGTGATCCCAGTACATCGCTTGTTGCGTAGGCGCTGAATGCGAATATTAGGATGATAATCAAAAGCATAAAGGTATGCACCCAGTCGGTGAGGAAAGTGGCTTTGATACCACCGAACATGGTGTACATGATGACACCTAGTGGTAAAAGGAAACATGCTGAAGTATGTAAGTAGTTGGTCATCGGATCTCAAAAGGTTCTCTCTTACCCGCTGCTGTAGGCATTCCAGTCAAAGAAGACACCACAGCTGCACCGCCTGTCAAAAGCATTGCAGTAACAAGAATGTTTGTCATTAAACCAAAGACGGTAAAGACAATATGAGCAAGTACTCCATATCTAGCTTTGATAATTTCAAGAAAAGTCTACACTGTATCAGTATGTTTCTATCCCTGCTGGAATTCCCAAACCTACATGAGCATTTGGCGCTCTTCTCTTCAACTCAATGGCAATAGTCGCAAACAATAAGATCTGAACAGTGGCTCCGGATGCATACCAAAAAGGTCCGGAAACACCATACTTGTACGCAACACCAGAGCTTTGCAGCAGTGTAGCAGCCCAAGTCCATGACGATACCACTGCAGAGGCAACCAACCCTGATTTCACTGTTCTTCCAGCTGTGCTAAACATTTCCGATGTTTGCAATTCATGATTATACCGTTTGAGGATCCATGTTACAAGGATCTGGTTGAGTCAAAACTTAGTTTGAGACCCAATTGTAGCAGTTAAGATGTGAAACTTACCATGCCAAATGCGAAAAGAGCTCCCAGGCCAAGGACAATTCCATATCCCCAGCCAGAGTTGAGTGGAGGTGCGATTGGCATACTTGTTGAAGAGGTATATTCCACCCAATGCAATGCATAAAATGTTGTACTCACAGATTTATTAATCAGAATCTACGAGTGTGATACAGGAGGGGACAAGCTGCATATTATATGGTATCGTACTGGTACAAGGGAGGGCTTCTGGTGGTACTGATAACTGTAATACTAACCGTTCACGGGAAGACTGAAATTTTTTGGCAGACATGATATCTTGGTATTGTTACCTACATGAGTTGCTCGCCATATAGTGAATAATAGATGTTTATGAGAGAAAGTCGTTATCACAGCAAAAATTTAACGTCTATCTGATAGATAACGTTGAATAATGGTAATTTTATCGAATAAAAACATATGGATTACGTTCCCCAGATCCTTGCTATCTGACTGCATCGGCGGAAGCTTGGACATTTGGGGGTTAAGCAGTTGTTGTGATAGATAAAGATTAGCCCACCAGCGGCCCTTGATTGGCTGTTGTAGAATTGATAAGGACCAATTTCACAAAAGCCATCGATAAGGAAACTTGAGCTGCTCTAAAATAATAGAGAAGAAGTGCGAAAGACAGAGAAAAGATTTTAAGTTATGGTTAGATGACGACACTGAGCGGGGTAGGATCATAAATCGACAGTAAGATGTTCCTCAAAGCATTCCGATACCGCAATACTGTCTAGCACTCTACGAGAACCGAATTCATTCAGACTTCTTTCCGCTCAGTCAGATACGGGACGCCCCGATCTTTCGACCCCACGGAGAAAGCATACCTCCACGGGGGATGAAAACAAAAGCACCTGCATCTTGCATATCGGTTCGAGGCTCCAAGCACCAATCAAAGAGAGAGTTCTTCTGAGCCTCTCTTCTAAGTGTACGGAAATGGATATCTGGAGAACCAATCAACAAAGTAATACATAGTTTGATACCACTCCCCTGCATGGCCAGACTTGTCCAAGCTCTTTCCAATGGGGATTCATCTGAATACTTGACTTTCACTCATCCCAAGCACCCATATACATGCATGTTGAGAATGTTTATATAACCAAGGGAAGATCTCTGGGACCAATTTCCATCTTCGTAAGTCATTCCAGGATTTGGGAAATTAAACGAACGATAATATAGATAACAAGAACCTGAGACTTCAGGATATGGAGAACAATGATTCATTAATAATCCTTCCTAAAAATAAAAGGCCCAACTTGATTCTTGCCCAAAATCAAAATTTCACCAAAAGCATCAACCCATTCCAATGATCCATTATGAAACTCCATCCCAAGCCGTCTCCGAACCCTTCCTCTTTCCGGCCTGATATATCCTAAGACCCATATCTGTTGATACAATTTTGGTATATCCTCAACCAAAGCTCGTCTTATAACTTCCACTCGCCTTCTCAATCAACAACACCAGGCAGTAATTTATGCGTACTGCATAGGCTGTTGTTGCTTCCCACCTGGCAAACCTCCTCCCCATCCAGGATTCGCAGGGCCACCACCGCCACCAGGGGGCGGCTGATTCTGTAATGGCACTTGACCTCCTCCATTTATTTGAGATTGTACGTCTGGTCGATTTTGAAGTGGTTGCGCGAAATTGCAGATCGAGCAGACGACATCCTCGTAGGCATGGAAGCTCAACGGCAAAACTGGAATGAAGCAGAAGGTAAACCACGGATGTCTCTTTATGACTTTGGCCGAATAATTTCCCTAATCAAATAAATCAGATGTTGAAAGAGTGATGAGTTAAACGAAGACATACGCAGTTATGACATTGGCATAATACATTCTCATATCCTTGAAGCTGGGAAGAGAACTCTAGGTAAGTGTTAGCTAAAGAATAATGAACTCTTAATGATGGAAGCTCTCATACCATGTTCTCCACATGTGAAAATGAAGCACATCTCGATGAAAATCCTCTTTCTGAGGTAAATGTTGATGGTGTTAATCTTTTCCCAGGAATTCAATCAATTTATGATGAGCAATAATGAATGCAAATATAAAATACCTTAGTTATTGGTATGCGTATGAGGCGCGTCATATAATCACCAGCAAGGATTGAGGCTGTGCAATGCGGTGCACGATCACGTTCGGGATTCCAGGCACGTTCTCTTCCATTATTAAGGGCTTTTTTAATTGGCGCTAAAGCTACGGTTGACGCTAAGCAGTCTCTTAGCGAGTTTATTTTTTTTTGGATAGAGTCATAAACTCAAAATTCCTGAACAATTTCTTTCTTTTTTCTCTTCAAGCGTCGTCCTCATCAACGCTGCGTTTCTATGCTACAAACAGATATACTTGTTTACTCAAGTGTATCAGGTCGCTTGTGATCAATTATTTGCATATGAGAAATTCGGAGTACTCTTCAATATTACCTCGTTCCTTTTTCTTTGGACAAAGATGAACAGGTCTGCCCGTGAGGGTTCGGCGTGATTTCACGTCTGCAATTGGCATCAGAAAAGCAGGGCATGGTCACTCTCTATATATCAAATCCGAAAGGAGGAGAGAAAAGAGTCGTGTGCTATTGTTCCTATGGGAGAGCCGTTGCGAAGATTGTGTGTGCTGAGGCATGACACTTAAGTGCAATACGTGGCGTGCTGGACTTGTCATTACTTCGGTGATGACAAGTTGAGTACAATTCGATTCCGATTACTCTGTTGGGGACGACGCTTCAATTTTTTTTTTCTTAGGTCAGTGATCGCATTTCACCTTTTGAATTGGGATACTACTAATGAATTCGAATCTTTCATTCATCCTCAGTCCTCAGTACTCTGAAACGTTCGACCCGACTATCTCCTCACGAAATCGACCAATGCCACCGCGAACATTCCATAATCCTATTGTGGCGACCTAGGATGACGACGAACTCTCCACGTCTCCCCTATCTTTCTCAACTGCGTACAATTTTTTGCTACTCTCTAGCAAATTGAACAACCCATTCAATTCGTCCAGAAGAGCTTCACTTTCTTGACTTCCGTCTCTGACCCTTTCAAACAACTCTAGAATCTGCCGGCCCGTAGTATCGACCTTTTCCTTCAATCTTTCCGATGCTCTGTATAAATTCGCGCTCGATTTTTCTCCGACGGTTGATATACGTGCCTGCTTCAGTGCCTCCACGACTTGTGAGATTTGATGGTTGAGCTGTTCATACAGTGTGTCTCCCGAATCGTTTACTTTCTTGACGCTATTGCCTTCTTGATGCTGGTTGTCGCAGTGGTTTGAATCCTCCTTCTGCTCTGGAGTTTTTGAAACACTATCCAATTTGAATCCCCATAATTGTCTCACAATCCTGTCTGGTGCGTACTTTTTGACATTCTGGACGTCGGCATCATACTCTTTGAGAACTCCAGAATAAACGGTCCCAGCCTCCTTGACTACAGTGCGCAATTTCCTCATGGCTTTTCCAAAAGGTAAGGCATCCTTGTGTGTCGCGTCTTCATAGTCGCTACTTGAGTCGAACATAAGTTCTATGTTTTCTGGACTCAGGATCCGACCTCTGTTCTTAGTCCTTCTATCAAAACCCCGGCTTAGTCGATACTCAGGCCCGTGTCTTTCAAAGGCAGCTCTTCTTGGCGGCGTTGAGGCGTATGCGAAGTAAGGATCGGAGGTTCGATGGTACTCATCATACAATGATTCAAATCTAGGCTCTCTTCCAAAAGGTCGAAGTCGATGTTCAATAGGTCGATTCATCTTTTCGCGTCAATTGTTTGACAACCGCATTCGTTGAATCTCAAGAGGAATCGGCCGCCCTCAGCGAAACGGCTGTAGAGGTTATGTGGGCTCATGCTCAAGAGTCAGGATGATGTTGGCTTTTGAGTCATTTCCCCTCATCTGGCTCGTACTCAATGGCTTCCAGCATGAATTATCACAATTGACTTTCATGATTGGTCAAGTATGTTACCGTGCATATCTGTATATCTCCAAAATTTCCTAGAGCCTGTCATATTTTAGATTATATTATGAACAAGATATTTATTCATCAAACAAACGCTTCCTCCAATCATTTGATGTGATAGGTTATCTATATGACCCAAAAATTCGTAAGTGCATACTTCACATGCAGTGGGCCGCCACTAGGAAATCTTACCCCGCAATCAAGCTAAGCAAACGTCAACATGATCAATAATCATAAATGAAAACAAGTCTTTCCACAAAGAATTTCCTTTCCTCCATTATTATTCTACAAACACCTATTCTTTAAACCTCAGTATATCGAATCTAGAAAATCTTTCACAGGCAATGTCAGAAGCAAATGATTTCCCACCGCAAAAGGTTAGGGAGGTGCTGAGTGAAGTTGTGGGTTTGTTGAAGGAAAGGGGTGAGACTGTTAGTGTGGCTGAAACTGTATGTTTGTTTTTCTACTTTGTTTTTGTTTGTGATTTCTTTGGTTTTTGATGTTTGGATGGTTTGGGTGGTTTGCGCGCCGGAAGTGTGTTGGTGTTTGGTAATGGGAATGGGTGTGGGAACGGGTGTAGGAATGGGAAGCGGGAGGCGGGAGGCGGGAGGCGGGAGAGGTGGAAAGAGTTTGTTGATGCAATTAGTGTTTTTGCTTTCCCGTTTGTCTTCCTGTTTGTCTTCCTGTTTGTCTTGCTGTTGAAAGTTGGTTGGTATGCTTGATTTTAGCTTGAAAGGAACAAGGGAAGAAATAGAGACGGAGAAGTGAAATTTATAGGAAGGCGGGGGGCGATTCCGATGATTCCGGTAGATAGATTCACGATATGACAACAGATGAATAAGAAAAAGCGAAAAAAAAATCTAACAAAAAAACCAGGCAGCAGGAGGAATTATATCAGCCTCGATCCTCAGTACACCCGGCGCAAGCAAAATATATAAAGGCGGTCTTACGGTTTATACATTGGAAGCGAGAACTGTTTTTAGTAATTCTTACTATTTCTTTCTTCTATATTTCTTTCTTTCTCTTATGTTTTCAACTTTTCATATACTTTTCTTCTTCTTCTTCTTCTTTCCAGAATTCGATACTAATATATCTACAAGCTGGTTGGACTCAGGAAAATATAAACGCCTACACGGGTCCTACACCCGATGTCGTGGCTGGAATTGCTGAGAACGTGAGACCGAAATTGGGAAGTACGTATTGTATTTGTGAGAGTGGGACTGCGGGACCGAATCCTAGTGGACAGGGACCAAATAAACAACCGTATGTTATTTTATTTATTTATTTTCTTATTCCTTTTATTTTTTTTCTTCACTTCCGCTCTATCATTCTTCCCCACATGCGATGAGAAAGATGGCAAAGGTATGAAATCAAAATGACAAGAGAAAAATGCTAATAATATGGTGCCCGATGCAAAGGGGATATGTAGCCTTAGCTATAGCGACGGAAAAGGGAACGTATAAGAAAGATTTGAATACGGGGTTGGGAGGGGATAGGGAGGGGAATATGATTGTATTTGCTAGAGAGGCGTTGGCATTTTTGAGGGATGTTTTGAGAGGGGATGCGAAGATTTGAGTTTGAGGCTGATGAATGATCATCGGAGGAGAAAGGAGTGAGTTGAGAGATCTTTAGAAGGAGATCTTGTGTAGAGGAATGGAAATTTGAAGAGAGCAGTGTAAGATTACTTTGTCCATTTCTTATGTGAAATATGTAATTGATAATGATGTGCTTGTGGACTATTCCATACGTCCATCCTTCTTCATCTCTCCCATCACTTACAAAAAAGGTCTTGCTCTTCATGAGCAGCCATGGGGAATTTCCTGTTCTCCAACGAAACAATACAAGTTTCCTTCTTCCCCATGTCCTATTGTATCTTCAACATTGCAGATATTCAATTGAAAGAGAAAGAATTATATATCATCATCGTATATCATAACTAAACTATAGATACATTACAACGATGACGAAGTAGAATTCCCAAAAAGCAACAACATCACTGATACAAGAAAGACGATAACTTTTACTTCCCTTTTTTGCATGTAAGAACTTCTTATATGTAGTGCATATAAATCTACATCATACCCTCAATTCAACCAGGGAATCGTCCCACCAATCCATATATTCATAATCTCATACCGCAACTATACTATTGTCAATATTGCGTATGTAAAGTCCAGCCTTGCACTATATTCGTATCCAAAAAAGTCCTTTTTTTTCGCTTTGCCCCTATGTATTCCTTGTAGGGACTGTAACCAGTATGATTATGGTCATGAAATCCTAACAAAATACATCCCAATCGCATAGATTGTGATGCGTGGTAGTAAACGCCGACTTAATATCAAGTCCTCAAATCTAGGTCGAGCTGTCCTTGATATCTTCAACACCATCGATACCAGTATCCGTCTATCCATCTCTCCTCATCCAAGTGTATGAAGGCAAAATTTCGTTAACCTCCTTGAACGTTCACATCCCTAATACACACACCATAGCTACAACAAGCGCTTGGATCTAAAGTTCCTCTGAGCACGAGATCTCTTGTTGCCTAGTTTATATGTTAGGATTTTGAAATCTGATAATTTATAGAGAAGAGAGTGATCATGAGAACAGAAAAGACAGAGAACATACGTCGTTGCAAGGCATTGGTGTAGCTGTAACGAGTGAAATGGTACCGAAAATAACGGCCGAGACGAAGAGGATGCTTGATGGAGGATGCATTTTGTAGTTTGGAGTCGAGTATGTGTATGTGCAGCTGAGTTGATGATGGGAATATATGTTTTATAGGTACTCGTAGATAGTTTGATATACTCTCAAGCTATCAATCTCTCGACGCAATCGAACAATGAACGAAATCCAGGTATAAGGTCTGAAATGAGGTTGAGGTATACCAAGACAAAAGTGCCAAAAGCGGACGACCTCTTATATCTATCTTGATTTCCCCTCCTCAACAAAACAAAGACAAAGCAGTCGAGTCGTACAAATCCCCTCAAGAAAATCCTTCCCAATCTAGACACTCTACCCCGCAAACATGTAACCGCCGGCACTGGCCAAACAAGAGTTCAATACTCAGACGGAGATGAAACAATCTTTACAGATAAACCTGCAGCAAAACAAGGATTCGAATGCAATTGAATGGACAAGGCAAGTCGATTATTACCACCCAGATAAACGATTAAATCTGATTTGACCTATAAAAAAAAATATCAAAGGTATGAGGATACAAGAATGGGATTGAGTGCATTCTTTATACCTGCCTGTCACCTAGCTTTCCTACGCATCGTATCCAAATAATGTTCAAGAACCCTTGCTAAATGGGCATGGTATTTGAAAGGGGGAACAAGGGTCTCCTAATGTCAAATTCTCGTGTTTTTGCGCGGGTCAAGGATTTTCCATAGTGACGTGTATCCGTTGAATTCTCCAATTGGATAAATCGTTAGGGTGAGTTTTGCTGTTCTGACTTGTTTTCGGTATTTCTTTGAGTTTAACAGATGGGGAATACGAAAAGAAGGTTTCTTAATTTTTGCTTAGCAGAGAGTTAATCCGAATGAATGCATATTTATTTATGTGGCTGAGGTGTGGTCTTAAGCCACAGATGGAAATTTCAATGATGTGGTTGGTTAAGGAGGGAAAATATAAATAGAATGGTGGCTGAAGAGGTCGGTCTGTCTGCAGTGGAATTCTGAAACTTTGAAAAGGAGAGGGCTGAATCATTGATTCGGATTTAGTTAATTAGTGATCATGACGATTTTCATTCCATTTCATCTGTCAGGTACCAGGTACGGGGTTCGTTTCCATAGAGTACAGAGTTAAATAAGACCTGACTGATCGCTGCTATCTATCACTTCGAGAAGGTTGTCATGGATTACTACCTACATAAATACAAGAAATGAAATAAGCATTTCTAGAGACTTTGATACTACGTCAACAGGTAGGAAAAATAAGAATTTATTATCTTCACCAAGCATTCACAAACTACAAAACTTGGAAGTGTGAGGAAACTTTAACTCTAAAATAAACAAGACAAGTATCCACCATCTCATAAACCACTTCATTTCTACCCCGTATATATTATTGATTTATTTATTTATTTATTTATTTATACTAGATATACCAAAAATAACCAATTATAAGGTAAGACACTTCAAAAAAAGATCCTCATTGAATCATCTAGGCCCTCCACCTCCATATAATTCCAGACACATCAAATCTCGTATCAAGCCAAATAATCCATCTTTGTGTTTCCACCGCTATTTCCCGTATCTTGCCTTCCATATTGTTTCTATCTGAGAAAAGAAATCAATAGTTAGTCGTTAACTCATTTTACCGCTACTATCAGTACCCATGTGCCAAGTACGCTGGCTAGCTGAATACACACTGACGCTATCTAGGTATTGTGTTTGAATCATCCCGCTGTCCTTACTTAGCCCGCTCGCTATATCTCTTATATCATGTACTTACATGCGCTTGAGCTTTTTGCAGATGTCAAAGTAATGATGGGATGGTGTTTTATATGAAGTTCGTTTTAAGATATATAAACATCATACACACATAACATTTACATCAAAATACATACAAACATCTCCCACATCTCCCACACACCACACCACACCACACCACACCAGACTACATTCCCATATTATAACATTATAACATTATAACCACAACTCTATTAATATCTAATATCTAATATCTACAACCATCACACTCAAACAAATCCTCCGACCACATCTAACGGTATCCCATCCCATCCCATCCCACCCCATCCCATCCCCAAACCTCCCCAAGCTCCCTTAAAAAGAATTTCCAGAACAACTCATTACTCAAGCACTATAAATATAATTCCTATCCTATCCTATATCCTACACCAACCCATCCATCCTACCATATCCATATCTAAACAGCTCCTAACAAATTTCATTTCATAACCTTACAATCCCATGTTATTCCACCGAGCCACCTCATCTCATCTCATCACATCACATCACATCATATACCCCCCCTACCTCCTCCTGTCCTCAATTATATATATTAGAAATAATATCATAGAATATTCTTTTCCCTCGCTAACCCTCCTTCACTAACACCATTCACCCTCAACCCAAAAGAGCCGAAAAGAGCCAAATAGAAACTTCACATCCTATTACAATTTCAATATCTCAATATTTCATCATAAATCACAAATCGGAAATAATCTTTCCGGTAGAATAATTTCTGAATTTGACGATTAAACTAGATAGATAGTTCTAAGATCTCATCACATTAGATTTAGATTTAGATGAGATTATATTTAGATTAGAATATTAAGGTATCTAAAAGTAGTTTTTGCTTCCTGACGTTTTCCTCTTTATATTGTGTCTAAGATTTAATATTCTAGCATTGTATATATAACTTTTAAACCCATGATGTAGTCCCTCCCCCCTTTCCCATCACCATCAATAAGTTAATTTTCCATATATCGTAATTTTCATAAAACACCCGAAACCATGCATTTAATCCTCTTCCTTTTTTATCTTTCCTTTTTCATCCTCCTCTCCTCTCCTCTCCTCTCCCCAACCCTCCCCAACCCTGCCCAACTCTACCTCCCAAACCCCCTCAATTCCCACCACCTAAGTCCAGGATACACCAAACCGGCCCAAGCAAACCCCACATAATTTCCCATATCACCCCCCTCACTCCCAACCATCTTCGCAAGCGGTCCTATAAAATAATACTGACTCATACACAAAATCGCCCCAACCCAACCTACACAAAACGCGACAAACGCCGCAATCCCGAGCGGTAATTTTTCCTGTTTATCCCAATCACTCCATACAAACGTTGGATTTTTGCGACGTCTAAAGAGGAATTCTTCTTCCAATGTAATAACGATCCAAAGAACGACCCAGTATCCCATCAAAGATAAGAAATTGGTGAAGATTTCAGAAAGATCATTACGACCTGCGAGTGCACAAACGGTGAAAACGACAACACCGAATGTATTCCAAAGAAATCTTGGAACCATAGCCGGATAACGACCTAGGACTTGGAAATCGATACCGCAAGAATAGGTAGGAGGAACCATATTGGCAATCAAGCCCAAAGCGGCAATAACTGAGCAAAATTTTCCGAAGCCACCCAGACTTTCGAAACCAGCAACGATGAGAGCACCTGAACCTGCTCCTGCCGCTTCCCAAGATGGGTTATTGATGATACCGGATGCAAGACCGGCTCCTATGACGAAAGTGAATGTAAAGGAGAGAGAAAGACCAAGTAAAGTTGCAGCGAAAAATTTCCAGCGCGATGCAATTTTTGGATCACAATAGACGAAGAAATCGGCTGCTATAGGGGCGTATGTGATTGCAGCACTGAGACAGATTGAGAAGAATGAAAGACGATTCCCAGCGAGTGTTGAGCCTTCGACTGTAGATTTACTATGAATGTCGAACTTTGGACCAGCCGTTCCGGCCAAGATCAAAAGAACAAATGTTTGTGGAATCCAGGCGAATCTCTCATAATGATGAAATATTTTGATGCCGAATGTTGTTACCGTAAATGTTAAGACGGCTGAAACGACAATTCCAACTTCCACAGATAGACTGCCATTTGGTGAGACTGCGGATAACATTTGGCCAGCCACTACCGCATCAATCATGGAATATCCTAACAAGATAACCAAATTCAATATCACACAAATTTTCACCGGCCACCATCCCATGGTAAAACGAGCGCATATCTAGAGACTCGGTTAGCTAATTTTCATCTCAGGGGCTGTATCAAATTCCAATGACCAAATGCAAGAACCGCAAAACCATACCACCTATATGACATAACCCTAACCAAGAAGATACCACCTACCAAAGTTCTATTCCCACTCCACGGTCCCCAACCCGCCGTATACGCCACGGGCAAAGCTCCCACCACAGCCCCAAAAACACTACAAAGCGTCGCATCCACAAAACCCAGTCCATAAACCCCCGTCCCTAGACTCGCCAAAGTAATATTCTGCGGCGCAGTATTTATCGAAAACCAAAGCACGACAATTTGTAGAAAAGACAGAGTAGTTTTGGAAGTCTGTTCTGCGGGGAGCACGCGATGAATACCTCGAGCTTCGAGACCAAGGAGGTTCTCGATCCGTGCGGTGAAGGTGAAGAAACGGTTTTGAGGAGTAGAAAGTATGGGGATTGTGACGTCGCGCGCGGGTGTTTTGGAAGAGGAAGGGGCGAGCGCATCGTGAGGGACGTCGGGGGAGATGCCTTTCTCTACATCGTCTGCGGAGTGTGAGGGATCCATTTGCTCGTCCGGAGACATTCTGTTGATTGGATTGTTTAGTTAGCGATTATATCTTCTTCGATTGCTTCTGCGGAAATTGTAGCATAGAAGTAGAATAAATAGAGTACTCAATTGAGAATACTGAGTAGGAATGAAGAGAGATTTGAATAGGAACACTAGATCCATTCGATACCTATCTATATACACAAATCTCGTAGCACCCTCATTTAGAATTCCATCTACCACATCCATCCAAATGTGTCCGTATCAGGAAAAATAGCAATGAAATCTTGACCTACCTATCTTTCTATATGTATATCGTGTAACCCAAACTCGGACACTTCATACCTATTAAAACATTAAACAATAAAGATAGTGAGACCCGACGAGCACAATTGATATCTATAAAATGAGTCTGTGAGAGAAGAATCTAAAGAATTCAGCGGCGATAAGACTGAAAAGATCAGGGTCTCATCTGCATGACTCTTTGGAAGGTGGGCCATCCATCATTGAAGGCTTTCTCAGAAATTTTTATCATGGATTATGGATTACATGGGGCAATTCCTTATCCATAAGTCCTGCAAGGATCACTCAGGACCCTTTCATCCGAGAAGTTGCGGGGATAAGGCTAACCTTTGAGATTTTATTTGGGGTGGAAGTAATCTCACTCCACAATTACTCTCACAAGAAAATCATCTCTCAAAGTAGGTATGAATAGAAAGATAGATGTTAAGCAGGAGATCCTCGCTCTCCTCATCCTCGGTTACACTCTCATGTTGTGATCAGTAGTCTCCAATCTCCAGCTCTTGCATGCATATTGTAGCACTTGAAAATCACAGAAGGCTTCACCTTACGGATAGCAAAACGCCTAGACCTAAGTAGACGGTATGGTATATCAGTAAAATTCCACCGTTGGGATATTTTCAATTTGAATATAAGCAACTCTGTACTCGAGTATTAAGCTCTAAATATATCAAGACGTATTCAATTCGTAGCTAAACCCTCTAATCTCATCACCAAATTAATATCCAACACCTAGGTCCTATAGAAGCTCTTCAGCTACACACTCACACTCACACTCCAACTATATAATACAATACCAGTAGATATCCCAACTAAAAATCAATCAATGAATCACCAACCAAGTCTACCTAGTATATACCCATAAATAAAACCCCTACATCCTACATCCTGCATCCGACACCCAATTACTCGGTATAAACCCATTACTTTATCCCATTTCCCTCTAACAAGTAACTGTTAATTCCTCTACTGTAATCTTACTTACGGCTCGAAATAATCTTACAATATCTGGTGCTTCTCGTGCTAGGTTCTCGCATACATACATACATATCTAGTTCACAGCATTCAAATAGCAATACGGGAAAGGAATTCGAAGACGGCTACCTACCTTTCCTTGTCTCATCAGGGAGTCAAAATCGGACGGAACACTGCAGGAAAATATGTAATTGGCCTTGTCCCACGTCCCCGTAAATACCCAGTATTACCACGTACTAGAAACTTTCTACCCCAAGAAAAGAACGGGAAGAAAAGGAGAAGAAAAAGAACAAAAACAAAACAAAAAGAGAAGAATAAAAACGCCTCTAAATATTCACACAAACAAACCCTCAATGCACTAAACCACCGAAATCTCATCTATCCACCGGTCTAAACCCAACCCTCAACTCCGGTTTCTTCCACAACACAAGCAACTTGGAATCCCTCTCCCAAACCAAGTCCTTACTCTTTAACTCCCAATCAAATTCCCACGCCAACTTCGCCAACACCACTCGCATCTCCATGTACGCGAGATTAACCCCCAGACATGCTCTAGGACCCATTGAGAAGGGCTTATTAGCATCTTTATTATCATTTTGATAGCGGGAATTGTAGCGGGGATGAGAGGCTGGGAGCCATCTCTCGGGATGAAATTCATTGGCGTCGGTGAAATATTCTTCGTTATGGGTGGCGACATATCCGGATACGTATACTATAGCGCCTTTAGGAACGTACTCCCCGTCTATGATAGCCCCTGGGCAGTCGCGCGGAAGTCCCATGGGGACGGGTGGATAGATGCGGAGACCTTCTTCAATTACGCCGGTGAGGTATGGAAGTGCTGATGTGGAATCACACGTGATATCCTTTGAAGATGTGAACGCATTGCGGATTTCTTCTTGGAGATGTCGTAGTGTTTCGGGTCGATTAAGAAGATAGTAAGTCACTCCTATAAGCAAAGTAGCGGTAGTTTCCGAACCGGCCACAATAAGCGTATTAGACTGGGCTAGAATGAACTCCGGGGTGATCTTTGGTCCATTCTCTTTCTCGCGGAGTAGATGCGAGAAGAAGTCATCGCGATCGTTGTTTCCTCGTTCCATACGTTGGGTTGCTTTTTTCATCGAATTTTGGAAATGTATCCTGCTCTTTTCTTTCAAGCCTTTCGGCATGAGAAACATTGCGATCTTCTTGAAGAATGAGTTCATTAAGAATGGAAAGCGCCGAAAGATTTCCATGAGGGCCATGAGATGAACGGCGCCGAGAATGACACTGATCCATGGATGGCCTTCTCCAGATTTGACTGCATCAAATGATTCTCCAAATGCGAGATCCCCAATGATGTCAAAAGTTAACCAGTTGTACCACTATACTTCATTAATTATAATTAGAAGCAAAAACATAGTGATACACATACTTCTGATAAATTCAATCCCTTCTCGTCATCTTTACGTCGATAAATTTGAGAAATCAGCAAGTCCATATATTGCATCACCACTTCCTCTTGGAGTCGAAGAGCTTTTGCACTAAAAGCATGAGAAAGGGACTTTCTAATCTCTCGATGGACAGCTGGATCTCTTGCCGAAACAATACCCGCATTGGTTTCTGAACCTGTATTGTAGGCTTGACCTTTCAGAAATGCATTCTTCCCTTGCTTGACGTGGCCGTGAATGTCTTGATATGCCTGAGGAGATGCGAAGTCTCTATGCTTGAATTAGTGATGTGTCAATCGCAAGGTTGATCCAGTGAACGAACAAATCGTTTGGTGCAAATCTCACAACTTTACCATATTTCTTGTGTAAGCTGATCATAGTATTGTGATAATCTCCGGAAGTACTTTACTTTCGTTAGTCTTAGATGTAGCATAATAGAGGCTGTAAAGCTTACTTATGCCAACATAGCCAGCCATCTGTTATTGCTGCTAACCTTGGGCCGGGAAAATGTGCGAGTGGATGGAAATAAAGATTATATATCACTTTGTATATGATATAAAATATGACCTAACCGGTGTTAGCGGTCAATACAGATCAAAGATCTATTCAAGCCTACTAGTGCTCCAGCGCATAATGACAACTGCGAAATTATTCCAGCTATAGTTTGACCTTGTATTGATATGGAAGGCGCCATTAGATTTTCGTTAGAATCTCACTCGGAATCTGATTGTCGATAAACATGAGGATTTCCAGAGGGAACTTGATCTTAAATAGATGATTCAACATTAGTATGCATGGGTACTTTTGGTCGCATCGCAAAGTGGTGAGAGGAAGAGGTACTTCTATTTTCCTATGACCAAATTTCTCGCGAGAAAAGCTCCACCAAACATCCATCCAACACTACATACTGTACGAGTTGCGAATACATGAATTCCTTCAAAAAAATCCGTCATCATTGGCCAGAGGCAAGAAAACGCAGCCTTTGCCTAGCACTTGTGTCTGGGAATGATAACACGAAGTACATATTCACGGTTTACTAACTCTTTTCAACCAATTACAACCTACAAAAGACAGAAGACAGGGGCTACCCAGAAACATCCGAAATATCCGACGTGATAGAAAGTGGCATTGACAGGAGCACGGTTACTCCGTATAGCGTACTCGCATCAGGATTCGCATCAGGACGCAAATGGGTGAGCGACGACCTCGGTAGGGAAATCAAGATGTATGGTGACATGTATAGAAATACAAGTAAGGAAGATCGCCAAATCACCAATTTTTAAAGGAATGATGAATGTTGCCAAGAAAAATGTACGCACACTAGCCATTTTTTGGCCACTTGGTTCGAAGGGCAATGAATGAATGATTGAAAAGCCTTTTTAATCCTTCATAGCCGCCCCTGAGAATTTAACTATCCAGGAACAATATGATTTTTTTCGAACGATGCGATACAATGTGAGGATATCAGCCTATGTCAGACAATAGCTCCTATCGTCAGAAGACATTTGAGCCTTGTCAAAAGCTTCTGATTTTTTCAGGACGATTTTCTTTGGAAAGACGGTTGGAAGATACTCGACATTTTAAAAATGCAATAAGATATGGTTATGCTTTTCATGGCAGTGAGCAGGCGATAGCTCGATCGGCGCCGTTATGAGGTATGAGGCCCCAAGTTGTGAGTATGGAATGAAACACAAATCTCAGAGCATAGATTTGTCTGACAGTGTATAAGCATAGAGGTAATCCAGGATATGATATATCAGTCGTAACAGCGATCGACAGGAAAATGGAAATTAAACAATAAGAAGCGCTATATGTGAAGCGTTGTGAAACCATTCCAGAAAATTCAAGGTGAGTACCGTACACAAACATACATGATGTGCATACGAAAATGATACAGGTAAAGAAGAAAATGTCTGTACAAGTTACTCCAAACGGCACGAAATCGAGCTCAGCTTTCTCGGAGATCTGTCGCAAAAATTGGTGTAGCAAGAATGTTGATAGCATTCTTGCAACAACACGGAAGAAGTTCTCAACCCAAATAATCCGAGTCTACCGTGGATCTGCCCGCATTGGCTTGGTATGTCTTCCGTATTCAACGGAACATCGAACGAATGAAGCCGTACACAAGTGTTGCGTGCAATGAACGGATGCACTCATGCTGCGATGGCGGATACATCGTACGACAAACGAACATTGCTAGGCGTTACACACTCTTTAATGTCCACCCATGATTGACACTAAATTTGAGGAAAATCCACATGAAGGTCAATCAATCCGTGCGACCGGATCTGAACATCGAGGGATACATAAAATACTGACCAATCAACGAGTTTCTTTTTGGATTTAAGCTTTTACGCCTTGTGTATTAGGATGTGTTAGCGCATATATATCACATGCCTCCTGGTATCCCTTCAAACGTGCAGGAGAAAGACAGGAAGAAAACCCCACCTGTTTATCTTCCCACGCGATAATTAATAAATGTATCGTTCATCTGAGTTGCTGTTAGTTTTCAGGCGGTAATTATTGCTAGCCCTTTCTCCGTCCGACCCCATTCTGGATGCACTAGAATGGATTCTCAAGCCACATCGTCTTCTCGAGTCCGGGTCATTGGTAGGGTTTTCCATAAAATCCCGCAAATCTGTTTTCCCAATGATCCATTGTGCTATTGATCTTACCCTAAATGGAAATATAGACATTCCCAAAGACGCAGCTCCGAGGTCTTCGAAATTCGAAGACAGTACCCCTTCCAAGCTGAAATCCGAAGCTAAGGTCGTATCTTCCTGTCTTTTTCCAACGCCGTCCTCGGGCAGCTCCTATCCATGGTTGGCAGCATTGACTTGATTGTGATTGGTGAGTTGCATTGTTTGCGATGTTGTCCGACCATTAATTAGTGATCGGTAGGGACGAGTGTGTGGTAAGAGTCAAAAGCGAAACCATTGGATGGTAGTGCCTTATCTCTTTATCTTTGTCGTGATACTTTGTACAAATACATTGGAGAACTTAGACAGTACTCCATGCAGGAGGCAAGCATTTGGTAACGAAGGCGTGGTTAAGCTTTGCCAAGAATCGTCTAAAAGCTTAACATGGTATCTGTCACTGGGCCTATTTTCCCTCATAGCTGACGCGTCCTCTTATCAAAGGGATTGTTTGAACATATGACTTGATGGTCATTGAAAGGGGGAATTTGAATTATTGGTGATGTTTTCGAGGATGAATTTACCCATTTCCTCCACCACCTCCACCACCTCCACCACCTGCTGGCATAAGGAGATGAGAGATGAGAGATGAGAGATCAGAGGAAGATGAAAATTGCTTTAGAGGCGGATGGCACAAATATATACCTAGTAGTTAGTACTAACGCTCTTCCTCAAGGGATGAATTACCTGCTAGGTACCAGGTAGTAAGTAATAGGTACCAGATACTAGATACTACGTAAAACGTACTACGTACTTACAGTCTCACCAACCAAAACTTCATCTATTTATTGTTATCATCACACCATCAGCATGACAACGTCATCTCTAGAAGTTTCAACTGTCAAATAACTTGAGACGGCGGCTAACCACGCGCAAACCTTGCTGATTCAACGGATACTTCGGATGCAACACTAAACATTTCCCCAGTTGTGAACCTCTTCCGGTAATGATTAACATTCTTTTTTCTCTCGGCCTTCATGCCTTGCATTCATTTTGGCTACATCCAAGAACATGGGCAAATTGCCTTACTTGGCGTTTCAATAAAAAAATGACGAGTTTCGTGTGTATTTTGGTATATCATTCTGAAACCTTTGGGAAATTCAAAAAGAGTGAACAATTTAGGCTAGGTAGGTCCAAGGCGTCGTAATCTATGTGCGTACTCTGCATACTGCTTACGCATGAAAATGAAAATGAAAATGAAAATGACGGGGCTTTCCAAGGCTTTTGCTTTGGTGTTGCGAAATAATGACAACAGAAACCCCCTGGCCCAACCAAATTTATTAATGGGATCGCGATGAAGATAAGAATCAAAAAGATGTTACTCTTTTGGTGACAATCAACATTTGGTATTCTAGACGCAAAATGCAGAATGAATGAATGAATGAATGGTGGTTTGTACTCCGTATACGTATCCGTACCTATATATGGATTGCTGTATGAGAGTGTTTGCAAGTCTCACATCCAATCGGTTGTTGTACCTGACTAGCAGGAAACGCCAGAACGAACTCTAGAATTTGTGTAGGCGTGTATCCGAAGGCTCGACCGGCTGGGAACTTGTGCTTCTAGACTTTGTTTGCTGGATTCAACCCCAACAGGAGCGCTAATAACTCACCCAGCTCTCCCCGCCCTTACTCCTAATTATTGCAGCTATGCAGCCAGTTACAAGACCCCATGTTGAATATATCGTCAAGGTATCCTCTTCTTGTTTTTTACTTGCTTGAATCCCCGCGACGACCTCTCCGGAATTATCCAATAATCATCATCCAATCAATCATTCTCTCCTTGTTTTGCATTTTCCTCCCTGGTCTGACTCTTTTAGACAGCGAATGAATGCATACCTACCTGCCTGCCTACCTACCTACCTACCTACCTAACTAGGTATACATATATCCTCACCCTCCTCATGCCGCCTTAATATTTCTACTCGTTTAACAATTGCTGGGTTTTGCTGATCACTTTTATTTTTTTTGATAACTTTAAAATATCTTGTCTCCACTCATTTACTTCTTGTCAAAAGAGTACTTGATCGTGTGCTTCCTCCCCGCATCCATCTTCTTTCCTGAATATTATTTCATTCTCTGTTTTGAAAATTACATTTTCCTTTTTATACTCTTTTTCAACATCTTGTACCGGTACTCTCTCTTTTTCTCGTACCTCTTTGCACATAATAACATCTTGAATCCTTCCTCTCCACACACAACGACATCGTACATCGCTTGGCAAATCTATACACGTCAAAAAAGCTGCGCCAAGACGGTTATTCGCACCCTGTCGACATTATCCTCTTGTAAACTTATCACCATATCGTGATACTTGAAGATGCGAATTTCTTGGATCATTTCCTTGCCTGGACTTCTGTCAGTTGTGTCGGCGCTGGCAATACAAAAAAGAGATGCCGACTTTTACAGTGTGCGCACGAAGCTACACAAGGATATGAGTGGAAAAGCAGGCGATCCAATCGAGAAATATTTTCGTAAGTACCTATTCGATCTATCTTCAAGAGGGCTGTTTAATCATGGCGTCCGGCGACGCGGACCTGACCGAATGTTCCGGTTCATGGTAGTTCATTCAGTCGAACTTTGCTAACTTATGGGTCGTTCCTGCCAGATGAGAGCGTGTACGTATCCTACGAGTCCGTCAAAGGCTGAAAACGAGAGACTTTCAAAAGTACTACGGGGTTGCATGCTAACAGTGTGAGGTTAATAGCTTCCACCCACATTACGACGGCCGGTATGTAAATTTCTCTTGAGGAAATTATTTTGGTACACAATGAGAGATCCTAACATCTATTTAACAGATTCGCCGACAAGCAATTGGGATACAGAGAACGTAGACATGCGCTTTCGAACCTCATTCAAACCTACCTCGCTACTTTCTCTGATATTGGCGTGGAAACATGGCTTATGCATGGTACTTTATTAGGCTGGTGGTGGAATCGTAAGGTGAGAACAATACTGGAGATGGCCAAGATTTCTCAAAGTCTCACGTCCTTTAGATTCTACCATGGGATTCCGATTCCGATGTCCAAGTTTCCGAAGACTCGATGCACTTTCTTGCCTCTTATTACAACATGACAGTCTTCCACTACAAAACTCCACGTATCCCAGAGGGCCGAGATTATATGCTAGAGGTCAACCCCCATTATGCTAATAGAGAGCAATCGGACAAATTGAATGTCATTGATGCTCGGTGGGTCGATACTACGAGCGGGTTGTTCATTGATATTACAACCGCAAGATACAATTACACACATCCAGCTGGAGAAGGAATGTTGAGCTGCAAGGATGGTCATGAATACAGGGTAATGTCGTTTGAGCAGAGGGCTAGATGAATTGTGCTGATAATCATAGGATACCTACATTTTCCCATTGCGAGACACCTTCTTCGAGGGCGCACCAGCCAAGATCCCTTTTGCGTATAAAGAAATCTTGGAAGCAGAATATCATGAGAAATCACTGACCTTGACTGACTTTGAGGGGTATGTTGGATGGAATCGCAATGTTCACGTTGAATTTCCACGCTAACTTGCATACAAAGCCACCACTTTGACGATGACAAAATGGAATGGATCCCTGTGAAGCAAGATATTCAGAAACCAATCGAAGCAGAAAAGGCAGCTCAACCACCACCAAAAACCGATGCCCAGAAGGCAGAAGAGGCAGCCAAGCAATCCGAAGAAGACAAAAAGAAAGTGGAAGAGGCAAAGAAATTGGAAGAGGCACAGAAGGCTACCGAGGACGCCAAGGAGAAAGCGAAGCAAAAGGCCGTACAGGACGCCCAAAAAAATGATACACCACCTGTAAGCAAACAACCAATCAAAGAAGAACAGCAAACACAATCCCATGGTGCATCCAAACCTCCATCAGCTCAACGAGCCGCAGAGAAAAAGATAATAGCTGAAGCCGAGAAGAAAGCAAATAAAGTACAAAAAGCTGAAGACAAACGTAAACAGGACGAACAAAAAGCCGCCGATAAAAGAAAGCAAAACGAAGAGAAGATGAAGCGAGATGTCAAGAAAGATTCCGTGCCGGCTTCATAATCTACCCATCTTTCCTAGCAGCTGATACAATCAGTTGCCTTACGACAACCAAACCCGCCGAGCGACCTTTACAATGGCCTTGACACAACGAAGATGTCAATGTGTTGTTCACTGATTTATCGGGTATCATTTTACTACCTACAATTTTGACTTTATTATATTTGCCAAGCGGTTTTATATCTTCGCTGCGTTTTCTTCATTATATCATATGATTTCTCTGATACTTTCCACAATCTGGGTCATTGAATCGAAAGACGAAGGAGTTGAGGATTCAAAGGGACAATAGTAGATGGAAAATGGATGCGCCAATGTTAGGGCGTTTGCATATAGCTGGCATTTGATTTGGCGTTATATTCCCTCGCAGTACGTGTGAAAGTATTGTATAAAATGGAGTATTTGTTGCTAGAATTATATGATGGCGCAAGAATTTGGATGTCATTGCAGTATGATGATTTGGATGGATCCTACTGTGGTGGTTTGTAGGTGTAATTCAGATCAATGTCACAGCTGCTGGAATGGAAACTTGGAGCCTTTCGTCTCATTTCTGTTTGTGAATATATATAACATTGACAGATAAATGCAATTGTGGATTACATGAATTAAACTAGGTCTTCTAGTGCCTTTAGACGACAGCACTTAAAAGAGTCCATAAACACCATAAGGCTGCAAGCGCAGGCTCACTCGACCCGAGCCGGTGGTTAATAGTTTAGAACCAATGAACTACCTCGCCCGATGTATTGGATGGGATATTTTTTCCTATTTCATCATATAATTCCTTGCTGAAGGATATGGGATTTGAAGTGGCTAATTTTGATTCTCGTCATATGCAATGCAAACTTCAAAGGGAAGTCTCCAGATGATCATGATGAGCTCGTGCGGTAGACAAATCTCCACGATGATTCAAGTGTTGGTCCATGTGGATCCTTAGCACATGTCTTGACTCGCTGGCCTGCGGATACCTAGCTCAGGAACATGGATAAACGTCGGAAAACCTTCCTAAAAAGTGCTAATTTGGAAGAAAAAAAAGACCCTTCAGGGTCCAGGTCGTGGCGATAAGATGTGATTGTACCCTACGGCTGGGGGATTTTCAGGCTTATCGAATGATGGATGTTGATCAAATTTTTTAAAAATATGGGGTTGTGGGTTGCAATATGAAATATATGAGATGCTGCCCAACTATGAATATCTTTAAGTGCTAAATATTTGTTACAATCTTTCTTTTTTCGCCGTTGATTTTCTTCACATCAAATGAAGTTTTGGTAGTACTTGAACTATGTCTCGTAAGTTTTACTCCTTCATCCTCGCCAATCAGGAAATCTCTGTGCAAGAAATTTCAAGCTAATAGTTGCCAACACCAGCTTCAATTGGTGAAACATCCACCACTCAACAGCATACCCTTCCTATTCCTGAACGACGAAATTCTCAGTATGACGACTCGCATGGTACCGGCTTGGGAGCAGGAAATACACAACCTCGACGACGCTCAAATGTTTCCGGACGCCTGACTTTTCGCGATAGTATACGTGCGCAGGATCTCGAGAGTTTGACGAGGACAGCTAGTGTTATTAGTGGGCATCAGGATGCTTTTGCTGAAGCGCATGCGGACTCTACCAGGGAGAACGACAGCGGGAAGGAAAGGGATAATGGAAATACAACGATAACATTTCCCAAGGCAGCGAAGCCAGGTCCAATTAGTACGATCAGAGAATTACCTAGCGAATTCAACACGCCTTACTCAACACGTCCTCCATCTCCTTCCTCTGCTGCTAATACACCAGGTCCGCACCCACATCGAAAAGGAAACGCAAATACAACCGTCGGCGGAACTAGCACTCCGCGCGACTATTTCGAGCTCCAAATCGAAGAACCCTCGAGAGATTTGCCCGAAACTTCATACCCAGATATCGGCAGTGTCAAAAGTTTCCGCGGCGCCCTTATCCTCCTAACCACATGCGGAGCACAACTCATGGATAATGTCTTCATGACAGGTGTCAATATCAGTTTACCGGCCATCCAAAAGGAATTCGGTGCAAAAGCAAGTGATCTCCAATGGTTAATAAGTGCATATACATTAACTTTTGGAGGATTTCTCCTACTAGCCGGTGTATTAAGCGATAGATTTGGACGTAAACTTATTTTTTGCATTGGGATGCTTTGGATTTCCATCTGGACTATCGCAAATGGTTTCGCGACGTCGTTTATCCAATTGGCTATTTTTCGCGCCCTGCAGGGCATCGGCGCAGCGATGACGGTGCCCTCGGCCGTGGGAATCATTTCTTCGTATTTCGTGGCGAAGGATCGCACGATTGCGTTATCATTCTTTGCGGCTTCCGGCGCGGTAGGTTTCTGCGCGGGACTTATTTTTGGCGGGTTCCTGACGGGTAGTCTCGGGTGGAGATATCTCTTTTATGTTTCGGCTGCGTTGACCGGGTCGTTGGGTATCTTGGGACAGTTCATCTTACCGCGCGATCGGTTGGACGGGAAGGAAAAACCTAGTTTGGATTTGTTGGGCGCGGGTTTGTCCACTGGTGGATTGATTTTGCTTTCGTTTGTGCTGTCCAGTGGAGGTGTCTATGGATGGAGCAAGGCTTTTATTATCGTCTTGTTGATTCTTTCCGTGCTTGTTTTGGGGATTTTTGTCTATGTGGAGAAGAGGGCTTCGCATCCCATTATGCCGCTTTCGCTTTGGAAAATTCAAAATTTTGCTGCTTTGTGGATTTCGGGCTTTGGTATGTTGTTTACTTTTTTTTGTCGCTCGTGTCTCTTTCTTCCTTCCTCTCTTCATTTAACATGCCCCCTCTTAACTTACATATCATACCATACTAACATAAAACCCCAAAGTATGCTACGGCGGCTACCAAACAGTCCTCTACTACATCGTTCTCATAGCCCAAGAAATCAACCTCCTCTCCCCCGGCAAAACCGCCCTCTACTTCCTCCCTATGGGCCTCACTGGCTTCATCTTCTCCATGTCGGTGGGCAAAATCCTCGAACGCTACAACACCAAATCCGTTCTCCTACTAGGCATGCTAATGATGATGGGTTCGCCCATCCCCGCCGCCCTCCTAACCCACACCTCCATCTCCTTCTGGACACACGTACTGCCCACCTCTCTCCTCGTCGTCGCAGCAGTAACTATCGTCTATTGTTCCTGCACGATTATCCTGCTCTCGAGCGTACCCACTAATGTGAAGAGTCTCTGTGGTGGAATGATTAATACTGCGTTTCAGATTGGGTCCGGGGTAGGACTGGCGCTTAGTAGTGCGGTGGTGCAGGCGGTGGATACGAGGGAGGGGAAGGGTAGTCTTGAGCAGTATTGTACAGGCCTTTGGTTTTGTGTTGCGTTTGGGGGCGTGGGGTTTCTGGCTAGTGCAGTTGGGGTGAGGAATTCGACTGCTGGGGGTTTGGGGGAGGAAGGGAGGAGGGAGGTGATTGTGCATTAGTTGGTTGGGGGTGTGGTACCGGGTGATGGGATTATGGGTGGGTTTGGGGATGTGATCTATTGGGTTTGTTTGATTGATGGGGGATTTCGATATACATATATGAACAGATGATAAATGAAGATATTTTGGGTTATCAAAATTAGGCTTGGATAATACGCAGCGAATACTAACTACACTACTACGAGGATAGATAATTGTTACATTTTACATTTTACATTTACAATAAGACATAATGGGATAGAGGATAGATGAAGAGCTTCTTTTTATATATATAAATAGATTAATTGAACAGAACATATCTAGACACTAATATAAATCTAAATCTCAATCTAATTTCCATCTAGTCAAATCGCGACCTCAAGCCCCTCCTTGTTGAAGTAAATTTGTCTTTCTCAAAGTGAATTAACCAAATCATGTTGAAGATGGAAGAGTCAAGCGAAGTGAAGGAATTTGAAATCATATCAGATCATTAGTAGCAATGATTACCAGTCACAGCTGAATGATAATACTGGATAATTTTCCCATTGACTCTAGACCAGCTCGCTTCACTGCATTTGAATGAAGCAAGTGCATAGATAGGTAACCTTCAAATCAAATTATAGTCCAAATTCCATTTTTGTTGCGCTATCTATATATTTCAGACCTCAAGTTGGTACCAACACCCGCATTCCTATAATCGTATGTACAAAACTGACGAGACAAGAAATCAGAAAAATGAAAACGATCCCGGTGCCCTTTAACCAGAAACTCCAAGGCGGCCATGAGACAGATGTATAAACAGAAAAAGCCTTTTTGTCCCAATTCCAAGAATCTTCCATACAAGATCCGAGTCCGTACCATGTACCCATTAAGAAATACGAAGACCCCATCCATCCGCCTATTATCCCTGAGAAACAATGTTAATGATTAAATTATTAATCCCCATCCGCCTGTTTGCATATATAGAAAAAGGTTAAACCCGATCCTTTCGCCAAAGCCCAAAGAGAGCGCGGGGAGTGATATGTCCAATGGTTTGCGTGTCTTGATTATGGACAAGTGGAGAAAATGATGGTAAGCCAAAAAAGAAAAAGAAAATTAGCAGGAGTACTCCATGAAGTCCGCCCAACTTATGTACGTGGTGTTTTAACGAGTAGTCGTTTATCGTGAAAGGAGCCTGACTCGATAATTCCAGGCCCATTCTGGTTTATATAAGCTCGACCGACAAATTCGATGAACAAATTAAACTTGTTTGCTTCCAATTATGAAAGGTAGCAACAACCTCAGGTTGCTATTTTTGTGGAGGGTATCAACCAGCTATAAGGCAAGTCAATGTAGGGAGGGACGTCCGATCCAAACGTGGAATGAGGGTCATGGACATAAATAGTCAGATCTGGGGATTTGGCCATCATGACGGAAGCTATCGATGATGTCAAACCTAATCACCCATCAAACTCATCATCTCCATCATCGTCATCACCGCCTTCCATCGCTTTTCTTAAATCAATGACGCTTTTCCGAACCCTCTTTCCTAGTGTGATGGGGCTTCTTGGATCAGCCAGTGCTTGGTATCTTTCATATTCCGTTGCTGGCATGTTCAACTCATCTCCATCCTCATCCTCCTCGTCAGCATTGTCGGCATTTCGAATAGCTTTTGGGGCACGACGGGCACGAGTGCTCGGTTCACGAGGTGGAAGGATTCTTGCAAGAGGTCCTTTGGCCTTCTTGTTTACCTTGATCTTAGGCGATGAGGCGGAGATAAAATGAAGCCCCTCTGAGGGTGTTGACATTGATTTACTAGGACGACCTTTGCGAGCCTTTTTGGGAGGAGAAGCGCTTGGCGCTTCGGCAATGGCTTCAGAAATTCGCTTGCGCTTAGTTCGGGATGATGGTGGTGAAATGATTGGATGTTCGCCAGGGGTCGCTTCTTTTTTGATGACTGGTTCTTGTGACGGCTCCACTTCATCTTCTTCGATTGTTGCCTGTTTTTTACTTGATTTTCGGGCCTTTTGTGGTTGAGAAGTGGCGACAGGAGTTTCGCTTGATCCACTATTACGCTTTCCTCGAACTTTCTTAGGAGATTCCTGAATTGAGACAGACTTTTCAATAGATGCAGCTGCACGTTTTCGAGTAGCTATCCGAGTTTCACGTGTTAGGGTCTGTTCACGAGTGGAAGAGCGGTTGATTTGACGATTACCAAAAGAAGAAATAGTTGATTGCGACGATGAGCTGCCGGGCCTTGAATTGATAGCTTCCGTTGCTTCCGAGTCCGAATCCTCGTCATGTTCCGTAGTTGGCAGGATTGCATTTTCTTCCTCAGTTTCAGCACTTGGCTCGACATTAGCTTCCTTCTTAACTCGACTACCGGACTTGCTGGACTTGGCTGACTTGGCAGGATGCTTCTTTGGTTTGATAACTTTAGCCCTTGGCTTTATAGGGGGGACGATTGCCGCAGGGGTCTCAGATGGCGCTATAGTAACTTCTTCTGTGGGGGGTATAATGTCAACAACAGCCACAGGAGGAGGAACAGGAAGTGGATGCTTCCGTGGCCTACCACCTGCATGCTTCTTTTTCACAACCGGTTCAACTGGTAATTCCTCCGCGATCTGGTTGACGAGTGATTCGGCCGATTGCTGCAGCTGTTCCTGTTCGGACGGCAGGAGGTGTCGAGAAATATCTTCGTCTTTAGGAGCATCGTCTTCAAGCATCGGTGGCTCATCTTCGCCAGAAGCAAGTTGAACATCTTTGAGCTTCGAAAGCGATTTTGGCGGTCTTCCGATGGGCTTTCCAGATGGAAAGGTTCTCCTGATGGGGGTTTGACTTCTGCTTTGTTTTCGAGAAGTCTTCGACAACTCTCCGATAGCATCGTCAAGTACCCGGATCTTTCGTTGTCGTTTCGCTGGCAAACCATCCGATTCATCTTCTGGTGTACTCTGGTCGTACATCTTCCTGGTCGCCATTCGTTGAGCTCGACCACTTCTACCTTCTGACATGTCTACTTCACCCAAACCACGCTTTCTAGACGCTGTAGGAATTGGTTGCGCACCAAGATGTTTTGGATGCGAAGAATATTCGAAACCGTATACATCTGCCTGCTTCATATCGTCCCATTTCGTGGGATCTATTAAGCGTCCTACTTTTCTCTTCTCGGCTTCTATCTCCTCTTTGGTCAGTTTGATCTCAGGCAAGGGCTCGTTGAGAAGTTTTGGCTTGCTCGACTCTTTCAGTTCCTTTTGCTTAAGCTTTTTGTTTTCTTGTTCCCTAGCGAAAGCTTGCCTCTGAAGTTTCGCCCTGAATTGTGGGTCCCGAAGGCTTTCAAGACGTAGGCGAAATTCATCATCTTCGTCAAATTGATTCATGAAAGCCGTCCATTCAGGGGCCTTTGATTTTAATACAACGGCGTAGTCTTTTGCCAAAGCAACCAGGTCATCTCTTTCCAATTGCTCGGCGACTCTGTCTGCCTCTTCTACGGCTTTCTCGGCTTCTTTTTCCATTTGCACTCGTTCCCTCTCTTGACATTCATATGCATAAATTTCTTCATCAATTGCATCAAACTCCTTTTGCCAAATGGCTAAAACATTCTATGATAATAATTAGTCGTTGTGTTTCACGCCGCACAGTATGGACTAGGACATCCAATGTAAAATTACAAAAAATAAACTCGAGGCCATGAAACAGCGACGATGACTTACTGTACTAATTATCTCGGCTCTTTTGTACAATTCATCATATGACATTTCGCTAGGATTTTTGAGGTATTTTTCGAAGTTTGAAATGGCCGGAAGTTTAGGATATTTGAACTTAAGGCCGATATCAGGGTCATTGATGTCTACATCAATTTCCTCATGGCCTTCGATTTGATCATAGTAGTCGAATTCGGATTTCGGGTCGATATATGGTTGAATCAGATTATGATCCTTGGAATTAGGATCTTCTTCGTCGGCATTAGCAATAGCAATTGCAGGCTCTTGAGCCGCGTTGTAGTCGAAATGCAAATCTGCTTTTGGCCCATCTCCATTGGAAAAACATTTTGATGTAGCAATTAAGTTTCCAGGTGAAGTAGGAGGTGGTGATAGAGAACTACCCGAAGTAGTAACCGTTCCTATTGATTCCGCTGTGGATGGCCGACTGCACGCAGCCACGTGATTGAGAAAGTCCTACATATTGTGAATATGAAAAGATTGTCGTGATGGGATAGGAGTATATAGAGATGGACTTACTGTATCTGATAGTTCCGCGAATGTATTACTACAATTTGGACAAGTTGGCGTTGAGGAAAATGATGTAAAAGAACTAGATGAAGTTTCTTGAGACTCGGAAGAGCCAACTCCTTTCTCGATATTAGAAGTAGAATCTTGAGTCGCAATAGGGGGAACCTTGATTCGCGCCATATTGAAGAGGATTGGGAAGTTTTCTCTGTGAATTGATCAGAAAGAATATGAAACCAACACAGTTTGTTGTGCTGGCTTCAACTCCCAAATCAAAGAGATCGAGTTTTTGTCCACAAGGTCTCAGACGTAAGTTTTGCAGCTGTACATGCAACCGGAAGAAAATGTATACCAAAATGTTGAAGTGAAGAGGCACAAATTGAAAGAGGAAACTTATAAGAAGATTAGCAAAAGAGCTCAATGATCATTTACATGCTATTTTCAAGACATAAAGCTATTGTTGATAAAAAGTATTGTAGTCGGTCAGATTCTCATTTTGACTGCTTTAAAAAGGTTATTTCGATTCAATTTGGGGCTTCGGGTCATAAAATGTTAGATGGATGGCGGTGCTCGGTGTTTATAGACGCCTCAACTGTGGCTGGAGCCAATCACATATTGATACAAGGTTGCATTAGCCTCGCCCTATATTATGGATGTTTGGATGTTGGGACCTTTGATAATCGCCCTTTATCAACAACGACCAAAATAGAGCCAAGTGAGACAGATGAAAGTCAATATCATTTCTTTGCTACCATCTTTTACTCAACATACAACAAAACAGAATACTCTCGATAAATTATTGAATCATTGATATTGCTGGTCAATCAAAACCAAAACCATGGCTTCGAAGAAATCAAAACCAGCTCCAACCGATGATGAATTGAATGAACTCTTAGAAGGCATTGATGAAGTTAAAGTTATAGCACCTTCTTCCAAGGGAACTTCGAAATCACATAAAACAAAACAACCTTCTCAATCAGAACAGGATCTACTTGCAGAACTTGAAAACCTTGGAGCTCAGCAACCAAGTAGACCACATACACCACGAATTCAACAAGTGAAGCGTTCGAATACAGCAACCCCTCCTCCAGCTTCCCGCAGAAGTGAGGACAGATCAAGCGAGGAGAAACCTACTCTACCTCGAAAGTCTGTTGACAGTACTCGGTCATTTCATACTAGTTTCACCCCTTCAGCAACTAGTAGCGATCTTCAAGAAGCTGAAAAAAAAGCTCCAGTTGCTCAACCTGCTACTGAAACTGCATCAGCGGGTGGGGGATGGTCCTGGGGAAGCGTCTTTGCAACGGCAACAGCTACAGCTAGTGCAGCTGTTACTCAAGCTCAAGCTGCAGTCAAAGAAATTCAACAAAATGAGGAAGCAAAACGATGGGCGGAACAAGTTAAAGGAAACGTTGGGGTTCTTAGAGGTTTTGGTAAGATATTAATTTGATTCATTGGCAAGCGAGGGATATGCTAATCAAAGGTGAAGGTGGTGAGTTGAGATCAAGAGCTCTTCCGACCTTTACAAATATTCTACATACTCTCGCACCACCTATCTCATCCCACGAACGACTTCAAATTCACATCACCCATGATTTTATCGGTTATCCTTCTCTTGACCCTCTCATTTATTCTACATTTTCTCGTGTAATGGCTCAAGTTGAAGGAGGAGATCTACTTGTCATCCAACGTGGCCACGAATCAACAGCACGTCGCGCATCCGAAGCTGGCTATACTGGAGGTAACGCAGGATGGAGCGATGGACCATGGTGGCGCGTAGGAACTGATAATCGCGATATTGGCTCTGTAAAAGGACTAGTCGAAGGAACGAAACTCGTCCGCGTAAGCGCAGAAGCTTATTCGAAGGAGTATTTCGATGCCCATGGTGGACTAGAACTCGCGGCTCAGCGAGCCACCGAAGATCTTAGCGAGTCGAACCCAGTTCGAAGCAGCGATATTTTCATGGCCGTCCAAGCGATTACCCATGAAGCACCAATCGATTTGTTCCAAGGAGGTCCGGTAACAGAGACGGAAGGAGGTGTTGTTGACGATAAACCGAAACCTGATGAATTAATCTCCTTCGCTATTTACCTCCACGATCCAGTCCACACCATAACGTTCTCTACACTTACCCAAGCTATTCCCGCAAAGTGGATTGAATGGCTCGATGCTCCCGCTCCACTTACTCCTGTCTCCGCATCTTCACCATCAAGAGAAAAGTCCGGATTCTTCGGTGCAGAATCAGAGAGTGCGCACACAGGGTTACCGGAAGAGATTCAGCAAATTATAGAAAGTGGAGGAGTGGATCCGCGCGAATGGGTTGCAGAATGGGTGGAGGAGACGCTGAGTCTGGGAGTGGGGGTTGTAGCACAAAGATATGTGGCAAAGAGGATGGGAGTTGGTGAAGGTGGTATTGGAAAGGGAAAGGCTAGGGTGGAGGAGGTGCTTGGCGACGGAGGTGGGGAGGCAGCAAGAGCGGGGTTGATTTGATGGGATTTGGGAGAAGGGAAAGCGGTATTGGTGGTTCCCATGACTGTTCCAAGGCGTTTTATATCTTTCGTCATGTCATGGTGTATTAGTCAGTTTATGGATGTTTAGTTGTGTAGGCGCGTCAGGCAACCAATGCGTGCATCATTCTTCTTCTTTTTTGGGCCAAGGAAGGAATGGGCACAAGTTCTGGATTGTATGAGCGGGTGTGGTATTTTTCGTTGTTTTTGTCGTACTTGTTTCTGTGACTAATATACTTAGAATGAATGAATGAATGAATGAACGTCGTGGTATGTATACCCATTCATCTGCTCATCTCCTTAATCGTGAACATTCGATGCCATCTTCGATGTCTTTGATTTATATATCATATTTATTGTATATGGTAGGTGGATGTTCTGTAGGAATGAAAGTGGAAGTGAAAGTGAAAGTGAAAGCGAAAGCGGAAGTGGAAGTGAAACAAATTTAGATAGGTAAATAAAAGGAGGAGAAGAAGTAGGACATCAAGATGTCCAATTTTCCGAGCTACTTAGTAGGTAATTGGGGTAAATACAATGTTTTGGAGTTTTGGAGTTTTGGTGTGATGGATGGATGGTAGATGTGTAAGTGTGTGGGAGATTTGGGAAGAGGTTGAGAATGAGAAGGAGGTGGCTCTGGGATTCATGGGGAAGGAAGAAAGGGGAATGTAGGGGAGGGATGTGATGGGATTTATGAGGTTGGAAGGAAGGTAAGAATAGTAGAGTGATGCAGATGGTATTGTGGAGTAGGTTAGTAGGTTAGTAGGTTAGTAGGTTAGTATGGGGATGAGAAATGTCGAGGATTTCTTGCTTAGTGGGGGGTAAGAGGGTAGGGTAGGGACCAGTCTACCGGTCTGTAGCGAGCAGTTAAATAACCGTCTCTTTTGAGTTATAAGTTGATACATATTAATATAATAACGGGATAGACTAAGTCAAGATTATAGGAATTTGAGTGGAGGATGTCGGGCTGGGTTTGGGGTCATATGGTTTGGCAGTGCAGTAATATGAGTAGTTTGTATATATTTTGCTTATGCAGAGGACTAATCTGTCGTCTAATTCATTTTTGTTTTGTTTTACGGCCATTTTTCCTTGCCGGTTATGGGAAGGAATTCACCGGCGATTCCTGATCTGAAGGGGGACCGGGTATGAGGTGGTAGGTATGTGAAGAGGTGACTTGGTGACTGAATACTTGGATGTATATTGGGAGATCATGAGGTTTGATCATGTATGGAGAATTTAGGGAGAAAATAGGGTGATAAGTTACTCGAAGGGTGACGCAATGTATGTGTCTGTTCTGCTTTCTTAGCTTGGATGCACGAAATTTATTATTCTTCTCAGAGTGTATTTTGTGTATCATGGATTTAGTGGATTTAGTTTTAGTAGAAGGGTAATTTGGGTAGCTAGTAGCTAGTGATTAGTAGTTAGTAGAGCCGACGGAGGAGAAGATGTAGCAGAAAGTGAGTGGAACGGGGTTAAAGAACGGAGATGGAAACTTTGGGAGAGATTGTGACTGCGTTTGGAAATTGGGCTGTCAATGACTTGTGTGAATGGGTTTTTCATAGTAATAGCGATTTCAAAAAGGAAAAGGCACTTACTGTGGTATGAGTGTGTCGCTAAAAGAGATTATATTATTGGGAAAGATCAGCTCACTGGGGGGATAAGAAGACAGTATTAGAAAAGGATCTGTCGACCCACTCAGTGTCGTGCAAGGAGGAAAAGAGAGATGTTAGCGATAAAGGAGGTCCGGATGATGAACTTAGAGGTATATATACGGTACTTTACTGCTAATAATAGGTACTGCTAAGTGACACGGAGATGAATATCTTTAACTAGTAACTCGGGTATAACCATGTCCATTATAATAATGGGAGCTTAAAATTTAGCAATGGAGTAACTAGCGTTGGTATAGTTTGGGTACGAAAATACAGGGTACAAAGAACTGGGTAGTTAATGTAAGATATTGATAGGGTAGCTATAGGTTAGAACGAAAAGATCTTTCCTTACCTAAGTTAGGGCAGAAAAGTAGGGTTGGCTAGCGTTGTTACAATGAGATATCGTATTGAACTTTCTCCCGAAATGGAATGGGATGACAATGAAGGTGTGTGATATTGCATACCACTCTAGATGAATAACACTAGTCTCCTACGTAGTACCGTGACTGTCGGCATGTAATTTGGTCAATACATAGAGATAGAAAATAGCATTTTCAGGAAGAAGATAAAAATAGGTACACAATAAAGCCATACCAATACCTAAATTTCCTGATAGTGCGGAGAAGAGAAGAAGAAGGTAAAGACAACAGCGGAAAGAGCGATCAAATCTGCCAGAGAACGAAAAAGAAAGCTCTTTTCTTCTTTTCCTTTCTTAGTACTTACATGAATACTAAACCAAAGCCACAGAATTCCCACCACCAAAAAATTTCCACCTCCAAATAAGAAACCCCCTATCAAATCCTCACCCAAAATTTCCCATCCCGAGTACATGCCCCTAGCCTCAAATTCGTATACGTCCACAGCGCACAAGTATCCAAAATACCAGCCCCAAAAAAGCGCAAGTCTAAAACAAGTCCCAAACAAAACCAAAAAACAACGAGATCACCAGCAAGCTCAAACAGCATTCCACTCAACTGCCGACCCTAATGCACGACCGATCGATCTAGTCCCGGCAGATACAGATGATAGGATCAGCAGCTAATTAAGTCTCAGTTTTGCACTTGGGTCTTGACACTTATTTTTAGACTCAAGTCTAAAAATTAGCTAGACTTGAGTTTTGACGCCGTTTATGTATCGGGCGGGGCTAATTGGAATGATGTGAAGGCTAACCTAGCGAAGCGTAAAAAATAGTTGGATGGTTAGGTTAGGGGCTAGGATGAGGAGTTTTTGGCACTAGGTACTCGTATAGTGTCTTTTTTTTTTTCAATATTGTATCGGAAGATTTTTGTTTGGCTGTGGTTTTGTGAATTTGTGAATTTGATATTTTGTGGGGGCCGGTGGAAATATCGCATTGTTGGGTTGGTTAGGGTTGGTTAATATGTAAAGATGGATTTTTACTGTTGCTTTGTGTTTAGCTATTTTATGTTTTTTCTTTTCCTTTTCTTTTCCTTTCGTGTCCGTTCTCTCTGGTTTTGTAAACATCCCCTTAGTCCATTGATGACGCTGTCAATTTCAGATAAACTAAACACCCCTTTCCATTTTTCGCTTCAAAGCGCTCCTCAAAGCCTTCCGGTCGAATATTTCCAGGCCAGCTGATAAGTGAGGCCCAATATGTTCAAGCCCAATCCATATTAAACTCCCTGAAACTTTGGTACGTCGAATGTAATTGCGGCCAGGAGAACCTTAAAAGTAGAAAGTGTTTGTGCTATAGTTGAGTCCGTATGTAGAATCTCCTATATCATTTAACCAGCCACGTAATAAGCCTGAGAGTTCTCTTCTTTCTCGGCATGTGTTGAATTTCCCTTCCAGTCTTTCCTTCAATATGGCCGCTTTTATTCGCTTATTTCAATCTGGTAAGATGCACGGCTTGTAAGCGAGCGAGTGTATGAATAAGCTCTTTTGAAGAATCTAACTTTGGGCTGTTCTTGTTGTATATTCTGACCGAATAAACCAATTGAAAGTGTGCTGGATGGATGGAAAAGTCTTTTCTCCTTTTATCTGTATAGAGGAAGGATTGATTGGTCTTGACGGTTTGCTTCGAAATTGATGATAAGCTCGTTAATAGTCCGCATGCGCTGCGCGGTACTAGCTGGTATATCACCTCCAATACACTGTAGGCGTGTAGATAGGTAGATAGATAGGTGAAGGTTATCGGCGCTCTTCATTGTTTTTCCCTCTTCCAACGTGTAGTTTTCGCAAGCAATAGTGCAGCCATCGGTTGAATAGCCGACATATCTGCAAGTTACAACTTCGGCTCTTCTCCCTCTACTCCGTTCCCACGACGAGCTTTAAACAACGAGAAGCTCCAAGTTTGAACTCTCTGATCATTAGGATGTTTCCCAGTGTATATAGCATCGAAAAGCCATTATCCAAGTCCTGTCGTCTAATCCTCCGCGCCCGTCCTGAGATCCAGCATCTCATTAAGAATTTTGTTTCTTCTTAACGCCGGTATTGACATAGACATCGAAAGTCTTAGGCCATGATAGTAACACCATGCTGAAAGCATCTCGTTGAAATCTTTCTGGGCCTAGGAACACATCGATAGAAAGCCAATGGGTATATTGCCTTTCCATCTCTCTCCCTTTTCCGACAGCATGTAATCCAAGTGACAATGAGAAGAATATGAAAGAAAGAATAAGGGAGAAGAGAAATTTTCGAGGGAAATGTCCATGCCATTGTATATTCTCGGAAGATAAGCTCATGACAGATAGCACTTCATATGAGAATGTAAATCACGATCACCTCAAAAATCAATAGTTCTCATTATCTAGATTCCACCCTAAGAGACTTAGTTAATTGTCATCCTGTTCTTGTAGACTTACAATTGCGCCTAAAACAACTTTTATTAGGCCAAACATAACAGGTTTTCCAATTTAAACAGGCATGAAAGTCAAACACAAGTGTTAGGGAATAAATCGGAATATATTGACGTTAAACTGTCGATCCATTCAAACCGTTATCTGTACATGAGAGAAACGTTCTTTCGCATTCGAAAATGACAAGTATCTTCTTACAACTTTTGGCGACCGTTTAAAAACGAAAACGTTGGACTAGCAGAAACTTTATACTAATTACATAAATAGGAGCAATTGTAGTAGCTTCTGCAAGCGAAGATTCCCCACTTCGTTCACTCTAACCTACACTTCGTCTTCTCTTGTAGATAGCGCGACGAACTAATCACTAGCTTCATGCTAATAGATTTACCTTCAGGAACTCTAGACTCTTATTTCCATAGCCAGCCTTTCCTTATCAGGCATACCGAGGGCGTGGGGGTGGATTTGGGGAGACTGAAATTTCGTTGATAACCAAGCGGACAAGTATATCTACTACTTTCAATACTTTTCAATACATGCTATCTGACTATGTTACCATTTTGAATTTGATCTCGTGCTACCAATACCTCACTTCTTTGGTCGCAGAGCAGACACTACTAGCACTGTCATGACTTCACTATCTATTATCGTGAAGTGGCTTGAGGTATCTCTGAAATCTTAACGAGTCAATCCCAAAGACAATGGCATATTTTACTCCACCCAGTTTTATTATATAAAGGAGAGCATCCTCACTCACATTATGTCTTCACTTCACTATCTCTTCAATCAGAGTAGAGGAATCCGAAGCTCCTCTATTCATTAAATCTCTTTCTTCAATATCGAAACACAGGAATTCAAAGCTTTCTATTCATTAATCTCTTTTCTTCGATATCAAAACACAGAAATCCAAAGGTCTCTATTCATCAAATCTTTTTCTTCAGTACCAAAGCACAGGAATTCGGAGCTCTCTATTCATTGATGTCTTTCTCCACGAGTTCAAGCTGCCACCATACACCTATTTAAGACATCGATGCCCAAACCTGACCAGCCAAAGTGCCTTGACAGACTGATGTTTCTTTGATGTCTTCCAAATTCATCGAAGCTCTTCTATCAACCCAAAAATATTATTATCAACGAGGAACCCAACTAACATCCCTACCTGGTGAGGAGTTCCATGCTGCATTCATAGAGATCCCATGCTTACCTAGTTATGCGAAACACAGGAGGCGTAGGATATCAAGAAACGTTGATCGACAATATCGGCGATCACACATAAACGCGACATCGCAGAATTTGGTGCATAGCAGAGGGGACTATGACCAGAAAATTTCAGGTAGGTTCATATAAAAATATTTTCTTCAACCCTCTCGTCGCCATCCTAATTTGCTTCGTAGTTCATGTTCTGATTTGCACTGTGTCCTTTTAAGTTTTTGCGAAGTTTGCGAAGTTTGCGATACGTTCTAGCTTTTATACGCATATGATATGCCTGGGGATGTAGGCATCACAAAGAGCAGAGACAAGCTCGTTCGGAATTGTGACTAGCGAGTGCTAGAAGAGGATGATGCCAAGGGAGACACGAGGGTAAAATGAACATCGAATTTATGTCAAGGGTCGAGACTCAAGGGTCATGTCCTACGTCATCATGCGATTATCGCTGGCAGACCTTGAGGAGTTGAGAAGTTTGAGAGTCAAGAGTCAGGAGTCAGTCAGCTAAGCAGCTGAGGCTAAGCTGCCAGGCATGAATGACGTCGTTAGTGTGAGATTCCCCTAACCTTATCGGGATACCGTAACTCCCGTCGACACAAATGCAGCTGCTAACCTTTTAGAGTCTAGTGGTATCTCTATTTGTGCGTGCGAAAACTTGGATTGGCATCAATTGGAATTGCCCAACTGGAGATATTTTATATTTTTAACTCCAGATACGGCATCAATGAAAAGTAAAAAGTAAAAAGTAAAAAGTAAGCAATGCTTGTTACCAATGCTAATTATGTTTATTTGTTGAATTGTTGAATTGTTGAATTCGCGAATTTATGGTTTTATTCGTTTTCCTTATAGGTATTCTTCTTCCGCATCATTCAATTCGATGCAATGCAATCCAATGCAATGCAATCCGTTCCAATCCATTCTTGAATTTAAATTGCATTTCCTACTTTTATCCTGCCAATTTATTCGGCCTATCACGTACCTCGTTTCAGCTCAGACCCGGTAGGAAACAAAGAAAAAACCATCGTCATATACCTACCTAAGCACCACCTCCTTGTCGTCATCAGTCCCTAGAGTCACTAGGCACTAAATTTGAGAGGATTCATTCGTCTGGATATTTGAGTTTGCTGGATAAGTAAATAAAAGTATTGATGAAGGATACGTATTGATATCAGAATTGATAATCAGCCTTTCTGCACAACTTATACGACCACGGCCTACTACATTTACCTACCTTCTACCTTTTGCATCCTTTAATAAGCAATCGAGTTTTAAGTTTACAACTTTTTATCGCCCAAATTCATTGTATTTGTACTGTGTTGCGTTGCGTGGCGTTACATTACATTACATTACATTACATTACATTACATTACATTACATGATATTACCTTACCTGACATTACCCATTACCTACCTACCTACCTACCTACCTCCCTACCTACCTACTTTCACAAGATTCTACACATAACCTTAAACACAATCTTTTTCCTAAGACTTTAAACATCCACTCAAAAACTTCCGACCCCTGCTTATCCCTCCTACTTTCTCCCCTCCCTTCTTGTCTCACTGGAAATTTTAATCCATTCTACACCTTCCTTCACCCAAATCTCAGAATTCCAGAAATCCTGAGATTTTAGATTTGCTCATCAAATTTTCCGAGATATTTACTAAAATGTCTTCCATTTCGCAGGCTATTAAAAACGCCCTCCATCGTGGTACGTTTTCAGAGTCGACTACGAACCCAAAATTACCAACAACGCACTTGCTGCCTCTGTGCTTCTTTCACTTTTTTTTTTCACAGTCAAAACTTTAAATACTGATCATGAATTTAGGCAAGGGAGGTGCGAAGGCCAATGAAGACAACACCAAGAAAGCTTCGCCTGCTGCCCCAACAGTCGCTCAACATCATGCTGCCAGATCAGATCCGAACGTAATGGCCCATCAAGCAAATCAAGTACCTGGAGGAGATGCATCCTCAGCTGCGAATGAGGACAATAGAAATAGAGGGGCAGCAGGACAACAGCAAACCAGAGGACCCAATACAGAAGAATTGGCAAGACTAGTGGCAGCAGAAAATGAGAACAAAAACAAATTACCAAGATACCCGGGGCTCGAGCGATGGCAACTCGTTGAGAAAATGGGTGATGGAGCATTCAGCAATGTCTACAAGGCCGTCGACTTGGAAGGGAGAGCTGGAAAGGTGGCAATCAAAGTTGTCCGAAAATTTGAGATGAACTCTAATCAGGTAAGTACCTATGAGACCTTTCATTTTCTTTTTGCTCTTTATGCTTTCTTGAACCGTGCCAACAATGAGTGGTAGGGCGATGCTCATCTTCATCCAAACTTCAACAAGAAGCAACCCAAGGGCGTGGAGGTGCGAAAACATTTTTCATCTATTCTTATAAAAAAACATTCCACGCGGTATCGATCATAACTAACTCGACGTGATTTTGGCAGAGGGCAAATATTCTCAAGGAAGTTCAAATCATGCGAGGTTTAGATCATCCTAATATCATCAAACTCATCGAATTTTCCGAATCCAGACAATACTACTATCTTGTGTTGGAGTTGGCACCGGGTGGAGAATTATTCCATCAAATTGTTCGACTCACTTATTTCAGTGAGAAATTATCAAGACACGTTATTACTCAAGTTGCCGAAGCATTACTTTACCTTCACGAAACCCAGGGTGTTGTCCACAGGTGAAGAATTTCCCCCTCCCTTCCCTTCTTCCCCCACCCCACTTTTGTTCTTTATTATTTGGTAAGCAGCAACACTGACGTCATTTCACAGAGACATCAAGCCGGAAAACATTTTATTCGACCCAATACCATTTATTCCAACCAGAAATCCAAAGCCAAGATCCGCTGAAGATGAGGATAAGGTTGATGAGGGTGAATTCACCATAGGTGTGGGATCCGGTGGCATTGGAAGAATCAAGATTGCCGATTTTGGTCTGAGTAAGGTCGTATGGGATAGTCAAACCATGACCCCGTGTGGTACCGTCGGGTATACCGCTCCAGAAATTGTCAGGGATGAACGATATTCGAAAAGTGTCGACATGTGGGCATTAGGTTGCGTTCTTTATACCTTGCTCTGCGGGTTCCCACCATTTTATGACGAAAGTATTCAACTCTTGACTGAAAAGGTTGCCACAGGTCAATACACATTTCTCTCCCCATGGTGGGATGACATCTCGAAGTCTGCGCAGGACCTTGTCTCGCATTTATTAACTGTGGATCCCAAGAAGAGATATACAATTGAACAATTCCTCCAACATCCGTGGATTCGAGGTACCGATCAACCTACTTACGCGGCGCTCGACGCTCCGCCATTTGCTACTCCATCTGTCGAACGTCAACTCAACTTTGGTGGTGGCTTACGAGCCTTCAACCCCGATCTTTTGGAGTCCCCTGGTGCTGGCAAACGTATGGATTTCCGAAGTCCTGGTGCTGTCAACTTACGTGAGGTATTCGACGTGGGCTATGCTGTTCACAGACAAGAAGAGGAAGCCAAGCGCAAGAAGAATTTCAAGCACGGTTACAGAGGAGGGTCTGCTGCCATGAACCCTCTCAACCCTATCGATGACGACGAAGACTTTGATGAGAGCGACGAAGGTGACTACGAGGATAACGGAGCATCTTCCAAGGTGCCAAAATCAGGGCAATCAGATGTTGCACAAGTCGGCGAGACGTTGCGAAATACGAAATTGAACTCAAAGTCCGCTCTTCCGGCTAAGGGATATGGTCAGCATAGTCCTACGGTGACAGCAGCTGCAAAGCAACAGGTTAGAAATAAAAGTGGCCCTTTCGAACTCAACCTCGATGGAGCAACTCTACTTGGACGTCGCCACAAACAGGTACCGCCCAGTAGTCTGAGGGAATCAACGGTCGTGCAATAGTCACGGCCTTGGGAATGGTGGAATCTACTTGCTTGTTTTCAATTTTTATTCTCGTGGATCCGGGTCTAAGGCACTATTTAACTCCGATCACGTTTCAAGTGGCAATATTGATATCGTTTCACAACTTTGCTTTCATTGCAACGTATTTGAGAGTCCGGCGGTAGCTAGTGGCCATCATTTTCTTACTCGTCTACTTCCGGCGCGAACTTGCTTGTCGAACAACATCGAATTTGGGTTGACCAAGCAAGACCATCCGAGAGCGACGCCACATTACATACAATTCATCATACGGGACGGTTTATTTGTGTTTCTCATTCGTTGGTTCACATTGGCGTCTGGAGATGGAAATAAATTTCCGGGTTATATAATGCGGTGACGACTGATGGTAATCAATGGGCTCTTATCGTAATTTGGTTTCTTTTCTTTTCATGGGAGTGCTTCATTTGAAGGCACTATGTTTACTGACCACACGAGGCTACGATCAAGGAAAGTGCTGGCTGCAGCAGTACTATCCTAATGTTTTTAGATCCTTATTATTTCATTCTCTTCTTTAGGTTCGGGCTTTATGCATTCAGAAATTTTTTTATGCGTTTGGGGTTGGTTTGGAAGGCAGATAAATGATGGTGGGTTAGTAAATAGATTAAAGATCAATGGAGTTTTAGTACATATTTATTTTTTGTTTTTTCTGTTATGGTAAGTGATGTGTATGTGATTTAAGTGATTAATTAAAAAATGGGGTTAAGTTTACGATATCAAGTGGTTAGAGTATGTACTTTAGAGTATGTAAGATTACTTTAGCTCCTGACTAAAGGAGAATCTTTTTAGAGTTCGAGTTAAATGATGGGAGTGGGAGTGGGAATAATAATTGTGTCGTACAAGAGCCTCATAAGAGCTGAATAAACAGGGTCAATTATATTCCTTAGAATCTACAACTGAAAACTATGGCTCGTAAGGAGCATCCATATATATATAAGAATTCTGGAATCTACTCACCGCACACCATTCAAATTCGTGACAAAATCCCTGCAAAAATCAAATTTTCCTATATAAAATAAAATATCGAATAACTTTTTCAATGTTGAATTAAATCAAATCAAATTTTCAAATATTATAATTAACTACAAAAGGATATCGAAAAAATTTATAATTTATTTTTAATTATTTTTGTTCTAAAGTTATATCTATTTAAATTTAAAAAATATTAAAATTTCATTCGTGTAACGCTTTTTTGAACTTTTCCTCATATAAAATAAACGATTTTTTAAACTTTTGGTTTTTCAATCTTAAATATATATAACTTTGAAAAAAAATAATAATAAATATTTCGTTAAATATTTATTATATTTCAATCAATTATCTATATAAATATCAATTTTCATATATTTATTTTATTATTTTATAAAGATAACAGGGTTTAAAAGTTGAAAAATCATTGATTTTGGTGTGATTTCGCTTAGTGTGCGGTGAGTAGATTCCAGAACTCTTACAAAATACCTATACGGTAGTTGTACCGTTGTGCACATCGGTTATTAAGGTAACCATAATCCCATACTAAAAAGGGTAAATCGAAACCCAAGTGTACAGACGATCAGCTCACCGATAGGAATTGTCGATCAATTATAATCACGTGATCGTCCTTATACGAGGTCCGTGACAATAATCGGAAACAATTTTTCATAACAAGATTAATTTTAATTATAATCAATTAATTAAATTAATATAAAAAGAATAATCTTTATAAGTGAAGTAATTTATTTATATTTATATATTTAAATAATTAAAAAAAATAATAATAAATATATATATATATATATATATTGAAGTATTATATAAAGTATTAAAATTTTTGAAGTAAAAAAAATAAAATTTATTATTTATATTATATTATTCTAAATGATTCATAATATAATATAAAAAACTTCATTTAAATAACTCTTATATTAGAGATAACTAACTCAATTAACAAATTAAACACCTTTAATACATTATGAAGTTTTGACTTAACTGGTGTGTTTAATTAGTCATGTCCTTTGCTGCTGATTGCGGAGTAAAGTAAAACATCCCGGAGGTTGATGTCACGTTTCCGAGGCTCGGTGTGGCCAGTACCTAGCATTACAATTAGTATAGTACGGAAGTACTAGGTGAGAGAAAAGTGGATTATCCACTGTACTAAACTATATCCCTAAGGGTATGAAAACTCATTCATTTATTAACTATATACCCTTTGCGTACTAGCCACTGTTTCTGTGAGCACAACTATAAAAAAACTATCACTTGAGTGCTGAGTAAATGTTTTATATCCAAACTATCTCTTGTGACTATACAGAATATACACATGATATTTTACACTGATCCCTAATCCATCCTAATCATTTCTGTAAAAGCAAATCATGTGATGAGTGATCAAGCGAAGAGTTTTCTTCCTCTGCTATGAGCGAGCCGAGTTATCACTAGCAATAAAGCTACCCATAGATAATAAAGCTAAATATTTCAAGAAGCATCATTAAAGCTTTGATAATTCGACAGTCTGAAGCCGGTAGTTTGACGCCAATAGAGTCATGGACCTTGAGGGATACGGGATCTACATTCCCTTATGATTACTATTGGCTTGGCTTGACTTAGATCAATCAAATAACCTTAAGAATCTAACTGAAGAAAACACTGTGTTGTTGAGCGTTATAACTTCAATCTAGATGGATTGTGCGTCAACTTTAGATTCCGCACTATATTACTTACTAATCGGACTAACACCTAGTCGAACTTAAAACTTCTACACGAGTACGTTTTAGTTTTAAAGTCTACCATAGAAGAAACAAGGTTGGAGTTGTATAAGTAGTCATTGGTCAGCATTTGACTCAAAGGTAAATACCAAGACATCTATCTATCTGTTGCATGCCGTTGAACCGTAGGTCCATACTAATATGCTTAGAACACTTTATGAGAACAATAATGTCATCAGCCTCAAGTAATACAAGAGATACGAGACGGATCCAAATATAATCGAACATTGAATCTGCTATGAAGATTGAAAATACCCCTGTTTATGGATGAGCTTTATTCGACTAAATATAACCTTTCCCGGAGAATTCGTGGGAACTAGCTATAGTTTCGTTTCGCCGCTTACATTAAAAATAGACCACTGAGTCTTGATTAAGTTTGTACTAGGTTATATGGGGTAAGAGTGTATGTTTTTCTCTCTAGTAAATATTCGACTTAACTACATTGGGAAACTATCAACAGTTAAAGGCTGTAGTATATAAATTTGTTTATCGCTTTACACCTTCCTCTTGTTCTATGTGATGGCTCAATGGTTAGGACTTCTCACTATTTTTTTAATGTGACAAATGATTTTCCCCTCGAACATCAAGCTGTAAACACAACTACCCTGCGTGTACTAAACTGGCGGGCCGATGATCCAAAAATCTCGACTTATCCTTCAAGACGTTGCATTTGAACGTTACTGGGCATGTATCACACCACTGAGAAATTGTCATGTCAAAACGATGATCGATATTGGTGTAGGGACTGGCCCATCAAAAGCTCTTTCTAAAATCCAGGCTCTAGTTTTAGGGACGATTGTGCTCGATAATGACACTGTCATTATTTATCAGTTCTAGATTTCTTGGATTTGAGTGCCGGTGGCCATAAGCACCACATAATTCACGTCATATACCGCTACCGGAATCGGGATAATTATGCTCCTAGTTTGGAAATCGCTATATAATCATACGAGTCAAGATGGAATTTTCGGACATCTGCAACTTCTCGATACACTTAAATATCCGGTAGATGATGAGTTAAGGCGTGGTATACGTCACATTTGCAAAATCTACTTGAACTCAAGATCATGAATCATTAGAACACTTGAACTATCAAGATCTGGATCTTTTCAATGCCCCCTAACATTTGGAATCACGTTGAGTTGGTACTTGGCTGACATCAGGTATGATGCACGATGATGCTATGAGGGGGAAATCAACGTAGATCGATTACTGACTTCAGAGTTCAAACTATTGAAATAAGCACCAAAATACAGCTGGTAGAAAGGCGGAGAATGGTAGGGGGTTTAGTATCTACTTCATGGCGTTACACATTCATAATGTCATCATCTCAATGTTGGACCGCAGATGAGGATTCATGGACGTCAAGATTCATCCAAGCCATCGAAGTTCATGTGCTTGTCAATTTCTGTCTCACATGGCCCTAAGCCACAGCAATACATTCGATCTCGATTGGAACACCCTTTGGCAATTGGTATACTGCAACGCAACCTGCAGAAACTTCATTAGCATATTTCATCTTCTGCAAACGTCATTCAACCCCATCTCCATCACCACCCATCTGCCTCTCCCCTCTTCATGAAAAGGGTATATCAACTCACTTCTGGCAGGCTTGTGCTTGAAAAGCTTCTCATAAACTCCATTCATCTCCGCAAAGTTATCCATAGTTGTCAAGAAGACATTGACCTTTACGACCTTCTCAATGCTGCTTCCAGCTTCCTTGAGAACGGCAGATAAGTTCTTGACGCAGAGCTCAGTCATGGCAGAGATGCTTGAAGTCTCGAGCGTGAGGATCTCGCCTTCGGGTGTGCATGGAATTTCTGTAGGAGAAGAGTCAGCATAGAATCTGGGGTAGGAAGGGGAATTGAGGCTCAAGAGAAGAAGGGATCTTGAACTTACGTCCGGAGCAATAAACAGTAGATGAAGTCTTGATGGCCTGGGAGTAAGGTCCCGCAGCTATAGAGTCGTTAGAAGTGACACGTAGGAAAGGTGAAGTTCCTCGAATTAATCAATATCCACGAGAATGAGAAGAGGCTTACGGAAAGCAGCATCCTTGCTGTAAACTGTAGTGAGGTCTGACATTTTGATAATTGATTGATATGATTCGGAAAACGGTCTCGAGATTGATTCTTGAAGATTTCAGTGTATGAAAATATAATTTATAGTAATTTATTTGCGAGAATCGGAAGGGTGAAGCTTTGTCGACGAGAAGGTGGGGTTGAAGCTTCAATTGGGGAGGGGCACGGTAATGCCTGCACGGCGCACGCCTTGCCCAAGACACGGTCTAACCGTATTTGGAACAGCCCGATTTCATCAACGAAAGCCAGCTTCAACGACATGTTAAGAACTAAACTGTGATATCTCTACGAAAAATGCGCAGGACTTGTCTTACTTCGAAAGGATGTTTGGGAGGTTGATATAATGAGCGAATACCCGGTCGGGCGAGTGAAAGAAACGTTGCCGTCTACAATATCGTCTGAAAGGTGGATGTGAAGCTGGATGTACTGCCCGTTCGGCGCATTCTGACACCTGCGAAAATGTCAAATGCGATGCCAATATTTGTTCGCAGATGGATTATCGACCGTTCGAACACGACTCCCGGAATAAACCAAATACAACCAAAGGGATGAAGATTAAATAGTTACCATGAACGAAGGATGGCTTTGAAACTGTCCTATTCGCTTCACTGGATCGTATCGTTGCATTCTATCCTTCGCATATTCAATGATGGCTTTGTTGTACAAGACTGTGCCGGTATTCGAATTTCACTGGGAGAAAGAATCACTTTTCAACATTCACGAAGTAAGGCTAGGGAATTATGCTGCTGCAAGGAAGATGAAGTTGTTTTCAAGATAGATAAAATAATATCACGCATACGAGCCACACCATGCACGATCCCGAAGCAAACCCGCTCTTAAGAAATATCCGATTGTTTGGACAACGAAGCTAGAAATAAAATGATGTTTCAGTCGTCCAACACACGAGTTCAATAATCATATTCCAGGAACACGGTTGCCTATTCTCGAAAATCAGTAACGACATCGGTGTCGGACCGGGGTATCTACCTCCTCAAAATTGTATCCATACGCTTCTAAGGCATTGATGGCAACGTTTCGAGGGTACCCTAAGCCCATTAAGTTGCATGTGTGAGAATCCTCTCTGGGCACGACAATAAGGCCTAGCCCTTGCTCTCTTACTACTGGTCTCCTATCTCTTATGTAGGCAGTTGCGGCCTGATCTACGCGAGTCAGCTCTTGATAGTCTCGTCCGAGGAAATATCTCACATTGATTTTCCATCTTCGAAGAAGCCAATACCTCTCTCCTGCTCTCAACATCACGCCCTAACATCCCAGCCTCATAGCATCTGAGACAGTCACAGAAATTGAGGGGATAATCTCGAGGATTCTCAAGATCGGGTGTAGGCAATCGCGCAGGGCGGGGTGTTGCTGGTGGACCTCGGTTCATTGGAGGGCTCGGGACGCGAGGAATGTATTGAGCTGCAGTATTGGGTGCAAGAAGCTTAAATTGACGACCTTGGGATGAAGTACTATTCTCGATCTCAACTTTCATTCTGCTACGTCGTTCACTTGGTTTCTCTCGGATCGCGCGATGGGGTGATTTAATTTGGGTCGAGCCGAGGGCGGTGCGGGACGAACCTGCCTTATTCAGTTCCGACGATGAAAGAAATCGGTTTCTCTTCGAATTACTGGTAATATTGAAGGCGGTGGCATCTTTCTTCTGTTTTTCATTATTCGTTTTCGTCTTGAATTCATTGTTTTCGTTGTCAATAGCTCTAGGAGCGAAGTGAACAAATTTCTGTCCGGGAACAGGTGACCTTCGATCATTGTCGGTGGCATTGGTCAAGATAGATTTTGGTCCTCGTTGAAGGGAATTCATCTTGGTTTCGAATGGTGCCATTGTGGTATTGAAGTAATAATACGTTGGTGAGTGACTTGTGCCAGGTGAAGCGTTTCCTGACATTTTGGCGTGTGGATTGAATTTATAATGATAACAAGGGTGGTAACTTGATGTTTGGGATGGTTTGCTTGATGAATCACTCAACAGGTGATGAGCTGTTGATGGATTGTGTTGATTCTGCTGTCCTTTTGATGAACATGGACAGAATCATCAAGCGATGATCAAGCAGAACGAGGGTACCAAGTGTTACACACGTGATTATGTTCCTAGAAGGTTGTTTGGATGTCCGAAGTATGTGGAATCAATCTGTTGATGATTGCGGGATGGAATTTGATGGAAAGAAAGTAAGTGAAGGAGTGTAAAAGAAAGTGGGTTAGATGAGGGGGAGGTGCGGGCTTTTATGGGTGCTGGGTCGAAAATTATGCTGGAAGCTGATTGGCGAGATGCCCCCTGTGACACATGCAGGAAGATTTCCTCGACTGCACCCGACTAGGGCCTTTCTAGTACTCTCCACAGAAAGTAGAAACCAGCAAGCTATATTCCATGGGTCTGCAAGTCTCATGAAAAGACCCGTAAGATTCTACAGGACTTATTTCCAGAAGCTTGAAGTCGGCCGTGCACAGTCAAGGTGCTCTTGAGTTGTTGGAAATTAAACCACTACCTATCAGATAGCAAGTGCTCCTATAGACAAAATTTCAATTAACCAACACTTGTATTTTCAAACTCAAATGGAAACCATCCGCACAATTTATATTAGCTTCTTCCTCATCCCTCTTAAAATGGCTGTATGAAGGGGCTATATTGCCAACGTACCATCTGTTTCATTCACCTATGATGTAGTTTAATCATACATCGCCCGATTAATTCGAAAGGATTGACCGAACAAATTTTGAGTTGGACTGCTTGATAAGGACACTGAGGGGTATCAAGTGATCAACTCCGAAGTGTATCAAGTGGTAGTTAATCGGTCCTGTAGTACTTTCCTGATTCGCGTGCCTTGCTTGTTTGATACAATGATGTTTATATGGCGACCAGATGTTCAAGAGAATGAGTTTGAGAATTATTGTTTAATTTTTGAACTAGAACAGGACTCTTTAAATGTTTATTGTGTTGGCCCAGAGGTCTCGAGAGGCCTCTTGGGGAAAAACCTAAGCTATTGCTGATTGGTCGATGTTACGAGGGTTGCCGTCTAGATCACGTGGAAGTGTTCTAGGCTCTCGAGATGGTTTATAACTAGGCGTCAAGCAGGGACTTAAGGAACATAATAATGATTGCAATTCGTAACTAATGGTAGATTATACTAAATGATTGATCTTGAGCACGAAGCTCTACAATAAGGAAATCCATCTTCATTATATAGACCTTCGTACTATATGTCCCACTGCTTCTTGTTGTCCCATCGTCGTGGGAATATTTCCCACTGAGGTGGGAAAGCTCTCCTAGGTGGGATTCTTTAATCAAGTGACCAACTTCAGCATGTGATTAGTCATGTGACGCGGTAGTCAGTCCGACCTGATGTCCGTCGTTGCACCGTATTCTAAATATTAAAAATGTTTGTTGTCCCATAACCACATGATATCTACCATAATTCCAATCACCCATGACTAAGAACTAGCACTCTTTCACTGTTATTCAGCAATATCAGTTAGAATTCATGGTTTTGTTTTGATTTTTTAGGCAGCATTTCTTAATTAGTCATGGGTAAGACATTGTGATTGCGGCGGTCTCGCTTATATAAGTAATGTGTAAGCATAGCGACAGTCTGCTTTGCAAGAGCACCTGGGGGGTTTTTATCCCTTTCGATATTCGAGCAATTCGTCAGGCATTTAGTTAATAAGTAAATTTTGTGGTTTGAAGGATCTGCATTTATTTCATTTGGCCGCTGTATAAATTAGATATGTCGTTGAGTCTAGCTAGCTATAAATAATTCAAATTCCATCGAATGTTACACAAGAAAAATTCCACACCACCAATATCATCTATGGATTTACCCAAACTGTCTGCGATCCCTGCGTCTCCATACCGTTGTCCTCTCACTCCCTACTTCCCGACGGCAACTTAATTCCCATCTGCAAATTCTCCATCACCTCCTTCGCACTTTCAATCCCACCATCTAAATACACAGCCCCAATAACAGCCTTAACTGCCCTGCTGATAGCACGCGTACTATCTTCGCGCGTGTCTTCTTTGACAAGCTCTATGATGTTACGAAAAGATATCGGAACGTAAGGCTGAGGACGAATACATGATGCTATGGTAGGATAAGCATTAAGAGAATGACGAGAAAGAACACGATTGGTTATTTGAGCCGCTTGTGCTATTTCAAACGAGAATAATTATTAGTATATTCCCGACAAAATCTCCATTTTATACATCCTCACACATAAACAAGAACATGGAATAGGAGAACAAGAGGAAGAAAAGTACATACCATCAGGAATACTAAACAAATAATACTGCTCCCTCAATGCTAACCGCATAACCATCTCTCCCAATTTCGCCATCCCTGCATTTCCATCCATGCATATCCGTCTTGTTTTCCCTACACATGTGACACCGTTCTTGGGCGTCTCGAGCGCTTCTTCGAGGATATCGGGGTTGGTGAAGGGGTAGGAGAGATAGGATTGCAGGATTGGTAGCCAGTTTTTTGAAATGGCCGGGTTGATGTGGGTTATGCCGCGGGAGGGGAGGCGGATCATGCGGGTTGTTTTTGGTTGGTTGGGGGAGGTGCTCGAGGGGATGAGGGAGGGGGAAGTTTTGCTGAGGAGTGGATCGTGGGATTTGTAGGATGGGGTTGGGGAGGGAGGGGCTCGGGAGGCTTTTAGCTTTGTGTGGGAGTTTATGGGAAAGTTGGGGCTGGGATTAGACAGAGATGCTGTGGAGTAATTCGAGCTGCTGGTGCTACGAGGCGAGGGGCTATTAATGCTGACTTGAGAATGGTGGAGGCGAAGCAAAGTATCTTCTTGATCGACATTTTCAAAGGGATTAGTTACTCCCGTATTCTCTTCATAGTCTTCCCATTCTTCGGGTGTGAGAAATCTGTTGTTAAGGGCTTTTTCCATGGTATTGTAAAGGGGTTGGAAATCTTTCGATTGTGGTATTTGAGTGCGGTACTTTGTGTTTGTTTCAGGTATGTTGGGTGCTGATAGAGGGAAGATTTTGCGAATTTTTTAGTAATGTTAAAGATGAGCTTGAGGTCTTTTACTGGTGGAGGATGCACTATATATGTGCCATTTATATTTTTTGGTAGGTGCTAGGCCATTTCGCTCTATTTGTTATTCAGGGGATCGTTAGAATCTCAAAATACACATTCAGGTAACCGAAGGGTGGAAGTGAATCATGAATGAAATGAGCACTTCCAATTATTTATATAATCACATATACGTAAACTAGCACATCAAAAGAAGAGATTCAGAGAATTAAAAAAGTTATCTAGTTTTATAGGAAACAAAGAGGAGAATTTATAAATTGTGATTGTCATTGCGAAACTAGGGAGTTGAATAATTTGATCCCTCTCTCCCCTTCTCTACCCCTCTCTCCCCCTCCCCATCACCCCTTTTCCCATCAATATCCTCAAACATCCCCAAGCATCCCCAACATCCCCAACATCCCCAACATCCCCTTCCCCTCTCCTCTCCTCTCCTCTCCTCCACCAAACCCTAAACACTCCTAAATAATCACAAAGCTAAAACCAAAATCTAAACCAAAACACAATACACCGTAAAAAACTACTCACGTATTTACTCTAAATAGACCATTCATAATCTTACAATCTACAATCTTACAATCTTACAATCTACAATCTTACAATCTACAATCTTACAATCTACAATCTTACAATAGCAAGGAAATCTTATCTATATATTCAGAATAGGGGCTCTGTAATTATGTATCTATACATCTATACATCTATACATCTATCTATCTATCTATCTATCTGCACAAGATATTGAACCCAATCCATTAGTAAGATCTTGCAGAATTTATCCAAATATCCTGATTCGAGTTCGATGTTTGGTACTGGAGTAAAGGGCAATTTGGAGTTCTTTATTTTGGAGGGAGCTGTCTGTTGGGAAGCATCTGTTAGGATTGAATCCGGGGAGTAATTAACACCCCTCTGATGCAGAATCAAGGTTCTATTACCCTTTCGATTTCGTGCTCGTTGGTAGGAACTATCATTTTATTAATGGGAATATTTGATGATACAACAACAAAGGGTGTGAGATTAGATTATATGTTGGATATCGCTTGAATGTAACATGAGTTGCTTTTGATAGAAGTTAAATATACCTATGTACAAATGTCATTTGCCACCACCAGAACCATCGATATCGTAAAACTCAAGCTCTGCTTGAGAATTAAAAATTTATTCCGTAAGATACAACAGCTTGATTGTAATTTTCGACATGGAAACCCGACGACAGTAGCGAAGAATCCGCTGACTCGTCCCTCACATCATCGTGACCCAATAGCAAATCTCAATCAAGCGATATATAATCCATAACCACTCATCCCATTCAATCAATCAATCCCATCTCTCATATCCCCAATCGTCAATGGCCTAATAATTCCCCCTGTACCGACTCGAAGTCATTTCTCCCGCATTCGCTAACTCCGTTGTCTCCTTTGTAGGAACGCCCCCGGGATAATTATTTCCCTTTCTACTCTGGGGCACCGTGCTCGCATCTGCAGCTTCTGGTTCTGCGGCATATTTCTTTAATTCTGCTAGTGAGACCACGTCTCTGTTTTTCGTTAGTTTGTTTTCGTTCGATTCTGTTCTTTCTTTTGGCATTTGTTGACCCATCCCCTCCATCCATTTTCGTTTGCCATAAAGATCAACCCCAGAGGGGGAGTCTAAAGGAGGAAGGGGAAGTATATATATCGGCTTGGTTCGAAGTAAGGGACAAATACAAATAAGGAAACTGACAAAGCTTTCTCATGCGTAGCATGTAAATGCACCTTTGGTACTAAATCCTTCTCACTTGAATCCTCTGCAGCTTCCATTGCTTCTTTCCAGCGACTAGCACATAGACACCATTTCTTTCCTCCAGTGAGACCAATAGTGCGAAGATTATTACCACGAGAGGCGGAGAAATCGAGGAAGCTGTCTGTTAAAGTTGCTTTGAGAAGCGTTAATTAGAATACTTGTATGAAGGTAATTGGGGAAAGGAGAAATACCAGCAATAGAATGATTTCCCGTATCCTCTGGTCCAACATCACACTTTCCATTCCTATAAAAACCCGTTCCTTTGGCGAATTGACCCAGGGGTTTGTGCATTACTGTTTTCCATGTCAGGGATTAATTTTGACCCTTCTTTCCTTGTGTCCCTATCATCTAAATGCGTATTCCACATACCATTAAGAGATTTATGAGCTTTGCCAAAGCTGTCTGATTGACCTTCATTTGCCATTTTGACTATTGTGGTAGAGTATAAATTAAATGATCTTAGATTGAGACAACCTGAAGTTCGAAAGATTTGCGAACGAGGTATTGATAGAGAATTCATAGGAGTGCACAGAGCAATGAACTTAATACATTAATATTGAGTTGGTTTATGTTAGGATATAAGTAGTAAACAAATGAGAAGAAGTTGGAGTTGAGATGTTGATGAGGGGTATTTGCACTAGGGAACGTAGTACAATCTATGACGTTGCTATTTGGAATGTTATTGTTATATCAGGAACAATTCATTGTGGAAATTTTAGAGGTACGAACAATTGATTCGATTTTGGAACTGGATATTCGAGAAAAGATTTAATCTTTTTCCTGCCAATTGTTCAGAGCTTCAGAGGTTGTTGAGAGAGTCCTGGGTTATGATATCACTGCTTACATAAAAGTGTATTCCTCAATTCACGATCACGACTCACGATTTACACTTTCTGCTTACAGGCAAGTGAATTTCATATCGACAAGGCTCAAGATGAAAATGAGTGTTCTTGTGTGAAGAAAAGTATCATGCATTTGGCTTCAGATTGGTGTCGAGAGCAGACCGAAATTAGTATCAGTCTTGTAGTCACATCGCTACTGACCACGTGGAGAGATGGCCACGATGTTTGAGTATCTTCAGAAGTCCTTTAAATTACAAGTAGGGTAGGACGATTTTGTCATTCCTGCCAACCGCTTTATTGCGGATGATCAAAAGAATTGAAAAGTGGTATTGCGACTTGCATAACTCAAGGTGTGGCTAACCATCTCGAGCGTCGATGTGCCTTGATGCTTTACAAACTTCAAGGACTACTTTGCCCTCACTTGGAACTCTCTATTAAGACGTGCCTCTAATATCCAGACAAGCTATGTGATGAGTTCGCCATTCTCACGAGCGAGTCAAGCGCCTAGGTGAGAACCAAGTATTAACATATTGGATTCTCACACCTATCTTCTTGCTCCCATGATCCTCATCTGTAATGATTGGTACAGTGAGTACAGCTTCCTTTCTTGGACAGCTGTCTATATAGATTATTTTTGAGATGAAGTACATGGTAAAATAAAACTGATAATGGGCAGAGAACAATGCAAAGAGCTGTGAACTGAAAAGGCTTGATGTTGAAGCAGATCCATTTTCCATTTTCCATTTTCCATTTTCCCTCCCCCTAAAAAGTATCTACATTTCAGAGATTTACCCGAAGGATGTGGTGTGTATGAGATGAAAACAAGAGATCGATCTAACGCCCTTAAAAACCATAATAATCCCAACCCAATTCCCCACGATATCCTCCTCCAAATCCCAAAAAGAGCCATCCCAGCAACAAGTTCATTCACAGATCTACTTCTCGTGTGAAAATTGTCACTTGACGCTCTCTCACATGAGACTTTTAACACCGATATATAAGATCACCACTCTAATAAATGGAACAAATTTCTCCTCCCTGGAAAACCAAAAACCATCACGTCCATCAATCAATCACCCCGCACTTCCTCATATATCTGGGGGTGCCATACCACCATACCATTGCAAAAATTGTGGAGGGGTCCACCACTACCATACTACCATCCACTACCACCTAACTATTACCACAATTCCACGCCACCAAATAAACCAAAACTCCCAAAAGAAACTCAATCCGAGACATTTTATTCCTTTTTTTCTTCCTTCTTTCCTTCCTTCCTTCTTTCTTTAAATTTTCTTGGAATAATAAATCTTGGTCACTTACACAAAGTAGGTATCCGTTCGCACGTGGTGGAAAGCAGGATATCAGTCGTGACGTGCATAGTCACTTACATACTTGAGGCAGGTAGGTTACTTACCGAGTATTTATTTATGTTTAGCATGCACGTAACCTAACCTATCTATCCAAGCTGGCTGGTTCCAAGGGTTGCATCCGAGGCAGTGATCGATTGTCTGCATCAGTCAGTATTACTTACATCTTGTGAATGAAGATGAAGAGTTGGGGGGAAAAAGAGAAAGAGGAAGTCAAAAATCTAGATTATGACCTCCCGCGTTCATGATCAGCCGAAGGAACTTGGTAGACAAGAGAGAAACTTAATGAATAAAAAGATAAAAAGATAAAATTGCGAAACATCTAAGCATTATCAAAATAGAAAATAATTCAATTGACTTGATCCTTCTTTCTTTATTTTATTTAATTTTATTTCAATTCAATTCCATACCAAAAAAGTATCATTTCGTCTCATCTTGTCTCTCATCTCGTTTCATTCCTCCCATCCTCCCCATAAGGTTATGCTACCATATTTATACATTCGTTACCAAGGTAGGTACATACATAGGTACCCTAAGAACCTACCTTGGCATATCATATTCCCCGACCAGCACGAAGCACGAAGCACGAAGCACGAAGATCTCAAGAGACGAGCGAAACGAACGTCCTTTGTAAATTGTAAGATCAAAAGAATAATTCAACTTGTTCAAGTAGGTAATAATCTGCAACTTGTCATTGCCAGAAATAGGCACGGATATTCAGGGACCCAGGGCATGCGAGCCAGCCAGCCAGCCAGCCAGCCCATACCCTTTTGAAGTCCCCTCTAACCCCAAAGGATCGTCTCTTATTTAAGGCAGGGCTTCACGGACTGCTTTTCCCGGGTCCGCAAAATCATGGATGATGGATGATGGATATGGAAGTGGAAGTGGAAGTGGAAGTGGAAGTGGAAATATGCGATTAATTAATGTGCTTGCTTGCTTCATTCATGCTTTAAATCAATCACAGGCATGAATGGTATGATTGATAACTTTTGCATCTTCAACGAATTATCCGACCAACAAATGAATAACCCGTCTTTTTACCTATCCACCCACGCATCTTTTGTGCTCTGTACAACCTCTGTGATACCAATCCCAACAGCATAGTATAGATCAGCAAGAGGAAGAAACGCCAATCGAGATTTGATCGCACCGCACACCCCACTTTCGATGGTGAGTGAGATGAGTGAGATGAGTGAGAACTTATTATACCTAAGCTTAGACAAGACAGTCAACCCTCAAAGGAAAGAAAAAATACAGCCAGCTAGTAATTGGTAAGTAAGCAAGTATCAGTCAGTTGACAGGAGGACCAAAGACCGTCTATCTAACCTTACAAACTCCGTAGGCTAGTAATATAATCACTACGTAGTTTGTCCGCCCATCCATCCATCCATCCAGATTCCAAACCAAACCGAACCACTCGAGCAACTCAATTTCTCCACGCGCTCTTGCAGAGAGAATAATACTCTGTAATAATAATAATAGTAATACTAATAATGGGATTTGATTTACCTACATACGTACCCAGACGGGACTAGGGTTTGACGGGCCGAGGCTTTGAACAAGCAAGGATGAGCAGGAGGAAGGGAGACAGGGATTATTGCGCAGAAAGTTTGTTTGATCGATCTTTGAAGATAGTACTTATACTGCACTGCGTAGCTAGCTAGCTGAAGCCCGATGGACATATATACATACCCGGTTGAGATTGGAGATTGGGATGAATTTATTATATCGGATGTGAAATTTTGTCTTTGCATTTTGAAGTATGCATGGGGAGGAAAGGAAAAAGGGAAAGGGTAGCCTTATTAACGTGCTCCCAATCTTCGGTTTGATAAGGTAAGGTAGTAGGGTATCAAGAATACTACCTACTACCTGCCTACCTACCTGCGCAAAAGTGACTATGCTTTGGGTATCCAACGAGCGGGCTCCTAGCTAGCTGTAGGGCATTCTGCTGACGAATATAGGGTGGGTAACACCACATAGTAAGTGCGAAAGAATGTTCTGTTGCATATGAGAACGTATGATGAACGATGAATGAATATTTATTTCCCAAAGAGGTGACGGTGTGAGATTTTCGCGGGATTTGTTTTTATCATTCGATTTATTCTGATAAGGATTACTATATCTACTTTCCCTAAAAGACAAAAAATAAGAGTGAATTTTTACAACTATAAGTACCTACCTAGGTACCTACTGAATGGTTTATTTAACTAGCCTCCAAGATACTTATACTCCGTACTTCCGACGAATAGGATAGAAAACGGTCGAACGACATTTAGCAAATGCTGATAAATACATACATACATACATACTATACTTGGCGTCGCGTCGCCCTCGACCTCGCCTCGCCTCGCCAAGCTTGCCTCGTAAAGGCTGTGTGCGAACTTTGAAGTAAGTAAGTTCTTCGACCAGTTTAGATTCTGAGGCTTTCCTTCCTTCACCCGTGATGAGCTGCAGTGATTGACTGGGGCATTGAAAGCTTAACACTAAGATTGATAAGTCGACACCCGACAGACAAGACAGACAAGACAGATGACTGACCACTATTTCTACCCCTCACTCTCAGATCAGAAGCTCGGAGTTGATTATTTCTCTTCGGGATGTGATGTGACGTGACGCCGAGATGGGGAAACACATTTGGTTTGCACAGTACATCGGGACGAAATACATTACATTACAGTATATTAAAAATGTTTAAAAAAAATGCAGTAAAGACCTTGTGAGCATTGGGTTATGTCACATTTTATGTGTATGGTTTCGGTGAAACCGGTACTGTGTAAATGAAGGGGTACTGTAGTTTAGTAGTAGCGAACACGGCGCCTTGTAGATAAGAATATAGGAACGCTCTCGATCTATGCCACGAACATTTACAGATATAATTACTAGGTAATAGGTATGCTCTTATCTGAATTACCCGACGGAAAAACTCAATTACCAAGTCAGATGTAGTTTATGGTTTGCAACTTACAAATGCATCGACGGTGCATCATTTTTACTGCCTGAATTGTTTCCTTGGTGTAACGCTAGTTCAACAATGCCAACGAGGTGCCCGGAAAATGGTCTAGTGCACTGTGCAACGCCAAAATATCCTCCATCCGAAACCTTTCTGGATCATGAACTCATGGCAATTCCGAGTATTTTCAAAAGTAATTTTCCTGGGGCATTCAAATCGCATCGGCATTTCTGGGTTCTCATGTGGAGGGGAGGGCAAAGGAAAGGATGGATTAAAGGCGCCATCTCAATCATCTCGTTTTCTGTGACGGTGGTTCAGCAGGTCCAATGACAGGCAGACTGGGGGCAAAAAAAGCCATCATGAACGAATCGGGAGCATCCAATCTTCTCCTTGTCTTAGATTGGGTTTTCCGAACCTTGTATTTTTGAAGAACTCGGGCCTTGAAAGAGAAATGCAGATGTTCAGAAGGTTAATGGTCGAGATTAACAAGATTAATCAATATACTTCTCCTGACCTTTCCAGGTGGTATCACCATATTGATGTTTGGAGCTTATTGTGGAATCATTTGATTTCCAACGATGAATACCAGAAAATCATCCAAACTATCCCTGTTAGATGCCAACGATATTTCGGATCTAGAATCCTTGGATGGGAATCGTTCAAGTCAGGTACAGTTCGGCAGCAGTGCAGTGCAGTACAAACGATTTAAAGATGGCTACCGTGGATACCTTACCTTAAATAAGTCTCAGGAACTCGAGCTGAAGGTTGTGCTCGTTGTTCTTGGCCTGATACAGTAAGCGTAATGGTAATAGTAATAGTAAAATAGTAATAGTAAAATAGCATACGAGATCTTACGGATCTTTATAAGCGACAGTCAGCAGGATCTTTGAAGCTTTCATTCATTTCTTTGGCTCTTGTTGAAACAAATAGATTTATAGTTGGGCCGTTTGTCCACAGTTCGTTACTCGATTCGAGAAAAGAGGGTAGAGAACTTTCTTTGAAATGTAAGAAAGATGGGTCAGATCAATGTAGATAGTACCCGCGATATGTGGAAGAACCGAACCAGAGATTGACGGATGTTGTAGGGTAGACAGCCGGAAAGACACAGCAACGATTGTGGAGCATATCTATATAAATACAGGATGGATGGCTCAACAGTGTGAATGAACTGAGAACTGAGAACTGAGGACTGAGTTTGGAGATTTAGCTTTTAAAGGGTTTATACATACATTCAATAATAATGGGGACCTTCATCCTGTTGTACGAAAAGAGATTTAAAGTAGTATTGAATGGGATTATGGAAAACTTTATATAAATAAAGTTTGGTTTCATGTCCAGCGTCCGTTACCCTCATTTTTGCCACCAACGGGCTTGTTCTTCAATCATGAGTTAAGTTTGATATTTGCCCTATGAAATTATTACTTGGATGAGGAGCTGTTGTACATTCCCTCACGGTATATATGTACCAAAAGACCCGGGATAAAGACCAAGAAAGACGCCCCAAACATACCGATAGAACCTATATAATAATCACATTTTGCCAAATGATATAGGACGCATCCTGAAATACCTAAAATACCTGAATAAACATCCCTGTTCATGTTGCAACCAAAACCCCCAAGTCGGTGAATTGTACGGGAGTGTCATGTACGGAAGTACTAGGGAAGGAATAGGAATGTAGTGCAGAATAATACTCGAAGAGAGAGGATAGATGGAGGAGTGACTAGATTTGGAGACTGACTGACCTCAAAGAAATCAAGGCCCGTCAGCCAGCAAGAACTTGCACGACGATAATGACAATCGATTTAATAATCCACGAAAGCATGAAAGAGCGGTATAAAAGAAATCATTAAAATCCTCTTGTTCTCTCCCCCTTTCTCAGTTCATACTCAACCTTTTTCTACCTTTTCTCCATCAAAAAACATATGAGAAAACCATACTCCATACAATACAATGCGGTCAATACCCTACCTGGGCCATACTGTAATACTGTACTACTTTTCTTACTTTCCAGCTAAATATTAAAAGAGGATCCCACGATTCTTCAGACAGCCAAACATCCATACAATTATATCCACGCTTTTCCGAATCATCCCTAGTATCATTAGTTTGTGCGTCTTGTGCATCTTACAAGTTACAACGAATCAAAAAATGATCAGAGGTGGAGGCGAGTTATCCCAAATACCCATACTGCTACCCATATTACTACCCATACAACCCATACAACCCATAACCCAGCCCAGCCAGACCCAGTTTAGCTTCTCCAACACAAAGGGCTGTTCATGTCTTCCGAACTTCCTTACCGTAGAGATTCCTACGACTTCACTCTTCTTCTAACTTCATCACGGAATTGATTGTGAATTTGATTCATTCATACCGCATAATTGTTACTATTCTATTCTATATGTGACCCAAAATTGATTCATTCATTCTAAATTGCTTAAACATTCAGAGTGGTCAACTTTTATTGTCTACAGAATCATAATCATTCACCCTTTTTGTACGGTAGATGAATTTGTGATTCGACTTCATGCTGAACGTCATTTAAAAAGGATCCCTGGCCAGAGCCAGAAGAACGAGAACGAGAACGAGAACGAACGAACTATTCTATAGTCTACGAGCTTTACCATCATACGAACGGAACCTTCTAGTATTCTACAATTTCAAACCAAGTTGTTCCGTTAATAGCCAAAATGTCTCCCTCGTTAGATATACCTCAAGCGGGCTTGAAACTTGAGAGTAACCCTCCCTCCAACAAGTCTGCCACGAATAATACACCTGCTATCGGCTTGACTTTGAGCGATGGAATGATTGAGGACATGATCAAATGTTTTCAAAATGGAAAACCAATAGAATTATCGTTGGGTGGAAGTCCCGTAAGAGAATCCCCCCATGGCTTCATTTACACTTGGTAGCCGGTCCTCGCCAGCGTACGGCATGCCGCATCAATTGTTCAATTTGAAAGACAATGACAATAATAATATGCTTCATCATCAAAAGAGAAACAATTGCTAATGGATTGTCATTCTGCAAATAGAATTTGATATATGGCAACAAATCTCACACCCTTTCTACTTACCACGATCCATTTCAATACGAAGTATTCCAGACTGCGGATCCTTACGATACGACCTCGGATCTGTCGAACCCAGAGGCACTAAGTGAGGTTAAATTAGCCCACAAGAAGTTCTCGGGACCAGGAGCGCAACCTCGTTACAAAGCGGACAATTTCAAGGCGAGTAAGAAACCTGCTCTCGCAACTGCCGGAGAGGATACAGCACTGGAAAATTTGAGGGAGTCGATGGCCACAGCTCAAGCGAAGAAGGACGGAAATACGTGAGTAATCACTGGGTTGTTACAATTGGACTTGGGTACTAATCTGAATAGTACAAAAATCATCAATCAGGTACCGGGAAAACGAGGAGCGGCCAAGGCTACAAATAAGTCGAAATTTTTGAATAAGGGGCTCGGAAGCGATACAGCCAGGTCGATGCCAGTCAGCCCCGCTCTTTCTGGGCTGGGAAGTCCAGCTCAAGGTGCGACTAAGTCGCTTTCCCAACAACAAGCCGAATATGCCAAGAGCAGTAGAAAGCCAGTAGTCCATCTACTTGCCCTCGAACCAATGACCGAGAAGGAACTCAACAATCGAATACCTGGTCCGAAAGATGATTTGAAGCAGGCAATGTCGAAGGTGGGGGATCTCAATACGTCGACTGGAAAATGGGAACTTCGTAAAAATTACTACAAAGAGCTTGATGTGTTCAATTTCAAATATGGAAGCGATGCTGAACGCCAACGGGCAATTGATAATGCGGTTAAGGTTTTTGATAAGATGAGATTGGGGCTTTCGGAACCTGAGTGGGAAAAGCTATTGCCTAAATCGGAGCGAGGCACCGGAAAGTCTCTTAGCAAGCTACAAGCTCAAATCGCGAATGGTCCAGTCGCAAAATCAAAATCTAACGGAGACGAGGAAGACTTGTTTGGCGATAAAATGGGATCAAAGGTCAAAAGCGAGACTACAGCCAAATCAGCTTCAGGACCAACAGCAAGCAAGACCAAAAAAGTCAGTGAGAAAGAAGCTCAGGCCAAGAGATTACTCTCTAAGAATCCACCCAAAACGGCAGCAGCAACCATGAGGTCAAAGCCCGCGAAGAAGGAAGCCGACAAGCCAAAAGCATCAGCGGCAAAGCCTTTATCTTCTCAATTTGTCAGTGAATCTGACGACGAAGAGGTTCCAGCAAAGAAACCCCAAGTTACCAAGGCTCCAATTAGGAAAGACAAGGCCAACAACAAACGTCTTCGCAACGAGGAGGTGGATTCTAGCGATTCGAGCCTACCATTGAGTAAGAAGACAAAGAAGGAGAATATCAATTCACACCGAGTCTCAGATGCTAGTCAATCCTCCCGTCCCAGTTCCAATTCCACGACTTCCTCTTCAAACTCCTTCAAAGGAAAAGCGAACTCTCCACAAAAATCCTCACCTTTAGCTTCCTCGCCACCAACGAATGCATCGGACTTCGAACATACATCCTCTGGTGATCGATCATCATCTTCCGCCTCTCCAGCTAACCATCATAATTTGTCTAACACTCGCAACAATCGATCACCAATTCACAAACGTCACCAGAAATCGTCTAGTGTTGCCTCATCAGTCTCATCTACCGGCAGTACCCGTCATTTGAGACCTGGTGTATTGGATCTAGCTCAAAATTACAAAACATTCTATCCTATTTATTTGAAGCTTCATAACGAATTGGCAACATCGAAAGTCAAGAATCCTACCGAAGAAGAAAATCTTCTCGCTATGCATGAGCGCCTGAGCGACTTGAAGAGACAGATCTTGGAAGGAATCATTGAAGAATAAAGGAGTCTGACACAATTTCTTCTTATACCGACTGGCTTGGCTTTACTATGAAGTCATTAATAATTCATTACGCAACACACATCAAATTCTCAGCCAAAAATGGCAGTTTTGACTGAAACTCTCCTTTCTATCAACTGCGAATACACTATACTACATAGTTAAATCGACAAAATTCTCGGCGTTTCCTCTAATTTTCTACATATGGAGTCACACGGGCATTTACCATGGCAATCAAAACCGGATACTTTCTACCTTTCAACCGCTATTTGCATTCTTGTTTACAAAATTTGATTTCTTCTCCATGGATGGAGTTTCAACTAAATACCCTTTGGGAACGGACACGGATGGATTCGGCGTCTTTTTCCTTTTTCTTTTCTTAACGTGTTTGAATTAAAAGGAGTTTCTGGGTACCTGGTTAAAGATATGCCTTGGGATACAAACGCAAAATGCCGATATGGCGTTTTATTTGGTTTGGCCTGGGATTGAATTTGGGAATGGGAATATGGGCGGAGAATTTAATATTTTCAATGATTGGGAGATGATTGATATGCGGTTACTGCACATATGGGCATTGCATTTGAAGATGGGTTGGAAATGGGAAGAAAGATGTTATAAGAGATAAAATAAAGATACAGAAAGATATACAGATGAATGAGGGGATGAATTGCATAGCGTAGAAAGTAAGGGGGAGGGAAAGAGAGTGTGTGAGAGAAATGGTTTTCAAGATGCAAGTCCTTATAGCAGAAACCAGAAGAAGAATAAATGATTAAATTTTAATAATTTATGATTATCTATGTGTTTATGATGTGGTATGTGAATGTTTAAGATGAGATAAATAGATGGATATGATGTAATATGTATGATATGATATGATGGTATTTACGTGGTAATATTCGATATATTCTTACAAAGGGACGCAATTCTTCATTTTTCGAGGTAGTGGTTAAGGGGATAGCAGAATTTTGAAGATAATAGTGTGGATAGGTTGGGTTGGAAAGAGTAAGCAGTAAATAATGAACTTACATATAGGTAGGTAGGTAGGTAGGTGTATTGAATACATTGAATACAAAGCAAATCACAAGATTTTGGTTTTAATAAGCGTGTAAGGGATGTGTAAGACCTAGTAGGTAGATTAGGGAGGTAAACGAGGGAGGACGGGGACGGGGACGGGAACGGGGGATGAGGATAGTTAGATTTTTGATATGTGCTGGCTGTACTGGGTATATAAGATTATAAAGTTTGTAAACTTGTAGTTTGTAGTTTTAAACTGGATATGGAGTATGAATCTGAATAGATGGATAGATGGATAGACGGATAGATGGATAGATATCTATCTGAATAAATACCTACCTCCCTAGTAACTGGATATAAATAAAACAAGAAAAATAACACATTGGAACTTACCGCCTAGACGCGCGCATGAGGCTATGATTGGTTGGTTGGTTGGATTATTTACTTGATTAGTACCTAGTAAGTAAGTACCTATCTAGCTAAGATTTTCACCAGAGCGGAAGTTTTAATTGGAGTTTAGTTGGAGTTAAAACCTCGCGCAAGCAAGCAAGCAAGCAAGCAAGCAAGCACTGTTTATGTTGAATACCTAATATAATTGGAATTGAGATGACATTATGATATGATACGAGGCGTTTACGCTTACGCTTACCCCTTTGCTTATAGGTTAGTGGATTAATAAAATACGCGGTAGTATGATATTGAGTCATACATTATATTGGGGTTTAGACAGGATGGGATAGAGATACGGATCTAGTATTCTTTAAAGGATAATAAAATGAAGGCTGGGGAGCGAAATTTGTGAAGAGAGAGAGAGAGAGCAGGCAACGGAAATAGAAAGGTGTGAGAGATTGGACTCCAGATGATGCGTAAAGTATGATGCTTGTGAAAGATTGCTGAATACAAAAAGCGCTTAATAGAACATGACCCTGCTGATCATGCGATTTCTCACATAGAAGATAGAGACAGAGAACTAACCATATCGACAACTCGCAAAACCATTACTCCGTCACAGTTGAAGATCTTGAGAATAAAAGACCCATACATCACAAGTTGCACATCCATATTGTTAAGATCTTTGTTCAATTTTTCCTGATATCATAACGTATTCGAAAATTGAAAAAACGCCAGGCCAATTTGTGGTGCCCTTTTCCTAAACACCGCTTCACCTCATTATCGCTTGTTCTCTTTCGTACCCCCTCCTTTGTTACTTGGAAGCCTTCATCAATGACGAAGAGCTGTTCGTACCGTCTGTGGGCGGAAACGAAGAATTTATTGGGTCTTGAAAAGGAGGATCGCGCAATGGCCGAGGTAGAAGTAGATGAAGTGTTTTGTTTCTGGGAAAAGTCAGAGAGGGCCAACAAAAATACTAAAGCTTCGGAGGAAAAGTACCATGGGTGACAAATGATCCAAAGTTTCGTCCCACGATACAATGCCATGTTGGGCCTCGTTTCTCATCGAACTTGTATGACTTTTTAGCACCTAATCCTTTGTTTAATTTATTGGCGCAAGCCTCATAGACGTACAGCTTTCTTGATGTATTGTGCGATGTCCTATAGTAGATCATATTAACATATGAAGGAGGTCAAACAAAACTTGTAGATGAACTCTCTTACTTTCTCAACGGAATGTTTAGCCATAGCTTGTCGGCCTGTATGCACCATATTAGCATCTCACGCATGTATTTAATCCCCCTCTGCCATTACCCGGTGGCATGGCGATTGGAAAAGGTCCAACGTACAAACTTCAATAGCCTCATCTGACATGTCGTCGCTCTATGATTGACTTAGTTGCTGCCACAGACTCCCGCATAGAATATAACCGACTCACCATATCGACCGACTTTATTTGAGCTGTAATACCTCATGGTTAGCTAGGATATGACAAAAGAGCCTCGAGCAGTTGAAAAAGGTCTTGGAAGGTCAAGACTATGCATACCCGTGAGGCTTTCTTCCGATTGTTGTGGAGTTGCCATTTTGGTTATTGAGATGCTATGCGAATTCGTTTTGTAAATATGTAATGGAAAAGTGGTAGAGTTATCGAGATATGGGATTGTTCTTCTAGAATACAACGGGAGGTGTGGAGAAAGGAGGAACAGAGAAAGGCTGATAGTTTAGCCGAAGTTTTACAAGGCAAGTACAAATACGAATTACAATAAAGTGTTAATTTGATGGCAAGATGTGTATATATATATGGTACTAATTCGGAAAGGAAAATAGGAGAATAAAATACAATAGTGAGCAGCCTAGATAACAACCTCTCTCATTGTCTCGAAGACGATTTACTTACGCAGAAAAAGTTGCATTTTTTATTTAATTTTCTGTACAGAAATGAAATCTTATTTGATTTATTTGATACCTAGGTTACTAGTAATAAAGTACCGGTACCTGCCTATCGGCCATGTCTGCGTGGTAGTTTTCCGTTCCGGATTTTCTTGCATCGGGGTTGGAGCACGGATCATCATGTGGTGCCACAGATTTAAGTTCAAGGCTAAGGAAAAATGTGCTAGAGTAGGCTCCGCTGCGGATTTCATTCCCATGAAAAAAAAATTATTTGATCATCGAACAAATTCATCTCAGAACCCTTCAAAAAGTACTCTTGCGCCGTCATACTTAATCACATCAGATCAATCCACTGAAAACATCGCGGTATACACATCTACTTACAGTATCTACGATCAAACATGGCTTCTTCACGCATATTCATAAAGGGACTTCCTCCAAATATCACCGAGGATGAATTCAGAACACATTTCAGCGCGAAGCAAGAAATCACAGATGCGAAATTGATCTCTCACCGAAGAATTGGTTACATTGGATACAAAACACCAGAAGAAGCTGCAAAAGCTGTCAAATATTTTAACAAGTCATTTGTACGATTGTCGAAAATCGGCGTGGAAATCGCTCGACCTGTAAGTAATTTTTTTAAAATATTAAATGCCCAGGAGATTTATATTAACACTATTAAAGATATCGGATTCATCTTTACCTATATCGAGAAAAGTACAACGTGAACAAGAACGGGAGAATAATAAGATCAGACACCTCAAGCAGGAGGCTGATGCTAAAGCCTCAGAAAGTCTAAATACTGGAACGAAGAGAAAGCGAAGTGACATCGATACGGCAGATCCTAAATTACAGGAGTTCTTGGAGGTCATGCAACCCGCTTCGAAGTCTAATTCAAATATGTGGAAAGCCGGAGCCATGGATGATGATATTGAGGAACCGCCAACGAAGTTACAAGCCATTGAAGTACCAGAAGGAGAAAGCGACAACGAATATCAATCGGTACCTAGTAAACTTAAGAAAGCTCCCACAAAGCCCCTTGACCCGCAAGAACCTGCAGCGGCTCCTGCACCAATCGCCACAGCTATTACTTCCGATAATGCCAATCCAACGGACGAGGTGATGATCGATACATCCTCCAATAACGTTCAGGCCACAGATGATGATTGGCTAAGAAGTCATACCAGTCGGTTATTAGATATAGTGGATCCGGAAGACATAATTTCCAAAACACAAAACTTGGACGTTAAGAATGTCGAAGAGGTGAATGCAGAAGAAGCAGAACCCAATCCACCCGTTGAAGATATGGTTGTCGATGCTGAATCAGAAGCTATCGAAGAACAGCCAGAAAACCCACCTTCAGAGCTGGATGCGACAATTGAAACGATCAGAGCCAGTGGACGATTATTCGTGCGAAACTTACCATATAGCGCAACGGAGGATGATCTGAGGAAGCACTTTGAACAATATGGAGCTCTAGAAGAAGTAAGTAAAGAAGCTTGTTTGCATGTTTTCTTTTCCTCCCAGCTTTATGATGAATATCCAGATAGGGACAGCTTATGCTTTGAAGCATGTGATGTGAACTGGTCGAATATTTTAGTAGATGCTTCGTTTTTTCTGAAAGCTATCATCAGTCATCTTTATGTCTTTTGCGATTCGCAATAGTGTAGCTTGCTGACGGAAATGTCTAGATACACTTACCGGTAGATGCCCAAGGTACCAGTAAGGGGTTTGTGTTGGTTCAATACACGGACCCAAATGCTGCTGCTGAAGCATATCATAATGTAGATGGCGAGCCTTTTCAAGGAAGGTTATTACACATATTACCTGCTGCGGCTAAACGAGACAATAAGCTAGATGAGTTCGCGATAGCAAAGCTTCCATTGAAGAAACAAAGACTTCTCAAGAAGAAGGCTGATTCTTCCTCAAACACTTTCAATTGGAATTCCTTGTATATGAATCAAGATGCTGTCAATTCTTCGGTGGCTGAACGTTTAGGGGTATCGAAATCCGATCTTCTTGACCCAACTTCCGCAGATGCTGGAGTCAAGCAGGCCATTGCTGAGACCTCCGTCATCCAAGAAACCAAATCATACTTCGCAAATAATGGAGTCGATCTTGATGCGTTCAAGAAACGGGAGCGTGGAGATACCGCTATATTGGTCAAAAATTTCACCTATGGCATGACTCTGGAAGAGCTTCGGAAGATGTTTGAAGAGTATGGCCAGGTTATCCGTGTTCTCATGCCTCCGACTGGTACGATTGCAATTGTTGAGTTTGCACAACCAACACACGCAAGAGCAGCATTTGCCAGCCTTGCATATCGACGTATGAAAGATACAGTACTTTTCTTGGAGAAGGCACCCAAGGACCTCTTCACTGGTCCTGCGCCCAGTCAACCAGTAGCAACAATTGACAGGAATGCGGGTAAAGCAACAGATCCCAAATTCTCAGCATCTGATCTGCTCGAAAGAGAAAGTGGCGTTGAAAATGTGGATACAACTACCTTATTCGTTCGCAATCTTAATTTCAGTACCACAAGTCAACGTCTCACGGAAGTTTTCAAGCCCCTTGATGGCTTTCTATCGGCACGCGTTAATACGAAGACGGATCCAAAGAAGCCCGGCCAAGTCCTTAGTATGGGTTTTGGCTTCATAGAATTTAGGACCAAATCTCAAGCACAGGCGGCAATCAAAGCAATGGATGGATACACACTTGACAACCATAAATTGCTAGTCAAGGCTTCTCACAAAGGAGCCGATGCTGCCGAGGAGAAAAGGAAAGAAGACAGGGCTAAGAAGTTGGCAGGCAAACGCACGAAACTCATTGTTAAAAATTTACCGTTCGAAGCTTCCAAATCCGACATTCGAAAACTTTTTGGTACGTATGGACAGCTCCGGTCGGTGCGCATGCCCAAGAAATTCGACCATTCAACACGTGGTTTTGCTTTTGCAGACTTCATTACGGCTCGTGAAGCGGAGAATGCACTAGAGGCTCTTAAGGATACCCATCTTCTTGGCCGTCGCCTGGTCATCGACTTTGCGTCCGAAGAAACTGTTGACGCAGAAGAAGAGATTGAAAAAATGCAGAAGAAAGTTGGATCACAAGTCGATAAAGTTGCCATACAAAATCTTACTGGAGGAGGCCGCAAGAAATTCAATATTGAAGGCAACGACGCGGATCTGGATTGAGGGAACTCACTATAGGTATTTATCAATAATTTGCATATTCTATTAAGATCAAATTCCCTGAATTATATTGTTCGCAAAAATGGCAAGTGTCCATCTCCCTTACCGAAGCTACACAAAAATCGACTTAATAGTACCCCTGCACAGAACACCCTCGATGAAAACCCTCGATGAAAACCCTTTCATACTTGAATGGAAGGGAAATTATTCCTCTAAATCCAATTATTGATTTAGTCTGCAGTTCTCCATTATAGGGATTATTTGTTGTGGTAAGTTTAAAGGTGTTTTTCAATATGTTCTGCTGTATCATCAACTTTTTACTCCCTCCCTTCGTGGGCGCCATTCAAAGAAAGAAGGATGCGATATCATCCTATGTGGTGATTATTTATTTCCTATTTACAACTGTGCCTGGATTGTTCATCACAATCATACTTGTAAGCCTTAGAGAAAATTGGTGAAGAGGAAATTGCATGCTCGCGCAAAATGAAGCATTCCTCACGTTGCTGTGACTTTCCCCGCAACGTGATTTCCTTGCATTGGTGAGATCAGAGGTGGGGCTATTTTTGGCCTTTGAACTCTGTAAGCTTTGTGGCGTTGCAAACGTTTACCTGGCTGTCAATGAAGGTAGATCTGGCTGATGCCCATCGAAACCGCCCTGCATCCTAGTCATATACATTCAATATACTTCACCTCCTTAATAAGCTGCTAGGGCCTCTTCTACTTCATTCTTAACCTTGTGTCATTCCCTCGTGCAAATTCATTCTAAGCTTTTTCGCTACCATTCCTCCAAACATTTTTCATAGCAATCTTGATTCTTCATCGGCCATAAACGCATTTTTCCTGCATAGCCTACCTTGATTTTGCTTGCGAATGCTACATTGAGTGGAATTTCGAACTCATCGAAGCATTCTCGAACCTCAGATTATACTATCTAGTCGATGGAAGATCCCCGTAATACTTTGCCATCAGGATATCCATCGCAACAGCTTCAACTGGACGAATCCAGTGGGCTTTCGAGGCTCAAAGAGCCTCTTTCGGATTCTGCGGGTAACGCTCAGCTTCACGAGCTGGCGTCTGGACACATATATCATGATAATAAGAGACACCCGATGAGGGGACAAGAAAGGTCAATGTATTCTATGCCTACTCTACCATCACAGCCTCTGCGCCCACCTGTCGGCAATACCCTTGAACTTCGAAAACGACACAATCGGCAACAACGTTTCAACAGACATAGTAATCGTAACCCTATAGTTGATTCGCCTCAGTATCAAGCATACCGAGCTCGGGCAAATCGTGATGGAAACAACTCCAGTGACTCAAAGTGGCCGGAGGTTCTTGAGAATGCGTTTCTTGATGGTTAGTATAACACAAGCATCGTAACAATGGAAAAAGACTGACACTGTCTAAGCTCTTCTTGCCATCCCCTATATGGGAAGACGAAAGTTTTCTTTCAAGGGTAAACCTCATGGTCGGAACGAGCTTATCAGGGAATATATTTGGATCGCATACAAGAATACACTAGCTCCTGGTCAACGTCCAGATCCTACAATGATGCGCAACCGAAAGCAGGTTTCTAGTCACATTCAAGTTTTAAAAGGGTTTTTGAATCCACATCCTGCATTATGTAAGAAATCCACACCGATGATCTTGAAGTGTAGTCTAACATTTCTCAGTCCAGCGCCTCTTTCCACCGAATAAGGGACCCAAGAATGGTTTCGAAGATTCGTTCAAGAAGGACCCTACACTTATAGCACTTTCGCAAGGTCGACTACCCAGCAGACGTCACGATCATTATGATGGCCTCAATCAAATAATACTTAGTAATCATCATCCTATGAAGCCTGCTGCATTCTGGTTGCTCATGACGCCTTTCGCGGTACCAAATGAACGAAATGGAATCATGAAAAGCGAACAAGATCTTCGAAGAGATGGCCTAGTACTTCACAGGTACTCAGGCTTATCGTTATCAGAGCCACGCGGAAGTCTTGAATCAATACTGCACTGGCGACAAAAGTTTCCTCACTTGGCACAATTACATTCTACCAACGATTTGAATTGTGATATCATTCATATGAATGTGTCGTTGAATCTGATGAAAACTCACGCGCCAGATAACAGTGAGCTCCTCACTCGGTTGGAGATGTCTATACCAGGGCAAGATTATGCTGGATTTAAATGGCAATCCGTAACGAGCTTAATTAAACCTGCAGAGCTATACGGTGATCCTACTAGGGACCCGGTTCTAGAAGGCACACCATTACCAATGACGGTTCTCGGGATGACCGAAAGCGAAACTCGAATCAAAGTCGCAATACCTGCTGAAACTTGGGCGTACACATTCACACAGCTTATGAACCTTCATTTTGAAATTGAAAAGAAACGTCTTTCACAATCATTCGGAGGGGATGGTTTAGGTCGTCCCATAAACTCTGTTCGAGAGTATGTTGATCGAATCTCAATGTATCAAGAGCTACAATCTTCGGCCGGTGATAGAATGCCATTCATCCGACGAGCCATTCTCATCTGGACATTTCATAAAGCTCGCAGTGGAGAAGGAAATGAAACCACCTGGCGTTATGTTGACCCAGCTCCTCCACGCCACATGTGCATGTCACCACCGCCACATCTTCACAACCATAACCTTCCCAACCTTGAACAGTACAGTTCCTGGCCGGAATCACCTCTTCACCTCCAACAACCTAATCTTCTCGATTCTTTTGTGCAAGGCCTTGCTACTCCTCCGCAAACAGCTAGTCTGCAATCTCCCTTTGATACGACAGGCTATACATATCCTGCTCAGCATTTCGACATGTCTAATGAAAACATAAGTTTCGTGTCCCATGCAACTGTGGACAGCGAATCTACGCTTGTAAATGGCAACGATCCTACGAATCAAATCGATAATTTTTTGACTAATTCAGGGGGGGTTAATATGGGAGCTTACGGGGATGTGAACGGTCACTATTATGGTCATTTACCGAGCAATACCGTTAATGCTAACGAATCATTTGATGCGGACCCAGCGTGGGCAAATTATTCCGTACCAGCTAGTACGCCCTGGGAGCACAGTGAGGAAACTAAAGGGTTAGCATGGCCGGATACCAGTACCCAGATTGAACCTATCCATAAACATTCCTGGTCGAACGGCGCACAAGAGCAGAAACAGGCACAAGCGACATGGAATGGAGAAGATATGGATATTAATGGTGTTCATGTTAATGGAAGGGACAATGTTACTGGTAAACATGGAAATGAACCCCCTTGGTCTGATGCGGTGATGGGCAGTAGTCCGAGTAAACAGAATGGTAATGGGTATATTGAGAATAACATTGAGGCGAAATTATTACCTTGGATTGAGCAGGCTACTGCGGAAGAAGAGGCACAAGCACAAGCTAGAAGGAACGCCGTGGACTATGGGAGTAATGTTGATGTTATGGGTGTAGGTGTGGATGTCGATGTCGATGCTGGTGTTGGTGTTGGCGTACAGCTGGAAAGAAACGTCGCAGAGGATGTTAATGAACATAATAACATTACGAAAGACGGGCACTTCGAACATCACGATCGCGACACGCATAAGCAAAATCATCATCGACCTCATCAACACGATGCATTGGAACAAACAGAATGGCCCCGCAACGACGAGATTAATGGCGTTGGAGTCGGAGTTGGAGTTGACATCGCACACTCTAACGGATACGATTTCGACCACCTAGATGAAAGCATCTCTGTGAAATCTTGATTCCGAAATGTTTTACTAGCATACCTACCTACATTCTCTGTTACAAAAAGTGTTCAATTGGACTTTTCCTTCGTTTTATTTTTATTTTCAAGGCTAGCATGGGTTTCGGGCGGATATTTTTTTAAATTCGATTGTGGAAATTTGTTTCTTGGGTTCGAGTTTATTTTATTTTTGTGTCTGAACTTAGGTTAATTACTTACTTCTATCTACAAATAGCTTTAATATTCATTCATTCATTCATTGATTCATTTTGCTTTCATTTTGATTTCATTGATGCGTGGTATGATTCTAATCCCAATTCCAATTGCAATTCTGATTTCGGTTCCAATATAAATGTCAATGCCAATTTGAATATAAATTTCCTGGATTCGTCCAGGTTTGGCGAGGCCAGGAGGTTGGTGTAAGGTTTGAGGTTTTAAGGGGAAATCTTTACTGCCTTGCTTGGTGCCTCGCTTCTCTTCGCTTTACTGATACTGATACTGATCCTACCATCCATCCCTTTCCTATAATTACCTAGTGATTATTGCCATTTTACCTACCTTGGAGGAATTTATTGATTGCAATTACAGGATGTTAGGCTTTGATTTATTATATATTACTATTAATGGGATGGATGGATGGATTGGGCTGCCACAGATGGATTGGGATTGTTTTGTACAGTTTTATTAATATGATCAATAAATAGTGCGAACTTGATTAGTGCTGTAGCTGAAGAAATGGTCTTAATGAGGTGAAATAGGTGCGGTTCTGGGAATATCGCGAAGATTGATTGTAGAAGAAGAGGCAGCTTAATAGGATAATGTCGACCTGATAATGAGAGAAGTTTTGAGGGATACAAAGGCTGTAAGAGAGTTGTTGTGGATGTGGAGCTCGAGGGTAAGCCTTGTTAAGCCCACAAATGATCTCTTGGTATGATATTCTTCTGCAGACTTCGGTATGGTGGTGCTTTTGCGTGGATTTATTGCGGTTTCTCATGTTGGGTGGATTAAATGGTCATTTGGTGGATAAGTTATGGGTGAGCTGTTATATTTATTATATTGGATGAAGTGTGTTGAATGAAGTGTGTTGAATGAAGTGTGTTGAATGAAATATATTGAATGAAGTATGTAATTTAAACTTTTTGGGATAGAAATACTCGGCAATTCTCGGAGCGATGAACTGAAGTCTTGAATTTTATATTTAATTTCTAGATGACGATTGTGAAATGGAGAGACTGAATTGTGTAATTTCAAATACCGAGACCTTTACATCAATATCTGGAGACGCACCGGAAAGAGAAGTCGATGTTGAGATGTAGCGACGAGACTCAGAGTATTATGTCGGGTAATTACTCCTAAAAGTCCATCTTGAGTTTGCGGCTCTCTTCTGCTCTCTAGGAGGAAGCAAGGTCTATGTACTTTCACTTATTTGCTTCATTAGTTATTATATATATATGTAGCTACTTGAATCTAGCTCTGCATATCACATTTCGCTTTCTCGGTAAGCGAATGCATGTGATGTGACCTGAAAGAGTGATACAACTCACCCACTCATCCAAATATATACTCAAACTTCATCAGTATCTTCATCAAACATCTCATCGAGTCACCTTGGCGCAGTACGTCGACCACTGCGCTGTAACCATTTTCAGGTGGGTGGGTTGCTTGACCTGCGAGCAGTGATGTCCCCATATCACAGGGTGCAGCTGGTGCAAATAAAATCCCTTATCAGAGGGGTTTTCCCGTGGACCGGTTTTTGGCCATTTAAACGCTTTCCTTTTGGCTGGACGATGAAGTGAGATGAAAGGGGTCCCTCCCAACTTTTATGTGCCAAGTCCGAACTTTTGAACTCGGACTTTTCATTTTCGACAGTGAATCAGTGTAGTTGTCTAAAGCTCCATCGTACTTTTGCTCATCCTTAAGACCTCTTCTTTGACTTTCCAATTTACAATTGGAATTTTACAACCATAAGCCTACAAACAGACCATCAATCTGTCGAAAGTGAGAGATTACAAAAGTGTATACGATACAATGCTCTCAAAATCACTCAGTTATGGCTAATCGAAGAACAAGTCTTTGATATTCTGTCAGAAAGTCGTGATCGATTTGAGCTGAGCACATATAAAAACATTCCCGATGAGGATAAATATTGGATGGCGGAGCGGTGGACTTGGAAGACACTTTGTAAGTACCACTCGTTTGAGCGACCCCAGTTACCGATGAATTGGATGCATTCCTAGGAGAGAGACCAAAGTGGAAGGTGGGCGACGAATTATTTAAAGCACAAATTACCTACAGTTGAAGAAACACGGAAGAATACTGAAGGCGAAGCTAGTGGCTACTCATTAGCGGTGAAGTCAGAGGAACTATACCAGAAGTTTAACACAAGAGGCCGAAGAAGATATGACGCAACGATTCCCAGGGCTATAGTGGCAGCATCAAAGAGAATGGATCCTTTTGATGATTTATGGGGGCTCGACACACCAGATCCAGCTTACCAGGGATACACAGAAGCTCTTAAACTTTCAGCTGCAGCTGTGTTGGGGACTCGGCCAAGTTCAAGACCAAATAAGAGAAAGCGCACAGAACCAGGATCTGATATCTTTGATAACTGAGAGTATCCTGAGCTCACCCCTGCTCCAGATATCGAGTCCGGCCTTTTTGACGCTTCGGAATAGCCCAGGCGGAGTTCTCGAGCCATTTGTATTTCAGCCTGGTGGTGATGGCGATACACTCACTTGCAAGAAGGGCAGCTGTCTTATACTTATGAGGGGTTTGCAGCTTGGGATAAATATATCGGGAGGTAGAATGAATGGAGGATTTTAACTCGAGCTAGCTCATATTTGATGGGAATGAATGGTACTGGGGCCTGTACTAAGTGACCTTCCATAAATGTGCAGGGTGCAAATACAGAATTTTGAGTTGCAACAGAGCGAAGCGTTAACGTGGTGATTATAGAAATGAAGAAACGAACTGACTTGCAAATAACTTGACATTCACCTTAATGCACCGTGCTTCCAATAAATTGTATGGAAATATGGCTACTATATCTGCCACACTTGTGTGCTTTTTTGCGCTCATGTATAGACCGGGGGTTCGATTTTCCTCCCCTGAGGCCCAAAACTTACTCGACATATTCTGGTTGGAGCTCATCGCTTCCTCCATTCTCTATGCTATTAGCCCTATGGATTGAGGTTTTCCTGGCCCTTGAAACAATCATTTTCAATCACCAGCTCTACTGCAAGTCCGCAAAGCAGAACATAGATGCTGGTGACAGATATTGTTGTGCCATTGCTCGGAAACAACACTATTTCGTGTTACTAATTCACTACCTACTATAGATAGGGGACTTAGGAGGCTGAGTTAAGGAGCAAACCATCTAGGGTTTGATGGTATGCTTTGTTTTCCTGGAGGTAGCAATGGTTTATCACAAGCTCGTATATTATGCTTGCGCTGTAGTAGAGTTTAGGAATCTGGAATTCGGCTTATCCCTCGTTACAATGGATAATAGAAAGCATAGATAAAGCCGACACTATAATTAACAAAAATAATCAACTCTAACTATCTAGGTAGTTTTGTTGTGCGGAGGGACAATGGGAATAAAGGTACCTAGAAGTTGTTCGAGACGCTGTTTAGATGAACTAGGGTGTGTCATTAGCGTCCACATGCCACGAGCCACCCCTGTAAAATTAGTGAATCCCGCCGCACACTCCACTTTCATCATCATAAGGCTGAAAAGGCCAATCTGGCATCTGCTTTCAGACTTCAGTGCATACAATGGTTCGAGTCTGATATTCAACGACACCCCATTGCGACAAAATCAACATCTCAAGTGGAATAATATCTATAGAATATCTATAGATTCATATTTTCAATCTATCTGTCGCCATGCTCTCTACCGGCTTCACAGATGTGCCAGTAACGCGCAGCCTTGTATATGGAATATTCATAACCTCTTTCCTCGCCAGTATCACGGATTCGAAACATTTCTTCTACATACAAGCAGATCCTCATCTGCTACGCTATCATCAGCTATGGCGTATGCTCACTTATCAGTTGTGCTATACCAATTCGACCGAAGTGTTCTTTGGCGCAATAACGTACTATAATATGAGAGTGGTGGAAAGATTATGGGGATCTCGTAGATTTGCTGTGAGTGATTGAATTCTTGCTCTATCGTGTCCATTCGCTTAGAATTATATTTAGTCTTTCCTGCTACTATCCTTCTGCTTCACTTCAATAATATCACCGATACTGGTTATCCTTCTACGACCTCTTTCCCTCTACGCGATAAATTACCTACCTGCAGGACCTACAGCTCTTATTTTTGCTATTCTGGCCCAATATCATGCCGTCATTCCACATCAATATAAATATAAAGTTGCTGCTACATCTGCACCCATGACCGAGGAGAATTTCATAGGTGTCACATTCTCGGATAAATCATATATATATCTCCCAGCTATTCAACTGGGTCTTTCCCAATTCCCGGGCTCGATTATATCTGCTATGGTGGGATGGGTTATTGGTTATTGTTGGCGAAATGATGTGCTACCTACATCTATCGCACGATGGAGATTGCCAGGTTGGATGGTGGGTGTTCAGGCTCGGAAAAGAAGTGAAGGATTTGAGGGAATGAGGAGGAGATTAGAAGGGGAAAATACCGCGGCTGCCACTGGATCGGATGGGCAATCTGGTGGAGAAGTTGGGAGAAGGAGAACTTTGGCGAATCAATTTATCGATCAGTTTAGAGGAGCGTCATGACGTTTCACTTGGTCAAGAATATCAATGATTTATTATAATTTATACATTTCTTTTCGGATATCAATTGACAAGATGTTTTGCAGAACATGGTTAGTGAGCAATATGATGCTCGGACAGCTTTCGGTGATAGCTGAACGTGGACGGGACTTTTGCTGAGGGCTCTCGATGCAGAGTTATCCTCTGTGCGGGAGAACTGCAAGATAATCTCACCATGAAAAATGGGCAAGGGGGGGAGGTGATGAGGGATGAAGCTGTGCCACCGTGAAAGCAGTTCAAACATAGGGCAGGCTAAACTTTTGAATTAATCCCAATCTAAACCTCAAATACTCAAGAGGTGTCCTTCCTTCAAGACATGGAAGAAAAGTTCTAAAAGGCCAAAGATAGTGTTTGCTTCTACTATTTACGGCACTGTGTTCTTTGGTTGGTGGTAGAGGTGCAGTTCTCCTGTTGTGTCCGACAGTGTCGTTGGTTAAGATGTACAACGAGAGTTTAAAAGTTGTAAGATCTTAGCAAGAAAATTTACTATAATTGGTTTTGCCAGTATCGAAACACGATGTTTCTCGTATGTATAGAACAGCAGTATTCTTCACTTGAGATCTAAACTTACAACAAATCTATTCACCAAACGAGTTATCGCGAGGCGTTTTCTACAAAGCACTATCTATTTATGAATCATAGTTTATTTTCTGCTAAATTCTTAAGCCCTTACGGATGGATAAAGAGGAATGAGATGTTCTGGTAATGGGTTTTATAACAATATAGATATATATTTTCATACTCAAAAAATACATAAACAGCATCGTCCCTGCAATTTGTATAAGTTTTATTTTATTTAAATGGTCTCTTCTCTTTTTATGATGAATCTACTTAAATGTAATATATGTATTAAACTCTCAATACTTTTCCAAAAAAAACTTAAAAACTTGGAATAGTACATCGTGACACACTGCAGCGTTATCAAAAGTCTAGCTAGATACATATCTTTAATGCTCAAAGATCAGATTAGCTATAAGAAGGTTCAGCTATGATGTAATGGTGGGAGTGGTGAGGGTATGGGTATGGATATATGTAATCTATAGTCTAGTTATCTATTAGTTTAGTTTGTGAGATGAATAGTTTGTATGTTGTTAGATATGGGAAGGAATAGATATATATCTTCTTATTATAAGAGTAGGGATTTTAAATAATTTTAAGTGTCCGATTATTTGTCGTTCGGTGACGAGAATTGTGGAGTATTTAGGGGCTTAAATATTACCCTATAGAGCATAACTTATTCATATCGCTTTCCTTTTCACAACCGGAATCTGATAATAGCTAATTTTCTAAATCATGCAGTTGGGAGGTGTCTCAACGTTCATGATATAATCTTACATTTCCCTGACAAGGGAACTCTTTTCATGATGCTCATATTTCAGTGCAACTATGGGCCGCTTTGCTCCAGGTTTTAGTCATGTTTCAGATTCATTTAGAGATATGTTGCATGATGCCATCACCAATAAAGCAGCTTCAGGATGTAAGTCTTTCTCGACCACCCTGCTAGGCTGTGGTGATGGAAATGTCCATGGCTGACATAAACTTCATGCAGATCCTGGCAAAACTTCTACGAAAATTGCAATACTATGATTTGGATATCGTATTGGAAAAGCATCGAACATCTTCAAAGATTCGCAAATGGAGATAGCCACAAAAAAGGCTGGGACTCTTACCTCAGGGGCGAACATCCACATTTCGGCATCATGCATGAGACTTACGTCGTACCCGCTGGAAACTGGGAGACTATCTACTACAATTTCACTCCCTTTGGACTTGGTAAGAAAGGATGCCTCACTGCATCGAGTTTCATAGGATTAATGATAAGTTATAGGTCAAATAAAGCAGTTGATCGATCCTGATCCTGAAGAGAAGTCCGAGAGTACGTCGCAAAAGGAAAATTATACAAGTGGTTTAATAGAGGCAAAAGAGGCGAGCTGGAAATCTATGAAGCTTAGAATGGCAAGACTAGCTTCGGAATACCAGCCATTGTCCTAGGTGATTGCTCATTCCCTTGTGTCTCAATGGCTGATAATCCTCGAGCGTTGAATTGGAGCAAACACTTGGCTATTCTTCTCTGGCCCGGGAAGTGGTGAGTAAGTGTATGGCTAGCAGCATCATATGATTCAATAATCAAACTTATACTCAGTGCCCTTTGATTGAAGTGAAATTACTTCATGAATTGCTGAATACAATGATTGATTGCCTAAAATCAAACATAAGACCTCTGCACATTTTGCTTCTAAACGATGGCCATATTAAAGGAAATGATGCGATATCAAAAAATGACGCTGTTCACTTGACTTCCGAACTCCCATATATACAACGACAATTGAGGCAATGAATGTCATTCCGTCTACCCGTTTAAAAAGGAAACGGAAGGAGGACACTGAGCAGATTATTTTGAGGCTTCACAATGGAGGAACTTGTGAAATAGAACCGAACAACAAAAGTCTGTCTGTCATAGGAAGCAACGCCAAATCACAGAAATGGAGGTAGGCAGATCACGTTGACCTAAGATGAGAATTGTACGAACGTCATTTGTGACCCGCGAAAACCTTTCACCATACAATTTCTTGCTGAGTGCGGAGGCTTGGTGCGTCTGTCACCATTTTCACTTTCCTGCTGATTGAAGGCCTAAGTGAGCCAGCAAGTCTTGGCTATCATGTTGCTCCTCCAATCCCAATTCCCCGACCTTCTTCCAAAATTTACTCAAATGCCTAGTTCCGCTATCACAAAGAATAGTGACCACCGTACTTCCCTTTTCTAATTCCAACGCTGTTGCGACAGCTGCCACGCAATTGACAGCGCTGCTACTTCCCACAAAGATTCCATCCTTTTCCACTAACCACCTCGCCATTTTAAGTGCCTGCAGGTCTGTCACTTTGACGGCGTCATCGATAATTTCTCGTCCAGCTTCGAAGTTTTGTGTCAAGCGGTTGATTCCAATTCCTTCAACGATAGTATCGACTTGCTGCCGACGTCTTGTACCTTCTTTCTCTGTCGAAGAAAACATCACACCATGTTTCACTTTATTGTAAAGACCACTTCCCTCCGGATCAGCGAGTACGACTTTTAAGTCTTGTCCCATGAGTTGCTCTTGTTTCAAATAGAGGGCCACTCCTGAGATGGTTCCTCCTGTACCAGCACCGGCCACAAACGCATCAATCTAAATGCCATCAGTTAAATTTATGTGAAGGTTATGGAGCTTAGTTGCTTACATCCCCTCCTGTCTGGGCATAGATCTCAGGCCCTGTAGATTGAAAATGCGCCCGATAGTTTGCAGAGGATTCGAACTGATCGGCAAAGAAGCCTCTACTAGAATCCGTTTTGGACGCTGTGTGCTCTTTCGCTCTTCTCCTTGCCAGGTTGACGAAATGCTCCGTAGAAGTGATTGGTGCAGGTGTGACTCTTTCGACTGTGGCACCAAGGCGATGAAGAAGATCTGATTTTTCTGTGCTCTGATCATTGGGCATGCAGATATATGCTTTGTAACCTCTAGCACGTGCTAAAGTTGCAAGTGAGATACCAGTTGATCCAACAGTGCCTTCATAAATAGTATCTCCTCGACCAGGCTTCAGGAATCCTTCCTCTTCTGCCATCGTGATCATATTCAGCGCTACTCTATCTTTGGGACTTCCACCACCTCCATTGAGAAATTCCGCCTTTGCAAGAATGGTACATCCTGTTGCATCGGACAGACTTTTAATCCTGAATAATGGTGTGTTGCCAATACATCCTTCTATTCCTTCTGGGATTAGAGGTTTTGGTAATCCCAGGACTGATTTCCAAGTTCGGTCTTCTAGTTTTAACGGAGGAAGATTAGACCCCACCGGCCGTAGATCAGATGATGAAGAACCAGACGCAATAGTTCCACTTCTCTTTTCCTTTCGCCGTCTCTGATACCTTCGTTCTAAATCTGGATATAAATCCTTGAAACCCAATGTCAACAGAACTCCTGCGACGAATGCAACTGCAACTGCCGCAGTTCCATATGCCTTGGGATGATTGCCCATAGACATCTTATCATCGTATTTTCATCATCATTTCAGTTATGGACAATGGGTGCCAACATTTTGTTGATGTCGTCTCTCAGCAAATATCCTTGCAAAACTTTGTGTATAAAGAAGCTTGGACCAACTAGAACTTGACATTGCGACAAGAGGTTCCCCAAGAAACACACAGGAGGAGTTAAACTCTTTTGTCTATGGACTCTTCAATTGTGGCACAACTGTTTCGGCAGCTATTTCGACATAAGAATTGTCGTGTCTTACGATCCCATTCCTCGTTTTATTCTCGAGCTTGGAACGGGCACGGTACGCAGTTAAGATGTTTGTCGAGCATCAGCAGGAGGGGCAGAGGGGTGAAGGAGACGAGCAAGAATGAAAGCCATTGGCAGCAGAGAACAGACTTGTTTCCTGTAGATATGATGGAGGAGTTTAATAAATATCCCATGGTTACAGCAGATCAGCTCAGGGGGAGGAGGGAAAGACCTAGACGTGTAAAGATGCTGACGCGAGATTTTATTGAAGGTATCCACAAACCGCGTTATCACACAGCAGACCTTACTGACACACTATGCAGATAGTTTATACAATCCTTCTTATGGTTATTTCTCCAAACAAGTAGTAATCTTCACTCCTGGCGAACCTTTCGATTTTAACTCCCTCGAAGACGAACCAGCTTTCCACCGTCTCCTGGGTCAACGGTACACCGAGTTTGAGGATGAGCTGGATCTTAAATCTCCCAACGAGACCCGTCAACTATGGCATACACCGACGGAGCTCTTCAGACCCTACTACGGCGAAGCTATAGCCCGGTATTTGGTCAATAATTACAAAATATGGCAATACCCGTACCACGATCTCATAATCTACGAAATGGGAGCCGGAAACGGCACCCTCATGCTCAATATCCTCGACTACATTCGCGTCACAGAACCTGAGGTTTATGCCCGCACAAAGTTCAAGATCATTGAGATATCGAGCAATCTCGCGTCTTTACAAAAATCACACCTCTTAAGGAACGCTAATTCTCGGGGACATTCATCTAAAGTTGAAATAATCAATAAGTCAGTCTTTGAATGGAACCAGATAGTACCGTCGCCATGTTTCTTCCTAGCCATGGAAGTTTTCGACAACTTTGCGCATGACTCCATCCGATATGACCCTGTCACGGAAGAACCTCTCCAAGGCACCGTCCTGATATCCAACACTGGCGACTTTTACGAGTTCTACACACCCACTATCGACCCCATAGCATCCCGTTTCCTCCGCGTACGACATGCTGCTACAAATGGAAAATATCCACACCCACTTCCTCAGAACAAACTAGTGAGATCATTGAGAAATAGCATGCCATTCGCTCCGAATCTCAGTCAGCCGGAATATATACCTACGAGACTTATGCATTTTTTCGATATATTGGCCAAATATTTCCCGGCGCATAGGTTGGTGACGAGTGATTTTCATTCGCTGCCGGATACAATCAAGGGAGTTAATGCGCCAGTTGTGCAGACGAGATATAAAAGGAGGACGGTTCCTGTGTCGACGCCCTTTGTGAGCTTAACTATTCCTTCGCCTTTTCCCCTTTTCTGCTTCATGGGCTAATACAAGATAGGTACATCAAGGATATTTCGACATATTGTTCCCTACTGATTTCGCGGTCATGGACAATGTATACAGAGCCATCACAGGGAAATTTACACAAGTTTTATCACACGAAGAGTTTCTGAACCGATGGGCTTATGTGGGACAGACGGAGACCAAGAATGGGGAGAATCCTCTTTTGACGTGGTATAAAAATGCCAGCGTTCTTACCACAGTATGAGAAATGAAATACCAAGTAACTGTGCACATTGCAAAATTCCTATCAGCGCACAGTATATGATAAAATTTGGGTATCTATTTATACTATCTGGCAACTAATCCTTTCTAGCTGGCCATGTACAAAGCCTGCCTAGTTGGAGGGAAAAAGAGCTTAACACAAAGCTGTATGTTCGCAGAATTAAAAATGATGTCGTCAGCTATAGAAGCATTCCCACATGTTGCTCCAACTTTTGAAGTTGGAGCACGTAGGTCTAAATATATTGATGAAAACAGCCCATTAACTCCAGTTTAATCCATTCTGTTGCTTACCAGAATATGCTTTATCCCCACTAATATTTATAGAAAGCCGACATTTCTTCTTTCAAAGCCATGATCATCTTCGAAAGATTTGTATACTCACGATGGCTCGTGTCGAGAATCAATGAGTATTCAATTGTGTCTCTCGGCCGGCGCATGTGCAATTCCTTAATTGCCTTCCTATGGGAAGTGTTTAGCTGCTCAATAGTATTGATAAATTCGACGTCTTTCTCAGTCAAACCGATCATAGTCGATCTAATATCGGCAAATTTGACAAGTTCGTCCAAACACAGAGAAGCTTCGGTTGTCATAAACACCGCTTGCAATTGATCGACAAAATGTCTTTGTTTTTGGCAGTAGCGGTCCCTAGGTTTGGAATCATTGATACTCGATTCTGGTGTGATTCCATTTGTGATGTCGTCGATCAGGTCCTCCAGTTGAGAAGCCATTTCAATAGTGGGATCTTGCTGTTGCAGTCTTTCGCCTTTCTGTAAGCAACCCAAAATTCGATTAATTCTTTCAGTGACGGTATCCAGCTGAGACTTTTGTTGGTGGATCCAATCTTCGACGAGGGGATAAAGGGATTTGAATGTGTTGGCAATAAATTCGTAGTCATTCTCGGCTTCTTTATCCTTGGGAATATCTTGGCACTTATTTTCGGGTTCTTGGACTTTGGAACTAGGACCTTCGAAAGTGTTGTCGCAAACATTGTTGTAAGAGTTTTCGAGGTTGTAGGTTTTAGATTGAAAAAGTTCGGGGTTGTTCGGAGAATTATGTGATCTGGAATTCTCAAACACAGTTGTAGAGGATCCTAATCTGCTGTGCTCAGATGGAGATGCCGGGGATGTTGATAACTCTCTGGTATCCACGTTAGCATTAGTCAGAGCACTGCTACTTTGAAATCAAGCTTTTCAAGAAGTATACTTACGGTTGTACCAGCTTTGAACTTCCGGATCTCCTACCAAATCTAGGCGTATCAGGTTTCTTTTCTTTGCCATTTTTTGATGTGGTAGTGATGGTCTCTCTGTATGACAATCAGCTTGATATGCGTGATCAATTTCCCACTGCACCCACTGCACCCACGATTCTACAAGAACAGTTCCTCGGCTATTAAGATCATGCTCTGACTCTAGATCAATGGATCCTAGGCCTGGACCACTGCGATGGCGCTTTGCTGGCGATACTTGCTCTTTTTCGCTACTTGGCTTTCTGGTCAAAAGTATAAGCAACGTAAAAATGCACTTCAATGCCTCAATTTTGTTTGGAATATTACCGAATTGAGGGAGTAAAATATGAGTTTTTCTCTACTTCGCAATGATTGCGTTTCCGGGGACTGCGGGAGGAGGATGGCTCTGGTGTTTGCTCTTCGACACTGCGACGTTTAGACACCTTAGTAAATTCATCTTTCCAAAACAGGCGGCACTGGATATTCCAGCAAAGAGTGGTACTTACTCTGAATCTTGTAGGATTTCTCTCACAGTGACGATAGGCTCTTTGTTTCTTACCGCAAGGTTTAAGCTCCACTCCAACGTGTCCATTTTGTGGCGAATACCTGAGTATTAAAGAATTGATATAGTGTTTTAGTGTTATAGTAAGCAGACGAAAAGAGAAATCATGGAACTCCTTTTCCGGAGAGAGAAAGAGAGAAATCTTGAGAGGTACGCGTTGTGGGAACAGGCCTGAGGGAGGATGATGCTCAGCAATTTTTAAAGTAGAAGGCGATTAGGGATATTCGTTCTTACCTTTCAAGGCTTTACACAACCCTGATGAGATCTAAGCTGCTATTTTACTTTTGTGTGTTGAGTGATTTCATAACAGTGCTCTCTTGGTGCACATAAACCCAAATGAGGTATGGAGGACCAAGTATATTCCGCTTGCCAACTGGATTCCATGAAAAAGTCAAAATCTATTTCTAAATGGGTACTAAATCCGTTCATTCAACATCAAAAACCCACACAACAAAAATTTCCAAGAACCTTCTGCTCATCTGAAAATAATGCTCTCCAAATGCTTTATTTAACCCAACTAACCGGGTTCGATCATCATAACGCCGACAAGTCCGCAATTTTTCTCTCTATTCTAATCGCCAATCTTCATCAACCCTCCGGAATATCTCTATGACAGAAGTTAGTCACACATTCCTCATAGACACTAGCCACACTAGAAAAAAACGAGTCTTACCAAGTGACTCTCTCCTGATTCTTTCTTCCTTGGCATTGGTCGGGCTTCCCGCAACATTGCTTACCAAATTTTCCTGCTGATATTCCTCTTTTCCCAAAACATCTCTCCAAAAGTTCCTCGGCTGTACAAAATCATCATCTATAACTTCACTCGTGAATGCGGTTACCTTCCCGCTCCAAACTTCATGTTGAATATCATGTACAGCCTGAACATTCTGACTCGCAGGAGCAAGTGAAACAAAACTTGATCGAACGTAGTTTGGGTCTGGGCCATAGTTACCGTTGATAGAAGAAAGGCTATCACGTTGATATGGCGCGTAGACAGGACAATGAGGAGCGTTCGATCGAATTTGCTGATAGTTTGTACCGAGACGGTAACGGGCGGCGTCTGGATATGAAAAAAGACGAGCTTGAAGCACTTCCAAAGGTAGGGGTGCTTAGCGATGTCTATATGTAAAGTCAGAAGCTGGAACTTACCTGGATCTGCGGATGGGGCTATACCTGGAACCATATTTGAGGGCGAGAAAGCGGCTTGTTCGATATCTGCAAAATAATTGTTTGGCTACACGAAATTAGTGGAAGGAGAGTAGTAAGTGGATGAGACTATCTTACATTCCTATTTAGGCTCATTTTGCCAAATGGCCTCAAGGGAACATCATTATGTGGCCAGACTTTAGTCATATCAAACAAATTCTAACGAAAAGATTCTGCATCTTTGGGATCCATCACTTGGACATTTTCTGTTCAGCTAGGAAAGTCTCCACGCTCAATAGCATTAAAAAGATCCAACTTATGGTGATCAGGATTCACACCTGAGAGTTTCTCTGCATCTGCTGCTGTATTGCTTTTCACTCCCTGGTTTGAAATCAAGTGGAATCGTATACATACTTGAATGTACCGTCTTGCTTGGTGAATTTGTAAGTATGGCCACTGTACGCGTCCAAATTACGTAGTGAAGCAGGAGTCCCTCGATCTGAAAAGAGATACATGATTTGATGAGTACCTTCCGGGTTATTGTTGTGAAAGTCCCAGAACATGTCAGCATCCGGAACATTGGTTTGCGGGTGATGTTTGTGGGACCGATTCAGGGAGGGGAATTTGATAGGGTCGCGAATGAAGAACACGGCAGTATTGTTAAAGACAAAATCTTGGTTTCCTTCCTCGGTGTAAAACTTCATGGCATATCCTCGTACATCTCGTACTACATCTGGAGAGCCTTTATCCCCTCCTACCGTAGATATGCGCACTATAAAAGGAGTTTTCTTTCCAATGCCATTCAAGAAGGCTGCTGAAGTCAAGTCTAAGATGTCGTGAGTAACTTCAAATTCGCCGAAAGCGCCGGCTGCTTGGGCATGGACTACTCTGCAATTTGTTAGTCAATATCTTCAAATGCCTTTGCAACACATGCCTCTCTAGGATTCTTTCTCGAGCAAAATGTGCAAGTGTTTCGATTAGTTGCGTATCTTCCAATAGCATAATACCCCCTAGGCCGAACGTGTTTAATCGTCCGGAAGTGGTTGGATCGGCAACTGGTACTCCTAAGAAAGGTTAATATCATAAGGTTCGGTGAAGATCCACGGGCGAAGTACCTTCGGCTAAAGTGTAAACATGTCTTTGGTGAGAACCGAGCTGTCGAGAGTTACAGTGACCGTGCACTGCTACTAGCCATAGGCACTTTTTACACCAAAACTCACTCTTTTCACTTATTAATATTAAAAGAACTCAATATTTTTTAAAGAAATCCTTTAATATACTTAAAAAAATTCATTTAAAGATTCCATATTTTTGATTTTTATAAATTTTAGATTTTGAAATTTTCCTCATTTTACCGCAAAAATTGAATCAAAATTTCATATGGTCATTTTCAAACTCAATTACATTATTTTGAAAATTTCCAAAAATAATCAACTAATTTTTTATTATATATTCAATTCGAAATAATCCAATTCAATCACACTTTTATAATAATTGGAATTGTTTTAATTTTGTAAAATGGTTGAGGTTTGGTGTGAAAAGGTCATTCGGCTAGTACTGTAGTTGTGGCCGAGATAGTTCATTTGATTTTCAAACCTTTGGTGTCATTTTGTAAAGTGTAAGGGTAAATTTTGATATTCAAATGAATTATGTAGGGGGGCTTGTCAGTACAGAGACTGTCTAAATAAAACTTATAAAAGTTTGCTGCTTCAGTTCTACTCTTGGACAAAACGAACTAGATATATTTCGTAGTTACCGTATCATCATCAAATACGACCAGTCTCCGAGAGTATCACCGGAATATTCGCGGAGAGTGAGCTGAGTGCATTATACATTATACATCAACATGTATAGAACGTATAAGGCCTACTCAACCAATAAATGAAAATAACTCGGAGAATTAATGATTGCTCGCTTGAACAGCATAATTGAAGGCGTCAAATAGGAATTGCTGCGCGAAAAGCCTCACACGCAGCGACACAGTTAGAATGCGATTATTAATCAGATATACGTGCTCTACATATCGAACTGACGGAAAACTTACCATCTTGTGGTACAAGAGCAAGAAACCTCATGAAAATAGAACGTGTAGCGAAGTTCTTAGATTGGCAGTGCGCTATATCATTTCGAAACTCGGCATGAAAATCGGCAACGTCGAAAAGTTGCCGAGTCTTCAAATTCGGAATTCTCTATACTGGGCTTCTCCGATTGTTCTAAACAAACCGAACTTGCACCTCAGCCTTAAGTCTTGATTGAATACTATATTTTATATTATCATATTCAAATGAATTAACATAATTTCAAATTCAAAAAACTCTTTAAATAGTAAAATCTTCATTCTGATAATTTTCTCTTTTTTTAAATATAAAATATTAGAATAACTTCATTATCTGATTGTACCTATGTTGAAGGAGGGTTCCTGTGGTGAAGCTAGTCCCAATTAATAAGATCTTACTAAGCGAGCTCTGACTTAGGTTGAATACCATTCTGTGCCTTATGCTTGCTTCCTGTGAAAAGTCATACTTTAAACATTACATCCAGAAAAAATCATTTGGATTTATTAATCGAAAAGTTTATAGCTCAAAAAATCATATTTAAACTCAGAAACACGTTAAGAAAATTGGTGCAAACAAACTACTCCCCATCCGCCACGGCCTTCCTAATCTCTTCCACCACTCCATCCACGAAGCTTTTCACCTCAACTTCTCCCATCAGAACCTTGTCAACCTTAACTCCAAAATCTACACAATCATTATCTCCCTCCCCAACATCTACAAACAAGTTTCTCTTCGCCGAGTACTTGGTATCTATATTCTGCACCGCCGTCTCTCCATCAATTCTTTTGTTCGGTGCAAAGTCCGTGGGCACACCGATACTAAGTGGTTTCAACAGCTCTTCAGATTCCTTTGCAATGGTGGATTCCTCGCCTGACTTATGGAAAAGCAAGTTCAAACTTACATTGAACAGGAACAGTGGTTGCAGCTCCTCTACCGTATCAACACCTCGTGCCCAAGTCACCACATCCATCAAGCGACTCTGCTCCCATGCCACCCGCTTACTCATGTCCCTCTGAATACTTTCCAGTATTTCCTTTTCCTATCCTGCGGAAACAGCAATTGAAACTGGCAGCAAATTAACCGTTGGCGCACCCTCAAAACTACTTGAGCATCCCACCTGGAAGAATCCAAACGTAGGATTTGTCGTCCCCGTTATTCTTGCGAGAGTGCGCAAATGCTAACATTATAATTGTATTAACACTTGTGCTGTTTGCGCGGGCTAGAGTGTGTAGAGTGCTGAGATTGGGAATGGCGCGTTTGATCCAGACGAATGTTTGGGTCATGTCTTGTTCATTTTTCTTGTCCTCGGTAACTGGAGCGAGAATTGTCCGTTGTGCAGATCTCAGTGCAGAACTCCAGTAGGACTTTTGCTCGGCGAGTGCAGATGGTGCTGAGAGGGATGAATAAGTGTATTTGACGAACGAAACAAAATCGGGTGTGGCAGGCAAGACTGATTCAGGTTGTGTATAAAGAGCACAAAATTCCTTGATGAGAGCAGTCATACTCCACGCATCGTATAAAGAATGATGAATTCTGAACAACACTGCATCTGCTGCTTCGGTCTGTACAAGACAAAGGCTGATGGGTGGAGTGAAAAGCGTAGCAGGATTTTGAGCCCAGTAATAGACTTGACGTTTGACAGCCGAGACCAAATCTTCATTTGTTGACTGGATTGGAAGAACGGTGAATGTTTCATCGTTAATGACCTCTGGTTTCAATAAAATCTGATAGGAGAATTCAGATATCGGAGCGGTGAATACCGTTCTTAAAATTGGATGTCTTAATTGAAGATCCTTCCACACAGTACCCAAGTACCCAACCGAGCCGTATCAATCTTCTCACAAGCTTGGAAAGCCCAGGTGGGTTCATAGAAAGTTCTTCCAGATTTAAGCCAGCTGGCCAGATGATATTCTTGGCCTGCGATCACAGGTAAGATTTCCTCCACTGTATTCTCGGGGTACTTGAGTAGTGAAAGTGCACTCGCTTTGCACTCGGGAGATAGAAGCTCTCTCCTCTCATCGTGCTGTTGAGTATTGGCTTTCGACTTTGAAACGAGAATTCGGACGACACCACCAAGAGAGTTTCCTTGGAGGATATCAGCAACGGTTATCGGTACATCACGTCTGCGACAGATAGATGCTACACGAATTGCAGCAATTGAGTCGACACCCATGCAGAAGATGCTAGTCTATAACGACACAGATTCTGTAGGTAAATTTACCACCTCCGCTAGAGCTGCACGAACAACTTCAAGCATTGGCACATTATGATCATCTGAAATTTCTGTCCTGCTCTTTGGTGTGCTCTCGAGTGGCAAATCGTGTAACTGCTCAGGATAAGCAACAACCTTCTCTGTGGGTTTTCAAAAATATCTCTCAAGGCATGATCAAAGGTGTTACAGATCAAGCCGTGATCCTCGGTGTTGATACGCCCAGCAGGAGAATCAGCACTAACGATCAGCTTATCCGTTCCTTGTTCAATCTCAACGTTCAATCCATACTCAGTAGCGTCACGACTATCCTCCATATCCATCAAGGTCCAGAGTTTCTCACTTTGCGGTCCATTCATCTCTCCGACCTTCTGAAACACAAATAATGCATCTAAGAGAGCACCGTCTGTGAAAGCATTCTTCTGGCGCCAGAACTTCTGAATATTTGGTAGAGAAGCGTGTTGGTTTTCCTGTCCCCGGACAACCACATCTTGAATTTGGCTAGCGTAGTCCTGGTTTCAAGTAAAGGATTGTAAAGCGCAACGCGGAGAGGAACAGTGTTGAAAAGTGGACCAAGGACTTGTTCAACATCAGGAAGCGGCAGGGAACGTCCAGAGACGACATGGCCGAAAACGATGTCACGGCGCTTTACAAAGCAGAAGAGAGTTTTGGCGTATCCAAGTAGAGCAACGGATTGCAGATTTATATTCATCTCTTGGCAGCGCTGAAGGATCTCGGAAACGGGCATTTGTATGGTTGTCGTGGCAAAGGAGGTTGTCTCTGTTGGAGTGATGGTAGATGGTATGGGGATGCTTTGATAATTGTCCAGTCTATTCAGCCAGAACTTGACACTGTTTCCTTGTCGCTCGTTGATGAGTTTTGCAGCATCAGAGAATGGAGTCATGGGTGTCGAAATGCCTTGTAAGTATGCTGTTGACAAAGAATCGAAAATGAGGGGTAATGACCATCCATAATATAGACTGTGATGGATTGAAATGACTAGTACCTTCATGAAAAACGAATTTATAATTGTTACCTTGAGTGGGGTATTGGAGAAAGAGTCTGGAGTGGGGAAACTGGTATTTTCGACAACTTTCTCGATGCTTTTGTCTATCCACCTAGATGCTTGCTCCTCTACCTACGGAATATTTGGATTCTCATGTACAGCGGCCAACCATGGATTCGCAGACCCCTCGAAATAATGAAACGTGGTTCGAAAAATGTCATGAGATTCAATCACTGAAGCCCATGCTTTCTTCAGACGCTCGATATCAACATTGGCAGATAGCCTGACAGCAGGATGATGAAGATAAAGCTTTCCACCAGTTGTAACTGTTTGAGTCAAGATGCCAGTTTGCATAGGTGTAGGAGCATAGACATCCGTGATCCTGTCATTCTCTGTCAACAATGGGATGCTCGCTCCATGTTGATCTAACAAATTCGATGTCTTAACCGCAATAGGCTTTACAGTAGATTGGGTCTTGCTCTTGCTAGCAATAGCTGGAGCTAAAGTTGCAATGCTTGGGTGCCTTCCAATATCCGAAGACGAAACTTCGAGTCCGACGCTTCTCAATTCCTTGGCAAATCGAATTGCAATGACGGAGTCGATGCCAAGGCGGAAGAAAGTGCTATTTCTGGAGACATTACCTGATGCGAAATCGCCCAGCCCAATTAATACAGCCTTGATGGTCTGCTCTTCGGGCAGTTCTTCACTATCATCAAATTCGACAGCAAATGTACAATCCGGGGGCATTTAACTCTCGACCAATTTCCATAGTCCATTATCCGCTTCTTCTTCTTCCGTCTTGATGAAAGAAAACAGGCAGTTGAAAAGAGGGCGGTCAGCTTCAACCCATTTGTGGATGGATCTTGGGGAGCTATGTTGGAATTGAAGCATTTGACCCGAAAACTTCTGGAGCGAGGTTAAGATATCCAGCACAGTGATTGTAGTAGCAACAAGGTTTTCGATGTTAGGTACGGGTACTGTACGCCCAGAAAAAATGAGACCAAACACGAAGTCGTTGATCGAAAGCAATTTTGCCATGGCAAGGCCGAAGATAGCTTGTGTTAAACAAGGAAGTGTAACATGCAGCCTGGATGCAAAGGCCTCGAGTAAGCTCAAACTGCTCTTCAAAATTCTTGTGGAAACCTGGGCTTCAATCTCGTCTTCGTTCACTTCATCATTGAGAATAAGAGGGCAGCTGTAATCTCCCAATCTCTTCACCCAGAAATTTCTCGCAGCAAGTTCGTTTTGGGAAGCAACATATTCGACGAGCGCTCCAGCCGAAGGTCGCTCAGGTGTCCGTATACCTTGATAGCACATTAAGATATCCTGCATTAAGATACTCAAAGGCTCGACATCGTAGAGCGCGTGATGCATGGAAATCAAGAGTATGGATTTCGAAGCTCCTTCTGTGAAGACATTGAGTCGTATTGGTGGCATGTTCTCAATGTTTTGCATGATGTCTAAAGTGATTGCTTCTTGCATCTTGGCTGCGGTGCAATGTCTGCTAGATTTGGTGTAGACATGTTCTGCCCATGGCATATCAAAAGAGTCATTGTGAGTACAACCTGCAAGATATTATCATTGATTTGGCAGAAGCACGTCCTCAAAATTTTTTGGATAGCTGCGCATGATTTCCAAGCATGAAACAATTTCGACTTGTCGATATCAGAAGCGAGCTCAAAAGTGATGTGATTAACATATAAGGCACCGGAGTTCTTGTTTAATGATCGAGCAACAACAGCTTCTTGGACTGGTAAGCAGGGTCGGACAGTCTCAACGTTCATCCCGGACTTCTTTCCCATGATACTCGCTCTAAACGCAGCTTCGGCACGAGCAAGTTTCTTCTGGGCATTTTCCTTGTTTGTAGCTGTCTGTTCAGGTGTGTTATCGGAACGTGGTAACAATGCCAATTCTTCAACCGTGCCGATACTAAGAACATCAGCAACACTGCATGTGTACCCAGCCTTTCTCATCAATGTCGAAAGACTGACGGCTACCAAACTATCGACACTAACCCCGAGGATATTAGTAGATGGAATGAACTCTGCGGAGGTAATTGGCACCACACTCTTGAGTATCTCAACCGCAGCAAGTTCTTGCTCGTTTAAGTCACGGGCAGTAACAGTTTTGGTTCCGGTTGATTCCTTTTTCGGCAGACAACAATTGACTTAGTAGTATTGAAGCAAAGATAGATTTGAGTTGCTTCACATCTGCTTTGCCAGAAATAGCAGCGAGCGGCAAGAAGTTGACTGGAATAACCACACCCGGAACCATGTAAGCAGGAAGTCGTTCTCTACAGCCGGCACGAATGTTGACATTTATTTCCTCGAAAGAATCCAACATCTCAACCTTCTCATCCTTTTCAGTAGCCTTCCTGCTAGCAACGAACGAGATCAATTGCATCCTGGAAAGCTCTTGGTGTTTCGTAACAAGAGAAGACACATTACTTCCAGCTGGTAATAGAGCTCGTACTGCTCCGGAAACTTCACCTAGTTCAAGACGCTGACCGCGAATCTTGGTTTGATCGTCTGAACGGCCCAAAATCTCTATCGTATCATCGGGCATTAATATTACCAAATCTCCTGTGCGATACATTCTAGAGCCATGGAAATTCTCTACAAATGCACCAGTATCACGGTTATGATAATCAATACCAACGAGACTCCCTGTCAGGCAAAGTTCGCCCTCCACTCCTCTCTTGGCAAGTGGGAGTGCCAGGAATGAGCACATGAGCAACAGTGTCTCCTAGAGGTCGTCCAACATTCCTCATATTTGCTTTCGAATTGACACACGCAGAGGAGGCACAACCAATCGTAGCTTCGTTAGGACCATAAGCATTGATCAAAGTAACACTATTCGAATCACCCCAGGTTTCAAGTGTCCGTTGAGAAATTTTCTCACCACCCACACCCAGATACTTCAGCAAGGGAACATCGCTCGGTATCAAACCACATTGATCTAGGAGCGATGGTACAAAGCCAGCATGTGTAACTTTCAACTCTTGTAACGCCATAGGCAAATCGTCTAGTAACATGGATTTGTTTCCGGTAATGCAAGAGAGACCATGTCGCCATGCCAGGAACATTTCAGCAACGTGGACATCAAAAGCTCTGCTCGCTAGCCCGAGGAATTTCCCAATTCCGCCAAGAATACGAGTGGTAGGTACGTTCTCGCAAATTAATTCGGATTGAGCTTCGCAGGAAGAGGTGAGATTGCCGCAGCTGATCAGCAGTCCCTTAAGCTTACCTGTTGACCCAGAAGTATAGAGGAGGTAAGCGACTGAGTCTTTGTTCTTCTCGGATTCCTGAGTGACATCGCTCTCGGTTTGGAATTGGTCACGATTAACATTAACAGCCAGGCATTCTCCAGGAGCAAATTCAACGGATTCCTCAGAGAAGAATATAGCAGAGTTAATATCTCTCAACAAAAATGCCTTTCGCTCAATTGGCAAATTCTCATCGATGGGTAGATAAGTGTTTCCAGACTTGAAGATTCCGACTGTGACGGCAAACGCTACAAGTGTGTGACCCAGACACATACCGATCATGCGACCATGGATTCCATGAGATGAGATGAATGCAGCAACTCGGTTGGCCTCATGGTTTAATCTCGAGTAGCTCCAAGTATGGATTATGCTCGAATTTCGGCCAATAGACTCCGCAATTTCAGCTGCTGCCCAGTGGGGATGTGTCTCTGCCCAGTGCTCAAACCAGCAAAGAGGATTGTTCAAATCGACGATAGGGTCCAATTTCATTTCGCGGAACTTAGTGACGGCGATCAACTCGGTGGGAAATTCGTTGGTGAGATCTCGGATTGGGGTATCAGGATATGAGATCATCGCAGTGACCAAATATCTAACTGCTTGGTCAAAATTTTGACACCGCTGATATCCAGTACACCTGCTTCAACTGAGACAACTAGATCGAAGCCGCCAGCTGCGTTTCCCCCCACATTCAATGTAAGATCGTGTTCGACATTCAAACCTAAGAAATCTTCAATCTCGGTCCAGAGCTCATGTTTTTGTTCATTCTCGGTACTTCGCGGATGGAAAACAAAGACTGCAGGATAGAGTGGCTGGTTTTTAGGTCTCCCGATGAGCTTACGAAGCATTGCCGGATTGGCGTCTCTGTGCTTGTATGCAGCGACGTTCGTTGAACCATGCTTGACGACTATCTCTCGAGCGGTACCAGAAGTGAAAATTAGAACTGATGTCAAAGAAACTAGAGGTCCGACGATATCCTCAAGGGAAGAAGCTGCCAAACGTTCTGACAAAACTTCGCCAATGACTATCTTCTGGTCGGTTTCGAGGAAATCTGACACGATGCATGCCCAGGCGGCTCTGAGGATAGAATTAGCAGATGAGAATTGAAATTCTTGAGCTGTAGTTTGCAGCTTAGATATCGAGACAGAAAGAGGAATGGATATGGTATTGTAGGTTCGAGTTTTGTTTCCTTTAACCATTTGTTCCACACTGTCATCTGCTTTACTAACAAAGTCTTTAAGGGTATCCTTCCAGAAGACCATATCTTCTTGTGAGCTGGTTTTTGTCATGAATGAGATCGCAATGGCTTCTCGTATTTGATGTTGTTTGCTGAGTAGCCCTTCCTGGGCGACATATGCATCATGAAGATCATCAATGATAAATTTTAAGGAAGGTCCATCGTGAATAGTTTGGTGTTTTGAAAGCATCATTTTCCTACATCATCCCTTTCAAACACGTCGATAGCCCATGGCGAATTGATGAATGCACTAGTTTGGTGCTTCCGAGCGATTTGTTGTGCACAACTTTTTGCGCTTGTTGGGAAATTTTCGTTCGTAACTGTGATAATAGACCAGTCCACAGATGGCTTCTTGTATATCAATGAAGGAATGTTGATGCACCAAAGCCGGAATTTGCTTGAGCGGATACAGATGCCGTTGGCAAGAATCCAATACGGAGGGCTTCATTATTACGAGCAACCTGAAACCAAGCAGCATTCAGAAGCTCGAGATCGACATCATTAGAGAGTTCAAAGAAGTGGTTGCTCCAATAGTATTCGTAATTGCGGAATGTTTCGCTGAGAAGATTTTCCTGCAGTGGCAATGTCGGGCAAACAACAAATGCTTCGTCGCGGACCGCAGAATTTTCCACAACTTATGGGAGCCAATCGCGATGGAATACATCAAGTAACCTATGAGAGGTATCAAGGCAAGTTGAATCGGAGGCAGGCTTGTCGAATAGGTTGCAGAGATCTGCGATAGTTTAACAGTGCAATACCTGTGCAGCCGAAACCTTGTAACGGGCTGTCTTCAGTCTCGCTGTAAAACGAACTGCAGCAATTGAGTCAAAACCTAATGTTGCGAGTCTACTGTTTGATTGGAAATTCTTGCTCTCGGTCCCTAAAAAGGTGGTAAAATGCTGGAGAAGTCGTTCCTCCTCATCTGTCCAATTTGATTCCTGGATTGAGGTGAAATTACTTTCCCATGACTCAAGGTCTAAAGCTTCATAAGAGGCAGATAATACTTTTCGGTCGACCTTGGCGGAAGCAGTCACTGGGATACAATTTAATACCACGAAAATTCTGGAGTTCATATGCTTGGGGAGATTTGCTTTTGATACGGCTATTGTGGCTTTGGCGACTTCGACCGCGCGATCATTTATAATTAGTAAGTCATGTGCACAAATACTTGGTGTTGACAAGAAAGTCACCAAAACTTTTGTCGGGCGATCTGGTCGGGCCATGAGCATGGTAACAGCTTGTTCGGTATCTGGATGGCAATGGCTGAGAGCAAAACTGATCTCACTTAACTCAACCCGCATTCCGTTGATCTGAACCAAGTCATCACGGCGTCCCACAAACTCCAGACTTCAATTGTGAAGTTGACGAACAATGTCTCCAGTCATGTATATATGAGCTCCACAACTCTCATTCCAATGAAACCTTTCTTCGATTTTGGCCGGGTCTTTCCAATATCCACGGGCTACCTGTGAACCAGACAGGGTAAATTCACCAACCCCATTTCTCATCACAACTCGGTCGCTATTAATCACAAAGACGCCAACGGACGGTAATGGTAGTCCGAAATTTGTGCTCTTGAAAGAATTTTCGTAACCGCCAAATTGCTTGACTGTGGATACAACACTCACTTCAGCAGGACCATAAGTGTTATACGCGAGCATATTCTGCGACCAATCATCCGCAACAGCCTGAGGTAATGCTTCGCCAATCATTGTAATAATTTCGAGTGTTTTGGGATGTGCGCAAGACACAATTGTTGCAAAAGCAGGGGTGAGATGGGCATGTGTAGCATTGGTCATATTGGCAAGATCAGGGGAAGAACCAAGCATTACATCTTTGGCTGCTGCAATGACTGTTCCACGAAGACCCCATGTGTAGAAAAGATCTTGAACGAAGACATCAAATGTTGGTTGTGAGAACTGAAGACATCGGACTTCTCCAAAACGGTTTGCGGGTATGGCTTCCTTTAATGATTGCATGGCTGTGGCAGCGGCGCTATGTTGGACTTGCACACCTTTGGGCAGACCTGTTGTACCACTAGTCCATATCAAGTATGTCATAGAGTTGCTTCTGATTATGGGTAGATTTGATGGTTTGGTTTTGTCGAGGATGAAATTAGAATTCGTTGCTTTGTTCTCCGATATGTCTATCAAGGAAACTCCTTGCGGTATGGCTTGACCGTCTTGACTAACAGTATTATTTGCCACTAAGAGCATGTTAGCATCTGTCCTAAGAATCAGACCATGTCTGCGGGATGCTGGGATAGTTGGATCAATTGGACACCAAGCACCACCAGCTTTGAGAATCCCAAGGACTGCCACGTATAGCTCCGGTGACTTGTATATAGGAAAGGGAACAACTTTGTTTTCCAAAGGACCGTATCTCTGAACGAGATAAGACGCAAGTCGGTTAGCTTTGCGATCAAGCTCAGCAAATGTCCATTTGACGTTTGCTGCTGGATCTTGAGCCATGAAATTGTTTATGAAGATAAGTGCGACATCTTCCGGGTTCATCTTTGAGTTTCGTTCAAAATCGGTATGTAAAAGAGCGCTGGGCCCAGTCAATTTGGCTGACAAGATCTGGGGGTATATTGATGGAGCAGTGGCATATCATATCGACCATTTATGTAAAGCTTCTCGGGATTATGGATGACAAAACTGATAAGATCACTGAATTTCTGCAGCATCAGGGTAGCAGATGCATCATTCAGGAGCTCATCTGTATACGTCGCTCTGAGACGAAGAGATCCATATACCTCAGGCCAGATCTCAATCATGACAGCAAAATCGTTGGCCATGGCAGGGTATTCAACCTTCGACCACAATTCAGAATGGTTCGTGCCGATCGAAAAGTCCTGGAACGCCAGGAGAGTATCGTAGTACAATCCTCCCTTTGGTGCTACTATAGAGTTCAATGGTATCTGAAGATGACTTAGAGATTCTGCATTTATCTTGGCTATCTCATGCAATATCGAGGAAACACTGGTTGATTCTGACTCAAGCAACTGAGCAGGAATATTGATCGGTACTGTGGTAAAAGTAGGACCCATACAAACTTTGGAGTCTTCATTCAATCGACCAGACATTACGCTTCCAAAAGTTGAGCTGTGTATGGAATCCTTATAAGTGGTAAGAATCAATGCCCAAGCCGCCTGGAGAATACTCAGTGGTGAGGTGGAGCAGTTCATGGCACCATCACGCAAGTTATCAGTACCAATTGATGCTTTGATTGAGGATGTCAATGGCAGCTTTGTCATTGTCTCTGGTCTCAAGCCAGTAAGTGATAGGAAAGGAACAGGGTCACATTCTTTTAATTGAGAGGACCAGAACTCGACTGTTTGTGTGGCATCTGACTGGTAGTGCATATCTACCGCGGTGGAAATTCCGGTTCTTTTGGGCGTTTCCGATCCACGATATGCCAGGTCAACTTCATCAAACAAGATTTGTAATGAAGCAACATCGAATATGCCGTGGAAAATGTTGAGAGTGAAAAACGTTTTGGTAGGTGATTGGATAAGAGTCATTCGATATGGTGGTCTATACAAGACTATTTCGTCCTCGGCCTCACGAAGTGTCGATTGTATGAACTTATCCATAATCTGAAAGTCGTCGGACTCGCAAGCTACTACCTTCCAGCTTGGTAGACTCAAGGTACATGATTCTTTCAGAACACATTGTCCCAACGGCGATAAAGCATCATCAATGGCGACGAAAACCATCCTGTATGATTCATGGCGTTTGACAGTGGTTATCCAGGAATGCTTGAGTGAATTTGGGAGGCTGTATCTTACTGGAGACAAGGCTCGGATTGTAACTGATCGTAGAGGTCAACATTTCCTGGAGTTCCTTGGACACGTAGATACTTCCCACGCCTAGATACTTCCCACGCCTAGATACTTCCCACGCCTAGATACTTCCCAAGTTAAGCTCAGTGGCAGGACAGTTGATCTGGGCGAAATTGATACCGTTGTGTCGAGTTGCAAAGGAATCAAAGAGGCGGTGACAGTCTCATATAAGCGATTCGCCGATCAGGCAGATAGCGAGGACGCTGTTTGTTTCATTATACATGAAGCGGGTAACACCAAGGAAGATGTGTAAATCAGGTTTCGTGAAAACGCAGCTCGACTCCTTCCATCATACATGTGTCCCTCGAAGTATTTTGTCTTATATGAGATGCCAAAATCTTTGGCTGGTAAGATTGACAGAAAAGCTCTATCTGCTATGATGGAAAGTTTTTGGAATGAGGAAGGCTCGAAGCCCACTCTTTCGATCCAAAGTGGTGAAGATATCAGTTCGATGGATTCTTATTGGCAAGACGAAATCGAGAAACTGATTTGCCACCTATTGTCGAAGCTGGTAGAATCTGCCGCTAATTTGGATTCTAACACTAACTTGTTCGCTCTTGGTATTGACAGTTTGAAAGCTATTCGCTTTTTGCAGCTAGCTAGAGATGTCGGCATCACTGAGCTCAGTATTGCTGATGTATTTGGAGGTGCAACTCCCCTAAAGTTGAGAAACGTCATAGTGGAGCGCCGCAAAAGTGATACTGGTGAGACACCTGCTCATCATGAAGTAGGCGCTCCTCCCATATCATCCTGACGACAAATGAGTTGGCGTTTTCGTCTGGTCGATTCAAGTACCCAATGTTGACTTGAGGCCCCCCAATTGCAAGCTCACCAGCAAATCCTCTTGGAACAGGTTTAACAGATTTTGAGGTTCGTGAAACATCAACCGATGAGTTGATGTTATGAACGGAGTGGTGTATATAATGCCCTGCAGTAGTAAGTTAGCAAATCTTTAGCAATATAAACGATGACTATGAATCCCTACTATTCCCCTTAGAACTTCGCAAGAAACTTGTCAGCATTCCGGACTGCGTCGCAGTAGTTGGCAGGATCTTGGCGATATCTTTCGGAGAGATACCGAGACTTTCGCTGCAGATAGGTAGATGCCTCGATTCAATATCATCAAATTGTATCCAAAACAAATAGCGAGCATGTCGGCAAGGCTGGCCCGACTATTGTACCTCTGTCGCCAGGATGAAAATTAGGAGTTAATGTGCAGTTTATAGCTGCTTCTGTAGGGCCATATGCATTGCAAAGTTCAGATGGCTGTTCCGGATTAGGTAAACGCGCGAATTCGTCGATATTCTTTCGCAGAACACTCCCACCCATGGTCCACAAGCTTTTTAGCGAAGTAAGCTTGGAACGACGGAGAAGGTCTGCCATACTAGGTTTTGCCATCATGACTGTTGCCTGTAATTCAGACACAACAGCCTCAAAATTTGTCAAGGTAAGGTCTCGTGACGCAGAACAAAGTGTGGCTCCTGTTGATAACGTCACAAATATCTCCATTAGCGAAGGGTCGAAAGTTGGTGCGGAAAATTGAAACCATCTTGGTATTGCTTCCGATGATGGTGGCAATCGTGAAGTGATAGCATGCGATGCAATGGAGCAAGCTGCTGCAAGATGAGTTATCTGTAGCCCCTTTGGCCTACCCGTTGAACCAGAAGTGTACATTACGTATGCGATATCTTTCTCATCAGGACTTGCTAGCACACGAAACGATGAAGGATTTTGGTTGGCTATGCCATCAAGCATCCGCATGTGAATGAAATATTCAACATCGATCCACTTCAAAGAATCTGATAAAACGGCAGAAAGCTTATGACGATATTGCTCTGAACCCAGACTGATTTGAGGCATCAGGTCTTCATGAATGTTCTGCAATCTCTGGGGAGGTGCCTCAATAGGAAGAGGGCAAAACGCCAGACCTGCTTCCAAAATCGCCAAATAGGCGATGTAAAGTTCGGCAGAAGTCGAAAGCAGAATAGGTACAACTCTAGAGCTGCCAATTTCTTGTTGGCCTCGTGATATTATGATATACTCAGCCAGACTCGTAGCGATCTCATTTAGTTGTGAGTATGTTAAAGTTCTTCGCACAGTGGATTTCGATTCTGGATTTTGAGATTGCAGGAAATCCAATGCAACTCGATTTGGATATTGAGCGACCCGGCGCTCGAAAGCTGAGTGTAAGAAAGCTTATTCGTCTTGAAGATTCAATTCTACTTGATCCTCAATGAACGATGGTGGCCTAATTAGTGGCGGAAGTTTAGGATCGATTCGTTCGTTACCGTTCCAACATCACTTGATGGAGAACGTCGTAAATAAGAAACAGCTGCGTCGAATATATGCGGAGCATCTGAATTGGATAGTAGATATGTGTCATATGATAGAGTAAAATCAATGATAGATGCATCCTCCACAGTGATGAAGATTGTGAAAGGTTTCTGTGGGTGTTAGTGGTAGTACTGAGTCTCGTTTTGAGATACTTACTATATCAGATGGTGTTCCCAAATCATGAGAATTTAAAGTTCTAGTAATATGTAAAGCAAAATCGAGGGATTTCATCGGATAGGGAATATCTTGAACGAACTCCCACGATATCGATGAACGAATATTTCCGTCACTTGCAGATTCTTCTATCAAGTAACCACGGATTATGCCACATTCTTGTGGATTATCTGGAGTTGGGGTATTTGAAGATAAATCAGATGAGGTGTAGAAAGCAATCTCATCATGTCCTGTAAAGGCAGCAACGAATTGGGCATAAGATTCCTGCATTGTAGAATGATTGAAATTCCATTCTCCCGATGGAAAGTTTTCTTAACTGTCTTCAGTTGCGGTTCTGAATCATTTTCAGATTGTTTTCCGTTCAGTTCTCTTCTGGACATATGTGGATCTGCGAAATTTCGATAAGCAGTGTCTAAAGATGGGGAAGTGGTGTTGGGGATGATGGGATCCATGATTTCTGAGTTTTGATGGTTGAGGTGACATTATTGGTAATTATTCATGAAAAGAAGCATCAGGGCGCTGGATTTTGACAAATAATTTACTCGGCTTTTACTCACACTCACAATATCAACTGCTCTATACATGAAAAGCTTAGGACATACATAAAGCATTATTAGGATGCATGCCGAAGGGTAGCTCGAATCACTTGATCAAAAATTTCTCCCTGTCGAGATGGGCATTGCCCAATGCCAAGATATATTGTGGAATCTCCATGTTGCAAATATTGATATCCCGATCACGGCAAGAGCAGTAAGTCATGGGGGTTTCGAGGAGTTGGGGAGTTTGGTACCGGGTTCTAGTCACAAAGATATTGACATTGAAGATCTACCCGACATATTTGAGTCGTTCTCAAACTCTGGACGATAAACTTATTAGTCAGTGAGGCGATCTAACTAAGTGAAGATAATAGCAATGAAAATTTGCATCATTGTGCAGTAGCCGTGTGAAAATGAAGTGTAACACGTTAGTACGGGTTACTGGTATTAATAAAAGTATTACACAATGAAATGCCGTTGACAATAAATGAAAACATTAAATTTGTATATATATACTCATCTAAGCGCAGAAATCCTAATTAAATTATTCTAAAACATTTTTCCATATTGTCTAATCTTGATTTTATTTGATCTGATCTGAAAAACTTTTAGATTTATCAGATCTATTAAACAATATAATACTCGAACTTCTACTGTTATATATGTATTAACTCTCATTAATCTTTTTCTAAATTAAATAACTTGATCAAATAAAGTTTTTAATTAAAATATTTTTATAAGTGTTTGAAAGTGAATAAAAAATGAATTAATTTTCTTTTATCTTTACAAAATTGTATATTTGATTTAATAATATATATCCAAAACGGAATTATTCATTTGAAATTCAATTTGTATTTATTAAAATTTCCCTAGTTATGTTAATCTTATCTGATAATCTTATCAGATCATCTAATCAGATCAAACACATGACTACGAAAGGTGATCTGATTTTGCTCTTGTCTTCCAAATCCGTTAGAGGGTAAAAGAGTATACGTACTCTGTGGAGTCATGAACTCTAACCCATGTTTTCAACGACATCATTCACCTTCATTATACCGCTTCTGTCATTATTGGAAAGGGATCGAATTAAACTAATTGTGTTCCAATTCCTTACAATGCATATGCTATGCACTCCAATTTTCATGCCCAGCATTGTGAATGGAATTTTGTTATGTAAGAACACTACTCCATCACCCAGGGTGCAACTCCCGGGCGGATTACAGACTGAAATTTCATCGCTTGGAAAAGCTGAGACTTTCTTGTTGATTCGAGTGAATGGTGTTGTGTCTTCGACATTTGAGTTCTGCAACAATCATCCATTTTGGTCGCAGTCATGTCAACACTTTCGGCACTGAAGGATCGCATTGTCGGTCTGCCCTCCAAGTTCACGGGTGCCGAAAAGCAAAGCGGACAATTTCTACGTCTTTTACTCTCGAGCGACCCAGAACCCCTCGATTATGCTCTCCTTGTGGTTGGATTCATTGGCTCGGTTGCTTCTGGGGTTCCATTTTCGCTACTAGGTATCTTGTTCGGCCAACCGGTAGACGACCTCAACTCAACATCTTGTAATACTTCCTCGGCAGATGCATCGTCACTCTCAAACAGCGTCGTGACGAAAGTGTTAGATGTTATTTACGTGACAATTGCAAATTTCTGTTTGATTTATTTACATACTGGGTGTTGGAGTCTTCTCGGTGAGCGTCTCGTTAGACGCCTGCGAATGAGATACTTGGATGTTCTTCTACGTCAAGAAGTGGCATTTTTCGACACATTAACATCTGGTGAAGTAGCTTCACGTCTCGATGTCGATCTTCAAACCATTCAAACAGGAACTTCTGAAAAGGTCGGAATATTCATTGCCAGTATCTCTTATTTCGTCACCTCATTTGTTGTGTCTTTCATCAAGAGTGCAAGATTAGCGGGTATGCTCATTTCTTTAGTACCAGTCTATCTTTTGATGGCATTGGTGGGAGGACACTTCACCCAAAAGTATGCAAGCCGAGTCTCAGACCACGTAGCAGCAGCTAAGGCTATTGCTTCGGTAGGGCTGTCAAACATGTCTTTGGTTCAAGCTATAAGTGCCAGTTCTCGCTTAAAAGCTATATACGCTCCTCATATCGGTGCAGTACAAAGAGAAGGGATCATGAAATCTATTATTGCATCTGTTCAGCTTGGTTATTTGTACTTTATTGCTTACTCCGCCAATGCTCTCGCTTTCTGGTAAAGAAGCAGAGAAATTTCTGCCTCTATTGACAGCAGATCTAGGACAACAGTAGGAGCTATATACACCGTCATTTTCCTCCTTGTTGACTGTGAGTTGTTCATACCCCTTGTTAAGATGTCCTTGCTAATGATATACAGCCTCTTTCATCGTTAGTCAAGTTGCCCCTTTCATGCAGATATTTGCAGCAGCCAGTAGCGCATTCATAAAGTTGGTTGCAACAATCAATAAGCCCTCTTTAATCAATGGAACAACCACAAGGGAAGGTCAAATCTTTACTACAATACTAGGGGATCTGGAATTCAGGAGGGTGGATTTCGCGTACCCATCGCGACCTGAAGTGGTGGTTCTTAAGTCATTCAGCTTGAGGATCCCAACCAACAAACACACTGCACTTGTCGGTCTCTCTGGTAGCGGAAAATCTACTGTTGCAGCTTTAGTTCAACGTCTTTACGATTCGATCCACGGTGATGTCTTCCTCGGTGAACATAATATGAAAAGCATCAATTTCAAGTGTGCGAGAAGTTTCATTGGAACAGTCGCTCAAAATTCGACACTTCTTAATCGATCAGTACTCGAAAATATCGCCTATAGTTTGGTCAATTCGCCACCTCCAGAACATGTTGAGCTTAGAGAGAAATTATTAGATTCAAGCTTGCCAGATCTTGCTCATGCCATCCGTGAAGGAGACGAATCCTGAAGAGGCTATTGCCGCTAGCTCAAGCAAAGTTCAGACAATAGTCAGACTTGTACGAGACGCAGCGACGGAAGCTGATGCTCTTGGATTTATTAATCGATTGCAGTACGGTATGTCTACAGCCGCTGGTCCTGGAGATAATCGACTTAGTGGTGGTCAAAAACAACGTGTCGCCTTGGCTCGTGCTATTTTTCGCCGTCCATCGATTCTACTCCTCGACGAAGCGACTGCATCTTTAGATTCTGCCAGTGAGCATCTGATTCAAATGGCTTTGGAAAGAGTTAGTGAAGGAAGAACCACCATCTCGATTGCTCAGAGACTGTCAACAATTAGGAACGCAGATAATATTGTAGTTATGAGTCAGGGTGAGATCCTTGAGCAGGGTACATATCCTGATTTAATTGCTCGAGATGGCGCTTTCGCGAGCCTAGTCCGACTCCAGACACTCTCCTCCTCTGATGAACCGATATCTGAGATTCAAACCCAGGATTTCAATGAAGACGAAGAATATCTGCAAGAAAAGATTGATAATACTGTTAGTTACTCGCACACATCTTTAGATATCATACTAACCGACACAGGAATTAGCAAAGGTCAAGTCACTGGACAATGCACGAAAATCTACGCCAGTTGCAGACCACAGCGACTCTGACGAAACACTCGCGCCCGGAAACGATAAAGCTGCAAATAAAGGCCGATCATTCCTCTCTACATTCCTTGGTATTTTATCTATGGCTAGACCACATTTACAATTTGTTTTCTTGGGTATTGCCGGTGCTATGTAGTAGGTGGCTCATATTCTGGAGAAGCTGTACTTTTCGGTCATACTGTCAGCAGTTTAAGCCCATGTCTCAGCGCAGGCAGTATCCGTAGTAATGGAAGTCTATACGGGTTATTATTCTTTGTTTTGGCTTTGGCGGAATTCTTTGCCAACGTTATCAGCGCATCTTCCTTCCGTCGTGTTTCAGAGAAACTACTCTATCGTGTCCGTATTTTGGCACTCAAGTCTCTTTTCGCACAACATATTCAATGGCATGAATCAGAAAGTAGGAGTCCTGGTACCCTTATCTCTTATATCAGCAGTGATGCAAATGCATTAAGTGGTATCACTGGAACCCTTCTTGGAGTTATGCTGTCGATTATTGTTTCCATGGTCTCTGGAATCATCCTTGCACATGCCGTCGCGTGGAGAATTGCTATCGTACTGCTTGCCACCATACCAGTTCTACTTTCATCCGGTTTCTTAAGATTGAAACTTCTCGCCAAGTTCCACGAGAGGCATCAAAAGGCTTTCTCTAATTCGGTCGCTATTGCTACTGAGGCTGTTTCGGCCATTAAGACAGTTGCGATCTTTTCACTTGAAGAAGAAACTGTCCAGGTTTTTAACCGGTCACTGAAAGGTCCTTATACCGCAACATTAAAGACAATTGCATACGGAAAATTCTGGCTCGCCATGGCGTACAGTATGAGTAACTTTGTTTACGCACTAGCATATTGGTGGGGAGCTCGAAATGTCGCAGAAGGACTTTATAATCAACAACAATTCTTCACAGTTCTACCTGCTCTTCTTTTCGGTGCCCCAATATGTGGACAAATGTTCTCTCTCGCTCCTGATATTTCTAAAGCCGGAGTATCAGCAGCATGAGTACTTGATTTGATAGATATCGGTCCTGAAAGTCTTCTTCAATCTAAAAACAACCGAGCAACAAATGATCCGGAAGCGTCTCAAGGAATGATTGAGAAGCAACCCATCAGATCAGGTAGTCTCGCCGTACGCTTCAACAATGTTCGTTTTTCTTACCCCGCTCGCCCAGATATCGAAGCTCTGAAAGGTCTCGCCATAAACATCACTCCTGGTACATTCTGTGCACTCGTTGGATGTTCTGGAGCCGGTAAATCAACCATCATCGCCCTCCTTGAACGTTTCTATTCTCCATCATCCGGCAGTGTCGAAATTGACGGCCGAGACATTTCCAAGATTGACGGCGTCTCATTCCGCGATGATATTGCACTCGTCCCCCAGGAAAGTGTCCTATTCGATGGCACCGTCCGCTTTAATCTCGAACTTGGCGCTTGTACTGGGCACACCCCAAGCATGGAGGAAATTGAATCTGCATGCAACTTAGCCAACATTCACGATACCATTGTATCTCTACCCGAAGACTACGAAACCCCTTGTGGTTCAAATGGAGGCCAGTTTTCCGGCGGTCAACTCCAACGTCTCTCTATTGCTCGTGCATTGCTTAGAAAGCCACGTTCATTACTTCTTATGAATCGACTTCAGCTCTCGATGCTAGATCTGAGAAGTTGTTTGAGGAGGCATTGGAGAAGACGGCAAAAGGTGTTACGGTTATTGCTATTGCTCAGAGATTGAGAACAATCAAGAAGGCGCAGACAATTTTTGCAATTGATGCGGGTATTTTTGTGAACCAAGGGAGTCATGACGAATTAGTGCTTAGAAATGAGGAGTACAGAGCTAATGCTGCCTTCCAGACATTGTGAGTTAGTGTAGTTGCAAAAAGGGATCAAGGGCAATTGGTGCTTAAGGAGGAGGGCTGAGGTTGGAGTCTAACTGAAAAAATATATATGGATAGAATGGGTAGCATTTGCATCCTTATATCGATCAACCAATCATCATCACGATGTTTTAGCTATCAAAAAACCACATCAAAATGATTCTTCTCTTTTGTACTCTATCTGTATGTATTGATTACACTTCGGCCACGCATCTATATAGCCTTACTTTAGCATACTATACATAAATTATATCAACTACCTAAGATTATTCAATTATTCAAATATTTATATATTTCATCTACTATACACCTCAAATAAATACCATCTTATAATAATTCATATACCTAAGCAATAATCACATCTACTTACCTCTCATCACTCGGCCCTTATCTTCCCCACCCGGTCCCTTCAAGCCAAAACAAACTATGAACTATGAACTATGAACTACCTAGATATATAAATAACTATAGGCCAACCAACCTCCTCCCCTTTTCCCTCTCCAAATCCACATTCATCATATCCACCCACAACTCTATACCAAAAAAACAAAAACAAAAACAAAAACAAAACAACGCCCAGAATCAAAACTAATAGGTTACTCAACACGATTATGTCTACATATAAACTCTCCAATAAGTAACACCCTCCCTCCCTATATTTCATTCCTTCATCCCATCATTCCATCTTTCCACATATAAAATTCATGATCTATCAATCACTCATTTAACCCAATTGTTATTATATCATTTTATTATCATCTCATTTTATTCATTTCATCATCTCTTCTTATTTATTTTATCCATTTCCATATCTCACATGAACTTAACTGGCGAACTAACCATTTTGAATGAACCAGCCACCCAGCCACCCGCCACCTTCCATCATCCATCTATCATGCAAGCAATGCAGCCATACCATCCATCCATGCTGCCATGATCCCATGATCCCATGCCAAAACTATCCCACCGATCATAGAGTTTAGAAAAATCTCATGTCAATCTAAAACAATCCAAGTCCAAGTCCAATCCAAAATCATAGTCCGTTGTCGCCATACCATAATCTGCTGTCTATGTCCATGTCCATGCTAAATTCCCGTTTCATTTTAACTTCATTTTCACTTCGTTTCCGTTTCCATTTCCATATCCATAAATCATAAAACAAAGAACATAAAACCACATATTCCCGCACTTTCTCCACTACACTCTCCTCTCCCCCCTTTCCCTTTCCCCTCACCAACACTAATGCAACCTCTCCTTCAAAACCACCACCGCTGCCCATCCCTCACAACACCTCGTACTCATACCATGTCCACACCAAGGACAACTAACCCTCGTACTAACCACACCACTAACGCCCAATCCCTCATCCTTAACCACCGCCTCAGGTTTCGCCATACACTCATAAAGTTTACTTGGCAAATCATGAAAATATTTGCATCCACAACAAATAACGAACATTTTCGCCATGGGTTCAATACCACCTTGTCCATTGCTATGAAGACTTTGAGCTGATGATGCTGCCATTTGATGCGCCGAGGAACGAGGACCTTTTTTGGGAGGAATAGCAAGACGCGCGGAGCGGAGATATTGACTACTTTCGTTGTTGTTGTTGTTATCTCTTTCTGAAGAGCTAGAATTTCCGTTTGAATTAGATGATTCGCCTCCATTGAGAACTGGTGATGACATGAGTGAGTTTTTCGAATCATTATATTGCGCGTAAGCAGATGCGGATGCAGATTCTCGTTTTACTCTTCCGACATTTTCATTTCTATTTCCGAGCACGTTATTTTCCTCACTTATCTGTCGTCTACCCTCAGCCTTCCGAGGACGTAACGGTTGATGTTTAAGTTTCGGGAGGAAATTTAAAGTATTTTGCAGTGCAGTAGTTGATGACGATTTATTCAAACTAAGTCTCCTTTGAAGCTCTGCAACTCCCGCCTCTGTATTGGGGTCCGCAGAAGCTAAAGATGCATGAGGATTTTTAGACTGTGCTTTAAGAGCCGCACCACCATTTAGGGTAGTATTGCCATTTTCATCTTTGAGTCTGATAGGAAGAGGAGTTTGATTCCAAGAATCTTGGAATTTATGATATTGGCGTGGTGTTGTATCATGACTAGATCCAATAGGACCCTTTTGTGATTGTGGTCTCGAGGCTGCTGGAGTCGTAATATTGGATTGTTCATCAAAGCTCAAATACTCCTCACTTGATGCGGTGAAAGACCTAGAGCTAGATCTTCGATCCTTCTTTTGCCGACGAGGTGAGGCTACATTAGCCGCCTGCGGAGAGACTTTCTCCCGCGATGCCGGGTTAGTTCCAGACGGGGCTGATGTTACCGGAGATGAATACTCAGGTTCTGATACTCTTCGACTAGATTGACTTGGTAGTGCGGATCTGCTATCAAATCCATTGGCGCGTGGCGAAAGGGTGGGTTGTGCACGTAGCTCTTTGAGAGGTGCGTCAAGTTGGGAAGTTTGTAAAGAAGGCGAGTTCGTTGCGGATAAATGTTTACCAAGTGTGGTGGTTGTAGCATCCTTGTCACCTTTGCGTTGAGTTGATAATGGACTAGGGTATAAAGATGATTCTTGTAAATTTCGCCTGGAAAACATACCCTCCTCTGGTTGGATACTGCTTTGAGATGCTTGTGCAGTGAGCTTAAATCCTGGAGGCGCGCCTTCACCGTCAAGGAACGCATGGAAACTTTCTCCATTCTCTACAGATTCCGAATCGTTTCTAGATCTAGAAACTGACTTACTACGACCATTCGCATTATGGATTGATGGTGTTCTTGTCACGATTTCCTTCTTTGAAGCGGCGTCCAATTTCATGTCGTGTGATGAGCTGCTTTGATCTAGTTTGTTGTGTCGCTTTTGCTTGGGGAAATATTCGTTACTTTCAGAGTTCACAGCTTCAGGCGGAGTATCAAAATTCTGAAAATAGAAAGGCTCTTGTACTTCTTGCTTTGATGTCTGGTGTTTTTCCAGGCCAAATCTAAATCCTGGAGATGGAGGAGCAACAGGCGATTGAGGCTTAGCCTTATTCACCGTTGACTCCGTAATATGATCTGATCTGAAGTTTTCGCTCGGCTTTCGAGCTCGAGGATTTCTACTCATGATTGGTTCTAGGTCACCCGAAGGCTGTTTACTGGGCTCTGGTTCTACCAGATTAAGGGGACTAGAAGTGTCCTCAGTTTGCGATTTGACTGGTAATTCGACGGCAGGTGAACCAGTCCCTGAAGAACTCAACAGATCCAATGCGCGATATCGAGAGTTCTCAAGTGAGATTGGTGGCCGACTTTGACTGGACTTGTTACCGTGACCAGCTGTTTTAGTATTTGAAGATTTTCCGTCGCGAGGTTCTTTTTGGGCTTGATTCTCATTAGATTGTTGTAACTTTACGCCTCCTATGAATCCTGATGAGTTTGGAGAGCTCGACATAGATTGGGTTCGTGGTGTTGCAGATGCACTTGTGGACCTGGATCTGGATCTGAAAGAAGACATAAGCTTCTTGAGTCCAAGATCCAAACTCGTTCGCCTTGATCGTCTTCCATCATCAGGATCAGGACCCAATTGTGTTATTTCTGGAGTAACTGGAACCGCAGGCTCGGACTTCGCTCGGCCCACTGGAACTGCCGGAACCGTTTTACTTAGGCGCTTGTTGGTTGGAGGCGTCTTGCTCAATCGACCTTTTTGTTTTAGTGCCGCGGCACGGGTCTCCTTTTCGGCCTTTTCTTTTTCCTTCTTTAATCGCTCGTCTTCCTTCCTGCGCAGATCTTGAGCTTCTTTTCTCGCTATTCTTCTTTGCTTGCCATCACCACCATCCCAAGCAGGCGACCGACATATCGAGGAAGCATCAGAGCCGTCCGCGTCTGCTTCAACTTCCAGCAATTTTTCTTTTACCGGCTCAATTAAAACTACATTTTTAGGTTGTTTTATTTTCGTCTCAGGCTTTTCGGAGCTTTGCGTAGGAGGTATCGCAACGGATAATGTTGGAGCAGTCATTGCTCGTTCTGATTGTCTGATCGGGGTAGGACGTTCGGGGGGAGGAGCATAGGTATATACATTAGGAATACTCGGACCCCTTTCGCGAAAGAAGGTATTACGCAGCGGTTGACTGACTGTCGTTGTCGAGGCTTGCATGCGCTGCAGCTAGTTCATGTTAGGCAATAATACTTGGCCATGTGAGGTATTTGTTTGCGTACCTTGCTCTTCTTCTCTAAATCCAGCATACGTTGAAGTGTGTTTCTCCGTGCTGCTTCCGAACGGCCATGTTTCTCTTTCTCCTTGAAATTCATTTCGAGAAAGTACCTGAATTAAAATGTGATAGATGATTAATAAAGGACAGGGTTAGTGGGGTGCTTGACACATTTGAGCTATTCGGCGCAGCTCAATGATGAACTCCGGGTAGTGAATGTTGATATCGAATTGTACGACGGCGATCCGAGATTATCTGGTGAATAAAGATCTAGATAAGGGCAAATGATATGAAGCAATGAGATTATTGAAGTATTATCTTTTTCTAAACAAGATTAATTGTCAAAGCGAATGTGCGAATGTGAGTGAGTATGTGCAAAAGAGTAGCAGAATACGGAATATCAGTACCAAATGGAAAGCCAAAAAACGAATGTCTATGCTGGTGCAATAGTAGTAGTCGAGGGTAGAGAGTAGAGAGTAGAGAGTAGAGAGGAAAGAAAATTGATGTCACCTCGTGATAGACAGAGAGATGTTAGGTTGGTATGATATGATATGATATGATACGATACGATACGATACGATACGATCCGATCAAGAACAACGCAACCAACTAACTTATTAACTAGATAGAAAAATGAAAATGAAGAAACAAATCAAGATCTTAGCAAAAATATCCGTGATACCATCCACACCTGCTCTGCATATTCTCTGGGTTTCCCCAGATTGGCGGATCTTACAGGCTCTTTTACCTTTCTGTCTCAATTCTCTCTCCACCTTCCACCTTCCACCTGGATAAAGTGTGATCTGGTTAATAGGTGAGAGGTGAGGCGAGAGGTGGAAGTAGGACTGACATGGCAGATGGGTGAAAGAATCTCACAGTTTTAGAAAATACCCATGTTTTTAATTAGTAGTTTTCGCTCGTGTTATGTCTTGGCGCAGGTGCTGAAATTGATATTCGCTGCACGTATGATTTTCGTTGTCCACCGAATTTCGATTTCGCTTTTTTATTTATTATTTCCATTCTGATCGATTGATCATGGTACAAAGCGAATGCCAGCAGCCAAAACAAGAAAATGAGACTGCATCGGCGATGTGAATGGTCCTTGTTAAAGCAAGCAGACTTTACAGAAACGGGACAAGGCCTTGTTATTTATACCTATTTTAGTTACAAATTATCATGTATGTAGATGCATCCCCTGTCCGAACAGTATATACAAGGGTTCAGATTGATCCACCATCCAGCTTTCGTTTCGTTTTCTTATCTTTTCCTTGCCTTCTATAATGTTTATTTTCCCTTTCCAGTGTCCACCATATCACCAGTGTCTTGCTCTGGACTCGACCCCAAGAATCAACCCACTTCACTCTAGAAACCCATTCTAAAATGATCGACACCAGGATCTAGCTAAGAAGTGTGTTCGACCTTTGTGGACCCCGTGTTACGGTACTTCAGCTGGCTCGGTTGTATTACATTCCATCCGACTGACTGCATGTTTAACACATATCATTTCACCTATAGCATAAAGCATAAAGCATAAGCCTTTACATTATTTAACTTATTTGACCATACACTCTTTTCAACGATTTCCAACCGTTTAGAAAAGTCATCTCACCTCATCTCGAAAACCTACCACAAACCAAAACCACACCAAACACGTAAAACACCCCAGCTCTCCACGGCCCGTTCCGAATACATGGTATACTACTACTAAAGGAAAATCCAACTCTGCTACTCCATAAGCTCAACAACCAACCCACTATGAAAACCTACCTACCCCGCTATATATATCATATTCTTTTTTATTCCTCTAATTTTCTTATTTTGAAGTGTTTGTATAGGTAGTATATAAATTACTAGGTAGTACACAGTGTTGCGGTATAACGATGAGAGTACAAGGAACCAAGTATTCAATTCTGAGATCTTATATGTTGAAAGGAAAGACAGATGGTACTTCTTTTACTATACATGTTTACAGTTATCAAATCTGAAGAATTTATAATGTCTAAGGTTACATATATATACAAAATCAGAAATAATATCAATACACGTCTTCATACTTTACTTCTCTCGTTCTCTATGCGTCATCATCATCAATCGATCAATCAATCACCCTCTACCCATCATCCTCTGTTCAATTCCCCTATGCCCCACCACCCCACCACCCCATCCCCTCACCCCAGAATCCACCATACCACCTCTATTCCCCTCATCTCTATCCGTCTCCCTCGCCGCACCCTGATTCCCATCCTTCCCCTCAATACCATGCTTTATCAACTCTTCCGCCGTAGGAGCAACATGTATCCAAACCTCTTCACCTACCTCTAAATCTTCTAAACCCGGCAATACATTTCCCAACGGATCCCTCGCAGTATTCTTTCCCCGTTTTCTAACCCCACCTTACCATTACCTACTTCCTGATGTTGTTTCGCTTTTCCCCCCGTATATCTCCTCATCCACAACGGCGTTAAACGAACACGTAATTCATGTGGAATTCTCAATCTACCTGCAATATATTTATCCTTCGGCTGATGCAAATCAGGCAACTGATCCAATTGTTCCACCTGAAGGATTCCCTCATCCGTACCCCTATTCATCGCACTAATTCTCTTCGGCATTACCATTTTCAAAAATTCCAAACTGGCGTTGATATTTAAATCGATAGCTCTTCGTGGATTAAACGTCATTTTCCAAAGAAAACTGCTGATATTCGGATAAAGGAGCGAGAAATCAAATTGCGAGATGTGGACGCTGCCGCGGACGGTGAGAAGCCAGCACAGTGTACCTCGGGATTTCGCTTCCCGGCAAAGTGACATGATGCTGGAAAAATTTGAAGGCCAGTACATAAAAGCCTCGCTATTAATACAAAGCAACGGATTGTGAATCTGGTACTTGGATTCACTATCTGCTTGTTGGATTGCGCCTCCCCATGAATCATAGAGAATTCCTTGCGAAACGTAGGGGAATCGCTCAGTTTGGGTGCGAAGAATTTCGACCGTGGTGGCGGCGCCGAAGAATGCCCCAGCATCGTGACTTGCTGGAGGTGAAAACGATCCTTCCAACTTTCCCAGTCGATGCCCTTGAGACCGCGGGAGGAACCACCGATACGGCCTGGAGAGCTTTGACGGAGATTGGCTTCAGCTATCTGAGACCCATTTCCATCATGAATTTAGGTCAAGATGTAGTATGCTTCTTCGATTTCGGCGAGGCGCAGTTGTATTTGGGCAGCGCGAAGTTCGGCATCGATACTAAAAATGAGTCAATCAGTTGAAGCCCATATGGTGTGATTTTTGAGTATCTGGATGTGTACCTCTCGTTTGAGCTCATTTGTATTGAGCACTGACGTTTTCCACTTGAATAAGTTCCCCAAACTTCTGAACAGACTTCAGATATTCCGATTTACATGCTCCAAATCTCTTAGACCCCTCAACTAAGTAAAAAATGGTTTGCTCACCCTTGTTCATTATTAGGGATAGTATCTCTGGCATTGCCTTCAGGAAAAACATAATCAAATCTCTCTTAGCCTCTCTCACGTGCTTCATCAGTATGATCTACATTCTGCGATCCAAACTTATCGCCGGTTTTTGGTAAATTGATGAAAGTACGTGGTCCCGACGCATCTCGATGTTCCATAGCCACAACTATAAATCCATAAATAGCAAATTCTCTACAGACAGAACTATATGTAGTTCTAGGCCATGACTGAAAATCAACAATGGAAAACATGGTGATTCTGGCTCCAGGAGGGGGTTCCGCTGCGCTATTCTTAGTCTGGTATCCCGATTTGGATTCTCATGCATTTTCAGGAGGCCAATGTGTTGCCAACTTGGCATTACGGAATGCAGGAAGTTTGGTGAAAGCGGTTGTCATGCCGAACCATGCGACGGTTGGCCATGAAGGAAGGCCAGCGAATTTGCTATAACCTTTCGCCGTCTCAATACGAGGCCTTGGCAACCATGTTGCTCGGCCTCAATTCTTTTCTCCTTCGGGAGAAACCCCTTCACCTGATCCGAACCCAGAAGGGTAGAAAATGCTGAACAAGACGGTCTCGAGGTTCAAAACATGCTTATGTTGTCTCTTAATATTAGAGAACGTCCTTAGTTCTCGCACGGGTACTTCCATGTCCATTTGTCTCATGGAATACGGTCCACTGTAGTATGGCAGCGGTCTCCGTAATATCTTCTCGCGCAGGCCAGCGGGAGGGCGGCTTTTGGGGTGTTGTGAGTTAGGTGCATCGCCAGCTTTGCCAATCGCTGACCCTTCTACAGTATGTTTCATAGTCAAAAGCCGCTAACACCCCGAGAATTTATTTATATCAGCAGAATTTGGCTAACTATTAGATTTTGAGGATATGCTGCAGAAAGCCTGATGAAAATACCAGTCGTGACATCTGAGCATCAATGATGATTAATCGACAAGCCATTTTCAACCTGTGATATTAGCTTAAATAGTACCTGAATCGCATGGCGGACACAGGGGTTTTGCAAGAGTTATGTCCAAGGAAACTAGTATATCTAGATGAACACAGTTAGAAAGGGAGGCTAAACGTTTAGCTGCGAGGACTACGACCGCTAGGCCGTGCTAGCTCGCACCGCCTCAAATTCGTAGTGCTAGATCAATTGATAATTTTCAACTGGATTAAGAGAGATCTCAACTCCTAAAACCGATTTCATTTTCAACATCAAAACGATGAGCATTTTGACAGGTTGATCGGCTTTCTACTAGAACTCGAAACCATCGGAAGATAGCTCCGAACCGTGCCGAGTTCTGGAATGCAATGACGACATAAAATATGTTGAAAGAGAATGAATTATGTGAACGATACTCGAGTAGTTCGGAGAATGTTGACCTAGTAGAAAACTGGGTATCTATCGTAGATTTTTGTTTGTAAGATCTCAATGGAAGGATTAAGAATTCCATTTCCATATCAATATATCAATACAAGCAATTGTCTTTCCACTTTAATAATACCGGTACGCTTTTCGGAAATTTTGTGTTTCTGAGTAACTTTAGGATCACGTCAGGCGGGACCTCGGAAAAGTCTCAACGCACCAGGGACTTGTCAGACACCATGACATGGTATATCAAATGATCAAGAGTGAAGGAGACTCCAGTGTTGTTACGTGCACGTGGTGTATTTGACAAGATGGCATTGATTTGTTTTTGGAGGGGCCAGATGGTGGCCGGCATAGGCAATTAGTAAGTACTTAGCAGGTAGGTTTCTGGGTGGAATTTGAGTAATGTGACATCAGTAACATGTTATAACCTTCCACTCACCACCTGAGACTTGTCATTTACTTAGCCGGCGTGGTGGGGAGAAAGAGGCAATAGACATGAGTTATTATTGGTTCGCTCCCCAAGGAGGGATTAGCTGCAGTACCATACGGAGTACAGTAACCTTATACACCTAGATACCTAGATACCTAGACACTCTATCAATGATCTCCATAGTTCTAGGATTAAAATAAATATTGGCCCAGTGAAAGTAATATTGCTATCCACAAGAGAATTATCCACGAAAAGTAACCTTATCTCTGCATTAATTTGAGAGCTATCCAAATAAAGAAGCACTGGGGAAGAGAAGGCTTGCCATGTCATCTCGACTCTTCTATAGGGAGTATGTAAGGAGGTACCTAGGACTTGCGGATGTTGCCATACCCACACCAAGTCGCCATGTATTCTGTACTAAGCAGAAGGATTCACCAATTCTATCGTGGAACCCGTCCATTCATTCTTTGGATGTACTAGGTAAGTCTTACAAGATTAACCACAGGGCAGCAGAAACTTCAACCAGTGACCACAAGTGTCGACTTACAAAATATAGTACCACTTAACCTTACAAGTAAATTGCTCAGCTATGAATTCTACTGCTGTTGTTTTTGTTTTTGAACAAACCAACCTCAACATCAAAATCAATACCGAGTCCCGGAGCCATTTTCGACCATTAAGGCTACGAATACATGAAAGATTATTGAACTGACCCCTATCATCAACATCTATCTACAGCCGCACCTCACACTTTCCAGATGAGCTATTAGCCAGGCATTATCAAATAATACAGTACCTACTACCGTCGATAGGTCTACCGATTCGCCAGATCCTAATAGTCCTTTGAGGCTGCCATAGCACCAATTGGTTGAGTTGATTCAGGTAGGTCTTGCTTGCCTCCATCTTGGAATCAGCCAGCTGAGCAGAGAGTTGAGCATTGGAGAATTGAGAATTTTAAGAATTGATTCCGCCTTATCCGCCTGCACTTCCACCCCTCTACCTTTCTGCGGAGATACGGAATATATGGGATGCATAAAGCAATCCTTGCAACTGTCGAACTGAGTGCACCAAATCACATTCATTCATATTAATAGAAGCAAGCACTACCTACTCGTACTCGTAATGAACTCAGAATCCAAATCTATCTTTGCTTCCAAAATTGACGACAGCTTTCATCATCATCACCATCACCACCATCATCTGCATCAAGGAGTGAACAGAGTCAAGAGCAAAGTCGGCCGCGGAACAATCACAATCACCAAAAATCCCATACCGTTACCAATACCCATACCGACACCCTTACCAATAATACCAATTTCAGAACAAACACAGACGTCATGTGGGGTCGAGAGCCATGGATCTAGCTTGGATCGGACAAAGGGACAGGGGTCCACTCCAACACACGGGTCAGAAGAACTAGAAACTCGAGATTCTCGAGAAACTCGACTGTTCACCTCAAAAACCCATTCTCAACCTCAAATCACTCGTGTTGTTGATATTCCACTATCACCGTTGCGAGAATCCACCTCCTGGTCTATTGCTTCCTATGGAGACGCAGAAGAATTAGAGGATATAGAGATTCAAAGAGCGGCCGTCTCATCTATCACTTCATCTACGGCCCTCCCGTCCTTGTCGCGACAGCACTCAAAACATTCCAGAGAGGAGGACAATAATGTTTCGGGGACAACCATCGACGCAATCCCGGAACCACCGGTAGGCCTTCTTCAATACACCCTTTTTGTTTGTTTTGCACATTTATCAAACTAAACACTTTCTCCATGTCCAGTCAAAACGACAGTGCGCAAAATTAGAACATTGTCATATCCTCCAGTCAGATAATGAAGCAGCCGCCGATTTCTCTGCAACTCTACAATCTCCCAGATCTCCCCGATCTCCCCGATTCACAACCCACAAACTCAAAAGATCATATTCTTGCCCCAGATCTCCGAATATAGATACACCAGCTATGTCGAAACCAGAATTGGATAGCAATGGTACCGCAACACTCAAGTCAGTTCGCTACTAAATTTCTTATGTTGATAACTTTTACAATATATGGATTGTTAGCAAGATTCCTTGTAATTCCTATGGCATCACTTTCACATCTATTATATTTTGAGGAGCCGGGGTGATACTAACGCTCCTTTACTCAAAGGTTAGCCCGTGGCAATATTTTGGGGAACAACTCAAATCCTCCTGGGATATCTACCGGGCCCACGACGATGCTAGGAATACAGAGACGCACCAACACCCCCAAACTGGAGCCAAATCCTCGAGAAGGCTCATTGATTTATAAAGTGGGCATAATTGAACTTCTAGAACAAGATGAGAGACCAACTTTCATAATAGATGTTTCTAATCAGGATAATTACATACCGGGCGGTCGCCTACGAGTAGAATATGCGAATGCATCACTCCGCGCCATCAGCCCGTTATTAGAAATGGTAGCAGGATTTGCAGATCTATCTTCCCCCACTATTGTCACAAATGCATTTCCGGAGTTTAAAGCATGGGTACTAAGTTTCGTGAGCAAACAAAGCGAATCTTTAGATATATGCTTACCATCATTTTTGTATGGCGGGTTCATATGGAGTTGTTCAACTTTACGAAAACGTCTTCGGGTGATGAGTGGCATCAGAGCTCAACTTCCAACAACTAATTCCACCTCATCAAACGCAAATAATAACAGCTCTGCACAGAATCAAGGTCCTCTAGTAGTTCAAGACTTGTCAAGCTCAACTGACCTATTTCCTGAGCGGAACGATTACTTTGGAGACCTAGCTCCGACTGTACCAGATCCAAGTCCAGCAGACACACTTGTTTCAAGGTATCACGTACCACGAATTGGTGGCTCCTCTTTCGATTGGACCAGACTTCCGCTGTCTGCAGCATTACCTAGACATGTTCAATTCACCCGTAGTGTCAATTGGTCGGCAACCCCTCTTGGACCAATGAAAAACTGGAGTTTTGACCTGAGAGCCATGTGCAATCTCATTATGGGAAGCCCTCACCCGGCCGCCATGTACTGGGGAAGTGACTATACAGCCATATATAATGAAGCATATATATTAATAGCCGGACAAAAGCATCCCAACTTGATGGGACAAAGCTACAAAACTGGTTGGGTGGAAATCTGGGGTGAAATCGAAGGAGTATTTTCAAAAGCTAAATCATCCGGCCAAGCTACCATGAAGGATGAAGATCGACTTTTCATCAAGCGAAATGGTTACCTAGAAGAGTGCTATTTTGACTGGAGTATTATTCCACTAGTCGGGGAAGATGGTTCTGTAGCCGGGTTATACAATCCGGCATGGGAAAAAACGAGAAGAGTGATTTCGGAACGTCGTATGCTTACTCTGCGAGAAGTAGGAGAAAAGACAGCCACCGCCAGAAACATCAAAGGATTTTGGTCACAGGTCATCAAAGCCTTACAGTACAATCCCTTTGACATACCATTTGCTCTTCTCTATTCGGTCAATGAGGATGTCGATAGTGACATGAGCTCGCAGCGATCCTTGAACTCTGGAAGCATATCACAAGCTCCTTGTTGTGTGTTAGAGGGAACAATAGGTGTACCTTCAGGTCATCAATCAGCAACCACACCGTTGGATCTTCACCTCAGTGAAGATGGGTTTGGTCCATATCTGAGAGAATCTATGAGGCTTGATCGACCTGTACTTCTTACTACCGAGGAGGGTACTCTGCCAACGGGACTTATCGAAGGTCTTGAATGTGTAGGATTTGGTGATCCTTGTCGAGCTGCTGTGATCATACCACTTCATGCCACCAGTAGAGAATCTATACTAGGTTTCTTGGTCATGGGTGTGAACCCCAGAAGACCCTACGATGATGATTATAGTCTGTTTGTTGAGCTCACGACTCGCCAATTAGCAACTTCAATGGCGTCGGTGGTTCTATACGAGGAAGAAATTCGCAAAGGCCAGAAAGCAGCACGCATCGCAGCGCAAGATCGTCAGGAATTGTCGGAGCTTGTCAATCTACGCACTCAAGAAGCGGTGGAAAGTGAAAGCAGATTTACTCGCATGGCTGAAATGGCCCCTGTTGGGATGTTCATTGCAAACGCTCATGGAGAAATCACATTCTCTAACGATGCTTGGTGGGAAATATCGCGACATCCTCGTACAGAAAATAGCGCAAAGTCATGGATGGATAGTATAAAAGAAGAAGACCGCGAAGGAGTCGAGGCTACCTGGAACAGGTTAGTTACGCAGAAAGTCAACGTGACAAAAGAGTTTCGTTTCAAAACACCATGGCAAAGTAAGCATGCTTTGACTGATACGTGGGCTCTCATGAATTGCACTTCACTGAGGGATGGAGACAATAATTTGATGAGCATCTTCGGTTGTATCACGGACATATCGCACCAAAAATGGGCAGAAGAATTCCAGAAACGGAAGACGGAAGAGGCTGTCGAGCTTAAACGACAACAGGAGAATTTCATCGATATGACCAGTCATGAGATGCGCAACCCCTTGAGTGCGATCTTACAATGCTCGGACGAGATCACCAGTGCGTTGACTTGTTCTACCATCAGAAGTCTAGTTTCAAGCATGCAGAATGCGGAAACGTCCAAGGAGATTTCAGAGTACATCGAAAGTAGTATTGATGCGGCCCAGACTATCGCACTTTGTGCCCAACATCAGAAACGCATTGTCGATGATATTCTGACCTTGTCCAAATTGGACTCGGCGCTTTTGGTCGTGGCGCCTGTCTCGTCACAGCCAGTATCTGTTGCCAGGCGCGCCATCAAGATGTTTGAAGGAGATATAGAAAAACATGGCATCTCTATTGAATTTCAAATCCAGGACTCATATTCTGACCTCAATATCAGTTGGGTAAAACTGGATCCATCACGGCTTCTACAGGTCCTGATTAACTTGCTCACGAATGCTATCAAATTCACCACTGGTCAACCGCAACGCTTAATTGTTGTGAGTATCGGGGCTACAAAGGAACATCCGGCAGACAGAGATACCACTGTCCAGTATTTCCCTTCCCGCTCAGGTATTACGGATTTGGTAATGGATGAAGCAGAATGGGGCACAGGCGAAAATTTATACTTGAAATTTGCAGTTCAAGATACAGGCAGGGGGCTTGACGAAAAAGAAGTGTCGATTCTGTTTCAACGATTTTCGCAAGCATCTCCACGTACTCACGTCCAATACGGCGGGTCAGGTCTAGGATTGTTCATCTCAAGAGAATTAACCGAGCTCCAAGGAGGGCAAATTGGAGTCTCCTCGGAGAAGGGTGTGGGAAGTTGTTTCGCATTTTACGTGAAAGCTCGCCGAGCCGACCGCACGCCTGAAACGTCACCTCTATCTTCCCCAACTCGCAACGCCGTTAATCGGAAGCACTCCCTGCGCACACCGAGTCGCGCAACTGGAGAAAGTACCAATAACTCATTTGAAGAGCGTATACCGACCCAGTACGTATATTTAGTGTTTCTTTTTATCCATCTGAGACGAAGAACTTCTGATCCAGCACATTGCAATAATTTCTTGCTGACATTGAGATAGATCCGTACGTGAAGAGCCAATAAATATACCCAGAATATCACCTATCCCAAAGGTAGATTACAAAAATATTACAATTCTTATCGTTGAAGATAATCTTGTAAATCAACGCGTTTTGCAAAAACAATTACATAGAGCCGGATTTGTGACAGAAGTTAGCAACCATGGCTTGGAGGCTTTGCATAAACTGGAAGCATCTTCCTTTTGGAAGCATGGAGAGAACACTGGTGACAGTGGTAACAGAACCAACATCTCGTGTGTTCTCATGGATCTTGAAATGCCAATAAGTATGTGCACATGCCTTTCACTTTCCTGGAACTTTCGAATATAATGCTTACAATTCACCTATTAGTGGATGGTCTTACTTGTACCAAAAAGATACGAGCACTAGAAGCTGATGGAACGATTGTTCGTCATGTTCCAATAATTGCAGTTACAGCAAATGCCAGATTGGAACAAATTGAGACGGCCCTAGCTACTGGAATGGTAAAATCTCCTGTACTTACTCTTTATCAAAAAGAATGCCATTTGTTTGAATATGGCTAATGTTCGAACTTAGGATGATGTTGTTTCTAAACCATTTCGCATGCCAGATTTAATACCTAAAGTTGAAGTATTAGTTGCGAAAAGTCGAGCTATACAAAACACAGAATTACAGTAGTCATGTATACAGACCCTATGGGGTTTTTTATCTCTGAGATTTTTTGGAAGATGCCTTTCAATGGAGAAAAGGTTAAAAAATTAGATGGTCCACATCATTGATTGTTTATGCATCATAATGGCGTTTGGGATTTTTGTCTGGATGGTTTGTGGCTGATGCGATGGGATGCGATGCAATGCGTGGGATACCCGGATTAGTTAGTATAGGTACATTGATACATTGGTGCATATTTTTTTTTGGCTTTATGGAGTTTGGAATGGGAGTTTATATTCTTCTCGATTGAGGGGTGGACATGTGATGGATGGCATGGGATGGGATGGGAGAAAAGTAAAGGGAAGTAAAGGAAATGGAAGGGTGGAAGTGAAAGTAGGAGTATGGAAGATGGGGTTCTTGATATTTGTGTGCACTGCATTGTATGGCATTGATTCGAGGGGTTTGGGAGTGTGTATATATATATGTGTGTGTGTGTGTGTTGGTATGATATGATAATCTTATATACATATATCCATATATACAGCAAGGAAGGAAGGAAGAATATCATGAATCGCAAAAGTATTATAGTATAGTATAGTATAGTATAGTATTTATTGTGTTATGTACCTACTGTGTTGTTGAAATGGATGCTTAGAGAAATATTTACTCAATTATATACTTAGTGAATTAGATTATCTATCATCAATTATATATTTTTTTCGTTTCAGAATTTTTATTAAGAATATAGAGACCAATACTCTATCACTTTCCTTTATTCATATATATGTTCAATTTCATATTTCATATTTCATATTCTTCCCTCAAGAACCGAGATCATTATAATTCCCCCTTCTTAAACAGCCACCACAACCATTTTAACACGACGAAAAAAAAAGCCCCATCCGGTCCAGGAGAAATTGATTCTCACTCACCCCCCTTCAAACTCCTCCTCAAACTCCCAAATCTCCGCTTCAGACCCTCACCCATCTTATGAGATCTCCCCGTACTATGACTTCTAAGTCTACTATTACCCATTCCACCACCTTCTTCATTAGAGAAATCTACCGTTGCCATTGCTCGACCGCTCGTTGTGCTACTATTCATGTCTCTGCTAGGGCCACTTGAAAGATTACTTCCACTTGCGCTTCTTTGGCGATAGGTTGGGGGGACTCGGAGATTTGAGTTTGCGGATGTGGAGAGACGGGATTGCATTTCGTAGACGGAGTTTCCGTCCGAGGTGATGCGGCGGTGGGAGGATTTTTTTTGAGAGGCTTTGTGCTCTTTGAGGGCTTTTTCGATGGTGAAGGAGGGTTCGCCTTTGCCTTTGTAGTCTTCGGGGAGGTATTTCTAGATAGGGTTTGGTTTTAGTTTGGTGGATTGGTGTGGTTTTGTATTGTTTGAGGTTTGTAATGGGGTTTAGATGAATCAGGATAAATGGACTATCGTCTGATAATCCAATTGGAAAATGTGCAGGGTGACAAGGAGAAAGGACATCAGGAAAGAAGTAGACATACCACATGATCCCATCTCTTATATGCACCACCAGCTGCATCAGGTTCCCTCATCAAATCAGCACCCTCTTCATAATTCATAATCTTGCCGTCTGGACCAGGCATTCCAGGAGGAATAATAGCCGTGCCAGACAATGGTATATGTCTATCCAAACTATCCTGGATAAACTCCCTTGGCGTAGCTCTGATAGCTTCCGCATTTGTTCCTTCAACTGCTGCCACTGGTGAGTTTTTATAACTCGTATTACGTGCCATCAGTGTGGCATCATATGGTCCTTCATGATGATATGCACCACAAATTGCGGTACGGTCAAGAGAGTCGATAGTATCAGCACCTGGAATGTGCTTCTTACGTAGATGAGGAGAACGGTATGCGATTTTGGTCTCCTGACGCAATTGATCGAGAGGTCTGTGTGACATGTCTCCTGGGTAACGTTCACCTAGTGAACTACCTCTACGACGTCCTTTGCCATTACCATCGCCGATAGGTTCATCGAGACTTTTGCGTAGGCTTCCGCCGTTAGAATTAGAGTAGCCGCCAAATGCTGATTGACGATGAGATGCATAGGGGTTCCTAGAGTTGAAGGAGGATTTGGTGGGACTAGCTGAGGCGGGAGGTGTTGGGTAGGATGTTACGGCTGGTTGGGGTGTTTTCTTAGTTGAACTGCTTCTGCCGAAACTGCTAGATTTGGTTTGTGGAATGGAAGATTTGAAATGACTCCCAGGACCGGTTTCTTCGCTAGGTTCGGGACCATTAAGAGGATCAATTAGATACTGTTGAGCCTGAATGGAGTCACGGTTGTTAGTGGTCATTGTATTGCTTCTTTTGTAGTTTAGAATATGGGGGTTGTAAATGAATAGTTTGGTGTCTTGGATCGCGATATACGATATAAATGGAAACCTTCAGCATACCCATTTCTTGTCACTTGAGCTCTCCATTTTGAAGATAATTATCAACCAAATATGGTGTGATGATTGAATCTGGTGATTCCGAGTGAGCCGTACTCCGTAATAGGATTTCAATCAGCGGTTCTTTGTTTGTACCTGGGTAGTGAAGACACAACAGGAGACTTTTCGGTTGGTTGATTAGGTACTGCAAGAGAAGAGAAAGGGAGGAGAGGAGAGGAAGAGGAAGAGGAAGAGGAAGAGAAAGAGGAAGAGAATGAGAAAGAGTTAGGAAGTAAAAGTAGGTCATTAGCTCATTACTATAATTGTAGGAAGACCCAGGCCGGATGCGTGAACAAAAGAAAAAAAAAGATATAGTACGTCGTACGCAGCATTTCAGGGTATCCTTGGCATCAATGATGTAATTCCACTGTACTGGTCCGGATAAGAAAGAGGTGCTGGATAACGCTACCTAGATAAACGTACCCATCAGACCCAACCTCCACTCAAATTTCCAAATATTGATTAGTCAGGTACTCACTCATATGACTCCGCTTCCAACAAAAAAATAATGATTCCGTAGATCATTGAGAAAAGTAAACGAAAATCCAAAAACCCCCCAACTCCGCAAATCCTCAACACGATCTAACACGCTGACGTCTGATATTGGGTCACAGGTTGTTCTAGACTTTATTTTGCCCAGAAGCCCGGGGTCGGAATCATTTGAACAGCCGCACTGCCACGAATACAAAAATCCTTGGGTCAAAGTTTAAAATCGTTACCTGTGCTCTGCTTTGGATGTTTGAATCTGGACATAACTGGACCACAACTGGACCACAAATTGTTTCAAAGCTTCATTAATCATCAAATGATGGAGCTTGGTTTGTTCGTGTAAATACAATCAATTGGGATTTCAGGCTCTAAAAACACACGTTCACGGGAAGCCCGGCTGCCAACTACCTAGGCATATTTCTAGGTTCCTACGGAATACTAGGTTTAGTATACGAATCTGTTCATCGGAGTCCCAGTTAAAACAAACCCGGCACTTATCTTCATTCAGACTAATTTACTGCTTCTGCCACTTCTATCACTTCTGGTGCATCTCTCTGGTTCCTCATTCGCAATCATACCGACATAACTTTTCGACCAAGGAAGGCTCACCGAAGTCAAAAGTCGTAATGGCTCTAGTCGATTATCCCTCGTCCGATGAAGATGATGTAGGCGACGACGTTGATCAGGTCCACCAACATAATGAAGAGGATGAAAAGACTACCACCACCAAAACTTCAAATTCGAATAATTTGAAGCGAAAAAGAAGCATTTCTCGTTCATCAAAATTACCTCCACTACCCTCCAAATTTCATGATCTTTATGCGTCGACAGTAAGGAATAGTACAAGAGATGATCCAGGTTTACATGGAGGGAGAAAAAGAGTTATTCCCCATATCGAGGGTAATTGGCCAACACATATTTATATTGAGTGTGAGTACCTATCAATGCCTTAAATTACCCTTTTACAAGCTTTTTGCTAATTCAATCGAGGGTATCCTTCGACTATAGAATTCAGTTCATTATCATCTTTGATCTTAAAAGTTGTTTCGCTCAAAAGATTCGAGATTCAGTCATTTTTAACAAGTGATCTTGGGGTCCCTCTTCCCTTACATGTTAGTCTTTCGCGAGCAATTGGATTCTCTAAAGATGTCAAAGATAGCTTCTTGAATTCATTCGAGCAAGCTATAAAATCTTCCGGGATTCGTCCGTAAGTCCATGTCCGGATCCAGCTAAGAGTGACAGGTGATTAACTTTTCCTCAGATTTGAGATCGGATTCTCCGGCTTATCTTGGGTTCCTAATTATGAAAAGACTCGATGGTTCTTAGTCCTCCGTCTCAACATACCCGAAAGCAATGCCTTGAACAAATTACTCCATGTGAGCAATAAAGTCGTAGAAGAATTTGGGCAGCCGCCATTATACGCAGATTCTAGGGCCAGTGAAAATGACACCAAAATTGCTCATCCCTCCAAAAGAGATGCCAAAAACTTCAAAGAAAAGACACGGCAAAAAGAGGAGAGTTTTGTTAATATGGTTGATTTATCCAAGGCATTTCACATTAGTATTGCTTGGACGCTTTTGCCACCAGACCAAGAGCTTATTGAAGCTACTGAGCAATTAACCTCCAAAGAATTGATGAAAGTGCAAGAGATTCAAATACAGACCAAAGAGATCAAAGCCAAAATTGGCAATGTGGTGACTAACTTGCCTCTTCCTGTAGGTATAACAGAGGGTAAAAATCTCTTTGGGTTTTGAGGGATCACTCTAATTTTAAGGGGTACACGAGATATCTGATGATTTTGGGGAAGTAGTATGTCTAAGCAATTGTAGCCGATGCACCTGAATCCACTCGATGCTTTTATTCGTGTGTTCATTCATCCACACATGTCATTTACAGCTGGGCAAGCAACGATCTCATTTACATGACTTTTCATTATTTTCGAAGAAAACAAGCTTGCCCGCAAGCACTGTCCCTCAAGGAGTTGACAAAATATTTGAAACCCTCCGCTGGTACTTTCGTCACCCCGAGTCCGCGACATGTCGAACTCACTACTCACAATCGATTCCTTCCTCCGGGCCTATGCAATGTCACTTGCATTTGCGATTACTAGGCGCAGCTCAAAAGTGTCTGAAGATGGGCTTACTGTATACGTCAGCACATCACTTTAAAATTTCATTGCCTAGAGCAGAAGCGTGCCTTCGTTTAAAGAGTCTCGCCCAATTTGCGTTCTACGCGATTTCCACATCACTCACGCCAAAACTACACTGAGAGCTCCCAGTACTGTTGCTGTGACACCAAAGACTATCTAGATTACATCATCTTAAGACAGCTGGTGGACGGAAGGAGCGTCTTTTGAATACATTGAAGTCAATGAATAGTTTCTCCCGTTACGCTCATCGAGCCTGCACAACGTCAGAGGGTACTCTAGCTGAAAAATCGCATGGATTTTCCATTGAACCTACCATTGAATGACACAGCAGAAATTTTTGTTTGTGAGAGCCTTGAATGCTTCAACTTGTTGCATATGTGATGTTTCCGGAATTGTTCTATTCAATTGAGAGTACTAAATCTGCTATATATGTCTTTCAAGAACCCTCACATTGTCTGCCGGGGACGAGGCCCGTTTGATGTGGCAGACGAACTCTTGGAATTTCATTATTTCATACAAGACGATCAAACCAATGGCGAAGCTCCAATACTATCTTTCAACGATTTCTATTAAGGCTTGTGATACCGTCGGATGTTTGCTTTTGTCAAACGAAACCATTTTAAGCTATTAAAACCTTGTGGCTGAAGTCAAAACTTAAAACCCTACTGCTATTCTAGGAATCGCGGCACAATTGTTGATTACATTTTGAGTGTGTTAAGCGAAACCTGGCGCTTAAAATTACAAGCGGGAATGTTCCTACCTACCAAGAAGCGTATGCATATACTAGCACAAAATACGCCTCTCCTCTCGTATTTTAGTTCTTACAAAAACCACCACAGTGTGTGATCAATGTAACCAGTCGAGCCATAGCAAAAGAATTGATCTAAAACGACAGCGTTTCACCGGCTATGAAAAATTAAAAACCCACTTTATCATGTTTACGTGTTGTGTAGATGAGGGTTACTGTCGATGCGAGTGCTGAGTATTCTAGCATGGACAAGATGCCTGCACCTTTTCCGTCGATACTACCTTGTACACTCTACGTGTACTCTTCTTTTATGTGGGAGCGGCGCCTTTCCCAGAATCAGTTCCATACCAAGGATTATTTATAAAAATTATGATAGTGTGTTCTTGATTCATCATTCTGTTTAGCAATGTTTGTCCACTAAGGCTTCTTTCTGAATGTCGAATATCAACTATATCTCATCTGATACTTAGGCTTACAATTTATCATTTTTCTCTTGTGATTCAACACTCACTCGGCATCGATAAACTCCACAGAAAGGCGGATGGCCGCTGGAATGACTTGTATATCCTACACTACCAATCGTTACTGATACATATGCTCGCTATTGGTCGACTAAATGTTCCGTGTCCTCAAAATCTGTCTTTGACCTCATAACAATTTCAGCGCAGAGTTTCCGCTTAATACCAGATGCTCTGATCCTTTGTATCCAACTCTACTCTACCATATCTACTTTCTTCACTAAGCCCAAGATATATTCGCGAGTATTGAAGAATGGTTGAAAAAGTATTCGCTCAAACTCCTCAGCAAAATTAGGGTCCATATTCCATTTTTCTCCTTGAGGTATTTGGGCCTCGGTACCTGCGTGGCCTTTGTCAGAATCAGGATCCACATCGCGCTCCTCTACTTAAGAATTTTTCCCTTGAGGATATTGAACTCCAGAAGCCTAGGGCTCCTCATCGTCATTCATATCCACAGCGGATTTCTCCTGCTTCTGAAGACTTTTAGCCTGGAAATCCGGGTGACTCTCATCAATATTAGACTGTAGATTAGCTTTCATGTGTTGATATACTTCGTATAGAAGGTCGCCAATGGCGAAATCTCTGGTCATCACCCACGAGGCTAGCATTCCATATCCACCCTCCTGCAGGTCATCTACGATATCATAATCGCGTCTTAACCGGACCCTCTCGCTTTCACTTTCGGGCCTTACCTCATTTTCCACGAATTCGTCTGCTTCTTTTGAACGAGCTTCCGTAGCTTTTCTCCTGGCATATTCCTCCCGGATTTGTCTCTTCTGGTCTTTTGCCTCCCGCTTTTCTCTAAATTTAGGCATTTCTTTCGCTTCGCCTTCCTTCCCCAGAGCATACTCTTCCATTTCTAACTCTGTTATTTCCTCTGCCATTATTTCCGCTGTCATTATTTCCTTTATTATTTCCTCTACAATCATTTCCTTGGCGAAATTTTCCTCCACCATTTTTTTCTCCGCTAAGGCTTTCCCTATTCCCAACGCACGAATTCTCCGTATTTTTATTATGAAAAGAAGAAATACTACATCTTCCAATGATAACTGGCGAAAAACATTGATCTCTCTGAGGATTCGGGCTTTGCCGGCCAAGATACGTCTGAAGTCTTGAGACAGACGAAATTCATCTTCCATAGTCGCGTAGATAGTTGTCAATTCATGGAGATGCTTGGCTTCCAATTCCTCCCATATCTCCAGGAACCAAGTCAAAATGCGATTCTGTTCTTGCTGGGCTGCGCCGTCTAGGTCACGGGCTAAAACATGCAAGATACCCATGATCTCCTTATAATCGACGGCCTCATCCAAACTTTTAAAAGTAAGAGCTTTCGCCTCATCAATCACAAAACCAAAATGCTTGGTATGCCAGCATTCTGTGCATGTACTGAGGTACAACATAAGTGCCCGATCCCGTTGCTCTTCAGTGAACTTCTTCCAGTTAAGACACTCCCAAGTATTGGTTTGCTTGTCTGGAGCATTTTCATCGAATTTAAATACAACCACTCCATCAGCATTAAATTCTAGAAATTTGCTAGGTATAAAGGAGTACTGGTTGATTGATGAGGCCCCGTCGGGTCCTTGCATTGACCCTGAAGTCTGGAAAGATACTGGCAGTAAAGCGGTAAGCCTTTGTAATGCATTTGAATTTTGGACAGAATCCCGTACAAGAGCAAAGAGTCCACTTTTTCGACCTGGGGTTTTAGGCGGTGTTGGCGTGCGGGGTTTTTTCTTTCTCTTAATTGGTACTAATCGTCGCGCTAGGGTTTGTGGTTTATGAATATGGCAGCGTTGTGAGTGGCTAATTGATTGAAGGCGCTGCAGAGGTAGATTTGGAGCGCATTTTCTCCCCGGGCGGCAGCTAGAAATCCAGTCGCAGGGCGTTTTGTAAGTAGCCCATTTATGCACGTCTCATTTATTTGCACTTCTCGTTCTAATCTCTTTCTTAGGCCTGGGCCGCGTGCAAATTGTTCAATGCTTTTTTCGTCACCTATCGGTATGGTTAGATGTCGCGAAGCGTCAAATGGAGGTGTTCCTACTTGGATAAGGGAGTTGATGAATTTTTCGAATACCGTGCTTCCTAGTAGTGCTTCGAAGCTTAGATCTACCAAGTAGTAAATTCCTTTGATCACGAATAGAACCAAGGAGTCTGATATTATTTTGATGATGTCAGCTAGTTCTTGAGCTGATGCTTCTGCTTCTGCTTGTGCTTCAAATCTTGCTTGCATTTTTGCTTGTATTTGTGCTTGTGCTTGTGCTTGTGCTTGTACTTGTACTTGTACTTGTACTTGTACTTGTACTTGTGCTATTACGTCTGCTAGTAGCTGTTTATTGCAAGGAGTTTTGACGGGTTGAGCTGGCGGATACCGTTTGCAGGGTCGAAGTGTGGACTATTATACGAGGATTAATTTGGAGGTGCGGGTTTTTCTTGTACGCTACATACCATTTCGGCTCCCATGGTGACTGGTTTTTCTTGTTTTTCCTTGTTTTCATGTTAGAGTGGTGGTAGGGTAGGGTGTATTGGTTGATGGGGTGGATGGTGTGGATAGGGTAAGGAATATTGTCTCTTTGGTTTGATTTGTACGAGGAGTGCTGGTCGGTGCGCCCAAATGGTATCGTATGTGGCGAATTTCGGGGCAGTTATTCAATGTGAGGATTGAGATCAGGATGGGATGGGGATGAGATGGATATTTTTGTTTGCTGGTATAAGAGGGGAGGAAAAGGGGGAAGACATAGAGCCACTGTCTTGTAGATAAGATAAATTGTAAAGTCTCATATATAGTTACTTTCTCCTAGGGAAAGGGAAACCTTAGTAGATGGAATGGAACGGATAAATGTACTTTCCTGAAGTACCTTGCAAGTAAGGTCCTCTCTTTCCTTTTATCCTTCTCGTTTTCCTCCTTTTAAATCTTATTACATCATTTCTCGTTAAATATCCACTACAGTATGATCTCACTTCAAATGCCTTTGTATTGATTTAATATCTTCAATGTATATATATATATATATATTCTAACAAAAATAAACAAAGAAATACCATCTACTATTATAAAAATTAAACAAAAAATCACATCATAGACATCAAAACTTCAGAACGTTGTATAGATAGGTATAAATGTAAAAATCAAGCTTGCTTTTAATATATGTTACGCTATCGACTTTCGATCAACAAATCAATGTCATGCAGACACTGCGGATATCTTGAGAAGATATCCATCCCTAGTATATGTATGTAAAATGAGTACATACATACGGCATTCACTTATGTGCCCTCGAATCCCTCTCACCACTTCATCTCATTTCGTGTATGAACTTCACTAAAGCTTCATTCATGCTCATGTTCATCCTCAGTGCCCGTTGTTTCTGCCTCACTCTTCTCACTTCGTTCTACCTCTGAACTTTCTCTACCCTTTTTACTCCTTTGAAAGCGTCCCCAAGTTGAGCTTTTTCTTTCTCTAGGAGCACCTTTTTGACTTTTCGCATCGCCTCCTTCCAGACCACCAATTCTCGGACTACTGGTTGCACTTTCTCCACCAGTTGTCAAAGAGTCTTGAACATGGTCATCTAAACTTTCATCTCTTTCATTATGATCAGAAGCAGAAATACTACTACTTCCTTTCTTTCGACCAAAGATCGAGTCCTTGCCTAAGCTGAATTTACTCGAGCTGCCTTTGCGAAGGAGTTTACTGAAAGATGATTCTCCTTTAGTACTTCCTCCCACGTCGGACGTTGCATTACTCTTAATCCTATCTAAACTGTCGGTAGATTCGGCTACGCTGTTTTGCGTATGAATAGAAGGAGAGTCCCGCGACTTTCTTCGTTCAGATGGAGAGGACGTGATGGGTTGAGGCGTATCATAGATAGGATCAAATTCGGCATTCTGGTCCGAAGCCTTACCTTTACCTTTACTAGATCTCAAGAACCGAGCAAAGACAGGATCACTCGTTTGAGGAAGTTCAAATTTTGGCGCGGTTGGATTGAGTTTGGGTAAGACGGAATTATGGGATGAAGGTGGCCTGGTGCCAATGGCTCCCAGATTTGGTGGTGGACTTGAGTTAATGTCTTCCTCATAGAAGTATTCATCTGATCCGCTCAACATCCCGGAGGTCAGTGCATTAGTAGAGCCATGTTGGAAGCTAGGTCTTCTAGATTGACTGCGGGACCACGTTGGTGGGGCGGACACTGACCAGTCTGTAACAAGTGGGCTATTTTTGTTCACAGTACCGTCAGCTCCTGGTCCCCAGCCAAATGGTGCGCTGTCCGTTGACGGACGTGGCAGGTCAGAAGAAGCAATTGAAGTGGGACGAGGGCTGCTAGGGTCACGAGAGGGGTGCAGAGGATTTGAATCCTCATTCCTAAAGCCAAACATACTAAAACCATGTCTCCGACTATTTTGGCGAGCTGGGGCAGGTGCATTACCTTCAGAAGTGTCACCAACTGTAGGGTTTCGTTGAAACACACCGCCCCAGCCGGATGAGAAGCTTATACGACGCGATCTGTTGGAAGGAGTCTCCGGTTCATCAGTGGAACGTGGAAATGAATGACTTTGGCCAGCTTTCAAGCTACCAAGAGGAAGCCCATCTTGTGAATTCTTATCGGATTTTCGGAGAGAGGTGAACATGCTGCCAAAGTTCCTATGAGAAGTTGATTGGCCGGTTCTGGCTGGCGATCCAATCACTCCAAACTTTGATGAAGGTGATCCTAATGAATTTCGATCATTATCAAGGGCATAATCGTGATGCGTCACACCATATTTTGCGAGATTTTGTGATGATGCATGAGGACTAGACATTAGACTGGCAGAACGACTGGATCGTGGGGATTGTGGGTCGTTGTGTCGGTGCGATGGGCTAAACGAGTGGTGCAACTCTGATGCATATTCAGAGACTTCCTCATCAGGACTTGGTGGCTCATCATCGTTGAAAAGTGTTGATGGCAATAGTGAGGTTGCTGTTGGACTCAGTGGGGCCCCAGCAGTGAGTGATTGAATATCAGCTTCACTCATGCCCGTGTGACCCAAAAGTGGGACCATTGCAGTGTCATTACCCATGGCTAAGTCCATGTATGGAGCAGGGGCATAAGCTGTGGAACTCATCGAGTTGAAGGTGCTGAATGTAGTGGTACTTGGAAATTGTGGATCAATCATGGGATAGCCAGGATTTGTCGATGATACCGTATTTGTGCGACTCTTGCGAGTGCGTTGCCTTCGAGCCTTGGCTTTACCTTGTTGTGAATTAGGATCAAAGTCTACTCCAGAAGAATTGGCGTGATTCATGAGCTGGTTCTGATTGTTTGGTAGTCGGGCATAGAGAGCATTGAAATTGGCCTGTGCAGCTTGTAATTCGGCTTCCAGTTGCTCCAGGCGTTGGCTGCAGTCTTGGGCATGAGCATGCTGCGCTCTGTTCTTCGCGTCCCACTGCGCATCGTTTCTTTTTTCCAAAGCCTCCCACTCACGGGCTTGATCATCATCTAACCCGATCCCAAGGTTCTCCCTCTCCTCTTCCAATTTTTTGACCAATAGCCCCTTCTCTGCAACTTCCCGCGTGTACTCCGTTATCAAATCTTGAACGTTACGAATGTTTCGACGAAGCTCCTCGCATCGGGCGTCCGTAGACACGCGTATCTCCTCTGTCTCGTGACTCCAGGACTCCCGCTCGGCTTCCATCGACTTGATTTCCTTCTTCCAGCGTGCTTGTTCATCATGCATCTTCTTTCTCTCTACCTGCTTCGTTTGTAGACTCTTTTGGAGTGCCGTTTTCCGCGATTGTGCTTGTCGATTCTTGACCTCCAGATTCTTCACCTCTTTCCTCAGTGCCTCACTCGCTTCCTCCTTGTCCTTGACAATTTCTGTCTTTTTGTCTTTGTCTTCTGACAGAATAAGGATTTGGTTTCTTATCTCCTCAGATTCCTTAAGACCCTGAGCAATCACATCTTCAACCTCTTTCTGGACCGCATCTTGTTTCCGCTGCAATTCTTGAATCGTTTCGCAGCCTTCGTCCAGAGACTGAGCAATCGAGGCGGACCAGTCCCCAGCGGTAGCGGTAGCTATTGATGGCGAGTGTTTTCTACCCACCGTATTTCTTCTCTGACTATGGTGCGAAACGCTTGATTCTCGCACGACGACCTGAACCGTGGCTGCGGGAGGATTCGTAATATCAGCAGGGCCTCCGTGGGCTCGAACCGTTGGCAGAGTGTCCCCACTCGCAGCATCATTTTGATCATCATTTGAGAGGTCCGCTTCATTTCTCATGACTCCATGCCGTGGATGCCCATCTCGACCCAGTGTTCTTAACCGTATAACTCTACTCCCAGCTTGAAAATTCTGCGAACCAACCGCTATAACCCTCACATTGTAAAAATTACCCGGCTTGAGTCCTTCAATAATAACCGTTTCTCCTTGGGTTGATTCGCCAACTGTGTAATATCTTAGCGCAAATACTACAGGCCTTGTGCATTGTAGGGATCTCACCATCGACACCATTTACTTGGAGGATGTACCGAACCACGCCTTTATTCGGTGGAGATGAAGACCAATGTAAAGTCAAAGAATCGGACTTGATACATGCGAGAGATACTTCGGGTGGATCGGGGACCTCGACGCCTAGAATGCTAATGAGTCGTGGTAGAGGGGTCCAAAGAACATCGCTCGCCCTCCTTAGCAGCCTTGAGTAAACGGTTAGTAAAGCCTTACTTTCGTAGTTCCTCTAGATGACGTGTGACAAACCAAAACAGCGCCGCGCAGGTCACTAGGGATTGAATTAAAAACATGTGTTCGTGAAGCTCCCTGGCATGACTAAAAACCCAGTCAATCAAGCTGGTGTAGTAGTCGACCGCGTTCATACAGAATCGAATCCGAACCGATCTCAAAACACTCAGAGCAGAGGTTGTTGAGATCTAATCATACAGAGGAAAAGAGATGGTAAAGAGATGGTGGTAGGAAGTAGTGATGGCGGAAGTTATAGTGAGGATTTAAATAAAGAGATGGGAACAAATTCGCAATCATCAAACATCACAGCTTTCTTTGCATTTTTTGCAATGGTCCATGTTTCCTTCATTTTAGTACACCTGAGGCAATGATGCATAATGACTCTATGAAAATCCCCCTTCCTCATTTGCTTCATGTAGCCAATTACCAGATCTGCTACCATTTATAAGTAGGATTATTAATGGATCTTCGAGTGAAAGGGTGACCAATCAGATCGAATGAGATTTCACTACCGACACGAATCCGGACGCTAGAATCTCCAACCGCCTTTCCCGCACGCCTCAAAAGAAATCGGTAGAGCAAGAGGCCGGGAATCATTAATGCGGGGTATTTCAAGTGACGGATCGTGATCAATGCCACTTGTTACTTGAAAGCGTTTGAGGGTAGTTGAAAGACCTAGGGAGTAGTACCAAAAGGTAGCAGCAGACAGGAGGTACTAAGAGAAAGTAGTAACAGAGAGTTACTAACAGAAAGTAGTAACAGAGAGTTACTAACAGAGAGTTACTAACAGAGAGTACTAACAGAGAGTACTCCTAACATAAAGTATGGAAGTACAATGCCGAAGCTTGTTTTGGCTGAATGATCAGATGGAACAACACACTATTCTACTCTGTACAGACTTAATAACTAACCTGACCTTACCCTCTCTTCGAGGTTTACCTGTTTACTTGTTTACCTAGCCAGTCAATTATCAATGGAACAATGGAACAATGCCAAGGCGACGCTTTGTGTAAGTAGGGCAATTGTCTACCTTCTGATACATATCCAGTACATCATAACAATAATACGCACCGATGAATCGTATCGCACAGAGGTTGTTGGTTGAGTCTGTCTGTCAATCGAGGCTATCTCACTCAGGGGTCCTACTCTGGACACATTTAAAAAGTCATTTCATCTTATCATCTTCTCGACTTATCTATCCACCTACCTATCTGGTATCTATCCCTAGGTATTTATGCTGAATCCTGAGATACTACTGCTTCCTGAATCCTTTCTATACTCATTTTGACTTGGCATTCTACCCCAATCGTCAAGCAATTCCCCCTTTTCACATGCGAAATAATCAAACAATACATTCTTGACCGATCTCGATCCATAAAAAATCTGCATTCTACGGGGTATTGTACACTTTACCTAGGTACTCCGTACTTTCATTGACTCCACGAGGGCTAGCGACAACTTTTTTTTTCCATCACAAATACGAGAAGAGTTTTTCAATATTAGAAGTGAGTCTTTTAACGCAGGAAGAGATCGATCGTGTTTCCCAAGTACGATTACGTTATAGGTTATAGGTTGCAACCTTGAATGCCTAATTAATTCTCTTGTCACCTCTCTCCTCCAATTATTATCATTGCCGTAACTTTCCCAGTACCCTTGGGGTACTTGTGACCCACTCATGAAACCACGTTGTGAGGGTAGGTAGGTACTCACGTATGTACTTTACATTACCGTACATTACCGTACATAAGTACGTATATCTCTCGGTTGTCGGTTCACGGGGCGCTTCGGAAATAGAAATTTGTGCTTTAGGTGCATTGAGATTTTGCTGCATGACTTGGAATCTTGGGAATCTTTGGGAATCTTTGGGAAGCTTGGAACCCTCCTTAAGCCTTGTTGGGAGCAAAGCAGACCAGGGTGTTAGAGAATCGAATTCTTTGCAGCGGGTTTTGACCTGCTTTGAGCCTGCTTTGAGCCTGCTTTGAGCCTGTTTTGTGCCTGTTTTGTGCCTGTTTTGTGCCTACCTCGAGCCTACCTCGAGCCTGCTCCTCTGGACTTTTTCTTTTTCTCCGTGTCGTCACCCTACTGGAAAAGGGAAAAAGCTCAAAGCTCTGTCCACTTATTATTTCCGGAGTACATGGTAAGACTTACTATTGTTTTAGCACAATGCGCCTGCATTCCCAATCCCAACCCATCAAATTAATTACCTACCTAGTAACGTCTCAACATCAACAGTTTCCCATCTCTACATAACTGCCCCCTTCTCAACCAAACACACTTCACACTTCACACTTCACACTTCACACTTCACACTTCACACTTTACACTTTGCACTTAAAAACTTCACTCTATCAAGGTTCCTTCATTGGCTTTGGATTTTTATTTACCACTGCTACATTCACTCGTTATCGTCCTATCCAAATCAAAAGTCTTCCCATATAAATTTAGAACTTGGGCCTATAATTACTCCCCTACTACTAAGCCCTTTATTCAGCCATCGCAAATATTCGCACCTTTTACATAATATACGAGCGTCCATTCATCATTTAATAAACCCCCCACCTGATCAGTCGTAAAGTCCAACGGAATTCACGCATGACCGAGTGGATGTATAAATCTCACAACCATCATCCTCAACACTTCTTTCATCTGCGCGCCTTCACAAATCTGAGTTGGTGACATCCGCCTTCGTACTACACCACATCTCAACAACGATACTTCCCTTTATAACAATCAATCAGCAATGCAGTACGTGCGAAGTATCAGCGGGTCGGTTTCGAAAACATGGAACTCCATCAATCCAGCAACCCTCAGCGGAGCTATTGATGTTATAGTCGTTGAACAAGAAGATGGATCATTGGCATGTTCACCATTTCACGTTCGCTTCGGGAAGTTCTCTCTTCTTCGACCATACGAGAAGAAGGTCGAATTCAGAGTCAATGATGTCAAACAAGATTATGCGATGAAGTTGGGTGAAGGGGGAGAGGCATTCTTCGTGTTCGAGACGAGTGATAATATTCCAGAAGCTATGCAGACATCGCCACTTGTTTCGCCAGTTTCCAGTCCGCCATTACCAGCAGCAGGCTCAGATCCAGCGAGCTTGTCCGAACCCGATTTTCTAGCCTTGGATATGGGACATAAGAGTTTAAGATCAGATAGTTTTACAAAGTCTGTTGGAGGCTCATACCCTCGAAGACAGAGTAATCTCAGTAAGCTGCCAAGATTCTACTCAAATGTTCTTTACTGACTGGAGTAGGTGCTTTGACGCCACCATCAATATCCTCAGAGCATGCAAGTGGCATGCCCCTTTCTAGCGACTGGTCAGGGGTGCAACGAAGTCATACAGACGAATTGTTGACATCTTCGGCTCGAACAAATATTAGCGATTTGACGGAACGAGATAGACAGACACGATCTATGACGCCGACTATTGCAGCTGTTGATGGCCAATCGGATATCTTTACTGAAAGGTCGCACAGTCCTCCACCTCTGCCAACCCGGGAAGCCATAGAACGAGCAATGGCATTGTCGAATCGACTTCAAGCTTCCAACATACCCAGTCAGGTTACCGAAACTGGAGACTTAATGTTGGATATGACTGGTTACAAAAGTAGTGATGATGATGCTCTTCGAGCAGAAGTAATTGCGCGGAAGATTTTGTCGGAAGAATTAGTAGGCAATTATGACATTGGTGCTTTAATTGGTGCGGATGAACATGGAAACCTTTGGATATACAGCAGCGAGGAGGCAAAAGACGCTGCAAGTCACAGGGCAGCAATGGCAGGCATTACGAATGCCTCTGGATTAACCAGTGATGCTTCATCGGACCCAGGATATAATAGTGAAACGGATAGTGATATCCTTCACCAACCAATGGCTCCAACTCACCGACGTGCCGATTCTGATTCACTGGGAATGCAGACGCCACCTAAAACACCCACTGGAACTGCCGGTGATCCAAATCGGAATTACGCCAAAACTTTACGATTGACTAGCGATCAATTGAAAGCTCTCGGTCTCAAATCCGGACCAAATCCCGTGAGCTTCACTGTCAATCGAGCAACATGTCAAGCCAACATGTATCTTTGGAAATATGACGTCCCTATTGTAATTTCTGATATCGACGGTACCATCACAAAATCAGATGCTCTTGGTCACGTTCTTAATTATATCGGAAGAGATTGGACTCACATTGGAGTGGCCAAACTCTATACTGAGATTGTTAATAATGGCTACAATATCATGTATTTGACGTCTCGATCGGTAGGTCAGGCTGATACCACCAGGGCATACCTCAACGGCGTGGCACAGGAAAATTATCATTTACCGAAAGGTCCGACCATATTGAGTCCTGATAGAACGCTTGCAGCTCTGAGAAGAGAAGTGTACATCCGAAAGCCGGAAGTCTTCAAAATGGCTTGTCTACGAGATATTAAGAACTTATTCGGTCCCAACCGTACACCGTTCTACGCAGGTTTCGGCAACAGACTGACTGATGCATTATCGTACCGTTCCGTCAGTATTCCCAGCAATCGTATTTTCACGATCAACAGTTACGCGGAAGTATCGTTAGATTTGCTCACTCTCAACAAATTAAGATACAGCTATGTGAATATGCGAGAGGTTGTCGATCATTACTTTCCACCAGTGAACACCCTCATCACAAGTGGAGGCGAAGAGTACACTGATTTCACCTATTGGCGAGAACCTGTTCTTGAAATCGATGATTTCAGTGCATCCGAGAGTGATGAGAGAGATCTTGAAGAAAGAGAAGATGAGGAGGATGAAGAAGAGGATGAAGATAATGGACACATGGGCGAAAGTTACATCTCTCGCGGGTCTATAGATGAAGACAATTACTACGAGGAAGGTCTAGATGAAAGTCTTTTGATGGAGTCTATAGAAGGAAATGATGTTTTAACAAGAAGTATGCTACTAGAAGAGCAAGGCCAGGACTACTACGACAATGCAATCGAAGATTATGAAGATGAAGAGGAGTCGATGCTAGAAGAAGATGGTGTGAGACCAGATGATCAAGTCACTCCTCAACCCCAGCTCGAGAAACGCGATTCTGATGCCGAAGTGATTACGGGAATGCACAACCTTACTTTGGAATAGCAAGATTCCGACGATAAGAAAGTCTAAATGCTCATTCAGCAAAGACATAAGAGGCATGGAACTTCAAGATCCGTGTACACTCGATCACGGCACCCGAGAGACGGCATTTGAGTCACGGACGAAATTAAATGAGAGATGCAAGTGGATGAATAGGAGTATTTGTGTTGGAGTGCAGCGTAGCGACGAGAATTTTTAGTGAAATACCTTTCAAAGGCGACTGTAGATTAGCATATTTTGGGAGTTTAGATGGATGAGCATAGGATTTTTTAATTCTTGGAATGGTGTATATCTTTTAAGGGTGGAATGGTATGGAATGGTATGGATATACAAGGGGCATGGAAGACAAGGCATAGCGTGGAGTTTTTTAATTTGTGGAGTAATTTTTCGGGGATCGTGAGAATAAAGCGAATTATATATAATTGAACTTTTACTTTATCTCGTTTGAATCATTTCTTTAGGTTTGAATGCTTATATTGGTGTATTCTGGCTATGTATATATATCGTGATGGTTTGCTACTCTTCATGTATATCATTAGTTCATGATGTTATAATTTAAATAAACTTTTCTTTGCTAGTATAGCTCTAGGGGTTAGCTCAAGGAGTTAGCTCTAGGAGTTAGACCTAACATAAAACTACCCCATGAATAGGCAATTCTACATGATTCCTTGTTAAGATTAGATCACAGTGATAGTCATAAATCTTATCTATTGATTGATTGATTGATTGTTCTATTAACGTCCTGTATTAGTCTAAGACTATGTAGGACGACTAAACCGTATATATCTTATCAGAATGGTGTTGAGATTGGGGTTGAGGTTGAGGTTGAGGTTGAGGTTGAGGTTGAGGTTGATGGATTAATTAATTGGAAGCTTTGGCTTCCCATATAAACCAGGTAGGTAGGTGTGCTTGTTCAGCATCCATCCTTGACATCCCTATCTAGAGATATGTAATGTACTACAAGAACAGCAACGGGAAATAGTAGGGAATCAGCGGGAATGTAATCATACATATAAGTCAAAAGAAAACAAACAAGATTTGTTCTTAAATCACAACTTGTTTTTAATTCTATGAAAATCAAATTTACATTCTTTGTTCATCGTATTCAACTCTTTACTATGGATGAAGACATGCCTTATATTGTATTCGCATTCTATTATAAATCATCGCCTTCTCTATTACCATTATCATCATTTTCGGATCACTTTATTGAACCAGATCTTAGCGAAACTTATAGTCTTTTGGTATAATGATTTACTTTTGTACTCTGGTCAAAATAAATCTAATCTTTTTAGGAATTTCGTATAGATCATAGATTGATTGTTGCAACTATCACCGAACGGATTGATCCATTGTGAACAGTTTACCAATTAAAGATCGAAAAGCCATCCATTCTCGATTATATTCCAATTCTATTCATTCGATTTGTATTCCGGAAGTTTTTTGACTTTTTTCTGTGTCTTAAGAATTTCTATCCCGGATGGTTCCTGCCATCTATAGTTATCCTTAAAAAACGCAAGCCTGATTGGGACGAAGAGTTTGAGAATGAAAAGCTTATGTATCGTCGTCTTCAATCCCTTCAAGGAAGATTCATATCTTATTTCTATGGAGAAGCAATATACGGTAGTGTGCCTACTTTAGTACTTTCTGAAATCATCGGCCAGACATTAGATGATCTTACAATGAAACATGGAGATGATAAGGAATTCGAAAGAAAGCTAGAAGAGGTTTACAAAGCATTAACTATGTATGGAGTAACTCATGAAGATCCAAAGTTGGATAATACTATTGATGTTGGAAATTGTATAATGATTTTTGATTTGGAACAATGTACGATCGAGGAAATGAATTGGAAAGGAAGTACTAATAAAGGAAGTGCGGGATATTTACTACGCAGGCTTCAATCAAATCGTCAGTGCGAAGATGAGGAGAGGCAAAGAGAAGAGAAGAGAAGAGATTGAAAGAAAAGACGGAAACAAAAGCGGAAAGAAAAAGGTATAATGGGAAAAGCCTGATTTATCACTCATCTAATATATTGTTAGACTTTGGAGCCTAACATACTCAAGCCACCAAAAGGAGGAATAAAGTTGTTTTGGATTAGGATAGGAGGGTTTGGATGCTTTATTTGTTGGTTGAAAAGAGAATAAGGTTGTGGTAGAGGTTGGCATCGTACTCATTCAAGTTATACAGTTTAAAAATCTCCCCTCAGTTACAAATGCTATTAAAAAGTTGCTTTTATGTTGTGATCACTTTTTGAGTTTGGTAGAATACTGTACCTGAATCGCTGGTCGCTGGTGAATGCCTACCAAAGTTCGATGTGGAGGAGTCGATCATGGTAGATGAAGTAGTGGAGGATAGACCGATGATAGGACGTGACCAGGGATGACCTTGTGTACCATTATATCGGAATGAGGTTTGCTCGTTGTCGATAGGAAGTGGCCGAGTTCTTCGTTGTTTTGCAGATCGTATATTGTCGTCACTCTCACTATCTTTGTTAATCTCAGTTTCGGGTAGGTATCGCTGCTTTCTGCGTCCCTGTTGCTCATTATTTTCCCCCTCCTTTATCGATCCTACAGCTATGTCCCTGTGCTGTTGAAGGAAGTATAGTAAAGATCTATGCTCAGGCTCCTCAGGGTCATTGTAGCTGGCATCACTATGATCTTGATCGCGAATAGCTCAATTGAGTAGTCCACAGGAGGACAATGGGAGCCACCCATTGAGAGATTCTCTTGCTCATCTGAATTTGATTTATTATCTCCCAGCATTAGAGTATCTATATATAAATCAGAAGATTGCTTTATTATCGTAATCAAGTGTATAGATACCTTGAGTGTTGGAGCCCTTTTGTAATCCTTCTATCAAAACTTCCTGGTACAAACGAGGATTAAGTACTGTCTGAATTGATGAAGAATCGCCATCATATATTCTCGGCGAAGTTATTTTATCCTCCCAAGTTTTTTTTTCTTTAGGCTTGAATCCTCTCCTATATTCGCTTGTGATATACTATATGATGTAGGGAGATCGATATTGCAATCATTATTGGCAACGTTGTCTTTGTTCCTATTCTCTATATAGAACATCAATTATTGGGAAAAAGAATATCCCAGGATCTTAATTTGGGTATGTATACCTTGAAGTTCTGAGCCTGAATCATTACTATCATTTGATCTCTGAGTATCGTCAAATAATCTTCGATCTAGCACAATATGCTGCTCCTTGGCGGGAAAGCTATACTTCTGAATGGCTGCCCTTCTGGAACGCGGAGCAGTAGGTACATAGATATAATAAATGAATTCAAAAGAAGTCATTTTGAGAATATAAAAGTGATTGATCATTTCATTATCTGATCCAATCTCATTTTATCATTACTATTATTCCCCCTTGTTCTCGTAGTATAAAAATTTTACGTCTGAAAAAAGAATTCACAGCCCCCTCGGTTAACCCGTCTTGCATTACCCGAAGTACAGGTAGATCACTATACATTTTCTAAGATTCCAAATCAAAATCTAGGTCTTTGTTTTTGTTTTTGACCCAAAATAACGAGATGTGATTTCCTTGAATCTACCCACTTATCTGTTGATCTTGCGTATTACAGTAGATTCACTGCATACTGAGTGAGTTGTAAAGAGCTTATAATTACCTGTACTAATTTCATGATTCTCCTTTCATCTATTTATTCATCAACAAATACCTTTTGATGAACAACAACATACAATCTATCAACTTCCACCTATTAGTCATCTCTCAAAAAGTAAAGAAACAAATATCTTAGTCTCACCTGTCAATCACAAGATTATAATCATGGATCTCAAGAAACTCACCACCAGACAGCTCTTACAGCAGCTCTCATCTATTGGCATAGAAAAGCCCACCCCAAAAGATAGCCTTGTTGCTCTTTGTTACGAGGGTTGCCGTCTAGATCATGTGGAAGTGTTCTAGGCTCTCGAGGTGGTTTATAATTAGGTGTCAAGCAGGGATTTAAGTAACAATAGTGAATGATTGCAATTTGTAATTAATAGTAGTTTATACTAAATGATCGATCTTGAGTACGAAGCTTTGTAATAAGGAGATCCATCTTGATTATATAGATCTTTGTGTTCTGGCTCTAGTGGCTCTAATTAGATTACTTAGAGCCGGTCACATGACTGTGCCGATCCCGTGATTAGACATGTGATGCGGAATATGTTACCCGATGTAACACTCTTCTTCAAAATCATTTACGTTTAACTCGTCATCAACAACAAGCAAGAGAATCAGCTGCTATTGAACAGAAGATTATTGAGCGCCCAGAAAAGGCCTCATTGGTATATTTTCGTTCTCTTTAATTTTTATCACCATCCCACCTCATTCTATGTGTCTAAATTCCTTCTTTTCTCGCACTATCTCAATCCTAAAATCAGCTCGGAATACTCTACTCTTTATTTGAACCACCAAATTCTTCTAACATCAAAGATAGGAAACCCTCCTTCACCGCATGATGAAAATTCTTCTCGCTGGCCTCGATCTTACACTTCCAAAGCTGCCGCGGGGGACGGAAGTTCAAACGCAAGTTAGCATGAAGGTTACACATACCCATTATCAAAATCGGGCAGCCGCTCCTCTTGTAAGTGAGGAAGATAGGAAAGATATGACTATGACGAATTTTGCAATTGTAGATCAAGAAGAAAAGGAGGAAAAAGGGGACAAAGATTTAATCGAGGAACTTCACCCTCAGATTCAAGCTCGACTTGAAAATCAAGAGTCCGAGGACAAGGAAAGCAACATTGATCCGATCCAACGCAAATGAGGAGACTTTTTGACATCTAGTTCAGGCTCGCAACAACTTATCTGCTCTAAGAGTAAGGCAAAATCAAAGGCAGATTTTGTTTCAAATGAGAAAATCAGGCTTTTGCGCCAGAGTCCCGATCTGCACTCGTCAGACAACCTAAGAAGAAACAAAAGCGTGTCGGAGGGAAATTTGCATCGGATAGTGAGTAATAGTGGCGTTTTACGTTCCCAATAAGTATGCTGCGTAGATATCCGATGGTGGTTTACATGGGGATTTGGCGTCCAAAAACTTTCGTTCATCTACCGACGCGTACATTCTACTTAGTTTTTGTATCTAACATTGAGTGGGACCATATTCGTGGTGGTAATAATTAGAGTAGTGGTGAGATATAAAGTAGCTTCGAGTTTCAAAGCTCCACATAGGGCAATTGCATTCGATAAAATGGGCCATGTCATCTGTAATGCGGGTAGATTTGATTCCCTTGCTTCGCTTACTACTCTGAACTTTACTTGTGGTGTATGTGACTAGTATTGAGCTTCAAATTCTGAGTATTTGACTGCGCATTCAAGAAGTCAAGTCTCCATGTTTAGAACCTCCACCAGTCCATGACCACTAGCAATTCGTTGGCCATGCTAGGAGGGCGCCCTTTACTTAAATCCATAGATAAAGAACCGTCATCACCTAGACGGAAGACAAAGTTCAGAAAGCTTAGTGATAACGTGCAAGATTTTCATATCCTTAAACAGAACGCCGCCTCATGTCTGACGGCCTTTTTGATGGAAGAAATCAATTTGTCCGCTTAGACGGAAACGGAATGGTCTATGTTACAGGGTCACATACTTCTATCCTTCCTCTCCTCTCACCGGTGCGTTGGATTTCTGCGCGGGTATACGTTGAAGAATACCTGTAAACTGTTTAGATGACTTCGACCACCCAAGAATGCTGATTTCACGAAAGCTGCGAGATCAGTCTTCTTTTTTCAGAAATTAAGAAACCCTCGACCGCATAGAAGAAAACATGCAGGAAGACGAATAGATGAACTTTGTGCCAAGAGTTGTCCCTTTCATTTATGTAACACTGTCATAATTGTGTTCTACGACGGGCTCACAACAATAGAGCAAGACGAACAGGTCCTTTCTGAAGATGTGCAGCAGCTCGGGAGAAGATGCGTATGAGGAGTTATCCAGAGATATGAGAATCGGTAGAGTCTTTGGAACAAGTCTAGCGATTGCTGTAAAGCAGTTTGGCAAAGCAAAGAGATCACTAATTCCCATTTGCGTTTTTGCTTTAACACTACTAGTTAACCACAAAAAAGACCCATGACTACCTGTATCCGGCTGCATGGACTCGATATCCTGGGAAAATGTCAATTCCACATGTCAGGGCCTGAAAAGAACATCTGTTTGACAGTCTTGATATTGTACTGCATGCATTTGCTTGTTTTCAAATAATACGAACTCCCTCCTGCGAATTATGCGTGCCAAATCCTCTTAATACCCTCAGTAAGTCCCACATCATTTGTTTCAAACTCATACAATCCAATTCCAACCAAAACAGTTGCTCCTCTCAGACCCCACCAAAACAGCGCCCTCGTCTTTGGCACCCTCTTTCTTGGAAAGTAGTCGATAACGCAAGATTCGAAACCGATGTGTGAGTGGATGAGGATCGCGGCGCAAAGGATAGCATCTGTAGCTGGATTCAATGATCCGGAAACGAAAGGTGTAACTGTGAGAGGGATGAGACCGACGGCAATTAAACGTTCGAATGTCCAATGGTATGAGCCGTGGGATGGGGATGGTTTAGGCACGGGTGCTGCGTCGTTTGCTATATAAACTATTAGTTTAAGGTGGGCTAGTCCAAGGGTAAATCCACGTACATGTGCCATCAATAGATTCTACGACGTAGTTAGCAATAGATATAGTAGATCGATAGAAGAAGCTCACGAGGTAATGGGGGTAGAATTGATTGTCTGCCACTTGCATGGAATGCCGCTACACGCATTGAACCTGGCAATGCATCTCTGACAAAAGCGCTGCGTGCGGCGGGCTTGTTGATTGCGGGGAAACTGGAAGAGACTTTTGTAGAGAAATTACGCTTCGACGCGGCGAGGCAAGTCTGCCTGAGCATCGATGGTTTAATGAATGAAGCCATTGTGAATTTCTATTACAATTATTGAATGTAAAAGAGTCGACGACATATCACTCAATTCCTCGAATGCTTCGGTCGATGATATTCGGAATAACTAGGTAGCTCGGCAATAAATCACGTGTGCGGTCATCAAAGCCGGAAGAAATTTGATTGGCTGAAATCTGATCAACGACTAAGCTCTTCAGGTTTACTAAATTCTAGCAATTTGATCTCATCGGGTTATTTACAATTCGTTCTATTCCCACCACAAACCCTCACATCATATCCCCATGGCGTCTCGGCGGTTAGCACTAAACCTTACTCAAGGACTGCGCAACCGCGCTGCTCCCAATGTCGTATCAGGACTGAGAAGAGGATTCGCGACTCCAGTGATAAAAAATGGCGTGAAGACAGAGACCACAACTCTTTCAAACGGTCTAACGGTAAGGCTTGGATATAGCTGATGGAGGGGCAAGTGCTGATAAGAAGAAAGATTGCTACAGAACACTCGCCATGGGCACAAACCTCGACAGTTGGTGTATGGATCGATGCCGGTTCTCGGGCAGAAACGGACAAGACAAATGGCACAGCTCATTTCTTGGAGCATCTTGCCTTCAAGGTATGCTTCGACTTGAATGAGAACCCTCTAGATGGACTTACAATGAGAATAGGGAACTAGCAACCGAACACAGCATCAATTGGAATTGGAAATTGAGAACATGGGTGGCCACTTAAATGCCTATACTTCCGTATGTTTACATTTACTTGGAAAGAGCAGGAATTTTGCTAATGGTATGGAAAGCGTGAAAACACAGTTTACTACGCCAAGGCATTCAACTCTGACGTACCAGCAACTGTCAACATTCTTTCCGATATTCTCCAAAACTCCAAACTCGAACCTTCGGCAATCAACAGAGAGCGTGATGTTATCTTAAGAGAATCCGAGGAGGTCGACAAGCAATTGGAGGAAGTCGTTTTCGATCACTTACACGCAACCGCTTTCCAAGGACAACCTTTAGGACGCACAATTTTGGGCCCCGCTGAAAACATCCAATCCATTCAAAGAGAGGATTTGGTAAACTACATTAAGACAAACTACACTGCCGATCGTATGGTTCTCGTTGGTGCCGGAGGTGTTCCTCACCAGCAACTCGTTGAACTCGCTGAGAAGCACTTTGCTGGTCTCGCATCCCAACCACATTCAGCCGCTGCTCTCGCAGCCGCCAATGCTCAAAAGCAAAAGCCAGAATTCATTGGTTCCGAGATCAGAATCCGTGACGACACTATCCCAACTGCCAACATTGCCATTGCCGTTGAGGGAGTCAGCTGGAAGGATGATGATTACTTTACTGCTTTGGTTACTCAAGCTATTGTTGGTAACTGGGATAAAGCCATGGGCAACGCTCCTCACATGGGAAGCAAGCTCAGTGGTTTCGTCCACAAGAACGATTTGGCCAACAGCTTTATGAGTTTCTCAACAAGTTATAGCGATACTGGACTCTGGGGTATCTATCTGGTCACCGACAAGGCTACCCGTATCGACGATTTAGTTCACTTTACTCTCAGAGAATGGTCTCGTCTATCATACAACGTTACTGAGGCCGAAGTTGAGCGTGCCAAAGCCCAACTCAAGGCATCCATTCTTCTTTCCTTAGATGGTACCACTGCTGTAGCCGAGGATATTGGAAGACAAATTATCACCACTGGACGCCGTATGGGACCAGAGGAGATTGAGCGTGTTATTGGAGCCATCAGCGAGAAGGATGTTATGAGCTTTGCGCAAAGGAAATTGTGGGATCAAGACATCGCAATCAGTGCTGTTGGATCAATTGAAGGTATGTCTATCAAATTTATTTCACTGTTTTTTCTTCCAAATTACTGACAAATTTAGGTCTCCTCGACTACCAACGTATAAGAAACGACATGAGCAGAATGGCATCATAGATTGGGATTTAGATGGGTTTGGGGCATGAGCGTGTATGATGCGGGGTTTGTTGTACACATAGATCCTCAATAAAATTTGCTCATTTTGTTCAGACGACCTGAGACATGGATATCGCCAAAGTCATAATTATGAATAAAACAACTATGAAGACAATGAAGATGTAAGTAATTTTATGCCAGGAATGTTCATGCCTGAGGGATGGGTGACATCCGGACTAGAAATAAATAGTAAAATCCCCTGCATATTTCAATATTTCGCCAAACCTCAATGTCTTTCTCCAATGTCATACGCCCATACCCATGATCAAGGAGCCAAAAAACATCCCATCACTTTAGCTCTTCCCGCCGAAATACCAGACGAACTGTCAGTTTGCTCTTCGTCACTTTTCCATCTTTTTATCCAAACCAAAGCAATTCCTCTGTCTTCATGATCTCCTGAAATGACAGTCCTGTGCATGTATCGGCCTCGAATTGTTAATCACATACTACACTCGAACATGTCTTCGAAGCATGAGCTCCGGTCCGCACTGACAAAAAAAATCAAAATTCCCTCCCTCCCTAATCCCATCTACCCATTACGTATACAGTGACCACCACCTTCCTTCCAATTAACCACGGGTATATTAAAAAAGCAAGCGATTGTTCCCATTCATTACCAGCAAATACTCCTACACAAATGAAATGAAATCAAAAATTCCTCGGAATTATTACTCTTCTTTTTTTTCGATTATGGTAGCTCGACGGGTCCGGGCGGTGCTTCCATTTCTGCAATTATGCTAGGTTTGTGAGGATAATTGGCGGGTTTGTTCGCGTACTTTGGCGCTGGTAGTGATGCTTGCGTTTTATCGCTAATGTTAGACCATCTGTGATCTTGTCCGCCGTAACTCTTCCTATCATGTTGCATCTGATATAATTGCTGTTGTTGCTGCTGTTGCTGCAATTGAAAAGGCGTGTAAGGATGTAAAGCTGGATGACCTTGCATACCCGCTTCCGCCCATTTCTCAGGATTATATGGAGTCAATGGTGGACTTGTCGGCACACTCGCATTGCTGTACGAACTTCCTCTTCGACCCATACTGCTTACGCTTGCCAGACCGGGACTTCTCAAAGGCGGACTAATGGGCGGTGTCATCGTGTCGCTTTCCCCCTCATATGCACTTCCGTTTCGCATTGTCAATCTGTGGTTCCTCTCGCGCGCTTCTTGCAATTGTGCCTTTACTACCAATCGTGCAACGAGCGCTTTCAAACACTCCTGTAATGTTTTGCGCACGAATCTCGTCATTAGAATATTGCACTTCATTTCAACGTCCTCTCTAATGTACAATCCTTCCACCGGCGCATTAATGCCTATTTCTCTCGGGACCGCTGGTTCTCCAGGCATGTTTCCTCCTATCGTCCATTTTTCCTTGATGTCTAGTCCCATGGGCGCATAACAGTGTGTTTGTAGTCCATTAGCTAAATTGTGAAAACAGGCGTTGAAGGATACGGTGCCGGTGTAGAGATTAGCGGGTAGATAGGATACTTTGTCGACGATGCGATACCATTGGCAATGGTACTCTTCGGGGGTAGCAGAAGAAGGAGGTTTGGTCAGAGTGCGCTCCACGTGGGATGGATTCAGATCGATCATTTCGAGATGATCGTGGAGGGTTTCGACGACAGTTTTCCGGGATATATTGGGAGGGAGTGGTGTGATTGTTGTGAATATCGTTTTAGCCATCTTTGCTTAGATAGGATACTTATGAATTGAATTGGTATGCTGGAATTCGTGTAGGTAGATGGTAAAATACAAATCTCCTCGATAGAGAAAAGAGAGACGCAGCAAAACTTCAAGATACGGACGCAGCACCAAAAAACATGTAGAAAGAATGAGAAATAATCTTCACCTAACTTATTGCTGACTTACCAAGGATAATCAACATAATATGTATCACCAAAAGATAGCCATCTTACTCGACTATTCAAGATCAAGATGTCGTGTAATTGGTTCATCCTCATCGGAGCTGAAAGCCATAATCAATCTTGCCGCTGATTTTACAAGGTTGGAAGACTCAGGTCCAAGCGAGCTTACCATATTTTGGGGGGATTCCAGCCTAGTATTCGTCGGATGCTAGTGTCGAGAAATAGTACGTAACTCGCTATGTAATCGCAGCTATGATTGATTGATTATACTTTTATAGAGGGAGGGTAGCAGATAGCAGATAAGTGCCATCCCTCAATCAATGAGTATGATTTATGGTTCTCACCAAGATGTCCATCCATTGCTATACCATTCTCCTGATCCCATTCCATCTCCATTCTCCCTCTCCAAAAGTCCAGTACGTAAAGAAGTCAAACGGAAATCAAAACCCCCGAACATCTACTAGGTACATTTCCCTGCTACACCAACAGCAACATCCATTCAATCATCATAATCGACACATCAGATCAAAAAAGACATTACGCATATTGTACAGCCACTGTGCGCCATCATCACATCACATACCTACGTACGGACGTACAGAAAGATGCGTGTGCTGTAGTAATTATGAGGTGGTAGTACGAATAGTGGTACCAAAGTTTACCCTGCCTCGCTTGGCTGTGGAAAATTCCAAATCTTTTGGTGATTCAATGGGTACCTAGATATATCGTGTTGGAATTAGTAGATAGATGATCGTTTCTTGTTTCGATAATGAATAGAATAGTCTGTAGAAATGAAAAAAGGAAAAGGGAGAAAAAGAAGAGGAAAAAGAAAAAGAAGGAAAAGAAAGACTTCGGATATTGATTTTTTATTAATTTTTTCGAAGATCTTACAATATGTGGTGTCGTCAATATATGGGACGGGGACTACAATTATTCTGATCCGTGGAGTCTAGAGGTTGATAGTATGGGAAACCAATAAAAATTGACGGGAGGAGATGGTGGCGTTGGTGGCGTTTGTCTTTAGGGAGTACGGATAGATTTTAAAGGCCCCTGTGGGTTGGGCCTGGCCATACAATAGTTTACATGGAGAATGAACAAGTTGAGATAAGATGCGCGCTTGCTATTTTCATAAATAGATAGATAATAAGCAATGTGTAGAAACAAAAGATATCGTTAATCATTAAAGTTTTGTTGACGATTGCTGTATCCCAAAACAAGAAAACAAACATTAACATGATGATCCAGAACCAACAAATAAATCTCTCAACCACGAGGCCCAGTTTTTGTCTAGCATATTACGTCCTCCTTCGTGCTACCGAGAGACCCCCGCATTTTCTCCTTCTACGCCAATGTCCCCATGTTTTTAGCTGCTGAATGCTCTATGCTATCGAGTGTACCACCACAAACCCAAAATCTTGACGCAATCCAGTCGATCCTTTCCCCTGGGTTCCCCTCGATAATGTCAAAAGAACCATTCTTATTCCGATGAGAATTCCTCCACTATTCTCATGACCGCCTTCTGTCATCTCGTTGCACGCATCATAATTCCCGTTCGGTGCAGTATCCATTTTCCCACTTCTTCTTCTGCTACCCGCTACTGCTGCTCAAATTACTCTAGCCTTGGTACTCCAAAACATCCTTTCGCGGAACAAACTGCTTCAACTTGTGCCAAATGCAAATATTGACAATGCCACTGAAGAAGAACAGTACACAGAGTGCCATGCTGAATCCCCAGATGGCTTTCATCTCGTAACACGCAGTCTTCGATGCATTGACCCAATAATAGTAATTGGCCTTGGAGAAATTGCCGACAGCTGATTCAACAAATGTTGATGTCACTCCAACGTTGGGAAGGGCAGGACAATCAAGGTAGGAAAGGGGTGTTCCAACTTTCACAGAGACCACGATGAGTCCAATAAGAGCCAATGAGTCGCATGCTGTAGAAATGAGAAAGGAGATTTGCTCTTCAAGGTAGAGAAGATAGGAGACGCCGATATAGATTATGGCAATAACGACCTGGTTAACGTTAGTATGGTGTGAATGTGCGCGGATAGGGATGAAGTTGACATACAACACTGAGGGTTCCGATGAGAACTTCGGGCGGTGCCGTATCTGCCGCGTTGATTTCTCCGATAAAATTTGCAGACATACCGAGAATGCATATGAGGCAAATGGCTTGTAAAGCTCGTGTGATGGTGAAGGCGAATGCGAAGGTGCCGTAGGTACTTTCTCTGTTTTTGGGGGCAAACATTTTGAACGAGACTTGAGCAGGGGTTTGACGGTGATAAAGGGTGATTCAGAAGGCTTTTCACGAGGTGAAAGTTGTGTAGCGGGAAACAAAGTTCGCGCAATTAGAAAATATAAGAAAAGAGTGTATTACTTTTCTTTGGAAGTGGCTCGAATTTGTGATGAAGTGAAAGTTCTGGGCTGATCTACTAGCAAAAGAATGGATGTGGTTTTGTGAAGAGAATGTCCTGAAGTCTGATCCTAGCCAAAGAAAAGAAGAATGAGGAAAAGACGTAATTTGTAGTGGATGAAGAGACTGATTGTTGAGATGATGATGGAAGCAAACAACGAAGGAAATTAACATCTTAAATATTCATACTCACTCATTCTTACTCTCGGCTCCAAAAGTCCAGAACATCAGAATCATCGATCTAGATTTCCAGATTATGCCCTGTAGATCAATTTCTGACTCTATAAATTCATGAGACGGCCAAGTGTAGTAACATGCGCTGAGTTTGCCAATAGGAAAATAGTCCGCTTGACATGGCCGCTTGTGAGGTCGGTGGTCTCTGGGGTTGCTATATTCAAGTTGAATCATTCAAAACCAGTCATTAAAGTCTTGGTATATAAGCCGCATAAAAGAAGCGCGCCATCAAGCTAAAATATTCAGATAATGTTAAGCATATAGCATCATTGGATGGCGGACACTTGTCTGGGTCAGATAAGCGCCTGCTTTAATTTGGCGTTTACAGGCATTTCTAAACATAAGCGGAAACGCGGCAATGGAACCTATGAGAGATGAAAGAAGCAGCAAGCGCTTTTGCATAAAATGATACTCAAGAAGCAATGCTCTTCATTTGATAATCTCTGTGTTGACATAGCCACGATTATCGGCAACCTGCAGTCGGAGAGCAACAACGTTCAGAGAAGGGTTTGTCACACGGGCCCAAAACAGCACATGGCACGTGATAGACGGCAAGATGACGGGCCATAGCGCACTAGCTTTTGTTTGACACCTAGAGAAAAACTCTGACAGCCTGTAAGACGCTGTAGCTTACAGGCCATACGACCGAACAAACATCTAATTCTTTGATTATTTTTCTTTCCCAAACGAGCTTGATTGTCTACTCCTTGGTTTAACAGCCATACATTGCACTTCTCTATTTCATGGACTTCATGATTAATTATGTGTTCAAAATGACTCATGCAACTATTTTGCAATTTTGGAGCAACACAAACTTGTTGTCCTTTCGAGAAAGAAGGAATGCGAAAACGAATTGTGGTAAATCAGAACGGTGATAGAAGGAGCGAAGTGAGTACCTTCAAGGTGGCAAAGATGGTAGAGATTTAGAATGTTGAAATTTCTTCACCGATAAAGTGTAAACATGGGAGAAAGGTCTCTCAAACAATGCCGACGTGAAAATTTCTAATCCTCCTTTAACCCAATACTCAGTTGAAACCATTTCGACTTTCCATACCACATATCTTTCAAGCTGACTCAGCTTCTATTGTCTCGTCAACATGCGTCGTTGATTTCTCTGGTATGTCTCGTTCTGGTCATCGATCTTTCGCTTCCTCGAGTTGTCTCGAGGCGCCGCGAAACATTGCAGTCATTCTATAGCTAGAATATATTCTTTCTCAAGCTTATGAGCTTGAATCCACTAAACAGAATAATGAACGCATAAAGAGAAAGACATGCCTGAGTATAAAAGCGATTGGAGTTTAATCGTTAAAATGAGAGATAGCGCATAACTTACCTATGAATCATCAAACGACTGAGGAATAAGATGAATATTGACTCATGAGTGAATATTCATAAATGGCTTTATATTCTCATCATCATTCTATTCTAGATCTATCCTATTGGTCAGCTGCGGTACGTGGTAGCCACAATACCTAGTGTCTAATTATACATCATCAAATCTCTCTTTTCCCATATAACTTCTGCCACGCTTTTGATCGCCGTAATCAGGATAATACCTCAAAATTCCTTCTCTCAAATCACCATTATCGCCCTTCATGCCCACAGGCTTCGTGGAATTCCCATACTTTCCTGTTCAAGAGGCATTTTATTTATCCCAAATGATTGAGTATCATACAAGGTATCACCAGCCACATTATGACCATCATGAACTGATCCATCGAAGACCTGAATATTCTGAGCCTGGTCAATACCTTGAGTTTGATGAAGTTTCCTTGCTTTCCTCTTATTTCGAAGCCATTCTATGAGTCGGAAAAGAATAAGATTGAAGAGGAGAGTGCACCAGAAGAAGTGGGTGAGGATGATGTAGAGGAAACCGGTTTTGAGGGTGATTTCGAGGCTGGAGGTGTTGAGGTCGATGTCGTGCTTCAGAATGTGCATGGTGCGGTAAACGAGTAGTGTTTGGAGGATTGCAGGGGCGAGGATTGTGGCTGTAAAGAACTGAGGTGGGATGTTAGATGTATTAGTTTTGGGAGGTGTAGAACAGCAGGAATGGTGAAAAATAGACCTACGCAAAGAACGAGCCTAAAAGTTCGTTTCCAAGGGGTTAGGGTGCTAACAAGCCACCAGATAAATGCGCCTGCAATTACGGGTAATAGAATGATATCGAAGATGTAGAGGCTGAAAGATATATATCCATATTTTCTGAAGAGGGTCTGAATGTCTGCTGTTGGGCCTGCAGGGAGAGGAGGCGTGAAAGTGGAGTTGAGGGCAGGAAGTACATGGCCGTACAATGCTAAGGCGTAGAAAGGTATTATTTCAGTTACACGTGGATGATTGTGACCAGGGGAAGAAGCTTTGTGTTGAAATCCCATGTAAGATCTTACCTTGCTTTGATTGATGACAACCATTTGTCATTTTAAACTGCTCTTCAGCCTTTGCGGTAAGACCAAAAACACAGTAATGCAATAGATAGATCTTATAATCCACGCTCTCGCTACCCGTTGCAACCATGTCTCCTTTCTTAGTATTAGACGTCATTGTCTTTGTCGTTAATGTGAAAAGTTGCAAATGTGGATGATGCGAAAGCACAGCAATGAGGAAACAAACGAGTCCGATTGCGATGAAGGCAAATACCAGAAGAGAAAGGACATATGTAATATATCTCTTGGCTTCAGCCTTGAATAGGCCCCAAAATCCACAAAAGCAACCCCGTGCATAGCCTTTCGCTTCTTTTTGGAATTCGGTACGGGTTTTGGGAAGACTTGATGCGTCTTTTGGTAATGCTATGCCGAACTTCTCAGCTTGTTGCTTGACTTCCATGGCTTTACCATGCACTTCCCGGGCTCTACCATAACCTTCTTGTACTTTGCCATGCAGTTCACGGCCTTGCTTGATAGCTTTCTTCCCTGCTTGAAGGGCTTCGAAAGCTTTACCGGCGGTACCCATAGTGTGAGTTGTTGTATTTCTTTTCTTTTCCAGAGTTACTAAGTAAATAAAGAACTCGTGGTTAAGAAGTAGAAGGTCTTATATAGTACCGGAACCTATTTAACTTGCAACGTGAATCATATTTTTTTGTATTTGGTCTTTTAGGAGTCAAACCACGTAATATTCACGCCTTTTACTCTTCCGGCACATGAGCCTTCATCTCAATTTCCACTTTAAAGTCCTCCAATCCAAGCCTCGAAAACTTAACACAAGTCAAATAGGGTGATTACTTGGACTGTACTTCCTCAAACACCTGATCATAGTCTTCAAAGCTTCTTCATTTATAGATAGATGATAGAATGTAACAAAACCACATCTCGCGGGTCCTCAGAACCAGTTGCCCCCGGCAAATGCTCCACAATCAAGAACTTTCTGGATGTAAGCAACAAATTTCAGGGACCACGGCTCCAGTTTTGCCATTTCGTCAGTGAGTGATAAAAAAAAGCGAACGAGAAACTCGAAAAGACTTTCAAACGAAACGGGCACAAACATTGACCATAGCAATCAGTAACATCAACTCAAAGAGCCCGGTAATACCGTTTCGCCCCTCTGCCCGTAGGTCTCAAATATATAGCCAGAGCAAAGTAAATGAGATATGCTTGTGGTATGGCGCAATTTAGAATGACTTTCGTTGAAGAGTACCCAGGTAAATTCACTAGTTCGTGAGGGAGTATTTATAGAATTAAGCAGAAATGAGTACTTGAGAGATAGCAAGTTCCACATATGCCCTGAGTGACAAACAAACTTACCAACGGCCCAAGTATGTACTTACAAGTCCAATTCCTACACACTTATAGGTAATACACGTTTATTCATCTTTTCGACGTCCTATCCACACAAAAGAGAAGTCTGTTATCCTCCGACTTATACTCAGGCTTTAGCCAGTTTTCCCCACATGAATGCAATTAGCACCTCGCACTACGGGGGCAGTCAAAATATATTTTGTTGCAGAATCGCCTGCTAGAACGTTAACCACGCATGTACAGTTACTAGCTAGACAAAGTAAGCTTTTGGAGGAGTTCGAAACAACTATAATGCGAAGTGGTAAGAATTTTCAAGTTTATGTGCATTGAGAAATACTTCAAGTTTTCACCCGTTTCGATGTCGAAACGGATAGCCCCAATTTGGATGATCGCAGGGTTGTGCTTGAGAGGATGTGCTGCTATCTCAAGGTCGAGCATAATGAGTTCGTACATCTTTAACCGACATGACTACGATGTAAATTAAATTCGTGGAAATGTGTCGTATAAGTTTGTACACAAAAGTTTGACACTTTCAAGATTCGAGAAAGTAATGAAGCAAAGTAGAGAAGTAAAATTTGTCAACCTATCACCCAGTCGTAGGAAATGAAACTATACCTAGTCACGCCGTACACAAAGAGCTACTGTACTGAGAAGATGCAGTCAATATTTGGATTTGAAAGAATAGAAGCTTAACAAACCGCCAGCATAACATGCAGGTGAGCTACTCCGACATCCTCCTATTGAATTGATAATCTTCAATGTGTTTGATGCCTGAGGCTCACAATGAAGATGAGACCAACCTCATTTTTGGAAACACCACACAGCAAGAAACGCGTCAGATATACAAGCTGTCTCTCAGTAATACATATACCTAGCCGCTGTAGTCTGTGGCTTCAAGGTTTACTGCAACTGTATTCCGTAGATATCACAAGAAAGTGTTCGGTCTTTCAACTGAAGCATGGGGTGACGATGGATGGTGCGATCCCGGAGGCGGTGAAAAAATTGCGGGGGGAATTGAATGACTCAATAAGGCAGAAAACTCCCCCCCAGCAAACAAAAACCAGCAACTGTAAATAGATCCTAAAGCTTCAATTAAATTCTATTATAAATTCAGATCTTTCATCATGTCTGGAACTACTCTTCACCTACGCTCTGAGTGTAAGTAATCGCCAGCACAAAATTCCATAGCCTACTAACGCAAGCATCAGTGGGAAAAGCTCTTGAGCATAGATCAGCTCTTACCCCTACTACAGCCAAAGCTCTCATCGATGCCGGATACACAATTAATGTCGAGCGTAGCCCAGAACGTATATTCGATGACGAGGAGTTCGAGAAGGCTGGAGCTACTCTTGTGCCAGAAGATACATGGAGGCAAGCACCAAAGGATCATATTATTATTGGTTTGAAGGAACTACCTGTCGAAGACTGTAAGTCTCTGCTTGAATCACTACCAATGGGAAAAAGTCTAACACCTAGAAGTTCCTCTTGAGCATGTTCACGTACAATTCGCACACTGTTACAAGCAACAAGGTGGCTGGGACACCGTTCTATCACGGTTTCCTCGCGGCGGCGGAACTCTCCTAGATCTCGAATTTTTGACAGACGATAAAGGCAGAAGAGTTGCAGCTTTTGGATACCATGCTGGATTTGCTGGTGCAGCATTGGCACTCGAAACTTGGGCATGGCAACTCACTCATCCAGCATCAGAGCCATTCCCAAGCGTATCAAGCTATCCTAATGAAGATGAGTTGATTGCCGACGTAAAGAAAGCCATTGCGGCTGGACAAGAAAAGACGGGCAAAGCACCACGAGTTTTGGTTATCGGAGCATTGGGCAGATGTGGAAGTGGAGCAGTTGATCTCTGTTTGAGAGCCGGTGTGCCAACAGAGAATGTCTTGAAGTGGGATATGGCAGAGACTGCCAAGGGAGGACCATTTCCAGAGATTGTCGAGAGTGACATCTTCATTAACTGCATATACCTCATGTCCAAGATTCCAAACTTTGTCGACGTGCAAAGCCTTAATACCCCAAACCGCAAATTGTCAGTCGTCTGCGATGTCAGTGCTGATACCACAAACCCCAACAATCCAATTCCAATCTATACCGTTGCGACCACATTTTCAGAGCCGACTGTCCCAGTCGAGGTCAAAGGGGAACCTAGACTAAGCGTCATCAGCATTGATCACTTACCAAGTCTATTGCCAAGAGAAGCAAGCGAAGCATTCAGCAAGGACTTGTTACCAAGTTTGTTGACATTGAAGGATTGGAGAAGTACTCCAGTTTGGGCGAAGGCCGAGAAGTTGTTCCAAGAGAAGGTTGCCACATTGCCTAAGAAAGAGGCATGAATAGTAGATATCAAAAACTTTCTTTCGGAATATGGCACTACAAAATATAAAATACAATTGATTACAGAACAAGGTTAATCCTCCATCCTGTCTACCATGAGTCATCGTTTCATACGGCCTAGACGGTTTGAAGACAAACAAACTTGTAGCCTTTACCCACAGTCGTGCAGAACAACAGAAATATGGGGCAATCAAAACAATCAAAACAACCAAATTTTTTTTCAAAAGCGTAGGCATCCTTTGATCTCAGATTTAAACTGAGTATGGCGGTAAAGAATGTTCTTGACGGAACCTTCTAATAGGAATCGAACCAATATCTCCAGAATCAAAATCTAGTATGCTGACCGTTACACCATAGAAATTGGGATTCTGCAATGGTCACCGCGTCGGATGGACGAGCGTCAACGAGTTCATTCGACGGATTATTCGCAAATTCAGTATTTGTTGGCTCGACGGCGCCATTTTCTAGATAGATTGTAAAGTTTTGTTGTGTTGTGGAATGAATACTTATTTACTAACCTAGTCCGAGCGAAGCGAGCAAGAGGATTTTTAGAGGCTGGAGGGGCTGGCACGTGATAGTGGGGTAGGAAAAATGGGGGGTTTTAACCGTCGTTCTGGAGAGGGAATTGGAAATTAGTTGAGAATATTGGATTTGTTTTATTTTTGAAAGGACTTTGTCGAAAAATCATCATATGAGCCAAGTTGATATCTTCTGCAAAAATAGCTAGTTTTAACCCATCGTAACTAGTACTTGTTCTCAGCTCCTATTTATTTTGAGACCTCGACCTCGCTTGACTGTCTTTCATACAAATCTCAGCTACCCCTCCAACCTCCATGCTATTTTGACAACACCATCACATCAACCTCAAAGGAATAATATGGCGAATTCAAAGTGAGTAGATTGTTTAATACCATTTTATTCCATCTAATGTAGCTCACAAATTCCTTAGATATGAATATGTTAAAGCCTTTGAGCAACCTGATCTGCTGATCCCAAATACATGGATCGTAGTGCGTATTGATGGTCGGGGATTTCATAAGTATGTTCTACCTCCTCCATAAGCTATTTGCTACTCGCATATGTACTGGAAACTGAGAAATATAGGTTCTCGGATAAATATGCATTTGAAAAACCAAATGACAGAAGAGCATTGGATCTTATGAATGCGGCTGCTAAGGCCGTGATGATGGAATTGCCGGATATTATTATTGCGTATGGGATCAGTGATGAATACAGGTTTGTTTTATTCGGCATGACAGCTTTCTATCAATTTATTTTGCTGATGAAAACAATCATAGTTTCGTCTTCCATAAATCATGTGTGCTTTTTGAGAGGCGCTCGAGGTATGACTCTTTCCCCTCAACCCTTTGTTGAAAAAGCCTCTCCACCACCCCCCCCCTCGGCGCGGAAAAACAAAAATTGATGCGATATATTAGTAAACTCGTCACAACTATAGTATCGACTTTCACAGCATACTATGTCCATCTCTGGTCTACCTATTTTCCAGAACCGGAAATGCAACTCACGGCTCCGTTGCCTAGTTTTGATGGTAGAGCTGTGCAGTATCCTAGCGTGCAGAATTTGAGGGATTATATGAGTTGGAGACAGGTGGATTGTATGTACTTTTATTTTTACTGTTCTTGCTTTCCTCTCTTCTACCCTCGTTGTCATTTCCTATGAGTTGGTACTGATGAGTTAAGGTCACATAAATAATCTGTACAATACGACTTTCTGGGCTCTGATTCAGAAAGGAGGATTGGACGCAAAAATTGCGGAGAAGGAACTTGCTGTGTGTTTTGTAATTCCTCGATGGTTTGTTCTAGATACTTATTCTCATGTGGTTTTAGGGCTCATTGGCTGCGGATAAAAATGAGATTTTATTCTCGAGGTTTGGAATCAATTATAATAATGAACCGGAAATCTACAAAAAGGGGAGCGTGGTTTTTAGAGATGTATGTCATTTCCCTCATCCTAACTTTCTCCGGAAATTAACATGAGCATAGTACGAATTGGTGGAACCGGGAGTGCCAGAAATAATTGATGAAGATTCGGCAAAGACGGTCGAGCAGAAGGAATTTTCAAAGACCCAAGAAGAAAAAGATAGGAAGAGGAGAGCAAAGGCAAGAATCACGGTGCAGCATGTAGACGTCATTAAAGATGAATTCTGGCAGAGAAGGCCATGGCTTCTATCAAACAAGCCTGGAAAAATACCCAAAGAGCCATAGTTCGAGAATTAGAACTTTAGATTTAATTAAGATACCATACATTATCTTGAACGCCAGGGTCACTATGGTGATCACAAAACTCCCTGCTCAAAAACGCCTTTTGTTATGCCGATACGTAGAATATACAGGGCGAGACCTTCTATTTATCCTTCCGCGATTTCTTCTTCTTCTTTGTGATCTCTGACGTTGATTGTATCCGATCTTTTGATTTGAACTTTGTTTCTTCTGTCGTTCTCCTCTCCTTTTCTTATCCTCTTCCCTTCCCTCCTTTCTTTCTCTTTCCTTATTTCCACAACCTCCTTCTCCTTATCCTCAATTGTTCCCCAACCGTCTCACCCCTCACAAAACTATACAACCCTCCCTTCCCTCCAACCCACTTACTCCCTCCCTTAACCACCATTTCTAGTCCACCTCCTTCCTGCACCTTAATTTGCCCCTCCTTACTTGTATCCAATCCCTTGAGAGACGCATCAAAAGCATTCATCCACCACATATCAGAGGTCTTGTGTTGCTTTTTCCCCACTCCCAATACATTATCTTTTTTCGAGACGAGCAGCGGCCGCGAGAGTCCAATCGTGTCGGAGCTATGGTGGAGAGAGTGCCCGGTACCCCGCCAACCTTGAGAGGTGAGGAGCGCATGAGCGTTCATCTTGACGTAAATTAGTCGCGAAGGCGAATGTGCAAAATTGGTGTACGCTGATGGAGAGGTTGATGGGGGAATGATGCTTTGAAACTGAGGATGAAGAGATATCTTATCGCGATTAAAAATTTCTAGATCGCAATCTTAGCGCCATTGCTAGAAATTTAGTGGAGATGGTGTGGCTGATGGGTTCACGTGAGTATGTGGCTGGGCGGTCGATCGAAATACCTTTATTCTTTTGCCTTCTTGAATGAGTTTACTCATGAAACTCATGTCCATTTTCACCTGAAAAAGGAAGTTTAACAATTCCTTTTTGTCTACTCGAATACCGGAACTAGGGAAGTTCGAAGATGGCATACCTCCCATACGAGGAGCCTGGAATCGTGGTCATTCTTTCCTTGACCTCATTTATCGTTCTGTTAAACATCACTCGATATATCCTAGACCGCGCCCTATATTGTGGCATCATAGGGCAAATTCTCATTGGGATAATATGGGGTCTACCAGTTGGAGGGACGTCATGGTTGACACATGGAGATCAGGAAACGATTCAAGCATTGGGCTACCTGGGCCTGATAGGTCTCGTATTTGAAGGGGGCCTCAGTACAGACTTTAAACAGCTTCGAAAATGTGCCTATGTTTCTGTGTCGGTAGCTACTGTTGGCTTATTGATGCCAATTGCATTGTCTTTCCTCTTGCTTATCTTACCTTTTCCCAGTAGTTCTGGGACGTTGTATCCCACCCCTCTGGCCGCCTTTTCCGCGGGTGCCTCACTATGTTCGACGTCTTTAGGAACGACGTTTGCTATCCTTTCCTCTGCGAATATGCAGCATACTAGAGTGGGCGTGATACTCGTGGGTGCTGCCATGATGGATGATGTTGTGGGCCTTGTTATGGTAAACATTGTTACGACTTTAGGTAGGGGAGGCATCGGTGGGTGGCCTATTGCAAGACCGATAGTTGCGAGTTTTGGTCTACTCATTGTCTCATTAGCTGTCTGTAGATTTATTCTCACACCTATCTGGCTCTACCTTGTCAAGAATTCGCAACTCGAGGTAGCTCCCAACATTAACACAAGCAGCAAATCTGATATCAAGGGATTTGCCCTTCAGCCATTCCGAAATGTCCCACATCTTAGTTTTCTCCTTCCAACGTTGGTATTGATTGTTTTTGTCACTATTGCATCCTTCATCGATGCGTCTGTTCTTTTCGCTGCGTTCATCGCTGGTGGTGTAGTCAATTACCTGTGGGGTGTCGGAATGCATGATGTTGAAGAAGAATCAATGTCAAATGCAGCTCAGATAATGTATGAAGAGTATTATAAATCAGTTATGGACTTCATATTGGTTCCTTTTTTCTTTGTGGGTACCCATGAATCTATCTCGCTTCAAGCATTTTAGCCAATACTTGATCTAGGGATCTTAACTAATAAAATGTATCTAGGCGTCCATTGGTTTCTCAATTCCGATCACAGACATGTTTAGCGCCTCGATCGTCTGGAAAGGCATTGTCTATTCGATTCTTATGATCATTGCAAAAGGACTAGTGAGCCTCGTTATGTACTTCGAGTACTTCATAAAGTCCTGGCAAAAACTAAAGACGACAGTATCAAGCCGTATGCCAACGCAGCAACCGGAATCCTCATCAGCTGCTACTACCCGTCCACCACATTCAGAGGCTTTACTCGTGGGATTTTCCATGGTTGCTAGAGGAGAAATAGGGTTCTTAATCGCGTCCCTTTCGCAAAGCTCAGGCACTCTGTTGTTGAAGAACCGAAACAATACTACTGTCGCATCCGGCGAAGCAGTGTTTCTTGTCATCGTTTGGGCTGTAATGATTTGCACGATTGCCGGACCAGTTGTTGTTGGCGTCCTTGTAAGGCGTTTGAAGAATCAAGCTTAGATCTCAACTAGACCCCACGAAGTTCTTGATTTTGTACATCTTAGGCGACAAATCGGAAATCTACAGACGCCATTGAATACACTTGTTCGCAGTAAATCAAAGACCTTGTACGGCTGTCGGATAATGTTGCAACACGAATTCGGGATCTGGGCCGAACTATTGTCCTGGAGGGTGTCCAGCTAGCTATTTTATATTCACTTCCTTGCATTACTCAGCACCCATTCGCAGCGTACAGAACTTCGAGGACAGCAATATTAACCCTACCACAATACAAATATCTGCGGACATGGACATCATCTTCAAATAGCCTCCCGTTTTTCATGTCACCTTGGTATTAAGTAGCACAGCACCAGTACATTGTTACACCTTGAGCGAAAAACATCCAGAGGTCAAGAGAATACCATGGTTGAAGGACATCCGGGTTAAGAGGATCTTCACGCTTTAGTCTTCATATGAGGATGCAATAGTGAGGGAATGCGAAAGATCCGCGAACCTGACCTATCGCATCATAGGGGACTTCCGGTGACAGTGATTAATAATTACGGTGACAACAATTTTGTTTCGGAAGCTCAGATTACAATCTTGTCAGATTAGAAAAAGGCATGAAGAAGCAAGCGTAACGGTAAAGAAAAACTCAAAACTCCGTACCCGCAACCTAGTTTTAGCTCGGAAAGCGCGGCTGGCATGAGGCTAGGGAATATTTATTAAGCTGGAGAGATATTTCTGCAGTTCTTTAGAGTTTGAAGATTTGGTCTGAGTACTAGGTAGGTATGTAAGGCTACCAAACTCATTGGGAATAATTTGTTTTAGAGCATCATCTTGGCTTAGACCCATAAAAATATAGTCCGCATGATCCCTAGTCCTAGTACAGCATGTTCGGGTCAAAAGCTGAATCCGGTTGCACGCCTGCGCCTGTATGATTAGTATTGAAAGAGGAGCCAAAAACTATTTCATATAATTTTGCCTTCATACTTTCATGGCAATGACCCCAATCATCTACCTATCTACCTATCTATATCTTCAACGTTAGCATATCGATACTTGACCACCTCGGTGTTTCTCACTCTCCCCCGTGTTTGACTTACTCCCACTGTCCTTAAAGATGTCAACGTCACGCATTGGGAACTTGTTGTTACCCCGGCACTTCAAAGGATACTTATGGATCAGTTTTCTCGTGGCAGTATTTATTGTTATGGGACTGAGTGAAAACAATGTTCTGTTTGTGGATAGATCACCGTTTGCGGCAGTTGGCAATCGAATACCACGGGACCATTCTATAAATCTGAATCTACCAATTATAACTCCTTCGCCTTATTCACCAACTGGCGTCAAAAACAGTGCTAAAAAGCCGCTGCTGGAAAACCCAAGCAGAATTTACAGTGCCACAGGTCTAGATCCGAAGGATGTCATCATTTTGGTCAAAACTGGTGCTACATCCATGTGGAGAAGGATGCCCATGCACATGTCAACCACGTTGGGTAACAAAGAGCTTACTCCCAATGTTGTCTATTACTCTGATATTGCGGACAATATCAACGGAAATCCGGTCATTGATTCTCTCGCAAACGTCTCCGCAACTCTCAAAGCATCACCTGACTTTGAACTCTACAACAAAGCCAAAGAGGCTGTCAGCCACAACTTGTATCAAGAGAGCGGATTTTTGGACGGTGATTTTGATTTACCTGGTGGCTGGAGACTGGACAAATACAAATTTTTGCCCATGTTTCAGCATGCTGCCATCCACCACCCTTGCAAGAAATGGTATGTATATATGGAGGACGATAACTACATCTTTTGGGAGACACTTTACGCATGGCTTGCAACTCTGGACCACACTTCTCCTCTTCTGGTCGGATCACCAGCTTACAAAATGGGCGAAAATTTTGCTCATGGCGGATCTGGATTTGCCGTTTCAGGGAAGGCTATGGCGACTACATTTGGTGCAGACAAGACTTTGGCTGAAAAGTACGAATCGTATGCAAAGGAGCATTGTTGCGGAGATCAAGTCCTGTCACATGCTATGAAAGAGATGGGTGTGGAGCGTTTCACGGCATTAGACGGAGGTGGGTGGGCTGCTTTGCAAGCTCTCCCGACATGGAAAATCGGTTTTGGTGACTGGAACTGGTGTTCACCAATTATGAACATCCATAAAGTTCATCAGGCTGATATATCCCGGTTGTTTGTTTTCGAAAACCAGTTCATGCAGGAGACTAAAGGAAAGGGTCGAGTGCGCTATCGTGATGTTTTCAAATACTTCTTCGCCCCAAGCTTGGTTGCTACACGCTCAGAGTGGGATAATTACGCAGCAGCCAAATCATTTTCTTCAACGGAAGACTCTAATACTCACGAGTTCAAAAAGATGACTGAAGCGCAAAGGAATGCTAGACCATGGGCATCCAAGGAAAATTGTAAAAAGGCTTGTGCAGACTGGGATCAATGTTTGAGCTGGAAGTATCAGGATGATGATTGTCACCTTAGTCATATGGCAGCAATGGGACGAAGCGCAATTGACGGGGTCTATATGGAGAGTGGGTGGATGGTGGATAGAATTAAAAAGATTGCTGAAAAGAAGGAATGTGGTGCTTTGGAATTTTAGATCTACAGGCTCCATACCTAAAGGTTTCGGCGCTTTGGATATCAATGATATATAGGCAAAATTTATTCTACGTATAATAATATAACTAAGTTAATTGATCATGTACTGTTTTGCAGCTTGAATTTACGACTCTTTGTGCCGCTGCAGGTTTATTGATGGCACAGTATCTAAGAATATACAGAAGGTAACGGAGAAGTCCGTCGCTCATCTGTGGAAATTAAAAAGTCACTTTATTATAAATTATATAAGAGATCTGGAATCCACTCATTATATATTAAATGGAATCATATCAAAATTAGTGATTTTGAAACTTTTTAATTTTCAATTAATTTTATTTAATATTAAAAAAAGTTCTTGTTACGATCTCTGAATACAGAACGTCGGCTAGCCGAAAAGAGGCCGATGGTTTCAAAGATTTACACTAAATGGAAGAATTTTCACCTATATAAAGAGGCTCTTGGATAGTATTAGAAAAGTAATGAAAAGTTTTTTGGATCTTCTTTTTGAGCTCCTTTTGACCTATTATTTGTTACGATCACGGATCTTACAATAACCGTTCCTGTACTTACGAGATACGATTTGATTAATTTGGTATGGGATTAAGGTGATGTGGGGATCTAATAAGTACAAGAGTTGTTATTATTGGATCTACCACAATAACAATAATTGAATCGTATGATCAAATGATCATATGATACTATTCCCATCGATGCCACCGATTTAAATCAGTGGGAGGAGTAGGATATGAAACACGAAGAACTATATAGCTAGAAAAGGATTCCTTTTGTAGAGCTTCGTGCTCATCAATCATTTAGTATACTCTACTATTAATTACGAATTGCAACCATTGATATTACCTTAAGCCCCTGCTTGACGTCTAGTTATAAACCATTCGAGGATCCAGGCCACTTCCACGTGATCTAGATCGCATCCCTCGTAACATTATTTGAATATAACCGATTCTTTACAGTGTCATTCTTACACTTCTTAAATAATAATTAAATTCTAAAGCTCTTGAGAAAGTTCAACTTCTTTTTATAAATTCTTTTAAATATTAAATCTTTTTTTTATTTAAACTGTTTCTTCGATAACTTTTCCTTTTAGATCTAGTTGATCTAATTCGTCCATCATGCGGCCTAGACTGCGCTGCGGGGCCCCGCGCGCGGATTGCTTTGGTGGATAATCTACAGATGATTCGTTTACAGGGCGAATTATTGAAAAATTTAAATAGATTATTTAGAATCCGAATAAATAATCCACGGAGCGGGTTATAGCTCTAATGGGTAATCGCTGAGCGGATTTTTCATGAATTCCCGTGGATTGCGTGTATATCCCGATATTTCTGCGCGGCCTAATCACGCCTTCCTCGGACGCACACAATTTCAAATTTACCTTTCATTCATCCACTACTAATTACCGGTTTATCCCACGAAGCCAGACCCTTAATCTGTCTTCCTAGGACTACACTATGTCTAGACTACAGCTCTTGTGTTTTCTATCACCGATCCCATGTCTTCAGGAGAATAATGCGATGCATGCTGTGACACATGCTTCAGGTGAAGTATAGCTGTCCTGTATGGCAGGGGCTGGTGGATCCCAAGGTGGGTTGGTGATTGTGGGCATGTCTTGGGACCATGTTTTTTTAAGGTGGTTCCCTTCAACGACAACTTGACCATAGTGTTTATTGGTCTATGATCACATTATGATTGAACAACAGTTTTCCCAGAATCATGTCACCGCAGCAAGAGTTTGATATGAAATCGGCATACTCCAAAAGTGGGACATTTAGGCCGTTGAAAACGGATCTCATTAAGGATCTAGAAATTGCTATTTCTGCACCTTCTTGCGCAAATGTCGCATTACCTTTCCCCGCCGTAGCACCATAATATGATGGTTCGTTTTCGGCTGGAAGTCTCGCTAACCCTTGGAGAAGATTTTTCCAGAAGACGAAAGTGATATCTTCGATATACACAGTCCATTTAAGGCGCGAAAAAATTCTTCTGGGCATGTCCCAACATAGGAAGAAACTTGTCCTTGTCGCGGGACCAACCTGGCCTACCGCCGGAAGCAAGCTGAGCTTGTCCTTTATGTGTTGCTTTGCAGATCTTGGTATATGCTGTACGCAGCCGCGTCACCAATGCGCAGAGCATCGCCCACGTTGCTCAAACGTCCACTCCCTGGATTTTGTGGGAAAGGCTCTCTTGGAGATCTGAATATATAACACTGTTTGATTGATTCGATAATGTTGTTAAGAACTGCATGGGGCATTCGTTACTCCATGCTGTCTTGAAAATCAACAGAATTTCACATGACGAGACTGGTAGTTCTGAACCGGGTCCAGTAAAGACACCTTCTCCCACCCTGAGAATAGTTCTGGGCTGGATGTGGGGTGATGGGGACGAATGTACCACTTTCTCCATAGAGTTTGTACGGAGATTTTTTAAGTCCACCGTTTGACAATCATTCAGGTACAACTACAACGTCCGCATTTGGCGGTGTGACAACTTTGGCCTGGAGTAGCATGGGAGTGCGAGTTGATGGGGTAAGTGTTGTAAGACATTTTCTACCCACAATATTGCCGGTTTTATTCAGAAACTCGACCAGATCTTGAACGGCTTCCCCTCAAGATTCCCCAATTTTGAAGCTTGTGAAAGTTGTACAACTTCTTTAATGAGCTTAGAATAGTTTTTGATCATTTTGAATGATTTTGCTAGGAAACCCTGAAATTTTTAGTACTTTATTTATTTAGATTTCACTATTCAATCAATATAATAATAATATTAATTAGAACCTCTACTTGTAGAATAAGCATGGTTATTTTTTTGATTTATCTTATACTACTTACTCTACCAACCTCTGTCTGTATACAGTATACAAGTCATTATAATGCTTTAATATACGGAAAGCACGTTATGGGGAGTATATTTCCACAATCAAGGTTTTCTTTAAGTTTCATACAAAATTCGAACGGGTCTCCATTGTGTGATCCACTTTTGATCCCTTTACCGGTACCGGTACTTGAATTGAGTTTCATGCATGATTGTTTCAATGGAGTTCTCCTATTGGACAAGAGGAGCTTGAATGGAACCATTTGCAAGGCTACCAAATGTGTCGTTTTGCGGTCAAAGAAGGATAGATAAACACCCGTTCTTTGACGAGCTTACAGAACCTTAATTTGACACATGGAGCACTTTTAGTGTCAACTTTATATCTACTCTGTGTATTTGAGATCATCGCTTTTTTGTTAAATTACAAAAAGTGGTTTTAGTCAGGTACTTTACTCGTAAATAAGCAGGCAAAATTACTATTATATTAAATCAAGCTTATCAATCTCAGGTAAGAATTTAATTTAAGAGATTATTTCAAATATAAGTAAGTGTTCATTAGATTAAAGTTCTTTTTTTTAATTGTCGGCCTGCCGACACCAAAACCTTGCTCTACACATAGCGTACCGCAATTTACCTGGTGTAGATTCGCGATCCTGACAATCTGATTGGTCTAAAATACCCCGGTAAATAATCTTACAAAAAGCTTGACATAAGCCTTGCAGCCTCATGCAAATCTGACTTAGAAATTTTTTCAACTCTATTAAAATCATTTAATTAATCTCATTTAATATAAAATAATAATAGTAAATAATAATATTATAATTATTATTTTTAAATAAAAATACTTAATTTTCAATTATTAAAAACAAGCTGATATTCTACCTACACCCTGATATATTCGATATTTAAATTTATTATAAACTTTTTAAAACTTAAATTTTCATTAAACTTTCTCGAAAAGCTAGGGGTCCATGGGGCGCAGGCCCCTGATAGATTAAATCAACTTTTAAAGATTAATTAATATTTTAACAAAATTATAAAATTATAAAAATTTAAAGAAGTTTTATCTTATTTAATATTATTAAATATAATATATATTGAAATTTGATATTGAAATTTTTTTAATATTTAACTTTGAAAATATCAATATTTTTTTATTTAATAATATCAAAAATCTATAAATTTATTGAAGATTATTTTTTAAAAATATAAGAACTCTTTTATCTTTTTAATAAATAAATAAATAACTTCAAAAAACTTACAAAAATATTTTCAGAAAATCTATTCAAAGAATATTATCCTCTTTCTAAGTCTTTTACTCAGTTAGGTTTTCAGTATAATTTTCATCAAAAATTTAAATTTGTTTATGTTTTTTTTGTCTATGGATATATATTAAGGCCGGCGAATTCCCAACTTTCTAGGCAAATCACAAATCTCTGTGAGCTAGTCAACGAATTGGCTTTATAAATCATCCCGTATATCAAACTCAAAGTCCCGCGACCTAGCTGATTAGACCAGCAGGGAGGGACAAGTACAAGTCGTCCTACACAATATGCCTCGAGTAACTTTAAAAACTTAGCTGCATGAAGGGATGTTGTTAGAAAAAGGTCTGGTTGACGCTTCTTCTACTGTTGAAGTTCTTCTGTGCATTCTTTTCCTCATTTTTCCGTAATTTGTTTGAGCTACATGACTAGGGAATCATGCCTGTAGTACCTGTGTTACCTTCCATTCATAGGCAGGTCTTTAATGGCATCCTATGCGTGGTCACTTTCTTTATTATCTTCCGCTATTTCAGAAGATTGGTCACATTTGCTCCAATCACTATTGAGAGTCTATGGCAAATATCTCTAGCAGAGATAAACCGTAGGAAGAATGTAGCAAGAGTCAAACAATTAGAACAAAAACTCTCGTTAGAGGATGCTGAGAAGGGAATTCAGACCAAGGACGATGTGGCTGCAAGATGTATTGCCTCTGTAGTAGGATATCGTGAGGAGGCAAATATGTGGAGGAGATGTTTGCAAAGTTATCATAAATCTCCTGGCTTGGAAATCATGCTCATTGGCATAGATGGTGATCATGATGGGGACATGGAGATGGTTTCTGTGGCTCAACAAGTGTGTATCTCCGGCGCCCCTCTCTTAAACCTCCACAGAAATTCCTGCGTATTATCAAACAAAACTAACAACTGTTTCCTTCAAGGTATTCCCAGATGTCACAAAAATCCATGTCGAAGAGCCATATGGTCCTCTCGCTGTCCGCATAGCACAAAACTATATCACCCGCGAACTTTACGACGAAAAGACCTCATCCTCAAAATGGACGTCAGCATCAGCATCCACATTCGCATCTTTCGATTCCGCAGATGTCCCAAAGGCTCTCTTATCCGAAGCATACTCATATGCTTTCCGCATCATACTTGAAAAAGCGGCCACTACTCTTCGCGAACACAATGCTCTATTACCGTCTTCTGATTCCAAATCTAAAGCTCTCCACGCAATATGTCTCTACCAACCCCACAAGTGCAAAAAGGATATCATGTTCACCAATATGGTTTTTTCGTTGGCGTTGGGACAGGCGAATAATATTGAATATCTCTGGACTAGCGATTCAGATACCATTGTTTATCCAGATACTTTGTACCAAACGGTGGGATGTATGTCTGCGGATCCGTTGATCGGAGGAAGTTGTTCGGCTTTGAGCATTCATAATGATAATGAAAGTGCGATCGCTGCTTTGGGGAGTGCGACTTATTGGTCCGAGTTAGTATTTCATTCGAATTCATTAAACTTTCTTAAAGGGGACATTTTTAACAGTGTGGATGTTTAGATTGGCTATTACACGTGGACAAACCGGTGCCGTAGATGCTGTAGACTGCCAACCCGGGCCTTGTGCAGCTTTTCGTTTCATAGCACTCGAGCCTATTCTCCTACCATGGTACACGCAAACTTCCATCGGCGTCAAAACAGTTGTCAACGAAGATCGTCATCTAACCACCAACCTCCTTCTGCGAAACTGGAAAGTAACCTTCAACACCTCTGCGCTCGCATCCACTGATACCCCGACTACTCTCCTGCGCTGGCTCCTCCAACAAATGCGCTGGGCCCGGGCTACCCATATTGAATGTTTCCAGTATCCACAAATCTACACTATTCACGGTGTTATCCTATTTGTGACTGCCATGCGTCGTTTTTATGGACCATTAATTATCGGTGTCTTCACTATTCGTTACGTATTCACAGGTTTTACAGTCCATGCACTTCAATCCTGGGACTTCCTCCTCCGTGTGGTATTATGCACAGGTTACAATTTCTGGCGCAATAAATCGCACGTGGGTAGTATTAAGTATCTCGTCTTATCTCAACTCTTCTACCAATTACCCTTACCAGGTATCATGTTCTGGTCTGTCCTCACTGTTCTTGAAGGCGGCTGGGGAACTGGCATGAGAAATGCGGATGAGCAGAAGAAATCGAGATATGCAGGATGGGATAATCTGTGGAGTACGACGGCAGTGGTGATTTGGATGGGTTTTGTAGCGGCGGCAGTTGCCAGGTGGGTTATATCGTATGTGGCGCCAGCTTTTTTGGTAGAGGCGATGATTTTTGCGGGCGCGACGTCGGTAGGATCTTTGTATTGGACTCTACTTGGGTAGACTCACCAGATTCTTTTTGGATGAGAGATCTTCGCATGAAGTGGGAATGTAAATAGAATAAACGTTTCGTAAACTTGGGCTGGACTGAGTCCGTATATGAAACACAATAGCGAGTCTTTTTCCGATGTTTAAAAATGCACTGCAGAGGAAAATCTAATCAATTATCTTTACAGGTTCTGATCATATCATAAAAATGCTAAAATTTTGAGTTAACCTTTGATAGAATAGCCCAAACAAATACAATCGCATTACACCAGTTCTTCTCTCATACGTCTCGAGCTGCTGTATCAACACCCCTTCTTCCACATAAATTCTACGCAACTACAATTCCATGACCTCCTACACCTCTCCAACCCCGTAGACTCTACGTTTACGAATGTTGACCTTTCTTCTCTTTTGTTCGGAGAGCAACCAACCGCCATTATCCTTTCTCTCTTTATTGATCTTGTCGATTTCCTCAGCTTCCAGCACGCTTCTCCTTCCACGATCTAAATTCGCATGCTGTTCCATACCCATATATTTATCGAGCTCGAGCTTCCTCTTCTCGACCTTCGCTCGTTCTAACGCTTTTTCATCCACCAAAGTTTTCCATAATTTAACCCTATCCTTCATTCTTCTCTTGACTGGAAGCCCTCCCCCATATTGAAAGAGGAATCCTTCTCTCTCCGCCTGTTCCATCCTCCACTCTGTATCCACCAGCTCCAAGGTCGCGAATGGTCGGGCTATACTCATATTTATAAAGTCTGGGAGCTTCCGATACATCAACTTCTTCCTTTCACCATTCAATACTTGGGCTTTCCTGAATACTTCCAATGCAGTTGGTCTCTGATGTCTATCAAGATTCATGATCCCTCTGATAAATCTTTGCAACTCGGCAGTCAAATGATCATCAATAAGCTGGAATCTATCAGGGTTATTCCTCGCCTCCGTTACCTTCTCTCTTTTTCTCGGCCCCATATCGCCCCATAGGACTTTTTTGCCACTTTCTCGGAACACGCATCCGACGTTTGGATAGTTTCCCATCTTCGCCATGTAATATAATTGGGCGCCCACGGACCAAACATCAAATTTAGCACTCAGCTTGGTGTCGGGTGGTTCACAGGAAGAGTTTCCGAAGTAAAGGTCCCGCGTGCCCCCTTTGGGTAGATGTATAGCTTCGCCAAAATCTGCCAATTTAAGTGTAGGATATATATCGGGGGGAGAATTCGCAGGAGGCGATTTGAGAAAGATGTTGTCTGCTTTTATATCGCGAAGAATCGTTGATTTATCCCCTCTGAATTCCGGTTTATCTCTGTATTCTGGATGTTCGCCGTGGAGAAATGCAAGACCATCAAACAATTGTTCAGAAGCGTGCCACTGTGATGTGTGATTAGTCATTTCCACGCAACTTGAAGGAGAGAAGATGGCTTTAAACCCACGATAAATGCTTCAGGAATGTACTCCCCATTCGCGATCATCATAGAGACCATATCATCGAGAGTCCCGATATCGCAAAGCTCCATAATGGTCATGATAAAATGGCTTCCCAAGATGTCAAACTCGGCCCAACCCTCCAAGTTACACACATTGAAATGTCCTGTTTTAATATACTCCAAAGATGTTCTGATTTCCCTCGCACGTTTAGAGTATAAACTCCTTCTTCTCATTTCTTCCTCTTCCTGAATAGAAGCCTCACTACTCCGTGTAAGAACAGGACTGTGATCCGAACCCATGTAAATTTCCAAACGATCCTCTGAATCGTCCAATCGAAGGTTCGAGACTTTGATAGCGTATTTAATACCAGGCTTTTCATCAACTCTGGTGTCTTTATTCTCGGCGCGGAAAACCACTCCAAATGACCCATTGGCAATACACGCGTCAATCTCTATATTTTCTGCTGTTAAATTGTGTTTAACGGAGCACCATTTATTTTGACGGACTTCTCTGCAACGGAATGCGCCTACAAATGATAAAAACGATTAGTATCAATTTCTTTCCTCGAAAATCGACTGGATCAAAAATATATCCTCAGATTAACATAAGAGTATTTTGAAGAAAGGTAAACCCACGTATTACCCGCACTGCAATAATTTCCGGGTTGTGTATTAGGTGTGTGGTGATATTGGAACCCGCCAGGGCAGTCCTATTCGTTCTCGTCCTCGTCCACGTCCTCACCTCTTCCTCCTCCTCTCCTCCTGATCCATCTCCCTCACCTGACTTATCCCCCACCTTTCCCTTACCTTTCCCCTTTCCCTTATCTCCCCACTTCCCCTCACCTCCTCCCTTCCCACCCTTACCCCCTTCCTGTTGTTTTCGCCTAACCGCAGAATCAGGATCTTTTTCCGTGGCCATATTGTCTATATTTTACTATTCAAAAGACTTGAAATGTTGTTCTTTAAAAGCACTTTTGACAGCTCTACCAATTGAAATATTGATGGTGCTAAAATTGTGAACTAAAAAAAAAAGAAATGTTAGGAACAAAGCCATCCTCTCAAGGAATCTGTTTCCGGCACTTTGTGTTGGAGAAATACTAGAGAGAAAGAAAGCAAAGTAGAACGACTGATGATAGAGATAAGACAAAGGAATATTTATTTATCCTCGGGTAGACGTAGTCAGGGGCTTTCAGAACATGTTAAGAGGAATCCAAATGTGCTATCAGATTAGTAAATATCCACACACAACAATTGATCTTCCTTTCTGGTGGTTGTAATATGGAAAAGAGAAGAAATGAGGTAGAAGTGTGATCCCAATAGGGAATAACTCAATATCCAAATATGATGGGAAATCAAGGAGCGAAACTGCCAACAAGGAAGCTGACAGAGTGAGGTGCCTGAGCAAAAAATAGTGGGAATCTAAAAGTGAAATCGATTGATCCAACGACTTGCCCGCCATGCAGGCTAGCACAATCAAGGAAACTTTCACTGCTTGCCTCCACAACCTCCCCCCCAAAAATACCATCATATCCCGAGGTTCCCTTCTTAACCTGGCTCTATTTTCTAATGATCTTCCCGTGTATGTCGCTTAGTCCATGTCATTCGCCTCTCCCACAGTGCTAGCTGCAGCTAGCTCATTTTTTTAAGCGAACGTAGAGACACCTAATTTGTCTTCTTTCACCAATCAATCAACCAATCTACTCCCATCGAGAGCGCCCTCTTCGACACCCTGGTAATTGCGATGCGCTTGTGGTAATGCCGACAACATAATCTAATGATCTGCGCTGACCCTTTGTATAGCAGAACGAATGGATGATTTGATTATTGACTTGATCCCCTAATCCCCTTAAAACCAACGGCTAGATATTATAAATATCTCATTGAACTCATATGTGAATCCGAAGTATGGGACGCTAAGTTCCCTGAGCGACAGGAGAACAGAAAAATTCAGGTGAGAAATGGTGACTAGTGGCCATTTCCTGAAGTCCAATGGCCTGTACTGACATTTGTCTCCCCATAACATGGCCGAGTTTAGAATATTCACCATCACGATATCCAAAGCCCAGATCTGACATGAATTTTTGACGTGGATGCTGAATATATGTAGCTGTAACGGTATGACTAAAATGATTAAGAATTCAATCATGAACTATGCCCCGATAGCTAGAGTCTAAAACACCCTAAACATGGAGTATTTGATCTTGGGCTGCTATAAATGACTCACACGAGCTAAAGAAATGTTAGTCATTAACCTTCTCTTTTCATAAAATAATGTTTTACTGTTGGTATTCCTGTGCCTAGCGAAGAAAATTCCATGACTTATCATGTCGGGTTCTTGAATTTTCCATTAACTTTTATATCGTCAATTGTAGCTTTTGTAGTCGTCATTGCCACTTCACATTATCAAGCCGTAAAATTTGGTAGTCATAACCTAGCGCAGAGTGGGCCTTTTAATCTCACAGACTTAAAGTTGATCATTAAAGAAATGTAATTTACTTCCTCGCAAGAGGCGCCCCGAATAAGCATCGGAAGATCGGGAAAAGAGGTGCTGATCATGGTGTTGATATTTATTTGGGGAGCCTAGGGGGGCATGGCATTGTTGGTATTCTAGGGATGTTTCCATTCTGTCTAAGCAATCTCGGCCTCTGATGCTGTCATAGTTGGGATCTTGTGGTCCATTGTTGCAGAAGTTTTGGAAACGAAACACTTAGGCTGAAAGGAAGTATTTAATCAAGAAGTTGCCTGTGAGTAGAGCTGAGGTAAACGATACTACATATACTTTAAAATGCTTCAATCTTTCACATAAATCACTAAAGTCGCAACACTTGTGCCTTAATAACTTTTGTGGATTATCAATAGCATGACACTTAGCAGAACTATGGACTGCTGATTGATGGTTATAGATGGTACCATGCAACATACAATATAGGATTTCGAGGACGCGAAGATGACAGATTGTGCGGTAAGTGTAAGGAAATTTGACTTTTGAATTCTGCAACCTTAGAGCTTAATTGAGAATATTTTATAAGACTAGGTACCCGATTGTAAAAATATGTACTCTAATTGAAATAAAACGACAGCAAAGATTGAATCCATTGGGTTTTAGGCGGTCGTTGAGGAATTGCTCTCACAATCTTCACTCGAAGTTTAGGGAGTCAGAAAACTATTCAGTATGCGTCCTAATCTAACGATAAGTTATATCATCTGATTTTACATAGCCGCCTCGTGATTGAAAGATGGATAGATAGATGTCACAACCTATCACTTCATCTCATCTTCTTCGGCTACATATATCACTATCACTGGATGTGCCACCTCCACCGTTGATTGTCCACTGAGTTACTGCCTCAAACAGGATGGAAAAACTCTCAAAAATCTGTATCACAATGAGAGCTGCCAATCCATCAACTTGAATATAGCTGAGTTTGAAACAATAAAAATATTGCAATACCCTTAGCAAAGAACAGTTAATAAGAACACAGAGAGAAAAGAATGAATCCAATAGACTCTTATAAACACCACCATGCAATACTATAATTCACCTACCATTTTATTATCACCCAAATACAACACTTCCCACACATCCAGCCAAATTATACCCCGCGCCACTGAAACCCCCATCTTTCGATTATTTCCACCCCTTTCCCCTAACTAGCTGGAAAACACCTCAACTCCACACTCAATTGGCTTCCTTTCGTGCTACCGGAGGGAAATAACAAGCTCAAGCACATGCACATGCATGCACATGACCTTCGCAGAGCCTAGTAGCCCAATTTCCGAAAGCGCGGAGAAGATCCTATATCCCATCCATTCGACTTGGGATTATCTGGGGATTTTCCGATACATACTGTACTATACCAACGAATCAAATGAAGATATCAAATCCAAAGACCAGAAAAGTATCCCACCAACAAACAGAATCAACGAACTGAAAAATCAAGCTATATTCCAAATTTCCAATAAAAATTATTGTTACGAGCGAGAGAATACATATGACGCTTAACCAGACTACTGAATGAGAGGCAGCTTTATAGCGCGGACTCCCCAACTCACGTCTAGAACAAAGGTGGCTTTATTCGCTTTATCTACCGGGCCGTATGCCCATGCTGTTTAGTTTCCCTTTGAGATTTTCACGAACGGCGTAAATCTAGTTGCAAATAAACATACGCAACTGCCTTCGTGGCGACCGCTATCGCTGGAAATCTAGATAAAAGGAATCATCTTAAAACGGAAAATATGAATGGAGATTTCGTTGACGGATTGATGGATGATTTGAGATGGATTGATTAAGGGATGAATTGGAAGATCTTACAACGTATATGCTGTGTGCGATAGGTATCACATACGTACGGAGTAAGATTACAAGAAAACGTCGAAATAAAAATGGCGTTATCGCCACCACTTTGAGTTTTTGGTTTGTTAGTTTGTTATGTTCGTGATTAGGCTCGTTACTCCAGATGCGAGATATTAGCACAATCAGAAAGCATGAAACCAACTCGGACACCAGAGAAGCCGGGCTATCCCCATTGAACGAAGTAATTAATCTTAGCGTATCATCTTAAATTTCCATCTTCTGGTGCGTGCACCGAGTTTCGAATTGTGTATTTCCTCGCTGCACAAACTTCCAGAATCCAGACCATACAGGAGGAGTGTAGCGAGCTGCGGGCGGGTAGGGAGAAATTAGAAAGAAACTTAATTCTGTTGTTTATTTTCAAGCATGATGCATGAAGTCAAGTCCATAGACAGACATTGTACCTAGTCGAGCGAGTAACTTAGCAAAGTAACCCCGCGGATGAAAATTTGATGTTTTTGCGAAGATGCTTTGTATAGAGAGAAGCGAGGATGTTTATGCTGTAGTGTGATTGGACAATGGATTTCCCCGGGGCTAGCGGACCTAGTAAAGCGCGAAAGAGGAATGGTGGAGATGCGTTTTATGGGTAAAATGTATGTATTCGGTATAAGCCTATGAGGTGATGATTTTAGTTTGCCATCGGTTAAGCAATCGAACTTCAGTCAATGTTGGTTTGAGGCGAAGATGCTTAATTTGTTTTGCGTCCGATAAGTCCTTCTGCTTTATCGATTTCGAAAGATGGGGTATATGGCGTATGAAAGGTAGGATATATGTATGCATCTAGTATCGCATTTATATGGCATATCTTTTAGAACGAGCGGGAAAAAGAGACATTGGAAGGATTAGCAGATGGCAAATTGTGGAAATGGGGGAAATAAGAAATGGGCGTGGGATATTTCGTCGTTGTTGTCGCTCATACCTATAGGAACTCATACTTCGTACTTCGTACTTCATACCCATCTACTCGGGTCCATATTTGTTCTGGTTTAGGATAAGGTTAGTTAGTGGTATAGTATTTCATCAATACAGACAGTAGTTATCTACTCTGGTTTGGTCTATGCCTTGAAGTCGAGATATTGCAGATATGGGTTTGACTGAAGGGACGAGCTCCCCGTTTTTCCTCTGTATCCGAACAGATACTGTATAGCCACCATCATACGATAAAGCAACGCGTCAACACTCAAAATAGAAATCGAAAATAAAGCAATGAGAAGCTCAATATATTTACAATGAGATATTTAATAGATACAATGAATAACAACGAAACTTATTATAACAGTCAACTCAACTCTACTCAATAAATATACAATATACACTTGTACGTAGATGTAGCATACAAATGATCTACACGAAAAAAGACCCTGATATATTTCATCTCATTCATTCACTCGATTCAATTCTCTATCTCTGATACCATACTTCATCGAGAGTAACACCAAACCAATAAATATTTTTCTTTACTGAAAGGTTACCTGCACAGAATAACTATGTAACACTGCGCGGCGTACAAAATAAGCTCAACAAGCGCATACGATATTTAGTACGAAATGTGCATTGCTGCATATGCATGGGTATTAGGCACGCATAGAGAAAAATCCCCTTCCACGAGAAGACCATCCTGTTGTTGTCAGTATGTATGTATATATATATATATATATATATATCTAGCTGCAGAAATAAACGTTTGATGAATTTTTACACTTGTGACCTTAGTTATAAGATCAACAGGCAGACAGACACCTACCGGTATTTAGATGGGGAATCTTAGGTTTTCCATCGGTGGTTCTAACTATTCTGTTGATCATGAACATAAATCGGAATCCCTATCCATAATCCTCCCATTGTAAACTGCATCAAAAATCTCCATAGTAAATTCCACCTATACCTAGATAGTTTAAGAACAACGACCCTAATCATCGCGAAATCCTCTCCATCAAAATCTAAATCTAAATCTAAATCTAAATCTAAATCCAACTCGGAAAAAAACTTCTTCGCAAACTTCGCATTCGTACCGAGCGTATCCAGATCCTATTCAACTTTCTACAAACCAACCTACACGACTACAAAGTATACTCTGTAAAGTTATAAAGTATCAATACTCTTTGGAACCCAGTATCCACGCAACGCAAGGATCCATCAGGGGCAACAAAGGTAGCACTAAAGTCTTACAGGGGAATTTCTAGCGGGTCCAGAATTTGTACTAGCTAGGTAGATACAGTAGTTTTCTCAAAAGAGATTTAACGGGTATGCGTGAAACCTCCTAGTTGATAGTAGGTTAGTAGGTTAGTGCTAAGATGTATGGATGTAAAGTAAAATCTAGGAACAGGAAGGTGATCTGCTTTTTGGGGTGTTGAGGTTATGGGAATTCGAGAGTGGTAGTGTGGAATGAGTGAGTTCAGGAGGATGGATGGATGGATGGATGGATGGATAGATCTTATATGGAGACATATACCTTCTATAGAATGTGAATGAATGAAGAATAAGGATGAAAGGAAGAATAGATAGATAGATACTAGCAAGAAACCTGACGGATAAGTAAATACCTACTAGCTAGATAGCACCAACACCAGCATAAGGTCCAAGTACCCCCTCCCTCGCCCCAGCAACTCAAAAGTACGCTTAGACTAAACCCAAATGGAGAGAAATCTCAAATCTCAAAATGAAGGAACGAATATCATACTCCGTACTACTCTAATGATAAGGACAGGATAGCCAAGGTCAAACCAGACCAAAGCAGACCAGACCAGACCAGACCAGGGGAGGCTATGTAGAAAGTTGCGCTCGTGCTGCTTGCTGGTGAGCGAGCTATTTACTGGTCCGTATACGTACGTATACGGAGTGCTAGTTACTGGGTAGCTGATATTTTGTTTTATTTTATCCTATCTACTATACGATGAAAAATACCTATCTATCTATCTCTCTACCATATCATATTATATCATATCATACCCTATCGACCACAATCCATCTGGTGATCGATCCATGCCTACCTAGAAACCTAGGTATCTAAACAATCCACTCCCCTCCTTTTTATCAACTAGGTACTTACTTACTCGAGCATCACTCATTCACTTATTCACTCACTCATCCACTCACTCACCTATCATCCACACACACACACCCATCAATCAATCCATCATTCATTCATTCATTCATTCATTCATTCATTAACCCATTTACCTACTCACGTACCTGTCTATGCATCATTATAATAATTAAAAAAAAATTAATTATTCAAATACGAAACAAAGTATCACCCGATCCTTACTAAATCATTTATTTCTCTATTTCTTTATTCATCTACCTATCTATTTATCTATCTATTTTGGGTTATCGTCCTCTTTTCACTCAACCAACCCCAAGAATTGATTGCTACGGTGAGCTTCTGAACAACACCCGAGAGGAATCACAAGCCTAAATTTCCACTCGACTCTACTAAATCAATCATTCATTCATATTCATTCATCCACTCACTGAATCACACCTTTATAACCATTTCTTCAAAAGGATTTTAATCAATCTATCTATCGATCTTCACAAAGTTATATTCGAAATAATTACTACTTTGAAATAGAGAGAAAAAGCTTCTTTGAAATAACAATTCGGAGATCATTCCGTAACAAAAAGTCTTTCGTTCCTACCTCGTTTCAAAAAGAGTACGCAGTCACGGATAGAGCTTCTACGAACCTTACTTACCTCTCTAAGAAGCTTTTACAACAACCATAAAAATCATCCCCTTTTCGAGCATCGATATAAAAATATCTTGAACCTATAGACCTCTTCCAAATCAAGAGAAAGGACATCAAGCCAATCTCATCATGTCCTCCCCTATTGATGAGAAATCGACTCTTGTCGGCACAAACGTCCTTACCATCAATCGACCTACTCCATCTCGTACACAATCCAATCAATCCGTCCTCAGCACAATTCAAGATGTCGATTCCACCCACTCCTTAAGTCCAAGCCAAACTCGCTATGAGAAGAATAGTCTTTCTCAAGAAACCTCTCCATTGTCCCCATTCTACAACCCAAACCCTACACGATACTCGCTCGAAGCACAGAAGTCCTCATCGAAGCAAAATATCACATCCTATGATACGGATGTTGAAGCTTGTCTTACACCACAACAAACAACGAAGAGTGGAGGATTGTTGATGAAGGCTAAGACGGGCGCGACGCAGGAATGTACGGTATGGCCAGGACAACAACAAATGAAGAGGAAGAAGAAGGCTATGAAACAAGATAGAATGAGTGCAGGTATCTGCGGTTGCATGGCCGGTTTCGATAAAAAAACGAGAGTTTGGATTAAGGTCTTAATTGCTTTGGTTGTGATTGCTCTTGCTGTCGGTGTTGGAGTTGGTGTCTCGAGAGCTGTTGGTGGAGGAGTCTGGAAAAATTCGCAGAGCACGAATACTGCTATTCCCAACTAGGTGGAATGAATTGGCGTAGGGGTTGGTGTGCAAGGTATGTTCCCATTCTGTTAGATTAATGTGATGCTTCATACTAATTGTACCTAGTCGTGATATCCGTCCATTTTGGCCTGTAACACATCCTCTGCTAATGGATCTTCGACCTACCATACACACATACCTAACAGAACCTAACTCAACATTGTCTGGGTCTTTCGATCATCGATTGAGCACCCAATTTCATATCACATCGCCCTGTACAAACAATACTTTGATGTCGGTCGTCAACCACTTCATCATTTTTCGGCGTTCGCGGAGCAACTATCCTCGCGTCTTCTTATTTCTTTCCTAGCGCAGGGTGAAATAAGCATAAAGCATCAACACTTCTTCAACGTTTCGTTCATTTCTGTTACGAAATATTGCATTCAACGTAGCTAAATGATGATCAAACGTATGTGTTTATGGTGGAAACATTTTCATCTTTCTCTCTTTTTTATCATCGGTCGTGTCTAAGGTCTCGGAGAGGCCAGAGGGGAGGGTGATGGAAAAATTCGCTCGGTTTTTAATTTCTCTTGCTGTGCATAGATAGTGATGATGCGCCGAGATGTGGATGGTGGTAGTGATATGGTGATGAGCATGTTCATACATACATACATATCATATCGTACGTGGATAGACGAGGATGAAACCTGTATTTGGAGTATGGGAGCGAAATGAATGAATGGATGAGATGAGGCAGGGAAACATGAAAATGCTAATGATATGATCACAAACTCGATGAAACTTTCTTTCTATGACTCGATGTGAAAGTGGCTGGAATAGAAGCTAGTTCCATCCTTGAGAAAAGATTCATGACAGTATATCTAGTGGTGTATATAAAATAGCAAGAAGAAAGAATAAAGAAAATAAGCAAAATGAATAGATTAGATTGAGGGTGAGCATGAGGGATCCCAAACCATTTATCGTATATATAATCCGGAAATATCGGATCTAATTCTTAGTAAGCTGTTAAGCTATATCTGCATCCAAGTGGATGAGGAATCGAGAGATGGGGAGGAAGGATAAAATGGAAAATGGGGTTTTCCGATGTGGTGGGATGATTGGATGAGTGGTGGGTTTTATGCGGGGTTTATGTGGGTGTTATGCAGGTGTTATGTAAATTATGTAGGTGTATAGGTGAGTTTTATGCAGGGTTTGGTCTTGGTGCAGAGTTTTATGCAGGAATTGTGTAAACTGTGCTTTGCTTGGGATTCGTGTATTTGATTGGGTATGGGCGGAACGGAAGATCTTGGTGTGATTTGATCATATGTATATAAATCCTACTATAGAGTAGGTAGGTAAGTAAGTATGTCTTAAATTGCATAAGGAATTTTCCTTTCTAGGATTTAATTCTAGATACTAGCTAGTTCTAGTAGGGTGGATGGTATTTTTGTATTGTTTACGGCTATTCGGTGTTGGTTTTGAGGGTTTTGTTGTTTGGTTATTTTAGTTGGATTGGGACTAAATTGGGGAATTGGGGACTGATTGTTTTGTGATAGGTGATGGACGATGGATGTGGGTAGACAGATGGATGGTTGAAAAGGAAGAAGGGGGAAAAAGAGGAAGAGGAGGAGAAGGAAGCAGAATGCTGGACGTTTGAATACATTTTTTAGTTTCTAGATCTTATATTCAAAATTAAAAGGAATTATAATTTTAGTTCTAATTTTTATAAATATTATATTATGAACTGAGAGATAGAAAGGTAAGATATATTATTTCAGAGAATTCTGATTAAATAAATAATATAAATTTTTTTTTGGATATATATATATATCTTAAGAAAGTAAAAGACTAAAATGGGTAAAATATTAATAATATTCCTTTGCTCTAAATCTTATTTATATTCTATTGATAAACGTTTATTAAAATAATATTTTGAAAGAGATACAGATGAATACTATTCCAACATCTTTTAAACAGCTTTCAAAGCTCACGTTTTATATTACTACGGAAAATAGATATTGTGAGAAAGTTGGAATTATAGGCCAAATACATAAAGGTTTTAACTAGTCAATCACATGACCTTCTGTAGTTAGATATAAAAGAAGAGCCTTTTGTCTCTTCTTTTCACAACAATCAACCTTCTACATATATACATTTGAACCCATATAGCATCAACCCCAAAACCATTGTGAACCCCGTTTTACCCATAAGTGACGTATTACAATGTAATCTAATTCAGCTTTCTCTTCCAATTCCCTCCTCACAGCGTGCTATCGGGACGCACATATCTCGACTTACCACTTTTACAATATTATATCGTTATAACAGAATTCCTCATTGCCATCTACAGTCAAAGATATATCATTCTTGGTGCCCTGATGACAATATAAAGATATACATTCTCCCACCTCTCACAACCTCGATGGAAAAATATCCCCAAAATCATTCCCTTCCATCTCCACCTAATCCGCCACACCCACAATTTCCGCTGAAATCTATTACCCATCCCAGTTTTCTACGACATACGGATGGAGAGCTAACTTTCTCTGTGTTTTCTTGCAGAAACAGGGTAAGTGCTGTAGCGTGTGCTTTAAGTGCAGCATCAGTGTAGAGTGTGTGGAAGGCGGCGGATCCGGAATAGGAGAGCCATTTTTCTGGGGAGGGAAGAGGGGTTTGGAGGGATGTGAAGTTTTTGGAGTGAGGGGTGTGCTAGTGTTAGGGAATGGAGGGGTGGGAGGAGGGTGAGGATGCTAGGTGAGATGTGCATGTTGTGATGGGGATGGATGGGTTTGTATTTGAAATGTTTTTAAGCTTGGAGAGATGGGTGGAAAAGAAGGAACTAGAGAAATGCAGCGAAGAAATCCCGGATGAATAGTTACTATGAATTTAACTTTTACCTGAAATTCGCCTCCACTTTAGCTTAAAGGAAAAAGGTTTTGTCAAGGGGATAATGCCAATATATGCTTTCAGCCCCCATTAAATTAATTATAATCGATTCGAGCGCAAATTTATCGGAGTCTACTTTCATCTACTTTCATCTTCAAATCCAACATACATCTACATTTTATACATAAGTACAATGGCTACCTTAGCCAGGTTTAGCTATCGTCCTTCGATCAGAAAGAGAGCCTCGTATATTCATCTGTATAGGCAATGGCATACCGAATTATTAATGATCTAGCTGATAAACAAGTGTTAGTAGTGAGTCCTACATTAAAGCGCTGGAAGTTTTGTACTTTGAATCATCGATTCATCGTAACTTGGATATGCGCTAGCTGTGTTGTGGGCAATATGACCACGCACCATCTTTTAATGTCAGATATCCACAGGCTAATGACCCCTTAAAATTGGATAGATGATATCCTTACCCCTAGAACTTTCGATGGGTGTATAACCTACATAGAAACGCTTACTACCCGCTGATTACACACAAGGTTGAAGGCCTCTAATGTTCATTATAAATTTTGAATTCTACAGAAATAACGAGAGAAAAAACCCCCCTATACTCATAAACCATCGTCCATTTTCTTTGGTGAAAGAATTTATCACTGACACCGCACTTTTGGAGTTGACCGGTATCACCCTCTGTGGTGTTACCAATGCCAATCTTCAACATCCGATAGCTCATAATACTTGTCCATGATCTATCAATATACCCGTTTGTCTAAGGCTTACGACTGGATGTGAGATGTACTTCATCGAAAACGATACCCTGGGAAACTAACTGGATATACCGCCTGAAGTTTCTCCCCTGAAGTGAATATGTTCAGAGCTCTGACAAGGTTACAAAAGTATTGCCAGCAGAAAAGAGAAGATTGACATTGTACCAAAGCCGAAACTTGAGTATGTGGCAAAAGAAGTAAAGAAAGAATATATGGAGACTGTGTGCTTAATAAGGAGACTGATGATTTGTCAATGGTAGTAGCAATGATGGAGGAGATAGATACCACTCTTAAGAAGGTTAAAGATTTGTAGAAACCCAAGGGACTGCCTCTGATTTCAGAGCTGTATAGAACAACTCCCTCATGATTTCAGAAGAAATTGACATTGTGAAGCCGCGGCCCACATAAGGTTACTTTACCGCCAATTGAGGCTGATGCCCATACAGCCGCCGTGTAACGGATTAGTGCTTGAAAATGTATACGACGACACAAACTGAACACTGGAGAGGCCTTGTAAGCTTCTTAGGATAGTGATGAGGATGTGTATAAAATTTCGGGCTGTTGTTTTGATACTAGATAGAGCAAGACCTTATAATGTATAAACGGTCTTGTTGAACACGGAATACGGGAAGCAAATTCCTCTCCTCATCAGGAAGTACTGGCCCATGCACAGAGCAGCACCATACCTGAACGGACATTTGAAGATCGAAGATATAATACTGAGTATGTGGGTTATTTCTGGTATAATTAGGTGGTCTGATTAGCAGTACAAATCTCATTCAGGATCTGAAGCTTTGAACCCTAAAGCCATTCATTGTTCTAGGCTTTTCGTCGCCTAAAGCTCCGGCCAATACTAGAGCTTAGTGTCATGTCGAAGTCGCTTCGGTCTCCGGAATAAGCAACGATGAAATTTAGAATGGACGATTTGTACTTGTACTAGCTAAGGCAATGCCGAGATTTTGCATTATTCTGCGTTTGACCGTTGACTGCGTTGCGAAGTCGGGATGAACTCTGCCACACAGACACTCGAAAAGTTCGACATCCCCCCTTCGTATCCGTGTGATATAATCCTCATTATTGCATCATTGACAAGAAACTTTACAAAAAACCTTAAGCTTCCTTAGAACAAATGTATAATGCTTACATATACCGTAGTTGCCATTGGAACTGGGGAGTTCCCAAGAATTTTACCGAGTCCCATGTCAACAAATTGGGCCCCGATTAATACATCTAATATATCTCGATAATCTCCGATTCCTGCGAGTCCCAGATGAAGATCGACCCATGTCTATTGTTTATGTATATTCAGCCTCGTAACCTAATTGTAGGATATGTACGAGTAGCCCAGCCAGTTGAACATCACGATTCACCTCGGTTGCACGAGTAGATTGACAAGGTTTTGCTGTGGCTCGTGCCAGCTTCATTCATTTATTACCCATTTCTAGATTCCTACCAACTTCTCCCTCGATTCCCCTGACCCTCTCTCGTCTTTTACCTTCCAATACGACGCTTGGAATAGTTACTTATATTTCGGTATTGGGAAAGAGCCTGGCTTTTCCATTCGAGAGTCGGATTTCTCTTCGGGTTCTTGAGTTTCGTGTTTTTATCACAATTCCTTAACCTCTGCGAATAATGGATGTTATCCGTCCTCGCAGACCACATCACAAGAGTAGAACAGGATGTCTTCAATGCAAGACAAGAAAGGTCAAGGTACGTGATTCTTGTTGGCTTCATCTGAACGAATGAGTTCCATACTGCAAAACTCCAATCTATGATCACTGCGCGCGCCAATGGAACATCCTTGTTACTGGCATGGAATGCTCTCTGGCGGATCTAATGCCCTCAGTATACTTGTCGACGTTACAGCAGCTCTATTTACCACATGTTTTACCTTCCATTCTCAAACTGTGGTTCTTAGCTGACGATATAACCAAAAGTGTGATGAGAAAAAGCCATCATGCCAAAAATGCGAAAATTATGGTTCAACATGTTCTTATCTGCATACACACCCAATGAAGAGTCTTCATAGTCAAGAGACTCAATGCAGTACAATGATGCGGCGAAACTCAAAGTCAAAATCACCATCAGCGGAAACCTTATCTGCAAAGCTTGAGTTGAGTCCTAGGCCGGTGCTCTCTCCCACTCCATCTCCTGGTCCCCCGAGCCATTCATTTTCCATACTTGACATGGAACTTCTCCATTATTACACCATGTATGGTGTTTCAGATTTCGCCGACTTTGCTAGGGGACAGGAACTCTTTCGAACTACTGTCGTAGAATTGGCTTTCCAATATCCGTTTCTGATGCATGAGATACTTGCTTTTGCCGCCTTGCAGTTATCATATGCTCGTCCCCCTAAAGCTGCCTACTATCACGAGGCCTCAACTACCCACCTCACCACCGCCCTTCAACTATTCCAACCTGCAATTTCCAACGTCACCAATGAAAATTGTCACGCATGCTTCGCATTCACCATCATGTTGTTCAACTTCGCTTGGACATTACAAGACTCGAATCTTCCCAACCATCTCTTCTTCGGCCCGGATGGTGCCGAAAATGAAAGCACATTTCCCCACTCTCAGTGGGTGAGACTCTGTAGAGGTTATCAATTGGTAATGAAAAGTACATGGGAACATCTACATCAAGGCCCATTCAAAGTCTTATTCGACCCCTGGAACAATTTCCACGAAGACTACATCCCGCAACTCGACCCAGCCGACGATATCCACCTCTCCTCACTATCCAGCGCATGGTCCAGCAACTCTCCATGCAATCTCCCCCTCGAACAACGACAAGGATTAGATCGCGCACTGGATTTGTTGAAACGAGTTTTTGGCCTCCTGAGAGCCCCCAATGCACCATCACCTGCTAGCGTGGTCATGAGTTGGTTTTCTTCAATCCCAGACGAGGTGGAGGTGATGATGGCTAGGAAAGTTAAAGAAGCTTTGTTACTCATTACCTACTATTGCGTGTGTATACATCGCGTAGCTAATTTGTCGTGGATGACTGGAAAGGGGAAGAATCTGTTGAAAACTACTTTGGATGTTTTGGGTCCTGGGTGGGAGACATGGACGGCGTGGCCTATCGAGGTGGTTCTGGGGAGGGAGTGGAGAGGTGGAAAGACGATGAGTGTGGATTTTATTAGTGGTGCATCATGAGGAGTTTCGGGGATTGCGTGCATGCATTTGAGAAATGGCGTTAGGTATACCAGTGGAGGGAGGGCATTGCATTTGTTGGCATTTCACAGGCTGCATTTTTTGACATACTTAGGACTAGCATGCATGTGGGTGATTAGCAAGTCTTGTTTACTGTTCTCATATCAAATAATACCCCGATGATCGCTTTGGTACCCGTAGTGCACCTTTTAAACACTATCTTAAACACTATCCAAAACGCCTTTGTAACCCTATAGAAAATAGGAGTGCCTATGCTACTGATAAGCCTGGCCATTATCACCACGAAATACCGAGGTCGCGAAGCAATCTCCATCATATTTCTCACTCCACAAACCCCAAATCACATTTCACGGAACCCCTCCCGCCAACCAGATATCCATTGTCCCTCAGGTAGCAGCCTCCTTAACCTCACCCACCTTCTGCGGCGGCTCATCAATAAAACTCGGCACCTCATCCACCATAAAACTCGGCGTCCCCTCGGCCATCCCACCCAACCCCTCCAACTCGGCCTCCTCCCCCAACGCCTCCAACTCCGCATCCAACTCTGCCTCATCCACCTCCTCAGGTAAATCATAACTCCGACTAATACTCTCCTGAATCTCATTACCGACCTCCATCAAATCCGCCATCTCATCCTGCATCCTCTCAATCTGATCGATATCAATCTTGCCATACTGTTTCTTGAGGGCTTTATTTGTAGTTTTGAGCGTCGACACGGTCGTCATGACATTTTGAAGATTATCTTGCATTAGGGCTGCGGATTCCATGTTGTAGGATTGTTGCTGGAGTTGGTCGCGTTGACCTTCGTACATTTTGCGACGTTGGAGGACTTTGAGCGCTTTTTGCTTGATGGCGGATTTTCCGGGGCCGTCGCGCATCTTGGAGAGTTTGGTTTGGTAGGAGGTTAGTTCGGCGTTTAGGGAGGCCAGTTTGACATCGATGGTGGAGATGCGTTCGTCGACCTAGGGAGTGACGTGTGAGGTTAGTAGGGAGGATATTTGGGTATTGAGAAGGTTAAACGTACATTGGATATGGCGGAACTGAGGGTGGGTTTTGGGGTCGACGACTTTGCGCCGAATAATCTGTTCATCCTGACGGTATGGTGAGAGGATGTCAGGTTTGTTTACAGTGTGCGATTATATTTGCGCAGATAATTCTTGCAGTTATGGTGTATGGTGAAGGAGGCTTGAAGGTCTAGGCTGTGGCAGTATGATTAGAAAGATACTAGGTAGCCATCATTCATCATTGGCCATTGGCTCGGAATCACACCCGGGGCCAGTCTCGGTTATTCGGTATTTTTACGGTGTATATACTGATCACGTGGAATTCATTTACTGCACATGGATAACATTCCGTCATCTTCCTATCGGACATAAGTAGTGTAGGTATGCACGATACGCTGTCACTTGTTATTTTGAGTGAGTATGAGTGACTACCGGTACTGTATTGTTTGCCAGGTGGGAAATATACGAGTAGAATATATGCGTAGGATATATGTGTAGAATATATATGCCGTTACACATACTTTATAAAGATATTCACAAGAGATACGTAGTTCGGAGTACATGTGAGGGGTTTGAATGAACGGTTGGTTTTCCTATCCTATCTTACATTGAAGTGGAACGGATCACCAGGTGACATAGCGGAAGTTTCTTGACAGCAATTTTCAAGGCTCGCGCAAGGTAGAAAAAGTACAGAGTAGGTAATCAAATCAATCAAAGCAATCAGCTGTACCCACAGCCTTGAACCACAGTGAACCACCAGTGAACCACCAGTGAACCACCCTATCTATCAAGAACCAATACCCAAAATCAGAGCAGGACTGAGAAAAAGACAAGATCACAAAGAGACCCAACCAACTTTGAACCCCACCATCCACCATCCACCATCCACCATCCACCCTTCGAACTCAAGGGACGAACCAAGATTTTCCATTTTGATCAACAAATTCCTATTTGTACTTCTGTACTTCTGTACTTCTATACCACTACCACTCAATACCTTTCTTGTTTCCTACTTTGAGATACCCCTTTTATTTAAATCGTGTGTTGCTTGACTCTATCCCCAGAGCTCTTTTAATCATCTGCTGGGAAATCTGAGGTAGCAGCAACACAGTCTTTCTGATCAGTACTTTACAATACATACTTACCTACACAAATTCTTTCAAAACAACAACATTGAACAGGCCCTTGGGTCTCCTGCTTAGTTGATGCTGAGAGGCTTTGGCAGTCCTCAAGAATATTGACTCACCCTCCTACTGTACAGCAAACCAGAATTGGAATATAGGAAATATTTTGTAAGTTGTACTCACCATCTATTCCATTATTTACACACTACATATCTTGCGGAAGCGCAGGGCTGAGAAGTCGCGCGCCCAAATTAAGGCACCATTCACCGACTACTAGCCGCACAAGTCCTCTCCTCTACCCCAATTTTCCATGGTACATGATTATCCACTTCTAAAACATTATCACTGACCTCACATCTTTATTTATAGTCATCTTCACCATCATTGAATCTTAACGAGTCACGATACGAATCCACGGATAAAGGGAGCCTACCTGCAGGCGCAAACCATTTCCATACATTATCACTTTTTCCTTGTGGGGAGAAATACATCATATCTGCGGCTCTTACAGCGATCGGTTCGCATGTTCAATCCCGAGATACGGACATAAAAACAATACCCATATCTCGATCTACCACCATCCTCTTGGTGGCAGTCGAGCGCTCTTGCATAAAGCATCATGTTCTGGCGTTTCGGCGGATATGCTAATGTTTCTACCATCGATACCATCCTCGACAAAGAAAATGTTACCTTGGAAGAGTTATTGGATGAGAGCGATCTCATACAAGAATTAAAACAACACAATTCAAAGCTGATTGAATATCTACGTGAAGATAAGATCTTAGCAAGGCTTCTGGAATATGTGGTGGCCCCCAAATCGGAGACTGTCGCATCTGAAGGCCTTGGAGCGGAATCGAAAGTAGCAGCTGCTTCACCAAACTCGAGGGGCAAGAGTCGATCATTTTCACTATCTCGCCACTCTTTTGAAGACGATGGTGAGGAAAAGGAAAAGAAACGAACTCGCTATGCCTACGTTGCAGCTGAGGTCTTATCCTCGGACAACTGGTCGATCTGCGAGGCATTAATGGAGAATCAACCTCTCTTGCGCAAGTTTTGGGAATTCTTGAACCTTCCTGCGCCCTTAGATCCTTTACAAGCCTCTTATTTTACGAAAGTCAATGAGGCTCTTTTAGATAAAAAGACTGAGGAGATGCTTGATTTGTTAAAGTCAATAGATGGTACAGTCAAGAGTATGCTTCGACATGTGGACTCTCCTATGATTATGGATCTTCTTTTGAAGATAATCAGTTTGGAGAAGGCGGAGGGAGGGGCTGGAATTGTCGATGTATGCTCCTTATTTTTCTCTGGTACAAGTTCTACTTGCTAATTCCTGAAATAGTGGCTACACTCGCAAGATTTGATGCCCATCCTTCTCTCATTCCTATCGTCCGAACACAGCTGGGCAACACAAACTTCGGCGGGTGATTTCCTCAAGGCGATTATCACTATTTCCGCCAATGCATCCCAAAATGAACAGTCATGCATAGGACCAAATGAACTTACTCGCCAGCTTGTCTCTCACCCATGTATTGAAAAGTTGATATCTGATATGCTAAAGGGTGGAAATCCGTTGACTGTCGGAGTTGGTATTGTTATCGAAGTCATTCGAAAGAACAACTCAGATTATGATCCCGAGGTTGGAGCTGAAGCAAATGCAGTGCCATCCAGTCGCGATCCTATATATCTCGGAACTCTTTTGCGAATGTTTGCCAAGCATGTTCCCGATTTTATGGACCTCATCCTCAGCCCTAATCATACTGTTGGAGGAGGTGATGGACCAGTAACAATACAAAGAAAAGAGTTGAGTGCTGCTTTTGGTGGAAAGATTGAGCCACTTGGATTCGATAGATTCAAGACTTGTGAGCTTATGGCAGAACTTTTGCACTGCAGTAACATGGCTTTGCTGAATGAGGTTGGCAGTGAGGAGTTTGTCAAGGCGCGAGACGCAGAGAGAGAACGATTAAAGGCTGAGGGTAAGTTGAACCCATCGCCTACGACCTTAATGTCCGAAGATGACCTAACGATGAAATCCTCCACCCAAACACGACTGGGCTCCCCAGATGGTTCTAGGAAGTTAGAGGTTCAAAATGCCTCTGATGATGATGGATTTGAAGAAGTTACGCACGCTACAGAACTTGGTGATGATGCCAAGGATGATTTTGATGAGAAACATGAAACAGAAGAAACCCTTCTTAATTCTACACAACCACCCATTTCCTTCCTCGACAAGGATGACGAGGAATTTGTTGATGAACCTTTAAGCTCGCCAAGGCTACAGCCACTTTCCGATGAGCATACTTTGCAAGAACCAGAGATGGCCGTCCTCCCTCTTTCCCCGACCAAAGAACTTTCTCAACAAGTTGGGTCTCTAGGATTTAACGATGAGGATACGACCATGACGTCTCCACCTTCTTCTATTGATGCCAATGTTCTTGATGACACCGAAGATTCTTCTGATGGTTCTCACAAACATACCCCAGCTTCCTCGGACGGCTCTAATGAAGGTCAGAATGTAGGCATGGAATTACCCACTGAGTCTTCAGCACCTACAGAAGAGATTCCCCACGCTGCAGAAGTTATTCCTCTCCCAGAAGACACTCCTGCACCTTTATTTTCCAAAAAAGCAGGATCAACGGAAGAGACTGCTAGTGCATCAACTACCGTTCCTAGTGATGGTAACGTGAATCTTGATAGCGTCGATACTACTATGGGCGATGCTGGTGATAGCAACAACTCCGTACTGATGGGTAATACCGCGGAGCATTCTCAAGATCGAACTATGGAAACAACAGGTGGCCCCGTAGTTGGAGATTATCTCAAAATGCAATTTGTTGAACATAAGGTCGTACCAACTATTTTGGTAAGTTTCTTCAAGCTTCAGCATTTATGCATGTGAATTAACCTATGTAGGATTTTTTCTTCCGATTTCCTTGGAATAACTTCTTACATAACGTCGTATATGACGTTGTACAACAAGTATTTAATGGTCCTATGGATCGTGGATATAATCGATCACTTGCAATTGATCTATTTGAAACTGGAGACATCACAATGAGAATTGTCAATGGTCAAAAGAAGAGTGATGAGGCGCAACAGAAGAACAAGATGCGACTTGGTTATATGGGTCATCTTACACTTATCGCTGAAGAGGTTGTGAAGTTTACAGAACGACATCCTCCGGAGCTCTTATCCGAATCAGTTTTAGAAAGGGTCATGAACGGTGATTGGATCCCATATGTTGAGGTTACTCTAGCAGAAACTCGGGAGCGTGACAATGCTATCCTTGGAGGAGTTAGACCAGACATGGCAGTCGGTCCGCGACAAGCCGTCATGAATGCAGTAAATGCAGCCAATAATTTCGGAAATGCATCATCCGCCCTTGCCGACGCTGGCCTTAATGGTTCAACAGCTCTTGATAGCATTGAACTTGCTAACAACAATGGAAATGGTAACAGCTTTATCACTGGAGGTACATTATTGAGCGGCTTTGGAAGTTCCAGTGATGAAGAAGACGATGAGATGGATGAAGATAATGACGAGGAAGGAAAGAACAGTGGTGGTACAACGGCAGAAGTGGGTCATTCTGTTCCTCCATCAGCCCCCAACCTTGATAAATTCGACGATCTAGATGTTGATTATGAATATTTGGAGCAACTCGATCGCGAATCACCTCTGTTTCCTCAAGAAAAGGACGAGGATCTCGATCAGGGTAGTTCTTAATCAGTAAAAGCGCACATGTTGTCATTCATTTCCTCTTGTACAGTACGCAATTTTCTGGCACTTGATTCCCCAACAGCATTACAAGTGGCGTTCCTAGATTCTTGGGGCTTGTTGTTTCTGGCTTCAGAAATTTAGAAAGCATTAATGTTGGTATGAACTGAGGAGTATTGTGGGAGTTTTCTCTTTCCTTAAATCAAGAGAAAGAGATTCAAAATTTGAGATATTATCCTTTACTCCTTTTTTGAAGTAGTGGTGGTGATGGTTGTGATGTCGATCTGGTGTTTTAATAATGATGATTAGTGTCCACAAATCTTTTTTTAACTTTGCTCCCGAGTGGGTAGGCTAATGATCATCTCTCTGCTATTTATCCGTTTTGCTTTTATCCGCCGCTTAGCTTTCGCCCCTTTTGGAACAGCCTATTTATTTACAAATGACACATATAATACTGAAATATATGCTAATTTAATTGCAATTAGATCTCCCGCTACATAAGTACGCCTTCAACTACAACATCTACCTCGGATCTTTCACCTCCTTCAGCACCACCGCCGCCTCCACCTCCTCTTAACATACCGCCAAGCCGTGCTAGAAGACAATTGGCGGCGAGGTTGGCCTTGCACAGTAAGCAGAAGTTGGCGAATGGAGAAAGGGTTGAGGGTGAGGAGAGAGAGTCAAAAGGCATCAATCCTTTTAAGGTAGATGGCGAGGATGACGACGAGGATGAAGATGGGAGCAGTGATGAGGATGAGAGCGGATTTAGAAGGAGCGGATTTGAGGATAATTTTGAGGATGAGGATGGGATGGGGGTTAGCGTGACGAGGGAGGCGAAGAGGAGAACGAGTTTGGAGGATGAGGATGAGGATGATGGTGGAGTAGGAGGGACAGGGGCTTTGGCTGATGACGTTGTTCATGTGGGGATGGTGGAGGAAGCAGGGGGTAGTGGAAGTTCAAGTAGAGATTTGAAGGACAATCCGAGTTTGCAGAGTGAGGAGGGTACTGATGTTGGAGGGGGCGATGGAGGATTAGTGCATATCCAGCATGCGGAGATACAGGGTGAAGGAAAGAAGGAGTAGACCTTTTTCTTTTTACTTGAATTGAAACGATGGATGGAGGTATAGCTGGGCGGATCTTTGATGAATGCAGCGGCCGATAAAATGTTTGTACGATATTATGCGAGATACGATAGTTAAGGGCTCAGGCAGGAGGCATTTATGCAGCGGATTCTTCTTTTATTATAACTCTTTCATGGTGAGTTCTCGGGGTTGGTGAGATGAATGAGATGAAAGGGCTGGGGATATGGAGGTTGATGGGGTGGGATTGCTGATGGGAGATTTATTTATCGTGTATAGATAGTTACGTATGTATGGATGGATGGATGGATGAATGGATGGTTGATTACGTTTATGAATTGTGTATCAGTACCTAGGTATCAGTGACCACGTGAATGTGAAATATAGTTGAATATCTAAGAGTTTATTTGGGTGTTGGGGGATGATTTCTGTAATTATTTTGAGATGAGGATGATGATGATGCCTTGAGAAGTGGATAATTCTTGGGGAGGTTGGATGGAGATGGTTCGATATGATGCGTGGGTGGGTGGATGCATTGTTGTTGTTTTTCGGTGTTTATTTGTTTGTTTGTACTAGATTTTGATGGTTTGGATTTTAAAGAATGGTATGGAGATATGCTATTAGGTATTGATCGATTCATGTTGGGACAAATTCCAGTGGAGAAAAGCTCACCGGGGATTTGTTCCTAACGCTCGGATTTCTTATCTTATCGCCGATAAGCTAAAATGTACAGGGGGATCAAGTAGGTTATAATATTATCAATAATATCTCATGCCACCATGAATTCTCTTCCAAGCAATTCCTTCTTATCCTTCTCTATATGCACGGGTTAGTATCACAATCTACATTCAAGTGTGCCCGCTGTCTGCGAGCTACGAGGCAGCGAAATGCTGTGCCAAAGTTGTATAAGAATATCTATCGGCAATTCTCACAAAGGTTGCCACTTCAAAAGGAAGATGCTAGCAATGTAACAATAGACTCGGAGGATCATGCTTCAATCGAAGCTCAGATCTTGAGAGAAAAATCGGAGAATGGCTCGAAAAATAAGACTGTCGAAAAAGAGCAAGGGGCGATGTCAAGACGTCTTGCAGAAGCTACTGAAGATGCTCTCTTGGAAGGTGGTCGAGCTGGACGAAAAGCCGTGGAAGAGGCAGGCTTTTCGGAAGAATTGAAGGCAAGATTACTTGAAAGAGTAGAAGCTTCGAAGTTCTGGGCTGAAAATGCTTCTGCGTTCACGGAAGCAAGTCTTGCGTCCAACATTGGTCGTGGGTCTCGGGATGTCGCTACAGCACAGGCATGGACCGGGCAGGAAGCAGCTGAAGATACGGTTCTTCGAATGCTGAATGATGCTAGGAAGCCTCTTAATCATGCTTTACGAGGTCCCGGAAAGATTCCTTCTCCAGTTGTGGATTTGAGGTTGAAGGGGCGGGCTAAGCAGAGACCTGGTCAAAGGTTGGCTAATGCGAGGGATAAAACTTCAATTTATGCTATTTCTAAAGATGGCCAAATGAGTGACCAGGAAAGAGAGGAGATGAGAAAAGAGTTCAAAGAAAGATTTACCCCCGGCGCAAGGGCTATGCCAAATTCAATTAGAGGCTTGGCTGCTTTGGCTAATGAGAGAATTGAAGATGCTATTGCCCGTGGTCAGTTTAAGGTGAGTCTAAGTTTCGCCATCTTTGCTTGGATGACGTTGTACTAATCACCTCTTTGCAGAATATTCCCAGAGGAAAGGCAATCGAACGAGATGCGAGAGCCGACAATCCATTTCTGGACACCACCGAATATATTATGAATAAGATGATACAGCGACAAAATATTGTGCCACCATGGATAGAGAAACAACAAGAACTTGTCAAAACCGCAAATGTTTTCCGAAGTCGACTACGGAATGACTGGAAACGACATGCTGCAAGAACAATTGCAAGTCGAGGTGGTACATTGCAGGAGCAAATGAGAACAGCAGAAATATATGCACGATCTGAAGCTTTTCACAATCCGAAGAAGCGAGCCGTAGAGCAGATCTCTGTTCCTACGAATGCGACCAATGATCCAGTGATGGTGAAAATTGTTCAAGAAGTGTCAACCTCCTCGTCCAATGGAGAACCCATCGTTCAGGTCTTGGCAGAAGCAGAAGGGGTTGAAATAGACGTCGCTAAAGTTACTTCTCCCGAGTCCGAGAAATGTTCACCTCCAGACCAACCATCCACCGCACTCCCGCCTCCCTTCCGAATACCATCCTGGGAAGAAGCCGAACAATCATATCTCAACCTCGCCATCGCAGACTTAAACAGCAAAACGCGATCTTACAATCTCATGGCTCCAGATCTAGCCAAGAAGCCTTATTTTTCATTAGAGCGCGAACTCAAATCATGTTATGCGGACGTTGCGCCGCAGCTCGCTGAAGCCATTAAAGAAAGAGCGACGAGACCGGCGCGCGAACTCGTTGAGAAGATTGGTCATCGTCCCGGTGGGATTATGGAGAAGTTTGGCTCGAGTAATGTTACGGTTTATGACTCTAAGAGGCCCTTGTATGGGTTTAGGGAATTTTGGAATGATCTTTTTGGGGAAAAGAGGGTTTGAGGTGTGTGGTGTGTGGTGTGTGAGTGTGAGGTTTGTGGTTTCCATTTTTATGGTTAACGGTTTGTTTATTGGTGATTACTTCTGAGTTGAGAGATACAAGGTTTGGAAGATGTCATGTGTGTCAATGGGAGGAAGGAAAGGGGAGGAAGGAAAGAAGAGGGGATGATTCTGAATAATCATGTGCATAGTATGGAATACTCGCGGGTTTCACACGGCCTTCCTTATTTGTAAGATTATCTTCACACAGGATCAGATATCCATATAAGGTACCTTGCAACACTATTATCATTATCCAGATAGAAAACAGAAATAAGATCTTACAATATCGCCTATACCACCTATTTTTTTCCTCTTCCTCTTCCTCTTCCTCTTCCTCTTCCTCTGCCTCTTTGAATATCACACTTACGATACCCATCCTCAAAGAGTTCCAAAAAGTTACATCATCCATTCACTCACCATTCTTTCTAACCAGGAATCTGATGATCTAGAGACGGTTTCCTGAAAGGGAGCCGTGATATCATATTCATTGTATTACAACCATCGAGGCATCTGGCAAGATGATCTAGAAACCCTGAATTTTAATGACAACATCATACATACAAGGCGTTTGATGGCTGAGGAAATGCCATCTATTGATCGATATCTAAAATATTCTTTCTCGAATCTCAATCGCCTATTCTTGAATTTTCCGAACTCCAAAAGAGTCCCTGAGGTTAATGATGAGTTCACCCAATTGGTTGCACACAATGTCGCTTTGCGGAACATAATATTTGTACATTTGTACATTTGTATACAAAACTCAACCAATGAAATACCCTCGATGAACTTTAGTAAACAGGTAAGAATACAAAGTTGCGGGCTGATCCGTCGTCGCCGATGAGAGGTAAAGTCAGGTAGTACTTTAATCTAAACATACGCAGTGCTGGTTATATATGCTTTCATATATGGGGTCTACATTGACCTTTTGATGGGCTGCATATCCTGGGACGGTTGGGGATTGGCAGGTTTGTTTGGTGGATTTTAGAGAGGTGAGGCGTTTTATGTGAGAGAGATGTTTGTGGGGAGAGGGATAGTTTTTGAGATGGATGGCAGGCTGGAAAGTTGGAGGAGGAATAGAATAGAAAAGAAATGTGATATGTGATATGTGATAGATACACATAGCCATATGTCAGAAATAAGGTTTGGAAGTATAGCTGACTTTGGATAGATACTAGGTGATCTCTCCATGCAAACTAGGATAATAGCTTTCGCTTCTTTCCTTTCCTTATTTTTCACTTCACTCTGAACAGAGAAAACAAAGTTGGGGCGTGAGGTCTTATAGGGTAGAAGGTCATCGGCCTGGGAACGCTTGGTTGTGTCACTTACATTCCACCAAAAGATTGTGAAACCAAACAAACCAAAACCAAACAAACCAAACCAAACCAAACCAAAACTTTCATTATTGTCAATCATTTTTTAGGGGAGAGCTTTTCATACACAACAACATCAACTTACCTATGTGAGCTTTAATTTTTTGATCAGAGTTATCAAGCTTCATATTGGGTCAATACTGTGCATTGCAGCAGCATTGCATATGCATAGATCTTCCTGTACCCAGCAGATATCCATGTGAGAAAGATCAATCACTCTTGGATGGTAACAAACGAGAATATTCCAGTTCAAAAAAGCAGTACGCAAATGATCATACACTCATTTTTTGGGTCAAAGCTGATATTTCATACTCGATTTATCTGATCATCCTGTCTTTCTAAATTTACAACTTTAGTACGGCCCTCCCTTGCTTTAACTTGCAACAAATACGGTGCTACCCTAGTCAATCCAAGAAAAAAGTCTATATAACAATCGCAAAAGCAAAAACAAAAACATAAAATCTGACAGGAAAAAGAAACCATCTTCCGAATATGGAAGATGGCAGTCAAGGATCTCGAAGAAGTCGCATATCTTCAACATCACGCATGCCACTCTACCATGATTCCGCGACCAGTTCTTCAAGTAACAATACAAGAATAAATATGGCAACGCCTACTGTCTCGTCGCAGAGTACGAATAGTTCAAGTGCACATTTGCCTTTGGGGTCCGGAAGAATGAGTGCGCAATCGGGTGGGGCGGCTTTCTTGCAAGAGAGGTTGAGGGAGAGGAAGGGAAGGGAGAGGAGATTGAGTGTGGACCTTGGTGGGAGTATTAATATGGCTAGGGAAATTCAAAGTTCGCCAGTCAATAGGGGTAGTGGTAGTGGGGTTATGCGGGAGAGGGAGGAGAGAAGGCCGAGCTCAAGTGGAGTGGGACAACCGGGGAAGAAGTCGATGGGTGTTAAGCAAATGGAAGAGGTACGTGTTTTTTGATCTTTGGTCAATTTATTTTTGGTGATATAAGGACTGACTATTTCATTTTCATCCAGACTGTCTCGACCTTACATAAACAGAATTTCGATCTAAAACTGGAGCTTTTCCATCGTCGACAGAGACAAGAAGCGTTAGAAGCGGAATTAGAACATGTGAGGAGCCAGATCCAGGATCAGGCAGAAATGCAAGAAGTCAATGAAGCATTACTCAAAGAGCTAGAGAAACGGGATCAGGCAGTCGAAGAAGCTGTTGGTGTCATATGTCAACTGGAAGCCCAAATTGGGAGACTACTACAGGAACGAGAAGATGTAAGGAGTTTCGAGACGCAATATGGAGATGACTTCTACAATCACAGCAACGAAACTGAAATGCCAAGTTCACCTCCAACCTTAGATAGAGACACTTCAAGAACTCTTAAAGGGAAGGATACTGCGCACGTTATTGCTAGAATGCCTTCATTTCTATCCGAGAAAAGTGAAGGCGTGGAAGCTTTGAGAAGTCTATATCTTCCTAACACCAACAATTACAGCGATGTTGTTCTTCCACAGTTGCCAGAGGAGGATAGCGAAAGTGGACTGGCTAGTCCTTCATTGAGTATTCTGAGTGAGAGTTCATTCTTGAGCATATATGGAGATAGGTCATCTGCTGTGAACGAGGATTTTGAGGCCTCTCCACCAAAACAACATCGACGAACGAGCTCTTCAGTGGAAAAGTGGATTGACGAACGTCCAGCTTCAACTATGCCTATGCGAATACCATCACCTTCACCTCATTCTGGTGGTAGAAGAAGTCAATTCCTGTCAATGAATTATGTTGCTGCTTCGCCATTGCAACGCCTCGAAAAGCTTAGGAGTAATCTGGAAAAGCAATATAACAACAGTACCAGTATGCGACTCAAAGCTCGATCCGAGAAACGAGATAGTATTCAGGATAGACAAAGGTCCAAGGAGGATAGTCTTCGACTCACGACTGATGGGAATGGGTACGAAACATCGCAAAAGTTACCACCTACCCCAGATACTATTAGCACTGGCACTTTGAGAAATTACAAGAACTCTGATGATACACTGAACCAAAGACGTCAAGCCAATGAAGATGAAGTTACATCCCTTCATAATACATCGACATTCTCGGTGCCCCCTGCGACCTACAATCCATACCAATCGACTACATCTATAAGACCACGCAGTGCTGGAGAGACGGTAACTAGCCGACGTGAAGGACATGGATGGGATACGGAGACATTGGAGACAGATGAATTAGATACTTTAACCAATTACAGTACCGACAGTGGGACCGAAGGTACCAAGATACATCCTCCCACTCGCCAACCTCGAGGCGGAAATCAAACACCAGAATTCTTCTCCTTCAATACTACATCTCGTGAGCGCGATACTATGAGAGCATGGGGTGGCGATGGAACTTATAATGATCATCCCGCAACACGTGTTCCGTCCGGCTCAAATTCTGGTTCTCGTGCTTCAAATTCTACGGCTCGACGTTACGAAATACTTCGAGCGGTATCTCAAGCTGAGACTCATCCGAGAAGTGATGGCATAATTACCTCTGGTTATTTAGATCGTAGACCACAATCTAGAGTTGACGATCGTCGGGAGAGACATTTTGTAGGTAGGGAGATAGAAAGATCATCCACACCTCTAGATGAAAAGACACCCAAACCTCCTGCACCGGATCGAAGATCTTCACTAGCAGCTGCTACATCGAAATTGAGGAAACATGTTCCAGCTTCTATCAATACGAGTCATGATTCTAATACTAAGATGCCACTAGCGCCTGTATCTGCGAGTATCCCAAACACTCCTTCTAGAGAAAATTCCAAGGAGAAAGAGGGAAGCAAGGAAAAGGACTTCAGGAGATTACTACCTACGCGATTGTTCTTTGGAAGATCGGAAACTGCACCTGCTAATAATTCGAACTCAACCTCGAGTTCTAGTTCCAATTCAAATATAGACCGCAGGACAAAATATCAAACTATGCCGATGAGAAATAGTAGGTATAGTAGTCGACGAACGGACTTGAGTAATTATCAGTTAGATGGTAGTGAAGAGAGCGGGAATATGGTTGACAAGACGACTTACTGCGAAGAGGATGATGTGGATGTTGAGAGGGAAAGAAGTGCAACACCACCACCTATTTCGAGGAATAGAACGCACTCGATGCAAATTCAACGAGAGCATGTGGTTAGACCGAGGAGTGCTTGTGCGGGTATGATTGTGAATGCGAGGGAAAGAAGGAGATTCGGAGGTGATGGTGCCCATGATGGTGATGAAGTATACGGAACGAGAGATTGTCTTTCTGGAGCTGGCGGTGAGAAAAAGGGTAATAAGGGTTCGGCTTCTGGTATGGGTTCGGGTATCGATAGAGAAAGACGTGAAAATGCACAAGCAGATACAGCTGAAGAGAATAGCAAGGAAAGGAACGCAGTTAAGGAAAAAGATAATAATGCTTCGGTAGCTACACTAGGCCATGGAAGAAAATGGTTCGGTCTCGCGCACGTGGGTGTAGGGGTTGGTAGATCCGGGAGTGTTTCTCGGCATTGATTTATTTTTGATTTGTTTTTGTCTCCTCGACTAGGAAGGAGCTTGAGGTTTGTTCTTTTCTTTTCTGTTGGCGGCTGGTTGCGAGGTTGAAAGATTGCGAACTTAATACCTAGGTACCTAGCATTTACTCTTCTGGCGTATGATTCATTATGATCATGACTATGCATCCAGATGGGTAAATGCAGGATTCATGGTAACCTTATACATGCGTCTGGATTTTTACCTTGGGAAGAGGAAAATAAAAGGATGTGGTGTGGATGGATATGGATATCGATGCTTTTTTGTATACATACCATACCATACCGTGCTCTTTCATGCCATAACGTAACAGACTCGTTCATACGATAAGGTTAACATAGGATGAATTCGAAGGGTTGGGAATCAATGCATGCATGCAATACATGCATGTATTGTTTAGTTTATTAGCATACCAGCGGGAATTATGAGATCTTTTTTAAAAAAAAATCCTTGGAGGGTATTGGAGGGGGTTTATGCTTGGGGTGTGGGTGTGATGTGTGTGGATTTGTGAGGTTTGTAAGGTAGTGTTAGTGATTTGATGATATGATATGATATGATGTGATGTGATATAGATAATCTACCTATTTATATTTATTTAGTATTTATCCTATATATAATTTTTCGAGTACGACAATCTATAAGAAATCTTATATCTAATTAGATACCTATCTAAATACTCTTAGATTCTTCTATCTCTATTTGGATCAATAATTTCTTTTTATTCTCCTGTTATCTTATCTCCTATCCCATCCTCTCGTCTCCTCTTCTCCCTCCACTCCCTTCTATTCTCCTACACTGACATCCCGCTCCATCCCATCCCATCCCATCTATACATACCCCTCCATCACTCTTACCCCAACCATCAACGCCCTCCTATACATAACCTACATGTCCCGCCCAACCTACATATTACACCCCACAACCAAAGCAATCAAATCAGAATCCTTAGGTAACTCCGGATAATCCATCGGAATAACCCCATAGCGTTTCTTAATCCCCCAATCAAATTTCGTTCGAAGAGTTGGATTCATTCCCTGGATAAAGGTGCCGATGAATTTACTGTGTGCGCCTACTGCTATCCACTGAGGGAGGGGTTTGGTGTTTGGTTAGCGGGGTTGGGAATTGGGAATTGGGAATTGGGAATTGGGAATTGGGAATTGGGAATTGGGAATTGGGAATTGGGAATTGGGAATTGGGAATTGGGAATTGGTGAGTGAAGATGAGGATGAAGATGAAGATGACGAGAAAGAAAGAAAGAAAGAAAGAGGAAGTGGTGGGTAGGAAATAGAAGAGCGGAAATAAACATACATGACTCTCAGCCACCTCACCCCTCTGCACCGGATCCCCCACCGCCGACATAAAATTAACAAACCATTCATCCTCAGCACCATGTCTAGCTTTCTCTAACATATGAACTACATGTTCATATTTACTCTCTACCAATCCCTTCAGCGGAATTCTATGCGAATATTGCCATTTGTCCTGTAGATGAATCGTCACACCACTTTCGGTTTCGAGTGTGAAATCAGGATTATTATCTAACCATCCACTGAGATCTAAACCCATTTTCTCCTCCGGAGCTAGATCCTCCTCACATTTATAGCGACGTAATAATACTGCTTTTCCGCGTGCATCACCAAGTGTTGAAGGTGCATTTGATGTAAGCCAGCGGGGTTCTCCGAAGGGATATGGAGGGGCAGATGTAATGTGTTTAGCGACCGCGGAGTAGAAAACTGAAGGGGGTTCTTTGCCTGAGGTGTCGTCGTTGTTGATGGATATTAGGACTGTTTCTTGACTGTGTTGTGAGAGGAAGTCAAATACTTCTTGCATGACGAAATCAAATTTGAGGTAGAAGGGCATGTTTATGGGGATGCCGCCGTGGTACATATAGAGCTGACCATCTTCTGTGTGAACGCGGACGCGAAGATCGAGAAAGCGGAGACCGGCGATTAGTTGGGATTTTATAGAGAGGTATTGGGTGCGTACGAAAGGGATGTTGGATTCTGCGCAGCCTGTTTGAGTAGTTGTTAGTGTGATTTTTAGGTATCGAATAGAGGGAAGATCTTACTATCGTGGGTTCCAGGGATGGTCATATTTGATAGTAGAGTATCATCAGGAATTTCCGCCATCCAAGAATCCAAAGAGTAATCCAACAAGGATCTTGAATACCACAATAATTTCCTGTCTTCGTCGTTGGAATTGAATATACAATTAATCCTCCCATTAAGCACAGCCAATTGTGGAGGATCAAAAGAAGCTTGATCGGCAATAGCTTCTTGAGGATGCCACATCCCATCTTTATACTCGCTCATATAAATAACATGCGAAGTATCCCCGGGACCATTTTCCTGAAAAGCCAAAAACGCACTGCCACCATAAGAAGTAGCAGAAACACCTTGTGCAGCCTTTCCCTCACTAACATCATCACAAGAATTCCATACATCTTCCGGCAACGAATACTTGAAGCCGAGAATTGTGTGATCCTCATCTAAGGAAGAACAAAGCACATGTAAATCTCCATTCAACACAAACAAAGCAGGTATTCCAGATACCTTACTAATCCCACTCACTTCCTGAGGATATTTCCAGATTGGTTTGTTCTCGGAATCTAATGTCCATGTTGAATAATACAAGTATGAATTCTGGATATATACCAGTATCAAATTATTATTATGGCTCATCAGCGCCGGTGTAGTGTTTGTCCACAGTCCTGGCCCCTTGTCAAGGATAGTAGGAACATCCCAATCTTTTTCCGCATCGTTATATTCATAATGACCAATTTCCCCGTCAGCTCTCACGATCACTGCATGAAGACGACCGAGAAGCTCAGCCATAACTGGAATTCCTTGGTCCGGAAAGCGGACTCGGGTTTGGAAGGTATCATTGTCACCAATGGCATAGTACAAGTCGCCTGATGGGTCACTCCAGAGACACCAAAGGGAGCCGCGATGAGTGGCCATGGCCGGGACGGCGGATGTGTGTCCATTAGGGGTATCTTGGACGAAACCGGATTGACCTCTCGATATCCAAGCCATATTTGATGATTCTTTAGGTGGATGTTGTTGTATGCGAATATATATTCAAAATTTGTCCAAATTGCTTTAAAATTCAATATCTGTAAAAATGTAAGGGAAAGACGGTTTGATGAGGAGGTGAAGATACAAACCAGCTATGTCAATGTATATACAATGCCTATCATGTAAAATTCGAAAATATCCAAAAATGAATATCGTAACCGTAAATCACACCACTTTGAAATCCTTTTACCAAAACGACGAAGCAAATATGATCTCTACGAGAGAGCTGACTGTGTACAAAAGTGGAATAACGAGGAGTGATGCCAAGCTTTTATATACTACCAAGCTTTAGACGGACGATGTTGAGGCGTCGTGTACTTTTCTTAGTGCCTGTCGGGCCGCACGGAGTACAACTGTTTCAACTGCGGGGAAGCTCCATTTTAACAAGGGTTATTAATGGTAAGATGAGAAGCTAAATGTTGGAATCCACTTGGGGAGCACGTGTATGTTGCCACGTGATTCATGTATTTACTTATTTCTTCTTAGACTTCAAGCTTATTTGAAGTGGTTAGTGTGGTTATTGATATAGTGTGGGAGTCTCTTGGAGATTGATTGGCAGTAAATGATATATGGGATGAACTTGGGCCTACCTATACTCTCCAAATCCCTTCTGCCTCGACGTTTAGAGCAACCAATCTCTCGCCTGAAAAAGGGACGAGGTGTATATGTATCTCCCGATGGTGAAGATAGTTGAGGTTCTGGTTATGCTGAAAGTTGCGGGAACATAAGCAAGGGAAAAGGTAGAAGTGAGCGCATCTATAAGCTATAGTTTAAAGACAGATGTCCAGCAAGGTGATTCAGCCCAAAAGGAGCAGCAAACTATCATTGTAATAACAGTCCATCGACAACACAGATACGAGGGTGAATAACTGAATTCCCTCTTAATCAGAGGCTGGCAAAACTATTGCTTCATATTCGAGTGATTCCAACAGGACTTGAAATATTGAGAAAATCGAACATTCACATCATTATGTAACCGTTTATCTGATCAAAAAAGTCTGATCCAAATCATACCAAAACCCAAGGGTATCTCCCTTGCCAAATTAATTAAACCACAATCCATGCTGGATCATATACCAAGCCCTGCCCAAAAGAAGAAAAAGTCCCGGGGTATCTTAATATTAAATGCCACCGCTTAAAAGTTGTCCTGTCCTGTATTGCAGCTCACTGTAACCAGGCCCAGCTTCCAGTAACTCTACCCTCTGCTTCCAGCGCCAATTTTTCGAAAATCGTTATGCTTAAATCCAAATCTTCGGCTTTGCATCCAACACATCTATCTACAACCGTTACATCGACTGTATTATTCCCTGCGCCCGAATCTTTCTGTCGAGTTATCCTGATCTTTCTTCCGCAGAGAGGATTGGAATTGGGGTTTGAACTGGTTGAAGCGGCATCAAAGATGATGTGGGATACGGCGCAAATGGATTCAGTAGACGAGGATGTAATCCCACATGCGCCGAGACCTGGTGCGTAATATGTGAGATCTCCTGTGAATATTCCACCATTTGAAGGAAGAGGGAGTGCTTTCGACCTTTATTTGCAGATTAGTACTTGATTTCGACCAATTGTACAGTGGAAGTAGCACAAATTGATTTGTTGCGCAAGTCGAATTCATACACTCGCAGAATTGAAGAATGATGAGCAATTGATCAATATTAAATTGTTAAATTCACATACGATGAGTGCTTCAGCCCAAGACCAAGTCCCAATCCAAGAATCAACGCGAGTAATAATGTGATTATTCCTCCTACAATCAACAAGAATACTTTGCGACTCCTTCCAAAGTATGTGCGATTTCCAGGCAACACACGGTTGAATCTCTCAGTGAATGTAGGCTTTCCAGAGGTTCCTGTCGCAACCGCATTACCGAATGAATCCGAAGATCCCTCTTTCGTGGTCGGAAGTATCGATTTCGGTTTTGAGAAGGGATTATGTTTGCTGAGGAAAGATTGTTTCGGTGTTGGAGTCTCCCACTCTGGTGTTTCGTGGATAGTGGTTGCCATTGTGGATTATCGGATTGATGTACTCTACGAAGAACAAAAGCGCATTATGATATTATGTTTGCCAAAAAAAAAAGTAATTTGAATGAGAGGCGGGATGTGCTGAGGCAATTGACTTAAAGATAAGAAGCGGGTAGAGAAAGATTGGAAGATAGACGCCCGCTAAATTTGGGGAAATACAGTAGCAAATTTCTTAGTTTCAGGGGTATCGGCTGGGCGGCCGCCCCCAATTTGAACTTCAATCTTAGGTAGCTTGGGGGTTTCGAAACAATGGTCCGTGCCCTTGGCTCCAGGCTTGAGTCTTGGGGATGAACTTGTCACCAATCAATACTCAAATATACCTTTAACACCTATTTTTGTGCCCCTGTACATCATAACTAAATCAACAGCGTCTATACCACCCAGAATGTCCATCGAGTGGTTGAAATCAAGCCACATGGTCTCCTACTGCATGACTGTAAAAGGAGTGGAGGTGGAGGTTGTGTTACCCCGCAGTATGGGCAGTATGCGGTGTCATCTTTTCAATGTTGTGTCTGCCTCGAGGTCTGACTTTATCTTTTTCAAAATCCAAAATTACTTCTCGTCTACAATCAAGATACAGCAGTTATGTCCGACAATTCATCAACACTTTATGCGAAGGCTGTGGTGGAAGCTCAAAAGATAGTTCATTATGTACTCGACAAGGCTCCAGGGGCATATGAAAGTGGGAGAGAGGCTGCCGTAACAGCTGCTGCTAAGATTCAACCTACACTCAACTCTGCTATAGAGAAAACACCAATCCTCATAGAACGGTCCAAAGAAGCGGCACAGCAGTTGTATCAAGATGCTCCCAAACATCTGGGCACTGCGAAGGTTGCAGCACAGAAGTATTATCACGATGCTCCCAGACACCTGGACACTGCGAAGCAAGCTGGCTCGAGAGCTCTTGAAAATCCTAGCCAGTCTGTAAGACAGTTGTTGGAGAATGTGGGGCCTGTCGTCCGTCAGCACCCATATATCAGCGGTTTTGTAGTATGGGTAGCACTAGCTGCGAAATTTGGACCCTTTTGGCCTGTTCGTGCTCTGTTGAAAATACTCGGATTTGGTAAAGGCGTTACACCAGGCAAGTAAACTTTGACCCATTTCGTTTCGGGTCAAGTATTGACAGATTGTAGGATCGACTGCAGCATCGTGGCAGTCCCGACAAGGAAACGTACAACGCAAGTCGTGGTTTTCTCTATTCCAATCGTATGGGAATAGATTGAATTAAACTAGGTTTGTCAATGTTGAGAGACAAATATATGTGAGACCGGAGCGGAGAGTCGATTACAAAATGAAATGAGAAGATATATCTGTGTTTTTCCTATCCTGCGTAGCCATTAATTTTCATCTGTTTGGGGACGCATGGATACGTCCCGTTTGTTTCTCCCAGTCTGCACTACTTTTTAGCGAACATATTTTTTATCACACCATTTGCTTTTCCCTTTCGCTTATAACTGCATAAGCGCATAAGCTCTCTTTCACCCAAGTGTTTGTTCTTCATGTACTTCAATTCTCCTATGTCACAAATCAAGTCACACTGAGAAAATGTTTCCCTGCCCATCCGCCTCGCTCAGCCAATGTTAAGAAGCCTCAAGACCATGGCTTTATATCCGGGTTCAATGTCGGCGTCAGCTCGTATGTCCTCCCAGCCAAGCAGCCAGCAGGGGAGGTTATACCCGTGGCCAAACTTCGTAGCTCGGAAGTTTCAGTTATCATTCAAGAAAGCACGCTAAATATACGGTCGATATTACTGCTGAGTGACTCAATGGAGTTGTTAGCTCCGTGCTGGGCTTGACTCAGTTAGAGCTTACTTACATGTCAAGAACAGTATACTGACTTCTCATCACCATTCGACAATGCTCCGCTTTAGAACAATGGCTTCTGGGATCCATAGTTAGCGGTGATTGCTATCTTATGATGTTTCATTACATATGCCTGCTACAAACATTCATTCAAATGCCTCGTTACTGAGGTCGAATGCTGTTTGATAACATAAATTCCCACTTGGCCGCCCATGTAGCTTCTACAAGTCGTCGTCCAGGCACAAAAGCACCTATGATTTGACTTACGTGTTGCATTTACATGCTGAATTTCAAGAATCCAAAGCTAAAAGTATTTTAATGAATATTGCCACTGCCAGAATACTGGCTTAGCAACTGCATGCAGTGGATGTCTTCTTTAAAAAAGATAATTCGGGCCCATAGATTATTTGTCCAGTCAGTATCTATTGGTAAGTAGGCTGGAACCCATATACGCGAGTTTGGCTAGTGGAGGAGGGGAGCCCGGCTGAAGGAAGTGGCAGAGGACTTGAGGAGATTGATTCAGTTGGATAAAAGCATGTTGAAGATCAAGCCTATGATACTTCGAATGCGCTGCCAAAGCTCCTTCATGGTTGAGCAAGCAGAAAGAAAATTAAGGTACGAATTGGCTATTCATCCTGAATCCGGTTTCACGGCTGCTACGTTGGGATTTGTGTGTGCAAGAACATTTATTGGAGTACTTTTAAAGGAATATTCAATGTGTACTGTTCAGCTAGGATGTTCCTGTAGAGAAGTATGGGAAAAATTTCTTATGAAATGAAAAAAGACGTTTTGGTGTTGATTTTTCTCTAATACAATTTGGGCTCCGTATTTTCTCAGATTCTTCGAAGTTGAGACAGAGATATAATATAATATTGCTATGAAGGGATTTTTCAAACTGATACAACTAAAGTTGCTGGATCAAAAAAGCGATTTACTCCTCATCGGCCTTCCACAAAGAATCCTTCTACTACCGTCACCATCTAGACTTTTCGCAGCTGTTTTGTGGAATTTTACACTGTCGAAGAGTCAAATTTCCAACTTCTCCAAGTCCATGGATCCTTGTCTGCCTGATATACCTGCAGGACTAGATACCGGAGTCAACGGTTCCAGATCTTCTACTTTAGTTAGTAAGTAGCAGGAAGCATACATATTAACACTAGGTATTCAACACATTAGCAAAATTCTCATCTATCCCGAACATCAAAATTACTAACCGATCAATACAAGCCCCTCCAATTCTTGCTCCCACTCTCTTACCCCTGAATCCCAATTTCTCAAATGTGGCAATATACCACGGTGTTAATGCTGCACTTCTTAATAGTACTCTACCACCCATCTTCAACGCCTTATTTAACTTCCTAATCTGCATTTCTGCAGCCTCGGCTCCGGGATCAAACCAATCCATACTATCCATCACAACAGCAATAGTAAGAGTACCCGGGGCCATCCTCCTCAGCACCTCCTCAATCTCATCCGTATGAATCCTCAACCCATCAAACGCCCCACGACGCGACAAGGTGCGATGAGCCCCCGCCCTCAAATAATCTGGATGACATCTCCGCGTATAAAACCCCTGAAGACAAACAAGATAATACGGATTCTCCTCCCCAATCACCGAACTCTCAATCACCGGATCCAGCGTCTGAACCATGTATTCCCACACCGCGCGCCCTTTACTCCTCTTCAGATCCGTTTCCGAATATTCCAAAGGCGACGCATTTCGCGCCGCGCTTTCAGACGCAATATAATCCGCTTCTAGCATGTGGAGTTGGTTTTTCGGTACCCCGAGTGCGTTCCAGAGGAATTTTTCTTGGGATACAATCAGGTAGGCAAATAGTCGACTCATGATTATAGGACGGATTTTCGATTTCCAGATCTCGCGCTGCTCGTTGAGAGTTTTGGACTGCAGTAAAGCTTCGATTTCATGGCTGAAACCGAGGGTTTGGGATAAGAGACGGATGATGCGGATAGCGTGGCGAGAACCACCCGTATCGTATAAACCGCGAGAATTGTCTGTGAAAACTTGCGTATGGTTTAGCCAGTATTGAAAAGCGCGTGAAGACATATGCGGCGAAAGATGCGTGAGGAGTAGGTCCCGAAAATGGATATGTTTTCCCAGACCGAAGAGTTTCCAGAAATCGGAATAGGGGAGCGCGGTATAGGCGGCGAGTTTTAGTTCGAGAAGGTGGTTTTGGTTGGGGTTTAGATCGATGGCGTGGATTCGGCGTGGGGATTTGAGTGCGTAGGATAGGATGTTGTCGCCTGCGCTTGTGATTGCCAGGATTACGTCGTTGTGGGTGATGTTTAGGAGTCGTTCGTCTACGCGAGTGTCTTCCCAGGTGAAGGCGTAGATGTATTCTTGTTTGAATTGGGTATGTTTTTTGAGTTGCTCGTCGTAGTGAATTCGCCAGTGATGATTTTGATAGAAGAAGGAAGGGAGTGGTAGATTTGCAGATAGATTTACAATGGCGGCTTCGAATGCTTTAGATCGTATTTCCGGTGGTGTTGATCTGTCGATATTGCGGGATAGTGCTTTGGTATGATTGATTGGAGATAAGTATGGAGATTCCGTTGCAGCAGCATCAAGTCGTTCGACTATTTCATGGGGATAATTTGCAGCCGCGAGTGAAGATGCGGGTTTCTTTTGACAGCCGAGCCACATGTAGTAAGGAATGGAACCTAAAAGGTAGTTTCTCGAGTCTGCGCTGAGGACAGTCCCGAATCGGTATTCGAGGTAATCTCTCCGACCAGCCTCTAAATTCACACGATCGACATCGAACCAAGCTCGCCAGAATAGCCTTCCTAGCCAATTCACATGGCGGTTTATCATGCCGCCCGTGTAGTTCCTACAGCTGAGATCCACAATGGATTGGACGTAGAAATCTACAACGCCGATTGTTCCCGTGGGAGCAAGTAATTTTGCCAAAGAATCGATTACAGAATAAAAGTCAGGCTATATATGTATAATTAGCAATCGAGGCATCCCGATATCAAGGGCAACATGGAAACTTACAATCATAGATAGACTGTAGGACAAAGTAATAAGATCCGCACCACCGATACCATGTGCATCCGAGAAATAATTTGAGGTAGGCGACTGCGAAAAGCCTACACTTGCAATATCTACATCCTCATGATCTTCGAGACGAAAGGTGCGAGCGTCCTGGCATACGACTTTGACATTTTTCCAGCCAAGACGCTGGAATCTCTTTCGTGCAACTTCGCAAAGACTGGGTGAGAAATCGACAAGATAAATACTGGAGAAGAAGTCTGGGACTGAAACATATTTAGACATGGCTTCGATGTTCCATCCGGTACCACCGCCTATCTATTTGATATTATTAGTCTATTGGGAAGTTTGAAGATTTAAAGATTCAATGGTGTCGGAACAGTGCAAAATATGTTCAGCATCTCAATCTAAGGAAAAAGACTTACATCCACCCAAATCCGTTTCGTCTCATGCCTATGTTCCCTGTTCTCCTTATTAACCAATTGTGCCGCCACCAGCGCCAGCATATCCTCTCTTCCCCTCAACAACCGCTTCCTAGTCGCATCATAGACACCCGCTTGTGCTTTGTAAAAACTTTCCAGAGCATCTTGCTGGCCATTCACAGTTCCATCTCCATTATGTGGTTTGAGAAACGAGGCGTAGAAGAATTTGAGGAAAGATTTAAACGCGCTTAAAGTTTCCTCTTCTTGCTCTGAGCTTTTGGAGGTAAAAGTAGTAGTTATTTTGACGAAGATAAAACCAATGAAGAGAAATAAAGTTGCTCCTAAGAGGAAGATTTGAATTCTTGGTTCCTGTAGCATGTTAAGGGTAAGAGAAGCCATGATACTCTCTCATTGCTTTGGCAAAGATAGTTGATACGTAGTTGATAGTATTCGATTCTGCCGGGGTTGAAAGATATTAACGATGACAGGAAGAAGGAAGAGGGGAGATGAGGAGGGGAGATGAGGAGGGGAGATGAGGAGGGGTAAAAGCATGTAAAGTATCTAGCACAATCAACTATCATGATCAGCGCCAGTACCCCTCATTGCTCAACGAAGCAACAACGTGCTTGATTAACCCAAGTGACTCAAGAAACCAATCAACCTATCGAGGTCACCACATGGGCGCTTGTTGAGTTGAAGCCCCTGCATAACAATATGTAGGGAGTTTCCACCACAGTAATTGAAATATCGTAGAGGCTCCACGTCTGATAGGCTGTGCCTTTTATTGGAGAGGCAAGAATCGTCATTTAGTGAAAAATTTGAAGAAATACCTCAGATACTCCCACTGTCTACTTAGAACAGTGATTGGAGAAATTCACAACAGAAAACCATGTGCATAAGAGCGATACATTCAACGGGTCGGTAAGGCCTAGGATATTTGGCTCCGCATTGACCAATCAAGAATCATAATATCCGCACGCCGAACTTGATTGGCTGTGCATCTTAAGCGATGGGAGATTGCCTAGATATTTAGTATTATTTTTCAAATCTTGCATAAATGAATAGATGATCGAGAGCTCATTTACTTGTGTCTGAACGCAGTTGATAATCGCTACTAGAATCCTCACATAAATTTCTCCGAAAGATTGGTCGCAGATAAGAATCGTTGGCCGTAGCCAGCTGCATTAATACGGATTCATTTTAGAACTAGAGATATAGCTATAGCTTCATTTCTAATTTTGGTCATACAACATACCATTCATAGAGGTATGCAATCTTTTGCCACCAAACTCCCGACATAGATATTCCCAACACTTTTCCGAAGAAAAACAGCGACGATCACAAGTACCAAAGTTTACTCTTCATCCTCAAAGCCCGCTTCAGAGTCTTCTTCCTCATCTGATACCACCTCAGAATCGTCATCACTACCCATCTCCTTTTCCTGCTCTCTCTCCAACTTTCTCTTTCTATCTTCTTCCCTTCTACCCTCTTCCAACATCTTTGCCTTCTCTTCTCTCTGCTTTCTTTGTCCAACAACGAATGCTCCCAGCGGAGTCTTCTCCCATTCGAATCCTTTCAGGAAACCATCAACTCCAGCTCGATCATTGGGTGCAAACTCAACCTTAGCCCTCTTTCCCTCAATCCATTTCGAGTTTGCCTCTAATTTTTGAATGAGGAGTACAAACATGGAATTCACTTTGCTATTCTTGTTTCCAGAGTTCTTGTTTGAAGCATCTTTAAGCCATCTCTTCAACATTACGACAACTGGCAATGTGAGTTCTGGAAGTGCAACGCTAGTAGACCAGAGGACAAAAAACTCGGCAAGCAATTCAGCCACCTGCTCTCCAACACCATCTTGATAAATTCGTGTACGAAGATATGACTTTTGAGCTTTGAAATTGGATGTAAAATCGAAGAACTTTTGTGTGCTCGGCTTCGGAGGCTTCTTCATTTCCGCGGAATTAAGAACCTCGAGTAAAACAGATGCTAAAGGAATGTATGTCCCAGTGGCTCGGGACAATCGAAGTAATGAACGGATCAAGTGGAATCGAAGTGGGAAATAAGTAGAAGTTGGAATGAGACGCATAGCTCCAAGTGTGACTTGAACAGTTGGATATATGAGCGGCCGAAGTTGGGATTCTTTTCCTGTTTCGGCCTCCTTCAAAGAATTACAGTGCTCAGCTAGAACAGTCGACCAGAAATCAAGAGAATGGACGTATTGCCAGTTGTAGACTTGCTTGTATGATTCCTTCTGGTTGTTTGTGATGCTGCTTCGCAAGTGGATTGCTAATTGTCGAATAAATGTAAAACCAGTGGTATATCCAACACCTTGATCGATTCCCCACAATTCAGCAGCGGAGTTCTTCATAAGATTTATTCCTTGGATCGTATGTATAGTGGTATTCCGGCTTCCTTTGAGCAACCCTTGGTAAACTGTTTTCATAACAGCTTCCCTTAGTCCAGCATCACCGATTATAGCCAAGCGTCGGATGACCAAGAAAGCAGTGATTCTGGTTGCCTCTGTGCTCGAGGCATCGGACCAGATGTCTACCACAGTCTTAACGACATTTTTGAGAACCTTTTTAAACGATAAAAGATATGGAAGAAGTGGTATGACTGAGGAAAGCGTGAGTTTGAGGGTAGAGGCATCGGAAAGAGAAGAGAGAAGATGTTGAACAGAGGTAATGTGTGATCTCAAGAGGGGCGATAGCGTCTTGAACTTTTTCGAATCCGTTGATACTCGCACTTTGCCAGCCGCAGTCTCCTTGACCGGAAGATGATGATTGAGAACCTCGGGAACTTCCTTCAAAGCAGTGAGCAAGAGCTCGTGGTAGACGTCAGAATTCGATATTGAATATTTGTATTCCTTTCCGTCGTCTTCATTGACATGCGCAGCTGCTCTGAATGCTAGAACAACTTGTCGCATGGCCCGTAGAGACTTTTGCTCGGTCATGGCCTTGTTCCACTTCTTCACCATTGCTTTTGTGACCTCTGAGGCATCTTCCTCTTCAGCTTCCTCCTCTTCCTCCTCTGCCACCTCCTCTTTTTTTGCGTTCTTCGACTTCTTTTGTTTCTTCTTTTGCGGTTGTTCGTCTTCATCGCCACTTAAATCGTCAACCTCAACAAAATCCGCATCGTCCTCGAAATCCAAAGTTTCTGGGTCGTTCTCCTTGAGATATTTGTAGAATTCCGGATCCTTCTCGGCGAGAGAATCCATGGCACTCTTACTCATACCAGTCAATCCTTCCTCATTGTCACCATCTTCGCTATCACTCATTACTGGAGCCTCCCCAATTGAATCATCAGATGATGATTCGTTTTCTTCCTCCTCCTCGGGCTTAGTTCTCTTCCTCTTTCCTAATTTCTCTGCTCCCTTCTTTGCTTTCGATTTTTTCTCAAGATTTTCTGGAACTTCAAAACCACCTTGAAAGAAATCATCAACGCTCATCTTTCCAAATGCATCCTCTTTCGCAGATGGTTTGGCTTTTGAACCTTCCTCTGCGCCTTCTTTTCCTCCCAAAAATTCGGCATCCTTAGCATTTCGTGCTGTTCGCTTTGCTTTCATTTGTTGTCTCTGCTTATACTTTGCTCCATCTTTGCGCTTTTCCAATGTATCCTTAAGATGATTCTTCTCGAATTTACGAGTGGACTTTTTGGTACTTTTCGCCATGGTGGAATTGGAGTTTTTGGTAATAAAGTTGCAAAATAATTTCTAAGATTTTTTTGAGAGGGAAATCTTTACAGCGATAAGCTAGCACCGATATAGCGTATCAAAGGCGGTGAAAATTTAATAGCTCTATTTACTTCAACAATCACTCTCAGTATGGAAACCTTCCATCTTCCATAGCAGCGAAGCAGTTATCAACACTATCTCGAATTCTTTTCTATATTCCTGAACAGAATGCGGAAAATGATATCATACATTGATTAAATTCATATAAGAACATTCTGTCCATAATTTAACTCAATGTTCCTTGGCTGCAGAATGTAACTTATCAAAAGGCACAATTGCGACGCCTAAGCTCCCCCACCAAACCTGCCATTGCGATAGACCCCCAGCTCGAAAGCATATCAATCATACTACATAAACAATATGTATCAAAACAGACAGCCAGCGTATGCGCCTACACCTCATAGTTATATACCAAATACCGCATTATCTGCAACCATAAATTTGGATGAGGTAAGACTTTGTCTTCCTACAAAAATGCCCCGGCTCATTCCAGACTCCAGGAAGTGAAACTCGCGGAGTCTAGAGCAGAGCGCGACCTTCAAGACTCGCTCGCGGAAGTATTTAGTATCATAATCACTTTAGACCAACTCGAAAGAGCTTATCTGAAGGATGCGATACCCGAATCCGACTATACTGAGACTTGCGATCGATTATTGAAGCAATACAAAGCTATATTAGCAGATGAAAGTGTAGCTAGAGAATTTGTGGATTTGGAAACCTTCAAGAATGAATGGGATGTGCGTATCTCCTGTAATTTTAATTGTAGCTCTTCAATAACTAACTATGATTCTTTACAGATAGATGTCCCTAGAGCCACGGAAAGGATCCGGATAGGTTTACCTAGCACCGTTACTGCACCGCCAATTAATTTGTCTACGTCCAACAACAACGGGACCAGCGGGACTTTAATTCTCGAAGCGACTCAAGATTTCATAACGTTTTTGGATGCGCTTAAGTTAGGATTGTTAGCAAAGGATCAACTACATCCGCTATTGTCAGATGTCATACAAAGTGTAAATAAGGTTACGGACAGGGACTTTGAGGGGAGGGGGAAGATTGTTCAGTGGCTTATTGCCTTGAATCAGATGAAGGCAACCGAGGAGGTTAGTGAGGACAAAGCCAGGGAGCTGGAGTTGGACATGAACTCGGCATATCAAGGATTTAAGGCGACCTTAGCTTAACTTGAAATGTCTATAAACATTAGGGTAATTGGCTTGGACGCTGATTGCCAATCGATATTTATTCTGCGCACATGAGTGATCTTGGACACGGGTTCTGGCTACCATTATTCTCAAGTTAATTCAATTTGCTCTTCGATTTTAGAAAATTGTGACATTGAGCTGTGCCAATTTCAAACTTACTCAATTGACCTCTGCTGCTTCTACTGATAATCTTGATATTTTGACGTTGTTAGATGAATTTCATTTGAGATATTATACCAGAAATGTCCAGAAACTAGGGTACACAAATTCATCCTCGAAGATGCGTCTAACTTGCTCAAGGACAAACTTTTCTACCTTACCCACATTCTTGAGTACTTGCTTGCCATTCTCTCTTTGTCCAATTTCACTCTCGACCTTGATCTCGTGCAAAAGAGCTCCCATTTTCATACCAGCAGAGCCACCTGCATCGTTCTCATCTGCGCCAATAGCAGCATATGCATCTTCGGGCGATAGAAAACAAAAATGAGCTCTCTTGCGGATGTATGCCAAAACAGCCACTCCGTCAAAAGACAACCCTGTGATATTTAATCTCACTGGAATGCCTACGAAGCTTGGCATAGGATAGTCGAGTAAGATGTCCACGGTGAGTGAGAGTCTGATGTTTCCGGAATATCGCACACGGAATACAGTTTGGAGATCTTCGGCCTTCGGCTCTCGAAATCTTCGAGGTGGTGAAGTTGGCTCTTCGCTTTCGCCGGTCTGTTCTTCTGGGATCGTTTTCTCAGAAGTGCTGTCTCGAGTTACGGGCCCGGTCGTTGAAGAAGAGGCAGCGAGAGTGGATATACTAGCCTTCTCGCGTACTGATTGCTGGCTTAGGTCCGCAATCTGTGGAGGGGTCATGGACCTTTCACTCACTGTGTGAGATAAAGATGTATGGGATTGATTACGAAGAGCCGATAGATGTAGAGATGGGCTAGGACGGTCCGGCCATCCTTGGGGCAAATGTGCACCGGCAACAGCGGCTAGTGGGGTCTGAGTACCGGAAAATCCACTAGCTAATTGAGAATGGAAATAACTCAGATTTGATGTTCCACCTGGAATACCAGGTGTACTAACACCCAGAAAAGGACTCCCGTTGTCACCAGGAGCTTGCATTGATCGTAAACCAGGATGTCGTGTATCAGTATATGAAGGAGGGTTCGATACATTTGATGAACCATTAGCTGTCCTCTCTACACGATCCATCTTCCTTCTCTCTCTCAAAGTCTTTGCGGCTTCATTCTCTTCGTCTGTTTGAGAACTATTAGAGCTCTCATCGTCTTCATCATCTCCCTCGCCATCATCTATATCTTCATAGAAATCGGGCAATGGATCACAAATGTCTTTTAGTTCAACTTCTGGAGCAATTGAACCAAAGTCGAAAGTGTGAACTTTGACACCCTTGATGAAGCGGGGCAAGGTCACGGTCTGGAACTTGGCATGTACAAAGTCTCGGATCTTTTCTGCGAGCGCAATTCCATCTGGTCCCGTAGTCAATGTCTCCCAATTGAGGTCAATAGACATTTGGGAATGGAAAAATTAATGCAATCAATCTATGTATGATGTGACTGAAAAAATCTGAATTAGCAGTCGGTGTTAGATGAGCACACTCTCCTGTTTGCTTAGAAAAGGACAAGAAGACGACGGAGTATTATTTGGAGTGGTATCAGTTGACATCGTTGTTCATGCCCTACAAATATTTTGTAGATGAGGTTGACAATCAGATTGATGGTAGAGACTTTGTTAAAGCAGCCGCATTTAAAATTTATAGCGGCAGTACACTATGAAGGATTTGCTTACTACTTTCTAGACTAACCTTTTTTGAAACTCCGTACCTCCGCGTCGTCTTTCGCCTTTTTAAATTTACCTACCTTAGGTAGGATGCTTCTTCCACTTCTGCATATGATTTTATCCTCTCGACTGCATACCAATATATACGAGCTTATGGGAACAGATTCAAAGACAACCCCAGTCGCAACTTGTCTCCCTTCAATTTTCAGTCTAGCTTCATCATTTATCTCGGGTTTCGGTCCAAACACTACATCAATTCATTGTCCAAAATTACACATCCTTCTCTTGGACTCGAAACCTGAAATCTGGACACACGGGCCACTTCGGGACGTCTGCTGCAACCGCTAACAAGCAGCTCCCAGCATCTCAGTTGTAATTATCATATGGATGACGTTGCCTAGAATGCAAGACAACAAACTAGGACATATCATTCCAGCAATAATGTCAGCCCAAAGACATTTGGTATTATGGTAGTAGCTTTATCCAAGACATGTAGAGTAAGTAATGCTGCCTTAATGTTTGTATGCAGTTATCTTCAGCTTCACCGTCATATCATTCATCTTGCGCGCCAGTGGCGTCTAATAAGCCCGCGGCTTTTTGTCTTGTAAAAGTCTTTTGGCGGCACAAGCGCATATACCCTGAGCCCTCGTTTACTAGGATACCCTTACCCTGCAGCCCATGAACTTCACTTTGGTAAGAATCTCATCACACCATGTTCGTTAAGTTTATTCCTCGTAAATACGCGCCTCTCTCCTGCTCCCGAGAGTGCCACGGATCCACAACTGCGCCGATGGCTGAGTTCTGGTCATCATGTCTCTATTGGGTATGGGTGGTTCAGCATTCATTCCTATTTCATAAGGTATAATATTCTAGGCGGTAGACGCGCGATGACATATCATTATCATTTTCTACGCCGGGAAAGCGAGGAAAAGTGATCAAGGACTCTCGATAATAAGAGGTTGCCTAGTACTTTCACATTGATATTGCTAATGTTTACTCAAGGTCAGCACTGAACTGGGAAATGTCCCTTGCAAAAGCATACTAGGATATTAGGCTCCCACTGGTGATTGCCTGATTTCTGACCCGCCTTATCACATGATTAAATATAGCTGCATGTAAAATGCAAGGATTCATATCCCTGGACGTAGAGTTTTCCACCGCGCTTGGGTTTTTCCCCCTTTCCTTATCTCAATCCGTAATCGCCCATGTCACATTGATTGCCCCTTGCTTGCGTGATATTAGCCGCAATTATAGCTGATAAGACTATCGGTCGAGGACGGCGGGTGTCGCGCTCTTTTTCATGGGCCCTGTAGTTACACAAAGAAAGCCGCACGGCAAATCATCCAACCTCACTCGAGTTATACACCCATGGTATACAGATCTCTTCTGCTAGATGTTGAATTGAGAGAATTTCAGAGGAAAAGGGGAACTGAGTGAACATCAGAATGTACGGTGATACACGAGGAGGTGGTTCAGGAATTAGTTGATTGGAACTGCATTGACCCTTGAATAATTGGCAATTTTTAAATGATTTCACTCTTCATATCACATATTTGATGAACTCGATAGAAAGAATTTAGAAAGAGAAAGACGATTGTAATTGAGAAAAAAGTGTCGACTAAAAATCTACCACAGCAGAACGAGAATCCCCCCCAGGAAATAACAAGACAAAATAACAACAAAATGAGATATCGTCCCATGAAACTCCCAAGTATGCTTGTATGATTACAGCAGCAGCGGTTCATGAATGACCAATCTTTGCACCTCAGGTTTCCGACCCTGTCCTAAATTCCCTTCTAGCCCTAAACCACCTCATCTGCACGGATGCCCACAAAAAATATCCTGCTCCACCCAACTAGTCCCGTCGGACGTCGGGTGAAGGATTCCAAGGGGCCGCCTTCGAAATGCGGTTTAGAGATGTGAGGCATAGTCTCTGCATCTATAGTCAGTATCATGACTAAGCAGGGATTCTGGAGACGCACTTACTTACGATGGACAGCCACTTGTACATGGTTCTCCGGCATTGTGAGATGGTGTCTTATTTATTGGCCCGGTGGGGCAGACTCCAGTCGCTTTGAAAGGAGCACACTCGACTACCTTGGTATCGTAGTGCTTGTTGCAGCTCTTGTAGACGATGTAGTGAGTGCACATTTTCGCGGTTATTGTTCGGATAAGTATCGGGAGCTGGTGATTGAGATGTTGAATTGACCTCCTGTGTCGCAAACGTGATTAGCAATGGGAATCAATGGCAATGATAGTTGCGAAAGTCTCTCCTCTAAAGGAAATCAATCTATTGCACAAGTAAACTTCGGACTTACTTGGACAATGGGAAATGTGAGCGAGGTAGTGTTTTTTGCTGAGGAAGTTTTGATATGAGGGAAGCTGGCAGGATAAATATATTGTAAATGGTAGACTAATTGTGTAGTGATGATTGAGAAGATGATGGTTGAGCTGTTGACCCTTTAAAATCATGAGCGACGGCAGCTTGCTTTATACACCGTTGTACCATTCCGAGTGAACGGTACTGCCTGTCATTCAATTTGCGAAATGTTGTTTGTTCTGCAATCCATCGCAGGATGTCAACACGAAGTCTGTCAGAGAGGGGGTAAAATGCCTGCCGACGAGCTGGTGTGCCTCCTTGTTGGTAGGTTTTTTCCGTAAGGGGTTTGAGTGTGTTGGAATTGGCAGATCGAGCTGTAGCCATAGAGGTATCATACCAGGCTTTCTGTGAATACCAACAAGAAAAATAGCCGTCATCCGCCGCGCAAACTGTTGGCTAGAGGATCGAGGAACACAGCACAGTGAGAGGAGTGGTAGGGCGGGCAGGTATCAATTCCATCACTGACATGGTATCGGTAGGGCGCCATAACTAAAAGCGCAAGCTCACATGGTCAATCCTAGATTGCAGGTACGGCGAAAGGAGGATCGATGCAGTTGGGGACAAGTCAAGCGTTCTGATTATTGAAAATTACGAAAAGTAGATGATCCACCCGAGGCAGCAAGGACCTGCAAGGTTGGCAGAAGTTGCAAGGGCCAAATAATGGGACCTGCAACCAAACGACTCTTAACCATCTACAGTAGCAAATGTAGATCTAGAGACTAGGGAGGTTACAGGCTAGAAGCTCGAGACTAAAGGCTAGAGGCTAGAGGCTAGAGCAAAGTGGAATCAAAGGAATGATTATTTCGAGCAAATACACAGTACACATTGCACAGAGTGATTACACACCCACGCTTGCTTTGAATTGGCTGATTTTAAATTATGGCTGAATGAGCTTGTTCGTGAAAATACAAACGCATTGGAATAAATTATGCTAGAACATCGTAGGATTATAATGTGGTGACCTCAGATAAAATAAAAATAAGTTGGGCATTTTACGAGATCGGAATCTGGAGTTTGATAGATCAATCCATATCAGTGCTCTGCTGTATTAGGCTTAGGTAGCGTCGTTTAACTTCCAAGCTTGTTTCTGATGTTCTTCCCCTTCATTTTTCGGCTGAGGTCCTCCGTTCTCTTTCGGACTCTCCATTAATTTTGTTCCTAGAGCTTTTTAATCTAACGCACCTTATTGACCTGACTCAATCTTTTTTCGAGTATGACCCAGATCAAATCAGACCAGACCAGACCAGACCAGAACCAGGCCAGGCCAAACTAGAGACCAGGTCAAATCCGAAATCACAAACTACCTAGCTATACAGACTAGATTTATTATCCTCTAAGAAAAGGCCAAAGCCACTGTAAGAGTGCCATTTCTTACGTGGGGTCGTGGGCGTGCAACATCAAATCGAATCAATTATCGAGAATCCCCAATGTTCACTGCTTTTCTTGTGCAACTATGATCCAATTAAACGGTTTAAATCCGATTCGAGACTGCGGCTCACAACATAATTACGAATGCTAAAGGGCAGCATTAGGCCTTTTATTACTTTTAGTACCTTATCACCTCACCATTAGGGTGCATCACCTGTAGATCTCTCAATTTTTAGACGCTTTGAACCCTTTGATGAATCATATTCTACTGGGGTGCCATGTGGACGTGTCGAGCGGACACAAGTTGAAAAGAGCTTTCTTCTACTTTCTTCTACCTTGGAGATGGTATCAACATCAACCCAACCCAACTTTCTCCAAAATAGAAATACATCAATCACACTCTCAAGCATTAAACTTTCAGGTTTTCATAATTTTGAGAACGGCACAGCAAAAGTTTCTTGCGATACACAAGTACGTAAGGCTTCTCGAAGCTTTTCCTCGCTTTTTGGTGACGTCGGAGATCGATGAAGGATCATCTTGCTGTAGGGCTGGATGGACAATTAAATCAGATGAATCCAACCAACTAAGCTAACTGACTAACAAACAAACACGAACGAACAAACAAACAAACAAATCAAGCCATCCAAACTCTAACATGTAGAAGAGTCAATTATGGGAGTGCCTCGGACCTTATTCTTCCCATGGTTCGTTATCAACCGTCAGTCTGTGTTTGCTGACGGACTTCAGAGACGGAAAGATACCCCAAAACGATTCAACCTCCAAAATCATTCCCAATTCAAACAATTTTTTATTTAATTTTTTTGAAACAAATAATTAACTGCTATCTCTTTTCCCTTTCTTACATCCCTTTTTCAATTCATCATCCCATTCAACAGCCGCAATTATGCATATTTTCTATTCCTCTTTGGCATGCATCTCTAGGGTCAGTCCAACGTTCACCAACATTAACTTGCCGCGATCATGGTTACAATTGGTCCCTCGAGGACTGATCACCAACATTCGCATCAGCTCGCAGTTCGTACTAATTCACTTAGTACAACTTTGCCCTACAGCTGAATCATTTTACATCCGCAGGTGGCCGGACTTTTACATGCGTGATTGATTGAATTCTACCATTATTGGCAGAAACGCCGCTATGCCATGCACTTTCGCGGCAACGTCTCGACTTTCTCCTTTTCCACATCTCAACGAAAAATTATCCATGAATATGATCACAAAACGACAATTTTGTCGGTCGAAGGAAGACCTTGCGACTAAATTGGGCAGTCTTCTGGACGGATCGGTTTGCGATACACCAGGTACAGATCGCCGGTAAGACTCGAGTCTTCTGCAACCAAAAGATGCCAAATTACTGGTGATGACGGGATGGGTTTTTCATTGCTTGTCTTTTTTTTTAATCATCAACATTTCGATTGCTTTCACCGCATTAATAAAGAAGGATCTCGGCTTCCTTAAAGATGATATATTGTGTAACGAATGTATGTAGGTACGGGCCATCGAAATACGGACCAAGGTTCGGTCAATGCAAGCAAACGTATCTACAGGAATAGGAACATCTTTCCAGTGATGTGAAGCAAGTCATATTTCAGTCTTCAAATCGGTATCGGCCCGCATCTCGGCCGTTCCGACCTGCACCAAGGCATTTCATGACTCCACAATGGAACGGCTTCAAACTTAATATGCTTGGTTCATCACAGAGCAGCTTAGCCTCCCCCCACGACACTCTGTCAAGTCACAAGGGGTTACAAGGACTTTAGTTCTGCAGGGTACCGACGTCATGTTATTTTGACGACGGATACTCACAGCCGTGTCCGCTGTCAGATACGAAAGATGATTTACTAATTCTTCGAAAGGGGGTCGTACATGTCCTTGATCGGGCTTTTCAAAGTCCGATTTGGACTTCCCCTTGCCTTGCTACCTACAGAATGCAGTCCAATATATGGCTGAAATTACATTACGATGGTGATCTGATTAATCGACATCCATCCTCGATAAGCAATGTGATAGCCACGGGGTAACCTCAAGATTCTAGGAGCTTATGTGTGACGTCTGTTGTTTGGCGGCACAGCGAATTGGAGGCGACTAATAGACGCCGGTGGCATGATAATTGGCATATCATGCAAGGGATAACAAGGATAACAAGGAAGAAATTGAAACGAGGAACTGCCTGACCGATATCCTTGTATTTTCCTTGTAAGCACGAACGCGTCAAGTGATGGTAGTACAAGAAAGTGAGCAAGGTTTTGCTTTCAATATGGAGCTACTTCTCAGAGGGGCAAGAGCCGGGGGAGTGTTTTCTCTATATTGCAATTTGCTTGCTTATTGACCGACTACTTTAGACGGAGGCGGTCAATACAGTCAGGATGGAATCGACTAGCAGAGAACCAAACACAAAAAATGCCAGTGATATTGATCAATTCATTCAGATATTAGACACTCGAGCTTTGACTGGGTTCCCTTGTCTAACGAACCCTAGGCTAAAAAAACTTTTTCGATCTTATATCTCCGAACTCCGAAAATCAACCACAGGAGAGTAGACAGCGAGCGCACTCATCACTTCTACTGCTACTACAGCTCATGTCACTCACTTACTCTGTGAAACGGATTGTCACGAGTAAGTGCAGCCAAAAGGGTGTACAGCCTTCTTTCTGACATGGTTCGATTACATTACCAAGGGCACGCACATGAGGCTTGAACCGTTGAAATCTTTGAATTATTATTACCTTCTCATCACATCCTCCTCTCAATGGCTCCATATTAGCCTTGATCCATCCTAAAATTAGTAAAAACTCAGATTCGGGATCTGGATTCTGTAGAAAAGGAGATGGGGGTGATTTTCATTTCATCCAATAAATCTGTCAGGATTTCACCAATGATCCCACCAATGATCATCCCTTCAAAATGAGATACTCATAGCTACATGTCGCGTAACACGAGTACATACATCCGAAATCAATGGCTAATTCTCGTTCACAATATGCCCTGCAATTTCGTGGATGGATAGACTTAAAGAAAGTTCATTATGGATCTTCGTCATCTAGAACATTCATAAATCTCAATCACATTTTCAGCGTGGTGCATGGTAGAACGGATCATACCCATAATCCATGAGTCAAAAGAAACGCAGATCTTGGCTGTCAGGCTTCATTCTGCTTTCCCGGGTATCGTTCTGCAGAAAATTCTGCGATACTGCGTTCGAAACGACATTTGTACTAAAGCATATGTGTGTGCTTTCCTACTGTATAGCAGGACATCCGTACAATCAGCCTCTCAGCCGTTTCCTCATTAGTAAAAGGTAATCCGCCCTTGCAGAGAGCCAACATTACAGCATATCGAATCAGCACACCATCTCAACTCTCGCGGCCCAAACTGAGGCCCGTCTGCCTTCAGCTTAAAATCACGTGATGAAAATTATTCCAAATCCATGGTTCAATGGCATTTCTACTAGTTCATACATGATGCACCCATGTACCGACATCTCGTACTTGGTGCTGAGCCCACAATGTAGAATAGAAGTGCCTTGTTGGTTTTGTGGTTGTTGGTGCGAGTGTCGCCAGAAAAGGAGACAAGATCTTCGCATTGTGGACTGGATTAAGTTCGGATACAACTCGAATTGAGGCTTTGGTTCAGGAGATCTTCTGCTTGAGTCCCTGCTCGATTTCCAGTTACGAAAATTATGAATTGATATTCCTCATTTGGCTGACTCGTTTAGTTCTTGTTAGAGTTCCTGTTGGCAATTCGGGAGTCATAGCTTTCTTTGGTCAAACAATTGAGTTTTTTTATTTTAAACGAAAGATAGGAGAAAGACTCGGTTCTTCCATTACAGTACTTTAGCGTAAACTAGCTAGATGAGCGTTTTACAAACGGCGTATTTCATTGGCACTTTCGCGCCGTGTCGTCAACCACTAATGGCTTGACTCTCGGTCTTCAAGTCGGATTCAGGTTTATGGCAAGTCTTTTTTACCACTCTTTAATTCTACTGTACTGTTGGTTCATTCACGATAATCTCATGGAACTGGTTAGCCCGCTAGAGATTAGGTAAATAAATCAATGGCTTGAGGTCCTAAGAGGAAAACACAGGTGCACGCTTTTCTCACCTGCAAATTTTGGACTTTGGTTATTAGTTCTCTCATCGACTAAACAAATCGAGAGAATATGACTTGAAATTTCTTCGGATGGACTTCTTTCCCGTTAGTTCTCGGAATTAATAGCTGGTTTTGATTTTCTTGCATGTTGAAAGCGATAAATTTGCAAGTATCTCAGCGTCAACTAGTCGTGGCACTACTTTGTGTAAAAGTCTTCAGTCACAAACCCAACCAGAAAGTTTAGAGAATCTATTTGTTTTCGTAGTTTCTGGACATCAATTTCTTCATAGGAGTTAGCTTGGTTGTGATCATGTCTATATTCTTGATATATCTGCATGAATAACGCCATTTCCATTTGCTTCAGGAAGGATAGTCTAATTTGCAATTACACTCTTGAATATATAGTATATGTTTACCACTTTATTCATCAACCATTCAATCTTTCAATCCTGCATGATTAGGCTTTGAAATCATCCATAGAGTCGCTCCAACGGCGCCAAAAGGCTCAGCAGCTACCTGATGGTAATTACAATAAAATAAAGGTGTCATTCTTTCCCAGAATATTTTATCTTTTCCATTTCGCACTGAAATTTCTTCATTCCTCTAAAATGTTCATCCCATCTCGTCAGCACCAAGTTATCCTATCCACTTCCTCAGACCTCTTATGCGACCACATCTCACTCTTGTACAGCATCCTATACTATCACACATTCCAAACAACTTCCCCACAGCCCATCTCTCCAATCAATTCAACAATTTTCCAGGCACGGCAAAGTAAATTAAATAGTATAGCTACCTAGCCAAGCATCTCCGAGCTTCTCGTATTCAATTAATTTAACCTCTTTAAATCACATTACGAAATCCGCACCTAGAAAATAACCCCCCAAGTCCCAAAATATGCAGGTGCTTCATTTCATGGATGCTTTCAAATCACGACAGAAATTATAGCGTTCGCTAGGAGCGGATGGGAAAAGTTTGTTTGGGTCGCAGAAGAGGCGGGTGAATCTTGTCAATCTTCGCTTTCTTTCCTTTTCTGTATTGGCATAGGAAAGTCAGATGGTTATTTTGTGGCTTAATTGTCTAATTACCCTACCCGATGGTTTTACGCCGCGTAAGTAGTTTGATCAGATGCGCGGTTTGATGGGGGCGAGGAATTGGAATTGGTGAGTAGGTTCGAAGTGGGAAGTGGGAGATGAGCATGAGGATGAGGATGTCTATGCGAATGGGAGTTTGGGTGATGCTGAGCATGAATTGAGGAAGGTGTCTAGGAGGTGTATATATAAGCAGTAGTGTAAATATTGGTAAGATTACTAGTTTTCGTGTGAGTGCATCATGGGTTGTGAGCTCGAAGCTGTGTCTTTAAAAATTGGAACAGCTTCATTTGGGAGTTGGAAGGCGGGGTTTCGTGACTGCAATGAGGAACTAGTGGGGTGGCTTGGGTAGACGGTATCTATAGTTCTGGATTTGATCAGTCTTATGGTTTATAGATTGTAGTTACAATGGTAAGATTATTTTAATTCACAGATGTGATTGTAAGCGTGAGTGTGAGTGTGCAGACGGATTTGAAGGATTAGGATATACAATATGAGATATGAGATATATTGACTATGAATATGATCGTCGACTTAGGCGTTTGAATATATACCGTTGGAGGTAGGTAGGTACTGAAAATTGGCAACTAAGCTATGCTTTGGGATAAAATTTATAAGATTATATAAGTGGAATATTAGATATTGGGAAATTTTCTTCGTTCTGGTGGTATGGGGTATTGATTGGGAATAGATAATTTTATTACTTTTTGTATAATGTAATTATAGATTATCTTATTTTATTAGATTTATATAGAATGAAATATAAGATTATTTTTTTTAATATTTGATTTATTATTATTATCGTTGAGAAGATTTTTATATTTTTTTATATTTTATATTTTGTAAATATTTATTGATTAAATTTATATTAATATATTATTTGATAGATCTTATATTTATAATTTTAAGATTTTATATCATTTATTTGAAATCGAATGAATTTCAAAGTTTTTTTTTAAATAAAGTTCTTTAACTCATTTATATAGAGTATTATATGATCTTTTGAAGCTTTAAGAGGCTGATGTTTATTTTTTTTTTCTTTTTTTTTCTTTGTTATTTCGAGGTTGATATAATGGCGATATTATGGCCTGTTGACTCACGGATTGTCACGGAGGAGAAGTGGGATGGGCCGGTTAGATACGAATGTGACGAGATGGTGAGATGAGGGAGAGGTAATAAGGTAGGTAACTTGATTGAGTTGATGAGTATTGTATTGTAATTTTCGAGAGGATGAATCTCACATTATGGCGTAGTATACTCCAATAACATTTTTCTAAGGATAGATGTAATGACCATCCGGTTCTTCTTGCGGAATCGCTATGAGTGAGTCGTGGGTAGGTAGCTAGCGTGATGTACGTAAGGTGTGTAAAGTGCGTAAGTCACGTAAGGTAGGTTAATTAGGTGCGACGTAGATTATAGTTGGGATGGCATATATAGTGAATGGAGTAGATGAACGATACCGCGATACTAATGAGATGATCTAGCAACCTTAAACGAAAGGGATATATATATCTTACAATGATAAGCGGAATGAAAGGTGTAGGTCAATGGTGACAAGAACTTCAACACTTTATACAAGAGAAAATAGATACAATTGAGAAGTGATTGTTATCTTATATTGATAATTTTTATTATTCTTTCTTTTATCTTTTTGTAATAACCATCTTTAATATTAATAAGATTAATAAACAGATTAAGTATAAATAATACTATATGCCCGAACTGTAAAATCTATTTTAATATAAAATTAAAATCTCTATATTATATATCCTTATTCTCATCCTCATCCTTATTCACATTCTCAACCTCAACCTCAACCTCAACCTCAACCTCATCCCTTTCTTGATATTTTATCACTCCCAAAACTCCACATATACCCCTCTCTTCTCCCCTCTCCTATATGCTCCATTCAAACAAACCCACCAAATCCATAGAATCCATCACATCCACACTTCACTAACTCCTCCCTTCCCCTTCCCATTCCCTTCCCCTCACACACCAAAATTCCCATCCACTATGTAACACAAAACCACAACGCTCCACTAGGTACCGATACATGTATCCACCACATTTGCATTTGCATTTGCATTTGTTTACATTAGTTTATGTTGTTTACCGATATACTGCATTTACATATGCATATGCATGTATATATATACAGGGGTATATGGGTATTTTGATATACATGCATATGTATATATCCGCAAAGTGGAGTCACCCGTCACGGCCCGACGCCATGTGCGGGATGGGTGTGGGTGTGAATTAGTTAGGAGTGATGGATCTATGGACTGATTAGTTGATGAGCTCATGAGTCGATGAATTGATAGGTTAAGGTGCATTTGTAATTTTTAATCTGTAGCCTTATTTTTGTTATTTGACCTGATGGTTCGTGTGAAGGATGGCGCATTTTGAATTCTGCGAGGGATGTCATTAAAGTAGATGGAGTTGTGAATGTACAGAATATAATGGGCTACTTGAAAGAGGGTGGAAATAAAAATTATAAAAGAGAAATAATCTTATAAAGATATACATTTAAATGAGAAATAAGTAAAGAGGAAAATATATTGTGATACCGTGTTATCTAAGATAGATGAATCGAAAACAAATATTAACTTGATATTGCTAATGGTAATAAATGTATTAATATTATACTAGTACACCAGCAACTCCAAGCTAGATCTTTTCAGAGCCAAGCACCATGCAAACGCCATGCCATCATGTTTTTTCCATCCTTATCCCACCATAATTTCCCATAACCATACACACCTTATGAGTACTAGAGTCTCGATCCAGCTTGCCATCTCGTTTCATCTCTAAAATGCTCATCATTATCCCAACTCATTTCATCCCTAAAATGCATCGTTGAATCTTCTGCCCTTGATGATGGAACATCTTTATACTGTCCATCAGCCATCAATTCCTGATTCCTCAACATAATTGCTCGATCTTTCTTCTTTCCCAATCCCATCCTCTGTCTCCTCGATCCAGTTCCATATCCTTTACGACGACCCATCACACTTCCCATTCCAATAGTGCGATGCTTACGATTGCAATAGTATGTTCCACCAATGATTAGAACAATGAATGTGAGAACTGTTGGAAGGGCTATGTACAATGAAGCACCATGCGGAGCTTTGCTCGGCGATTGACGATATGGTTCAGGTGCGGGAGAAGGAGTTACCATTAGTGTTGGACCTTGTATGGAAGAGATTGTGCTTTTTTGAGTGGATGTGATGAATAAAGTCACATTATTGGAGTTCATGCCCTTTAACCAGTTCTTATCTATCGTCCAGGCAATAAAACCAAGGCTGTTGCTTGTTGGGATTGATTGAAAAGCTTGTACGCCTCCGCCTGATGCATTCACATAATTTGCTTGTATGAAAACCGAGTTATTCGAGCCAGTGAAAAATTCAGTGTCCCAAGTAACTAGTTAATGTTAATAAACACTCAATACAATATGAAAACCACTTACCATAATACGTTTCATCGACATATAAACTAGATCCGTTATCCGGCTTGCAAAACGGTGCAAACTTTCCCTTCAGATTGTGGCAGATCTCAAAAGCTCCACCTCCTGTCGATGTAGGTAATACTTCGCCAGATGTGGATGGCCTCGATGTAGTTCCAGAAGTAGAGGAAGTATCAGAAGCAGTTAATGTTGTAGGCGCAGCATCAATCGTTGTCGTTTTACCGTCAATTGTTGTGAGGATTGGAGTGACGGTTGAGGCATGTCCACTAGCATCGACAGTAACCCATGGAACTAAATTTACGTCTATGATTGAGGTTGAAATTTCTAATGCCGAAGATATCTTGTTCGTGGCCGTGGTGTCGATTGTGGTAGGAGAAGAGGTTCCAGTCGAGGGATGCTCGCTGGAATCGATTGTGTCAGATTCTGTGGAAGAATAGGTTATTATGAAAAACCCTTAAAATTTGAGATGGGTATTTGATGATTACCTGCTTTTCGAGCTGGAGAAGCTTCTGTAATTGCATATAGAAGCGCCGTTGTTATTGCAAGAAATGACCGCCGCATTTTGCTCTTCTCCCGCCTATCCTTCAATTGCAGGTGCACCTTATGGAGGATTTCGATGTTCGATGGTGCTCGATTGAATGATGCAAATTTGAGCTTTCAAAACTGCATATAGTGAATATAGTCCAGGAATCAATGAATGAGGGATTTCTTATGGAGGGTTTTACAATTAATCAATTGTGATGAAAATACCTAGTACTACCGTTACCAGATGGAAATGAGAGGAGAAGCTTGCTGAGGGAGGAACCCGAAGCACGGACGTTCCTGTTCCTGACTAATAATTGACAGGGGACCATTTTTGTTAAGATCTCGGTATCTCATTGGGTATTAATCATTTGAGATAAATTTTATATTTTATACTTCTCGGCTGTAACCGAAATTCTGGGGAAAAGTGTGGATAAGGTTAGCGTGGATAGTGTCAATGACATCGAAACGATCTTCGTCGTCGTTGCTTCTCCATTACAACTACTTTAATCTTTATCATTGATATCTCCAACTCCGGTTCCCCTTTCACTCATTTTGTGTCTCGGCCCATGAGAACTTTTGGGGCATAACTCAAGCAAACTAAGATCCTTACCATGTTGTCATATGGTTGTCTTGGCTTCACCTCTTGACTCGAAGCTTTTCACAATTGTAAGGAATCTACTTTGATATAATTACATCAACTCTGAATTATTGGTACAGCAGTACTATGCAAGTAGGCATATTTTTGGTAAAATGTTCCCTCATATTAATTAAAATCGAACTAATTCACAAGGCATTTCATAAACTTCTCAAGTATTGCATCTCTTCTGTAAAATTGGGAAACCTCCATTATATTTTTTTCTTGCTTGTAAATTCTGTACCAAACCCCCTCCGTCATAAGAAAAAATGCACCTTTCTCTCCATGTATGCCTAAAACAGGGTTTCTCACGTCCAAGTAAAATCGTATCTAATGGTATTGATCTTTTTCCCAATATCTCGAAACTTTCGATCCCCTCGGATCCTTTGATCATACCTTCCCTTTTGTGATTTTTCAAAAGACCTTCTCCTAGTAGTACTTTAATGAGAACCAAAAGAATCCTACATATGATATTTCCACACCGGCCGTTCAGATTTCACCATAATAGCCATGTGCTTAAGATTAATAAGTACGCCTCCATTAACCAAGCCAACAACGCATCAAGGCATCACCAAGTAAACACGTCATATTCATCAGTAATGAGTGATCCTAGTACGTATTCACAGTATTAAAATCGAATTGAGGCACTATCCCAGAAGACGATATTAGAAAGGCAGCTTTTGGATATTTTGGGTTGTGGAGGGTGTCAGCCGAGGGCAAGAATCGCAGGGTAAGTTTTTGGTATAATTAAAGCGCTCAACAGTACATATTTTATTTCCCTTCAGCATTCCTTTCCAATAAATGTAGGAAGGAAATCAATCTGGTATAAATGAGGAAGTTACCTCGCTGTGATTAGAGAAGTAAAATTTTGCCGCAACAACACCGTTTAATAGAACTTCGAGAGGAATTGGGGTTTTTGGGGTATGGCGAAGCTTCCTTCCTATAATAAGAACTTTCACTAATACTCGAGTAGATATCCTAGGATCGACGTATCGACATTATACAATTAAGAACGAGTCAAAACTATCAAGTAAGCATAGTTTCTCTTGTTGGTATATATATAATCTAGATAGGATGACGATAGATGTTTTTTGTCATTTCTAAAATGATTTTATAAGTAAATAAAAATTCGGTTAATTCAGGGCCGAGCATACAAGGACTGCAAAGAACTTAGAATTCACAACACTAGATAGGATTTTGACGGGAAATTATTTATGTACAAGAGTGCTTCATAATTTTTTCCGAGAAATATTGTTATGATCATCTTTATGCACATAACCAGTGAATGTATTTTTGAACGATTCATGGTCTTGGTCAAGAAAAGTTAGTAGTAAGGTGCACATATGGGGTGAAAAATTTAAACGAGACGGAGATGAATTCACTTCTTGACGCGAAGATTCTGTGACTTATTCTGTTGTTTCAGTTAAATCGTATCTCTAATCAAGTAGATGCTATTTGACTGACATCGGACTTTTACCAATTTTTTTACGACTTTTTATATATTTGTTACGACCCTATCATTCGATGACTGTTATCGTGGAAGGTTTCCAGCGGATGATCATTTCGATAATAATGCATAACTACTTGGATCGGAGTCTCTAAAGGGCGACTGGGATGGACCTTTGCAACGTCAACTTTGACTTGATAGTTTTCTCAAAAACATTTTGCATTCATAATTTTGAGCTTCTTTCTATCACTATTTCCTCAGTGCTCAGCAAAATCTATCCAATAGTCCAAACTCCACTTTAGTTAAAAGCTTTCAAAATTAAACTCTTTAGATGAATCACAACACATTGCTGTTTCACTGCACAAAACAGGAATATACCAACCAGCACCCACAGAAATAATCCAAATCACATCATCTCCATCATCCGATAAACACTAAGTATAGAATAAACAATAGCTGTTTTGCTTACCCAAAAATCCAGCGACCGGACTTGCCAAGCGAAAGCCTACGGCGGAATACTGCAGTGCAGTATCTGTAGTAAAGTAAGACTTGAGGAATGAGTTGCGCTGAGATCCCGACATTCTAGTACGCTAGTAGCAGGGCTTAGAATACCCATAAAAAATCCACTTTGTTGAGCTGTCTATGCATATATCTGCAAGAGTAGAGTATAAAGACATTATCATGCTTATTCACTCACGACTCAAAGACTAGAAAGTTTGTGAGGGATCGAGTATCTAGTGTATTGTAAACATATGAAGCTCTGCAGAGATTCTCTGGATGGCAGCTGGCTCTTGATTTGTATTGTTATTTTTTGAGATTTGCGTATACTACAAATATTTAACTAATTTGGGATATCGATCATCCTAAAAGATTAGTCTAAAGATTTATTACTTTTCGTACTAACCGCGTTCAAAACGCGGTATATCAAGCTGAGGAACGCACGAATCTAGGGTCGGCGCCGTGTAGGACTTGGGACAGAGTAAGACTGCGTCTCATTCGTTGACACGCGTATGTTCTGCAAACTTGCCATAGTCAGCTATCATGTTACTACGAATCAGTCTGGACTTATGCTTAAAACGGGGTCTCAGATTCCTCCAACCGAGATAGGAATGCACTCAATGCTGCAATGCATTAGTTGAGGCCAAGGAACAAATGCTCTGTATTATCCCCAGCTGTTGTGATGAGTGGCCATCACATCATCGCAAGTCCTCACCTATATATGTCTGCTTCACAGCTTTGGAGCACATCGCTCAGGATATCCTTACCACACAACTTCAACTTTTTGAATCTATTAAACTCCCAAGCTCGACACTGGCAGAATAACATTATCTACCTCCAATTGACCCAGCGCTTCATAATGGCCTTCAGCACATCCTCAAAAAACAGCACATATGCTGTCGACACCGTCAAAAAGTTCTCAGCATGCTGATGGCAAAACCTGCATGCATTCATCCCCATTCTCTATATGTCTATCTCCTTAAGGAGTAGTCTAATAATCCATACAGTTCTTATCACCGGTCCGAGCGAGTAAGCCTTGGTGCAGAAATAGCTCTTTCCATAGCTTCATCATCTAAACCTTCAATGAGTATCATCGCCGCTCGCGGCAAGGCGAGAATCATGTCCGTTATATTCCTCATCCGTAAAATGAATCCCGAAATCGATGTCGTCTGGATCCCGTTAAATTTGCTCGATAATGGGTCTGTCCGCGCTGCGGCAGATGCTATCAAGCAGCTGAAGACAGATAAAATACATTTCGTTATCAATAATGCGGGAGCAATAGCAGTGCGAGGTTACACAACCTCGAAGCAGGGTATCGAGAGCCAATTCGCCACGAACTATCTAGGCCACTTCTTACTAACCAATCTGTTGATGGATCGCATTCTTGCAACAAGAGAAGAGGGGGCAATAATCATTAATGTGGGAAGCTTGGGGTATGAATTAGGTGAGGCGAACCTTGATGATATTAACTTTGAGGTATGTATGTGGACATGTATCTTCCATCTCGATAACCCTCAGCTAAAAGATCTCTGTCATAGGAAGGGAAACCGTACAATCCTTGGAAGGGATTTAGACAATCCAAGACCGCGATGCTACTCTGGAACACTGCTCTGGGCCAAAGAATGGCCAATAAAGGTGTTCCAACACTTGTCGTACACCCAGGAAGTGAGCCATTTGCGACGATGTGGTGGAAGAGCTGACCATTTTCGAGCCACGCTAGAAACGAAGCTTCTCGAAAACTCTAGAGTTGACCAAGAGCTCCTTGCATAGGCGTAACATCTTGCCATCGAGAGAAATGATGGTACGTAGCCTAACCGGTATTCATCTCAGCATCTGACATTATAATATAGGCAAACCTCTCCGCCCTCAGAATATGGTGACGAGGCAAGAAGCAGCTGGCGCTGTTATTCTTGTCGCACTCAATCCCCGCTTCAGAGGTAAGCTTCAGTATTAATCAACGACGCTTTTGCTGATTGAAGAATTTAGGGTCATTCCCAGCATTTATAGTTGACCAAAAAATATACACAGAAACTAAGAGCTACGCGATTAGCGAAGAAGGTGCTGAAAAATTATGGAAACTGAGCAAAGAACTTGTTGGAGAACGATTCGAGTTCTAGAAAATAGCACAAGGGATCCGGAAGTGCTTGGATGAATAATATGCACTAGCATAGCGGGAAATGCGCATATCAAGTATCGAAATTTTCTAGGCATCAATTGAATTGAATAAAACACGAGTATGGCTCTGGCTGCGGTACAAAAACATTCCGAAGAATACATTATACTTCCAACACTAATTTCACACCACTGACCCCTCCTTTCAACTCGTCTAATGCTTTGTTTGCAGATTCCAATCCTCCATCTACTACTTTGATACTTGGGCTTGGAACTATTTCACCCGTTTGCAGGTTTTCCTTCAGCCAAGTCCAATAAAGCCACTGAGACCATTCATCCCTTTCTGCATCATCCGATGGGGCTGAAACAAATTTGATATCAATACCTTCCACAGTTGGAGTAACAGATCCCAAGAGAACTGCTGAAGCCAATTTGGCAACATCGTCACCCTTTACGGCCTTCAGGATATCCAAGATGGGCTGCAGCGCACCAGCAGCATCATATGCCAAATTTATTGTAATTCCGTCCTCTTTTGCTGATTTGACAATTTTTTCAACAACATTAATATCCTTGTAATCAAATACTTTTGAGGCTCCGAGTTTCTTGACGTACTCATGATGATGTGGGCTAGCGGTGGCATATACAACATATCCCATCCTCGAAGCCTGTTGTATACCTACGCCTCCAATGCTGCTACTTCCACCCCATACCAGCATACCCTTCTTGTCTGCAGACGTGAGCTTTGTACCGCGTGCTAGTCCGGCAGAATACCAAGCAGCCATCGAGGTTTGCACGGCCATTGGAAGAATTGATCCTTCGTTGAAGCTTATTCCGTCAGGTAGTGGGCATACGCTTGAAGCTGGTACAAGAACTTTCTTCTGAAATGCTCCATAGTCTGGATCACCATGAGTGAAGAATGCATGCGCAAAAGCTGTCACACGTGTTCCAACTTTTGGTGCAGCAGCTGGCACGGATGAACCAGCGGCAATGACGATACCAGAAATGTCTGAGCCAGGAATTGCGGGGTAGGAGGCAACAGCGAAGCCATGGTCGCGCATGTAATAATCGATTGGGTTACATGCAATGGAGTGGACTTCTATGAGAAGCTCTGTTGGACCTGGTGTAGGCGTTGGCCTATGAACTATTTTCAGAGGGCTACCCTTCTCTGGTATAATAGCAGCAAGATGTTGTGACATTGTTGTTGAGGCCATTGTGAGTAATATACGAGATGTTTAAAGTCTATTCTAAGAATGAATATATTTGAGGGTGATGTATGAAAGCTTGAGATCGAGGTAGTGAGGTGAAGAGAAGGATGGACTCCTGCCTTTATACCTACTCCTGGGTTTGAACTAATCGCATTCTCAATCCAATATACGCCATGGAGTTCCAGATGGTGGAATTTTCATCATGTTGATACCATGGTCTTAACAGCTAAAATCCGTTTGACTATTGCCGTTGGATAACAGCGATGATGATGTTTAGGATTAAGACTAACCTCAATTCGTACTCAATTATTTTCTGGAGGATAGCATTTGAATGCTGAGGCTAACCTCAGTTCGTATTCCCCAGAGTGGGTCAGATCGACCGCCAAAGAGTGATGTGATTGGGTGGCATTGTTTGATTCTACGGCCCCCTGCTTTCACCTCCCACAAACAGACTATAATTAGACACTGGTATACGAAAGAAGGTTAGAGTACACGTTGAAATATATTTCTGACTTCACCCTTTCATTGCACTTATGTACTAGTCTTACTGAATCTTACATATATTGCCGGATCGAATTTTCAATCAATAAGGTTAGCCTACCAATAAAGAAATGAAGCGGAGAGCTTGCCATTTCAGTTCCCTCATACAATAGTCTAACACAGCTTTATATTTGACACCATTGATATCACGATCTTGGTTTACTGATTTTTCGCAGCACACACACCTCTACCTACTGGTATCACAAGTAGGCTTAAAAAGCATCTCAAGAGATCTAATAGGAAAATTAAGGCTCGCTAGCACAGCCTAGGATTCCCTATGATCATTGCATAGCCATGCCACACTGCGGTTCCTAAAGATTACGAAAAGCCCATTGTCATCTCTGCTTGTGATAAACACCAAATACACAACATATCAAACTCGTAACCCACTTTCTCACTCCTCCACCAGAAAAGAAACACCCAGAGATGTTTTAACGGTTAGAGCGCACTGAGATGAATTGTGCAAATGCAAATGTGACAACTTCCATAATAGCAAACATGGACCAGTGATGGGTTGAGGAAAAAACTGATAAAATATGATACCTTGCGCATAATATCTTCTACCTTGTATCCATAGTCTATCTTCTCTCTAGTTTATTTACTTTCTAAACATGAAATTTGTTAATATAGAGATCCCCCACCCAAGTTAACCAAACTCTATACCATATCCAATCAGGCGCATAACTCCAAATAAATTTCAGAAAATAATGGTCTATCCATAACAATAGGATTGGTACACTTGTAATGCAACTGGTTTAACTCCTCAATCGCGTACCCTTCTTTTTCATCCCAAACACCGAGATCCTGCCCGGCAACAACATTTCGCGCGACTAAGCCCAACATATCTTCAATCAAATGGCCAAATGCGAAAACTTCCATCTTCTCAATTGCTTCTGAATGTTCATAATCTTTCTTGTAAATTGTTGCTGCACCGAAATCTCCAAGAAGGGCATAGCCCGATTTATCGATTAAGATATTATGCGCGTATAAATCTCCGTGAGTGATGCCTCTCTCATGGAGATGCATGCTCGCTGATGCAATAGAGATTAAAATCGCGCGACACTTCTCGATTGAGAAGACAGTCTCCGGATGAAATGCATCGCGGGTGCAGCTTTCAAGAGTTGGTGGAAGACCCAGATTGGTATAATGAGGAGGAATGAGTTCGAGTACCAATCCTCGCTTTTCTGGATGACCATGAATTTTGCCGATTGGATCAATGAGATTTGGGTGACGACCTGCGGCAATACATGCATTCATTTCGTCTGCCGGTACACCATCACTAGTCACTTCTCCCTTGAATAATTTGATAGCCACATCCTTTTTGGCAGTTGGTGATTTCCACATGCCCTTTGAAATTATACCCGAAGCTCCTTCTCCCAGAAGCTGATGAACTTCCAAGTCTGACCACGCAATGTCATCCAATATCGGATTATCTTCATTTGATGGGGTGCAGGGGTTTCCAGAGAACGAAAGAAATGATAGCTCGGGAAGGCTAAGCAACCAAGTGGGTAATTGAGCGATGTTGTTAGCTGACAGTCTCAGTAAGCCCAACTTCCTGCAGTGAGACATCTCATCAGGGAGAATGGTTAGTCGATTCCCTGCTAGCATGCATTTTTGGAGTCTATGGCATTGTCCAATACTCTTGGGTAGTGATTCAATCCTGTTATTGGTAAGGATCAACCACCGTAACTTGCGTGGAAAGGCTCCTTCAGGGACTGTAGTCATTCCATTGTTCTTGAAGGCAATCATTTCAAGGGAACGACATTGAGCCAATTCTTTAGGGAAGATGGTGAAACGGCAGTCGGAAAAGAATGCAACCTTAAGTTTATGGAGTCGGTGGATATCTTTGGGGAGTCTGGAGAGAGGGTTGTTGGATAGATCAAGGATCTCCAGTGTATCATAGAGGTCCAATATCTCCCGGGGCAACTCGGTGAGGCCACATGATAACTTCAGGCGTTTTGTTCCTTTGCATTTCCCTGCTTTAAGATCCTTGAGAGATTGCATGATGAATCTGATCAGTTGGGACAAATATTTGTAGTGAAAGAATAGCTCGCAATTGAGCGTACTGTGTCAAGGATGGTTTTGCGGGAAGGTAGTAAGTTGAGATCCTCCCAAATGTACTTTGATATCACGGAGAATGCATACCTTTGGCTCAAATATCAAGAAATTCTAAATGCCACGTAAAAAGGGATAAAATGAATGTGATGAAAAGCAGATGCTGAAACCAGCTTCGGATCGGGTTGTTCCAGCTCCGCGTCACATGTAAAGCAGTACTTTTCGTGATAAAAATATAAGGCAAGAGTGTTGGAGCTTGAGCTTATAAATGCAAGGGGAACTATATATTCAAAATTTATTTTGATCTAAATTTTAACAAAATCCGGTCAAGAAGTTGTAGAAGCAAGTCTTCATCGAGGGGTCATTCGCCTCCACCTTCCCTCCCCGACCAATATGAGGCCTGCTTCGCTTACAACTGCTTAAAATTCGGAATCCCAACTTTCACGAAATCGAGTGCATGTTCAAGACCGACGCGACAACTTCTCAGCCCTCTAAAGGTTTTTGTTTTTATCATTCGACATCCTACCACCGTGACATCTTCTCATCATGGCATCACAAACAATGAATTCGTCACTGCAACCGACTGATGTTTACGGAGGAGGTAATCTCTCTGCCAGCCATCTTCAAGGTCAATGAATATTTTACTAACAATATCAATTAGACGAAGTATCAGCCATTGTCATTGATGCTGGATACTCAAGTATACGCGCCGGATTTGCAGGAGAAGACACCCCAAAATCTTTTATCGACTCACATTACGGCGTTCGCGATGGAGAATCCTTTTATGGCGACAATGCGATCCATGACCCAAGCGCAAACCTCGAAATTCGCAACCCGATGAACAAAGATGGAATTGTTGAAGATTGGGACACTGCAGAACAATTGTGGAAATACGCAATTACTTCACGACTTACGAGTTTTAAGCAGGCGGACCCTAGGACAAATGGACTAAATGACAAGCCGGAGGAGATGGATGTTGATATGGATGTGGACGGCCAGGAAAAGCCATTAGAAGAACACCCGTTATTGATGACAGAAACCGCGTGGAATACGGCCAAGTCTCGAGAAAAGGCCATCGAAGTAGCTATGGAGTCCTGGGGTAGCCCAGCCTTTTGGCTCGCGCGAAACAGCGTCCTCGCAGCATTTGGAGGCGGCAAAGCGACAGCATTGGTAGTCGACGTCGGAGCATCAAATGCATCAATTATCGCGGTGCACGATGGGCTTGTACTCAAGAAATCCGTACAAAGATCTCCTCTAGCTGGCAATTGGGTATCCTCTCAAATTCGCGCTCAGTTCAACTCCCCAGAAACCAAAGTTGATCTCACTCCACATTTTATGATCGCTTCCAAAACCCCAGTCGATGCTGGCGCCCCAGCCCAAGCTACCTACCGTAACTTTAAGATTCCTCCTACACCCAGTTTCCGCGCTTTGGAAGAGGAGCGTGTTCTAACAGAATTTAAAGAATCGGTTGTACAAGTGTGGGGTGGACCAAATCGGCTGAATGCTACCACCGGACCTGGAGTCACAAACGTGGATTATGCGAAACAACAACCTGGTCGTGTATTCGAGATGCCGGATGGCGCCAACCAGATGTGGGGTATAGAGCGCTTCAACATTGCAGAAGGTATGTGGGATGAAAAGGCAGCGTTACCTGCAGACAACGAGCCTGCTCCTACAAAAGCTCAAACTATTCCTGAAATGATTAAGGCTTCGATTGCGGCGGTTGATATGGATCTACGGTCACATTTGTTGCAGAATATTATTGTCACGGGAGGTAGCACGTTACTTAACGGATTTACAGATCGTTTGAACAGCGAGCTGTCACTTCTATACCCAGGCGCGAGAATCAAGTTGCAGGCTGCAGGTCTTACGCAAGAGAGAAAGTTTGGTGCATGGATTGGAGGTAGTATTTTGGGAAGTCTGGGAACATTCCACCAAATGTGGATCTCGAGGAAGGAATACGAAGAATTTGGTGCGAGTATTGTGGAGAAGAGATGCAAATAAACAAGCTTGCTATTTCCATGTCTACCGCGAAAAATAAAAGTTATGCATGAGATCTATGGTGGTAAGGAATAGAAGGGAAAGGTTGGAATTGGCCTGGCGTTTGGGGAGTTTAAATTGCGCGTTGAGATTAAGATATAATACCTTGGATTGTAGAATACCTAGTACGTGCACAATTAAGTTCATGGCAAAGCTATACATCTTTCTTGTATAATCTTTGCTTAACAACTGCGTTTTACCATCCTCTCCATCTCACCCAAACATCAATGATCTCATCCTCTTTTCCCTCGCGAGTCTCATCCACAATTAAATACCAGCCAAATCCTGCACCGGCGATACATGCGTGATTAGGCCAGATACGGAGTTTTTGGCCTATGGAGAGTTCAGAGTCGTTTTTACCTGGGTTAGTCAAAATGCCGTGTTCTTGCGAGATTCGGGAGATTTGCCACTATGTTCGTTTTAGTATTTACCCATTGACTTTTCTCGCGGGAGGATGATAAGAGCTTGAAATGAGGATGGAGAGGGAAGGAGGAGATACATACGCCAGAGTAGGCTTCAGGGCCTGTGTTGGGCAAAGCAAAAGAATCGCGGTTCCATGGTGAGACGATTCCCCAGCCGGAATAAGCCTTACATGGTTCGCGACCAAGTGCAAGAGAACCGGCTGTGATGAGGGCCTCGGGAGAGCCTGCCGCGCCTCGGGAAGGGTAGAGCGAGGCGATTTCTGCTAGGACTGTGATGGCTACGGAAGACCACTTTGCGTGTGTTAGTTCATAGTACTGATAAATTAAAGCAGGAATGAAAGCTTACGCTAAGTATCTCTTCAGGCAACGCGTGGGTAGCTAATTGCTGCATGTCAAGCATTGGATACACTCCAGCGTGAATTTCAATCTCACAGCCTACATCACGAATGGCTATCATGGTAGCCTTTAGAACTGAAATTTCATTCGATCCTTCGGAGGAAATGGACGGGAGGAGGAGGTTGCGAATGGCACTAGAAGTTGGAGTAGCCCCTACAGAAAGCATGAGAGGAAATACAGTACCAGCTGCCGAGTGTACTTCTCCAGAGGTAATGAGGAGGGCTTCGAACTCTTGGCGAAGATAGTCGAGGGCAGCGGTTTGAGAGTTGGAGGAATAGGAGTGTCCGGCATGCGAGTAAAGTCCATGGAGGATACATACATTGCGATTGGCCAGAGATATGACGGAGGCGATTAGTTGAGAGCAGATGTCTGTACTGGGAATGACACCAGCTCTGTGGCCTCCCATGTCAATCTTGATGAAGATAAGAGGTGCTATGCTTGTCTTGGCATGAATGGCGGCAACAGAGCGAAGCTGGGATGGGTGATCAATCATGAGAGATAGACCATTAGGTCCAAGAGCTGTAGCAACCCCTGATAATCGGTCGACTGCGCTTGAGGTGAGGGGAAAGCTATATAGTACCTAGTATGTGTAAAGATAATATTTACGTGTGGGTGAGCGATGGTGAACTCACGTTGACGGCTCTTCCCTTATTCTTGTATTCTAGGAGTAGAGGGACAATATTTTCAGCCTCTACTATCGTTGAAACGACGATGTTGACTGGTCCAGTTCCATCCCCGACTTGTAACCTCGTCAATTCGGTTGTCTTTCATTTTGGTCAGTGTAAATATTGAAAACGTGCTTATAAAAAGAAAAAGGTCCCAGTCAATGCTTGTTCCAAACCCAAACAACAGCATTACAAATACAATAGGACACCGCTCTCTGGTCAACAGCAACCCTACTGATGTGGATGAAGACGAGGTGAATGCAAGAGGCAAGAACTCTACCAAATATATATACCTTATGGGTTTTTATATGGGCTCTCCACCCGCACTGTAAAGACTCTACTGTCTCAAGCATAGCAGTACAGTTCCTCTTCAACTTCGATATATCAAGTACAACTGCCGGGCAAGGTACGTCATGTAGTGATTTACCCACATATTCCTTCACGAGTTCTTCCTTAGAAGCAGACGGGAATAAAGATGCAGAAGCCATTGTTGAACAGAATATATGTGTACCTTGTCGAGACTTAAGATAGTAGAGAAATCATGATAGCAAAATAGTTAGAAATGGACCTGGCCGGTACTGCATTTCTTCGGATGTCATGGTGGGGTAGGAGCGGATAGAGTTCGTGTGATAGGATACGAGATCTTGCATCATTCATTCATGCAGGATGATAAACGTGGGCTGGTATCATCCCTGACGTTGTTAGCAATCCTTCGTTTCCATAAATTTACTGTATCTTGTAAATCATTTGGAAACCTCATAATATTTGGAGATGCTGCATTGTGTTTCTGTGTTTGTATTGTAGGTATTCACAGATCTTTGATAGCTACCTACCTACTCCCTACCTTGTTTCCCCGCAAAGTTGATAGGGTTCATCATTAGTCCACCAGTCGCTTGATGCTAGCTACTGTATTATAGATAAGATTACGCGCCAACTGTGCAGTTCCGAGATCATTAATTCGAAATTCCATTCCATTTCAACCTACAGCTATTTTATTACTTTTCGATGATTTTCCCACGGCAACCTTCCAAATAACTCTCAAACAACTCCCAACCAACCTGCATATCCCGCCTAACATTTCTTCCGATTACCATTACTTTGCGCAGATATTACTTGTATGATCACGACCATCTCTGCGCAACATCACTCTTCAAAGTGATCGCAAGTCGCAAAGATGGCAGAATCCGAACCCAGACCCACCGAATTTACCCAATTTACTGAGATAGACTGGAAGCGCCAGGATGAAGAAGATGAAAAGGCTATGAAATCTTTGTTGAGTGCCGAGAATTATGGGAAGGACGGCGGCGATGGTCTTTTCGGTGATCGACCTTTGGAGGTGGGCGAGAAGGCAGATGATGCGCAGGATTTCGAGGATATCAGCGATGACGATTTACCAGAGGAGGAAGAAGCTTCTCTACCCAGCGCGGTCGATTTACCTGCTTTGACCGATGATGCTGGCACGAGCCACGACACCGATGATTTATTTGGAGAGGGCAGAGATTCTTCACCATTTGCTTTTGATGATCATGTTGAAATACAAGATGGAGAGTCACAGGCTGCAGCAAATACAGTTGAGGAACCAGCGGGTCCGGCAGATGAGGAAGAAGATTTATTGGAGCTCAATTTTCCTGGCTACCATCAAGCTCGGTTGAACAACCAAGATCTTTCGATACCTGCTCCTGCAGAATCCGAAGGAGATTTAGCCAAGCAGTTGTTTCCAAGTCTTGAACCTGGTGTTATATTGAACTTCAACGAATTATTACCTCCAAAGCTTGCGCATTTCGTCCCAAAAGTCCCACTCAAGCAGCCTAAACCTCTAAATCCTACAAAAGTCAGCTTAGACCTCGCTCCCGACCAAGAAAAATCTTTTCGCAGCAATATAGGTACAGCGACAGGCGATAAGCGCAAACGTGCGGCTGAGGCGGAAGCTAAAGGGCTTGTTGCGATTGTTGAAGAATCTGCTGATGAGGTAGAGAATGAGGAAACTTTCGATTATGAAGAACCAGCGGAGGATGAGAAGCTTGGTGGACTTACATGGGCGGATCTTCAGATGATTTGTGATGATTGGGACTCTAAGATAAATGCGACACCCGAAGTTGTGCAACCGGAGCCTGTAGATGATCAGCCAATGGATGAATGGGATCGAGAGATTCTAGGACATTCCTCAAAACGGATAAAGGTAGAGCAATCGGAGCCAGACTATTTCGGCATTCCTCAATTCGCCGTCCCATCTTTCGACAACCTACAACAAGCTGTTACTATTTCTGCCAAGCGTCCTTTCCTAGATCTTAATGATCCACATTTACTTTTAGAAGAGATCAAGGTGAACTTCTCATCCGCTGCTAAACGTCAACGCCTCGGTGGAAACTTCCGAGGAGGAAACAACATCATTTCCAAGAAACTGAGCAAGCGCTTCAATATTTCAAACGACGAAGCTTACGATGCTCTCAAGGAGAATCATCAAAGTAAGGTTAGAGCAGCTATTGGGAATCTTACCGTCGAGCATAGTCTCCCTGCATTACGCCTTCAATGGCCCTATTATAAGGTCAAATTATACACCAAGGAAGCTAGAGCTTTACATCGACCAACCCTCAGATTCAATAAGTGGCTTAATCAACCCGTCACCTTTGACAAACCAGGAATGCGGAAGAAGAAAGAAGCCAGAACAATGTCTATTGCAGAAGTGTTTAAGGAATCCAAGGATCTAACATTAGGTGACTTCTACTCCACTGCTACTCTAATTGAATACTCCGAGGAACAGCCTATAGTACTTTCAAATTTCGGCATGGGTAATCGGATCATCAATTATTACCGACGAAAGGATGCAGAAGATCAGGACAGACCCACTCCAGAGGACAAAATTGGTGACACTACCATTCTCCTCCCAGAAGACAAATCCCCGTTTGCGAACTTCGGTTTCGTGGATCCAGGCGAAACAGTTCGAGCTTTGCACAATGAAATGTATCGTACTCCAATATTCAAGCATCAACCCAAGAACACCGATTTTCTCTGTGTTCGCAGTACTACGGGAGTTCATGGTACTACATGGCACCTTCGCAACATAGATAACCTATTTGTTGCAGGTCAACAATTCCCATCGATCAAAGTACCAACACCACATTCGAGGACGGTTACAAATGCTACCAAGAATCGAGTTAAGATGATTGCATTCAGAAAAATCAGACGTAGTTCCACAAAGTCTTTGAGAATAGCTGAACTTACCCAACATATCCCTGATACGAATGATATGCAAAACAGAGCAAAATTGAAGGAGATACTTGTCTACGATAAAAACGAGAAAGTTTGGCGTCCAGAGGAAGGCACTACCATTCCAGATGAGGCGGCTCTGCGATCCTTAGTTAAGCCCGAGGATTGCTGCATGATCGATGCCATGCATGTTGGACTAAGGAACCTCGCGGATGCTGGTTATGATACCTTGAGTGAAAAGGAGGAAGGTGATGAAGGAACATTCATCGACCGACCTCTAGATTTCAAGCTTACTCCCTGGAACACAAGTAAGGCTTTCTTGGATGCAACTTCAGGTAAAGCAATGCTTGAACTTCATGGTGATGGCGATCCTTCTGGATGTGGGCTTGCAATCAGTATGATACAAACTTCCATGAAGGGAGGCTACATTGGTGCCGTTCAGGGTCCAAATGCTACATCCGCAGCCGCCATTGCTGCAGAGAGAAAGGCAAATGGTGGTCATACCTACAATGTCAAGAAACAAGACGAACTTTACAATAACGCCATTCGTGATATTTGGGAGAAGCAAAAGTCGACTTTGTCAGACGCGAACGAACATGTTTCAAACGAACTGGAAGAAGTAGACGAGGACGAGCGATTCGGCGTAGCACCCACTCCACACTCCATGCCCACCCCTGCGCCTTATGATGATTCTTTCAGTCAGGTCAGCAGAGCCAGCAATATGGATAACTCCTCCGGCAAATTCATGCGTATTACTCGCAGGGTTAAAGTTGGCAATTACGGACAAACCGAGGAAAGGGTCGAGACGGTCAAGGATATGCGTGTCTGGAGAGAATATATTAAGCGTAAAAAGATCATGGAAGCCGCTAATTCAGAGTAATTCCCACTAGATTGCTTTATTTTCTTTTTGTTTCCGCTTGGGGACGATAGCTAACAGTGTGTTTTTAGTGTTTATGCCATTACTCCTTCTGGTGATGCAGACCTTGATAGAGCTCATCGTGTTCAGTAAGTACTCCTTACCATCTGCCCACCCCTTTTCACTCTCTATCAGTAACAAATAGCCATAACTAACACTTTAACCACAGAGTCCAAAAAGAACTCGAGCGTCTCGAACGCAACCAAGATCGTCGCCACGCCCGTGAGAAGCAAAAGTCCAAACAGTCCATGGCTGGTCAACAACTTCTTAATCCTGGTTCCCCTGGTCCATCTGGAGCTCCCGTTTCCAGCATTGAAAAGCCAGCTGGTACCACGAGGAAATGTGCAAATTGTGGTCAGACGGGCCACATCAAGACGAACAAAAAGTACTGTCCCCAATGCCAATTAATCAGCCCTTTTCTCTTTCCAGCTTAGGTTCTATCACAGCTACAGTTACGAAGTGCTCATACTGAGGCCGCTGTTTGTTCTTGCTCAAGGAGCCGACTTAAAGGATATTTTTTCTCCTATAAGTGGAAGTATCCAAGGATTCATCTACATCTCATTCCTCTTCGCCATTTTTGCTTAATTTTGTAACTTTTTCACTTAGCATAAACCAAAGAACCATCATTTGCTGACATACATTTTCCCTAACAATCAGACTCTGTCCTCTTTTGAATGGCACCATGAAGCCCGAAGATGGCGCGCTCAATCATGGCGGGTTTGGTGCTATTCAAGCCCCACCTTAGCTTTGCAAAACACTGCGTTGGCAAGCAGGCGATACACATTTTCTCCGCCCTTGCCTTCCAACATACACATCGTGTGGTCTTTTTTAATTTCACAATACACGACAAATACCCACGAGGAGTATTACACAAGGCTGTCTGGTTTGCAAATTTACCTTTCCTTTCTTTGGATTTCCCTCGACAAAAATTCCATAGCAACGGGTCGGATTGAATCATGTGTGGCATGGGATAAGGCCAAGGAGAACCCTTAACACAGTGACAGGCACGTTTACAAAAAAAAGGCCCAAAAACATTCTGTGTCATCGATATGAGAAATGCCTTGAGCGAAAAACGTCACGGAGAGTTGATTGGGACACAGACTAGGCCTTGTCGCAAAATATTGACAAATCCTACAATCTTGTGGCGAGGAAAATAATGCGAGGCATACCGCGTCTTAGTTTTGGTATTTTTGGTGTGATGTTGGTTTGAGGATGGCTCATATTTCGTCCCATTGCTGCTCGTCTGCACATCTTACTCGACTGGAGGAAAGAGCACGAAAGTTGGCCTGATAGAAACCTTGGAGCCGGCGCTGATATAGCAGGCAGGGAGATTAGTTTTACAAGACGCATCAATAAAGCACACACGAGACACGATACAGTATTCACCAGAAGGCGTTTTTCATATTTCATTTCTTTTTCTTCAAGCTAATGTAGTCTTTCAAATAACCGATGGACATTCAATGGTTGGTTTCTTTAACGTTTTATTCCCCGATTACACACGCGGCTGGGTAATTATCGGCGTTATTAAGGCTAGATGTGGTTTGAGGGTTATGGAGTTTGTGAAAGGTGGTTGAACAAGTCTGATCTGCACAGCATGGCGTAACATGGCATGGAAAGGAAAATTGACAAGGGAAGGCGTTCACATACGAGTTATGGAGTAGAAGGAGAATTCGAGTGTTTTCTCAAGGCTTACCTTACGCACATTACAAATGTCGCCGGCCGTGGTAGTTTGCTTTCTGAGGCTCATGATACATAGAGTATAATTACATGTTATACAGAGTTGGCTGCAATTCTTCTGTTTTTAAAAAATAAAAATGAGCATTCATCTTCCATAAGGATTATATTGTCGATAGTTAGGATCTTAAGAAAATTCAAGCTTGTAAAAATACTTTTGTGATATTTATATACTATAATTATATTATATTATTACAAAAAAAATAAAGTAAATCATTGATCTTATATTTTATCTCTTATTTATCTCAAAATATAACATCATATTAATATAAGATTTTATATTATATATTCAAAATAAATCTCTTCTTTATTATTTTATTTTATCTTATTTATCTTATCTACCTCATCTCACTTTATATCATCTTATTTTATATTACAAAAAATAAAAAAGATATTTTTAAAAAAAAAATTATATAAACAATTATTTTATTTCTTCTTTTCAATTATAAGACTGTGTAACGATCTGGTTGAGGCAGCGGCTGCCTCAGGTTTTCGTCTGGTTGGTAATTGTAGGTTAAGGTTAATAATCATTGATTATTTATTCGAAGATGAATATGTTATTAGATCAATTGGAATGTAGATAAACTAATTGATAATTAAGTTGAGTATAAAGCTCTTAAACTATGAAACTATTCTGATTATATATTAATGAATATAAAGGAACTTTAGGAAGCCCTAAAATTTCAAAAAGCTTTTAAAATTTTAAAAGCTTTCGAAGCTTTTAGAGCTTTTTATTATATGATTAGGATTAGATTATATATCCGAATTTATTAAAGGTAGGGAGACTATATAAAGCGATTATTATACAAATTTATATACAAATTGTTTCAAAATTGAATTAAAATAAATCTTTTTTTAATAATTCTATTTCCTTTAAGTTTTCTTTCAAGATCTCTATTTTTCGAGAATCTTATTTTCTATTCTCAAATTTCATTTATTTTCTATTTCTTATAATAAATAATTTCTTCTTTTGAAAATAATCTTAAAATATATATCTATTTTTTTTATAAATATAATATAAATTATTTTCTTTATACTTTTTCTTTTTATCAATATTTAAATTACTTGATTTTATATAATATCGTTCGATATTATTCAATTTCATTAGATTATTAATATTATAATATCTATTCTGATAATAAGGTTTTTGAAACTTTTTATTTTTCTAAATAATTCCTTTTTTCTTTATTTGTTATTTATAAAATCGATTATCAATAAGAATAAAGATTTCAATTAATTCAGAAAAATTAAATGATTTCGAAACTCTTACTAGTTTATTCTTGATGATATCTTTCAATCCTTTATAAAATTATAATTTTAGATAATCATCATCTTATATAATATATTCAATATATTATTGAAACTTGATAATATAGATTATAATTGATCCGATCTGTTTAAATTATTATAATACTTTTTTAGTTATATAATTGGGATTTACTTTTTTGAATATTTTATCGAATCTTTATCTGAACGATTCATAATTAAGAAATAAATAATAAATCTTAGATTTTATATTTTCGTTCAATTGATTATCGATAATCTTGGTTATTAGATTATTAAAGAATGATTTAATCTAATTGAATATGATTTCTTAGAAAAAGAAAATCAATTACAAGATCCTTTATATAGAAATCAAGAAAAGTTATTTATTAAAAATATAATAAAAATCAATTTGTATAATAAAAACTCGATATTTATTATAATCTTTATAAAATAAATCAAGAATAGATATCTGAATTGTTCATTTATATTCTATAATAATAATAATTTAAATAAAGACTTCAATTGAATTGAATAGAAACAATTCAATAGATTATTAATTGAAGATTATTATATTATATATAACTTAACTATAACAATACTCAAAATATAATAATTTAATTGAAATAATAATTATCTTAAATTTTCGTTTAATTAATAATTATAATCACTAATTATTTATTCGAAAATGAATATATTATTAAATTAATTAAAATATAAATAAACTAATTGATAATTAAATTGAATATGAAACTTTTAAATTATAAAATTATTCTGATTATATACTAATGAATATAAAGAAGCTTTAGAGAACCTTAAAACTTCAAAAAACTCCTAGAATTCTAAAAGCTTTCAAAGCTCTCAAAGCTTCTTATTATATAACTAGGATCAAATTATATATCCGAGCTTGTTAAAAATGAGGAGATTATATAAAACAATTACTATACAAATTTGTATACAAATCGCCTTGCTTTTCGATGAGGCCTAAGCTCATATAGACAGGTTGACTGTTGCCTCTCAACACATTATAATCTTAATCGTGAATCATAACAGACTGATGGACTAGTATTTATTTTATTATAAGGGATTTTTGGATTGTATTATATTATATTAAACTATAGAAAATCAAAATATTGTATTTTCGAGTTTTGTTACAGATGAATGCATATATATATATATTCAGAATAAGAAGGAATATAAATAAAGGATGCAAATTGAAGAATAAAGAACAAGATGGGAGAATAGAGGAATAGAAGAATGAGATTCATTAGGATTATTACAGTTGATGAAATACTTGTGGGTTGTACTATTGCTATTGCTATTGCTATTGCTATTGTGTGTATTGGATGAGAAGGTGGTTTGTTAGCTGAATGGACGGGAAAAGGGGTTTTCAATGGGTTTGGTGGGATTTGATTTGATGGAGTGGAGTGGATTTGATTTGATTTGATGGATGTGCTGGATGTGGTGGCGGGTATTAGATATTTGGTAGAATGATAGAATAAGGTTTGAGGGAAAGAAGTATAGATTTAAAGGGAAGGAAAAAGTATCATTCTATGTAAGTCGAAGAGTATGTATGAATATATGAATGAATATATTATGATTACAGATATTTTAAGTCTTATTATACTTCAATGTAATCAATGGATGATTTTATGATTTTTACGATTTTTATAAGTTTTATGATTTTGAGAATTATTAGTTATATTATCAAAAAGAAAAGAAATCGAATGATAATTACTGTAAAAGTAGAGTTTATTCAAAATTAAATGATAAGATCTTATATACACGCTGAAACCATCAGATGTCGATCTAAATTTTACGAGTTATTTAGTATCATATTATATCATTGCAGTTGCAGACGCCCGAGTGGCGTTGTATGTGCCGAGGAAAGGTGCAGGTAAAGATTTATCTGATGATTGATATCAAACCAAACCAATATCTTTTTTCAGAAGAAGAAGAAGAAGAATGAAAAGAATGAAAAGAATGAAAATGCGAGAGAAAGTATATACTATACTTCCCTTTTAATCAGACGATGAGATGCGAGACGTGTATAATGAATGGTAACCGATAGTTGATCTGAGAAGATGTCATGAAAAGTGTGGATGGTGTTTTTGAATGAAGAAAGAAAAAGAAATAAGTAAGGTTTACGTATCCAGAGAATGATAATGAAAATGATACTCTCACAGCAGCTAGTTGAGTCAAACCGTATAATACAATTGATAATTTCACTTGTTTAAAAAGAGTATGAGAATTCTGTTCGAGATACTACTTCTTCTTTTTCATGGGGAATTGTTGGTATCACTTTGGGTGATACTATTGACATAGTACCATTATGGGTTTAATGGTTATTTAGTCTTGATCATTATTCTATCTAGAAAGGTCCTTATTTATATCGAGAGAAGATACTACAGTTTACCTATAGTACGGCTCTATATGAGGCTAGTCACATGACCGTACCCACAGGAATATATTCAGTCTCATGATGAAATGACCCAAGGAAGTTTCGTATCTAATGAAAAGACCAAAATTCCAAAAAAAAAAAAGAAATAATAAGTACTCGCAGAACTTTCGTTTCGATAAGAGGCTGAAAAGGGGAATGATTGAATGGGAAAGCCAAGAGAGTGCGAATTATGAATAAATATGAAACAGAGGCAAAAAATAGAATTGTCGGATCCTTACATAATATTTTAGCTTCCGTTGTTGCTGAGAAAATGGTGAGATGGTGGAGGAAGGAGTCAGCAATGCCGGATGGGGGAGGAGCAGTCTGCTTGGAGTGCAGATGAAATGGTTCTAGGTGATAGACCTACCTGCCTAGTTGGGAAGAAGAAAACAAATTCGTAAGTTTGATTCCCTTGACTAAGGATTGGTATAACGGAGTAGAAGTACTCAATGTTCACAGAGAATTATAGTACTTATTGAGAAGGAACAATGAGATGAAGAGTGAGGCGGTGACTTATCATGGAGGATCAAGCGTAGTAAACGGGACGGAAAATAGAAAATATAATGATATTCGCCACTGTTGTAGCACTTCCTACCCAGTGTCGATGCATATACCCGGTATATGAATGGATGAACAAAGAAAGGGGTATGTGGAGCTTTCCATATACATGTGTATGGCTATTCAGTCACACAAGAAATACTAAGAGAATCAAGTATCCCAAACAGGATATTGAGAGGAGATTTCTCCAGCTCATGGCCACATCGAATGATTTAATCGCGGATGACTGTTTAGAGATACTTTATCCCTGGTAATAACCCCATTATCACAAAGAATATCAATAGAAAAGCAAAAAGGGTATAGTGTATCTTGTGCTCCTAACTTAAGGAGGTAGACAAGGACAACTTGGGAAATGGAATGAGACAAAAATAGACGTCGAGTGAGAAGTTCAAGCCATTAAAGTGGCAGTTGATATGAGGATTAGATGACCTTGAATACCTACCTTCCATGATCTTTGTGGATGCCAAGAGGAGAGAGAATATCATTTCTGGTAAGCTCAATGAAATAATATGGTTCAAATATTGTGTTGTGCGTCTATGTACCATGCAGTCATCGTTTGTAACAGCCAAAACAGAATAGACGACAGGGCGGCTCCACAGATTCAAGGCTGTTGCCGGATATCTTAGTGATCCGTGTAAGTTGGCGCGCGGAAGATTCAGATATGCGCGAGGTGCGGTCCGTTTAGTTTCTATTTTCTGATCATTTCTGACATTTTTCCATTCTTCGAGTGCAGTCTTCCGGAATAGATGTCGAAATAGAATATCGGTCAGCATTTTTACTCGGATAGTATAACACGGCTGTGAAATATTGATGTCTGATTTGTTCTTCGCACTGCCATTATATTGAAAGAAAAGATGTAATATACTCAGCCATTTTGAAGTTGTGATTCCTAGTTTCGATTAGAAGTAACCAAGCCGTCCGGTTAGTCCAGTTAGTCCAGTTAGTTTGGAGAATAAGCGCGCATATGTTTGACTGTTTCTTTTTGGTCGTTGGGACTCGGAACTTGTGGCTTTTGGTTTTTGTGCAATTGCTGAGTGAGCATGGTTTGTGTTAAATTTAGAACATCTTGCATCAGACCTCGCTGTTCAAATGGCTCGGTACACATTTCCCCAATTTGTACAACGAGCCACGAGCCACTTGCCTTGCCGTACACGTGCATTGAACGGATTTTCAACCTCTCGGTGTCTTGATGATGATCAATTGTATAGAGTAATAGGAGAAAAAGGGAAGTGAAACAATAAAAAGAATGTTTTAATTAGAAAAATTAAAAGAATGTATGGAAATAGTCGTTTTAGGGATTTATTCGGGTCTTGAACGTTCCTTAACTTCGGTAAATCATATCATGTCTATTATGACTTTCTTTAACAGCATCTATTATAGGTGTGATCCACTGATCCTACATAATGATCATCGTTAGGTCTTTAGCTAGGTAGTTGATCAAACCATCATTCTTGAATAATGGATTTATTACTTGGAGGTCGCCATTTGGTGGCCACAGGTATCGATCGATATCGTTGTCATTATTCGGATGCCGGCGAGCATTGTATGTAATCTTAATATGGAGGGAGACCTTCCGGGGGATATCTGAATCCACGAATGTAACGTGATCATGACAATGATGGGATTTTTTGAAGGATAACCGTTAGTCTTTTGTTGGTCAAAGCTGTAAGGCCAATGTCGCGATTAGGGCGAAGGAAGTAGCTACTAGCTAGATAGGATGCTAGATAGGATCTTCAGAGTTACAACATTTGTCCCCTGATGTTACTTCCGATCAAGATTTAATATATTTTCGTGTTAAATTTGGTCATTGCGCTCGCGGGCTGCTCTCTGAAAATATCTCTTTCGGTGGACATGATCCAGTTCCATCCCACCTCTCCAGATCGATCCCCCATTCTTGAATGTTAGTTCGAGTTGATGATGATTATCTGTCTCCATAATCATTGCCGGTTCTGGCGACCAAGAGAAGAGGTACCTTGCAGATTTGATCTGACTGGTAGATGCATGTAAGATTTCTGTCATCCTCCGGCAAGTATCGCTTTAAAGCTCCATATCATGTGGAGTAACTTGAGGTGATTTTGGCGGTATACAACAATGAAAATTTAGGACTGGGTGGGTGTGAGGTCACATCAAGCCTGGAGGAGTTTTTGGAAGTGAAAGAAGGATGCTGTGCAGAGTATATTCAAGATCCGGATTATCCTTTTACCAGACTCTCTCCATCAACCTCTCTCGCTTACATTTAAAATCCAGATGTGTTGCCGACGCAAACCCATAGCTTTATAGGAAGACTGTATAGAACTGTGTCATCCAATTTACCGGCTGGAGGTTAACTTTTCGCTGCAATGAAACAAATCAGATTAGCCCTGGATGGAGTTGTGAATATCCGAGGTTATGTGAAGTTACCGTGAAGTTACCGTGAAGTTACTGTACGATTGGCAATCGACCGAGTCAGACCTAAGATGTCACAAACGTTGTAATCATGTACCCACGTAGATAGCATTGGAAGGATCAAATAGAATATTACGAACGTGCGACGGACATGCAAGCAAGTAACAAGCACCACAGGCTAAGCTGCAGTACCTGCATTCCCGATGAATACAAGAATAGAAACCATCTATATCCAAATACGGCTCTCCGCACAAAATGTCTGTATGCACGGAACAAGTACGGAAGTAAATGTCAGGTGAGTAGATGATATACCGAGACTCATATTGGTAATTGTGGATGTCTCTCTACTTGGTAGAAATTCGCAATGAACGCGAAAAGGCCGAGTAAGAGCCACCAAAAAAAGCAACCAGATCCACAAGGCATATCAACGGACATCAATATCAATCAATCGAAGTGCCCTGACGTGATGCATCACCAGCAGATGCATATCCAAATGCTTTGGGTTCTTCTTACCCTGGCTTCTGGTTATCTTTTGGTGAGAAAAAAGCCAGTGGTATTCCCTCAATCAAGGCAATTTGCCCGGATTCTTTGTGAGATTAAATGAGCTGCATTAGGATCTATTTATGGACTTTTTTTCTTTGACGTTGTACCCTCTCTCATCCCTTGGCAACATTTTACATGCTGATTGATCTGATGTTTCCAGTGTCAGCACGAGAATCCTTGAAGAAGCATCAAGGATTAAGACGTCGTTTAGGGCTTGTTCGACCAGTCGGAATTTAGAGATGATGGAATGCTGTGCTTGCTCGGCCACTGATACCAGCCTTGAATTTGGGAAAACATCGTATTTCATACCTGTCTTCCGGGCGCTTAGGAAGGACTCGATCGAGCAATGGATGGAAAAGCGACGGAGAGCTCCCTAGTCCTTTTCCTACCGCATGATTCATATCGACAGGGTGGAAAGACGTTTGAACTTGGTTTGAAGGGACAAACGTCTGCGACCACGAGTACCGTACATACAGTAGGTACTAGGTAGGTAGGTATCCTTACGGCTCAGTCGTGCGTATCATGGTTGTACACGAAAGCGAAGCATGCCTCAGTTCTGAGTTGAATGAGGCTTGTAATATCTCAGGTCATCGATAATACTACAGCGTGGATGGATGGATGGATGGATGGATGGATGGATGGATTGGCCTTTTGAGCACTCTGGATAGTAGGTAGCATGAGTTTCAAGGATAGAATAATTGGAATGGATCCCGATATTTGAACATGGCTAGAGATAAAGGTGACCCCCAGTTTCCTCTTCGGTTCTAGTATGATCTCTTTGTCTTGTGTATTATGGATTGTGTACTATACAGATAGATAGATGGACGGATGTGTACCTCCCATCTGCGGATTTTGCATCAAGGGAGTTTAAGGAGGAGGTTGGACGGTGATGATAGCTTGAGTGGGTGGTACTTGCACAATAAGATAGTCTCAATCGTCGAAATAGGAAGCATTACGAGAAGCATTACTTTGAACAATCGGCTATTAAGTTGTCATCAAGAAGTCAATAAGGTTATTGAAATCCAACCCCTCATTGGCAAGGTACTAGGTATTGAGCATTGATTCCCGAATCTAGCACGATCGACTATCAACTTATGCGGACAAGCTTTGTAAGTTGAAGCAACAGGGCAAAATCTAGCTGTATCAAAGAGTTTAGAGTTTTCCGTACCCACTTCGACTTCGCACACTTTTACCTCTTTTACCTCTTTTTAGAAAATGCAGTGCATCAAGTTATCGAAATCCACCCGGTAGACTAGACTCATTTTTAGATGGCTGCAAAAATCGGGCACGCAGTAGTTTAGAACAGTAGATAAATAGACTTGACTAGGTAAACTCAGGTAGGCGGGCCGTGAATCAATTCCCAGTGCTCACGCTCGCTCCATGCGACGGAAAACATCAATACTCCGTTCCAGACACGGCACTGGGTGGGTGATGAGTGAGGGATGAGTGAGGGATGAGTGAGGGAATGAATGAGGGAATGGATGAGGGAATGGATGAATAATACCTAAGTAATAAATGAATAATGAATAATGAATAACGGATAATGGATAATGGATAATGGATAAAGAATTAAATCTTAATCATATCTGCATTGGAAGCAATAATCCTTTGATCTGTCCTGCATTGTACTGTACCTAGATATCTAGGAATAACTCTAACTCCATAAGTCATTTTATTTGATTTTATTTGATTTTATTTGATTTTATTTGATTTTATTTCATTTTATTTCATTTTATTTCATTCTATTTGGTTTTTCCCCTTTCATAGAAGTGCTGATGTGTCTACCTAGGGAACTAATTGTATATAACTGATTGATAAATAACTGGACGAGTTTGGATAACGTTCACCATGTTGACCTTGGCCACCTTTACCCAAGTGCTCGTAGCAGAGAGAGTCAATGAATGAATGCACTACCTACCTATGTACTAGATTATGAGACCTGAAAGTAGAGGTAAAAACTAAATCCTACCGAAAGGAGAGAGAAATCAAAGCAACATAAGACAAAAAAGGGAAATACCACCCCCTTCTCGCTCACTTCCACCCCTTGTCTATACCCCCAAAAGAATTGTGCACCTTTTTATCCTTCCTCTTTAAGATTAGAACCAAATCTCATGCAAGAAAGGAAAGCAAGAAAGGAAAGAAAGAAAGGAAAGAGGAAAGAGGAAAGAGGATAAAAGTCAGGAAGAAACAAACCAAACCAAAAAAAAACCCCCCCGTTCTCCTCTCCGATTTGAATTGGTACCACACCACAAGATTTTCCCCCTTCCACTCCGTCACGATCCAAAAATAGCTATAATTAGCACATCACATCTCATCGCGATATACTTTATCAGTCCTATCAGTTGTGCTTCACGAGAGTTTCTCGAGAAAGGAAGTCAGAAAAGACTGTACCTGGTACTTTTCATTAAATTCTTTTCGAAAAGCTTATATCATTGATCAAACTCCTCCTCTCTTCAAAACACATATTTTCACTCTCTCAAGCCATTTTTCCATTTCAAAAGGTGTTGCTTGCTTTCTTGCACGGGTTGGTTGTATCACTATTTGATTACGGGTTGTTTCGAGTTTTCCTCACGCATTTTCATATTGCCTGGAGCAGAGCAGAGCAGAGCAGAGCAGAGCAGAGCAGAGCAGAGCAGAGCAAAGCAGAGCAGAGCAGAGCAGAGATAAAGCAAAGCAAAGCAAAGATCACAATCAATTCAATTTTTTATCCATCTCGTCATCCCATCCGTCCATCAACACGAACAACCCTCGGTCGCAACCTTATTGGCAACACCCTCCACCAATTTGTTATCTACTCCTTTAACTACAATTTTATATAACGACATCTATCGGCTTCAACCAAGTACATTTAAACTATCATCCCACATCAGATATATTGCTCCGCCACTGTTCAAACAATCGATTACTGTACTTGCTTGTGTCCCTCAATATCGCCGCCATTGTACTATAATCTCACACTAAACCTCTTGCTCCTTTGTCAAAAAGTTTATTCATTGATGTCCACGATTCTACGCGACCTTACATACAACTCAACGAGTTCGACTTCAATAGTGGCTCTTTGATTACACGTCTGAAACTGGACCAATTCACCCAACCAGTATTTAAACCACAGGAACGGCGCGCCGCTGCCGCAATGGGGAGAAGAAAGATTGAGATCAAAGCTATCAAGGATGATAGGAATCGCTCAGTGTATGTTCTCTTTGTGCAAATATAATCTGCGGCGCAAAATACTAATCACACTCTCACAGGACCTTTTTGAAGCGCAAAGGAGGATTATTCAAGAAGGCGCATGAGCTTTCCGTTCTCTGCTCCGTCGATGTCGCGGTTATTATATTTGGCAGTAATAAGAAGTTGTACGAATATTCTAGTAGTGACATTGGAGAGATTATGACAAGATATCAATACGTACGTGTTTTACCGCGTCCGGCGCAAAAGATACAAACTGACATTTATTATAGTATGGAGGAGCCAACGAACACAAAGGGCCTAGCGATTACGGCAAAGGAAAGGGCATGGATGACGACGACGATGATGATGACGGATCCCCTCCTTCTCACCATGGATCAGAACCACCGCAGATGATGCCTCCTCAATTCCAACACCAACCATATCAGCATATTCGCCATCATACTCCCGCCTCTCCTCCAATTCCCAATGGTGTCTTTCAACATCTTCCCCAACAGCGACAACATACACCACAACCTGGAATGGGATCTCGACCATCGTCTAGAAACGCTCCACGAAGACAAAGCTCCTTGGTACCACAACATTCTCATGGCCCTCCGACCAACGGTCAATTTGCATATGCGCCGAATCCACCACCTTACAACTCCCAAATGACGCCTGGTCTGCCACCACATTCTCATAGCCTTCCGCAGCATATACAAGGTCCGCCTCAAGGAATTCCCCATCCACATCAAAGTCCCGGACCACAATACGCACATTTTGCACCCCCGCACCACCCACAACATCATCCTCAACACCACCCTCATCCCCAACCACATATGCAGCAGCATCCGCAACATCCTCAGCAACACCCACAACAACACCCACAGCAACACCCACAGCAACACCCACAACAACACCCACAACAACACCCACAACAGCATGCTCAGCAGCACCCTCAACAGCACCCACAACAAATCCCTCAACAACATCCTCATCCGCAACAAGTACAGCAACTGTATGTGGAGGAACAAAGAAGATCTTCTGTACCACCGGCATTTCAGCCACAAGAAAGACCCGCATCTTCGCGAGCAACTCCTTCCCCTCCGCAGCCGCAGCAACAGCAAATGCCACAACCTCCACCACCACAACCACAGCAGCCTCAACCATCGCCAGAACAGCAACAAGCACAACCTTCGCAACAAATGCTGGAGCCGATCAAGCGCTCATCGATAAAATCCAGAAGTATCTTTACGCCAATTGACGAGAGTCGATCAATTTTATCCCAACACTGGGCAAGCTCAACTTCCAATACCGATGCAGTAAAGGAAGAACCTGGAGATCGATCTCAGTCTGTGGATGTTACAGTAAATCTTGTCAAACCGCCTTCTCCACCTCAAAGATCACAAACGCATAACAAAAATCGCAACATATCCATGTCATCCTTACCAGATGGATTTACCCCACCATCTCGTACAAACAGTGCACAGCTAAGTGTTGGTGGTGGCAAGCGGCCTATATTGAAGGTGCAAATTCCAGAAGAAGCATCAGATAATGGTGGATCTGCCACTGCAGAAGATCTCTCATCCCCACGATCTGCAGGTGCCACTAACCCGAAGGCACGTCGCAATGGCGGCGACCATGGCGGAATGGTACTCCCACCACCTTCACCTTCCGCCTCAGCTTTGCTGTCAGCCGGTGCATCGGGCCCACCGAATCCTTTTGCACGACCGCATCCCGTCACACAACCTTCGCAGGGATCCAATGCGAGTGGAAATAACAATAATTCGAACAACAACATAATAGAAAGCGTGACACCAGTCTCAGCTCTTCCGTCGCGTTTCATGAACAATGAATTCCTCCCAAGTCCTTCATCGTTCTATCCCGAGTGGAATTATGGGAGAGGCGGTGATTCTAATACATTACCTAGTCCTCTAAATTTTGCAACCCCTGTTGTGGGAACAGGCCCAAGTTTCCTAAGAGATGATAATGGCGATAGGGGTGGTAAAAGAAAGACGCCCGAACAAGATGAGAACCGAGATGGTGGAGATCAGAAAAGAGTGAAGCATGAAGGATAAAGTGCACCTCGTGCTCCTCGCCATCAAGCCGAGGGTTTTGAGCATGAATTGGTATGAATATGAGATTCACGAACACGTGTATTTGATTGCGGGAAAGCTAAAAAGAGATAATGTCTTTCTTGTGGGTGGATCAGAAGTCGTTTTAAACCCTTTGGAAAAACTTATTTGCATTACATTTGGGAAGGGCGTTTCACTTTTTTTTCTTTTCTGGAGATGAATTGGAGGTACACTTTTATTTGTTTTATTTTTTTTGGTATTTTTGGCTTTTACTTATTCCCCATTCGAAGATTCTACCCTTCTCTGTCCACCCTGCACTCTTCTTTCCTGAAATCCTGTCAATTGTTCTGTTTGGAAGGCTGGAAGGCTTCCAGTAATCACTTGTGAATACAATGTGAAGTTGAGTTTTGCCTTTGATTATGTGAGATGGGTTTGGATGGCAGGCCATGCATTTTACTCCTTTGTAAATACCCTTGGGATTTGTGGAGAAGGCGTTATTCACGTGACACTTCTTTTCCCTTTTTGCTTTCTTGATTTGAGTTTAAGTCTGAGTGTGGTTTGGGTTGAAGGGTTTGGTGATGGAATTGAACGGGAAGGGTTTTATATGGATGAGTGAGAGTGGATGGTGTATGAGTTGTTGGTAGATAAGTAAGATAGTTGAAAATACAATGTAGGGAAGAGAGGAATGAAAATAAAATTGCTTAAATAACGGAATGAGTTTTACTACCTAGGTACCTTTCTTTCTTTCCTTCCTTTTTTACTCTGCAGTAATGTTCTCCTTGGAATTGATGGGGTCAGTACCTCGAATCACTGTGACCGGGAAAATGAAAAGTATAGTAAGATCTTGGCTGTCAGTGAGTGTATCAATCCTCTTGAAGGTGGTAGTTGATAAATGGTAACTATTAGAATAGAACAGTTAGTGGCTCAAGGATCTCTTGCCGTTCTGTTCCTCTGCTCTTTTGCTGTATTCCTATCAGGCAATCTCCGTGTTATTTTTATTGCTCCCATGGTCCGTTTACTTTCATTTTCTTCCTCCTATTACCTGGCTAGCCTAGCCCAGCCCAGCCAAAGGAGACAGTGCAGACACAGGAGCAGTAGTAAGATATCAGAAGTAGTAAATGTATTCTTCATGACTTGGCGAGGCTTACGCAAGTGTACTGGCGTTTTTGAGGGGTCTTTGAGGGAAGAGGGTTTATTGTCGATGAAAGTTGTGCGGCTTATGTCTCCGGTGGGACGGCACATTGTTGAACCTTAATGTTATGGTTCCTGTCGAGCTCGGCGCTGGCATGTCAAGATTCTGGCACGCATTGGAGGACTGACCGATGTGTGGGAGGGGGAATTATATGCGTAATTTTCACTATTGTTCACTGGTAGAAAGAGCGTCAAAGGATAGCAATTGGTTAAATGTAGATAGATGTCTTTACTGATTGCGGGAAAAATAAGGAACTCTATAATTTATTCTTCTCAACCAGCTTCTGCACAATCAAACCCGCTAAGCTTGCGACTGTAGTGTTTGTTGCTAGAAGGACGGTGAATTTTATATCAACCTCCAGGCTCCGAAAAATGAATTGGCGTAGCTCGGCAGCCAGCATCGAATCAAGCCCAAAGACACCGAAATGCATGTTGATGTCTAACTTGTCCGTTTCCATCAGAATTGCATTGCTCAAATTATTTACCAAAACGGTGGTGATGGCTTTCAAAAGCGCTTCGTGACTGGGATCGTTCTTGTGAGCCGCTAAAGCTGCTGCGACGCTTGGGGGTAGTAGGCTATTTGAGGTCTCTTCGACACTAGTTGTCCCCTGTCCTATTATGTCGTTTGCAAGAAACAAGGCACGTGGATCATCAAAGATGCGGCTGGGGCTGCTACTCTCAAATCCCATATTTCGGATCTTCTTGATCCCAGTGACGGCCAAACCCGTCAGTATTTGATCCGAGTTAAATGGCTTAGTATCTTCAGCTTCGGGCGTGGTCAAGGCGAGGTCCACGATTTGTAAAAATTCGTCCTCGGTAATTGGATGTAGACCTTGACGTAGAAGACCTGCTTCAATCTCGGGATGCTCATGCATGTACCCAATCTCAGAAATCATCCCGAGAGCAATAGATGTTGCTTTAAGTCCCTGACCACGTCGATACCCTGCGAATGAATCTAGGAAGGAATTTGAAGCACAGTAACTGGTTTCTGTTGCTGTACCGATGGTTCCTGCAATAGAACTCATCATAAGGAAAAAGTCTAGATCAATTTCCTTCCCAGCTAACGATTTATGGAGGTTCCAGGTCCCATTCACTTTAGGGTTGATCGATGTGTGCCAGCGCTTCCAGGTCATTTGGGTGAACAGAGCCTCCTATGCGTTTATGTTAGCGGAAATTCTTGCCTGAGTGAGTTGGAATATATAGGGATAAATTTTGCTCACATCAAGAGCCATGGCAGACTGTACAACCCCTCCAATGGGACCTTCAATGTGTGCAATTGCAGATTCAACATCGGCTAGTACAGCCACATCTCCTCGCACCACTGAGACCTGACCGCCGGCTTGTTCAATGTTTGCCACCAGAAGCTTAGCTTCCTTCTTTGCTAGCCCTGAGCGCCCCAGGAACACAAATTTTCGAGCGCCTCGCTGGAACATCCATCGTGCTAAACTCTGACCCAGGCCTCCTAAGCAGCCAACTAGCAAGTAGCTTTTGGTTGGATCTATTTTTGCCTTGAATTTAAGCGGAGCAAGCTGCAAATAGTCAGATCATGGCCATAATCATGAGCATTGAAGAAATTACCTTGATCATGGAGTTTGGATTCTGAAACGATATGGCGATCTTTCCAATGCGAGTACCCAGTGAGAAATAGTTGAAAGCCTGAACAACTTGTGATGCGTCAAAAGTCTTGAGCGGAGCGTCCTGCCAGATCTTTCCATCTCGGTATAGCTGTACACTTTCTTGTAAAAGACTGTCATATGTCAGCATTCACAGATATCTATGAACGATCAAGAGCAACATACCTGCGCCACGTGTTGTTATGCCTCTTGTTATCCGAATAGAAAAGGTTGCCCAGATCAAAAGCAGAAAAAGTCACGTTCCGTTCGAACTGTGCCATATCTAATTTTCCACCGTCGACTATGTCCCGCTTGCCAAGTTCAATGAACCGGCCGAAATTAGCACAGGCACGCCATCCCTCTTGTAGCAATTCGCCGACCAGACTGTTCAGAATAACGTCGACACCCTTGCCAGCAGTCGATTTCAAGATACCCGCTACGAAACTCGAATCTCGAGAATTGAAGATGTGATCATCTTTTAAGCCGAAGGAATCAATCAAAAATTTCCTTTTTCTTTCACTTCCAACGGTGGCAAATATCTAGATTGGTGAGCCTAGAGGCATTATGGAATTTTGGAATACTGACCTCGGAACCAATTTGTTGCGCAATCTGGATGGCGGCTATACCAACTCCACCCGCCGCTGAGTGTATCAAAACCGACTAACACAAAATTAGGTATATGTTCTGACGAATTGGCATGATAATTCTCACCTCATCTTTTTGAAGGTTGGCGCGGTGACGCAAGGCGTAAATAGCTGTTGAAAACGCCAGTGGAATTGTGGACATAAACTGACATTGTTAGATCGATTCCATATGGTAAGTGATTTCAAACTTGCCTCAAACGGTTCGTTAGGGCGTAGCTTACAGCAAGCCCAATAAGGGACTCTTTCGTAATTTGAAAGATGGCCCGGAGCCATTACAACAACAGAATCACCAGGTACAAGATCGTCGACCAAACTTCCAGCACGCACTACAACACCGGTAAACTCGCATGAGCATGTCGAGTTCTTGGTATCAACTCTGCCTTTTAGTGCGTAAGGATCCTGTCATAATGTTAGGATAAGCACCTTATTTCCCTTGGTTTGTTGAGGACCTACCTTAGCATTCATACCTACAACCCGTACCTCAACTTCAACATAGTCAGGTCTTAGTGTAGCATCACGCTTCATGTGTTGTATGAAATGAAGCGAATCGAGCTGACCTGTACTATCAATAGAAATTTGGACCGCTCCAGCATCCTTTAGTGCTGTACTTGTGAGATGTCCTGTTTGAGCTTGCTGAAATCGCTCGGTCAATTCGGTATTGAGGAAGAACCTGCCACAGTACAATGCGCCTTCGTGCTGTATATATTCAAAATCCGGCTTGCTGTTCTCCATTGCTTGTACAAAGACTGTGACGGTATGTCTTAAAGCCGTGTCAATATCGTTCTCTATATCTTCAAGATCAAGGAGGAACAATTTCAGAGATGGCTGCTCCACACCCAAAGATCTAAAGAAGCCCTGCGATAGTGCAAAATCTGGGCTCTTGGAATTAGAGAGCCCGCCACATGTGACCCAGAGAATTTCCGAGGCATTATCGGTTAGTATCTTGAGACGACTGAGTTCATCTTCTGACAATTCTCGTAGAATGGGTTGTTGTAATTCAATGGTAGAAATAATAACAGCGTTGGGTAAGATATTGTCTGCAGAAACATCCTCAAAAGAAATGAGTGAGATATTGTAACCGTGAATTGTGCTCAGCCGATCTCGAAGGGCGGAATCAAAAGAACGTTGCACAGTGCAGCTTCGTGTAACCTATAATAATTGTTAGAATCAATTAGTAACTGTAAAGTTAATACATCACTTACGTAGATGATCTCTCGTCCCTTCTCATTGCCGCTCGCTACCGCATCTCGGCGTCTAGCAACAATCACGGAATCGAGGGGTCCTGTCGGAATGCTGGTAATGAACGAGAATTCTGGCAGTTCCAAATTCCTAGTATCAATTGCTTGGTTACTTGCAAAAATCACTGTTGAAGTGGAACTAAGATGTTTGAGGCACTGTTGCAAATTCTTCCTGGTGTCCGATATAGTCTCACGTGTACACTAGGTATAAGTTAGTATCTGGAATGACACGAGAAGAGCTTCACATACCTTGGGCAATATCATAACATTGAAAGACTTTTCATCATCAATTTTGTGTAGTTCCCCAAATTTCAAGCTTCCTACTTGAGAAACGTTGACTTCGCGAGCTACAAATTTACCACAAGAATCGATGATACCCTCGAAATATTCTCGAAATCCTTTCAACTGATTAGGCTCAGAGTAAAGCTGTAACAAGCTTTGCTGTCTGTTGTTGTCATAGTCCCAGGTTCCATGCAAGTCAAGAACACGAAGATTGGGGTTCTGATGCGCGATAAGGTTCAGGACGGCAGCAAGCTCCCGCGCACTGGGATTTGTTACCTCACTATTTAATGGAAATTGCTTTATGTATCTGGCGAACGCGGCCTTATCGTGGTGCGAAAGCAACGAAATGTCTGGTTTCCAAATTGTTTGAGTTATAGGCTGACTATCTTTATCATTTGAGGCGTCGCTTCCCTCTTCATATGAGATTGCTCGCCCATTGCTGATGTAGATAAGCACTTTTCCAAAGTGATCATGGAGTTCTACATTGTATTTTATAGGACCAAACCCAACAACCTCAGAGTCCGCGTTGATAGTGCAAATATCGGAGGTGTCATGCTTCGCTGCATCCTGCCGGATTTCCATGTGGCTGATAGAGACAGGAATTTTACCACGAAGATTGGCGTACAGTCCCGCGGATGAGGAGGTAATCGCCGTTTGTAGCAAAGTATCTATTGTAATAGGATGTATCGTATAGGTCGATTCGTAATCGGTTCCAGCCGTGTGAAGTAGCCGAGTCTTAGAGACAGTCTGATAGCAATCTTTTGCTGGATTGTGATAGACCTCCAGCATCGATTGAAATTTAGGACCGAAGTTCAATCCAGCTTTAGCGAGAGTGTTGTACCAAGAGCGCGGAGATTGCTTCTCCAAATGTTCGTCTAAGGCTGTAACCTTACTGTTAAATGGATAGGCTGTGCTTCTTATTGCTACCAAGCCTTTCATATGGACTATTGATGTGCCAGCATTAAAAGAACTGATATTTAAATGCCACCACGTCCCTGATTCTGTGATCTCCGAAATACTGGCTTTTCTCATCTCAGTAAAGATCTCATGTTCATCCAGCAGCTCAAGCATTTTAATGAACTTTAAGTCACGGAAGCTCATGACTGAGTCATCCTTCGGAGGAAGTGCCTGCAACTGCTGTATGGCCTCCGCCGCCATTGCAATATAACCTGCAGCTGGAAAAACGGCCGACTTTCCAAGCTTATGGTCTTTCAGCCATGGAACAATGTCTACCCTTAGTAGGTTCCTCCAAGAGGCTGTTTCGCCACTGCCACCTGGAATCCTGGATCCAAGCAGATCATGGCGTGGGTGTTTGCGGTTCCTATACTCTATGCTGATTCGTGGCTCAACCCAGTTCAGGGACTCGTGGTTCCATCTGTACGTCGGCAAATCATGAATAAATTTACAGCCACGCCCGGTTGTGGACCGAGCAGTGCCACATGTATCATTGATCTTTTCAAATGGTATTTCCCGCCCACCTATATACAAATAGCCCATGAGACGAAGGATACATTCAATTGAATTTTTGTGTCTCGTGAGAGTTGACGAATATAACATTTGATTTTGCTGAAGACGTAGTTTGTCGCGAATATCCTTGATTGGAAGTTCCAAGGCCGGGTGGGGGCCTATTTCAATTAAATGGTACTCATTGCCTTTCATCAAGACCTGGATCGCGCCCTGGAAAAGCACGGGTGACTCCAAGTTATCGCACCAGTAGGTCCTCGACCTTAACCTTTCAGCATCTACAGGCTGCCCAGTGACCGAAGAAATCATTTTTATTGGGGCTGAGAGTGACGTGGCCTTCCCAGGCTGTAGAAACAAACCAGCTTCAAGGAGTAGATCTTCGTAATTTTGAGTCAAGGAAGCCATGTGGTGAGAATGATAAGCATTTCCATCTGTCTTAAGTCGTCGTACGAAAGTCCCGGTTGCCTGTAAAGTATCCATGATTTGATTGATAGCCTCCAAATCTCCACTGACAGTTACGCTATTGGGAGAATTGATGCAAGCCACCCGAATCTGACCACAAAGCTCTAATCTAGATATTTCCGCGTTCGTAGTATCTTGGCCAAGCCCGACAGCAATCATTGCTCCTCGTTTGCAGTTCTGTGACACTGCAATTCCACGGCAGTAAGCAATAATAATCGCCTCCTCTGCAGTCAGATTCCCCGAAGCAAAGGCAGCGGCAATTTCACCAGAAGAATGACCAACGGTAGCACTTGGCTCTATGCCCCATTCTTTCATGAGCAAAACTGTTGCTATTTGGATTGCAGTACAGACTGTTTGTGAAATGTAGGAGTGGCTTATCCTGCTTGTTTGATCAGTTTCCATTATTTCCTTGTATATTTTCCATGGAGGTGCGTTGCCTAGCTTCGCCAGAAATCCATCCAAATCCCTGATAGTCTGGCGAAAGCCTGGAATCTCCTCAATCAATTCTTTGCCCATTTGCGGCCATTGTGCTCCCTGACCTGTGAAAATGAATGCAAATTGGAAAATAGAGGTTTTTGGGGGGCCCGCAAGAGTTTCTAGGTTGGCCACATCCAAGGCGTAGTCTAGATTGTCCTTTTGTGCAAGTATAAAACCGCGAGAGGAGAGTTTAGATCTCCGGCACCCCAAAGTATACGCAAGGTCTTCTATTCTGACGGTACTCCGTTGTGAAGCAAGTAGTTGAAGCCAGCCCTTCATGGATATCTCACTATGTGCTGAAAATGGAAGCAGATATGTCTTTCGGCTCTTGTTATCGTCGGAATTATTGTGTGTGGAAGTATTTGGGTAATATTCTTGTGCCGATTCTAGAATTGCATGCGAATTGGCACCACCGTACCCGAATGAGTTAATACTGGCTCTTATTGGGACTCTAAGTGGCAAGATAATGGGTCCTGTAACGACAGATACATTGCGCTCTTCAAGTCTTAGGGCTGGGTTGATGTTCTTGATGCCAATGGTAGGTGGTATTAAGCCTTTCTCGAGAGAAAGAATGACCTTGATAACACTGGATATTCCACTGACGGCTTCACTGTGTCCAAGATTTGTTTTAACCGAGCCGACCAATATTGGACGTCCAGATCTATGTTGTAGAGCGCGGGATATGGCCTCAATTTCTACACCACGGGAAGTTAGCAGGAAACTTCTAGTGTCATTTCAACATGTCTCACCAATCGGGTCACCAACCGGTGTTCCTGTACCATGAGCCTAAGACAGTTTCAATTTGTCAGCATGTAGTTGGATCGAAATCAATCATGCCTGCCTCGGTGATTATTATAAAACTTTATCTAACCTCAATGTAATCCGTCGCGTCCAGAGGTAAGCCAGCCTTCAAATAAGCTTTACGAATGACGGCCTCTTGCCCATCAGCACTTGGGAGGGTAATTCCAGGCGTCTTACCATTACTATATTCGACACAAATTTTAGCTCCTGTGTGTGGCCATACCGAATTTGATCAAAAGAATTAGTTACCTGTTGACTGCCGTTCCACGAATAACCGCACGAATAGCATCGCCATCTCGAACAGCGTCGCTCAAACGCTTGACGAGTAAGGCACCAACTGCTTCACCCCTCCCGTAGCCATCTGCTGCCGTGTCAAATGTATGAGAGGTAGATGTAGGGGATACAACGCCGAGCTTAACCACTCCAATCTGCATTTCAGGGGTTTGAATTAAGTTTGCACCGGCGACAATTGCCGCCTCACATTCCCCTGCTTCTAGAGCAGTACAGGCTTGGTGCAAGCTATAGAGGGATGAAGAGCATGCTGTATTGATTGTACAGCTAGGTCCCTTGAGATTGAATACATGACTGACCCGATTTGCAAGTATGCTGGGTTCCATACCAGTGGCCCCGTAACGATGATAGGAATCAGGATCCTTGCTTTGAATTGTCGTATAATCTGTAGTAAAATTGGCGATATAGCAACCAATATCGGCTCCAGAGACTTTTTCTATGGGAAGTCCGGCACTCTCAAGGCATTCATATACAACCTCTAGCACTTGCTTCTGTTGCGGGTCCATATACTTGGCTTCTAGGTTATTAATTCCGAAGAATGAGTTATCGAAAAGACGAATATCATTGTCCAGAAAGAACCCTCCTGTGGTGGTGATGGTTCCTGAATGTTCTTTGTTGGGATTGTAAAACCCTTGAGAGTTGAATCTTGATGCTGGTATCTGACTCCAACCAGATCGTTGCTCAATTAAAAGGTCCCATAGCTGACTCGGGGATTGAGCGCCGCCAGGCAAACGGCAACCTACCACAGTGACATATTATCTTAGCTAGAATTCGCATTAAGATAGTGAGGAATACCGGAGCTTACCGATCCCAATGATTGCAATGAGCGAAGAAGAGTGCTCTTCGTGAGCATCGTTCCTCTAGATTTTTTCAGTCAGCTCTGCTAAGTAGTCGTTTACTAGCAGCGAATTAAACCTTCCCCACGTTTCATAGTCAAATCTATCATCCCCCATTCAAACGAGAAGGATTATGGTGCTGGAAATCCCGTAATAAAATGTTATTCTCTTCGACCTGTTCAGGCATCTCCTAAGCATGAAGGTAGACAGAGCTTCACGCGGCTAATGTTGCCCTAACAAAAACTACGATGCCATGCCTAGTACCAGCCTTATTGCCTGGATGGAAAGTAAAGGAAAAGTTGAGTCTTACATTATCCTGGTTTGGAAGCCCATTGGTATCAGTATTTGGAGGCATGACCGGGTGCCTAATGTTGTCGGAAAAAGTAAAAATTGCACCTTGGGAATTGCAGATATAAAGACGTTATGAGGTGATTAAAGCGTGAGACTTGCCGTTCTTGATTTCTACCCAAAAATACACCAGCGGTAGACACGCTTAAAGCGTCCAGTTTGAGATGCTCATCTAATCGACCTTTTGGTTCATTTTTGCACCCATCAGCCTCCGATCTCGTTCAAAGGAAAACAAGAAAAGAGGCACAGCTATAACTGCGAGCTAGCTGGGGTCGGGGAGTGATCCAATTTCGTAAAGATGAGCATGTAATTGTTGATTTTGGAAGTGCCTTGTCGTATGTACATGCGGGCCGTCTTCATTTCGAAGTCCAATCCGAATCTAGTTTTAATGATAATGTAGTAATGGAGATTTCACAGGGAGCGATATCCATAGAACTCGCTCAAGAAGATGGTTCAATGCGGAGTTGTGTAAACTAGCTCCAAGAGTAAGGATCTTGAAGCCATTCAAACCCGAATGGGCACAGAAAATGTGTTCTTGTCATCGAATCACTGATGTCATGTGCACAAACCCACTAGCAATTCTTCTTCGCGATTTTTTCGGTGTCATTTATTATCGACAATATCTTCGTAAAATATCCCGATTCATAATTTTGTGCACACAATTTGACTTCCTTCAGCAGGAAAGAAAAACCCCTTGAGACAATGTCATGCAGTAGCATGCCCAATCTTGTGTGGGAACTACCCACAAGTTATGCTAAAATGCGACACAACTTCCGCGCCGTGTTCAAGTCATATGGCCTCGGGCATACCAACTGATGGTTACTAAGAATGGTGTAGGCTCATGTAGTTAGTAAGTACTAGCTAGGATTGCGAAATTAATATTTGCCTATTCATCCTGGTATTAGTCAGCGTATAAACTAGAAGGACATGTTCCACCATTCTCTGTCGTAGGCTTTTAGTGATAGTCTCTCTTGGATGACGATAAGGGTGGCGTGTATTAAAATAAATTCAGTTTGGAAGATTTGCTACTGTATCCAAAAAGAAAAACGAAAAAAAAGAAAGAAAAAAGACCTCGTTGTAGAAGGATGTCATTGATGTGATGACTAGATTCACAATTCCTCACAGTGATGGATCGTATGTAGTCTCAGAGGCTCAGGCGAATAGGGGGTGATCCTTAAGAGGCACAAGATCACAAGTTCAGGATGGCCAATTTCCGCGCTTAGGCTCACACCGCCATGGCAGAATACACCGTAAAGCTTGATCAAAATTTAGGACTTAGGGTTTGAATGAATATAATATTCTTTTTATACTAATAGATTGTTATGATCTCAAGGGGTTCGAAGATGTAATTTTCTTTTAAATGATATGAAAACTGATGATTGCGTACCAAAAACAAGGGTTTTCTAGGAATAATTTTCATTTTGGTAGGAATCACACCAAAAATAAGTCAAGGAAAACCGCTTTCCCCGACTACGACAGTAGGCGGTTGAGTCCTAGAGGTTAGAACACCGACTATTACATCAGGAATCATCGGGAAATCATTGCGGAACCATGGGTTGAAGTGTATGAATATGAAAATATGAGACGCCAGTTATTGCTGAGTCAAGCGCCGTTCTTACTTTCCTCTTTTCAAACACCCGCGTCTTTTAAAGGTGCCGCGCCGCAAACAAATGCCGCCCCGATAAGATGACCAGCACAAAGTGAAAATCATCTAATCCAAGATGAGTAACTATAAAACGAATGCAAGCCTGTCAGTATCAGATTGTCTAATTTATACGTCCAATCAACGTCTTATCAATGAATGGTTAAACTAAACTGTATAGCCCTGCAAGAAATTCCTCCACAGAGGCATCATTAAAATAACCAGGTTAGATCAAACGCACAGTCAAACCGGTTCCAGCGTCGATAATCAAACCCGTGCCAGTAATGAAGCTCGCCGCTGGACTACATAGAAATTGTATGGCATCGGCAACTTCATCGGCCTGGGCCATTCTCTTTAACGGGACAACTGCCTGGACAACTTGGTCCAAATGGGGATTGACCTGAGCTTCATGTTCCGTCATTGGCCCCTCAACCCAAATGGGGCAAACTGCATTGACGCGTATTCCTTGCTTGGAATAGTCAACAGCTATAATTAAAATACAGCGGTTAGCATTTGGGACAGAACATTGAGAGTATCTAACTTACCTGCCGTTTTTGTGATCCCAATCACCGCATGTTTGGCTGTAGTATAAGAAGTTTTTCCGGGAATAGCGGCATAAGAATTAGCAGAGCCTAGATTCACAATACAACCACGACCAAGTGAGCGGGCTACATATCGTCCTTGGAACTCGCGTGGTTCTTGGGCTAACATTGCTTTCAAAACTGCTCGGTTGCAGAGCACTGTTCCTTTCATATTGACGTTGAGCACATTATCGAACTCAGCGAGTGGAAGCTCTGCCATCCCAGTCACCACGCTAGTACCAATCTTAGATGCTTTGGTTAGCCATCAAAACTGCCTATTTTCTGAGTCGGAAATACCTACACCAGCACTGTTGACATTGTAGTCAATACGTCCGAACTCTTTGATTGCGGCATCTACCATAGCTTGAACGCTGTTCTCATCGGTGATATCGACACGAATAGAAATAGCGCGGTAGGCTGGATTGGAAGCATATTTCTTACTCTCGATGGCCGATTCCTCGGCACCCTTTTCATTTATATCTGCAAATAAGATACCTGCAGCTCCAGACTCGGCAAAGGAGAAAGCAGCATTCTTTCCAATGCCACTAGCAGCCTAGATAGTTAGCAGGGAAAATTCATCGTTGGGCTTCAAGGGCATACTCCAGTGATCAGGGCGAAACCATCAGTAGTTTTAGAATTCATGGCGAAAACGGTTTTGGCTGTTATAAAATATGGAAAGTGTGGGAAGAGTATTGATTGTTATAAATACGCGAAAAGTGGGCTTTTCGGGAGATCACCAAACGGGGAAGGACCCAAGACTACTTTGGGATTTGATAACGACGAGGGATGTAGATGCAATGGAGAATGGAGGATGAAAGCTGAGAGTGTGGGGCGTGAGATTGGTCGCACTATATGAACAAGGATAATGCGAGGATAGCCACTATGTAACATAAGTTCACGGCGCATTAATGATTGGATTTTATGACGTTCCTACATCGCAGTTTGATATGCTATATCTATGCCCTCTACTGTACTCTAGACCTTGGTTATGCTCTCATATTTATTTTTTATCGTTCGCTGGAACCAAGACACGAAGCGCCCTCCTCATTCATCCCAATCATCATGGGCTTTTCACCCGCGTCCATAGTGGACCTTCAAGTTATTATGATCATTCTCTCTGTTCTTGCAGTTTCACTTAGGTTCTGGTCAAGAGCTCTGTTCTTCGAGCGCAAACAGTCTTCACCGATGTCAAGATTTTGGTGGGATGATTGGCTAGCACTTGCTGATTTGGTAAGACTCGCCAAAAAATCCTCCGGTCCATTAATTTTCATGCTAACTAATCTATGGCCATTTGTCATTGCGACATGCTCTATCAATATTTACTGGGTCAGCTATGGGCTGGGAACGCATTACGATACCTTGTCATCATATGAACAGGCCATAGCTTCGAAACTTCTGTTCGCCGAATACTTCCCTTACGACGTGGGAATATCATTAACAAAGCTTTCCGTAATCTTCTTCTACGTCCGAGTCTTTAAGGTGAATAGAGAATTCAGAATTGGGTTGTGGCTGACGGCGTCATTGGTGATTGGTTGGATATTCTTTGCTTTATTTTCAGCACTGTTCCAATGTAAACCTATCAGCAAATCGTGGCTGCCTTTGGAGCCTGGCACCTGTATCAACACCTATCAGTGGTGGCTTGCAAGTGCAATATCAAGCCTGATTATTGATTTCATCATCCTGATGCTACCCGTTCCTATGCTGCTGAACCTGCAGCTACAAAGGTCGAGGAAGATTCTTATTTTGATAGTATTCGCCTTCGGATATTCGTAAGTACTCTGCAGCTATATTTATGCTCAACTCCAGATACTAACATAAGCACAGTGTTATTGGGGTTACTATCGGGCGGTTGGTAGTGGTGACAAAGTATGGACATGCCTTGAATGAAGATTTAACATGTAAGTCCAATGGAATATTCTACCGTTATTCTTTGGCTAACCCACATATTTCCGTACTCAGACAATATCGTGGTTCTTGGAGTCTGGCTTACTATTGAGGGCCCGATTGGACTTATAACTATCTCACTTCCCAGTATTTTTTCCTTGGTAAGGCGTGGAATGGCTCACGGTCCACTTTCACTCTTTTCTACCAAGGATCTCAGCAACTCTAACAATTCTGAATCTGTAAATAAGAACTCTCTCCGTGGTGAGAGAGGATTCAAGCAGCTCAATACAAGCGCCACTGAGCATGGCCAAGAATTACCATATTCGTATGACCCTGATGTGGAGTATCAGGCACTTGCATTGAGAGCCACGAGTAGCACATCACGAGATAGGGCTTTTAATGACTTAGAGGCTCCAAAGAGTGTCATCTACATCCGTCGAGATGTAGATGTTGTATAGGGGAGAGACGGGAATCAGGAGTGTCCAAAAGCGTTGTGATTGGTATCTGAACCCACTCCAAAGAAGCAGCTGCGAGGGACTGCCATTTTGATTTTTTATGGGACTGTTTAATGCCCTGCAGGAAGCGATCTCTTTCTGCTGGGGATATTTTCGCTATGCCACAGTATCATGTTCCTTTGTCAAAGAGTCGGGGAGGGGAGGAGGGTTAATTGAAGCACACTCAGAATGAACGCTACTTTGATTCAGAACTCCTTGACCTTTGTATAATAGAGAAGAGAGGAGGCTTAATCTTTTTTTCCTTTTACGTAGTTTTGGTTTCATCTTTCGCACTACTGCCCATCCTTAGACGTCTTCGATTTGATATCTATGTCTAAAAGGGAGAAATAAAGGATTGATATGCTGATGCTTATTGTATTTTCTGCTACACTTTTAACAAGACATTTCATGCATAATTAGCTTTATCTCTCATCATTCCGGGCAAGTAATAGTAGGTGGTTCTAATCACCTGCAGACAAACCCAGAAATCAAAGAACATAAATGTAGAGGGTATTATGTAAGATTGCATACCACCCATGCTGGCATTTTAGTCTATCTACCTGCAATTATCCGTTCATTCTCGGTAAGATCTTATAATAGCTCCATTCGAAAAGAAAAAGCTTCATGATTCATAATGAGATTGGGATTACAACATGCCCTGCACATACCAAAGAAGTGATGAGTTTCCTGGAACGGAGATCATACATTGAGACTAATGAGCTGCACCTGATCTGGATTGCAAGGGTTTCCATTGCGTCTAAGCAAGAATTTACCGAGTTATCCCAACGGCAGGGATCATTAGCGGCCTTTCAGTCCCTCCGCTTCTGGCCCAGCCAGACCGGCTGAATGACTTTCACTGAGTTGACAGGAAAAAAAATACACAGGGCTGTTAACTTTTATTAGGTCACCTTCTCTTGGCGGCAAAAATATTGGGCATTCAGTCGGGACCTGAAAGCTCGGAGCAAAGGCTGGCCATTGACGAGACTAACAGCGGGATGCACGGGCTCAAAAGGCACCGTTCGAATTATGCGGAGCTGGGTGGCGGGAGCGGCGCAGCGCAGGGATATATATCACAACACTGTTGAAGATATTTTGAAGGACTGAATCGAATACCCCCCTACTATCATTCACATCACCCACATTCCGCTCCAATGAGATATCATGTATATAGCAAGTTGTAACGGACTAGTGTTACATGGGATGGTGTCAGTTCTTCGAAGTAAAAACATAGTATCCAATGCCTCCGGGCGAAGTTGTACTGCTAAGATCTAATATTAGGTAAGTCACTGATCACTGTTTACCTGTGGGGTTAAGTCTCGTATACGACGATTGTAACATGCATGCATATGTGGGATGCAACAAGGTTTAGATGAAGATATCTTTCCATGATTAGGACGTCTTCGTTCCCACTCACTCTGCTTGTCCTGATGGTTGCACTATACGATCAGCTACTCCGTGGTGTGATGTTTGCATATTACGTTGCTTTTGTATGTAACAATATCTAGATGTGGGAGCCACTCCGTGATGAACAGTGGGCCATCGCGCGGCGCAGCGTGATGCGGCACGGAAACGGCGGCTGCTAAGTCTCTGCTTGCCAAGGTAAGATCCAATCGCGATCATCAATTACAGGCAAACCGGTAACCAATAAAACTGAACAGATTACCGCCGTAGTTGATCATACAGATGATCTACAACGAGAACTTGCCGAATTGCTGTCAAAAAAGTAGAAAGACCATAGAAAACTTTTGTACCTCTCTTATTGTAACCAGAATAACCAGAAGATGCCGGATTTTGTTGAGCAAACCGGAGCAGCGAATCCTGCCATGGCAACCGAAGGAAAAGTATCCTCAAAGGAAGAAACTCGGCAGCTTGATCGACTCACATCTGAGGTTGGCAATCAATCACCTCGAGATATTCACGGATGGAAGGTCCAATTTTTCAACTCCTCAGTTTATCGTCATCAAATTTGTCTGATTCAAATGTAGTGGTTTCTGGTTATATCTGCCATTCTCTCGACAACATTACTATACAGTCTTGATAATACCATTGTCGCCGACTTGCAACCCAGCATTGTCGAAAGCTACGGCTCCACTGAGATATCGAAGCTTTCGTGGCTAGGTGTATCGTATGCTTTAGGAAACGTAGCCACGATCCTTCCTTGGTATGTTTGCATGTCTATTCATCTCATCTGCAAGACTAACTGTAATTTCTTACTAGGTGCAAAGCTTATGGAACATTCAATATTAAATGGCTTTATATTTCGCACGTCCTGACTTTTTGTGTGGGAAGTGCCATCTGTGGTGCTGCTCCGACTCTGAATGTGTTGATTGTGGGTAGGGCTATATGGTGAGTACGGGCAGTTAACTCATATGCTAGCTTCATCGTTGACTTTGTGTAGTGGCATTGGTGTATGAATCCTTTAAACAGTATATTTTTTGTGGAAGCTAAATGGTATAGGGTTGTGCTTTATACGCAGGGTGCTTGACATATATATCGGTGACGACAACGATTCAAGAGAGGCCAATGTACATGGGACTGGTAGGACTTATATGGTGAGATTCTGCCCTGGATTTCTTCGCTAGTCAATCTACTGACCATTACTAGGGGAGCAGGTACTGTGCTTGGGCCTGTAGTATGTTCATAATCTACAATTTTGATTCCAAAACAGTCATTTCGGGTAGCTAATTCGTCGATAGGTCGGAGGCGCTTTTGCAGAGAGCACTGCAACCTGGAGATGGGTAAATAACAGAGTTCATTCATTCATCAGCTACCCCCAAATTTTATCTATACCATGTCAAGGAATCCATTCAATAACTCAAATTTCACAGGCTTTCTATCTCAACATCGTCGTTGGTGGTACATTCTCTCCGGTATTTGTCTGGATGTTACCTAGCATCACCCTCAGCACCAACCAATCACTAAAGAATCGACTACTACGGCAAACAGACTGGCTTGGCATAATACTTCTAGCCGGAACTTCCAGTTGTCTGACGATGGCCATCACTTTTGGCGGAACTCAGTACGCATGGAACTCTGGAAGCGAGATAACTTTATGGATTGTAGGGGCCGTAATTCTCATTGCGTTCTGCGCATCACAAGTCTACCATCCATTTGTTGCCGAGAAATCAAAGCTTTACCCTACTTGGCTCATCAGGAGACCGGTGCATTCTATCCTTCAAATACTCAGCTTTTGCGGATTCGTTTGCCTTTTTGTGAGTCATAGGCCTGCTTCAAGCGTTCTTTGTTTTTGCAAAAGTTGATGGTCACAGGTACCCACGTACTACATCCCATTATACTTTCAATTTACAAGGGTAAGTGGCGCCGGAAATCATGTAGTGGTAGATAGTTAACTCTCGATAGGGTGACTCGCCACTAGAAGCTGGGGTTAGACTACTACCCTTCATTATCCTTGGTGTGACGGCTACTTTTCTGAACGGTGCTCTTTTACCTGTGTTGGGGTACTACATGCCTTGGTATTTTTTGTACGTACACGAAATACTCCCATACAATGATGCACTCCGTATGCTAATTCAGACACAACGCTGATATCTTTATTTATTCAGTGGTGGAACTTTGGTTATTATCGGATCTGCCTTGATGTGTCAGTTCGACAAATAACATGATATTTCCGTGCGGTGGACTAGCTGTGGCTGACAATTTTGGTTCTAGACACGACATCCTTTACCACATCTGTCGCGGCAATTTATGGATATACAATTCTCATTGGAGTTGGAGTTGGAGCATTCGCTCAGCAGTCTTTCGCCGTATCACAAGCTCTTGTATCAGCAGAGGAAATTCCAGATGTTGTAGGATTCCAAAGTTTCGGTAAGTGAGCGAGAGGTTCTGCTCCGCCTAAAGATTTCCATAGCATCACCTGAATCTTTATAGGACAGTCCACCGCCATCGTATTTGCACTCGCAATCGACGGGACGATCTTCCAAAATGAAGCGATCAAAAAACTCTCTAAGCTTTTACCTAACTTGAATCGGGCCACCATTCAAGGTATGGTTGCTGGTACTGATAGTGCTTACTACGACTCCTTAGACGCAGTAAATAGAGAGAAAGTAGCTGCTGTGATTGTCGATGCTATTAGTCAAGCATATATTATTGTTATTGCTGCAGGGGCTTTGACTTTAATTCTCTCTGTTTTTCTTCCTGTAAGTTGTGGTTGATGGACACATGGTGCACTTTTGCTACAAAGAACCTAATTGAACAATAGAGAACAAAACTTTTTGTGAAGGGTAGTTAGAGAACAGGAGAGGATAGGATGTCGCTTGGATGCGTAATGGTGCGTACGAAGAAGAAACAAAACCGCATTTAGAAGATTATTGATGGAGAGAAGAACTTTCTATCTTGGCTGTGAAAGGGTTAAAGGAGCTTAGTGATGTCAATGATGTCAGTGAGGATATCGGTTTTATACTGTAAAAGTGGTAGGTCGAGATACGTGTGTCCCGATAGCATGCTGTAAGAAGGAATTGGAAAAGAAAGCTGATTAGATCACATCGTAATACATCACTTATGAAGAAAACGGGGTTCACAATGGTTTTGAGGTTGAAATTATATAGGTTCAAATATATATATATATATAGAGGGTTGATTATATAGAAAGGAAAGACAGAAGCTCTTTTTTATATCTAATTATAGAAGATCATATGATTGATTGGTTAAAAACCTCTATGTATCTGGCCTATAATTCCAACTTTCTCACAACACTTAATTCAAGCAAGCCCTAAAATTTACTTGCAATTATATATTTTTAAAACAAATCACACTCGAATCCCATCCCCGGGATAAATGCCAAGCCGGATCTCCCAAATAAGCTTCTTTACCTCTTCTAGCCGCGTCTATCCGCACCAAAGCAATCGAGAGATCTTCCGCAGCCTCAGGAAGTTATGCACTCTACGTTCGGTACGTGGCTGTGCTTAGAAGTAGCGGAGCAAATACGAGTGAAAAGCTATAATGGAAATGAAGAGCTCGAATATACTGGGGATGGTTCTGATGGCTGATGGCTAATAAAAGGAACGTACTCATTGTCGGCTTGCCGACACGGTAAGCTTGCTGTGCGCGTACCTAGCGTAAAATGAGAAACTCGCTTAAGTGAGTCGCAATCCGAGCAATGTGATTGGTCTAAAAGCCCTACGAAAATAGATCTAACACAAAACTTTTTTTTATATATTAGTATATATATATTAGTTTATTAATAGAAGTGTTAAATATATTATTTTTGAATAAATTTAATTTATTTTTATTTAAATAGAATATATTAAATAATAAAGTAATTTATTCAAAAATGATAAGTCATTAATTAATAAACTAGGATATTGACCAATGCCCCGAAACATATATCGAAAATTGTCTTAAAAAGACGTCATCTATATATAACTCACAGGTCTATTGTAGATAATTGGCTTTCCAAAAGTATTTTATTCTTTCAATCGACCGCTTGCTTTACGCCTTTAATATAATAATACATCCATCTAATCCATAAAAATACTAGAATTCAGCACTGAAGCTAATCGTGGCTTATTGGCCTCCTCCGATCACTATCCTCATCATTTGCACCTTATTTGCGGTGATGACGGTGCGAATGCTGATGGTTAAAGTGTGCATGCTTATGAGCAGCAATATGCTCAGCGCCTCGGCTCGTCTTAGATTCTTTGCTGCTTTCCGTTTGAGCAGGCGATTTCGATGAGGGTGCAGCTGTTATGACTGGTCTCAGGGCAGTTGCGGCTTGGCTTGTCGCAAATGAAGAGTAGTCGGAAGATGACAGTACGGGTACAATAGCTAAGGAGGTAACTGGTGGCTCTGATGTTGGAGTTGGAAATTGGCCCGGTACTGTCGGTGCACCCGCGCAAAAATAGTCACTATATTCCTCTTCCTCGCAGATAGGACCAGAAAAGTCCCACCCAAGAATTTGGAAAATCATGACGATATCTTCTTTAGTGGCGCGACGTGTTGCGTTGCCAATGTCCACTGCGATGGTAAGTGTTAGCAGCTGCATCTATGGTATGAGTTTAAAAATGAATGGTTTAGCTTCAAGCAAATGTTCTTTGCATTGGTCTAGTTTGGAGCATTCTGACGAGAAGCAACCTCCCGTATAGAGTACAACCTCAGGTATAGAGTAGGGTTTAGATTGGAAAAAGAAGAGATTCACCAGTAATAAAATCGGCATTTAGCTCCGATACAGAAGAAGGAACCAAGGCAAAACGATATCCATGTAAGGCGAGAGCGTCAATCTCCTTAGAACCAAATCCATCATCGCTGCGTTTCTTGTTGCTTATCCCATTCAAGTTGCTTAGTAATGAGGATGGAAACTGCTTGCTGTAAAAGTGATAATCACGAGCCCTGTATGTTTTACCACTGTACCATGGATCATCGGCAAATAGTACGAAACCCGGATCTCTTGTAAGTCTTGCATCAATCGAACACGGATTCACATTAAGCCAGGTATCATATTGCTTAAGATACCGCACATCGAAGACGATGCTCATGGCGTTTACTGATCGAGAAGTCGTGAATGTTGACTGACATATCCCGCCGCCAATACTTCCCCCTTCACCATGCACGTTTTGACGCTTAGTAGCACAAAGTCTATTCCACATTTGACCAGCACGCACATTTTGGGATCGGGGCAATACTCGAATTGCCTGTCTATAATTGGAAATACTCCCTTGGGGCATGAAAGCACGTGGCGGGTACTCATCCCTCTGGCAAAAAAGAGGTCGATTGAAGTCAATGAAACGTTTCTGCCAGATCTGTTCGTGCTGTGAATTCCAACGAGCGGGAGCAGGCCTTTTACTCCCTGCATGTGTCTCATAGGGACAAGTAATAATTGGGGTGGTGAAACGAATCCCAGCGGAATAATAATGAGCGCAAGCTTGCGGCCATTCATCTTCATCGCAGTTCTTTCTTATTGTTGATGTAACGGTCGTCGTAATTTCATGGATAGGTTCAAGCCATACTTCACAGTCTTTGATATTTTTGGCGCTACTTGAAGGTGCTTTGTTCTCAGAAGGTGAAAAGTCAGAAAGCCCTCCAACATGTGGCTCCCATATACCTGGTATGTTGTTGAGAATTGCTCCGTTGGTCACAGCTTGATTGAGTAAGTATTGCGCAGCATTTCCTTGTGGGTTCGAAATGCATTCGGCAAGTGTAATTCCAAATGAGCCTAGAGCACCTAAGCCTCGCCTACTGAATGAACTGGATAAATCATTGACAACTGGTCCGTGTCCTCCGGTGACGATGTTATTCAAATTTGTGTGAGAGCAAGCTGTCAGCTCTGATGTGGGAACTGTGATCTGTTCACAACAGAGGCTAGAAAAGTATCCGCTTTTACAGCCTGCCTTCGCACCGCCAATGTGTGTATTTTGGGTGAGCAGGTACTCTCCAGCGAGACAAGTTTGTTTACAGCTTGTTGCTTTGCCTCGCCAGCGACATTGACCAAGATTGACATCAGATTCAACGCAGAAAGCACGATTGTAGCCTTTCGAACCACCTGTGCAACCATCCGCAACATAAGCATTCTTATCGGCATCATAGACCTATTCAAACATTAGATAAGGGTAAACACTTTTGAGATTCTGAGTTGCATACTTTACCATGGCCATATTCAACCAATTGAAAGCCTGCTGCGCATTGTGGAGATTCCTGACAGGTTGTCCAATAAGCCAAAAGTCCCACGCTATTCTGTGAACTGGTTGCAATAAGTTTTGATTTGGTGTAATCTGGATAGGTGGTTACGTCTTCTCCAATAGCCGCTAGAGCACTAGCACTACTACAAGGAGGGAATGGGCAGAATCCTCGGTTACATGCCCATTCACAAAGACCAGCATCGTTCCCATCTTGATTAGCCGGATACCCAATTGTTGTAGAATATGTTGGAGAGGTGTTTGTAGTATAGCCTGTAGATGTACAAATACATTTTGCGTTTGGGCAAAAGTTGTATTGGCAGGTGAAAGAACAGATTGAATTCCATTCCGTATCAATACCTGTACCAGCTATACAAGAGGGTATTGGCGGTGCTGATGCTGGAGGTGGATTGCAAAGGCTAATATCTGCAATCTTGGTACATGCCTTTGGACAAACGCCATAATTACACCCGAAGCTGCACAACCCTTCATAGGTTACATCGTATCCCGGAGCTGGGCATCCAATATCACCAGTTGCTTTCAATGTATTTGTCCTGACAGTACCCACTTGAGTACAAGTACAAACAGTCGGACAATAGTCAAAAGTGCATGCCAAAGCACAAAGCTCAGCATAATCTCCAGTACCAGTGCCTCTGACGCAATGTAGAGTGTCTGAGAGATAAATTGGCGCCGCTACAGAGACTGACGCTCCGGAACCTGATCCCACCCAAGGATTCCAGTTCTCAATACTGTTTGTGCAAGCTGTCGTGATGGTACCTCCCGACACTTGTGCAATCTGAGAACCATCTCTTGAGACGGTTACGACAACGGGACCCGTGCCTTTGTATGAAACACTGCCATGGTATAATCCTACGTTTCCATCTGGAATGGATGTCCAGGATGCACCTTGATCGACACCACCCACAGTGACCGACACAGATGCTGAAGAGGCTAGAAGGGCGGTGAAGAATATCTTATCCTGTACAATCTCTATTGGATTGTACTGAATCTGCAGTTGACTTGCGGTATTGCCGGTGGTACCACCTGTGGCACAAGCTGATGCGGGTTGAGGACGAAACCAAACGACCACACCCTCTTGGCTGATTGTTGCAGCACCTTTCTTGTAAATATCAATAACATACGGTAAGAATTGTCGCCAGCCATCGTGCGGAAAGCCGTCCACATAGTTATAAGAAGCTTTGCCGAATTTTGGTCCTAAAGCGTTCCAAGCATTTGGACGACTCGGTCCAATGTAATGACTAACATATAGTTAGCAAAACATCAACCAAACACACTGAAACCCTCGAACCTTTCCCCATAATCATTCCATGTCAATATCTCTACGAATTCTGGCGCCAGGTACCAGATGTGCGTCCAGCGGTCAAACCACATATCATCACCCCTGTTGAGATACGTCAGCTTTGTGTTTAGAGTTAAGAATACAGCACCAAACTGAGCCAGGAAACAATGAACATACCTCCACAACCAGTTTTTGTGATAACCAGGAAGATTAGTATAAAACCAAGGAGAAGCTGGCATCATGTATGGTTTTCCTCCTAGATATTCGACATATGAATAGTCTGTTGTTGTGAACATGTCATTGGGACCATCCGGCCATGCTCCCCAGCTAAATAACCCATCAGGAACACCAGTTTCCATAGCCACTTTTGCTCCCAGTGATGACCAGGAGGGTATGAAAAAGCAGCCAGTATCACTAATAATGGTTGGCCAATCTTTTGTATTACCAACGCCCTCAAATGTTGACACGAAAGCCTGTCCGTTGTAAAAATAGTATGCAGCTTCTGTTTTGTATTGATTGATCAAAGCAATAACATCTGCTTGTGGCCATGCCCCATTACCAGCATAGTCGAATGAGAAAAAGAGTTTAAACCCCTTACTCCCAGCTATGGAGAAGATGTCAGGAAGACTTGCATCATTCGTAGAATCACCATAGGCTATGTTCAAAGCGAACGCATCTATGTGCGCCGCTTGAGCTTGATTAACATCATCTTCCCAGTCACTTGTGCTGTATGAACCGGTGTTGCCCACCTAGAGAGGTCAGGTCAGCAAGCATAACAACATCAAGGATGTTCAATCGTACCACTAGAACACGCGAAAGTCAGCACCTGGCCATGGCGGATGGTTTCAAAGGAGAAGACAAATGCCACTCCTTTGTATAAAATTGACAAAAGCTGAGAATAAAATGTGTAGGAGACATTTGAGGTTGAGGTATGCATGATCGAACGAGAAATACTTACTAAAATGTGCAAATACAGCCTTTGAATGAACTCTAGCAATGCACGATAGCAGTGCTGCAAGTAAGAGAAATTTCAACATCTTGCTTAGCAAGTAGGTCCAAATTACTGAGACCTGAAGGTTTCCACCGTGATTATAAGATGTGATTTGCCTAGTGGGCTCAAGCAACCAAATATGAAGATGGCGGGGCACGCAAATCTCATGTTTATGGATGAACGGCGTTGATCTCCAACCAGAAGCTATCTATCTGATTTATCCTCATCCGGCATCCAGCTTGTACGTACAGACAACCTGTTGCAAGGGAAGAGGCCCCTCATCTTGCCCTGCATGGTCCCCATGACTCCCATGCGATGGGTCTAGATACCTTGCTCCAGACAAGGGAGTTGTCATGGCCACCTCAAGTTGCTGTTGTACTAAAAGACCGGTCAGACTATTGAGACCTATTTTACTCTAAATGGAAGAATCTCACACTGTATCCAGTATTTTGGTAAATTGCATGTTGGCGGCACGCAGGGGAGTTGACAAGGATTGTAAAGAAAATTTGATCGTATCGGATGAACATTACCCCATTTCAACTAGCGTTCTGATTGTCTCCAGTCACACGTTCCCACCAAGTTTATCTTCATTTCTTAGATGGCAAATACTGTTTGCACTGCAGAGACTTTTCAATCGAGTCTTTGCAAAAAACACAACTTTCTCTTTCCGCTTGCAAGTTCCGTGATTTGAAGTATCAAATAATGGAATATCCTTGGTCTCCGTACGGTTCACCAGAACGTTTCAACCAAGGACAAGCTTTGTATCCGAACGCTGTCGCCATACCCGATGGCGATTCCCCGTCAACCACTTGGTTACCTATCTACAACCAACGAAGTCCATACGATGAAAATGAGATCGTAGATCTCATTAATGAAATCGTCCGTGACTTCGTTCGGCTATCATCAGTCTCAGAGAGCGAAGTAATTTGGCCCCCAGAAGGTGGTCACAATCTTGATGAGTCGCTCTGCAACTCACTCAATATCGATATCTCTGAAACCGCCAAATCATTGATACGTCGTTTACCAGACCCTGCGACAACACAGCCTGAGACAATACTCCTCTACGGATCCAGTTCTTTATTTACTATTACCAACAGTTATGACTTAAGTGGTAGCCGCGAAGCCCCACCATGTTCGGATCCAAACCTACAGTATTTACTGCCTCATGAAGTGCAATTAGCTATTGGAGAGACTCAATCTACTGCTATTATCTTGGATACAAACGAGAGTGAGTCTTTCTCCACCATCTCACGCAAATCACTCGTGTTTCTAACAGCTGTGATATAGATACAATACGTGTGGTGTCACTTACTGAAGGTGCTGATGAGGTGAACCCACCTTGGGTTTCGTTAGAAAGACCCGAAGATACTTTCTACTATCGAAACTACTGGCCGCGACATGCTCCCACCTGGCTTCGTGTACAGTCAAACAAAATCAAGTGTTTAGACACAATACCCCCAGGAATACATGGATATACGCTTAGTTATCTGGATTACGGAGAGGAATGGATGGTAAGCCGCACTTCCTTGGTCTTCAACTTGCTTTTAAGATTGTACAATAGCTAGTAGTAGAGAGCTAGCTAACTACATGTGTAGCGACGCAAAATTAAACATTCTCTTGAAGGAACATATGGCTGGCCCAGCGACTTTCAGCAATCGGCATGGGATCAGGACCGTGAGCGTGTTTGGAAAGAGGCTGATAAGGAATATGTGAAATTGAGTCGCCCAAGTGTTCTACGGTTCGTGTGATCAAAGTTTATGGATCAAATTTCAACATTATTGATTTCATCCCTTGTACTTTAGCTTCCGTAAACTTCGTTAATTAATCATTCCTCAGCGTAGAGTCTCCATTCTGAAGCATTCATGTGTTCTATCAACCAGAAACTAAAGAGACAGAAGATCACAGAAGGCAGAACGGGATAATGTTTGATTGACTATATTTAATCTACAAGTAAATAACTTGACCAGAGTGTTTCTTGTGCAAATACACTTTTCAACTGTTTCGATATCCTACAAACTTGGTTGATATATTTGATTTGGTGGACTGCTCACCAGTCAGTGTCCGAAGCGATCAAAATGTCACAAAATATTTAAATACGTACCCAATACAAACGGTATCGTTTTGTGACACAAAACCATACGAAAGGTACGAATTGTACGAATAAAATTCCGTAAGCGTAGAATTTGTATAATCCCTTACAAAAGAAGAGATCGGCACGTTCACGTCTGCAAAGCTTGTACCTCCTGTGTTCACCACCAAAATGGGACATGACATGGGAGCGCAGAGTGTGGTATTCGAAAGACCAGAGCAGTCCAAACTATTATCCAGATTGAAGAGTCCAGCGGTTGGAATTTTGAATTTGACGAAAGCTTCGAGACAAGTGTATTGCTCTTCATCGGAGATAGTTATGTTCTGAGGGCACTCCGTTGTAACGGGAGGAAGGGGGGCAACATCGTCACCACTTTGGGAATGCTGAATCAGATCAATTCTAGAACAGGATCAAAGCACTTACATATTGATAACTCCTGAGACGTTATGCGCTGGGGCTATATTCTCGTTGAGTCCGCAATTTTGTTTCATGTTCGCCCAAACTTGCTCCGTAACCTCGCTGTAGATTCAATTTAGTTAATTTTCGTCAAATATTAGCAGGCACTTACTCCCAGCTGTTACCCCAGATGCTCTCATAGCCTACTCTGAATCTTTGTCTAAACGATAATTAGGAATGCAAAGCTTGACATGGAAGGAGGGGACTGGGTTGCATACAAGAAGCAAGAGCTACATTGTATCTCCAATGGATATTCGTCAAAATCCAAAAGCTCTGGCCAGCCATAATTATCATCATCTATTGGATCAGGCGCATCGGTGTAATAATCCATAGCAGACATTTCATCCCGCCCGGATGTCTCGAAAACACTTTCCAGCGTTGTCCATTCAGGCTCTATACATGTATCATTGTCACCTGTAAAATATTCCCAGTACCCCTCTGACGAACCAAGATAACACTTTTGTGTGTTCTTTGGCCATGTCGCACCACCTAATGCTACCATAGTAGTTATATTCCAGCTTGATTTTGTTAGATTAATGGTGACTATGTATTATTTGTAAACTCACCTGTCCTCAACATCTAAACAGAATTCATCGGTAGTTTCATCTTGTAAACATATGAGCCCCCATTTGTATTCAATCATCTCCACGAGCTCGTGTAACGACATGACATTACTGTCAATTAAAAATGTGTCGTCGGCACAAGCAGTTTCGGAAAGAGAACTCAAGGAAGCCAATCCTGTTTGACACGAGGCTGTGCAAAGCGACGTTAACGATGATGTGTTCCATTCTGAAAACACCATAGTCAGTCGACGAAATACCAGTTAATCTAAGATGACGAACTTGTGCTTTGAATTGAATATGGCGTCAATTGAATCAAGCTCTCGCAGTTTAGCTCGGTATTAAATGCTGCATCACAAGCCATACTTATGTCTGGCGAGAGTATGCTTGCATGCAAGCCATTGTATAAAGAGGCTGCTTGAGCCCCTCCAATGTAGATCAACGATGCCTTTATCGACGAGAACATCATAAGTGCCGTAGACTGGACGTCTAAAGTTTTGAACACTGGCTTCGAGGATTGCAGCTACTCTATGATATTCATGAAAATAAAAAAGCAAGGAACTTTCTACCCATGACCAAAGCAGAAAGGTTGAGGACCAGCAAAATCGAGTTATCAACCGTCCGCATCAACGAAACCTCGGGTCAAGTTGCCATTACACAAACATCGCACGAGCCAGGATTGATTGACTAACAAGCTCTTGCGGTCATTTTGAGCGCACCTAAAAATGTATCATCTATTAAAGAACGAAATCAAGGATAGCAACTGAACTAGATAATCTCCGTGCACATTCCGGAGCGCAAATCTTTCAACTCGTTTTCAGGTACCCTGCCGGACGGAAACTAAATCAAACTTATTTCTTTCCTTAACGCTGACAGTAGACAAGTTATCATTGTTAGAGGGGAAGATCCGTTGTCTCTCGGCCGATTGGTCTTGACGCTTTTGATTTGCCGCGGCATGTTCAATACAGGGCCCATCTAAGTAAGCACTAGTGAGACCACTTTACCTCATGGTGTCTTACTTTAGCACTTTGATGATTTTGCATAAGCGTATCTTTTTGACGTGAATTCTGTCGAGGGGGTAGGACCGAAAAACGCGTTCCGGCGTCTAAATATTTTATCATCCACAGGAGTGGGGCATCCACAATAGATTACGGTATGATTTAAAAAAAATAAGTCTTATATCCAGTAAACAAAAATGTGAAAAAAAAAAAAAAAAATATTAAATTTCGAATATCCTCTTGAAATAAACAAAACTAGTAAAATAATACAAATAATATTTATAATATAATAAATATAATTAAAATATTTAATTTTTAAATAAAATCTTATATAAATTATGAATGAAATAACTTTTATAATCTTTATACAAAACTTTATTTTATTTAAAAGTAAATTATTTTATTTTTATTTTTATTTTTATTTTTATTTTTATTTTTATTTTTATTTTATTTTTATTTTTATTTTTATTTTTATTTTTATTTTTATTTTTATTTTTATTTTTATTTTTCACATTCTCACATTTTCATTTAACGGATATATCTCTCGTAAATCATGCTTTACATAGACAGGGTTCCGGATTCCGGAACAGCCGGGAGGATTTTACGAGCAATCACACGGACTTTTATACAAATCTGGCATATTGGCCTAGACAAACCATTCTGCTGGGACGCACTATACAACGTTAACGAAAAATTTGCAATTCTGCGCCTTTCGATAGCATCTTGGAAGATTGCTGTACGTACTATTGAAATAGAATGAAGTGGACTAAAACCCGATAATTATCCAAAATTGCTGTGCGACGGTCGTATAATCCACCAATTGTACAATGCACCGTAATCTTGGTCAACTTTTCTACAGAGACGCTAAGGCTTAGAGAATTACATCGCAAGTTAGGTTTTGGAATTACTGTAATTATCTGCTCACAAACAATTTAGGACTTGCCTCTCAGGGATGAATGTGTGCTACCTTCTAACTTTCAAGTAGCCCGAACGACAAAGGCAAAAACGACATTCCCTCTGTTCTAGGAGAAAAATTGGAAAACAAATTGAAGGAAAACGGTTCTCCTCAACCAACCCTATCAAGCAGGGGAAAGACTCCAAAATAGGCACAAGGCAGACGCAAATGAACAACAGCTGCCATTATGAAAACCCCTACGACAATCACCTTCATACTTCTTCTTGTCACAAATGTGCACGCCTCTTCCGAGAGTTTATTCAAGCGCACGCTCTGCAGTCGAGCAGTTGAACCCCAGTTGAACACAACTACCAACTGCGGTGTTTATGGGACCATCACTCAACGAGGAGGCGGGAAGATAAACATGTGGCAAGTTGACCCTCCACCTCGTGTGATCAAATTATCACATAGAACAATAACATTATGAAAAAGTTCTGACAAGTATAGGCCCTCCCAACCCCTCCACTCGTCGCCAGAGGACTGCGGCGCCTACTGCCAACAACTAATTGGCAATTACTCGCAGTCGTTCAGTATTCAATCTAGTTCAAACAGCACTGGCTATTCATGCAGTTGCTACCAATTTGGTGTTGGGGCACTGAAATTGAAGAACGGGACAGATGGAGATTTGAAAACTGTAGCTTATTATGATACTGCTTGTTTTTCTTTCTCATCATGTTGAACTTAATCATGAGCACCACTTGGCTGGAGGATTGACGATTGTTGCTGTTGCTGTTGCTGGGGATTGTTGTTTAAATCGATACAGTACGCTTAATATTCGTTCATACAAGCGAGATGTGGAGGATAATCTGTGCTTCGCATTTTGGGCATCAGACCTTGCGCCCCTATTACCTAGACGCTTGGCAATCTGCAGCTATTTAAGCTTAAATATTAGATGTAATGATGTATAATACCGTCGCTTATGTCCTCTCGAGGTTGACTTTAAAATTATCAGTACCAACTGTACTGCTACTGCTATTTGTCGACCTTCCAAGATCGCCAAACTCACGGCTATTCAAGGAGAAACTGTATATCTTTAAGGCTTTAAGTTGAATTCTAAATCTACACCACTCTTCATAGAAAACTAGATAATCAACAACTGATTAGAACTAGACTTCTATTGAAGATAAACTGCATCTAGAAAAGACTTAATTCATGCACATTCCAAATCACAGGTCATGGTTTGCCTCTGTTAAGTTGTGGGTTAGCTACAGAGGTTATATTGATAGAGGTGGTCTCGGCACTTTTTGAATACTTCTTTTCATGATCAGTGTCTATTCAATATTCTCGATATTGGGCTTTATTAACTCTCACAACAGCCTGAGTTATGATGTAGCATCTAATCCCTTTGTGAAGATCCAGTGGCTTTGCGTCTGTACGCACTATAATACAAGAATATAGGGGCGTGATTGTTCAACACCTGTACGTGGTGCGTCCTACGAACCTTTTAATGAGGTGTGGATACTGGACGTGAAGGTATCTATAAATCAACCCAAAACGTTCAGAGGGCTATCGACAGAACGGAGATGAAAATTATTCAACAATAAACCAACGGCGATGGAACTCGAAGCGGTTTTTACAGTTTTGCACTAAGAAGCAAAGCCTGTAAGTATTCAAAGCGAAATCTTTTTTTTTTCTTTTCTTTTTACAAATCTACCCTGGGAAACAAAGCCTGAAAATGAAGTTGATATTACCAGGGGCCTGTGCCCGCCGGACCCCTAGCTTTTCGAGAAAGTCTAATAAAAATTTAATTTTTAAAAAGTTTATTGTCGGCTTGCCGATACCAAAACTTTGTTGTATACAAGTGTCACGAAATCATTTTATAGAATATTACAAGGTAAAAATTAACCTGTCCTTATAAGCTTGGACCTCTTTGAAAAGCAAAGTAATTTATATACAAATTTGTATAACAATTGTTTTATATAATCTCTTTATTTTCAGCAAATTCGGATATATAATCTGATCTTAATTATATGATGAAATTTTAAAAAACTTATACTCTTGAAAGCTTTAAAAAGTTTATAAAAGTTTATACTTTTGAAGATTCTTGAAATGAATTAGTATATAATCAGAATAGTTTTATAATTTAGAAATTTTATATTTAATTTAATTATCAATTAGTTTATTTATATTTTGATTAATTTAATAATATATTTATTTTTGAATAAATAATTAATAATTATTAATCTTAATTTACAATTATCAATTATACAAAATCTTAGATAATTATTATCTTGATTAGATCATTATACTTTAAATATTATTATAATTAAATTATATATAATATAATAACTTTCAATTAACAATTTATCGAATTGTCTTCTTTCAATTCAATTAGAATCTCAATATAAACTATTACAATAATAAAATATAAACAAACAATTCAGATATTCACTTTTAATTTATTTTATAAAAATCATAATAAATATCAAGCTTTTGTTATACAAATTAATCTTTATTATATTTTTAATAAATAACTTTTCTTGATTTCTATATAAAGAATTTTATAATTAATTTTCTTTTTTCAAAAAACTATATTTAATTGAATTGAATTATTTTTTAATAATTTAATAATCAAAATTATCAATAATCAATTAAATAAAAAAATAAAATCTAAAACTTATTATCTTTTCCTTAATTACAAATCGTTTAAATAAAGATTCAATAAAACATTTAAGGAAATAAACTTCAATTATATAACTAAAAAAGTATTATAACAATTTAAACAAAATAAATCAATTATAATTTATATTATCAAATTTCAATAATACACTAAATATATTATATAGAATAATAATTATCTAAAATTACAATTCTATAAAGGATTGAAAAATATCATCAAAGATGAACTAACAAGAACTCTGAAACTATTTAATCTTTTCGAATTAATCGAAACCTTTATTCTTATTGATAATTAATTCTATAAATAACAAATAAAGAAAAAAGAAATCATTTAGAAAAACAAAAAGTTTCAAAAACCTTATTATCAGAATAGATATTATAATACTAATGATCTAATAGAATTGAATAATATTAAATAATATTATATAAAACCAAACAATCTAAATACTAATAAGAAGAAAAGATATAAAAAGAATAATTTATATTATATTATAAGAAAATTAGAATTATAAATCAAATATATAAAGGTTTTTAATTAATCAATCACATGATCTTTTATAATTAAATATAAAAAAAGAGCTTTTTATCTTTTCTTTTTACAATCTTCAACCTTCTATATATATACATTTGAATCTATATAACATCAATTCTAAAATCATTATAAACTCTGTTTTATTTATAAATAACATATTATAATATAATCTAATTCAACTTTCTCTTTCAATTCCCTTTTTACAATATACTATCGAGATATATATATCTCGATCTATTACTTTTACAATATCTATAAGAAAAGCGAATATATATCTAAAGATTGTTTTCAAAAAAAGAAATCATTTATTACAAGAAACAAAAAACAAATAAAATTTGAGAATAAAAGATAGATTCTCAAGAAATAAGGATTTTAAAAAGAAACTCAAGAAAAATAAAATTATTGAAAAAAGATTTATTTCAATTTAATCTCGAACAATTAAAGAAATTGAATATCAATAATCAAAACCCTAGAATTAATACTGAAAACAATATCAAATATAAAAAAGAACTTTTAAAAAAACTTCGAATTAAAAAACAGGAAATCAATTAAAAAACTCGAGAAAGATTAATAATCAATTGAATCTTATTATCTATTTCAAGAAAATGAATTATAATATCTAATTAATTATTTAAATAAGAAATATATTTAGTATTATTATAAAAAAGAGAAATCAGACTTTATAAAGAAATATAGAATCTATAATTATTTTATTTTATTAATACTTTATACAATAATATATAATAATATTTACTATATAATATTTAAAGAAAATATTGAAGTAAATAATATCAAAAAATATATTATAGATATAAATTCTTTATCTTTCAATGAAATATAAGAATACAACAAATATAATTTAGAAGTTGAAGAGGTATAGAAAATCCTATTACAAACTGAGACTTATTATATTTGATAAAAGATTGATAAAGATAATAAAAAAATATTAAATCAAGATTATTATCAAGACTTTCAAACAAGATTAATAAAATTATTATTCATTATACTTTATTAGTTATTGAATATAAACAAATATCAATAAAAATAATTGAATCTTTTTATCGAAGAATAAATTATTGAAATATTATCGTTAAAACTCAATAATATTATAAGAATCAAATAATTAATTATAGAAATCAAATTAAAAAATCAATAGATTAATACTTTAATTGATTTCGAAATTATAAGTATATTTATAGATCTTAATTTTATTAAGAAAATAGAATTTTTATAGAATTAAAACAAGATCCTTATTAATTGATATTATTAGAAAAAAAGAAAGCTGAAATTAATAATTAAATATACAAAGAAATCAATATTGTTAAGATAATTATACTAAATAAATATATCAAATAGATCAAAATAGATTTAATATTATTAGATAAATATACAATTATCTTTAATACCTTATAGATTAAGAAATACAATTCAAATATCAATTAAATAAAAGATATTTTAATATTCGATCATTACAATTATAATAACAAATGATTATATAATCCGAAAGAATAAATTTTCGAAAAGATCGGATATCATATTATAACAACAATATATCTTTTATTGATTGATAAAATCAATGAAAAAGGAATTCTAATATAATATAAAAGATTCATCAAGTTTTTCGAAGATCTATAATATAAAAGTGGTAGGTCGAGATATATATGTCCCGATAGTATATTATGAGAAGGGAATTGAAAGAGAAAGTTGAATTAGATTATATTGTAATATATTATTTATAAATAAAACAAGATTTATAATGATTTTGGGATTGATATTATATAGATTCAAATGTATATATATAAAAGATTGATTTTTATAAAAAAAAAAAAGACTTTTCTTTTATATCTAATTACAAAAAGTTATATAATTGATTAATTAAAATCTTTATATATTTGATTTATAATTTCAATTTTCTTATATTTTTTTCTCTTAAGAAATATATATTCCTTTTTGTTTATTAAAAAAAATAATTGATTAGAATATAAAATATATAAAATATTGTTATTAATAGTTTTTTAAAATGGGTATAAAAATTGAATTATAAAAAAGAAGATTTATTGAATTTGAAAATAATTCTTTATTCTTCAATAGATGATTCAATAAAAGTTTTGTTTTTATTAATATTTTTGTTAGTTTTCAAATGTTTAAGTTTTAATTTTGAAAATGTATTCAAGGAAAGAAGAGATTTATCGAATCTTGAATGAAGATATTTGAAAATTCGAGAAAGCAAAGATGGTTTTTTTCTCGATTTTGAAAATAATATAAAGGGATTTAGATTTTGTTATTCTTGATTAAGAGAAGGAAATAATCTTTATATATTAAAAAGATTAATAATAAACTTTTCTTATTGTAAAGTCTTTTGTTACGATTTACGATTAAGATAAGGATATGTTGAGGGGCAGCAGTCAACGTGTCCACATGAGCTTAGGCCTTATCGAAAAGCAAGGCGATTCGTATACAAATTTGTATAGTAATCGCCTCATATGGTCTCCCTACCTTTAGCAAGCTCGAATATATAATCTGATCCTAATCACATGATAAGGAGCCCTGGGAGCTTCGAAAGCTCCTAGAGCTCCAGGAGCTTTTTGAAGCTCTAAGGCTTTATAAAGCTTCTTTATATTCATTAGTATATAATCAGAATAGTTTTATAGTTTAAGAGTTTTGTATTTAACTTAGTTATCAATTAGTTTAATTATATTCCAATTGATCTAGTAATGTATTCATCTTCGAATGAATAATCAGTGATTATTAATTTT